GGGGCTGCATGCTCAGTCAGGGGCTGCATGCTCAGTCAGGGGCTGCATGCTCAGTCAGGGGCTGCATGCTCAGTCAGGGGCTGCATGCTCAGTCATGTGCTGCAGCTTCCCGGCTGTTAACACCAGTTCGCTTTGTCCTGCAGGACGCGATGCTGCAGTATAGGGGGGTGAAAGATGAGAAGCCATGACCTCCCCGTTTGTCAACCCACCAGTATCCGCAAGTGGCTTCTATGTTGCAGACGTTGTTCTTGGAGCAACCGTTGCCAATCAATTAGAGGACATGGAGATGCTCAAGACGCATCGTCGCTGAGCCATTCTTCAGCCAGCAGCTCGATATAGCTTTACGAAATCTGGAGATATACTCCTTCACTCAGCTGGCGAGCGGTCCGCAGATGCGATTAGGGCAGACCATGCTGCTAGTCCGGACGCTAGTCGGTATAGGACCAGGTCTGTTGGGACTGGTTGATGTTTCAGACGTTGCAACAAAGAAAAGTCACCTGTAGACCACCCGTCGGATGCGCCGAGGAAGTGGACCCATTGGATAGGCGACGAGGGTGTATGCACGGGAGCGTTAAACCTCGTCAATCAGCTTTTACACTGATAATGCTAGAAGATGTGGTCACTGACACTTGTAATGGTATGTGCCTAGCTGAAACGGCAGCCGCCCTATCAACGAGATACCAGATGCACCTCTTCAGTAATGCGCCGTAGATACCCTCTCCCATCTCTAGCTGCTGAACAGGCTGCGCCTATGAGACCGCTCGTGGCTCCCCTTTACCCAGCCAGCTTTAGTTTGGTGCTGAAGATTTCCTATATCAATACGCCCAGCCTAGCCGACTTCCAAAGCATCCTAATACAAGTTCACATCCAATCGGGCTCCTCCCGGCTCTCGCTTCTTAACGTTCCTGTTCCAAACCGTTACAACAGGGCTAGTGCCTACCACCGGGCTCGCGCGTTATCATACCATCCATGATCCTCCTGACGGTCTTGCTCCCCGTTAGCGCCGAGGCCTTCCCTTTCGTCACTGTGTCTTCAGCTTTGCTGCCCGTTGCGCTTCCCGCTGCCCGGCTCTTTCTCTGCGCCCCAAATTCTGACGCATCCCTCTGCACTGTCCCGTCTGCGTCGACCGGCGCAAAGCGTTGAGAAGATCGGGACAGGAATCATCCCCTACACCACCAGGCCCTCCGGCTCACCGCCCTCGCCACCCCCAACCACAGCCCCATACACCCGAACCGGAATTGCGACCTCGAAGCTCTCACACCCCAGCCTCTCCACCGCGGCCAGCATAACCCCCCTCTCATCCCTCCCGACCTCCTCAAGCAACTGCCCCCACTCCCTCTCCTGCCCTCCCTCATCCCCCACCCTCGGCGTCACAAACTCGACCCTAACCCTCCACACCAACCCGACCCCACTCGTCACAAACTCCGGCGTCGCATTGCCCGGCACAGCCAGACACACCGCCACGCGTCTCGCCCAGAGCGTATTCTCCGTCTGCGCCGCGAGCACCTTCCGCGTCGCGCGCTCCACGCTCCCCTCGCTCCTCAGCGCGAGGGCCGGATCCACGCGCTCGCAGTTCTCGAGACTGATCGCGACGGCATAGGTCGGGATGTCCGCGCCGCTGAAGTCAATGACCACGTCGATGCTTTCGCCGAGCCGGTACGAGGGCCGCGCGAGGTGCAGCACTCCGACCGGCCGGCCGGAGCGCGCGATGGAAAAGCGGGAGGGGGAGGGCGCGCCGGGGGAGGAGATGTTCGAGCGTAGGATTGCGAGGTCGATGGATTCTTTGGCGGTGCGGGGGAGGGGTTCGTCGAGGACGGCGAGAGTGGAGCGGCGGCGGAGAGGTGTTGCGGTGGTGGGGGAGAGGAGGCCGCTCGAGGGGGAGGGCGCGGTGAGGAGGGCAGTGATGTAGTTTTGGAAGTCTTCGAGGCCGGCGGCGGCGTCTTTGCTGCTTTTGGCGGCGGAGATCGCGGTGGTGGTGTGTGAGGGGGTCGGCGGGTCGAGGCTGGAGGTACGGGCTTCATCCCGGAGGAGGATGTAGGGAGACATTAGGTCGTGGCCGAGGATCTCGCCGCGGCCTGGATAGGGTCAGCTGACGTGCTAACATTGGAGGGTGGAGGATATACCTGTGACGCTGCCGAAGACACGGAAGGGCACGTCGACATGTCTGACCTGCTGGTCTCGCGCCGAGCCTGGCCGCTGCGTCCCAACAGCTAGATGATAATTTACTTTCATCGCCCTACCTTTATGGGTGGGCGGCAAGCCTCGAGGTAAGGTGAAGCTGTAACTGTAAGACCTGCTCTCTCCTGGCGCAAGCTGCAGATCAACGAACAGGATTGATTGCGGGGTTGATAATAGGGGGATGCTTTTCGAAGTCGCTTTGCTCCTCATCTCTCTGATACTACTCGGCTCACTGCCGCCTATGAGGCCGTTGAGAGACTCGCCAATACCACCCCATCCAAGCGCCCCAAAGAGCCCGCTCTCTCTTTTCGGCCGCTCGACACCTACCACGCCCCCGCCGCCTTGACCTCCGAAGACGCCCTTCCTCTTGATCTCCTCGAAAGGCGCTTGGTTGACAAGAGACCCATCAAGCGTGAAAGATCCCATGACTTGCGCATAGCCCATCATCAACACCTCCGGCGGTCGCTGCGACATAGAAACTCGCGCTTGCGAGCCTTGCCGGAGATGTGCAGGCCGTGGCAGGAGGCGTGCTGTAGGTTGCGGTATGTACTCGGACGCGAGAGTCCCATCGGAGTGATTACTAGCGGTATAGAATTCTCCACTACTTCTCGGCGTGCCGTTCATGCTTGATCCGGAAAGGATCCGGGCGAGGGGCGACAGGTTCTGAGTGCGGTCTGGAGGCTTGTCCGGCGGCCTAGGAGAATGCGATCCTCGGTTAGGGGCTCTCGTTCTGTGATCGGCGGCAGTGGCGGAGGGCTCGTGAGCAGAGGTCTCCGGAGACCGGGGAAATCTAAAGCTTCGAGGGAAAGCATCTGATGACTCCTGCGTGGATTGGGGTATGTTCGGCTTGCTAGATCCTATGGCTTGCCCAGATAGGCGTCGGGCTGAGCGCAGAGGTAGTGTGAATGCTGGCTGTTCTTCGGGGACAGTCGGGGGAGACGACGATGCGACAAGCGGCGAGGGTTGAATTACGGAATGACCATCTGGAGATGCTTTGAGACGTTAGCTGCCAGGCCCGGCTATAAGACTTGGGGAATGTACTGACTTGGGTGAGGGCCGCCCAAACCTCTACCGGGCATGCCGTGGAGACTTGCGGACCGTCCATGACCCCAGGATGGCCTCCGCGTGGGTCCAACCGCTGTTCGCGAAGGACCTGCGTCTCCTGAGCCATCATTTCCAAGTGACACTATAGACAATGATCTCCCATGTTTCTGTCCTGAAGCCGGAGGCCCGCCTGTCACTCCGCTTGATGCCCCTAGGGGATGTCCACTAGTAAAGCTGGGGGGAGTATTCAAGGACAGCGCGGGTCGGTGGCCCCTCGTGTACTGCGTAGTAGCTTGAGAGGTGACTGAAGGAGCTCTCGACGGGGCAGGTCTCGCATTTGGCTGTAGTGGTGCAGCCTTTCTCTGTCGTTCTCCGGCAGGGATGAAGCCATTAGGCTTGGCCCCTCGTGTAAGTGACCGCTCAGTGCCGGGCGCAAGAGCAATGTTCTTGAATGTCACCGTGCATTCAACGTCTTCGCCGGCGAATACGGTGGATTCTTTGAACTTGACGAAGACGCGGATGTTCGTGGACATGGTAGGGTTGGAGCTGGCGGGAGTGCTCCGCAACGGGGTCCGCGACTGAGGGCTAACGCCGTCATCGGATAGGGTGAGGTCGACGAGCAGAACGCATGATAGTGACTTGTCGCCTCACTCGGATTTGGCAGGAAGCTTGGGCGGGTAGGGCAGTTCTTTGGTGCTTTGCGGAGGAGGTCGAAGCTTTCGGCGTTCATGGAGGCATTGTTGCTCTCCCAGCAGAGCAACCTGAACACCATGGTCGGCCGAATGTACTGGTCATGCCTAATCGCAAGTATACTCAAGCTATGTCGTACTTTCCGGTAGCTCGGCCCGTGATACAGGAAGATTACCAGAGGGCATTGCAGTCATCATAGCCTTGCTAGTGATCTAGTTTTCGTCTATCAAAAGCGCATACTCATCAGCGCCCCAACGTTGTTCTCATAAGCCGTCAAAACCTCTATCCATGACCCACGAGACCGTTTACAAGTTCTCAAAGCTGAAAGACGGACTTCCCGGCACCGCCGCACCCGCCTGCAACTTCTCCACCCGCTCTCCCTCCGGTCTATCACCACCAACCACAACTCCACTCTCCCCGCCTTCCTCCACACTGATGATCTCCACAATCCTACACTGCCTACCCAGATTCTGCTTAAGTATCGGCACCATACACCTCAAGACCTCAACTTCATCAAACGCCAGCTTGCGCTCAAACACCGTGCCCGCCCCCTCGCCACCCTCAAGTCTCCTCTTCAAATTCTGCACAAACGGCATCGCCTTCTTCATCTCCTTCTTCTCGATCCTCGGCGTCAGTGCCTTGACATCCACGCTCAACCCGTCGAACGCCTCGCGCACAAGATCAATATACTTATCCTGCCACGCCGGATACTTCCTCGCCATGAAGATGGTCAGCTTCTTCTCCTTCTTCGGGTCGTACGACACGTTCTTGCCCTTGGCGATCTTCTTCTGCTGCTGGCCTTCCGCGGAGTTGATGTTCGAAGAGGTTGCGCGGACGTACTCGCGTGCGGCGTTCAGAGAGGGTGAGGGGTCGGAGACGGAAGGCCAGAGCGCGTTTTGGATCGTCGATGGGTGCTTGAGGACTTCGAGCCAGATTTGCTCGGCCCAGTGCGGCGCGATAGGCGTGAGTAGGAGAGCTTGCAGCTCGATGTAGCGGCGTGTGAGGGAGGAGTGCATGCCGAGGTTCGCGGCTTTGGTGGCTTCGCGGTAGAAGTCGCGGGCTGCCGTGAAGTCGTACTGCAAACGGGTCAGTCGCGTGTCGCACACATTGAGAAATGATTCATGAAGGACGTACAAATCCAGATTTCAAGGCGAGTTTGAAGTCGGTTCTATACACAACTGTAAGCGCAATTCAGCCTGTTGATGTCGGTACATACTTGTCGTAATGTTGCTTCGTCTCCTGAACAAGTGCATTCATTTCGTTCTCAAACATCTGATCCCAGATGGTATCCTTCGGTCCAGTCCGCTGTATCACATCGACGTTCCTGATCCGCTCGTTGAGTTTCTGTTCGTACTGCTCCTGGCTCTCGACCAAGATGGCGTCGTTGACCATCTCCTCGCACCATTTTCTCAGCTCATAGAGTTTCAGAATGCTGCTGTTGGCCACAGTCTCATCGAAGTTCGCATCATCGATCCCGTCGCCGGCATCTGCTAGGGCGATTCGAGTAGCGTCGGCGCCGAACTTCTCCACCGCTTGGCTCAGGGTTAAGAAGTTTCCTGTGCTCTTGCTCATCTTTTGGCCATTCAGTAGCAGATGTCCGTTAGCGCGGATGGCGCGCGGGAGGTACTCCTTGGGCCACAGCGCGACGTGAATGTACAGGAAGAAAGTCAAGTGATTTTGGATGAGATCCTTGCCGGAGACACGGAGATCCGCAGGGTACCAGTATTCGAACGATCGCCTAAGCATTTGCAGTTTCTCTTGTGGCATTGAGGATGGCATCTCATCGCTTCGGGCGAAAATGTAGTCCCAGATCTCATCGGTCATTTCCTCGGGACCGACTTTCGCCTGGCCTTGCTGACGTCCGAAGATGTCGTTGTGCAGTAAGTGAGCCACTGTATAGTACGACATATAGATTGTCGAGTCTGAGAGAGACTCAACAAGGAACTTGGGATCCCACGGAAGCTTTGAGCCTAGGCCGTATGATCTAGCACAGGCCCACTGAGAAAGCCAACCTAGGGTCTGTTCGAATTGATTCTTTGTATCACTCGAAAAAGTATTGAGCTCTCCGTTGAGATGGTCATGTACGGCATCGCACCACTCGCCATCGCCTCCGTTAGCAGTCGTCCCATAGTTCAGATACCACTGATCAAGATGTGCGGCGACGCACTCATCACCAGATCGACTGATAACCAATCCATCTATGTCTGCGAAGACGAACGCATCACCCGAGTCAAGGAGGGCTTCTCTTACGAGCGGCTTCGCCTCCTGGACAGATTTGCCCTTAAAGTCACCATAGATCATGGTTCCTTCGTAGAATCCGGCCTTGTAAGCTAAGTCCTTGGCGAGTGCGAGCTGCGTTGCGTCCTTAGGAGAGTTGATCTTGTGTTCTTTGACCAAGAACGGTGCAGTAAGGTTTCCATAGGAGGGCGTTTCGATGATAGGAATAATCTCAAGCTCTGCCCACTCCTTCTTGATGCCATAGTAGTCTGCCTTCTTAGCCAAGTCGGTGATCGTTGCATAGTCGTCAGGGCTGTCACTGGGCACCGAGGTAACCACACCCGTTCCCTTGGTAGGCTTTACGGATTCCATTGGTAGAATCCTTACACCGTCCTTGTGCACCGACAAAGGCGCGTTCACGAGGGTGCCGACAACATCAGACCCTTGAAGCTCAGCGACTTGCGGAAATTCGCCCCACTTCGGGAAGATGCTCTGGAAAGCCATCTCTCGTGCAGCTCGAGGGCTCAGAAAGAGATACTCCGATCCAGCTTTGAAGATCCCGTAGGTCACTCCCGGCCCAACAAAGACGCATACCTGGCCGTACATCGTCTCAGGTCGTAGTGTCGCTGACACAAAGCTGACCTTTGCATCTGCAGGCAGCGCGTCTGCGAGCTTCTTCCGTGCGGGCTCAGCCCACTCGAGTACTCGCTGCTTTATGGCGACGTACTCTGTTGTGCCGACGCCTTCGCCCGTGCTCCGGTCGTGGTCCATGCAAGCTTGGCCGTCTTTCGGCGAGTACACAGTGAAGCGCTTCCCGAACTTTATCTTGTTCAACTCTTTTAGACGGTTCATTTGCCAGCGTACGAACGCATCGTAGTATGGGTTAGCATCCGTAGTGACAAAGCTGCGCTTCCAAGTGATACGAGCTCCGAAGGAATTGAGGTCGCGTTTGCAAAGTGGTGGGAAGTATTGGAGCCATTTCGCTGGATCTGCGAATTCGTGTATCTCTTCCAAGGGGATTCCAAGGGCCAGCATGATCTGGAACTGGTATTTTGCCTTGTATCCTATGTTAGCATTCCGCTGTCATCGCGGTAGCTTTGCCCTCTTGCCTTGACAGCCTTAGCATTTGCCTTCCCCTTCTTCGCTGTGAATTTTGTAATGTCGGTCTTCGTTTCGTTGGTAGGCGCAGGTGGTTCCTCCACTTCGCCGTCGACACCATCTTCCTGACCATAGCCCTCGAACTTCTCGCCAAACATCTCGATCTCCCGGACCAGCTTGTCGGCGCAAGTCTTGATGGGCATGCCGGTACAGTGGAAGCCGAGGGGGAAGATGGTGCGCTTGCCCTGCATGCGTGCGAAGCCTGCGGCGAACTCGACCTTCCTGGATCATTATCAGCACCTGATCAAGTAACTAGGGAGCTCCTGGTTGGACTCACGAAGCTGTAAAGGCATGACCAGCGTGCCACGGTACGTCAGCGAGCGTGAGGAACCGCGAGAGGTAGCCCACCTACCAAAGTACCGTTCATGTACTTAATCACCAGTCAGTTAAACGTTGTAGACTCCATGAGGGCAGTGACAAACCGGATATGCCATGCTTCCGAGCCATTTGGGATGCTTTGCTCGGAGCTCAGCTGCAGGCATCGAGCCAAAGGGCACTTCTGCTGTCGAGGGAGCTTCCGCATCGAAGACACCTTCGTCCTGCCATTTTTTCTGATATTGCTGCTCCGCCGCTATGAGGGTGTCGCGCTTTTCGGTGTTCTCGATTTTGAGTGTCTTCTGGGAGCTGCTGGTCGGATCGAGCCCGTCGACAAGTGCGGCCATTTTTCTGCGGGTGGTGCTTGCGACGCGTCTATGTGTTTACAGCAGGCTTGAGTCAACTGAGGCTCAGAAATCCGAGCTTCGAGGTGGCAGAATTCGTCCGGCAGCCGCGTGGGGTTCAGAGGCGGTGAGAGGCGAGCTCAGGAAACACGCCGACGTGCCGACTTCGAGCTCCTAAGGGCTCCATCAGCAAGCGCATCACAACCTCCGAAGTACCTCGACTACCGCATCTGAAGGCGCAAACCTGTGTGGAGGGCTGAAAGCGCTCTCCCTGTACCTATGCTACGCACTCTAGCACGTCTAGCCGCCGAGGCGCCGAGGCCCGCTTTCAACATCCACGCGAATCCATACAAAGCGCAGAAGATATGGCCGCCAGACTTCGCCAAGCTCTCGCAGAAGCACCAGTTCAGACTTGAGCGCAGATACAGGAGAAGGGCGAAGCTGAAGTGGGCGCGGCCCCGATGGACAAAGATGGTTAAGCTAGCGCAGTTAGGAAGCGTCATCTGTATGTGGGAAGCGTGCCCGCTGAGGAGCGGCAGTTACTGACAGCCCTGGCAGTCGTGCTAGGTTATGGAATCCTCTTCATGGACTGGGGGAGGGAGGAGACACCGTTCAAAGGGGTATGACTTGGTCCATGTATCGGCTTGATCGACGCTGACCTGGTTAGATACGGGATTGGTATAAAGGAATTGCAGACTCCATCTGGACCAGCAGCACGACGCAGCTTGGACGTCCTGAACCTCGAACGCGGCAACCTGATCTTCGGTCGCCTCCAAGCTCATAGAGCCCGGTATGAGCGTTGCACGACTTGCTCAATCTAACTATGCTCGGGCTCATGCAACATGGTTTCCAAGACCGTCCTGTTCCACAACTGGGACGTGGGGGCAGGAGATTCCATGCATCCCGCTTAGGCGTAAGTCAACCCAGCGAAGGCTTACGTGCCTTCGCACCCTACGAGCAGCAGCTCGGTGAGCTGCGGCAGCGGCTCTCGAGAGCGGAAAATCCTACCTGACGCCGGTCCCAGCTTTTCCGTGGAAAACCTGTAGCTTGCTGTTGGACAATATCACGTGGTACGTGAAAATACTGCGTATGGTATACCACTCCCAAGCGCCTGTTCTGGCTCCTTAATGACCTGCTTGTCCTCTAAATGTCATCCAATCTTCGCATGCGCTTGTCCAGTCCTGACCTGTTATTACGACATTAGCCGGATCCACCATGTCAGCCCTTCCCGGAATATGGCAAGCTAGCTTGTGCCATGCTATGCACCTTTGGCCTGTATTAGGACTGGGAACTGTGCTTCCAACATTCCGCAATCACGTGCCAGTCCAGCGGTATCGAATCCGTATCTTGGGATAGTCTCTGCCGCCGTAGTAATAGTCAGTGCCTGTCCAGAGCTATGTGGATCCGGCGCAGTTAGTGTAGCTATAAGAGAGCGGTGTGAGCGCGTCGAAGGACTGATGGTGTTCTCGGAGCGTGGAAGAGAACCACGGCTGGCAATAGCGCTTCTCGGGATTGTGTAGGCAAGAAGGCGCTACAAGGCCACAATTCACTAGGAACTTCTCCACGAAATATGATTAGCGCTTGTTCATTGGCTGTAGAAGTATTCGAAGCATTTGGAAAGGGCAAGGTTCTCTAGCCGCCGCTTTCGGATTCGATGCTTAACTGTAACTCCAACCCAAAATCTCAACATCTCACAATCCCTTGTGAGTGTTGCCACTGCCTTATCGCCGTGCGCGGCCAGGCAGATAGTGCAGCGACCTTCTCTTCCTCTATCGTCCATTCGAGACACTTCCCAGCCGCAAAAGCTGAGACAGGCAGCTCCACTCTGTCTGAAGATGAGACAGAAGACCATAGAATAGCACTCTGTAGGTACGAAACAGTACTGTACACATTATATGTCCTCGTTCATTCCTCTTCCCATTTCCGTTCTCTCGCGAAGTTTTGGGTTCATACTTCATTCGCTTTCTGTGAATATACCTCCAAATAGCATTCATGCTCTTCAAACTCTCTTTCACTTACTCTCACACCTATCAACACAACCGCGCGACTCTCATTGCACCAAAACCATGGCGCAGTCTTGCACGGTGGAGTTGAAGACTGAAACTTCAGCGGGCCTCGAGTGCTGTCTAAGGATCATCCAGCACGGCGGACGATTGCAGTAACATTGTTTTCTTGCCCGTTCACTCTGGAGCCCCTCTTCTGTTGTACTATGTGGACGATGCCAACAATGGCTTTGTCTGCGCGCACTGTTCGGCAACAAAGACATCGTCCTCGGTTAACTTTCGTTCCCAGCGTAGATACACTCAGCCTCGCGGACTATATAAAATGGACCTCTCCTTCTAGGATTTCTATTCTTCAAAGTCGAAACTTTGTCTACCGAAACCAGAATGTCGAAACCACAACAATCTCAGTCGAACGCAATAAAGCCCTCTACCATACCGGAGCCTAATGGTTTTGGTAAAGACTATGAACGAATTAGCGTCATCGGCAAGGGCGGCGAGGGCCAGGCGATCTTGTGCAGGCATAAGACGTCTTCCCAGGTTGTTGTCGCGAAGTTGGTGAGGCACAGCGCGCTTCGCAAACCCCCACCTGAGGCCGTGATCCTTCGCGACATACGGCGACACGACCACATCGTCGGCTACCTTGGGGCTTTCAACCGAGCACCCATCCCATCGCGAGCGACCATCCTGCTCGAGTACTGCTCGGGTGGTGATCTCCACGATCTTGCCTCGTCGTACAGACGTAGTGGCGTAAGTATTCCCGAACCCTTCCTCTGGCACGTCTTCCGGCAACTAAGCCAAGCTTTAGCGTTCCTCCACAGCGGCAGCGCCACGTCCCATCCGGGTGGGTATCCGCTGATCCACAGGGACATCAAGCCCGAGAACGTGCTGCTCGCGGAGAAGTTCGTGCCCGACTCGCCATACCCATATCCGGCAGTCAAGCTGGCAGACTTCGGACTGGCGGTCCTCTTCCAGCCAGGCAAAAGCAACAAGGATTACAAATTCGATGGCGGGACGCCAGATTGGCAGCCTCCGGAAACGCCTGTCGCCACGCCTGCCGGGGATGTGTGGAGTATTGGTGCTATCGTGCACTTCCTGGCGTTGGGGCGGCCGCCAACTGCCAACCTTCACGAGTTTCGGGCAAAGTTCTCGGATGCCGACGAGCTCGAGAGAATGGATCCGAACTTCTTCTACAGAAACGTGCCAAGGGAGGTGACGCAGATTTGCGCGCTGCCCGGTCGTGAATATTCAGGGAAGTTCGGAGACCATGCGTATTCTCCTGAGCTGAACACTTGGATGCTAGAGGCGCTCGCCGAGGATCCTAAAGAAAGGGTAAAGAGCGCGGACCTTCGTGGCGCTCTCGGAGTTTACCTTGGTTAGATCGTTCCATAGTAGCTTAATGAACATTCACTTCCTGGTGCTTCTCTCTCGCAGCTGAATTGAATAGTGTAACCATGATTGAAAGGAGGGATTCGTACCACTGCGTAACTGATCACCGCCCGAATTGACAAAACGATACGTAGCCGATACAGCGCTACTCCAGAAGCTCGGTGGGACAGCATATGCAGCCCATTGAGGCTCCTTGTATCGATCGAAGGAGCACAATGTCAAGCCATATCTCCTTCCTCTCGCTATCAGTCAAGCGGCTTTAACCTTCGAACTTCGAGGTCGTTGTGTCAATTATTCTTCTCCGTCGTGGGGGACATTATGTAGTCTGAACTGCCACTACCGCTGTTCAGTATCATATCAACACGGATGGATTCAGCCTTGGGAGGCATAGCCTTGAACTTCCTTTCATCTATCTCGTGAAGTTACTCTAGGAAGAGAATCTGATTATCGATTGATAGTGAGGCAAATCTTGCGTTAAGAGCTTGTGCGCGATTCTAGCGACGAAGGGACGCCGATGGAATGGCAGTCTTCGATGCCCGTAGGCATAGCGAGGCCGGTCCTGGGCTCCTGGGCATGACGAAGCCGGTTTTCCATGGCCCTTCTGGCGGAAAATTGGCTTCGTGCGTTCTCCGGCCGGTTTGCAAGACATGAGCTGGGTAAATTAATATGGCTTCGTTCGGGTCTAGCAGGTGGCATATGAGCGCGGAGAGCACGGCAAGGGCTAACGATGATGATGGTGCTGCTGTTCTTCAATTGCACAGTGGGGACAAAGAGCTCGTTACGGATGTCTTGTGGATTGTTATTACCGCTATCCGGTAGCGTATAAACACTAGAGTGTCCCGCTGTAGAGCGCGTGGCGTGTATCATCTTATTCACCTCACAAAGTCCTCCAACTATCATGTTCGTTAGTGTAGGGAATCCAAAGGCCCAAAATTCCAAGATTCCGTGCCCGGGCAGCAATATTAAATTCATTACCATCCCACCTGAACTCCTCGCTAAATCGATCTCAATACACATAAATAGACCGAATGGCAAAGTCATCATAGAATCAACCATCCAGCGAGAGCAGCGGCAAAGAGGGCCGCCAGAGTCGGCAGCCGCAGCCCATTAGCACCGCTCCCACTCGCCGTAGGGGCTGGCGCTGGCTCGGTCGCGCTAGCAACCTCCGTAGACGTCTGTGTAGTGGTCTCGACTGAGCTCTCAGAGCTCGAACTTTGAGTTTGCGAAGCCGAAGAGGTAGTAGTCGTTGTGATCGTTTGAAGCGTCGATGCAGTCCCGCTGACTGTTGACGTCTCTGTAGACGTCTCGACTGGGCCCACAGCGGTAGAACCCGACTCTTGCGATACTGAGGCAGCAGTTGTAGTCACAGTCTGGAGGGTTGATGCAGGCTCGGTTGAAGCAAACCCGCCAGTCGCCGACGCCAAAACGCTCGAGGCCGAGGATTCGGCGCTGGCTATGACTGAGGAGATGCTCGAGAGGACGGCGGACGCCTCACTGCTAGCGGACGCGGCGATACTGGATGCCTCGCTCAGAACGGAAGACGAGACGGACGTGATGAAGCCTGATGCTGTGGAGAGGACGCTAGAGGCGTCACTGGGGACAGAAGTTGTGATTCCGCCAATAATGGTGGTTCCAGCCACGGAACTGGCGATTGAGGACGCCTCACTGGCGATGGAGGAGGCTGCTGAGCTAATGGCGCTGGACGCTGCGCCAGGCGCTGTAGAAGCCTGGCTCGCGATTGAGGAAGCGGCTGATGAGGCTGCATTTTCGGCTGAAGAGAGGATGCTGCTGTAGGCTGAGCTGAGAGTGGACTGCGCGCCTGTGGGAAGGGGAACAGGGACAACGATTGGCGGGTAGGTGGCCAAGGCGGAGCTTAAGACGGAGAGTGCGTTTGTCGTGCTCTCTGGTACAGAGATAGTTTCGAGGGCGGAGCTAAAGACGGATAGAGCGTTCAAAGATGTGGATGAGGGCCCTGGCGTAGGGGCCGGAATAGGGACCACCACGGCCGTGGTAGACTCTTGAGCCGATGAGCTTTCCGGGGTTGGAACGGGGACAGGAACTACTGCGATTGTTGTTGACTCCTGAGGGCTGCTCAGAGCAGAGGAAAGGGTTGATGCTGGGGAAGCGGTAGTCGTCAAAGTAGTAGTCGTCGCTGTTAAATCGCTCGACGCCGGAGACACGCTCGCTGCAGGGGTCGCCGAAGCCGGGCAGCCAGGAGCATCTCCTGTGCATGATGTGATTGTCTGAACCACGGTCGCGGTCGACGTCTCGGTTGGGACGGGTACTAGGACGGGGATGTAGGAGGTGGTAAGAGTAACGCCTTTGCTCACGTCAGTTTGTCTGCTTGTAGTTCAAGCGGGAGGAATTACATACCAGATGCTGCGGTCGAGAAGTAGTTGTATGCGGCCGATTCGAGGGAATCGATTACCGAAGCGGCACTCGATAGGACCCCAGATACCACAAGGGGAGCAGGAATCACGGTCAAAGGCGCACTCGGAGCGGCTGTGCCAGGGAAGGTTGGTAGTACGATGGATGTTATGTAGCCATTGAGCGTGATAGGGACTATCACGCTTGCAGACTCTGATTGTGCAAAAGCTAGGACAGGTAAGGCCGCCAAGGCAAACTGTATCGAGGAGATCATAACGGATCAATTAGCGAAGGTTTGCGAGACTGGGAGGATCGCACAGGACGATTCTTGGGATGAGGGGCAGATTCTGCAACGAAAGACAGATGGCGAAGAGAGGCCATGGTTGGAATGCAAAGATCTTTTGTAGCTGTAGCTGAAATCAAGGTGGCGATGATGTGTGGTGGTTGGAGCTCTGGAGAGGCTGGCAGGCTGGGCTATCGTGGCCGGGCGGCGGTAAACAGGATGATCTCACCGACCCTGATGCTTCAGAAGCGGCGCCCAAGGATTGTCAAGCTCCACCGGCTTGCCAAAGCCCTGAGGACTGCCCCGAGGACTGCCCCGGGGACTGCCCCTCTCTTCGGCTCCCATCGTCATAGGGCAATATATTGCTGCATCCTCTTGCTGTACGCGATGCTGATCCCTCGCGATGCACGTTGGAGGCGGCGAAGGCGGAACCGGAGGGCGGGCTGCAAGCGAGCTTGGCATTCGTGTGGCGGGGGAAATCGACCAACCAGCCACCCTGCCACTCGCCGCCCGTCAAACCGTCCGCCCGTCTTCATCACCTGCAGCATCAAGAGCTGCAGGGAGTCTTGCAAGTTTTTGCGACGGTGGCTCAGGTGGATGGGATGGAGCGGCTTCGCGCTCTCCCGGCGTTCCTCCAAGCTCTCGCCCCAGGCACGCTTCCGCCGATCCCTCGTTTCAGCCGTCCGGCCAAGCTGCGTCCTGGTGGTCGAGAGCCCTCAGGAACCTTCATGATAGCTACCATGAGACATGACGTGGTGGCAATGTTCGTTCAAGTCCATGGATGATGCTCGAGCCATCGGGCACCAGTCGAGCTCCTCACCCATACTCCAAAAGATCCGCGGTAGAGTTCCTAGGAACCACCATGGTGCGACTCTAGTTCCGCACTCGTGCAGCTTCGGTGGGTACGAGTAGGTGTTTACTATTTTGAGAACGTTATCAGGGATCAATGGTTGCAGCCGGTGGAGCATCCGGAGTGTTCGCCATTTGGTCCCTTCATCTAAACTACAGCGTGACCACCATATCTCAACATCATCATCGGGGTAACATCAAAGCCGTGAATTTCAGTGTATCCCATTATCGGACTTCGAATGACGAAGGAGCCCGCGGCGAAGCCATCTCTATAATACCCCTGCTCCATATCCATGCTCGTATCTTCTTCGACACGGTGAAGCATGGCTTGGGTCTCTTCTCTGAGCCTTCAAGACGGGGATGAGCGGGGGCCGCTCCACGACGAACTACCTGACTCTACGCACACCGACTGGAAGGGATAACTGCAGCGATGTAAAGCTTCCATGAGAAGAAGGCTGCCAGAACCAGCACATGTCTCTTAGAGAACACCCCAAAGAAACAGCAAGCGTGAAGCATCACCACCAGGTAACAAAGGTCCAACAACTTCCTCGGCTCCCGGAAGCACAAGATGTAAAGCCAGAAAACCACCGCGAGCGTCATCGTTACGCGTGATACAGCTTCACAAGCCCATTCTTACAGACACAATGAACCCAAAAACTCAGTTGAACCCCTACCTTTCCTACACCGGCAGAGTCCTCCGTTACCAATGCCTCGCCTCCCTAATGATATTGACTGTCATCCGAATGGGACTGACAACAGAAGTCGCAGACCACAAAGCCGCATTTTCTTACGACAGAGTCAACACTGACGCCTTCCGTGACTCCCAAGCCGTTACTTTTGTTGAAGAGCTCTTCGAAGACAACGCGTCCTACCTGATTTTAGCATAGGAGACGATATCCGTTACGCTATCCGCATTCCTGTCGATATCAAGCGCCAGTTTAAGCTGGCGGTGGAAAGGGGATTTCTCCGTTCTTGGACGGTATAGAAGCGAGGGATCGAGATGCACAGGAACGTGTACGGGACTATTCGGGCTTGGGTCGAGGATGCGAGACGGGTGAACGAGCAAAGGGAGTGGAGTTGATATGACCGGCGGAGGACTGGCCAAGGGAATCACTGGAGGCACTGACCCAGCGAGCTGAGAGTTGAGCACAGTACGATGATTCAATCACGTGGTAGATCTAACACAAAGTGACACTCACACCATCGAAGCTGATGGGTATGGAAAGCATCATACCACTGGGGTACTATCCGTATTGCTAGCGCTCTTACTCTAGCAGTTCAGAAGATGTGTGCAGTAAGATTAGTGTACTGGCCGCCCTCCCGTTGCGGATTCACGGATAAAGTACGGTGCGTCGTCTCCCACGAGCTGCCGAGTCCAGTCCTGTCGTGCTGCGCTCAGGTTTGCTGATGCTAGTACTGTGTGGCGATTGTGCACATGCGCGAAGCCGAGTGAAGCTCGATATGAATGGCGAAGATTCCGTCAGCACGATAGTGTCAGACAGCTCCGGGATATGGACCAGTCTGTACTGTAGTGACATGAGACTAATACGTCTTCCAGTGCCCCTGATACATAATCCATTAGTGAAGTCCCGCAGTAGTGGTCGGAAAAGTGCTTGAATTGAGTGTCGAGATCAGACAGCAGTTGGAACAATTTGGTGTCCACATGAGATTTCAGAACAGGTCTGTGAATAATTGGCTTATCATCATAAGATGGAGGATGAACGGGAAAACTCGGACTGACTCACTCTGTGAGTCCTTTCAGCCGTTGTCAGACCTGAACGGCGTGTGAGACTTAATGCGTGTGGACTCTTTATTACCACCGATGGAGTCAAATTTCCTTTTCTTGAAGAACGATGTGATGGTCGTTTGGCTTTCGTCATGCTGGACACTCCCGAGACCACCGCGCGCACGCTTGAAGCCTATCAAATGCTCCTTGCCGTTGACAGTTTTAATTGTAGCGGACCATCCGGCTAGGGTGACTGGCTTTGCCATTTGCGTCTTTGATACCATCCCGTCGGCTGATTGACTGTCTTTTGTCTGTGAATCAGGCTTCCTTATGGCGGTAGGATTATAAGGTGCATTGCATATTGATACACCAGAGGTCGGCAACAGGGGAATTGGTATAGTTATGTGCTCTTCGACAGCCTCTTCGACGGATGCTGGGGTAGCTCTTGCAACCGTTTTTGAAAAATGCACAAGGAGATAGCCGGTATTCGACCACCCACCGAGGTGTTCAAGTGCGACAGTCCTCTGCTTTGCCAGCAGCTCAGGGTCAAGCTTCGCGCTGTTTCTGGGGAGCCGTAAGAGTAACCGCCGCCAGAGTACGGAGAGTATGATGCCATGAGATACAATGGCTATAACCGATTCGGAGCCGGAGATATCCGTGTTGAAAACTGGCAGCAGATGCTCATCTAAGAAGTTATCCATGCGCTCGGCCATTGACTCCTTCGACTCCTCATCCTCAACCCCCGGATCAGCCCGGTGTGCACCGTGATACGCCTGGTTTCCAGACTTGTTTGCATCGCGTGATCGGGTGTGAAAAGCTCTGCCCTCGTAGAAGCCGAAGTCTCTCTCAACAAGTACAGGAAGACGGACAACTTCGGGCTGAGACTGGTCGGCGTTAGGTAGGCCGGAGCATGCTTGCGCTGCTCGGACGAGCTCTGCAGTCTTGAAGGCTCGTTGCAAGGTCGATGAGAATATGTGGGTGAGGGCTACGCCTTCAGCATTGAGGTAGCGTCCAAGGCGGTTGGCCTGTTCGATCCCATGGTTGGTCAACTGGGAGTCTTTGCGACCTGCACTGAGACAGTTAGCTTCGCAGTTCAGGTGGAGAGCTGAGTCGTACTATACTCTTGCAACGTTATCGACGGTCTCTCCGTGCCGGATGAGGAAGAGTGTCAACATAAGGGAGAGTGCCGTATCGTTGTTATTGTTGTGGTCAGGCAGGGGTGGGTTGTGCGAACCCGGCGCGCCGAAAGCTCCGCGTACTGTACTGTCGCTTGCAAAAAGTGCGGCCGTTTGGAAATGAACTTCTCCTTGTGGAGTAACGTTCCGGTCGGGAACGTTACTGCTCGATAAAAACGAGAAATCTGACAGGATTTATCGCTGTCTACCCGTAGATCTCGTATTTATCGTGATAAGCTAACCTTAACCACTAATATTACGAGAACCAACTCGACGCGTGACTAACCCTAACCCCTAACCAAGATATATACTACTAACTCTTTCCTAATTGCCTATACCGGGGCTGAAGCCCCTAGGCTTCCCTAACCCTAATCGTCTCCCTTTATGGATATATTAGGGTAATAGGTTAAGAATATTGTTACACGTGACCGTGAAACGTTACCCTGCCCCCCGGTAAAACGTTACTTTTCGCGAAAGAAGCGCTTCTTCATCCACCCCCTCCCTCTCGATTGTCAAAAACCAAAATCACGTTTTATACAACAATCTAACGCTTAGAATATAGCTCAATATTATTAAAAGATTCAGCACAGCCTCAGCTATTTAATAGCTAAAAACTAAGAAGAATAGCAGCGCTATATAGCTAATAATCTACTAAAATATATAGTTTCGTGGTGCACTTAACTTTCTTCGAAAGCTCGGACACATGCGCGGTTTTTGTAATATTTAAAGCTTTCCTACCGCATATCCCTTAAAATATACCTAGATAAACACTAATATAGATAGATACAGCCGTAAGGAAGGTATTTAAAAGTATTTAACTAAGGTAAAAGCATTGCGCGTGCTCTGTAGAATAATAAGCCTTAGAGGGGGGGGTGGATGAAGTTCATTTCCAAACGGCCGCACTTTTTGCAAGCGACAGTATGCCAAGTCACTCCTCAACTTGGATATCAAAAATCGCCAGACTCCCAAATCACGGCACCGCGTTCACCATTGCTACACAGCTCCACTACAAACAAGAAGGCACTCAGTTGTGAAACTCGCGTAAACGTGAGACGCTAGGAGGGGTATGAATTTATCGTAAGTAGGATTGAAGGCTAGAAGCCTATAGTAATGGTCGGGGTGGACACAATGATGGATTTGCGGCTTGACGATTTTGGTGTCCGATGGGTTTGTCATTCTGGTGAGGATGAAACTAAGGAACGCCCCCATAACGTATCGATGTTGATACTCGATGCCATATCGGTCCAATCTGTGGCATTGCATGTCCTCTCCACATGATTCTCCACCCTGCTCCATTCAGGTTTGCGCAAACCTGGAAGTATTTAGGCTGGCAGTGACAGAAGACTCCGCCGGATACCTTCCAGTTAAACGTATCAGTCCTCCAACTCATTTCCGCTCGTCTTGACCGTACTCTCTTACTTCCCTTGTTCGTGTAGCTTTTCATCGTCTTCCATTGATCTGTACGTCAAGTTTGTCGTAGATTGTCGCACTACAGAGCCTGCAGCCAGCCATCGTGGGACACGTGTCAGGTGTTACTGTATCCCGGGTCTCTGCTGCAGTGCTTGAGGTGGGACGGACTCAAAGTCCACAAAGCGCTTGAAGCATTGTTGGCTCTTATACGTCCAGCCCAAAGTGTTCAGAGTATCCGCTGACCACTCTACTCCATCCACCATCCCGGGCCTAGTCTGTGGCTTGCACCAGCCGACAACCATGCACAACGGGAAGACTCCGAGAAAGCTTGTGTTGTCGACTAAGGCAACTGAAGCGGGGCACGCTTCTAGCTCCAAGCTTCCATTGTACCTCTACATCTGAATATCCTGCCCTCAGCGAAACTGTGCCACTCAGACCGGTCCAGTCTCTACGACTTCAGCGCACAAACATATTTCCACTAGATCGACACGTACCAGCGAGAATCCACAATATGTCGTCGAACACCGATTCAGCCCGTCGAACCGCGGAGGCGCGAGCCGCAGTCACAGCATCTCTCTCCTCCGTTGGAAGCTCCGTAGATGCCGGACTACGAGCACGCGCCAAAGACCTCCATGCAAACGAAGCGGCAATCCTCAAACAAGAGAAGGAGCTTGCGGAGCAAACCGCCGCATTGAAGAAGGAAGCCGCGCAATGGCAGAAGCTGGCGGATACAAGCACAAAGCAGCTCAATCAGATTGGCGATATCCAGAACTGGGCCGAGATGATTGAGCGCGATTTGCTGGTCGTTGAAGAAACGTTAAGGCTTGCGGAGGGTAAACCCGCGGCGGAAAATGCCAGCGGAACGAACGGGTGGGCTCGGTGAACTGGCTCACCTGTTGTGTGGCATCTGTGGATGCATGAGGATGGCTCTTCCTGGACCCTTGTGCATGGGCTGTACGATTCGATTACGGATCTCTCTAGGTCACCGTGATGCAGCTTCCTGCTGAGCCGAGAGCGCTCATGCAGCTGGAGGGACCTGTTGGTGGATCATCGCTGTAGATGTCTTTATGAATATGGATTCGCGTATGGAACCCTATGTGTTTACTTCTGCAGGGCTAAGGTTTAGCGTGCCTGTAATCCGCTCAGATCACTTTCCGATGAAGCTGCTATCTTGACCTAGCCCTGTAACGTATGAGTGAAGACCGCTCTCTGTGTCTGCCCAGGCTCAATCTGTACGTGCGCCGCTTAAGAAGGCAAGGAACATCATTCTGTAGCCTGCGTAAATGGCCATCCGGTGAAGCTCAAGTTGATCCATAGGGCTGAAGCCGGTTGAAGCTCGGGCCTTCACGAACGTTGCTGCATTTGCTCGCAGCTTCCTCGAAGCTCCGGAAAGCTATCTACCAAACCTTTTCTACAGACCACCTCACCGGCGCAACTCTGCTTTGATAACCCGGTTGGCGACGTCTTCTTGTTTTCTACCGTTGTTTGCAGCAAGAGGAAAGCGACCTGCACCGCTCTGCCTTCTGCAAGCCGCAAGCTACACGCACCATCTTTTCGAACTTCTTAACGGCCTCCCACCTGCTCCGGTTTCTACAGGCCTCCAAGAACCCCAGCACTTTCGCCGAACCTTCCACGAATCCATTGCTCTACGCTGAGCCAGGTTTCAATCATATCTATCATCGCCGGAAGGATCCAGTGCACGATACTACGCGCTCAACAAACACCATCTCGGCGGACGGCGGACAGCATCCGGGAACATTTAGAGGGGACGAGGAGAACCCTTCACCAGCTCTGAACCGCAAGAGCATCTTCTCCTTCAAGTGTCCAGAAGCACGAGCCAATATTGGAGGTGATTAGGGTGGGGAAGGGCAACCTTCCGGACAGCAGTGAGCAGTATGGGGAGGATCAAGAAATCGGCCGCGCCTAAACACGGCGCAACACTGTCGCCGTATGTGGCCGACTTCATAGAGAAGACGACCCGGTCGGTACCGCTGCACGAATTGCCCGCACACCTAGCTTCCTTTCCTCGACACTGGCCCTTTCCGAGGGGCGACCTATACCACTGGATTCCGGTCCTGAACCGATTCGACAGCATCTTGGAGCATTTCGTTCAAGAATACGGCTTGTCTGAACCTCAAACACAACCTTTCGAGAGGCGATTACTCCTCAAAGGCGATGAAGAACAACCATCGGCAGTCCCTCCGAGTGAGGAGCTACTGGACAACCTTGGGCTCTCAGGAGAAGGTGACCGCGAGCTTATTGAAGCAGTTCTTTCCTTTACGCGCCTACTCCTGGAGAACTGCGGAAATCGAAGCTTGTACTCAAGCAGTAGCCATCTCAATAGCTTGCTTCATACCACCTCGCTTTCCCTGCTGAAAAACACGCTGCGGCTTAGTCTTCGCCTTGCTCAACGTTACCATGCTTCCCGAATACGAGCTGCTGCTGTTGCTATGCAGCCCTCGTATCTTGCAAGCCATTACGACCTCAACCTTGACAGGGTACTTAAGCTTGCTCAGCCGTTTGTACGCGGTCCTGCCTCTACCTCCACCTTCGCCTCGCTGAGCACCAAAGGCAAGGGTAGTGTGGGTGCTGAAAGCGGCACTCCGACCACGAGCCCCACTCCTTCTGATCTGGTGTCAATTGTCAAAACGGATTCCTCAGCCGCTTCACATTGGGAAGATTTTGGCAACATCCATTTCACATATTACGATGCCTCAGACGCAGCTCCTGAGACTGCAAGCAAGCACACTACTCAAGATGCGCCCAGTTCTGCGTCACCAGGAACTCCTACACCGTTGCGCCGCACGACTAGCCTGGGCCCACATCAGACACCACGTCAAAACCGCCCCTCAGCCATGGGCGAATCTCCCAGCACGAAAGGCATCTCGCCTGGTCAACCCTCAACTGACAACCGGCCCTCTGGTCCCAAAGCGCTTCAAATCCCCCCACCGAGGCTGTTGTCCGAACCACCTCATGAAATCCTGAGTTCGCTGATCCCGGAGGTGCCACCTAGTATGCGCTTTGAGTTACTCCAGAGGATTCGTGTCGCACACGCCATAGTCTCTTCACAAGCCACTCGTCAAGACATTGTTGCCATCCGATTGCTTGCAATAGCAAACCTGGCTTATGTCTATCCTGCGCCGACTTTCCAAGCAGAGATTGCACAGCAGGATTCGGATGAACCCCGGCGTCTGCAGCTCACTTACCAGCTTTCCGAGCTCGTCCATCCACCGGCTCACAGCGGACCGAGTGTGCCTAGAGAACTCCAGACGCTGGCTCTTGAGACTTTGGAAGCGTTGACGAAGCATAAGGAAAAGGCTGTGGACGTATCGACTGCGCTCAGCGTCAATGTCAACCATGGCGTACTTTTCTACGTCGTCCGCAAAGCTGTAGCGGAATTGAGCACGGATGAAAGTTCTCAGGATCGCGCTGAAGAAGATGAGTGGCGGGAGGCTCTGTTTTCGCTGCTGAACAGTCTTCCGGGATCACAAGCTCGTCTCGGCGAGTCCATGGTTTCAGCAGGTCTGTTAGAGATACTAGTTGAAGTACTGACCTTGCGCACACACAAGGCGGAGCGGACCCACCCGAAGGTGCTGAACTTCCTGGACATGTTTGTCTACAATCTCAGGGACGCCTTCCAGGCACTCGTCAATGCAAAGGGGCTGGACATCATAGCGGACCTCACCGCTTACGATGTCGAGACCTCTTACTCGGAAGCTGAAAAGGGGCATGGGCTACCACCAGAGTACAAGACGCAAATGACCGACTACAAGATCCCCTTCTACAAGCAGCAAACTCTCCGACTGTTGTTCAAATTTATGAACCATATGATTACACACGCGAGTGGGAACAGCGACCGCGCAATTCGTAATCTCATTGACAGTCCACAGCTATTGCGCAGCCTTCGCACGGTTCTTGGCAACGCTCCTGTGTATGGCTCGACCGTTTGGAGCATGACGGTCAGCATATTGAGTAATTTCATCCATCAGGAACCGACAAGCTACAACATAATCGCGGAAGCCGGCCTTAGCAAGGAATTCCTCGAAGCCGTCACAGGAAAACCGATTTCGGACGATCGGCCCTTGCCCACGGCGTCAGAAGGGCAGGGTCCGTCGGAATCCCAACAGCAGCAGACAGAGCCCGCCGCTCATCTTGAAGCGACTGTCGAAACTTTTCTTGACTTGCCGGCGGTTCTCGCGCCTCGAGCTGAGCCGCCAGCTCAAAGCATTCTCCCTGTTGCGGAGGCTATCACTACGATACCGCAGACGTTCGGCGCAATATGTTTGAACGAGTCTGGGATGAAACTTTTCAGAAGGTCTGGCGCCATGGAAGGCTTTCTGGAAGTTTTCGAAAGCCCAGAGCATGTCAAGGTCTTGGAAGCCGATGCAGAAGCAGCGACCGCTATCGGCGGTGCCTTTGACGAACTGGCCAGACACCATCCTCGTTTAAGACCAGCCATCGTCAAGGCCGTGAGCAAGACGGTGGTTCGGGTCGTCCAGCTCTGTTTCTCCCAGGCAGCGCATCATGGTGCAGGATCCAAGCTTTGGGTCGACGCCGGTGAAGGGCGCCTCAAGGTGGTTGGCGGACGACGAGCTGTCCTTGGTGAAGAGGGTCAGAAGCACAAGCAAGCTCGCCTCAGGCAGGAACAACGTCGGGCCAGCGCAGGCGCGGATGTTGTCATGCAGGATGTGAATGCAAGGCCCTGGACCGAAGAATTTCTAAGCCGCGATGTCTTTAGCGACGAGATTGAAGAGGCAACGGACAGCAAAGATGCATCGATTACGACCAAGTACGTTGCTGTCCTAGCCAGGTTCTTGACTGGACTGTTCAACAACAACAACATTTGCGCTGAGTTTGCGAGCGGCGGCGCGCTTGAGTACGCACTGGACTTGACCACTCTGCCAAGTCTGCCCTACAACTTTGGGGACGACGTCGGTACCAGCGACGAAGTAGGTCGTGTAATTCAGTTCTTGGTCGATGCCAAACCCCATTTAGCCCTACCTCCACTCCTCAAGCGTGCACTGCGCGCAGTGGCTACCCTGGAACCTTTCCTCGAACACGAAGAGCCGTCCGCGTTCTTCTCCGCCTTCACCACCCCTTCTGACGATCAAGATTCCCGCACGGGCAGCAGCAGAGCAGATGTTCTCTGCAACGGAACGAGATATGTGAAGGCTCTCGTGAATCTTCACACAGTTTGCAACGCCCTCACTATGGCGATGGGGGTACCTTTCCATGCACACCGCTCAGCACCGACCGTGTTCCAGCAAGTGAACGTAGCGGACATGTACAGTCTCCTCGTAGACGGACTCGGTAGGTTGCAGAGAAGCTGTGTTTGGGAAGAAATACTCTTGCAGAGGCATATGCCCAAGGCCTGGGAGCCGGAGACCCGCGTTTCTGGAGCAAGCTTTGGGGGCGAGGAGGCAGATGACGTGCTGCACATCCAGCACAACAACAGCAACGTCACCATGAACACGAGCGAGAGCAATGGGCAGGGGTCGCCGACGGAGCCTTCGGAGGAACAGGATCGTGCTGCAGTGCAGTCCAAACTCGACGAAGAAAAGAAAACAGCTCAGTTTAAGAACACGAAGACCCTGCGGTATCTTCTAAGTCAGGTGCCCATCGTCATCACGAATTTCTTCCAAGGCTTGGGGAAGGTGCTATTGTCCCGGCGAGGATCTCAGGACTCCTACATGAGGCAAAACGCACAAATAGTTGCGGATGAGCTTGCACTATCTGCGATCAACCAGCTGAAATTCGAACTGCCAAATACCGCCGGCAACATTGATGACAAGTACGCATACCAGGTCATCATTTTGACATCAACCTTACAGATTATGTTGGACACAGATCTGATGGACCGCGCATACCCGCAGACCTTGACGTTGGTGCTGCAATCATTTAAAGACCGCAACGGTTTCGAAGCCTTAGCCGACATTCTGGGAAACCTCATCGAGACACTCGAACCGGGTGATAATGCTGAGAATGGAGATACGCCCGAACGTAGACACGTGCGAACGCATCTCGTGCTGGGAGGAATAAAGGTCATCCTGGAGTTTTACTCTCAGGTCATCAGCTCGAAGAACGTCTCCGAAGCACCTCAGACACAGTACTTGTCTAGAAACGTTCCTGATCGCGGGCGCGCAGAGTTCTTCTCAGCCAGCCAATTTCTAGTGGAGATCCGAGCAAAGGTTGTAAAGCAAGTGCAGCGACTCTGGACGTCAAACTTGATAGACAAGGCCACTACATCAGTGGTGAAGCACCTAGTCGAGATACTCAAGATAGTATTGGAAGGCGATGCAGAGAACGGTGCCTTGAGGCGAGCCGAAGAGAATGTTGCACGCAAGCCCATGGAACTGAAGCCCTGGAAATCACGAAACCCTGATACACTTGTACGACTAAAGGCTAAGGGCTTTGATGAGGAGCTTGCGCTGGAAGCCCTCTTTCGCTGTTACGACAATCACCATGCAGCAGAGGAGTATTGCAACGCGCAAAAGCTTGATTCACGTGCTTCGAGGAACCCTGTGCCGGCCACCATGATTGAACGACCTTCAAAGCCTCAAGAGGCTCAAATTCAGACCGGCCAGAGCGCCGAGGGTGCTCAACAACAGAATGTATCGGGTGGAATAGAAGGACCTGATGAGAGCAATCAAACTCCATCAAGTGCCATGCAGGATGTCGAAACGGCAGGTCCAGCTGATCCATTCGGCCTTGATGACGATCCTTTTACCGGATTACCCTGGGAGGAAACTCACTCTTTTGGACAGCCAACACCAGCTGCGCCGAGTGGCGATGGCTCGGCAGACGGGTCCGCGAACGTTGTGACCCTCGAGGATCTGGATGAGGATCGATCGAACCTGAGAGCCACTTTGATTGATCGGTCGTTGGACATTCTCACCGTCCATGATGATGTCACGTTTGAACTGTCTGAGCTGATCTTTGCCGCTGTGCCGAAAGGCAATGAGGCGGCCGCTAGCGCCATGCGTGGAGAGATTGGGTCTACACTACTCAACTCGCTCATCTCCTTGCAGACGGATGAGGTTCTGGGTTCTGAGGGTAAGAAAATTGCAGCATACGCGCATTTACTTGCCCTTATCCTGCAGGACAGGCGGTTCTATGAAGCTACCTTGGACGAGCTTAAGGACAACTTCGAGAACCTGTTGTCATTCATCAAGATGCCTCATGAGCAACGGTCTGAGGATACCCCTCAATGGATCGGGCAAGTCCTGCTCATATTGGAACGTCTCCTTGCCGAAGATGCTCAGCCAAACAAGATCGACTGGACGCCTAGTGAAGAGAACCCACAACCCGGCACTCCGATAGCCGAACTGCCGGAGCCTCTTGTGTCATTAGAACAGAAGATGCAGCTCTTCTCTGTCTTACTGGAGATCACACCACGTATAGGGAAGGACCAGTCACTCGCTCTTTCAGTCATCCGAGTTTTCGTGATTCTAACACGAAATCGCCAGATAGCTACACAACTGGCGGAAAAGCGCAACATCCAGAGGCTGTTCTTGATGGTAAAGCAACTAGCCGGCTCAATGGGCGAGAGGATACAAAGCTCCTTCATGATCGTCCTACGACACATAATAGAGGACGACGAGACTATCCGCCAGATAATGCGGAGCGAAATCCAGGCAATGTTCAGGAACAGGAATGCACGCCAAACAGACACGACTGCGTACGTAAGGCAGACGTATCATCTTGCTCTGCGCGCACCCGAGATCTTCGTGAAGGTTACTAACGAGACCCTGATGTTCGCGCGGTATGACTCTCGCGGAGGCGGGGGTCCTCAGATCCTGGCACTAAAGAAAGAGGACAAGCCTGTAGCTGAAAGGTCCGATGCCCAAGGCAAGGACGCAGGACCAGCGGCATCTTCTGCAGAGCAAGTCACGACAGAGCAAGTTCAGCCATCGACGGAGCAGGTTGATAACGACGAGGCAGAGAAGTTGAAAGCTCAAGAACTCAAATATCCAGTCGTGGAGAACCCTGACGGCGTGATCCACTATCTGCTCTGCGAACTTCTTACCTACAAAGATGTGGAAGATAAAGAGCAGTCTGCTGCACCAAAAGAGCCTCATATCGAGTCGGAGGAGACTACGCCCGTGGACATCGAGATGACTGATGAGGACATGAGATCTGCCTCGGCGACCCCGGTGCCTACCGCTCCTCTGTCAGCCAAGAAGTCCGAAAGGCCAGACTTCAAGGCTGACCAACACCCTATCTTTGTCTACCGCTGTTTCATTCTTCAATGCCTCACAGAGCTACTTTCTTGCTACAATCGAACGAAGATTGAGTTCATCAACTTCTCCAGAAAGGCTGATCCGCACGTCATGACACCTTCCAAGCCCCGTTCTGGAATCTTGAATTACTTCCTTAATGCCTTGATTCCAGTCGGCACACTCGGCCACCCCGAAGATATCACGTCTCGGAAGAAGTCTTCGACATCAAACTGGGCAATATCCGTGCTTGTGTCCCTATGCGAACGAACTTCCGAGGCAGGCGTTCCGGATGTTCGGACTTCTGGAGACACTGAAGACGAGCCAGAGCTGGCGTATGTCCGCCGGTTTGTCCTGGAACATGCCTTGAAAGCCTTCAGAGACGCCAGTACATCGTCTGAACCCCAGGACATGAAGTATTCCCGTTTGCTCAACTTGGCTGATATGTTTCACCGAATGTTGACCAACAGAAACAACTCCGGGCACCAACCTACTCAGGATGCCTTCACTGCGTCGCAGAAGCACTTGGCGAAGATGATGTATGACAAGAACTTCATCACTACTCTGACGTTGTCCATCGCAGATATTGACCTGAACTTCCCTGGTGCCAAGCGCGCTGTGAAGTACATCTTGCGCCCGCTGAAGCTTCTTACCAAGGCGGCATACGAGCTGAGTCTAAGCGGTGATATCTCCTCCTCGCCCGGACAAACCACGGAAGATGACGAGATCTCGACTGCTACATCGGTGACAGACGATACGGATGATGTTCGGGAAGAAACACCCGACCTTTTCCGCAACTCTGCGCTGGGCATGCTCGAGCCTGGTCGAGAAGAGGAGTCTGACTCGACCTCCGACGATGACGACGACGAGGACATGTACGAAGAGGACTACGGAGAAGAGATGGAATACGAGGAAGAGATAGGCCATGATAATGGAGAGGTTGTAAGTGACGAGGATGAAGAGATCGAAGCTATGGGCGACATCGAAGGCCTCCCTGGTGACGTGGACATGACTCTTGAGATCGGCATAGACGACGAGGAGATCGATGGCATGTCGGAGGAAGACGATGAAGATGATGACGAAGACGAAGACGATGGCATCGAGGTCATGGAAGAAGTAACAGGCGACGATGAGGGTGGGAGTCCAGCAGAAGGGGACGACGACGACTGGGCCAGCGAAGAGGAGGAAGAAGAGGACTACCCAGGCCAAGACGAGATTGAGGACGATCAAGTGCTTCCTCCTCCTTTACCCCACATTGTCGATGTTATTCAAGGCAACCGAGATATCCCACAAATACTGGAGCAACTGGAGCAGTTCACACAGGATGATGTTGAGATCGAGCGGGAAGGATACATGGATGATGAGATGGCCGAAGAGGACGGTAAGAACACCGTGATAGCACGCGCCTTCACAACGTTGTTTGCTGACACACTTCCTAGACGACGAAGACGACGAGGAAGAGTACGACGATGAGGAGATCATATATGAACCAGACTATGACGAAGGTCTGCAGGCGGACCATTTGTCTCTCAACCAACTGCGACATCTGCTGACAGTTCTCACAGATGAAGAGGGTGCTGTTTGGGCACGTGCTATGCCGCCACCAGGTCATCGGCATCATCACCACATTCATCACCACCGAGGCAGTCCGTGGACTCTATTTGGCAATCCCCTGCATGCTGATCGCCTCCTGGGATGTATGTACACCATGAGACATACCAGACTGATGAGAAACTAACCGGCTGCAGTGCCCAACTACCGCTCGCATAGACCTGGCGGAGCACAGCGTCCCAACGATGACGGTGTAAATCCCCTGCTCCAACGCTCGGGCCGTGCCGTAACTAGTGGGCGGCGGAATGCTCAGTCAGACCCGTTCGGCGACTGGGTCTATGATATCGATCCTATCCGCGGCCCTGGTGCTGTTCGCGCTGGCATCGGAGAAGGCCCAGTCTCTGTCATCAACAACCTACTCAGCGCGATGTCTGGAGCACCAATCCATGCATCCGGTGGAGCTCTCCACTTCACTATCACAGGAGGTCCTCCAGGCTCGGCTCCGATACCGCCTGTCGAAGCGTTCGAGGCTCTTCGACATCGGACACAGCGTCCGCGTGAGCCAGCGCTACGGCCTTCCCGAGATGACCTTGCCCAAGTCGTCGCCTTTGTACCGGCTGGCACAAGCAGCCGCTGGCAGGACGAAGCTCGTATACTCTTCGGTTCCGCCGCATTCGAGAAAGCTACACGGGTGGTCAATTCTCTCATGAAGCTTCTTGTGCCTCCCGCGATCGAGGCTGCGAAAAAGCGGGCTCAGGAGGAAGCTGAGCGAAGAGCTAAGGAGAGGAAGGAACGCGAAGAGCGGGAAGAGAAGGAGAAAAAGGAGCGCGAGGAGCGCGAGGCACGCGAGGCCGAAGAGAAAAAGGCACAAGAGGCCGCTGAACAAGCTGCTCGAGAGCTGGAGGAAGCTCAAGCTAGGGCAGAACAAGCTCGAGACACCGCTGGTCCAATCGAAGCTGTGGAAGAAGATCAAAGCATGGAAGGTGTTGAGCAGACACAGCCTTCAACCGCCACCGCTACCGCTGAAGCAGGTCCCGCAGAAGCACAACCACGGATTACAACTACCCTCCGCGGACGCGAGCTGGACATCACTGGCATGGGTATTGACCTGGAGTATTTGGAGGCTCTGCCCGATGATCTCAGAGAAGAAGTCCTCATGGCACAAGTTGCCGAACAGCGATCCCAAGCGGCAGCGGCAGGAGAGGAGCCGACAGACATCAGCCGCGAATTCCTTGAAGCTTTGCCCGCGGAAATCAGGGAAGAATTGCTCCAGCAAGAAGCCCAAGATCGACGTCGCAGGGAGCGTGAGGAAGCTCGTCGAAGAGCTGCCGCTAACGGTGGGCCTGCTGCACGCGCGGAAGAGATGGATGCCGCCAGCTTCTTGGCTTCTCTAGACCCTGGTCTGCGGCAAGCTGTTCTCTTGGAACAAGATGAGGAGATGCTGGCGCAGCTGCCAGGCGACATTGCATTGGAGGCTCGTGCTCTTGGTGGTGATCGACGGCTCAATCAGTTCATGGACATTTCACGAGTGGGGCGTCCTCGCGCTCTCGACAGGACAGAGCAACTCGATGACCAGGCTTCCAAGAAATCCAAGCCTCGGCCAGTGGTACAGATGCTAGACAAAGCCGGCGTTGCCACACTTCTCCGCCTCATGTTCATTCCTCAACAGGGAAGCGTTCGAGGTACCTTGAACGGCGTGCTAAAAGACATCTCCGAGAACCGCCAAAACCGTGCCGAAATCATCAGCATACTCCTGTCAATTCTTCAGGATGGGACGTCCGACGTCAATGCCATTGAGAAGAGCTTCGCTCACCTATCGCTACGAGCCAAGCAGCCTGGTACCCAGAAGACTCCACAGCCGCCTAAGCGAACACTCACTGGCCAATTTCCAATCAACAGCGAGATATCGCCGCTTACAGTCGTGCAACAGTGCTTAAGCAGCCTGGGCTATCTGGTGCGAGAGGTCAGCCACATGCCTGCATTCTTCTTGACAGAGCATGAGACTGCTGTTGGCTTCAAGTCCCGTGCCAACCGAAAAGGCAAGGGCAAAGATAGCAGAGCCAACAGGTTCCCTCTTAATGCTCTCCTTGGCCTTCTTGACCGCAAGCTCATCATCGAGAGCTCTTCGATCATGGAGCAGTTGGCGTCGATACTACAAGCTATAACGACACCTCTGACTTTGCTGAACAGAAAGGAGAAGGAGAAAAATGACGAGCAGAAGAAGGTCGCTTCCACACAACAGGCGTCGTCAAGTGAGACGCAAACGCAAGCTCCAGCAGCTGGATCCACCGATACCGAAATGGGCTCCGCTCAAGATACTCAGGCGCAACCCGCAGCTGACGCGTCTGCTTTGGATGCTGGAGATAACCCACCTACAGCTTCAGCGGGCGATGGGAAGGCGGAGAATCAGACAGACGATAAGTCGAAGAAGCCTCGTCTGCTCGTACCTCCCGAAGTGCCGGACGCCAACCTGCGTCTTGTCATCAATATCCTGGCTGCTCGAGAGTGCAGCAGCCGGACATTCCGGGACACCCTTTCAATGATCAACAACCTGTCAGTCCTCCCAGGTGCTAAAGAAGTGTTCGGTAAAGAGCTCGTCAAGCAAGCGCAAGACCTGGGCCAGGCGATTCTGAAGGATTTGGACGACCTTGTGATGCAAATCTCGAAAGCTGAGACGAGCACTGACGTACAAGGCATGGCTCTCGCCCGGTTCTCGCCTGCAAGCTCAGATCAAGCCAAGTTGCTCCGGGTTATAACTGCGCTGGACTACCTCTTTGATCCAAAGCGTGCAGGCACTGAAGACAAGCCAGTACCCAGCAACACCGAAGGCCTTCCAACCGAGCAGAACGAAGATATTCTCACCACGCTATACGAGAACCCGACCTTCGGCTCCCTCTGGAGTAAACTCAGCGAGTGCTTGACCGCTATTAGGCAGCGAGGGAATATGTTTAATGTCGCAACGATTCTGCTGCCTTTGATCGAAGTTCTTATGGTTGTTTGCAAGAACACTACTCTCAAGGATGCGCCCCTAAGCAAGATTCACCATAGGGAAATCACTCTGTCCAGCCCACCGCCAGAATCCCGGATGGAAAACATGTTCTTTGCTTTTACTGAAGAGCACCGAAAGATACTGAACGATCTCGTTAGGCACAACCCCAAGTTGATGAGTGGGTCGTTCTCTCTTCTCGTCAAGAACTCGAAGGTCCTCGAATTTGACAACAAGCGGAACTACTTCACCCGCCGCTTGCACCACCGCGGACCCAATGAGATCAGGCATTCACATCAGCCGTTGCAGCTCGCTGTGCGCCGTGACCAAGTGTTCCTCGACTCATTCAAGTCATTACACTTCAGGTCAGGCGACGAGATGAAGTTCGGCAAGCTCAGCATCCGCTTCCAAGGCGAGGAGGGCGTCGACGCGGGCGGTGTGACTCGCGAGTGGTTCCAAGTCCTCTCGCGGCAGATGTTCAACCCAGATTACGCTCTGTTTATCCCAGTCGCCTCGGACCGGACTACTTTCCACCCCAATCGTCTCAGCTCGGTCAATCAGGAGCATCTTATGTTCTTCAAATTCATTGGACGCATCATTGGCAAGGCTCTATATGAGAACCGAGTCCTTGACTGCCATTTCAGTCGCGCTGTCTACAAGTGCATTCTGGGTAAGCCGGTGAGCATCAAGGACATGGAGACTCTGGATCTTGAGTACTACAAGTCCTTACTCTGGATCCTGGAGAACGACATCACGGATATCATTACCGAAACCTTTTCAGTGGAGACGGACGACTTCGGCGAGAAGCAGATCATTGACTTGGTGGAGAACGGGCGCAACATTCCGGTCACTGATGAGAACAAGCATGAGTATGTCCGATTGGTTGTTGAGTACAAATTGACCGGCTCGGTCAAGGACCAGTTGGAGAACTTCCTGAGAGGTGTGTACTCCCGAGTGATCTTATTGCAGACGAGAGTAGCTAACATTCTCACAGGCTTCCATGACATCGTTCCCGCGGAACTCGTCTCAATCTTCGACGAGCAAGAGCTCGAACTGCTCATCTCTGGTCTTCCCGAGATTGATATCGACGACTGGAAAAACAACACCGAATACCACAACTACACGGCTGCATCTCCGCAGATTCAGTGGTTCTGGCGAGCGGTCCGCTCCTTCGATCAAGAAGAACAAGCCAAACTACTACAATTCGTCACCGGTACCAGCAAGGTTCCTCTCAACGGCTTCAAGGAGCTCGAAGGCATGAACGGCTTCAGCCGCTTCAACATCCATCGGGACTATGGCAACAAAGACCGGCTTCCGAGCTCGCATACTTGCTTCAATCGTAAGTCCCACTCTGTGCCTTCTTTTTCCTTGTTGGCATCATATTAACACTGTGATAGAACTCGATCTTCCGGAGTACGAGTCGTACGAGCAGCTCAGACAACAGGTCTACACCGCCATGACCGCCGGAAGCGAGTACTTTGGTTTCGCGTAAAAAGTTCGACTTACAGTTTGACAGATTCAGGAGGAAGGGCGCATTTGCAGGCGCCGAGGAGTATCATCTAAGTAGCTGGGATGATTGCATTGGGCGGAACACGTTGCTTTGAGCGCTTCACTCGTTGTAGCATAGGCTTGCTTGCAAGGAAGATTCCGGGGAAGGGAGCATCGTGGTTCTCGACTGCTGGGAGTGAAGTGCAGGTCGTTTCTCGGCGCGTCGAAGACTCGGATGCTCTTGAGACCTTCGTTGCTGTGTACATGGCTCGAGACTAATACGAAGCGTTCAAAATGACGTTGTGCGAATCAATGTCGCTGAGTTCCATTCTTGCCTGGCTTCGGCCGTCGTCAGCACACAATCCTCCAGTCCTTAAGAAACCACCGCTATCCATGCTATTCCACGTACACTAGCTAATGAAGGCGTACAAGTTCCAGTGCTTTGATCAGAGAAGTACGCCCAGCCACTGATATCATGCATCTCAACGCCCACCAACATCAAGATGAGCACGATGTACCGCCCCAAACTTTGACTTCGGCCGGTACGGCAGGCAAAGTTACATTGCAAAAGTTGTGGAACACTCTTGGCAGGTCGCCTTACTAGGGAGCCCACGACGTCTGCAACGTTGCCTGACGGACGCAACAGCAGCTGACAGGAGAAGGTTTCTCCTCACTCATGGCCGTCTGTTAGCTGACATTAAGCTGGAACTGAGGTTAGAAGGTGCCTTACAGTCCACATATAAGACGCCCTGTCTGCCCACTTCCCGAGCACACCACTACAGAGACATCTTCAATCTTCCCCCCAAACACTCTCCTTCGGCCCGTCCTCCTCAGAGAAAGCCCCAAAGATGGCGACCCCACAAACTCTTTTTAAAACCGCCGCGATCCTTAACGCCATCTTCGTCCCCGCCCACATCGTCTTCGGTCTCACGGACGTCCATCCGGCCATCAACTCTATTCCCAGCACGCCACAGCACCGCATCGGCCAACGCGGCGCGCAGAACTGCTATAACTACGTTAATGCGAGCTTGCTTGTTGCTGGTGTGTTTTTGCAACTCTCTTTCTTTCCCTCCCATTGAATTCTTTTTCTGGTGTGGCTTGCGAGATGTATGGATGAGATGAGAGCAACTTGCTGACATGGGTCCGATGTGACTAAAGCGCTGCTGAACTGGCAGTGGGCACGCACGGGCGGCCCTCAGACGAGGGAGGAGATGGCTGTTTTCTGGACTATCTTGGGGATTGGACTCTGGTCTGGGCTTAGGTATGTGCAGGTTGGAGAGTTCAAGCCGTTGGGATGTTTGGTGCTTGCGCCGGCTTGTAGCGTTGCCGCGCTGTTTATGCTGTGAGGTCACTAGAGGTTGGTGGGGCCCTGCATCTTTTTGGAGATGCCGAGCGGGCTTCTGGGCGGGCTGGGGGATAGCCGTGTCTGTGTTATAGCGAATGTGCACGCAACGGGATTGTGGGCTTGAACTGGGGGGCTGTCTGAGGAGGTATGGACAAGGTTGGGTAGTTTCGCACGTCGTGTAGATTGCGGGGTTGTTGAAGCTGGAGTCTCCGCGTCCTCTTACCGTAAGGCACAAGGCGTTGATTGTGTAGGTATGGAACGCAGTCCCCTATTGGCTTCTGCTCTCGGCGCCAGAGATCAAGAACGCGGCCCAGGACGGCTATGCTGCTGAGGACGGGTAACACCATGGTGAGACAGAGCAAGGAGTATACGTCTCGGTCAGGTTGGAGATGTGGAAACGCGGCAGCTTTTGCAGGACGGAATCCTTTACCAAATCAGAACTAGTGCTAAGGAGGTTGAAAACACGTAGCAATAAGCTGGAAGCGGTAAGTGATATCCGAGTAAAAGCTAAAGCTAAAGCTACGTGAATAGCTGTTCGTGAGCAGATGAGACAAAGCCCAGGGAGCACGGGCGATGAGCAAGCGCAAGGCGACCGCATGTGAGGAAGCGTAACGGTTATCAGAAGAGATGGAACCCTCTCAAGCAATGGCTGCGCCGAGCGAGACTTGGAGAGGTCACCTGTTGGGGTCAAGACGAGGAACGAAAACACCGAGTGCTTGCTGCATGTCCTCCAGAAGGGGTTCTGTGAAGCGCGGCCGGTGCGTGTTCTGATAGGTTTCATTCTATCACCTGCCCGGAGTTGCAGATTGCAGATGCGGGAGCTAACACGGCAACGCGTATTGCGGCTCATAGACTGGAGGTGCCGCACGTGCGGTGATGCATCTGTCCTTCGAAAGGGCGGTGCCAGCGGCCACGTATTACCTAACAGCGCGACGGTTCTGACTAAGCAAGAAAGCGGCGAGAGAGCCCACCAACCCCGGCACAACTCACAAACCGAGAATCAACGAAGACAGTGATTCAGATCACAGCGAGAAAGGATGGCTCTGGTATTGAAGAGGAGAGCCTGATGGGATTACTAGTCCGCTACGCACCAAAACAGCCGATGCAGTGATGCTACACAAACATGTACTATACAGAGAACCGCTGACACTCCACCCCGCCACCCGCCTATCGTACGTCTAGTGATGATACAGAGGGATTCGGAAGGTGTCTATTTGCTGGTCTCCTCGCGGAGGAAGGTGATTAGGTCGTTTCGGTCCTTGGCCTTCTTGAGACCGCCGAAGGCCATCTTCGTGCCCGGGATGTACTTCTTAGGGTTCTCAAGGTACTCGAACTAAAGGATCGTCAGCAAGCATGCCCCACGTTTCCCAGCGTAGGGACCTCTTGCGCCGCCAGCGAACACTGACCAGAGTTTTCTCCTCCCATGTGATGCCCTTCTGCTTGTTTGCGTCTGTGTACGAGAAGCCTTCCACTTGACCGGTCTTGCGACCGAAGAGACCGTGTAGGTTGGGGCCAATCTTGTTGCCCTCACCCTCCTTCAGGTTGTGGCACTGCGCGCACCGGGTCTATGGTGTGGCGTCAGAACAACCGCTACTGTCAAAAGAGCCGCATAGCTTTTCAGCGGTGGCGATGGTGTGGCGAAATCGTACCTTGAAGAGGTTGGCACCCTTCTTGGTGTCGCCTGTAAAAGTTTCGTTAGCAAGCTCTCCTTGACGTCGCGCAATGATGACATGATCTGCAGGAACATCAAGAAGCTCCACGAAAATGTTGACTGCGGTTGCCGACGTGCTTGATCGCCTCGTCTCTCATCAACACGGCAGTAGCCTCATCGCACACAACATCTCCGAACGTGGATGGGGATGAGGGAGCTTCTGAAGCTGGTGAACCTCTCCGTGGCTCTAAGAGAAAGCGGCGCGCGCAAGCTGCGTGCATGCAAGGGGGGTGGCTTACCGTCCTCGAAGCCAGCCATTGTGTCTAGGGGTAGTGAAGAAAAGGTTTATGGAAGTGAATCCTGCTTAAGAGAGGTGTGGGAGGATGAAGCGGTGGTAGTAGAGTAAATGCGATGCGTTGAACAATGGAGAGAACAGAACCTCGGTGGCCAGGGAAAAAGGAACTTGATGACGGGGGAATTAGCGTGCGTCTGATATGGCAAAGATCTGATTGGCGGAGGCGAACAAAACCGCCGACGAGAACAAACCGGAGCGTCACGTGACCCTGGTCCGGAAACCCGCAACTCTAAGCGGCTTTTGCGGTACCGGACATTCAAGCGCGCCTCGCGAGCACGACGCGAGGAGAGAGAGAGAGACACCAATTGAGCATGAACATGCTCGAGCGCCTCGTCAAACCCACTCCCGCTCACTCACCGGGCGCTGCCGCCACTTGACGAAGGCCTCCTACCGCTTTAGACGGCCTAATCTCTCCGCGTCATTGCTCGGCTTACCGGTCGTGCCAGTCACGAGAACCTCTTGATAACCAAGTGTGAGGCTCAGCGTCGAGACTCGATTATGCACCTAGTATCGCAAGCACCACCCTGGCACACTCGTACAATCTCACATTGTGCCCATCATGAACCACATTCCGGACGCCCTCTATGCTGACAGGGAGATGACCACGTGGCTGATCGTCGGCGCCAGCAGAGGGATTGGGCTTGAGTTTGTCAAGCAACTTCTGCTGAGAGAAGAGCGTATCATCGCAACAGTCCGCGAGACGCACGCCCTTCATGCGTCCATGCTATGGGGCCAGGCCGGCGGTGACCACGGACGCTGCCAGATGTTCATATGTGATGTTCTGTCCGAAGCAAGCATAGTGGTAGGAGTAGCTGCGCCATGTCTTATAGTCACAAGCTGACAAGGCCCAGTCTTTCGTCAGCCAACTCGCGGCCGATCCGTTTCTGAAGATTGACTATGTCGTGATTAATGCTGGTGTTTTGAGATACCCCAATGTAAGCGTCCCACGACAGCAGAAACGTTGAACTTTCAGTTGCTGACTTGGACAGAGAGCAACTGAGCTGTTCGTCGCCCGTCACTCTGCTTTCGTGTCCCTTTCGTGTGCCGTGTACTGTCTTGTGTTTCTTTCCACCAAGCGCTGATCCTTTCCAGATCATTTGACGAATTTGCGTTCCATCTTCATACAAACACCATCGGACCTATCATTACCGCTCAGAAGCTCCTCCAGACCAACATCCCGATCGGGACTATCGTTTTTATGTCCAGTGACTCCGGCTCGGCACAGAACTTCTTAGAGAGGGAGGACGGGTACGCTTTGTGAACACCTTCTTCGCCAGCCAGTTACTGATGTATAGCTTCTAGCTTCGCAGCCTACTCGGCTTCCAAAGCAGCCCTGAATCAAATGCTTCGGGTGCGCATCATCTGTGTTTCAACAACCTTAGAGCGAACACTACTGATTTGTTCTCCAGCACATGGCCGCGGAGCTTAAACGGAAAGATGATGATACAATCATACTTGCGTTGCACCCGGGAGAGGTTGCAACGTATGCTAGTCACTACTCCTCCGTCACCAATACTGACCAGGTTGCAGAGACATGTCGAACATCAGCGTCCCCTGGCAAGTCGAAGGGATCATTACACCTGAGCAGTCCGTAGTTGCCATGATCGACGTCATCCAGAGCAAAGGCATCCAGCATAGCGGCACCTTTTGGACGTGGCAGAATCAGGTAAGACCTGTATCTGCCGCATCTTGTGCTCCAAATCTCGTGACACTGACTGCTGGTAGCCTTACCCTTGGTAGCATTGGACAATGCTAGAGCTTGGACTTGGCGACAGAAGGAGAAGGCTACAAACAGAGGCATGTGAATGGAGTCGAGGCTCGGCACCTGACTTGTGAGGAATAGGTAGCCTTTGAAGTGGCGAGCGCTTGGAATGTCGTGCAGCTGCGTCGTACCCGCCTCACCCTAGTTGACAACCTGAGGCTTTATCAGGACGTAACACAATTGGGGCGCATGCGCCCGCGCTTGTTTTTCAGCGGCATGGAAGGAGGCGTACTATGTGGCTTTAGAGCGGAGGTGGTGGACCTGGGGGTCGGGCACAGATGTCGTGCTAGGGATTCCTACAGATCTTTCCTGCTGCCGTTCAACGAACACCATCTCAGATTAGAAACAACATTGGCGGAGTGCTCTCGGACTTGATCGAAATAACTGGACCACACCAAACCATTCACTGGTGGTGTGGCGAAGGCATTCTGGAGCTTTGGATCGATCTTGACAAGCCCCAACGGGAAGAAAAGTGCGGTGTCCCGCCCCATGTTTGTCAATCACAGGGTCTTCTGCATGCTGGCCGGGCCAGGCAATGCTCGCTATTGCCGCCAATATGTAGGTACCGGATGCCTCCGATTTGCTGTGAGGCGTCGCGGCTGGTGATTTGCTAACTAAAGAGGGCTCGGTCGGCATGCAATGCTTCAACGAGGCACCGTTTAGATTGCGTTTCCTCCCCGTGTTCCACCGCCAAATGGGGCCTTGTCGTCAGCTCGCAGACAAACTCCCACCGAAACGGCGATTAGCGATGTGAGCTGGGTCTGGGGCTCCGCACTTTCATTTCACACGGCCTGTTGCCCTCCTTATGGCGCTCTCCTTTCCACTCCTTTCCGTTCCTATTCAGCTTGGATCGAGGGCCCTGTCGTTTACATGGCATACTCCTACGACCCTCGAAGCTACTCGACACGCCGCCAAGATGCTCGCATGAGTCGCTCCCAGAGCGTTGATCCACAGTACGCCTACTTTGACAGGCACGTGCGGCTGCTTCTACAAGCGGCGCAAGAGCTAACTGGGGTTGTAGTCCAAGACCTGGCCGATATTCCTACGACCCTCACTATTATCCCTCCATCCGTACCAGCGCGCCGTCCTCACCTACACATTACCCTCGACCTGAAGCCCCAACGACGAGACGATGGCCGCCTTCACCGAGCGTCGAAGACGAAGCAGACTCCCTTGCCAGAGAGCTCGGGGGCACAACGTTTGACTCAAATGGCGGTGAGGCGTGCATGCGTGGAGCTGTGGACCAAGAGCCACTTTTGCTTGAAGTGGAGCAGCCGCAGAACACCAACGCAGAGAATCGGTTTGTGCTCGTAGCCAATGACAGGCGGCAGGATACACCTGAGAGCGATGCAGTGCGACGAAGCAGGAGGGCATCTGATAAGCCGGTTCCGCCGCCAATCAGGACAGACCTCGAGGAAACACCAGTTTTCACTCGGCGGGAGCCCTCTCCGTATGCGTATAGCAGGTCTACAAAGTCAGAGCGAAACCAATCGTCTAGCGAGTCCTTCCTGTCACCGGACCCAGTCGCTCCGACCAGCGCTAGACTGTCCGTACCCACGGATCAGCATCAGCCTCCGGAGACAAGCAGAAGGACCGCAATACTATCAGCACCTCAACCGAGCAAGGAGGGCAAAACAAACAAATGGGGCTACGACTCCAAAACCTCGGATGAATCCGATCTGGATCAGTCGGAGATTGCAAATCTTCGGTCAAGGCGACAGCCAGCCCGGTACTCTTTTACCAAAGTAGACTTGCAGAAGCCAAACTTGCGAACCAGTCTTCACGACGCTGCAGAGACGTACGATCGACCGCCCCCAGCTTCCTCCAGTCCTCGTCACAGTGCGCCATCATCATCGAAGCAAAGCTCTGCGTCGTCGACATCTACATCGCACGCACCATCGCCGAGAACAACACCCGTGAGCAGAACTACTCCGGGAGAGAGCATATCTGGCATCTCAGGCAGGCGTTATCCATCCCGACCCTCGTCTCCTGTTTACCTTGAGAGCGCTTACACTGCCTCACCACCACGCTCACCAAGACTTGATGCCAGGAGGGATGATTACACTCCTGTCGCCGAGCCAGGTTCAAGACCAGGTTCGCGGAAAAGTTCGAGACCCTCCTCTCCCGTTTCTTGGGCTAGTGGTTCCCAGGCGTATATCGCCTCAAACCTCGACCTCAACTCGCCGGATCGACAGTCCACTTATCCCCTAGCTTCTAAAAGCCGTCCAAAGCCTCCATCTCGGCTGAGCTCACTCGTGCCACAGGAGTCAACGTTAGCGCCGAGCAGCCCGCGAGATGACAGCTATTCTTCCTCATCAGCTCGACCGGCAAAGGCGCTACCTTATCCGGAAGACCACCAGCCGCAACTAATGCCGTCGGAAGAGCGCTTCCAGCATCAGCCGAGCAGTCCTCGAACATCGATAGATGGTGGTCGGAAGCACTTTAGAACACCGTCCGGCGGCAGTGCACTTAGTCCGCTAACTCCGCTTGTGTCACGTATGCGCGAAGGCTCTTCTTCACGGCCAACCTTGGCCTCGCGACACACTGTCGGCGAGACTGTTCCTCAGCTCGCGTCGGAATCAACACGTCTGCCAACGCGCAACAGCCTGCGTCGCGATAGCTCGCAGCTGTCCTCTGCCCTTTCTGTAACCAGACCTTTACCCGCATGTCACAGGTCTGAGGCTTCCTCCAAGTACGACGACTGGTACGTGCTCGACGGATGCCCCGGCTTCCACGTCTGCCCCGACTGCCTAGACCTAATCATCGGACGGACCCCCTACCAACGTTACTTCAAGCGCGCCCGCCGCCGCAGCCTCGGCGCGCGCACAAAATGCGACTTCAGCTCCCCTTGGATCCGCCTCGCCTGGCTCATGTCCCTTAAACAGCAGCGCCAAAGCCTCGATCTCCTCTACTCAATCGCCTCAATCGTCACCTCCGACCTCGCCTGCCCCGGCGACTCCCAAACCAGCGGGCTATGGTACAGCCTCCTGGACTCCTACGGCGACCCGATTCCCGACCTCTACATCTGCGCGCGCGACATCAAGAGTCTCGAGGCGCTGTTCCCCTCCTTCCGCGGCAGCTTCGCCGCCATCTACCAGCGCGACCCCCGCATTAAGCACCTCTGCTCTCTCCGCGCCCCCAGCCGCACCTTTGCGCCGTATCTCGACTGCCTTGCCGAGATCGACGAGCGCGCGCTGCGCAAAGGCCAGCCGCCGGACACGCGTCGCTTGGCGCAGATGGTGCGCGAGAACGCGACACGACACGCGTGTCCGCGGGACAATCTGGTCCTGAACCAGGCGTTCTACATGGTGCCCGCGCTGCCGGAGTTCACGGTCTGCGAGGAATGCTACGACGAGGTGGTGTTTCCGGCGCTGGTGGCGGGGTCGGCGGTCGCGGGACAGTTCGCGACGGAGATGAGGGTCTTGCCGGGGCAGCAGAGCTGTCAGCTTTATTCGCCGCGCATGAGGAGGGTGTGGCAACGCGCGGTCGAGGATGCGGATCTGATCTATCTGGCAAAGAAGGCAAGGGAGAGGAAGAGGATTGAGGTGGAGTTGCAGGCGCAGCACAAGGCGCTGTTGGAGCTCATGGGTAAGAGGGATAGTGGGGTCGCTTATGCGGGGGCTTATGCCGGCGGGATGGGTGGTGAGCCAAGGGTGAGCGAGGAATTGGAGAAGATTAGGAGGGCTTGGAAGGACTGGGAGTAAGAGGATACGTTTCATGGTTTGACAGGTCAGATGGTGGGGACTTCACGAGTATGGTTGGGTATGACCAAGATTAATGAGCCAAAAGGCGTTGAGACCGTAGGATGGACGTGTTATGACAAACCTTAGCCAAGGCCTTTGTAACTTCTTCTGGACGTCATCTATGGGATCTTCCTTAAGCCATATTGCCGCTCACCAACAAAATGAGCTTCTGTAGATTGCATTCGGCGACAAGCCTGCTGCCAGCCTAAGAACACATGTCAGCAAATAAAGCCATGATCTCAGGCCGAACCGTCCGCGAACTGCGCAGAAGGGCCTTGAAGTCGAACAGGCAGCCCAGTGCATTACACCAGGAGTACCGAGCCTTGCTATCATACTGGAACATGCTAAATATTCGTGGGGAGTGCGAATGCAGTCCCGGGATGTTGAGTGTAGCCGAAAATAACGTCAAATTCAACACCTCCCGCTGCACGCATTATGCGATGCCGAATGGAGAGCCCTAAGACTTTCCCTCCGCCTCCGTCTAGGGAGGAGAAACGAGCCTGTTTGAAGTGAACAGCACCGCTCGAAATAATTAACACTAGATGCGTACAATTTGCAGTCGGTATCTTCTGCACGGAACGTCTGCGTCGGCCTGTGGAGACCGTGCCCATGAGACAGGTTCCGCTGCGCACTGTTGTCTCTCTCGGTCACATATTGCCGGCTCATCTCATTCAGCGCACGCTATCGCAGCGCCCGAACAAGAGACGCCGCGATGCGCCGACGGCACGAGGACTGCTCAAGAACACAGGTCCGGCTATGCAGGACGATGGCGTTCGTGTAGGCTGTTCTGCGGTATACAGGCTCCGCAGCACGGTTTGTTCCATGCTTTGGTACGGCGTTCGGCCCTGCATCGTTGGCCTGCCTTGCCAGAGCGTGGTGCACCGTTGACTGCGTGTGGAGATCTGACGGGATCGCGGCCGGGCTTGTTGGCTTGAGGGGTCCGGCGTCTGTGAAGTGGAAGAGTCGGTTGTGGTGAGTAATCTTGTGAGTCCCTCGTGTCGGTCTGTGCGAAGCGGACGGATAGGATCCGAGTTCGAGGGTGGAAGATTGACCGGGTCTGTTGCGCGCTGGTGGGAGGACGAATGACGGTGGGGTTTCGGACTGTGTAGTGGTGTAATACTAGGTTCTGAGGAAGACAGGTGTGGACTCTGCCCAAAGGGCGGGCTCTTGAGCGCCGGACGAGGGGTTTCTTCTGTCACTCTGAGATTTCGTCTGAGAGGGGAGCTCCTCTTACAACCTGGTCTTGTTGAGGGAGGAATGACTTTGAGCGGGGAATGAGAGGACCACTTCGATCTTTGTGTTGTCGCGCGCGAACTGTTGCTTTGACACTGCTAGGGTATAGTGAATGGAGAGGGTATGAAAATATGAGGGAGAAGTCATCCGAACTCGATCGTGTGACGTTTCCCGTATCTTACCGTTGGCCTGATTTCATCCCACGAAAAAAGGGATTTACTTGTTCATCCGCTGCAGAGTAGAGCAAGACACCACCCGGAGGATGGTGAAGGTTGAACTCGACGATAGCCTAGCTTTGGTGTAGTCGATGTAGTGATCTTACGACCGTGTACTTGGTGTCATCCAAGATGATCATTGCAACTCTCCCCAACAGTATATACCCATATCAAGCTGCGTACTCCCGGTAGGATGATATGAACCTTAGCTGTCGTCAAACGATGAAACTATCTGTGAACCCATCTGTAAGCTTCCCCGGAGTCATCACAGGCTCGACCCCGGTCTTGGCAGGAGGTTCAGCTCGCCGCTTGCAAGCCACTTTCCGGCATCCCGGCTGCCAGCAGGTGGTTGCCCCAGTACCGCGCGCAAAAGTTACACATAGCCGCGAAGGGAACCAGTGGTATAATCCCAAACCGTAAAAGTAGCCGACGGCATCTTTTACACATGTCACAAGTCGCGCTTCAGACAGCTTGACAGGTGCATGACACGCGCCATCTTAGTCGCAAACGTAAAATCTTCACGGATTTACCTAACGCGGCAAGGCTTGGCACCACCAACTCGTGGTACAATCTCGTAATAGTGCTCCATAGCTGAAGAAAAGAAACGACCAGTCCATAGCTAGCCGCGAGATGCTCTTGTGTAAAACTGCATCTGACAAAGGGAATGTGGTATATGACAAGCAACTGCCCGCTCCCGCCCGCGTGCGGGACGGGGCGTCTGAATCGCAATCGTCCAAAATCTTGCAGCAAAACGGCCACCGTTGAAAACCTTAAAGAGATGTCTGTACAGCTTCGGCACGTCCTACAACAAGTTACGAGCCAGTCATTCCTTCTGTGTTTGCCCGTCTTGCGTGGCGCGCTGAATTCTGTCGAAAGTCCACCAACCCAACCCTGATCTCATGTACACCCACCCGCTTATTCTAGATTATAGTATCGAACTCCGGGTTGACCCAGTTCGGAGTCCCATTCCTCGCCCTTAGCGCTGGGCCCCAGTAGTGCACAGCCGCAAGCGCCGGGACCGAGAAGGCGAACGTGATGATGCCCTGCGCAGCGAAAGTCCAGGTGAAGCCGCTGGCCTCGATCCAGGGCGCGATGAAGAAGGGGTTGACGAAGGCGGAGAAGTTGAGCAGGACGGCATAGAAGGTGATCATGGACATGGATTGCAGCGGGTAGCAGTCGACAACGTAGGCGGCGACGACGGTGTTGCCCGTTTGGATGCCGGCGGCGACTGTGGCAGGGGGTGTCAGCTGGACAAGCGAGGGGAGATAGGGGAAGAGGAAGGCTTACAGAGGAAGAAGGCGACTTGACCGACCATCCAGTGCCAAGCGCGGTCGACGGAGATGCCCCAGACGATGAGCCCGACTGCAAGGCGAGTCAGTATATGGTAGACCTGAGCGATGAACAGCGCACTTACTAGCACTCAGAAGCGCAGCCGGATACGCAAGCCAAAGCCTCATCTCCGCCACGCGAATGCCGCTGTTCTTCTTGCTCAGCCGCATTATGATCTTGTCGCTCAGCGCCCCAGACATGGCGAATTCCGCAACCAATGTCCCGAGGATGAGGCCGATGAACAGCAGACCCTGCTGCTGCGGCGTATACTGGATATATGCGACGGGCAGGAAAGTGATGACGGACAGGATCCACCAGTACCATCCGACGCAGTAGATCCCAATCGCAGCGGTGACGACGGTGAACCTGAACGTAAGGAAGAAGCGGACGAGCGAGTCCCAAGGCTTCGGGTGGCGCATACCTGGCACAGGCTTGAAGTTAATGTACGGCAGCTCCGTTGTGCGCGGGAGGTCAGTGTCCGAGGCTACGCTGGGCAGGGGATCCGTCTTCTCGATGTCCGCGACGGCGACGTTGCCGACGGTGTACGGCATGCGCGTGAGCATAGTGTTGCGCGGATACAGTGTCTCTGGCATGAAGAAGACCTCGGCGATAAGGATCACTCCGAAGAAGATTGCGGTCAGCCACTGGATCCAGGCGGACGACACCAGGTCAATGAAGCCACCGATGAGAGGACCAATCAGCAGACCGAGATCGATGGCCAGAACCCACAGGCCGATCTTCGCGCCTCGCTGGTACTCGAAGAAGCAGTCGTTGATAATTGCGAGACCGACCGTTGACGCCGGACTGACACCCAAGCCTTGGAAGAACCTTGCGGCCATGTATCCGCTGTAGGTTGGGGCTAATGCCGCGCCCACTGTGGAAGCAAGAGCAATTACTGTGCCCACAATGAAAACGACGCGCCGGCCATATATGTCTGCGAGTGAGGACCATATAAGCGGACCTACTGCGAGACCGAGCGCAGGGATGGCGACGGTCCAGTTCACCTGCGCGATGGAGAGGCCGTACTGTTCCTGCAACTCTGGGAAGGCAGGAACTGTTGTGGTTGTGATGTAGGTGAACATAAAGTACCTGGCAGGTACTGAGTCAGTTCTCTTGTGGCGCGATGCTGTCAGAGTGTGCGTAACCTACAGGGCCATGACCACAGCCAGGATGGCATGCTTCTTCAAGCTCGTCCAGTTCAAGGGATCCAGCGGGTCGCTGGTCGGCTGAGGGTGCAACCTGATCCCATCTTTCAGGACCATGGGAGGAAGGTCAACCTCGACGCCGGCGGGACCAGCATAGTTGCCGGGTTGTGTCTTCTTCTCTGATGTTGAGGGGGTGCTGCTGCCCTTCTCGCTGAGCTGGGTTGGATAGTCCGCCATGGCGTTTGTGTCAGAAAGGAATGCACGATAAGGGAATAAGAGGCAGTGGAAAGAGAAGGTGAAGCAGATCACGGGCGAGGCTTGAGTGTAACGAGTGACGACAGGCAGTCTTTCCTGCACGGAGTAGCACGATTAGTAGCGAGAGTGGCAGATATGGCTGCAGATTCACTGGCACACTGGCAGAGCACAGGAGCCCAAGTCACGCCAAAACAAAAAAAAAAAGGGAGACGATCTCGGCCGCCATCTGGGGTTGGGCGCCGTTGAGCGAAGGATGCCATCCCTCGCTCTGGCGCACATGGCTTGCAATTCCCTTCACGGCGGACAGTGCTTCGCATCTACAAGTTCGCTTGGGGTTAGAGTGAAGCCCAGTGTGAATTGAGCGTTGAAGCCGGGCTAGGGGACGAGATTGCTGCTGTGCCTGTGTGCCTCAGTTAGCGGTCGTCCAAGGGTTCCCTGTGAGTGGTTCGTGCTTATCGCAGCGGGACGGCCGTTCCCCGGGCAGCTCTGAGTGGCTGCTCGCCCGCGCTGCCGCGCCACGGGCTGGCCCAGTCGGCAGGCAGTCCCCTGCCCCGGAGGGCTAGCCGTCGCATCACACCCTCCGCACGGCAGCACCCAGCTTGGCTTTTGCACGATGGATCACTGGTGAGACCACCTGCACCTGCACACGCCCCTTCCTGCGTCTTCCGTGCGCCGGCCAGACGCCCTCCTGCTGCAAACACCAACAAAACCAAGTCGAAGGCCGAAAGCGAACCGCATTGCTGGGACACTCATCTTTCGGCACTGTAATTAGCCAAGATCGGGGTGGTTGTTGTTGCCACACCACTTCGAGAACGTTAAAAGGCGCCGCGTGTCATCCGAACATGTGCGCGGCATGCACACCGCCAGCGATTGAAGCGCCTGCTTTCCCAAGACGTAAGATCGCCTTGATATCGCGACACTCCTGATATGAATGCCGCAGATACACGGAAGTTTCTTGTACACGCTGCGGTCGCGTAACTGTTACTGCGTCCGTTTAGTCAACGAGATCCTCATCTCACAAGATAAGGATCACCAATCGATTCCCTTTCTTCCCTGCACTTTCTTTTGCTGCCCCTAACTTTCTCGTCCTTCGATCGAAGGCCTTGTTGCCCTGCAGCAGCCTGCAGCTTTAGTCTTCCTCTAGCAGTGCTCACCCCGGCTGTTGCGGTATGGCGCTGATATGGCTGCCTGCCATGCCTCCGCGCCTTCGCTTTGCGGTGCTTTTGCCCACATAGCGGGGCGTTGGGAATAAGGTGTCAATTCACCGTCTCTTCATTTCGAAGCCTGTGACTACTAGCACTGACTCAGGATCACTCCGGAAGTGCAATTGCTGGTTATGTGAATCAACTCTCTAGTCAAACCGCGTATCCTCTGATGCTCTCTCTACCACTTGTGATCTCGTTGTACGTCTAAGCCTCTCAAGCATTGGGCTCTCGAAACGCTTCTTCCATTGCCTGCCATGGAAAGTCGGCAAGACGACATTGCCAGCGCCAAATCATGGCTTCCCAACTTCCTTCGTGGAGACACAACCAAGAAGTCTTCCGACTCGGCCTCCTCTACCCCGCCCAATGAGGAGACTTCTCTTCTGCCCAAGCCCCAAGACGAGCAAGAGGAAGGAGAGGTCTACGAGCTCGAAGATGGCAACCAAAGCACCACCGCGCTCGTCCGCCGCGAGTTCTGGGTCCTCTTCAGAGGCTCCGTCCCTGTCATCCTCGCATACACCCTCCAAAACTCCCTGCAGACTGCGTCCGTCCTGATCGTCGGCCGACTATCCCCAGAGGCACTCGCGACGGCTGCCTTCTCGTACATGTTTGCCATGTCCACGGGATGGCTTATCGCGCTTGGTGGCACCACCGCCATCGACACTCTCGCGTCTGCTACGTTTACAGGAAGCAAAAACAAGCACGACCTAGGTGTCATATTGCAGCGGGCATTCATCGTGCTGGCACTCTTCTACGTCCCTGTTGCCCTCCTATGGATCTTCTCTGAGCCGGTCTTCAAGGCCCTTGGACAGGAGGCCTACATCGCACGCGACTCGGCCCGCTTCCTCTCCGTGCTGGTGCCCGGCGGGCTCGGGTACATCTACTTTGAGGCCCTGAAGAAGTATCTACAAGCACAAGGTACACGACCCCTGCCAATCACACCCCTTGGTTCATATTCCGTACATCCTCTGTATTAGACGTTCATAGAGCTTACACGTTACACTACAGAGATCATGCGCCCCGGAACCTATACCCTCTTAATAACCTCCCCCCTCAACGCAGGCCTCAACTACCTTCTCGTCTACACATTCGACTTCGGTCTCCTCGGCGCGCCCATCGCCACCGGCATATCCTACTGGCTCAGTTTCCTGCTCCTCCTCTTCTACACCCGCTTCGTTGCCGGCTTCGAATGCTGGGGCGGCTGGTCCCGCGCCTGCCTGCGCAACATGGGCACCTTTGCGCGCCTCGCCGCCCTCGGCATTGTCCACGTCGGCACCGAGTGGTGGGCCTTCGAGATCGTGGCGCTGGCTGCCGGCCGCCTGGGTACCATCCCCCTCGCCGCCCAGTCCGTCATCATGACTACTGATCAGGTGATGAATACGATTCCCTTCGGCATCGGCGTCGCGACTTCCAGCCGTGTGGGGAACCTGCTGGGCGCGCGCAATGCGAGGGGTGCGGCGCGCGCGGCGAACACGGCGGCATGGCTGAGCATGATCGCCGGCGTGGCCGTGCTGGCCGTGCTGATGGGCGTCAAGGACTTCTACGCGCGCATCTTCAACGATGATGTCCGCGTCGTCACACTCACAGCGCAGGTCATGCCCTACGTCGCGTTGTTCCAGATCGCGGACGGGCTAAACGGGTCGTGTGGCGGGGCGCTTAGGGGCATGGGGAGACAGCATATTGGCGCCGCGGTCAACATCGTGAGCTATTACTGCGGCGCGTTGCCGCTGGGAATATGGCTTGCGTTTCATGGGTGGGGGCTTGGAGGGCTGTGGGTCGGGCAGTGCATTGCGCTGTATTTGGTCGGGTTTATCGAGTGGGCGATCGTGGCATGGAGTGATTGGGAGTGGCAGGTTGAGAAGGCGTTTGAGAGGATGGATCACGATGAGCGCGCGGAGATTGGGGGGATGACAAGGGCGGTGGATGCGGCGGAGGACGATGGGAGGGTGGAGTAGACGTAGATGTGGAGGGATTTGCGTTTGGGGAGGGCCTTTTGCGGAGGGAGGCTTCGACACACGAGTGCGTTCAAGATGGACATGATGATGGATTGAATGGTATGGGATGACACGGCGCAACACTTAGAGATAGGGGCATCGGTAGACGACATCTTGGGCGTTCAAAATACTATTAACGAGACAACGACAAGGTAGATAAATAGATATGACAGCTCCTATCTCTTCCTGATTCTTTTCTTACGGAGTTCCTGCTATTTATTTCACACCGGCAGCTCCAATACGAAAAGACTACGCGCTTTATTTCATGAAGATAGTCTTCCAGCTGCTCTCAATGTCGATTGCCTCACGCTGCAGCACAAAAGTTTCCGATCCCTCATGCCTTCCCAGGCCCGGCGATCAGCAGCCCGCGCATCTGGTTCGCCACGCGAGGCTTCGATTGCGTGACGTTGACAGCTCGGTTCCGTTGCCAGCACGCAGCCCATCTGCAGCTGTTTGCTCGTGCGTCTACCCATGGAAGAGGGCCTTTAAGTGCACCTCAGCCTAGAGCACTTGTATCTCTAGATAAAACACCGGCTGGTCGCTCCACGCGTCTTCCGCGCCAGGAGGTAAATAGATGGTCGAACGAGTATATCACTCCACATACCTAACAGTAGCGGTCTTACGTACAAGGCGAGTACGTAAGAACTTGCGCCTTGAATCATGAACTGCAGCGGCCGCAGCGGTGGGAGGTGCACCAAGGGCGAGCTGCATCGGCTGCTTTCGAGATTGGGAATCGGACGTTGGATCGTCTGTGATATCGTTCGCAGGATGCAGCTGGCTTGCAGATAAGCCCGGCCGTTGTGTTTACGCAACAAAGCCCTAGCTTCTCATTGGCTTGCGGCTCCAGGGGCAGCTCGAGGACAGACGTCTCTGCGGTCTCTGCTGCAGCTCGAAGGAACGAGCTGTCCTGTTCCTTGTCGCCATGGCGGGGGAAGCAGTGTTAGCACCCTGGAGACGGCACTTGTGGAGCAGGACGACCATGCTGAGTTGATCGCGGCCAACCTTCCGGCCACTCCAATGGCGGTCACCAAGGCCGATGACAGACTTGGACAACGTCAGCCAGCTTCTGCGGCATGGTGGACAGACAGGGGAGAGCTTTGGATAGCTTGGGACGCGCACTTTAGGTAAGAAGAACAGGTCAAAATACTTTGGTGAAGGCCTAGTTGCTTTCTTCACGTCCGTTTATATCTCACTTCACTCTCTTCCTCCTCTTCTTTTTCTCACCCCAATTGCTCTTTTAAAGCTGCTGGAAGAAGACTACAAGCGGTAGCAATCATGTTGAAAGCATTCGCAGCTCTCGCAGCTGTTGTGGCTGGTGTCACTGCGCATGGTGATCACGATAAAGATCAAGCGCCCATCGAAGGCCCGCATAACGGCCTGTGGTACAACACTCTGCCTGGCGATGGCGGCACTCAAGTTTGTGGAACCAGTTCAGCCCACCACTGTGCACCCATTGACAGCAGCAAACCAGGCCGACTCCGTTTTCTCCGGCATCTCGACCTTTGGCCGCATAACGTACCATCCATGCCTCGCTAGCGACGCCGTCAAGTACGACATTGCCTTCATCGGTACGCTCTCTAGGCCCAGGCATGGAAACACAACCTCAGGCTAACGCGCTTCCCGTGCAGGCGCTCCCTTCGACACGGGCACTTCGTACCGTCCCGGCGCCCGCTTCGGGCCCAGCGGCATTAGACAAGGTTCTCGCCGCCTGAATCTCTAGTATGTCTGCCCAGAAAGCTTACTTTTGATTTGGGCGCATAAGGCTCACGCAAGGTTCGCTTCAGCGGTGGCTACAACGTCCCTCTGGCCGCCAACCCGTTCAACAGCTGGGCTACGGTGATCGATTGCGGTGATATTCCCGTGACTTCGTAGGTGTCCCCATTTTGCGGCTATCTTCAGCCGTGTGCGAGAACGAGCAGGCAGTGGCTTTTCAACCTTTGAAGCGGCTTGCTGGGTTAACATGTCCGGCTGACAACGGTGCATAGGTACGACAATGCCTACGCAATCAAGCAGATCGAGGAGGGCCACAACAGCATCCTGTCCCGCGCGCCCAAGACCGATGCCAGCAAAAAAGGCCCTTCCAAGAAGGGCAAGACGCTCCCGCGCGTCATCACCCTCGGCGGCGACCACACCATCACCCTGCCACTACTGCGAAGCATCAACCGGGAGTACGGACCTGTGAGCGTGATCCACTTTGACAGCCATCTGTGAGTCCCTACCCGCACCCCTCGCCATGTTCTAGCCCCCGAGCAAACCCGCTTCCGTAACCCCAAACCCACGCACAGCGCTAACCGACCCAGCGATACCTGGAAGCCCAAGGTGTTCGGCGGCGCGCCCAGCCACCAAGCCTCGATCAACCACGGGACGTACTTCTACCACGCGAGCCAAGAGGGCCTGCTGGCCAACGACTCGAACATCCACGCCGGCATCCGCACGACGCTGTCGGGCCTCTCGGACTATGAGAATGACGGGTACTGCGGCTTCGAGATTGTCGAGGCCCGCGAGATCGACACGATTGGCATGCACGGCATCATCAAGAAGATCAAGGATAGGGTCGGGACGGAGAAGCCGGTGTATTTGAGCATTGATATCGATACGCTGGATCCGGCTTGTAAGTTTTCTCGCTTCCTGACTTTCCCGTTCCACACCCTTCCTCTGCCCAAAAGTTAAAAACTAACCGCCGCCCCTGCCTCTGCCCCATAAAGCACCAAGAGGTAAGAATGCAGCTCCGTGACTAACACAATGCCCGCAGTCGCTCCCGCAACCGGCACCCCTGAGACCGGCGGCTGGTCAACCCGCGAGCTACGCACCATCATGCGCGGCCTGGAAGGCGTGAACCTGATTGCAGCCGACATCGTCGAGGTCGCGCCTGCGTACGACACCAACGCCGAGCACACCACCATGGCGGCCGCGGACATCCTGTACGAGGTCATGACGCTGATGGTCAAGAAGGGGCCGTTGAGTGGTATGGTTGCTGGCAAGGAGGAGGCAGAGGAGTTGTAAGTGGACTAGGAGTGATGGAAGGGGCGAATCAGGATTGATGGAAGGGGTGGATAAGGGGTGATAGATGGTGACTGCATGACGAAAACTGGCCGGGATTATGGAAAGAAGAACCAAAAGGGGCATGTATATAGGCTGGCGGGCGATGGTGATGAGGATATGATGGTCATGAGACGATGCAGATATGAACGGAAGAACAGAAAAACTGGCATCCCCGGACTCAAATATTTTCCGCACATGGAGCCGCTGTAAAGAGATTACTACCGTCTCACGTCACTGAGCTATAGACTTCCCCTCTCCACTGCCACCGCACAGCCATTTCGCTGCCCCCTTCCAGCCTGGATTGGATGCTTAGGAGTTTTAAGCAGTCGAGGTTGGTACACCAAGTGTTAGAGCTTAATGGGTAAAGCAATCAGCAATGTTCTACCTCAACCTGCAACATCGTATCTCAAGCCGTTATCAAATCCAATCATAGATTTTGATCTGAGGCTCTGGATTGAGAAATGACGATGGACTCCAAGGAAAGTTTCCCGTTTTGTTCCGCCTGAAGTCTAACAAAACCGCTCCAAGCAGTTATTTATTGCAACATCTTCTAACCTCTGCCACATACGGCCATAGATCACAGAATACTGGGCATCCCGTTCGCTCTGCCACTACATAAGCTTTGAATCGGTGGATTAGTAGTTAGGTGGGTGACCACTAGCGAATACCTGCTGCTGTATGTTTTTACCCTTTTGCTGCTGCTTCTTCTTCTGAACTTGGGCTATATCCGTAGAGATCCTTCAGAGGTAAACAGAAATCGGTGCTTTGTTTTCTGGGATTGGGGGCCACTGGATCAGGGGCTATGTTAGGGAGACCCAATCCTTCGATGATCCCTTGAACTAGTGAGATCGTCAAGGAAGGTCAAAGCAGGAAGGAATGAGCTTAGAAGGACGGAATCGATCCCCGCTGGATTAACATGGAATCCAAAATACGGGTTCACTTCACTTCTCTGGTTTCATCACCATAACGGAATTGTAGTGCACCACGGAAAGCCTTACTTTACTGAACGTTGAGTGGGATGTATCTTATTTAAGTACTAGATCAAGCGCCAACGCGCATACCATATACATGCAAGAGAACCAGAACCCAGCACCACCATGCACTCCCGCTGAACCGCTCACAATACCACACAGCAATGCCCGTCGCTACTTATGCTCACAAGGATACCTTCAGCTCAGATGACAATGTACTCCCCATCCGTCCGATCCATGGCCTTCCTCCATCTAAAAGCCTGCCTATTCCGCCTAGTGCCGTAGTCATAGAGAGCAGGGCCACCCACATCATCCTCCCTCCACGTCCTCTCCAGCACTTCGAGTCCACTAAGGTTATTGAAGAAACCGCTCTCCCTCTGGATCTCTACGCACCGCTGGCGCACGATAGATCTGTGCCCCTCATCCACACACTCCGTGCCAGTAATGAAGAGCGGCCACAGCAGGAACTTGTTCACGCAGCTCGTGACGCCGATCTGGGTAATATGGTACAGGGCCTGGGCGACCAGACTCTGGAAGTTGAGTGCGGAGGGCGGGAGAGAGGGGTGCGCGAGCCGCTCGATGTAGAGCAATGCGGAGAAGCGGAACGACTCGCTGATGTGCAGGAGATCGCACTGGCTTGGCGACAGTGCTGGAGGGGCAGCGGAGCATGAGAGCGGTGCCGGGGGCGGAGAGTCCATCTCCCACTCTTGAAGGCGGTCGCGGATGTCGCGCCATTCGGACCAGAACTCGTGGCGGAGGTCGACGTTGGAGGTGAGCTCTATGGCAGGAGGTGACTCGGTGATAGGTGTGCCCCAGCCGTTGCCATCGAGGCGGCTGTAGTTGATGCTGAAGAAGTCGTTCCCATTCTTGGGCAAAGGGCTTGGCCGCGGTGGGCTCGGCCGAGGCGTCCTGTCATTCTGCTCGCGGACAGGCCTGTTCTGGCTGAGAAGGTTCAAGCGCCCCAGCCGAGCAATCAACTTGAAGAGACGTCCTTCGCAGCCTGCCAGATGCTCCAGCGCTCCCAGATTCGCCGACAGGTCCCGCATATCGAGCGAGTCTCCGGAGAGCTGCATCTCGCGGTCGTTTACCGTCGATGTCATGACGTCGAACCAGGTAAAGAACATTTCGACCCAGCCCAGGAATCCGGATTGCACGCGGCGGTCACGCATGCTCAGGAGCTTTTGCACGCCTGCGAGCTGCGTCTTGAATTTCGTGAAGCCACTGTCACAGACGTGGAACAGGCACAAGATCAACACCGTCGCCAGGACGGAGTCGTCCTTGGCTTTGACCGGGTCCGCAAGCTGGGAGTTGAGGAGTTGGATAGAGGTGAGCTTATAGCTTTGTTCTTCCGGACCCGGTTCGCCGTGAACCGCTTGGAACTCTTCGTTAGTGAGCGCTGGGGAGGCGAGTTGAGGGATGTTCGGGCTCTGTATCTGCTGAGTTCTTTGGCCGCTTCTCATGCGTATGTTATTGGTCGAAAGAGCTGCAATAGCATTTTGTAAGCTTTCGCTGCCCATTGCCAGATGTAAGACATGCATTCGGTAGGGGTTGCTAGGTCCGTCGAAAGCTACAAGCACAGGGCAGATGGCCTTGTCGTAGTAATCAAACAGATACTGCATCCGATGCGAGATTTGACGCACCTGTGCTGGATAAAGGCTCCGGGGGATTGAAGCGTTTGAAGCAAGAGAAGGGTCCACAACCTCATAGTTCTGCTCTGTGGAGAAGTTGTAAGGATACGCTGGCTCTGGAAGACTACCTGAACCGACGGAGATCTCGCCGTTGTAGAAAATTTCCGAGAAACCGGCAGGGTTGAAGGAGATCGGCTCAACAATCTCGTAGTCGTCAAGCTCATTCCGGTTGCTGTGCTCCGAGCGCATGCTGGAGCTCATCTCGTCGGTAGGCATTGGATACGAACGAGGAGCTCCTTGAAAATCGGGGCTTTCGGTAGAGCTTGCAGAACCCCAGTAACTGTTGAAGGGGTCGGCATATTGGGTGGCATGTGGCTCAGTAAATGGATATTCGTCTGGCGTTTGCGGAAATTCATATGGAGAGGGATAATCGCTATCACTGAACGTACTCAGCGAGCCGGTCGACGCGGACAAAGCAGCATCGTCATAGAAGGGTGCCAGCGATGTCTGTAACCGTTGCAAGGGACTCGGATGCAAGAGTGGACGACTAGGGCCGCATGCCATCCGATTGTTGTAGTCTACATGCTCTCGAAAAGCAGGTACATGCCACCCCAGCTGCGATGCGGACGGCGACGGTATCGAGATGGGACTCGTACAGCTATTATGGGGGTTTCTGTGTATAGCTTCCGGTATATCTCTGAGGTGCGAGGACGGTAGATACGGAACATCGGGTACGCGGGGTCCCTCTGCAACTGGTGATGGCCGTGATGCGCTGCGCGGAGCACTGCCACCCGCAGATGCTGAACGCCGTTTTGGTTCCCGGATTGTGGCTGATGGGTTCGATGGCGACTTTGGTACCGGCAAGGAAAGACCTCGTAGCTTTCCACGGCTGGCGACACCCACCCCCCACGTCAACGTCGTGCGGTATCCAGAGCATTCTTTCCCCAACTCTATGCACGGTGTGCAATATGGTCTTCTTCTATCACATTTTGTTTGACGTTTACGGCATGTGAAGCAGTCCTCGGTGGCCCCGGCAGCCGGAGCTCTCCTGCGCCGCTTCCGCGGTACTGGCGACTGACCGGCGTCGAGTTGGGGACTCTCCAGGGCAGGGTTAGGTTCCGAAGACATAGTAAGGATTCGGGCGACAACAAGAAGGATCTCTACCCCGACGCAGACGGTAGTGACAGAAAAGTAATACGTGGAAGAACAAAACTTCGAAGACAGACGATCGACATTGATATTGGAACGGAGCGCTCCTTATTGTAGGCAATATTTGGGTGCGGGAGGCGGAATGCTCTCCAGATAAGATGACCGCTAATAGCAGAGCATCCCACACGCGCCAAGGGGTAGCGGCTGGCGATACCGCGGTAGACTGGCTAGGTAGAGCAGACCTGAAAATGGCGGCGTGTAGACTTGCACATGAAAGCGGCGTCTGGGAACGAGAGACGAGGAGACTGAACCCCTAAGCTTTCTGCAAGAACCTCTAGTGGCGTCAATGCTGCCAACCAGCCTTTGAAGATGTCAACCCCACACGTTGCGGCAGACCCTTGGTGGTCAGCGGCCGCGGGTCTTGAAAGGGTTACATCGCTCTGTCCGATCCAAGCAAACTGCTGCATTGAAAAGTGCATGGAAGAGTCGATGACCGAAGCGTGCAGGCTAAATGCTGCGCGCCACTACCTACTCACCAATCAGACAATCCATAAGCTAAATGGGCCGGCTGACCACGGACGCTGATTTCGATGAGACGTGAGTATCCTGGTCGTCCAGGGACCAGCTAATGGACGTCAGCCAGGAACGCCAAAATTCTTCACGCATCCGTCCTCGAGGACATGAAGCGGCCAACCAGCGGATGCTGATTCTCAGCCACCCGCTGGGATGAAAGGGAATTTGACGTGTGGGAGAGCTTGTCTCGGGCGATGCTAACCGGAAAAGGATACGATCCCGTTGGGCGTGGACAGCAAGCTCGCGCCCGATGCAACCGAAGCCGTTGGAAGCGCCACGGAAGGCTGCAAAGAAGCATTTGGTGCCTTTCTAGTCGCCTTCTATCGAGATAGCCAGGATAGCCGCCAGCCATGGGGCGCTCCGCCAAGTAAGGGCCTCGGATAGGTTACGTAAGGCCACCACCTCTCCACACATAAACGGTCTTCCCCGTGAGAAAATGAGGGGAAGGGACGTGAGAAGGCCGTCAGAAAGACAGAATCCGGGGCACGAGGCCTGCGGCCATTCGGAGGACCTGCAGATCTTTGTGGAGAGCGGAGGTGGTGCGCTTGGCGATCCAGAGTTGCTTGAAGAAGCCATAATGTCGGTTACAAGCACTGCCGCTTCAACATCTGCGAAGATCCCGCAAATTTGCGGCCGACCGCCCGTCTGCATCGGTGCTGGATTGACATTCCCAGCACTCTGGATCCATCAGAGATAACGCATCTTGCTCGCGCAGGGGGTGACGAGCGTTGTGAAGATCCCCCCACGCTGTATCACAGCGGCCTCAAAGGCATGTCCGGAGGTCGCCTTCTGACGTCCACTTACGCGCATGCAGATATCTTGGACAACTCTTCAGCGCTGTGTGCAAGGCAGAGGTCCAGTTTCCCAAGCTTGCCCTGGCAGGCTTTGATCTTCTGACACTGCAGCATAGCCTCAGCACCGTCTCCGCCGTTATGCAGAGAGCGCATCGTGCAGTCGACGGGCTGTCATAAGAGAAGGCATGCAAGAGCGCCATGGCAGCCGGCTGGCACTTGCTCTGAAACATCATGCACACCCGGAGCTTCGTTTGTGGCTTCCAGAAAGCGACTATGGATCGGGCCTTGCTGGTCTTGTTGTTCTGCTCCGGCCGATGAAAGCCGCTACTGGCCCCAGAGACGAGAAACGACGCGAGTCAATAATCTGTGCTTTGTGGATGTTTTGATGCATGAGCTCACCGACCGTTGCTCGAAGCGAGCAGAAGACGTCAGTCCTGTCATCTATTGGCAGGCCTCGTTTTGGACGGCTTCTCTGAGGAAGGTATCCATGATTCCTTACGTGCGGAGATGCACAGCGTCGTGTAGTCCCGGGTTAATAGCAGGTAAGCTCGACCACGTTAATACCATCGATCTTGAGCCTCGCGAAATCAACGGTCGCCAGCCTTTCGTCATTACCGGCGCTTTGGTAAATCGGTGCTGCAAGCTGTTAACCGAGTGTGTCGTGTGTTGGCCTGCATTCTAGGGACCAGGAGTAGCATCGAAGGAAAAGATCAGATGACCTCCACGTGACCCAGTTTTTTCGTTCACTACTGTGCCTGCCTACAGGCGAAGCAAATACGCTCACAACTGGACACCTGACAGACTGCTTTTAGCACGCTGCAACTACAGCTGAACCCCGCATACAAGGGTTCAACACGCGATCTTGCTCGGCAGCGGCCGTTCTACAGATTAATTCAGGGCCCATTGCGCTATGCTCCCGCAGTCCACCAACCCTACGACCAAACCGGAAGGCCCTGAAGGGAGGAAGGAAGATCCAGAGCTTCTTCAGCCTTGTTCGATTGAGTGACTCAACGTCCAAGGCTCAATACGTTAAAACCGTTGCTCATCATGCGTCCGCTCTGAACCGATCTGAGTGGGCAACGGTTTGCTGTATGGAGCCTAGATATATTGAATTTGCATCTCACCGTTCAAGTTACAGCTTTCCCCGAAGATGAGGCGCAGTTCGTAAGTGCGAATGCAAAGGCGTCTATCTTCGGCGCCAATTTTGGGGCTCCGCTCCACATAAGCTGAGAGCTGTCGGCTCGCCCTCAGAATACTGGAGAAGTGCTATCCTAGACTACTTCTGATGGGCGAGTGCTTTGCTCATGTGATGTTTAGCAATTCACACCTCGCCTAAGGCGTTCTGCATCACGACATTTTGCGCGATTTTGAAAGCCGAAAGGGAAGCCTAGCAAGCTACAGTCTTTCCAAAAGTCCGGGGGTCTTAGTGTCTGGTGCCATACGATTACACTAACTATATGCTTAGTAGAAAAACTAAAAGCCTTACCTTATGCAGCCCGCTGGACTTGTAACAATCTCTGACTCTCTCGCAGCACGAGGTAGTGATGATTGCGGACGTTGTTGGACTCTCCTATCATCGGAGCCAATAATCCGACTTCGTTCGAACCTATCGCAACCAATAGCCACGCGTATTGAACAATACTTTTTTAAATTCTCTCATCCGTATCTACTAATATAATCCCGATGCCCTCCCAGCCAATCCAGCCCGTATCCACCTCTATGCCGACGGCCCTAAACCACAGCGACCCAGAACCCTCTCGAAGCACTAAAACAAGCCTGGCCGCAAATCCTACGATGGAAGAAAGTAAGACGAGGAAAAAAAAAGCCCGCTCCCAAAATCTGCAACATGGTGCCTCCGTGCTTACAGAGCAATGACAGGCGGATCGCCGGGTGGGATGCTCCAAAATGTACAGTCAGAGAAGAGGAAACGTGGTATAAACATTCGCGTCGGGTAAGCGCGAGACAGCGACCAAGAGACGGACTTGCGAGGCTTGCGAGGAGAAACAACAAGCGGCCAAAAGAATGAACGGGTTCGAAAGCGAAAAATAACCAACACCAGAAGACGACCCTGAACAGGAGGACACCAACGCCGTAGTATATGCATATCTAGAACCAAGAGACGTAAGCTACATGGCCTAGCGCCGATGCGTAATTATTTTGGGGTTCGCTGCCGTGACTACATTATTGTATGGAACGAAGAGCGTAAGGAGGAGTGCGAACGTCGAAACTGGGTTGAAACACTAGACTTAGCAACCATCAACGTAGGAGTTCGAGGGCCACTCGTATCCGGTTTGTTCCCTGGATGCAAGTTAGTACTCCGCAGCTTCCAAAACAACGAATGTGAGACGTACCAAAGCGTCATGTTGGGGTTGGCGTATGGCTCGGGGTGTTTTGCAATGTAATCGGTGGTAGGAAAACCAGGCGGATCGCAGGTCACCATCTCGTTGTCCTCGTCCTGGTAAATGCGAATGTAGTCGATTCGCATTGTCGCCGGCATGAGTGTAGCGAGACCCGTTAAATTGAGCGGCGCGAAACTGTTCGACATGCCGAAGTTGGCAATGACAGTCATAGGTTCCTCCGGTATGGTCCTCTGTCCGATATTGCCGTTTGCTCGGAGTGCTCGGCCATCCAGGGTGAAGGTAGCCTCCTCACCCACGTACCAGGTGACATAACCATCAGCGCCGGGTTCGTATTCGAATGAGTATGTCTGGTAAGCGTTGCCATCGTACCAATCGTTGTTCAAGTGAGTGAGACCGGAAATGGCTTGTTGGAAGGGGCCACCGGCGTAAGTATTGATATGGGTGACGCGGTTGTCGTATAACTCGAAGTAATCTAGGAATCGTCAGAACTGCCGGAAAACAATAAATTTGGCAAGTGTTGACATACCATAATCGGGCTGATACCACATGTCGAACGGCGCAATCTGACAACTCTGTGACACTACACCGATAGCCGCCTTATCCGGAGGATCCAAGAAATCAACCGTAGCTTCCAGGGCATCGATTTCTGGCGCGCTCCGGGACTTGCCAGCACTTGGATGGTCTTGGCCTTTGCAGGTGCAAGCCGGAAGCCTCATCCCCGGCAGGTAACTCAACCCATCGGTCGAGCTTTGGTTTTTAGTGATGCCCGCGTCGCATTCGTGGTGGTAGCTGTAGGGCCACATGCCGTCTGTAGTCGCCAAATATCCAGGTCTGCCGAGGTTACCCATTGTCCAGAAACCAGGCCAGAATCCGGTAGTGTCGCCCCGCCCAGGAAGCGATATACTGGCTTCTACGTGTCCGCCCTTGAAGCACATCTTGTTCCATGACTGCAACATGCCGGAGCGGTAGTTGAGACCGTGATTCTGAAAAGCGTCGAACTTGATGTTGAGTACACCGTCTCGAGTTACCAGAGCATCCGGATCGTACCACTGCGGAGTGTTAGATCCAGCATTGTAAATTGCATATTTGATCTTACCTCCACATCCTGTGTCGCACCATACCAGATATCTACACCCTGCCAATAAGTATCATCGCCATCGTAGAACGTGCGCCCATCCGTGTTGAATTCGTCCGAAAACTTCAAACGTGTAAGCCAACGTCCTTCTCATCAGAATACCGGAACAACATACCACAAGGACTTGCTTCTTGCCCTTGAATGTCTTCCTTGACTTGACCGAGTCCGGTGTGTCTGGGTCAATAAGACCTGATCGGATGTTCTTGAAATGTGATATTGGCCCGACGTCTATGCAATTCGGATTGGATGAGCAAGACTTGCCGACCGGGTCGACAATCTTCTGCACGAAGGTCCTGTTGAAGGAGAGTAAGTAGAAGTCCGGCCGGCCCATAGCCCTGCAAGCTCGGGCAGAGAGTGAGCTGGGGGTTCACATACAAGATCGGGTATCCGATAAATAAGACCAGTATACCCAGGGTTATGAACGCCAGGCCGCCGATATTGACTAAGCCGCGCTTGGTAAAGATGTCGCACTCTCGCTTCTCCTTTTCATTCGGGTCCGGGTTATGCAGCCAATCGTCTTTCTCGACATCTTCAGGGAACAAGAGCAGGCCAGCGGACGGCAGAATGTTATATTTCTCCGACACTGTCTGCGTATTCACACCTTCATCGTCGCTTCCCGCTCTCGACGGTGCTCTCGAGTCGTCGAAGGGCGACACAAAAGGCCCCATCCGGCTGTCTCGACTTCCAGCAGATTCCGAGCTCCAACTTGTGCGTCGTGAAGAGAAGCCAGACGGCGACCGCATGGGTGAATCATCATCGCGGAATCGTCTTGTCTTGATTTTCTTCGGCGGTATTAGCAACTCTGCAGACTCGGCGACATGGCCGGGTTGGTGGTATAGCGAGTTTTGTGATTTCTCTCTCCGTAATGAAGGAGCAGTGCCGGGCCTCTGGGGTATTAACGATCTGGACGATGGTTGTCGCGATGTCTGTGGCCGCTCTGCTGGGTCGTTCGCCAGGATGTTATCGCTGCCGGAGTTGAGTCGGATGTGTGGAGTTGCACCGCTCCGCCCAGGCGGCGGCGAAGACGGCGGCGAGGACATGGCGGAGGAAGGGTGTAAAGCGAGTGTTTCTACAGCCCTGCAGCTGTGATAACGAGTTGTCGCAGGGAGTAGGGAGAGCTGTGGTTGTTCGACCGCAGGAGTGGGCAGTCCAGTGTCCGCCGCTTTGTCTCTTCTCTGGATGGATGCGAGTTGAGAGCGGTCGTCAGCTGGTGTAGATTCGCGCCTGTGTGTTGTAACAATGCAAAGGAGATGGAGTTGTCGAGGTGGAAGGCGATTACGCGGTAGGTGCAGGGGGCGAAGAGGTTGGCGAGGAAATGGCCGGCGCCGGGGGAGTCGATGGCTTGTGGGAATGAATGTGAGCGATCAGACGATCAACAAAAAACCCGAGAGGACAATGCCGCTGGCCGACAGTTGAGCGTCTTTTCCACAGCTCCTCGTCGCAAGACGTCAAGCAGAACGAGGAGCCAAAAGCACGAGGGCGACGAGGCAAAATTGCACAGCGTTCCTGCCAAGATCCCATCCAGGGGACTGCAAATCAACAATCGCCCCCAACGTCCCGGTGGCTCTCCGGCCTTGGGGGCTCTTCGAAGAGGCGGCAAGCGCCGCCCGAAGCCAGCAAGGCCCGCTAGGCCAGCTAAAAATAATTGGCCCATCAAGATGTCACTGCGGCTCTTCTGAAAGCTCTAACAACCTGGGTAATCTCCATCTACAGGTATTCTGCGCCGGTTGAAGAGCAGAGGAGACGGGCTGGCGGTGGGAAGTTACATAGGAGTTGGCAGGACAGCAGCGAAGTGCATGCATCTGCTCCGGCGGGACACTGCTAAGGTACGAGGATACTTATCTAGTCCATTGGCTGTCATTGCACTACTGATATTTACAAGCAGCCAAGTCACGTTAGTCAGGTGCTCGGCGCAGCTGAAAGCGCGACTCCTGGAAAGGCCTCCTATCGAGCTGTTCATTACCGTCTCTTTTCTCTGGAATTCCTTGCTCTAGTCATCACAACATCAAGCTCATGTGATGGTCTTGCATAGACGATCGTCAAGAGACGAGAAAGTAGAGAGCAATTGGGGAGGCAGTTTTATAAAAATCAATACTCTAGCTAAGATCTCGTTATGGCTCGCACCAGTCTGAGTGCATCCTGTCGATACCCTACAGCAGTAATCAGACTCGGTTTGCTTAGAAAGGAGGGCCTTGTTGAATATCCTAAGCATCGTAAATGTACCTTTTGGTAGAGCGGGCAGCTTATCTATCAATCTCCCACATGACGATATCCGGTAGTCGAGACATCGAGTACATTCTGGTTTTAGAGCAAGATTCGTTCTTCTTTACGCTATCTAGGGTGTTGTGATGTGTCACTCTACCAAGTGGGTATAGGTATATATGATATCTAAGGCAGCTTGTTGTTCGGTCTTCGCCCTCAATCACTTTTTCCGTGCAGCGTCCCGCACAGTCTGCTCAGGACTCCACGGCGAGAGCCTTGAGCCCGACTATCTTCCCTCCCTTCTTGTCCAGGCCGATGATGTAGTATTCCACCCTCGTGGTGCCATGCTCTGCCCTGAAGAACGCCACGTCGCCGCCGCCCGCCTGCTTCACCGCATCAACAACCGTTGTGTATTGACCTTGAGGATCGAACTCCTTCTGGCTGATAGTGGCGAAATCTCCGTCGTAGCCTATGAGTCGTGCGAGTTCGTCTGTAGATGACAGCTTAGTTAGCGATACAACCGAGGTCGAGTAGGAGTTCTTGTATGAAAGAGAACACACCGATCACTCACCACTCGAAGGAAGCCCATCCCCATCCCACTTCAAGCTGACCGGCTCAAACGGCTCGTCGGCATCGGAGACGTAGTACTCCTCGACATCCAGCAATGACGGTGGGATCTCCGTGTCCACAGCTCTTGCTCTGACTGTCTTTGATTGCGTCGAGGCTCTCTTTGAACCTGTATCTTGGTTTGCCTTTTCGAGGAAGCTGGCGTAGTCTTCGTCGGCGGCCATTGTGGTAGATCTGTGAAGTTGTCGGTGTGGGATGTAGGTCGCGGTCGCAATCGCTATTGGTGGTGGTGCGTGTATCGTGAAGGGGGTGCGGTTGGGAAGATGCTGGGGAGGACCTGCGGCTGCAGTTTTTCCTTGTAGGCTCTGTAAACGGAGCTTGCGAGTGGCTGGTTTAGTTTCGGTGAGTTGCAGAGGGGCACAGCGCAGTCTGCGGGCGGAGGCGTATGTCATGCGGTGGAACTTGGGACGAAGTGGGTCGCTGTATTGGGTATGAGGTTGTTGCGGAGGCCACAGCAGATACTTGGACGAATCTGGAATTTGTTACCGGGCATGAGCAGTATGCTGCGACTGTGATTCTACACGCCCTATCGTCAGGACCCCGCCAATCCCACGCTTTGGGTCTGTTCTACGTCATACATCGCGAGATCACATCACGTGACTGGCTCTCAGGGTACACTTGTGGACCATGTTCAACCTTCACTAAGGGTCATCCTTCTTGGACATGCCTACTGTAGACAATGAAGACGGGAGCCTTCTTGATTCACATGACAGCTCACCCTAATGACCTGTTGCCATTACTCATGCACTGTTCTTGTTCGCTACATTACTCGTAATGCTCCCAGAGCCCCATCGGAATGTGCTATTAGGGAGTGCTGTGTCGGCAGGAGCCATCGTGAATCCGACACATGGTGAGATCAAGTCTCAAGGTATCATGATTCGCAGACGCCTTCAGGCGCCTAATCAGTCAACCAAAGAGCCACAGAACAGACGTGTCCTCATAAGTAAGGAACACAGTCCCCACATGAACTAGCTTAGAGCCATGCGTTGCAACCAGAGTTGAGAGAGTGTCAAGAAAAAGAACCTCTACCGGTGTATTTTACCGGCTCACCAGGGATAGCGTGCCCGCACACCTAGCCTGCTTGCCAAGGCGCAAGAATTTGCTTGCTTCGTGCGCCACGCTTTGTGATTCATCATCACAGATTGCAGTCCTACGTGTACGAGATACAAACGAGATGCAGGAATAGTGTTTCCATGCGAGTAGTCGACCAAGGACGATGCGTTGAACGTACGCGTGTAGACGGATGGTACTCGAGTAGTTGATACGATAATGAAGCGAGCAGTGCGTGGAGAGACTGTGCCACCAGAGTCATTACTTTTCATTGTTTGACAGTCGCCTCGGTCCATGGACGATGCTCTGAACCCCGCAGCACGTCAAACTAAACTCCCACGAGGCTGGGTTTCCGGTAGGCATCTGAGGAAGCCTTGGGTGAGGCAGTGGATACGGTGAGGTGGAGGTGGAGGTGGGTCGCTTCCATAAACCTTATCTGCACTGTCAGGGGCAGGCGCCACCTAACCAAACGATCTTACCGGCCCAAAAATCGAAAACGATACTCCGCATGTGCTCTCATTTATTGATCGAAAGGGAGACCTTTTACGAGACTCCACAAAGGCTGGTCCCTGGGGTGTTGATGGGGGCCTGTTTTGATGACTTTCGTCGTCGCAGCGTGAACAGATCTGACAGCGGCATGCGCGTCATTTCCGGATGACCCCAGCAGCCACTCAGCCGGCGGTCGGGCTTACCCGCCTTGAAAGGGAGGGTGGTTTCATCTGGCGCAGGCAGGCCGAAGCAATCGCCGAGAAAAGGGGCGCTCCTAGCGTAGCGCGCCGCACCTTGTCGGGATAAACCCGGCAGGCGCTGCGTTCGGCGCAGAAAGGGACGCAAACACTTGCCCAGGTGGGCGGCGGAGGAGGTACATGGAAGGCCGATGGGCTGCGTGGCCATGCCGAGATGCGATCCGGCCTGTCGCAATGTGTCGCACGGGGGGGATTTCCAGCCGATGCGCGGCAGGCGGCGGTTTTGTATCACGGGTTGCTGCAGAGGGAGAGCGCCAGACGGGTGTTGCGGAGACGGATGCAAGCACAGCGCCAAGTGGCCCATCATTGCTGCAGATCGTATCCACAAGGCCTCGACGCCACAATCTGCAGCCCACATGCTCGCTTTGCAGGGCCAACGTTGTCTTCAGCTTCACGCCCTGCACGCTTGTCCGGGCAGAATCCGCCAGCCCGCAGTGGACCTGCTGTTTGATTAAGCGGATGAAGCTGAAGAAGCTGAAGCAGCTGGAAGGAGCATCCGATTGATGGTGAAGCCGTTTTGGTGTATCCTTCACGGTGTTTGGGTATGTCGCTATCGCAGCTGCCTCCAGCCGCAACGGTGAGCTTAGCTTCAGGACCAGGCTGTCCCGCGATATGGTCTCCCGAAGGCGCCACTCATAATAAGCTGATCCTTTTACTGCAATACTCTACCTACACCACAGATATCATAGGCTCAGGTAGCTGTCAAGTTGCGCTTCAGCAACGGCTGGCGGACGCCCTTTTGATGACTTCGCAAGGCCACACCGAGCGGCAGAACGGGCAAGTCTCAGGGCGCGGTCGGAGCATTGTGTCATGGCTCAGTTCCGCGCAAGCTGGGGGGCTTTCCTGGTGGTGTGTCGCTTCTCGAACAACGTTGGCGTTGGCGTTCACGGACGGAATGAGCTAGGCTTGGGCCAGCCACGGCAAGGCCTGGGGGAAAATCTGGGCGAGCCTGGCGGGGAGACGTAATACAAGTCGCTGGATACGGCTGGCTCCTCTTGTGCCAGATGTGGGCGGCTAGGGAGATGGCTGAGGCTAATACCGGAGCAACCCTGCTGTCGAAACGGTGTGAATGGATGCTGGCGTCCTGCGCGCAGGCGTTTGGGTCCGTGCCGGGTGTCGATGGCGCTGATCACTGTCCCACCCCCGTCCCACAATTTCGACCAGTGGAAAATGCATCCACGCTCCCATAACCCTAACCCTCGCAGCTGGGCGTTGGCAAAGTGTCGTGTCGCTCGTCGCCCATCGTCGCCCAGCCTGCTCGCCCGAGTCTTTCCTCTCCTCTCTGCGTGCCCGCCCTTCGCCTGCCCTACCGCCTACCGGCTATCTGGTTCTTACTCTGTCGCATCCACGGCTCGATCAGCTGCTCCACTAACAGCTACCACGCCTTGATTGAACCCCAAACAGCAGTATCGCTGGCTCGGGGTGCTGCTGTCGCTCTGCCAGACTACATAAGCCAGTCCCAGCCAGGGAGCGACGACTGTATGTTCACTTGCGCTTTCTCAGCCCTCCCGGTGGGCAAGTATTCGCATGCAGCTCGTCGCTGACTGTATATGCTCCATCGCAACAGCTACTTAGGCGCAATCGTCCTACTCGACGCGATCCGTGTCTTGAACTCAGTGCATCCCGCACAGAAATATCACAGCATCAAGGCCGTCCGACATGGCCGCAGCATACCCTCAGCAGCCGTCTCCAAGAGCCGGAATGATCGGTCACCACGGTGCCAATCCAGGCCATCTGCAGCCTAACGGCCATGCGCAGCTGCCGCCTCAGCCGAAAAACAGCTCGCAGCGATTGACGGAGGTCAACGAAGGCACATGGCTCCAAATTGGTCCGTCCTACCAAGTTAGCGCTATCTTCAAAGCTCTCCTCTAATAGCCAGTAGGTGCGTTGGAAGAGTTGATGGGTCAATCGGACAGCGCCATCCATTCATACGAGCACGCCCTCCGTCACAATGCATGGTCCGTCCCAGCAATGACAGCTATCTCAAGCATCCTGCGCAGCAAAGACCAGTTTCCTGCTGCGGTCGACTATCTGCGACAGATCCTCAAAGTGGAAAACAACAACGGCGAAGTCTGGGGTAGCCTTGGTATGTGACCGACCAAACCACGTGTATCGTAGCAAAGCTGACCGATGATTCCATCCAGGCCACTGCTATCTGATGATGGATGAGCTACAGCAAGCGTACTCCGCGTATCAGCAAGCACTCTATCACTTAGTCGATCCAAAAGTATGCTCATCTCAATCCGTCTCAGACCGCTATGTATTCTTACCGATCATGCTAGGAGCCAAAACTGTGGTATGGTATCGGCATACTCTACGACCGTTATGGCTCGCTTGAACACGCCGAAGAAGCGTTTTCGCAGGTCATGCAAATGGAACCCCATTTTGAAAAGGCAAACGAGATCTACTTCCGCCTTGGGATAATCTACAAGCAACAGCAAAAGTTCCGAGAGAGTTTGGAGGTGCGACGAAGCCAATGACTGCTAACTTGATTGTGATCGACTGACTCCCCACCAGTGTTTCAAATATATTGTCACAGATCCTCCTCGGCCACTGACTGAAGAGGACATCTGGTTCCAGATTGGTCATGTTCATGAGCAGCAGAAAGACGTAAGTCCAGTAATCCCGCCATGGTGGACATGCTCACTGACGTTGCTTCAGTACAACTCGGCGAAGGCTGCTTACAAGCGCGTCCTTGAGCGCGATCCGAAGCATGCCAAAGTGCTGCAGCAACTTGGATGGTTGCACCATCAACAGAGCACTGCCTATGAGAGCCAGGAACAGGCGATCGAGTACCTCGAGCAATCCGTCAATTCCGGTTTGTTCCTCCCTCCTGCTTCATAACCACGCTGTCAAGTCTGATAGATTCAACAGATCAAACTGATGCGCAGAGCTGGTATCTGCTCGGTCGCTGTTACATGTCACAGCACAAGTACCCGAAGGCATACGAGGCCTATCAACAGGCGGTGTACCGCGACGGAAGGAACCCAACCTTTTGGTGCTCCATTGGAGTGCTCTACTACCAGATCAATCAATATCGCGATGCGCTTGACGCGTACTCCCGCGCAATTCGTCTCAATCCCAACATCTCGGAGGTCTGGTACGACCTCGGAACCTTGGTAAGTTTGCTGTTTCGTCTCGATGACACGGCCACAGCAAGAAGCTAATACGATGAAGTACGAATCTTGCAACAACCAGACTGCCGACGCACTAGATGCATACCAGCGTGCTGCTGAGCTTGATCCTGCGAATGTGCATATCAAGGCACGCCTGCAGCTTCTGCAGAGTGGGCAGCCATCAGCTGGATTGCCGAACCAGAATAGCCAGCCTCTTCCACAAGACGTCCACCCACAGATGTATCAGCCCAGCGGCATCAATGGACCCCCAGGCCCGCAGTGGCCTGGTGCACCACCCCCCGCTCAGCCTCCGCAGGGCCCTCCGCCCTCAGCTATGGGCGGTCGTGGCAACGATTGGAGCGGACATCGTTTGGCGGAAATTCAACAGCCACAGATACCGCAACAGCAAATCAGTCATCCCTATGACCAGCGGGATGTGCAGAGGCCACCCGTGAACCAGATGCCTCCGCGACCCGCCAGTCCGAGAAGAGAACCACTGAGGCCATACCAGGAACCGCCACGTCAGGAGCCTCCCATACGCAGAGGACTCACTCCTTCGCCCAAGACTCATCATGCGGCCCCTGTCTTGTATCAGGGTCTTCAAGGTTTGCAACAGCCACCACCACCACAAGCTCAATTGCCTCCGCACCAACAGCCGCCGCAGAACAGGATCACAAACCCTAACTACGGCCCACATTCAGCAAGTGTTCCTCCACCATCCAGCGGTCTCGGCGGCCCCCCGCCAGGCTCCATGCCGCCCTATGGAAGAATGACCAGCCCGCCACCAGAGGTGCGCCCGATCGTAGAAAACCAGGTCCAGTCTCCCGGCGCTGCTTATCCTCGTCAGCAATACCAGCACCTACCCAATCAGGCTGGGCCAGGAGGCATTGCCAATGGCGCACCTCCACCGGCTTCAGCGCTGGCTGCCGCCGAAGCCGCTGCGCGTGAGCGCGAGAGTACCAGAACACCTGCCGTCCCCAAGCGAGCTTGGGAGGACGACAACATGGGCCAAAAGCCTGCAGACGAGAAACGCCCGCGCCTCGAGGATCACCACCACCGTCGGCCCTCCCCGCCGCCAGGCCCGGAGAGGATCGCCACACCAGCTAGGCGTAGTCCTCACAACACCGAACCGCGTCGCCTTGACGAACCTCCTCGGCTGAATGACGGTTATCACCCATCGGAAGCCGCTCATCACCCGCCGTCACTCCCTTCGATACACCACACCCAGTCTCAGCAGCCGCAGAACAGGCAGATCTCTGAGGCTCCGAAAGAGGAACGCAGGGAGCCGCATGAGCCAGCGGTTCGCAAGATGGATGTTGATGAAGACTACGATGATAGCGGTGAAGATGAGAAACGCAACGGTATGATCAGGTCTGGGAGGAACAGCCCACGCGGCTCGGCGAACGGTATGCACCATGGCGCGAGCTCTGTTGATCAGAAGCCTTAGGTACCACGATCGACCCAATCCTGGCCCTTGCCTGTTAGAGTCGCCACGGTCCGCATCAAGGCGAAGTCACAACTTGTGTCTTTGATTGCTCTCAAAAGCTTATTCAATTTCAGTTCCTGTGCCTTTCTGGTTACTGGTTACTGGTTACAACTTGACTAAAGTTGGTCAGATTAGGTGGTGGAGCTGATGGCTGGCTGTTCACCTTAACGGTAAACGGAGCGGTGTTTGTGATGATGATAGCATGAGAGCCATGAGGCTTGCACTACGAGATATCCCTGGGCGATCGGAGAAGATGGCGTTTTATCTGGCATGTTCAAGCAGTTGCTTTACGGCGAATTGATTGTATTTAGATCGAATCTCTTTGCCCTGTTTGCTTTGCTTAAGTTTTACCGAAAATTACCTCTGACAATACATTTATCGTTGTTTCAAGCCAGCTTGTGAGAGTCACAACAACTGAGCGGCCGATTAGAATCTGATACCTGCGCTTGTCAACCTACTCAATGCTCTAAAAATTTAATTTGGTTTACCCGGACCAAGCAACAACCACTTCGGACAATCCAAATTAGTACATAGCTGTCGCTACCTTCACTGTTCATCGGATGGCTGACGCTCAGCCAGTTAGAATCGAATCTTCAGTTTACGTTGATAAGACCATAGCAATACAGCTACGCCCTGTCCCTTCTAGACCGATTGCTTTACCGCTGATTTCCGTATAGACCTGGATATGGACTCCTTGCTTCTTCAAGAACGAGATTCTTCCCGACAGGTTCGCTACCAATTACTTTGCACAGTGTTACGGTGCGAGGATCGAGAGATGTAGCAACCCTCTCGTACCGACAGCGCCTTCTGTCGCACCCGCATCCGCCGCACCTGATACTCAGACTTACACCATCTCCTCGTTTCGTAAAAAAACAATCCGTGTCGCCTCAACTCTCCTTTTTGAGCACCACACGAGTCCTTGCCAGTCTTCACTTAGCGAGGGATTCCTCGTCTGGCCCCAAACTTCATCAGTATCGGGCTTCTGGCGAGTATCACGGCTGGCCGCTACAGCTAGAATCACTTACCTGACCGCAAGCCATACATGTATCGATACTCGAGACAGCCCTACACCTGCCTTTCCTCCCTTCCGCCGTAATCAGCTATACCAATTCCTCAAACTACCGCCCGAAGCCGACGCTCCTTAAATCCTGAAGCCAAAAACCGCAGATTCTTACGTCAGCCCCTCCGTCTTCACCTCGCCCCCATCCTCACACCCGCACCCGTCCTTTCCAACCCTGTTCCTCCTCTACCCTTCCCCCCCAGACCCTCCCCACGCAGGCCACAAACTCCCTCACCCCCTCCCCCTCCCTCTCCTCCGCCATGGCCTCGCTCAGCAGCCTCAACGCGTACCTATCCCCCGTCTCCTGCGTCCATGGCCTTACAGGCCTGTTTCTGTACCGGCCCCGAAACCCGCGCTGTCCGCCCCTGCCGTACCGCGTTGGTGCGGAGTTGTCGCGCGGCGGAGGCTCGAGGGTTGCGGTGTAGATTTTGCGGAGCTGAGACCGGAGAGTCGGGCGCTGGGTCAGGAGGCGTTGGAAGGTGGGGTCGGTGGGGAGGGCGGTGATTGGGAGGGGAGCGGTGGGGAGAGGAGCGTTGGTGGGTGGGTTGCTGGCTGTGGGGTCGGGCGCTGATATACCGGGTAAGGATGGAGCAGTCGAGGGAGATGGCGAGGTCCTGGGTTGGTCGGCTTCGTGCGTTGTCTTGTGGGACTTATAGCAGGTGAAGGAGCAGCTGTGGAAGGTTAGCTGAGCCATAGAGCTATGGAGGGGGTGGAGAGTACTATTGGAGCTCGCAGGAGGGGCATTTGTACTTTGGGGGCTCTTGGCTGCAGACGCCGCAGAGGGCGCTCATGGCGGCGGCTGGTGGGTTGAGAGGCACAGGGAAGGAATTGGTGGTGGTCCTATATTTGAAGTTTTGTAAGCTTCAGAGCAGTACTCTGCGATCCTGCGACGGGTTCCCCAATACGGCTAGATCCACCGAGAGGACGCCGCAACTCTCACACTCTCACCATCATGGACCTCTCTGAAGGCAATATCTCAGTCTTGTCTCAATTATCGGGAAGAATCCCATGGCTTTCCTACGTCCTCTCGCTCGTAAAGCCTTTAATGCTGAACCCTGGATATGCACCTCCTGCGCTCGAGCAAGCCGTGCGCCGCTCCGTCGACCAACCCGCAGGCCTCCGCCATGTAGAGGTATACAGACCTCGAGCAAAGTCCGACAGAGTGCCCAGCCCACCCTGGAGCAGATCCAAGGTCGATATAGTAATAGGAACCAAAACACACTGTATGACAGCTCCAACTATCAAGGGTTAGAATATGCTGAATTGACACGGCCTTCCCAGATACTACACCCTCAGCATAATCCTCGGCACCGTCGCTCTCTCCTACGGCTCCGTTCCTATGTACAAAATGGTATCTAGTCCCTTGCTTGTTCCGGCAGGGCCGAAGTCCTTTCGGGTCTTCCCAGCTGGTATTTTCAACCACTCCTTGAATGCATTGCTGATCACAACACCCGCAACCAGATCTGCCAAACTACAGGCTGGGGTGGCCAACCCATCAACGTCCACACCGCCAATCAATCGTCTGATCCCGCATCACGCCTCATACCAGTCACGGACTCCCGCCGCCTCCGCATAACCTTTAACGGCTCTGTCTCCGACGTACTCCCGTGGAAGTTCACCCCTCAACAGCGCGAAGTCCGGGTACTGCCCGGCGAAACCGCGCTAGCGTTCTACACAGCCACGAACAAAAGCGACGAAGACATAATAGGCGTCGCAACGTACAGCGTGAGCCCGGGACAGGTGGCGCCCTACTTCAGCAAGATACAGTGTTTCTGTTTCGAGGAGCAGAGACTGAACAAGGGCGAGACGGTCGATATGCCGGTCTTCTTCTACATTGATCCGGAGTTTGTAAATGATATTAACATGAAGGGCATTGATACGATAACGCTTTCATACACCTTTTTCAGTAAGTTGAACCAGTAATTGTAGGACTGCGTCATTGTATATGGGTGTCTTGGATGCCCAATTATGCAGCTACAGAACTCGTTACTGACCGTGCTGTGTAGAAGCGAGGTACGACAAAAATGGTCACCTTACGCCTGTACCTGGTTAGAGGGGCGTTGCAAGACTTCGGAGGCGAACCGCGTAATGACTCTGCGATACTCGATGCCTCCATGAAGGCGCACACTGCCCACAGCAGTGACAGAATGGATCGGAACTGAATCCGCCTCAGTGATTTCTGACATCCATAGGTCCCGTGTTGGAAGCTGTAGAAAGCTCACATGGCGATCTTGCTCCGATCTAGCTGTTTCGGTTGCGGATGTTTCAACATAGTATTCTCGAGCGGAGCGTGTGCTTCGAAAATTGAATCGCTTAGCCTTATTCGGCTAGGAGGAGGAGGTTAAGAACCGTGATGTGCGCTGCTATAGCAGCTGGTAGCTCCCGCGGCGTGCTGCCGGAAAGGGAATGCCTGACTGTCGGCGATGTGAGGAGAGGCGCTGTCACCGTAGGAAGGGTAACAGAAAGAGCTCTGTTAGCACTACCACGAATATACAAGTAGTATCACGTCAAGTACCCAAGCCCGTAACGGAGTAGTCGAGAGCCGTACTGTCCCATCTCTACAGGCGATCGAATACATGAAATGTAGTCTATTGGATGATTAATCTGATTAACCGAGCCGCTGGTAGATAACACTTCATAGAAAAGGTGGCGCGTCCGCAAAGCATGGTTGATCCAAGGAAGTCTTGACTGATGAAAGCCGGAAGGGCAGATTTTCCGTCCCTGCGCTCCAGCTGGTGGTGGCTGTAACTCCGCAACATGCACCTCGCCGCAGTGTGTGGGGGAGGAGCAGGCAAACGCACAAACTGACTCATAAGTGCCATCAAGCCGCTTTCATTGCCTTCTGTGGGGTCCTTTCACATTTTGAGGCGTCGGTTAGCGACAGCCTGTGGCCTATGGCCTGCACAGTTCTCAGCCGTTTGCACGTCTACTATTGCTGCCTGATTCCACATACTATCCAGTATAAGACTTTGCTCCTTCCTCTTCATGCTCTGAACATTACCCACATTGCAACCGAAACCCATCATTGATTACAAACACATCAGATCAACATAAACATGGCCACCGACGTATCAAGGCAGCGCTTCCTCATCAAGGACTTACTAACACACAACGTCACGCTCTACCCTGCCAGGGCCAAGGTCGTCCGTAACGTCCCAGACGTTGTCCTTCAGCCTGGATCAAACGAGATTGAGATCTATGGCCTCACCCCTACAGCCGACGAGCATTCCGTGCAGATCGAGGGCCAAGGTGCAGCCGCGACTATCACTGATATGACAGTCGACCTGGTCGCCAACACTGACATCTTTGAGGAAGTGTATCCACCAGATTCTGGTGATGAAAGCAGTGAATCAGAAGAGGAGGAAGATAGCGAGAACGAGATTGATGCCGTAAAGGCTATTTCGGACGAGCTGAAAACGCTCCGTGCCAAATCGATGCACGCTGTTGAGCTCCAGCGAACTGCTAACCGGCGCCTCCTGGCTCTGGACAGCTACATCAACACGGTGAATGCTTCAAAGAACAATTCCGAAGACGTGACGAAGATCCTCAAGCAGTACCAGGATGAGCGGATGGAGACGTTCACCTCTCACTCAAAGGCCACTGAGGAGCTTGCAGACCTCAACAGGCAGGTAGCCCGGAAGGAGAAGGAGAAGTGGAAGGCGGGCAAGGACGAACGCAGCCGCAAGGAGAAGCTTGAAAAAGAGAAGGAGAAAGAACGAGTCAAAAAAGAGCGTCAGAAGGCGGAGCGCCGAAAAGAAGCTCAGCGTGTCAAGGAAGAGCGCATGAAGTTCTGGCCAAAGAAAGTCTATCGCGTCGTGCTGCACCTAGAGACGCCGCTGGACACTCCCGGGTCTTCACGCAGAGGCTCTATTGACTCGGTCACACTTGCTCAAGGGCAATCCCCTTCGCTGCCGAAAGAGCAGCCGGAGCAGGGTGGAAATGCGCCAGCTGAAACAAGACTATCGCTTTCTCTCTCATATGTCACGTCCGAAGCATCGTGGAGGCCCCGGTACGATCTCAGTATCTCCTCTTTGAAGAAAACTGCAAAAATCTCTTACCGTGCCGAGTTCACCAATGGCACCTCCGAGACCTGGAAAGATGCGAAAGTATCACTGTCGACCTCGCAAACCTCTTACACTGGTCTCGATGACACCGTCCCATACATGGATGCCTGGCGTGTCAGACTCGACAAAGACTCTGGACACAGCTCTTCAGACGGGGCCATGAGCTATCAGGAACTCCACAAGCCTCGCGTCGGCAACTCCGCGCCCTCGCGCGTCAACCGTTACGAACTTTTCGGCGTCGACCGGACTTACATACCGGATGCTAGTAAGAAGCAAACTAGATGCGGAAGATGCGGCGGAGATCACCGCAATGCTAGCTGCCCTTACGGGACGGAAACCATGTTCCCGTCTGTTCCAGCCCAGGCTTCTTTACCATTTGGCAGCAACGATCCTGCAGACGTGTACGCTCCGAGGATTTCCGCTTCCGCCCAACAGCAACAGCTCATGTCAACGCGGAGCTTGCAAGAGGCCTCTTCACGACCGAACCCCAGAGGCAGCGGCGGCGGCGGCGGCGGCGCAATGAGACATCGCCGTGTACTAACAGACGAAGAGTACGAAGAAGCCTGCGAAGGGGCCGACGACGACAACCTCTTCGCCAACGAGGAGGAGCCCCGCCTCAGCTACGAAGAGTCCACCTGGGAAGAAGAAGGCCTAACCGCCTCCTACGACGTCCCAGGCCTTCGCACCCTCCCGCCCTCTTCCCTGACCCGCCGCCATAAAATCGCTTCCCTGACCGCCTCAAACATCCACATGTCTTACATCTGCGTGCCCAAGCTCCGCTGCGCCGCCTTCCTGCGCGCCAAAGTGCGGAACCCGTCTTCCAGCATCACCTTGCTGAAGGGCTCGGCAGGCGTCACGCTCGACGAGTCTTTCCTAGGCAACATGACGCTTCCCCGCGTCTCCCCCGGCCAGGCGTTCGACCTCCCGCTCGGCGTCGACCCGGCGATCCACGTCGCATATCCCAAGCCGAACGTACGACGCAGCACTCAGGGCTTCATCAACAAGGAGAGCGCGCAGGCGTTTAGCCGCGCCGTCTGGCTGACCAATACGCGGCAGGCGCCCGTGGAGCTGCTCGTGTTGGACCAGGTGCCTGTGTCGCAGGATGAGAGGCTGAAGATTGGGCTGGTGCAGCCGAAGGGGTTGGGTGCGGTGGGGGATGCGGTCAGGGCGGGCCAGCCGGCGCAGGAGGGCAAGAACGGCAAGTGGGGAAAGGCGGTGGCGACGTTGAAGAAGAATGGGGAAGTCGCGTGGAATGTTACGCTGGAGAAGGGGCAAGCGTGTTTGTTGGGGTTGGAGTATGAGGCGAGGCTGCCGAGTACGGAGAAGATTGTCTCGACGTGAGAGGGGGGTAAGGGGTAGGGTTTCGGAGGATATCTGGGAGGCTCACTTGGACTGGCCACAGGCGTTGGGATATGGCCATACTACTTTGGGAAGATCACATTCTGTCGAGAGGTTCGGGAACATGCTTACCAGGTGTTGGTACAGCTTCGTCAATCATGTACTCTGCTGGCAAGCAGCCCGTTCCGTAGCAATCTGAACGTTCCAGATCGAAATGTGTGACGTAAGCTACGATTGAGCTGCACTGGCAACTATATTCTCGAAAATAACAAAATTAGAATCAGTGATGGAACAGATGTACATTTCGACAAGCAAGCCGATTGAAAATGGAGAAAGGTGCCGAACTTAGCGCCGAACATGTTGTATCTGTAGTGAGAGAAGCTGCGGCGTCTTGCAGCAGCGATGCAAAAAATGAAAAAAAGTGGAAAAGAAACGGTCCGAGCAAAAGTCGAACCAGAACCTAACTGCCTTTTCACGGTTACGGGTGGATGGCTTGCCTGTAACCGCATACCCTTTTGGGGTAGCAGGTAGCAAGTGCCTGTGTCCCGCATTCGCATGAGCCAACGTAGCAAATCTGGGATAGAAGCAAGATCCAGCTACTCATTCCATATAGTTACATTGCCGAAACGCCTTCACTTGACAAGAGTAGGAACTTTTCACGCATCGATTCACCGGGAAGAAATAGAATACCAACCTCGTTTCAATGATTCATCTCCAACATCAAATAAACGTATGAACACAAGATGAGACAAGACTGAAGTGGAGTTGCAATGGTTCCGCTGCGGTTATGTTTACCTATAAGCAAGTCCCTCTAACAACACACGAGCACAGCAGCCCGAGATTCGTGCCGTAAACCTTAAGAAGAGCGGCCTCCCCTAGCCCAAGGAACACATGGAAACTCAGCAATCAGCCCCAGCGCCGGTCGAAGAGCGGACGGAAGTATTCCTCCTGCCGTAAATGCCACCTATTTCCATAGAAGTTGCGTCGGAACTCCTGATGCTTTCCCCACACCTCTCTGTACTCCGCCCAGTCTGCTTCACTCCAGGATTCATAGGTATACAAATTCTGGTTGTCCGAACTCGAAGCGCTAGGCCGTGGAGACTCGGATGGGAGCACGGAGCTGTGGTCGGTATCAGGCGCTGTACAGTCGGACTGGCCGGCTAACAGTGCTCCGGTCTCGGTTCTGCCGTTCGAGCTGCTGGTGGTCTGTCCGGCGCGCTCGGTTGGATTGGCACTATGTGGCTCTGGGTTCGTGATGGTCTGTAACCAAACAGGCTGCAGCTGGGCGACGGTACCGTCCAGCCGAGGACTCGTTCGAGAACCGCTGCTATTGTCGGCAGCGGCGCCGCAAGTATTGTCGCTGGTTCGGTCTTCCCCTAGAACTTCTTCGTAGCGCACTTGCTCGGGCAGATGCAGCTCTGCTACTTCGAAGCTCGCGAAATCCAGGTTGCTGTTTATGTCCAGAGGAAGCATCCCTACGACTGAGAGTGTAAGGCGGCGAAAGGCCAAAGGCAGTGGTCTGAGCTGGATCCAGCGTGGCCAACGCGCTGCTCCTTGCTGGATTTTAGGAGTACCCGGGCTGCAATGCCAAACTTTCAGGGCGCGGTGGTATTGGAAAAGACTGGAAGCCATGGCTGACGAATTAACGTACGGCATCTTGGGCTCGTCACGTATGAGAGTAGATTGAGATGACGAATAGCAAGATCAATGTACGGGGAAGACCGTTGTACTTAAATATGGTTGAATCAGCTCCGCAATGGTGTGGCGCCGGACCGCTAGCTCTACCGAAGGGGCGGCTACGCCTCCACTGGTTGCCTCGAGCTGCTGAACCGTGGTATCATCAGTCTTGGCGAGGTGTTGAGCGTTCCTGGGTCGTGTCACGTGCAAATTACCATAACATCCGGGTGACAAACCTCGCTGGACTCGAAGGGTTACAAACTGGTACGGCACCGTGTTGACGGCCGGTTGGAGGCTTTATCGTCACGTACAATAATAGAGCCAGGTTAGGAGCCTAGGAGTAGGGCAGCGTATACAGCCTTACAATCGTGTTCAAGCTATCAACAGAGAAGAAACCGTAAGATCAAAGGATTTTCAAAGACACGGTGAAGATGATGAATCTTGGTGATTTCCGGGTCTGGCGATTTCTGCCATCCTCGTGCACAATCACGAGACTCCGTGCCCTCTCCCCATAACTTTTCTCCGAGACACGTGGACTGCTTACGATTTCGTGGTCCTGTGGCTTCTTCTGGTCGTTAGTCGATGGCGCGGCATCATACTTCCCCTCCATAGAGAAGATACAGATACGTGCAAAGACGACGGTGTTCGGTCAGGATGGCAGTTTAATATACCCAGCGACGACGACGCTTCTCTTCAGTGTCTGAATTTGAGAAGCCAATAGGAAGCTAACGTTGCGCGGACGGCGCTAGCTGTGAAGAGCATTCCATCGGCTTTGAAGAAGCATGATTGGGCTTACTCCGAAATATGGAGATGGAAAGCATGACTCCACTTGGTGAAAGACAGTTGTTGCGGACCTACGATTGCCAAGAAGCAAACCTACCGCGACAAGCGGAGCGGTATGTTCTGGCTGTAGCCTCTAGCCCAGCACCATGTAACCTCAGAGCTCGATAGTGATAGTATTGGCATCTCTTCGCATGAGTAGGCCGAGGTTTGTAGTGGAGTCGTTGGTCTCGAAAATCTACTCAAAGGGGCCGCCGAGCGTTCATCGGCGCGCATCTCCCAAGGCGGGTCTGTTTCATGCGGAGTGTTCCGCGATGATATGACAGTGACCGCAGGATGAATTGTCCTCGTGCGAGACAGCGTCAAGCGTGTCTGACGATGTTCCGACGCACCGTACCCAAGAAGCCGCAGAGGATCACAGAGTTCGGGTTGATGATGATGTCCTTACGAGCGTCCCGATCCGCTGTCCGTCACGACAAGACGAACGACAAGTCTCGAAATGCCTGGTATCGGGAGCGGGCAGCGGGAGCGGAACGGATGGATTGAGAGCGGATTCTGATTTGCGCGGCGGCCGTTGAGCCAAGAAGCAGCAGCCAGGCAGCCTCTCGGCAGTCGTCTGTGATGATGTCCTTGGCGCAGTCGCACGCCGGCAATCGCAATCACGATCACGATCACGATCACGCCGCAACGGAGCAGCCAAGGGGGGCACTCGACTCAAAGGAAACCCACGCACCGCGCCCCGTCGCATCTCTCGCGGCTTGTCCGCTTGTCCGCTTGTCCTCTTGTCCTCTTGTCCTCTGCAGCAGAACCGCAACGCTGTCGCCATGGATTGGCCGGCCAAGGCACTCCAAACCCGCCAAGTCACTTGGCGCCTGCTTTCTGCGTCCTCCAAGCAAAGCCCAAGACAGCATCACGGTCATGTAGGCAGTGCCTCTGCCTCTCGCAGGCAAAGGCCCCTTCCTTTAAACTCCATCATGTTGCAGCCTCCCTCTCTGTTCCATTTCATCGTCCCTCTCACCGCCAACCCAGCTGATACCAGGAACTGAACACTGAACACGACGTATCTCCCTTCAATGCGATTAGCGTCATGGCCCGTCACCCGCAGCCTCCTCCCATGGCCCATGTACCGGACTATCACCACCAGAGCAACCCCTTCCGAAGCACATGTACGGTAGCCAGCAGCTCACGAGCGAGCTTCCCGAACGCAGGGGTGTACGGCAGCCCCAGACCGTCCATCCCGCATTCCTCGCACGAGACGGCCTCCTCTGCGGGGCACGATAGACTCCCAAGTGCATATCCTCCTTCGCCGGAGACAGCTTACGCGCCGGACAACTTCCCTGTATATGCTGGACGTCCTGATAAGGGAGCTCCATCGCAATACACTTCGGCTAACCATGACGGTAACCTCGGCCCACGCCTCCAGCCAAAGCAACAGGGCAACCCGACGAGAGATCCGGAGAAAGAGGCCGGAGCATCTTCAGCCGATATGTTCTTGCGACAAGGCATGCCGCCTGCGGGACGCTCCAGCAGCTCAAGCCTCACGTACGGACAAGACGACGATGAAGACGAGGGCGACATCCTGGAAGACAAGGCCCTGACGGTACTCGTATGTGGAGGCAAACCTTCGGTCCCTGTAGCCCGTACTTACTTACCTGCAGCTCCACCTCTGCGGCTTTTCCTGCCTCCTCTCCACCGCCATCGTGTTTTGGACACTCCTCTCAGTCATCCTCGCCCTCCTACTCCAACCGGCCCGCCTCTGCAGCTTTCGCCCAAGCTTCCGCGACCAGCTAGTCAGATTCCTCGATCCAGCAATGAAGATGCAGCTCCGTTGCATATACTCCGCACCCGAATCGACTTCCTATAGCGTACCTCTGCTTCTCATTATCAACATCTTTTCTCCGCTCGTGTCCGCTGCACTGGCCATAGCAGCATGGGTAGCCGCTACCTTCTGGTTCTTCTCCGCCATGTTAGGGGATCCGGCCGGAAAGGACGGCCATAATGACGGCAAAGCGGCCGTCCTCGGCATCCGGAGGTGGTGGGAGCAGTGGCTCTTGAGGGCGTTACGGTGACGAAGTCGAGGAGCTACGGCAGCCGAACACCAGAAGAAACACCAGTCTTTTACAGCGAGCATGGGAGGCGTTCTCAGTTGGCTAGGAGCCTAGGTCAGGTAACAGGATGAGCATCACGGAGCACATGATCGGGCGTTTAGGATTCTCTCCACATACCCAGGGTGATTGCTTCAACTAGCATATCGTGTGAGAATTGGCAGATATATACATAGACACATTGTGCAATGTAACGAGCGGCTCAACGCCAATCACCGCATCTCAGTTCTGCTCTCCACTTGTATCCCTGTGAAGCCAGAGGCTAGACCCTGACACCCTGATAGCCCAAATATACCCCACCATGCCCCGCCCCGCCCTCAGCAACCTCCCTCCCTCTTCTCTCCAAGCCTGCGTAGACCGACCCACGGTTGACCGGTACTGACACTCTTCTGTACACAAACAGTCCTCTGTATACAACGCCTCTCCTCCACCCCCAATTGCAACAATGGCTTCAGAACAGCCCCACTCCCACTCCCACGACGGTCCCTCCCACTCTCACGGCGACAGCGCCGACCACGGCCACAGCCACGAGATCCTCGACGGGCCGGGCTCGTATCTCGGGCGCGAGATGCCCATCATAGAAGGCCGCGACTGGAGAGAGCGCGCCTTTACCGTCGGCATTGGTGGGTATGTCCTCTCATCCTCCCCCCCTCCTTCCTCCTTCCTCCTTCCCCCTTCCCCCTTCCCCCTTCTCCCCCCTTCCCCAGTCCCGGCCTACCCCACCGGCAAAGGCAAGCAAACTTGGGGAGTTATCGTCTACAGGAACAGTAACAGTAGGCATACAGTCCCGTCGGGTCCGGCAAAACGGCGCTAATGCTGGCGCTCTGCCTGGCGCTGCGCGACTCTTACGCCATCGCGGCGGTGACGAACGACATCTTCACGCGCGAAGACGCCGAGTTCCTGACGCGGCACTCCGCGCTGCCGAGCCAACGCATCCGCGCCATCGAGACGGGCGGCTGCCCGCACGCCGCCGTGCGCGAGGACATCAGCGCCAACCTGGCCGCGCTAGAAGATCTGCACCGCCAGTTCGCCACCGAGATATTGCTCATCGAGTCCGGCGGCGACAACCTGGCGGCGAACTACAGCCGCGAGCTGGCCGACTTCATCATCTATGTGATCGATGTTGCGGGCGGGGATAAGATCCCGCGCAAGGGCGGGCCGGGCATCACGCAGAGTGATCTGCTCGTCGTCAATAAGACGGACCTTGCTGAGATTGTCGGCGCCGATTTGGCCGTCATGGAGAGGGATGCCAGGAAGATGAGGGACGGGGGCCCGACCATCTTCGCGCAGGTCAAGAATGGGGTGGGCGTGGAGCATATTGTGGGGTTGATACTGAGCGCGTGGAGGGGGAGCGGGGCGGCGGAGGTGAGTAGGGGGAAGGCGTAGAGAGGAGAGAAGGTGAGGGGCTGGTTAGAGAGGTGGATGGAATCGCATGAGAGCACGAGTATTGACATGAGATTTTGGACTGGTGTGTGGAATACTCTGTTCCATTGTAACTATGCGGCGGGCTTGATGTGCCGCCGAGGGGGTACTCTTGAGCGTTGAACCTTCGCTCGGTAAGACTCTGCCTGCTGAAGCCAGCAATGCCATACACCGCAATCCAGCCATGGCCCAGACAAGTGCCAAAATAGATAGCGGACCAATCATACTTCCATCTGTCCTCAATCCCAGGATATCGTTGAAACAGCAAGTCGTGATTTTTGTGACCTTGTATGACTGCTGCACATTCGCCATGCCACAACACCGAGTCCACCTGGAACAGTCCCCAAACAAGATCCTTCGAAAGGCGTACAGAGTCCGAACGTCTAGTCGAAGTACATGCCAGCAAGCTCTGCCGCGCTGTCGCAAAACTCTTGCCATGGCGTCTTAGCAGGCTTCCTACACTCAGGACAGTCGCAGTCGTCATCCCCTAACTCCTCCTCAGTGCCGTTTCCAACGATGCACGGATGGGCCGAAACATCTTCCATGGGTGTAGCGAGGTCCTCATGAGTGACGGAGTCTGCATCAGGTGGTGCTGGTGACAGTGAGCGGTTCGGAGACAGTGCTGAATCGGTGCGTGCATCCCTCTCGGAATCGTCGCTGTGGTCAATTGACTTCTCAGGAAGGCCCGTTTGCTTCCCGTAGTACTTTTCGCGCCGGGTGAGAAGATGCTTGTAAGCGTCTTTGTAGTCACCCTTCCAACGTTCGAAATCGTCGAGGAGACCCTTGTCCGGAAACTGATCCGTGTACGGTGCAACTTTGATTTCGAGTGCCTGGAACTCTAGCTTAACATACAGAAGCTCGGAGTGATCGAAGGAGAGGTCAGCGCGGAGGCTTTCGTTCTCTGAGCGTAGCTTCAGCAGCTTAGCGACGGCGTCTTCGAGGCGGGAGAGCAGCAGATCGTTGGTTTTCTGGCTGGAATTAGACAAGTATGCACACGCTCAGGTAGGAGTGGACTTACGCATTGTTCTTCATAGCGAAGGCGCAGCTCCGACGCAAGCTCCTGCATGCGCCCCAGCTGATACTGACTCTGCAACACGACAGCGTCGTTATCCGAAGCGCGCGTCGTCGTATCTTTCGTTCCGCTGGTGTCCCCTTCTTCATCCGTGTCTGCGCTCAAGCTGTCGATATCATCGTCGTTCATGAAGAGCCCCGAGTCTACAAGATCTGCCGGCTGCCGGCTTTGCGAGTCAGGCGCCGCGAGGGTGTCGTCTATGGCATTGAGCGCTGAGGTGACAGAGGAGAGCGTTTGCGCATTGGGCTCGTTGCGCAGCAATTGGACGCCGATGCTTTCCAATCGATGAAGCAGGTACTTTTGGTCTGGCGACGAGGTTGAGACTGGATCAGGCGAAAAAGAGCCGTCGGTGAAGTAGTCGGAGTGGGGTGAGCCGAAAGGCACTCCCAGCGAGCGCGGCGGTGGTGTTTGCGGTGGTAGCATTGCGGTCGTGTGTCAGCTTGGCTGGATAGCTTCGATGATGTGAGATGTAGATGTTGTAGGGACAAGAGAGGTTGCGCGCACGCAATTTTAATCTCGTGCGAGGTCGAAGAGGAGAAAGCGAAGTGGCAGTCGGTAGAAAAGCCATTGTGGAACTAGACTCGAAGGCGATCACAGAAGGCTGGCCTTGTTTTCACTTCAGTTTGGGGGGGCTGAAGTGAGCTATCCCCACATCACATGACCTGCCCCTCGGACACCGGAATTGCGGAACAACCTGCGACCGACATGCTGGAAGCTCGCCGCGCTTGGGATATACCTTATTCTGGTCCGATTGTAAGATATTCACATTGGCCTATACGCGATCGTGTACAGAGCCTAGAAGTTGGAATACTTGGAGTAACGACCCGGTATCTCTATAAATCGCAATGGCTTCGAGAGTGAGTCTTTTGAACTTGAATGGCCAGCCTTTACTAACCACACCGTTAGCTAGGAGTCCAACCACCATTGGAGACTGTACGAGAGGTTCTCTCTTCAGCTGTCAACGCGCCAAACCCTCCAAACCTCGTCCCTCTCTATGCCTCAATTTCAGCCGAATTCCTCACGCCGTCTTCGATATACCTGAAGGTCAAGTCAGTGAGTCATCACAAGCGATCTGGAAGACCATATGCTGATGGAAGATTAGGTCAAAGAGTAAACTCTCATTCTTATTCGAGAGCGCTGCGACTACGGAGACGATAGCGCGGTATAGCTTTGTAGGCTCCAGTCAGTCGACATTCGCCCCCTCTAGCTGGCATCGGCTTATCCATGCTTCTAGATCCCCGGAAAGTACTGAAAACCGGTCCTAGCCATGGCCCTGAATGTGATCCTTTGCCGCTGCTGCACAGGGAGCTGGCCAAAAGTCGAGTAGCTACGATACCTGGTCTCAACCTACCTCCCTTGACGGGAGGTGCTATCGGATACGTGGGATACGACTGCGTCAGATATTTCGAGCCGAGAACCAAGAGGGAGATGAAAGACGTGCTCAAAGTCCCGGAGAGCTTCTTCATGCTTTTTGATACCATTGTCGCTGTCGATCACTTCACCCAACAAGTCAAGGTCATCACATATCTGAAGGTCCCTGATAGTCTAGAAGATCTAGGTCGCGCGTACGAAGAGGCGACTACTGTCCTGCAGCGAATGGTCAACGTCGTGAAGAGCGAAGATATCCCAATGCCGGAGCAGCCTCCAATACAGGCGAACCAGGAATACACGTCGAATATAGGCCAATCAGGGTACGAAGGGCATGTCAAGCGCCTCAAGGAACACATAGGGAAGGGCGATATCATCCAATGTGTGCCCAGTCAGCGCTTCTCGAGGCCTACATCGCTACATCCTTTCAACATTTATCGGCATCTACGAACTGTCAACCCGTCGCCGTATCTATTCTATGTCGACTGCGACGAGTTCCAGATCATTGGGGCCAGTCCAGAGTTGCTGGTCAAGTCAGAACTGGGCCGGATCATCACACATCCCATCGCAGGGACCATCATGCGAGGGAAGACATCGGAGGAGGACTCGATACTGGCAGACGAGCTCCGCAGCAGTCTGAAAGACAGAGCCGAGCACGTGATGCTGGTGGACCTTGCGCGAAACGACGTCAATAGAGTCTGCGACCCGTTGTCCACTCGAGTGGACAAGTTGATGGTTGTGCAAAAGTTCTCTCACGTCCAGCACCTGGTGTCCGAAGTGTCCGGTGTGCTGCGAGAAGGGAAGACTCGCTTTGACGCCTTCAGGTCAATCTTTCCCGCGGGAACTGTCAGCGGCGCGCCCAAAGTCCGCGCAATGGAGCTAATCGCGGAGCTTGAACGCGAAAAGCGAGGCGTGTACGCAGGCGCGGTAGGCTATTTCGGATACGACAGTGTTGACTCGAGTGGGAGAGTACTTGAGGGCGCGATGGACACGTGCATTGCGCTTCGCACTATTCTCTTCAAGGAAGGCGTGGCGTATCTGCAAGCTGGAGGCGGAATTGTCTTCGACTCAGGTAAGGAGAACATCCTGCTTTGCAAGCCATGCTGATTGTAACGTTTGCATCATAGATCCCTACGATGAATACGGTAAAGTAGACCGCCTTGTCTGTCGCGTTCCATACTAACCCCAGCGCAGTCGAGACTCTGAACAAGCTAAAAGGGAGCTTGACCTCAATTGATAGGGCGGAGGAGAAGCACCTGCATGACCAGGGCGATCAGGTCGCGGTGGCTGACGGACCAGTGGCTGGGGGTGATCGAGGTCATAAAAAGGCGCATATCGACTTTGCGGCTGGATAGGAGGCTGTCGCGCGAAAACGATTCCACACGTTCTGCAATTGAATTGACTGCTGGGTGATTGCAATGTCACGTTTGTGCCCCCAGCGCATCCAAGTGTTTGTTCTCGTGAAGCTTCTGCCAGTTCTTGTCGAGCGCACAGCGGATCGCTTGTGTTCCGACAACCACAACTGCTCAAAGAACGGCGCGGAAGATTGCATGCAGGCTAACCGGTCAAGCCACGCGATAGCGACGTATCAAACAAGCGGACCATTGCCCGGGCGACAGGCTTTGGTTAACCCGACAGGGGAAGGCTGGGCCACGTTAAATGAGTGGCCGGAACGCTGTGCTCCAGTGTGTATGTGCACCGAGCAGACGCAGGATGATGAAGGCGGGGAATTATGCTGGCACAGCGGATGCGACATCGCACTCACTGCATGAACCACGACGAGCAGCGTTGAGGGCAGATGTCTTCCCACCCGCATCGTTACGAGGACAACGAACAGCGAACATGACGTGTGGTTGCACGACGAGCCCCAGGTTTATGCAAGACGGAGCGCCACGGTTTCAAGCCTCGCTCTAGCTTCCGCTAGTCTCGCCGCTTCACACGCTCGAGGCCAATCGCTGCACGGCATCCCAGTCGAAACCGCCTCAGAAGTACCTGATCTAACCGAGAGGGGACTAGAGCAGATGGCGACGGAGCTGAATCGGCCTTTGCCCATCTTGCATTCGTGGTTGCCGTGGTTGTGCAGCGGTGGTGCATGTGAAGGGGGCGGGCAAATGTTGTGAAGCTTCCACTCACTCACTGCCCATTCACGCTACCGCCAAGCCCAGCGAAAAGCAAATGAGGTAGGACTGACGCTGCGCTCTGCCTGGAACCTTGGAAATTGCCCACTTGTGACCGGGCGAAATTGCGGCTGCGCTGGCTCTGACTGCCAGTTTAAATCCCACCACCTCCCACTTCACCCTCGCAACTCTCCACACCAGCAGTCTTCAGCATCCTACATCCCACGTCCTACGTCCTACGTCCTACGCGTGCAGCAGCCTCTCGCTCCCCAAAGCATCCTATCCAGCTTCTCTAATCTCGAGCAACACCTCGTCCACCGATCTTCAAGATGAAGTACTCTGTCGCTCTCGTCGCTGCCGGCGCAAGCTTGGCCATTGCCCAACAGGACATCAACAGCCTGCCGCCATGTGGCGTAAGTCTTGCGCTCACTCGCGACGCGTCGATCTACGCGCCATCATGGCGTTGCTTGCTGACGCTCGGCTTCCTTTCAGGTGACATGCATCACCAACATGCTCGCCATCGGCCCCTCGTTCGGCTGCCCGCTCGGTGACGCCGTGTGCTACTGCTCCAGGCCAGAGTTCGGCTATGGTGTCCGTGATTGCGCTGCACAGGCCTGCCAGGATCAGGGCAATGTCCCATCCGTCCTGAACTACGGAGCCACCTACTGCGCAGGCAAGTGATCGGCTTTCCAATGGCATGGAGCTTCAACTGACGAACATCTCCCTAGGCGTTTTGTCCTCTGTCTCAAGCTCAATCACGGCGTCGGCGCTTAGCGTTCTCTCCTCGGCCACTGAGAGCATCGCGTCGAACACTGCTTCCGCGACCACTGTGACCACCACGGCATCTGCTTCAAGCACCCCGATCTCGACGTCTCCTCTCGTTGCCACTGTCAGCGCCACTGACACCACCTTTGCCACCACAACTGGATTCACCACAATCTTCGGTGCTGGTGCGGCGGCTAGCTCTGGTGCTTCGTCTGTTTCAGACAGCATTTCCTCCGCTCTCTCATCCGCCTCTGAGGACGCTTCGTCTGTGACCTCGTCGCTCGCTTCTGACGCGTCCAGCGTTGCGAGCAGCATCTCTTCAGGTTTGTACCTCAAAGAACCCTTGCACAAAGCTCTGCTAACAGATTGACAGGGGCTGGAAGCATCACTTCTTCCCTTGCAGAGTCTGCTTCCTCCGTTGCCGCCAGCTTGTCCTCGGCTGCCAGCTCCGCAGCTGAGGCCGTTTCAAGCATTGCTGGGCAAGGTTCATCGACTGGTAAGTCACGCGCTCCACCGTTTTTGAGCTTCTACTGACGGTGAATAGCTGGCGCTCCTATGATTACCGCTGCTCCCATCCTTGGTGCCGCCGGTATGGCCGCGCTTTTCTTCATCTAAGTAGTGGACTTTGAACGACGAGCGTGCTGGAGGTAATGATGGATGGCAGCCGACAATTAGATAGCGTGCTGGGACTTCGATTCTTCGACAGTTTATTGACAGGGCGATCTGGTCTGGTTTGGCTGGGTTACTTTTATGCGCTCATGATACCCTTCTGCGATGAGCGGCGAGCTTAGGCAATGCACTAATACTCCCAAACTTCTGAATTATCTTCCTTCGCCCGCTGTGACTCTTGAAAGTCTTTGGCAATTGTGAGCTCGGTGACATTGATACCTGTAGTGGCGTCCCAAATCATGCGTAGATGATGTTGGCTTAAGCATTTTCTCAAGGGATGTATCGGAATGTTGTCCACGTGTTCACGTGCTGGCATGATGGATACTAACCAATTGCACTGTAACACAGGGAAAGAGTGTCGAACGAAAGTCTGGAAGGCCATCTTGCTTCTTCAACTCTAGATAGATAACTGATACTGTATCGATTGAACGGTCTAAGGTATCGCCAAACCTCAGAAACGCAAAACGCCGCCCAAATGAACAAAAGTCTACAAGCACCACCCAATTGCCCACCTGCCCCCCAGAGACTCCTCACGAACACCAAGACCCAAAACAATTCTAGCGTCAACAAGCGTATCGCACTCAACCCCAAACATCCTCCTGCCACTTCCCCCTCCTCTTCAACGCCTCACTCCACTCCCTGACCTCCGTCTCGCCCATCCCCTTCGTCCTCTTCACCGCATCCTGGACCTTAAACCCCACCTCCCTCGCCATACTCGCGCGTCCACAAACATAAAAGTTCGCGCCCTCCCCAATCAGCCTCGTGACCTCGTCCCCGCACTCCGCTACTCGATCCTGCACATACACCTTCTTCTCGCCGCTCACCCTCGAGAAAGCCGTCACGACCTTCAGTTTGCCGTCGAGCGCCCTCGCCGCCTCCTCGATCTCCTCGCGGTAGATGTAGTCCTCGTCCGAGTGCCGACATCCGAAAAAGAGCACCATCTCGCCCACGGGCCGCCCCATCTGCTGCAGCCGCACCCGCTCCGCGACGAACGCCCTGAACGGCGCGAGGCCCGTTCCCGCCGCCACCATGACCAGCGGACAGGACCCCAGCGCGGGGAGCTTAAATTTGCTTTTCCGCACGTGCGCGTGCAGTTTGCCGCCCTCCAATGAACTAGCAGGACCACCGAGGGCGTAGGTCAGGCCGTGCGGGTGTGGCGCCGGTGCATCCGGGGCTGCGGACAGGCTCTGCGACAGCGCGAGGAGGTAGTTCGTAGTGAGGCCGTGGACGAGCTCGCCCGGTGCGTTGGGGAGTGGGGAGGTCGAGACGAGCGCTGTGATGCTGGGCGCGCGGGGGGAGACGACCGAGGAGGAGGAGATGGAGTAGTAGCGCGGTTGGGTCGGCGTGAGGGTTTCGAGGAGATAGCTTAAGGGCAGGCCTGACCAAGCGCCGGCGGCGCTGCTGTCGCCGGAGGTGCTGATGGCGAGCTCGAGGAGCCGGCCGAGGTTTAGGTGCGTGCGGGTTAGGAAGTCGGCGTAGGCGGTCTTATCTTTGCCGAGGGTGGTCAAGAAGAGTTTGGCGGCGGGCGAGGGCGCGAATTGCGCGATGGAGAGGATGGTGTCCCGGCTCACAGGCGCGCAGATCTCGAGGTAGTACCGGAAGAGCGCTTCGGCAGATGTTGGGGTCGGGACACGGACTTTGACGGCAGCGTCGAGGGATTTGATGGAGAGGGGGACGGAGCGGCGGGTGGAGAGGCCGAGCACAGCGAGGAGACGCTCGACTTCGACGTCCGGGTTGGTGGGCCAGACGGCGAGATGGTCGCCTGTCTTATAGTGGATCTCGGATTCGTGCGAAATGTCGAGGTCCATGTGGATACAGTTGCGGTCTTTGGAGGTGAAAAGCTCATACGAGTTCTTGATGGGCAAGGCCTTGATGGGTGAGCAGGCGGCGGCCGCTTTAGCATTGTCACGCGGATGTACTGGCTCGCCGTGGTGGAGGTCGATGGGCTCGAGCGACTCATCCTCGACGACGCAGAGGGTGGGCTCGTACTTGATCTCGCGCTCCTCGAACTGAAGGTCCTTCCGGAAGACGGCAAAGAGATCATCTCTCCAGGCCATGAAGTCTTCCTCTGTGCCGCCCTCGGCATCATCAGCCTTGCCGACTGGCATGAGCGACTTCGCGCCGAACTTCTCCAGAGCTTCGGCGACGACGTCAATGACCTTGTTGTAGTATTTGTAGTTGCTGTTGCCGAGACCGAAGGCCATGTATCGAAGATTCGATAGCGAGATATCCCCGTGCTTGTGGATATAGTCCCAGAAGCCAGCAGTGTTATCGCTCGGGTCGCCCTCGCCAAAAGTCGACATGATGAAGATGGCGAACTTGGTCTGCGGGATGAGGGTGATCGTCTCTGGGTCGTAGTCTGACAAGTCTGCAGCAAGGGCCTCAAGGCCGAAGCGCAGATGACACTCTCGGGCGAGTCTGTTCGCGAAGCCCTCTGCAGTGCCGGACTGCGAGCCCCAGAAGATGACGAGGTTCTTATTAGCCTCCTCCATCTTCTGGGCGATGTTCCTCGTCTCCTTGTTCGCATTCCTTGCGGCCCCATCTTTCAGTTGCGGCCGCTCGTACCAAAGATGGTTGTACGGGTCTGGCTTGTCCCAGGCGATACCCCGAAGGAGGTAGCCGGCGGATCCAAGGGCCACTATGCCCAAGGCTGCTATGTCGGCATACGATGTGGGCTTCGCGAGCTGTGCAAGCTCTTGGAGCGTCTCCGGTAGAAGGGAGGACTGGAGAAATGAAGCGGCCATTGCTAAGGGGTATCTATAAAGCAGAAAAACAGAGAAGAAAGATGAGGCTTAGGAGAAGCAGTCCTGGTGAGCGGCGATGTGACGGTGGTCGAAAGACTCCTTTAAAAGAAAGCAAGATAGATGCTACGCTGAGAGCAGATAATGAAAGCGCAAGAAGGCTGAGAAGGGAAAGTCAACATTTGCGCCTACTACCTACAGTCGTCGGATTGAGGCTGCAACGATCGACAGGGACTTCGCCCTGCCGGCAGCCATTACGAAAGTGGCCGTTTGGCCCAGATGGGGAAGAATGCGGCGTCCCTAAACCTAAGCATATCGAGGGCCGCCACGAGCCGGGTGGCCCGGCTGGGCTGGTCTCAAGCACTCCGCACGAATTACGCAAAGCAGACAACGGTAGGGTCACGGCGCGTGGGGTCTGCAAGCAAGAGCTCGAGGCGCTGCGGGAACCACGGGGAGAGTTGATGCCAGAGATTGAGGCGCTGCGTTGTGGGGAAGCGTGATGGCGGGGTGGTGGAGCGCGGCGAAAATTGCTCCTTCTACCCCTCCTTCATCACCACTTCCTTCCACATTCATCCAGATAGGCAGGCCAAGGAAGACAAGGTTGGATACACGCTGAAAGTGGCAGTTGTCGACGGTTTCTTCAGCCCTGCTCCAGACGTCGTGCCATCCGCAGACAACCACGCTTCCGCGCTTCTCGAAGCACGGCGAGTTGGAGAACAATGGCCCCGTTGCGGTTCGAGTTACTGCGAGCGATGGTCTTGCATAATTGCTTCCGGCAGGTCAGCCCTGTCGGAACCAGCCCACATAGCTACAGCGCTTTTGAAGTGGGAAGGTCTGTGATCTCCATATATCTCCCTCTCTTCTGGATTCGGAGTCTACTAGACACAAACCAGCATAAGTGGTTATATAGACGCCTCCTTCTTCGCCTAGAAACAGCCCAGTACCAACTTCTCCCCTCATCTTCACCTCATCTTATCTGTTCCCTACATCCCCTAAGGCCAACCACATACTCTCGACACTTCTTGCCATACTATACTCCACTACATCCCTGCGGCACGACACTTCGAGCCTCATCGCTATCAACTCCGCAAAGCTCCATATCATCGCTGCCAGGCAGGCCTAATCTTCAAAAAATACTTGATCAGCGAGGCAAGGGGCACAACCTCACAGTAATCCGTTCGAGAGTTTCTCTCACCCGTCGTCGCCATGTACGGCATACTCGTGGCTAGCGTCGTCTTCCTCTTCCTCATCTCCTACTTCATCATCCTACCTGTCGTCAACTACTTCCGCGACCCGAAGGGTTTCCGAAGATACCCGACTCTCAATCCCATCGCTGGCTTCACGGACCTAGGTTTCATGTGGGAAGCGCAGAAGGGATTCCGGTCAAAGACACTGTATGAGATGCATAAGAAACACCCAGTGATCCGTATCGGACCGAACTCCCTTTCCTACGGAGACGTGCACGCAATTAAGGTATACTCGATCCATGTCGCTCCCAAAAAAGTTCGTATGCTGACAGTCACGTGCAGGACATATACGGCCACAGCACCAAGTGCACCAAAGACGTCTTTTACGAGAAGCTCGCCGGGACGCATTTTCACCTCGCGGACGTCGTCGACAAACCCGAGCATGCACGCAAGCGTAAAGTACTCTCGTCCGCCTACGCACTCAAGAATCTCGAAGGCTGGGAACACAAGGTGGCCGACAAGACGGAGCGCTTCATCCGCGGCTGCGACGCCGCATGTACCGCGCCCCTTTCGAAGGAGTTTAAGCGGCCCGACCCGAAAGACCTCACGTTCGACTACCGCGCCTGGAGCAACTTCTTCACCCTCGACGCCATCGCCGACATCGGTCTCTCCGAGCGCCTCGGTTTCCTCGACCAAGGCTCCGACCGCGTGCTCGGCGAGACGATGGACGGGAAGCTCCACTATATCAACTACCGCGAGTGCCTACACTCCACAGCGCGAGCACAATCCAGTATCGTCTGGGCATACGACTGGTATAAAGTGAACGAGAAGCTGACGCGGCTCTTTTCTTCGCGCTTCCGCCACTTCTGGCACCTCAACGAGGGCTGGAACGACATTGTGTACCGTCGTGCCAAGCAGCGCCTGGCGCGGTACGAGGCGGGCGAGAAGCTGGACGACTTCTTCCAGGTGCTTATGGAGGACAAGAACGGCGCGCCTAATAACCTCGAGTGGGGCGAGCTCGTCGCTGAGGTCTCGATCATGCTGAACGCTGGCTCGGATACCACCGCCATCGCCATGAATAACGTGATGTTCTGGCTGCTGCGTAATCCGGCTTGTCTGGCCCGTCTGCGCGAGGAGGTCGACTCGGTCCTCGACCCCGCTGAAGTCGTCGCCCCTTACGACAAGGTTAAGCATCTACCATACCTCCGCGCCTGCCTCGACGAGTCGCTACGCATCACACCTCCCACAACCTTCGGCCTCCCCCGGCGCACACCACCGGAAGGCGCCCCAATCCTCGGCGAGTACATCCCCGGCAACACCTCCGTCTCCATCTCCGCATACGTCGCGCACCGCGACCCCTCAGTCTTCCCGGACCCGGAGCGCTACGATCCGGACCGCTGGCTGCAACCCGACTCCAAGGACATGCAGCCATACTTTGTTGCGTTCAGCGCCGGCGCCCGCGGCTGCATTGGTAGGAATATCAGCTACCTCGAGCAGACCGTGCTTCTAGCGTCTGTGGTGCATAGATACGAGTTCGCGCTGCCGCACCCGGGGTGGGAGCCGGAGCTGTGGGAGAGCATGAATTGTGGGGCGAAGACCATGCCGTTGAAGGTCTGGAGGAGAGATCTGGGCGCTGGCGTGGTGGCGGAGACGGAGAAACTGGTGGAGGCGTAGGGGACTGGATTAGGTAGGCGGAGGAAGGGGAACAGCTATGGAGGATTTAATCTTCATCTGCACCTATTGAGATTTTGGACTCCGCAGGGCATTGCGTCGGGATCTGTTTCAGGCGTTTTTTGAACGGCTGGGTGGATTTGATATCCGGTGTTATTTTCAGGGACCTATGACAGGCCCGCAGTATGGAATATTCGTACATAGACTTCCTTAAAACTCCAATGTAGACAATTATTACACACATCTCTCGGGACCCATCCGCACGCAGATCCAACGGTTTGACATCCCAATCAGGCTGATATGTCCACTTGACCGCGATGCTACCTCGCGTCAGCCGTCATTGGGAGAATGAACGCCTCCTCGAAGAGGTCTGGGGCGTGTCTGAACCTTTCCATTCAATCGCTTCTCCACAAGCATGTTCGTGGCAGCAGTACTTCCCTTACGGCGCTAAAGGTATCATCAACAACAGCGGAAGCAGGAATCGCGCCCCTTCTCTTACGCTTTCGATAATACGATCGGAGCGCGGAAGCGCGCCCAACGTGGCTTTCCGTCACAATCTAATCTCTCGCCCTCAGAACGTCCTCTCCAGGCCGTTCTTCCATGTGCTGGGCATACAGACTTACGTGCACGTCAACAGCACGAGCGATAAAGTCTTACGCCATCCAGCCCCATGTCTCCTTGAGATTCTGCTGCCTGTTCCGCGGTTTCGTCAGCCCCAGCTAGGTTTTGACGCTATTCCTTCTGTTGGAGAGAAAACGCTGCCAGAATAAATCACTTACGCCGTCTGAGTCGGCCATGCGTGCTCCTTCTCCGTCTTCACGAGGATACCCAGCAGAGCCTCCTGCTCATGGCGCAGCTGGAAGCGGTCGCCTGCCATTGCGATAGCCATGCACGCAGTACTATTGGGAGGGTAAAACATCAGCGTTTCGCTCTTACCGCAACGCTTCTCGAGTCAAGCCGCTTAACCGTCTTGAACATGTGGGAGGACACATGGTATTTGTCTTTGCTGGCAACTTACACATAATTCGGCGGCGTCAAACTGTTCGACTCGGCCATACCGCACAGCGCCAGGACATCATGCTTGATATCCTCATCCATTGTCCTGAGCGCGGCCCTCTGTCCCGGGCCTAGTCGAGGAATCTTCGGGTTATGCGCCGTCAAGAGTATCCTAGCGAGGTGGTAATGCTGGAGGCCGGTGACAACCGCGTCGCTGAGGAACCACATCTCCGGGAAAAGCTCCCCGTCCAGCGGCTCACGGTAAAAGATGGGCGAGAAGGACGCAGGTTTATACAACATCCAATCTCGACAGTAGTCCGAGAGCTGGTTGTAGGTGTTGACGCTGTGCTCGCCGTCGCCGAAGCAGTAGCGTATTACATCCGCGCAGTGCACCACGATCCGGTTTGCCCATGTGCAGTCGTTGGCCATATCGAAGCTGCGGTCGATGTTGCAGTGCTCGAGCGCCGGTAATATGGACCGCTGGTTTACAAAGGCCATGTAGATCTCCTGCCGGAGGCCGACCCAGAAGGCGGCTTGTCGCAGGCCGCCCATGACGGTGGATCTCTCTTGGGCACTGATGAAGATATGGGTCCCGAGAAGGTGACTTTGGGTATCGGTACCGGATATTGGTACTGCTCAAATAGTACGTCAGGGATTAGTCCGAAGAAATGTCTACCAAGGCTCAAGTGCGATCTTGCTCAATGGGAGAGAAAGTGATCGGAAGAAACAGAAGTAGGTCTAGGCAGCCAAGAGCAGCCTCGCTACAAGGCAGAACATTTTGCAGAGTCAGAGAGGGTGCGGATGAAGTAGGTCTATGCAAGATACCCGCAAAAGCCTAGCAGAAGCAGTCGCTACTGACGGGAGCGGCAGCGAAGACACAGGCAACGCTAAAGTGCGGAATTTCATAGAGCGGCAGAGTGAGAGTTATTGGAGCCCATTTTCATGGCTTACCTTCGACCTCTTCGAGAAACCTCAGTATGATAGTAGCTGCTAGCAGATTCTCGTCCATTATCGCAGCTGTGTCACTCAGCTCTGGGATCAGATGTTTTAGGCATTCCTGATGATAGCGATCAGAAACGAACGGATCGAAATCACTGATACGACTGAGGTGTCTCGCAGAGGCGGCGAAAATTGCGTTCAGTAATGTCGGGCATATCGCGGCTCGCTGCGGCACTACTAAAGCAAAGTGTCTGTCTTGATCACATAAATCAAATGATCTGGCAAGAACTTCAGTAAAGTAGCGCATCAGTTGTGCTTCTTCTCGGTCTTGCAGTGGCCATATCGGTGCGTCCAGGTAGATCTTCGATAGCGTTTCTGAAACAGCGGAAAACCCCGTGGCGAAGTCACTCGTGATCGATGCTGTCCGATTCAGAGCGTCAAAGCCGTCGGCTGTATCGAGCGGATTTCCGGTGGTGCCTCCTCGGGCTGATGTCGATGTGTACGACTCCACCCGGCGGTGGTGCGATACTTCCCCAGGTGAATGATGGAGTACAGGGGAATCATGCACTATTGGGGAATGTTGCAAGATGCCGGTGTTCAGCTCGGGAGAACCCTGGAAAACATCGCTGAAAGGGAAAGGCGACTCAAGCTCGCCGGTAAGCCTTCGCCTCTTTGTCGGCGAACTGAGTTCATTGATGCCGGGAGTACCGATCGAGTTTGAGTTCGTCCGAAGAGGAGCTGGACGCGACGTTGGGGGAGGAAGCGTTGCCGAGGATGGTTCAGGGGCTGACCGCGTACTCCCACCCCAATCTATCGGGGTAGGCACGTTGTTCGTTTCCGGATCAGAGTCCCGGTCGTATATGCTCACGAGCTCCCGGGTCTCGTCGATGAAGCTCAGGTTGTGCGAGGTCCTGCACCAGGGCTGATTCTCCGCGAAATCGTATTCGCACTTTCCAAGGCCGGAGCCTTTTGCGTTGGCCACGCTAGCGAGGTGTTAGCCGACATTATCTTTAGAAACAATGCTGGACGCAAGCGCGTGGAATGAGAAGCAACAGTGGACACTTCGGCTTGCATAGTGCCCCCACATTACCAGCAGACGGCCCCTCATTCTGATTACTCTAGCTTAGATGCACCGAGAGTTATGAGGTTTGAGAGGACGTACGGAGTGGGCAGCTCCCACAAACCCCAATCCATACCATCTTACGTAGCGTACAGTAACAGAAAGACGAGTGGAGAATGAGAGATAAGAAATAACCCACCTGGGATTGGCTCCATGGCGAAAGCGAATGTTGTAGCCCCGTATGCACTCTTGACCACTCTTCACACATCTTGAACAGGCGGGTCTTTGTTCATCGCCTGCCAATGAATACCATGCAATTAGCTTGCCAGTCGAAACAATATCGGTGGAGACTTACACTTCAGATGTCTTAGAGCCGAGCACTCCAATCAGTGCATGCTCCATCGCAATTTTCTCAGCATCTAAGATCACTAACCTCACACGACAGCTCTGTACAGTGACTTCCTGTCAGCAAGTCTGATGTCTTCGGAATTCGACATCCATAGACTTACCTGACATCCGGTCCTAGTGCGAGGCGTTGAGCTCGTCATCTTCCCATCCGAGACGGTCTTTAGATCAACGTGGCAGGCAAGTCCAGGCGGCTAAAGCACGGTGGTAAGGGCAGTACCAGGTAAGAGGTTGAAGGCTGTGAACGAGGGCCAGCACGCCCAAGATATCCTCTTTCAGTCCAGCAGGCAGTTACCCAGTTCAGCTAGAGATGGCGTTTGCGGGGTTGACACCGGATTCCAGCGAGACGGCCGAAGGTGTGGGGTTGCCGCTCCGGCGCATGACCGAGACCATGGCTGGTGCAGATCTCGAATTGAGCCTCGAATGGATGGTTGTCAGCTCTCTGGGCTGCGCCCTGTCCATTGAGACGCCGGACGAGCTGGAGAGCCACAAGCCGCGTGAGAACATTGTTGCGGCGACGCTGTGATCTGCTTGAGCTTCCATGAGGCCCGCGGATGGTTTACCGCGAGTCAGTACAATGCACGTGATATCCTCAGAACTTCCGCTTAGTCGTTCTGTCCATGCTGTATGCTTGAGAACACACCAGTGACATCGCCTCCATGAGCTTTTATCATCTTCTCTATGTGCATACGCTACCTAGTAGACTCGAACAAAGCCAAACCGGCTTGACTTAGTCGTATTCTATCAGCCTGTCCAAACACCCATGGAGCTTGTTGTTCACCAAACGACCAGAGCAACAACCCTCATACTACTCAGGAGAAGGACCGGCTTTGCTAACTGTGTGGTTCACGCAAACTGCTCTTCCCTCAGTGTCCCTTCGACACTGGAACCGCGTACCTGCTGTAGTGCAAGCATGCCTCGTTACCGATGGGATGTGAAACACTCTGCATAGAGTTTCGTCCTCAACATGCTGGCGGATTCTCCCAACAAATGAGGAGTGTACACCACACTGGGTTGGATGTTTCGAAGTTCTAATGGCTTACTACGTGTGGTTGATGACGGCACTAGATTAATGTTCCAGGGACCGTACGAAGGCAACATAGAGAATGTATTCATGTGAGTGCCTTAGAGTGCTCACATAAGATTGAGTATCAACAAAAGCAATCTCACGTAAAACACCTTCAACTATCCTGAGAATGTTGTCAAGTATAAGCTGTTAACATCGGAGCATCCCTACTAACTATCCGGCCCTTGAGCTATGATGACCACCATGGTAGAGGCATCACAGGATTGACGGCTGGCTTTCCCGAACTTGTCGATATTGTTTCTGGGGATATTTATCGGGATCCGCTACTTTATCGCAACATGTTGGGCTTCGAGAGGACAATTCACGGCTGAGGTAGGTGGTCCATATCACGTGAGCACTCATCGACTTCGTTGTAGCACAGTCAACATCATCTAATGCTTCATCAAATCCGGATCATGATTATTCAGGGCCGTCTGATAAGCTCTGGACATTGCACAGGGCCAGAGATAACAGGAGATGTCACGAAACTGGCGGCTTCGTTCTTCGCCTCTTTTGCAGGACAGTGAAGCGTCTATTCGACCACAATGTCGTTCTCTTACTTCGGACTCGAAGTGGACGTTCTTCGTCCAGACCGCCCTCTCACTCACTTACAAGGATTATTTAGCACAAAGTAGACAACGAAACACGAGTTGCTTTTGAAGTCATGTCTAGAGGGATTGTTTTTCGAGAAGATGGGTGTACGCTTTTACACATTCTGGATCATATCGTCAACTCCGGAACTCTAGTTCGGATCAAGACTTCATTGCGTCGTTCACCGTCTCTTGCCGGCAAGACAGGTCCAGCAATCGTTGTGCAGACGAACCTCCCCGAACAGATTCGCATTCTTCCCTCAAGCTCCGGTCATAGCACGGCATCTACATCTGGGCGCCGAATCGGTACAAGAGATATGGTCTTGTGATCAAAAGAATAAAACATTCTGCCCCACGAAGCAGCCATCTGTCTTTGCTGCGGATCAATTGCATCGTGGTGCCCACAACAACACACTGTTCCTTCATCTGGACCAGCCAAGAATCTGGTATCACAGAATATATTAGAGACTAAGTATCTGCCAGTGCCACGGCTCTCAGCAATCTCTGGCCAACTCGAAGAACCCGTCAGATCGGCAGTTACAAGGCTTGCTTCTGCCGGCAATCATCTTCTTTGGACGTACGATTTAGGACCGCAGATTTCCAGACGTTAGTCTCCTTGCGCTTCAATATCTCCTCAGCGCGCAGGTGAAGCGCATCTCGCCCTGTCCTGGACACACCACTTCTTTGTTTCAGCTCAGGGAGTCTCGCGAACACTCCACGTCCTTCACCGAACTCACGGGAACTTCACCCCAGGGTCATCGTCCTGTCCGCCCGACTTCGGCAGCACAAAAGTCCACTGATGACGTACGGTTTGCCCTCGGTCTGTACGACATAGGAGACACCCAGTCTCTGGCAAGATAGTACAGCTCGGTCTTCACTCCATCGTCACATAAGCCCAAGAATAAACTACTACATGATCTGGATATCACGCATCCTCCGTCTCCACCGTTACTTCGACTCAGAAGCGTAAGTTTTTGTTCGATCGAAGAGCATTGAGCACTCTCCAACCGCGGCAGGTATCTGCTCTCCATTATCAAGGCTGGGACATTCCTAGGTATTCACCAGTGTCAAAGCCTCTTCACCGAATATTCGTCGCTCCATTGCGCCGGTTCTTGCAGCATCCGCTAGTAGAATGCTCGCCTCCACGACAAACCCTCCACCGTTCCAGGTGCATTCCTCTCTCTTCGGCAATGGCAAGATACAGCCTATAGCAAGCCTTCACCTTAACAACAATGATCATACACCACCAACTACACCGCTTATGCGCGCCAGTTCAGCGCAGGACCTAGCGTCTCGCATGGATGGTGTAGAGCCTTCACTCGCTCCTGAGGGTCATACTCCGGAGCCTTCACCCGCTCCGCCAAGCCCGCAGAGTCAAAGTTCCGAGCTCACTGACGAGATCACCATCAACACAAAAGCCAAGTATGACCTTCGGCCATCAAAGCTCAAAGGCCAATGTTTCAGTACGACATGGATTGACAAGGACGAGAGTGGCAACTTTGATCCAGAGTTGGAGAGAAGGCTTTTGTTGCAGCAGCAGCGCAAGAAGCGGAAGAAGCCCGATAAGGGCAAACGACCGGCCACGACACATGCGGTCCAGCAGGATCAAGAGCCGTTCTTTTCCAAAGTTACAGGGCAACTGAAGAATGCACCCCTCGGCGACATGATGGAAGACATTGACGGTCACGTGGGAGTTTATACGACGCTACGGACATCTTTGGCGCACCCGATCATCTTCAACCATGAAGGGCGCGAACCGTGTGACTGGTGCGTCAACATCAATCACGGCATTGGAGGCCTTGGCGAGCGAGAAGTTGAAGTAATCGAATGGAGTGATGGTCTTGGCTACACCGAGACGATTGGAGGGCACCGCGCCGAGCGAGATTCATCCAAGATGTGTTCCGGCTGCACTTTCGAACGGGTGCAGATCCTTGTATGTAACGCACACAGCATGCAGGAGCTCCCAGACGCCGCCATTCACGACGAGGGCGCTCTCATTGCACAGTACGAACGCCTCACCAAAGGCAGACCTTCACCTGCAGATAAATGGTGCCATATCTGCCTCACACCAGCGTCGTATGCCTGTTGCGCCCCCCAGGACGAGGCGGATGAGGAGAACGCGGAGGTAGCAGAGCCGGAAAGCGTGGGCTGCGGGTTGCTGATGTGCGAGGGGTGCGCAACTAGTTTGAATTCGGAGCACGAAGGGGACCTCAAGGCTTTCCTAACCGCTATGGAGACCGAGGAGCGCGAACTAGGCCTACGCGCAGATTGTGGTTTCCTGGATCCAGATTGGCTGTTAATGAAGAACGTCCTGGCCGAACTTGCGGCTTGATTGCTGCCGTTGGATGACCTGGGAGTTTTTCCGACCTGCTAGCGCTGAGTGATTGGGTTTCGTTTCTATCGCGCGGCGCTGCGCGAGAGAAGAGGTCTTAGTTTGCTTTGAGCCGGCTCACGAGCCTTACAGCTTCTCTTCTTCTGCACATCATTTTTGGCCATCAGTAATATATCATCAAGGTTTCATAAGAATCAACTCGTATCAAGCAGTTTCACATGCCACTTTTCTGAAACTCGGCTCACCGAGCTCACTGAATGCAATCACCAGCCCTCTCCTGCAGTCTGCGCCTGTGTGTTCCTACATCCGGCTCACCTGTACAAAGCCCTCCTTTCCCTCTCCGTGACTATTCTCCTCCCGTGGCCCTCAGGCCGTCTGCCAACCCTCCCGCCAGTGCTTCCACCATCGCTGTCATATCTACGACCACGCCCGACACCATCATCCCTGTGATCGCGATCCTCACGCCCATTCCTTGACCGCCTCCATCCCGCGTCCTCAACTGCCTCGATCGGCACCCTCACCTCTCCAGGCAGCGGCGGCGTACCTATCCGAGTGTGCCGTGCACTGTGCGGAAGTGTATCACTATCCGAGCTCGTTCCACCCTCCGGGTACAGCGGGTGTACTGCTTTTGGAGGACTGGCAGCGGGAGGAATGTACACGTACTCAGCAGGCTTCGACTGGACCGGTGGCGCCGGTACAGCTGTTCCGCTCATATGACGGCGATGGCTTCGTTGTTCCGGTGGAGGCGAGGCCTCGCGCGGACTGTGGTGCCTTTGACCTCCATGTCGGTGCGGACTGGATTCTCGTCTCCTTTCATCCTCATTGTCGCGCTTACGTCTTCGAGGCGGCTCAGCTTCGCGTGGATCTTCTAATCTCCTGCGCCCCGCCCTTCCGAGTTGGGTACGCTTTCGCTGCTCAGCCTTCCACGCCGCCCTCTCTGCGATGTACGCGCCGATGCCCTTTCGCCAGCTAAACTTTGGCTTCTCCGATGGCTGCTGCTTCTTGCGCTCACCGATCTCTTCGTCCTTCGCTGATCTCTTCTTCTTAAAAGACTCATCTCTCACCTGTCCGTTCGTCATGTCCCGCTGCAGCGATTCTAGTGGCTCGCTCAATGGACTTCCGCGTCCACTAGTCATGAGGGCGAGGCGCTCGGCCGTCAACTCTGCACTTCTCTTTGGCTGTACATCCCGATGTCGACGCTGATGGTAATGGTGGTGACTCCGTCCAGCTTCTCGTTCGTTTGTCTCTTTGCCGCTCGCGCGGTGCTGGCGGTGCCTCTGTTCTCGGCGCTCATCTCCCTCCTCCGTGTGAGGTGCCTCGTTCCCTGGTTTCGTCGCTGTGCACCCCTCAGTGTGCGGAGCTGCAGGCGGATGAGGAGCCTCGTGTGGCCCATCAGAGAAGTAGCCTTCAATACTGTTCATAAGCTTCTTCGACGTCGACGGCCCTTCGAGTCTCCCTGACGTCTGCCTTTTACCATTCTTCGCTCTCGCCTCTGCCGCCTTCGCTCGCTTCTGCCGTTCAGCTTCCCTGTCCTTCTTGATCTCCTCTGCCATTTCGTCGATAATGGCACCGGCGACTTTGTTGTGATTGATCCAATGCAGCGCAGAGATGACGCTGTGCAGAGGCTTCGGTATCGGCATAGGTGAGAGAACAAGCCAGTCCTTTTCTGGGCGGCGGCCTGGTGGAAATCAAGCTTTTAATGCAGCAATGTGTGTGAGAGCTTTGCTAGTGTTTGTGCTGTTGCACATCGTATGAGTGACGTAGATTGATGTTGGAACTGACCATTCAAGCGTTACGGGGAAGATCTGAGATCTGGGTGTGACTGAGCACAGGAATTGGGCAAACACGGATATGGCGATGACCAAGATAGATAGCTTTATATTTTTGAGTCGCCTCTGGTGACGAAGATGAAAACATTAACCTGAAATGATCATGACATACGTAAAGCATAACTCCTGCATTGAGCATTCCCGCTTCGCCTCGCAACGGCCAAAACCAACACGCACGTGACTAGATCATAAAAGTGACAGGGAAGCGCCGACGATATATTTTGAGGAGATGGTATGCTGCGGCTGTCTCAACGCCTGAAAGGGATTGAACCCTGATACTTTTTGTGCACGAAGATGTATGCACGACTTTTTCCTGATTGATCGATCCAAATCTATCCCGCCAAACCGTCTACGTTAGTGCTAATCACTGTCGCACGTCGAAGAAGGAATGCCCATTCGTGCCTGTAACTTGGCCTTGCATTCTTTGCTGACGCTGGTGGCGGCGAGAGAGTGTCTAGTTAAGATCCAGTGGAGTCCTGCACATTAAGAGCATCATTGTTCTCCGCTGGAGCGATTGATATTACGAAAATCTCCAACTTTCGCAGGAGGTCAGCATGGAGAAGATCATCGCTGAAACCAGTTGATGAACCGTTTTCGATCATTCACCGCAGATGCGGACGGTTCGACTTGGATACTGCGGTCGAATAGCTCCTGCACGAACAGTCAGTGAGAAACTACGGTGAACCCAAGCACACATACATCATCGTCCTTAGCGATTCTCAAATCGAGCACGAGCTGCTTGACCTCCTCGTTCCTCGCCAGGGCCGGGTAAGGTGTGCCTTGCGCTCGCTGCATACCGACTATGACCTCGCCCATTATGTCGAACTTCTTCCAGTTGACCCTCTCGTTGCCAGTCACACCGGTGTTGAGCTCCTCTCCTTTGGCGCCGCCAATGAAGGTGGGATTGCCCTCGCTGGCGCTGACAAGGTCCCGTCGATGCAGAGGTAGGTACGGAATGCGTTCTCCAGAGGAGTTTTCCCAGGCGAGACGATACGCAAAATGCGACTTTTGCGTACTCATAAGGATCTCGAGCTTCATGAAGTCTTTTGCGGTGGTGGCCGGGACGAGGTCGCGTGTGGCAGCAAGACGATGGACAGCAGTGCCATTGATGCCGGCCAGTATCGCTCCCAGAGCGTTGTAATTGTTGAGTTCGCGAAGTTTCTGTCACGGACAATTCAGGTCAGCTCATACAGGAAATATCTCGTCGAGATGGCATCAGGCTTGGAAAAAGACAAGTTCCGAGACCGTGAAGTATGCATAGGGAATCAAAAGGTGCTGATCTCACCCTGGCAACCTTCATGAACTTCTCAAGCATCAATGCCCTGTGCTTCGGCTTGTCCCTCAGCAGCACAAAGTTGGCGACCCAATATGCCAGGTGGTTGAAGTGTTCAATCATGCGATTGACGTTCACCAGGCTGCGATACTTCTTCTGCTCTTCCTTTTTCAGACTGACGTGTCTATCGAGATCCCTCGGTCGTATGGAGCTAAACATGATCCAATCCATGCGTGTCAACTCGCGCGCGATTGACTCTTCAGGCTCGTTCATAATCTGATGCCATTGTGTCTTGGTGAGCGACATGCGAGGAATAGCGACGAGGAGCCTGGCCTGTCGCTGGGCGCCCTCGACAGCGTCCAGCATCGTCTGGGAGGAGGACGCGCTCGCGGAGCTACTGGTGGAGCGCGAACCGACTGAAAGATCTACCAGCGTTTGCTCACTGTCACTATCGCCGGTACCGGGGGAAGATTTAGACGCTCCAGTCCCAGTAGCATCCTCATCAATGGGGCTTCCGCCCAACGTGCTTGCGGTGCTGAGGAATGTTTGCGAGCGTTGTCTGGAGACCTGCTGTCTCTCGTGGTACATGTCTGAGCAGGCCCAGGTGGTGTCGTCATCTTCGACAACTACTTCAAGATCCATCGCCATCTCGCGCGCGGCGACAGAGAAGATACGGTCGCTAGCCAGTTTATTAATGAACTGAGTTGCCGTGCGGCGAGTGCCTGGATGTGCGAAGTCGCCCGGATAGAGGCTGATCCATTGCTCCATGATGGTGAGATGGCGAAGCTGGGCTACGGTCCGAATCATCTGGATAGCTTTGTCGTGCTCCAGGGCTTCGAAGCGAGTGATGATAGCTTCCAGCAGCTGGCGGGGTGCCGCGAACTTACGATAGAGGGCTAGGAAGATAGCTGCGAACTTATTGTCTTGCTTTGAGAGCGGCTGTGCAAGGAGTCGCTCAACAAGTTGATCGAAGGTGTAGCCAGTTTCATCGGAGGGTGGTCCGAACACAGTGTTCTGTACCTCTGAACCTGGAGATGAGTGCCGCTCAGAATCTTGTGACTCGGAAGTAGGCGATTCTTCGAGGTCGAGAAATGACTGTTGAGATGTACTCGAGGGATGCTGAGGACGTGGTCGGGCGGGTTCAGGGAAGCGCGACTGGACGTCTTCTTCCTGGGAGAAAGGCTGACCTTTAAGCCTTCCACCGGACCACTCCGAACTTGCCCGCTCATGCCTTCGCATAAAAGGAGCGGGAGAGCCAGTGCGTACTGCTGAAGAGCTGGCTCTTTTCCGTGCCGCTGCCGCCGCCGTTGCGGTTGCTGCTGCGGGCTTAAGCTGACCTTGAACGAGAAGAAACGTCAGCGCAGGCACGGATAATGTAGGCCATGAAGATGTCCCGAGAGAAGCGTTTGGGGTGGCATGAAGTTCTGCAGATTTCTTCGGCAAGGCCAATGGATTGAGTGCAACATCTGAAGCGCACATAGGTAGGTGGTGTTGCGGGCCAGACAAAGACTAGAGGCAAACACTCACCAGATCTCCCGGACAAGATCGCCCGTAACATAACTGACAGACATCGCTGCTGCGTTTCCGGCGCAGCTTGCGAACTCTGTAGAACGGTGATGCCGCCGAAAGATGTCTTGGCTTTCTTCTCGACATCGGCAGGATCCACCTGCCGGTGAAGGGGGTGGTTATCGCACTTGCATGCGACGAGGACCGAAGGTAACGATAATCTTTGTATGGCATCTGACGGCGTACGAGAGATTAGCGGACAGCACCTCGACATGTTGTGCAGTGGAGAACTCGAAACCTGATTCCTCTAGCTCCGATCACAACGAAGGATATACTAACTCAGGGCCCCAGGCACCTGTCCCAGGCTATCCTTATCCATAACATCGTACAATGTGAGAGCCCCATCAATCCGTGGCATCGTGATATCATCATCTATGGTGCTCGGCCACTGTAGCGGTTCGTCGTCTTCTATATCAAGATCGTCAAACTGAAGCTCAATAAGTCGGACCACATATGTACTGCCGTCCAAAGATAGCTTTTTCGTAGCTACCGACGTGACAGGTGCAGACCGAAGGTCGAGTGCTTTATGTACGAAAGTAGTTTTTCCAACACCGGCGGCGCCGAGGACTCCGATATTGATCTCTTGCATGCTGTTACGTGGAATAGCTTCCGTTGACTGAATTTGGTCAGGATTTAGTCTTTGGCCCATTACTGACGTGTAGTCTGACAAGGTAGTTTAGCTTACAAGCTCGGTAGATGTGAGACTTGGCCGAGGGTCTCCTTCGAGAAGATCAGGAGACAGCGGGCCCTCAGTATCCGAAGAATCCTCAGCTTCGGAGCTGCTCCCGCTCTTCTCGTTATCCTCCTTGTCCTCATCTTCGTCCTCGCTCTCGTCTTCGTCTGAAGAACCGTCCCCGACGGCAGGTGCTGCAGGGGCTGCGGGTAGCTGAGGCACGTTGTACCGCTGAAAAAAGGGATCTTCGGAGATTTCATGGTTATCGACATCGGCGTCATCTTCAGCCTCACCGCTCCTAGGTCCGCGTTGGAGCTGCTGCGAGCTTTGAGCTGTTATGTGGACTTCATGCTGGTCGGATGCGGACCCAGGCAAACGGTTTGCTCTGGGGGCCAAGGGCGCCGAATTGGCGCGGTTCTTCAGGCCGGGCCGCTGTGGTACTTGCTGTGTCGAGGAGGATGAGCTGCCAGCGGCATTGGCTAACGACTCGCTGCGCGAGGGACGCACGTACGGCTGAGAGCTCTTCGCCTTCTCCGCACGGCGTTCTTGCTGCTGGGTCTGCCGTGACGGATTCTCCGTGCAGGAAGTCGTAGACGATCTGACGGAACGACGGGCTGCTTGACCTGAAGGGCCAGTTACTGGCATGGTGCGACCTGTCAATTTCTGATCACGGCAGGCCGGTGCAACAGTGGCTGGCGGACAGCATCGACCTGCAGCGAGCGATGCTGATACGCAGCGCCAACGCTGTCAGACATTGGGCCTGGAGCAATCAGAAGATGGTACGGCAATGATACGGACGAGGAGGCCACCTTGGGGCTGATGTACTACAGACAACGGCTAAGGCCTAGAGACATGCGTATATGAGAGTTACCAGGCACATGAGGTGCTGGGTGCGGGTGCAGGTGGACATGAAGTACTCCAATTGCTGTTTGCTTGTGCAGCCAAGCGAGCTCGAAGCCGCCTGCCCTTCTCCAGCCCTGCAGCCTTGGCGGGAAAGCCCGCGATATTTTGTGACCTCTCCCAGGCGATCGACTTCCGAGCTTGGAGCTTGACGTCCCCTTCCGTGTTAGTCTCTCCATACATCCCCCAAGCATTGCCTAATGCATCGTGCGGTCGTGCTGTTCAGTGGTTGACATTAATGACACCCCCATCAAAGCCTGGAAGATGGGGCGAGAATATGCCCTGATGCGTCATGGGACTGTGAGAACGCGCAACGGATGAGCGACGAAGCAAGCGTCATGAACCTCAGAGCGTGAGGGCAACGCTAGATGCTGCAGGATGGTGCTCTCGACCTGGTTTAGAGCCAGCAGTCACAGCTGTTCTCGCTCCCCCTCGTTTATTTAAGCTTTCCGTAGCCACTCTCCCGCGCTTCCGGAAAGTCAATTGCTGCACCCGCCACGCAGCATCTGCTGAGATCGTCGATCGTTTAATTATGATTCGCTCAAGCAGAGAATGGGGGCGTTCTGTTGGAAAACATCTAACTCTCATCAAGCGACTCTTGGACAGTTCGACCGTGCCGCTACGGGCATCTGTGAACTACGTTTCTCGTCTCCTCGCGGAGCCACCTCATCAACACGAGGAACCTCACCATCTGCAGGGTGTACCACAGCAACTCTGCGTACATAGCACAATGGAAGCGCCCAGGTCGGAAGAAACTGGCCAGTACGATCCCGACTATCGAGAAGGTTGAGAGAGCTCCGCAAACTGTTTATCAGTATCCGCAATGCGCGTACCAGCGTCATCAAACTTATCTGACTTATGTTAGAATGGCATTGTTCGTCCAAGCTTGTTTGATTCGAAGCTCTCTAATTCACTGCCCAGCCCTGAAATCTTTACAGCGGCCCCCTCCCGTCCAATTCTCGAGTGCTTGCTTTGCCAGCTACGAAGACCTTTTGGGGGCGTATCCGAGAAGTGCTGATGAGTGACTCATTGTCTTTTTGCGCATCGATTCTGAGTGCTTGAAGTTCAACGACTGGGAACTCTCGACAGAACCATCAGCGGCAGAAGAAGTTCAAGGCCGAGAGTTTTAGACGCTGCCGAGATAGTCGAGAATGCAATACACATTCGGTATGGGAACGCGTGACGTGGACTTGCGATGAGGATCGAACGAGATTCATGCCTCGGGAGGTTGAGAGTGACTCAAATCATCTTCAAAGAAGGTAAAGTTCAGCTTGAGGACCTCGGAGATCGAGGGTTCTTTGATTCTATTCACGAACAACAGTCGTTGTTCACTTCGTAGGCAGTCACGTGGTGGTGTTGGCTTTGGCAACCCCTTAGCCGGGTACATGTTTCACCGTCCCGGCTGCTTAGGATCTCGACTCACTGGAAAACACTCAGGAACTCACTGCATTAGACTCAGATCCGACTGCGGAGGCAAGGCTGCTCAATGGAGGCTGTGGAGGCTACGTGCATGACAGGCTCAGCTAGCGGCGTTCTTTGGAGGATTGTTTCATCCGCTTTCCGAGCGCTGAGTTCGTAGACATTGACCGAGACTTGAGCTGCGGAGTGTGTAAATGGATACCTCTTCATGTACTCGAATCGATGAGAGAGTCTGAGCGGCAGTAGGGACGGGACAAGCTTGCCGCCTGAGCTCATAGGAGTCCCGGCTGAACATGCTGTCGTGCCTGATCGTCAAGCCGTGCATCTAGGATGCGTGCATGGCATGACTTATCTATGGAGAAGTAATCTCACCAAACTTTATCGACTTGAGTCGGTGTCTTATCACAATCCAAAGTCTCGACTTTCCGGCTCGGACGCCTCTGTCTGGTCCCGTCTCCTCGAAGCCCGCTGAAACTTCATCGCTTTTCGGATGCTTGCATCCCGTCCCTTCCACAAGCGTACCGCCTCATTTCAACCTAATTTTGACGAACATCGCCCTGGTGACCACAGTCTTGTCGCTTGACGTTCACGTGGCATCGGAATCACTCCTAGATCACCCCATCATTTCATGCTACCAGCGGTCTGATTTCAGAAGTCCCCAGGCTAAATGAACGCCACTTTCTTCCGCTCTGAAGCTCCGACCGGCGTTTTCGTCCTTGGGTAGGTATTCACGATAGCAGCTCTAATCTTCAACCTCGGGTCTCGAGCTAATCCGGACCCCGGCACCCCTTCACTTTTATCAACCCCTTCAACCGCCTCTCTCGTCAATTGTCAAGAGAGCTTCAACTCATTGACTTGTTCACTTGGACAGCCACTGTTGGCCCTCCAGCATCGGCTTGCATCTCTTCTCTCGTTCGTCTCCACTCTCAGTGTCCTCAATATAGCTTCGACTCCTTTACTGTTAACGGGAACGGTGGTTACTAGATCTTCTGCTCAGTCCATGATCTCGGTAGTCTGCGAACCTTCACTTGCGCCTCCGTCCTCAACAATCCATCCTCTACGGACCTTCGGTGCGTCTGCCTGTAACAAGGACCGCCGCTGCTAGAGTTCTCTCTCAGTCGACTGACTTCACAACTCAGCTTCCTCTACGCAGCTTTATCGTACGATACTCAACCAGCGCAAGCCGCAAACATGCCCAGGAAGGACTCTGGATACAATCCGGTCACAGACTCTTACAATGACATGACAGCTGAGAGGTGAGTCACCCAACACTCTAACTATACGACGCACAGCTGACATATCCCACAGGCTGAAGAGAGTAACCCTACCTGACAAGTAAGACGCGTCGCACCTGTCTCAAATCACGAAAGCGACATCACCCCTCCTGCCTTCTCTGAGCTAACAAGAAGCTAAGGCTCAAGTGCAACCGCTGTAACCGCAACAAGGCACCGGGAAACTTCTCAAACAAGCAGCTTGCGCCTCTGCGATACAGCATCGCAAAGTCTGGCCGCAGTGGCAGTACTGGTGGCTATTCGTTGACTTGTCGCATGTGCACTGGTGCTCAGGTCACCGAGTTACACTGCTATATGTGTGGGAAAGACAAAGGGCTGGAATCATTCGCGAAGCAACAGCGCCGCAAGCCTGATCATGCGGTACGTGACAACCAAGTCTCGTTCATTGACTGTGTTTGCAAGTTGGCCTGACTGAGCCATCGCTGCCTTGTTATTGTGCTCCTAGCTACTCACAGAACAGCTGCACTGACAATAAATACTGATAGAAATGCTGGGATTGCATGAACGAACAGCTCGCTCTGGAACCGGAAGGTGATGATCCCGTCGACGATGGGATCGATGACGACGACGATTATGGAGAGGACGGCTTCTACGGCTCTGTAAGTTGCAATGCCTGCACATCAATCAAGGTTTATGCTCACTGATATGATAGAATGCTTATCCTGTAATGAGCAACTCCGCGATGTCAGATGCCGGTACTGGCCTTGGGAACCTCTCCATCGATGACAAGACATCAGAGAGTGGCTCAACTACCAGCTACGGCTCTAGCCAAGTCTCGACAAATGCGTCTTTGCTCGACTTCTCCGGCAATCCAGGCTCTCCTCTTGGTGGCGGCGTCAGCCTACCTGGCTCTGTTGCTGATGAAGAAGATGAGCGTTACCCCGCTCAATGGGAAGGCGTTCAAGTTGGTCGTCGGCGCGTTCCGGGCAGCAGCAACCTTCCCACGAGCTCTCAGGATAGTACCGCAGGAGCCAGCGGTTCGCAACGTACCACGTCGGGCAACTCCTTCATGGGTACCGCCTTCGACCCCACGAAGTATGGCCAAAGCCGTCGCAGAGTCCCGTCTGGCACTGCCAGTGTCGTATCGTCTAAGTCCTTCGCGTCAAACACTACTGCCACCAACAATGACAACAGGAAGTGGGCAAAGATCCCCGCTCACGTAAGTTTGACCGGCCCAACAAGAGGAGTGTTGTGCTGATAAACGCACAGAAGCCGAAGGATGAATATCCTAAACCGACCGAAGATGACGAGGATGAGGAAGATGAGGATTGGAAAACTCAGACCCAAGGGTCCGACGACGAGGAAGATGATTCGGATGACGACGATGATGACGACGATGGCCACTATGCTCACTGAGGCCGAGCACTCGACCGGATGGCCGCTCAAAGGCTTTCAGGTCTTCATCACGTGCTGAGCCATGAGATCAGCACATCTACAAGATGTTCTCTACAGTGCTCTGCTTTTCATCTTGTCGATTCGATATGGAAAGATTGGCTCTGATTTCACTTCCTCCCCTGATATGCATAGCAGCTGGGGGGCCTTCACTTTTCGTCTGACGATACTCGGGATAATGCTTTATGCACGCATTTGAGAGGGATGGGAAGGATTGTACCTCCACTGGCTTAATTACAACATGGCATTGGCTTGGTGGGTGTCGGTCGTGTCGGTGGGCTTGCTTTCTGCTTAAATGGCTCAGTCTTCTCCCATAGGCTCATGCATTCAATACACAATAGGAGTTGAACGACTCTCTGCTGATGCTCATCCGAACTGCAGTGGTTTCACGTCCTTCACACAATATCTACTCCGTTGCCCATAGAGAACAAGAGCCTGACTATCCAGTTGAACTTGATCAAGTCAGAACTATTCGTAGTGCAGGAAAGCTAGCGGTTCTTGAGGTGAATCTCTCCGGAGGGTTGGCGTGGGGCGTGGGGAGATTGCTTGTTCCATAAGTTCCAGTGCGGGCGGATACGACACTTTGATATGTGTCACGGTAGCATCTCGAGTGACGCGTGTGAGTTGTTCAAATGGGACTGTTTTCTCAACATTCGTTTCGCAGCACTCGTTTCCACAACCCAAGCGCACGGACCAATGGAACTCTCACCAGCTGAGTAATTGAGCAAAACGTCATATCAGAATTTCTGGGGAAAGCAATTCAAACACTCCACCATACGCCCGAACACACTACGAACACGCATTTCTCACTCGACAATCCTCGAAGTACCCTTGCAAACAAATCCGTATCGCAATACTATCCTTTCCAACACACCGCATCCCTTCGCGATGGCCTCCGCCACACTACCGCGATCAGCCCTTCGGGTACTCTCCCGGACGAGACCTTCTTTGAGCGCCGTCGCAACCATTAGCAAGTCGCCTGCAGCATCGAAGCCCCTGGCGAGATGTCTACATCAGTCTGCGACGAAGACATGGTGGACAGCATCGCAACGACCCTCGATGTCAGCACTGCGCCAGACCTCCACACCTGCCACCCCCAACAGCCGGCGCACAATCTTCATCCAGACAGAGCCCACACCCAACGCTGATGTACGGTCCCTCGTCCTCGTCCTCGTCCTTCACTCCTCTTCCTTCCCGCCCACAACCGTACCATTTAGCTAACCTGCCCCACCACCAGGCCCTCAAATTCAACCCCCACCACCGCGTCCTCCCCGAGAACATCCCAACCCCCTACCTCGAGTATCTCTCCCCACGCTCCACCCTCGCCCCGCCGTATCCCTCCCCCCTCGCCGCCCAGCTCCTCGCCGTGGACGGCGTGACCGCCGTCTTCTTCGGCGCGGACTACATCACCGTAACCAAGGACCCCGGCACGCCCTGGGCGCACGTAAAGCCCGAAGTCTTCAGCCTGATCACCGAGTTTGTGACGAGCGGGCGGGAGATCGTGACGGCGTCCGCGGCGGGGAGCAGCGAAGGGCAAGGCGAGGAAGCCGGGCAGGGCGGCGGGCAGCGCGACTCGCTTGAGTATGACGAGAATGATAGCGAGGTTGTGAGCATGATCAAGGAGCTGCTGGAGACAAGAATCAGGCCCGCGATCCAGGAGGATGGAGGGGATATTGAGTTTAGGGGCTTTCATGATGGGCAGGTCCTGTTGAAGTTGAGGGGGGCATGTCGGACGTGCGATAGTTCGACGGTTACGCTTAAGAATGGGATTGAGGTGAGCGGGTTTTGCTTTGTCTACGTGAAGTGTACTTCTGCTAATTTCTGGCGCCAGAGCATGCTTATGCACTATATTGATGAGGTCCGCGGCGTGCAGCAGGTATTGGATCAGGAGGAGGAGGTTGCGCTGCGAGAGTTTGCGGCGTTCGAGGAGAAATTGAGAAAGCAAGGAAAGGAAGTGCCGGCGACAACGGTGGGGAAGGGGAGTTTGGATTTCGTGGAGTAAAGGAGGCTGGTGCATTGGCGGAGAAGCTGGTTATCAGACGCAGCAAGAGTGAAGTAAGGAAGGAAAATTGATACCATGTGCTTTGATTGTCGGTTATGGATCTGACTAGCAGATGTAAACGGTACGGTGTTGCAATCACGTGGCGGCGAGCACGCTGGCCTTACGGCGGCTCCCTTTCAAGATGGCTAGGGAGAGAGCGCCTGCGATCAAGAGTGTACTTCTGTGGTCTGGTGCATTCCGTTCCCATCAGCTTAGAGCATGTGAGTTGACATTGGTGTTGTGATCAGAAGGTGATGGCATAATCTCAAAGTCTCCTAAGAGGGGCAGGTAGTGTGTTTTCTGACCCCTGTACGCGCTCATCACTGCTGCTGATACGCGTCTACAGCGACGAGCCTGGAGAGCAGTTCGACATTTCCATGCATTGTTTACCTGGAGGCTCCTGGGTACGCAATCACAGTTCCAGGAACCGAGCTCCAGATTCGATTCCGCGTATCATCATCTGAAATTGCAGTGGGAGAGCTTCGGACCACATGAATGCACGTCTACTTCAATCGCGACTCCGGATCAAGGATGTTGAGAGCGAGGAAGAACGGAGGATTGTTTTAGGCTCACCACGAACCGGCGTATCCCCAACACAATTGCTGGAGAGTCTCTTACGTATGGCTGTGGTCTCGTGGTTAGGTGCCCATCCAGTTGACAGAATTCACCAGAGTTAGAAATCATCACGCTGCCAATCCATCATCGTGTCCACCACTCCCGTTGTCATGAGTCTCCAATCATTGGTCCTGCTTATAACAGATTCACAGTGTTCCTTGCGTCTCTCTACATCTCCATCTCCATCTCCACCTTGTAACTGAATGCTTTGCTGTATTTAGTGAACTTTTAGGTCGACGGTAAGCGCAGTGACAATGGCATGGTGTGTATGCATCGGCTACAAAAATTCACTATCCATGTTAACCGGAAAGCTAGACGCGAAGCTATTGTCAATATATATCTCTCGATGTCTACTGGAGCCATCTGTACGGTGAGGATACAGGAGTGTGCTAAGCCAGCCTGCAATACCTGTTTGGTACCATTTCGAGATCGCTCTAGGACATGGACCGTTTGTTGCGCGAAAGAATCACAACCATTGTCTCGACTGCACGAACATCTAGTAGTGGCCTAGTAGTAAAGACGCTCCTTTCATATCAACGCCTTGCCGGTCTACATGCATTATGATATAGCTTTTTGAAGCAGCTGGTTTCAGAGAGTAGGCCTCTGAAGCTGGACCAAATATGTTATTATCCAGTCCACTCGTCCCCAGCTTTCTATAGGTTGGTCAAGTAGTCCTCAACCTCTTGCGCGCTCAGCTTGCGGAACCTTGGGCCTCGGGCTCCCTCTACGCCTTCATATCCAAGCAGCTTATCTGCCGGCGGGCCAACGATGCCTGTAGCACTTGTTAGTCTCCATCAACCAGACCGGATCTAAACCAAACGTACCTATCTCTATCGTCTCCCCTGTCATCTCCCCCTCAATCGACTCCTTCAAGGTAAGCAGCGCGATATGAATCGCATCCTCCAGCTCCAAGCCCTCATGAAACCTTTTCTCCAAGAAAGTCTTCGCGCTCGTCGCATTCTTCCCAATCGCCGTCGCCTTCCACGGGAAGTAGCTCCCGCTCGGATCGACCTGGTAGAGACTCGGCCCCCCCTTCAACACGCCCCCCGTCCTTTCCTTCGCATGCTTCTTCTCGGCCTCCGTGGTCCCCGCGTCCTTGGCCTCCTCCGCCTCGATCCCCTCGTCCCAGCCCGCGATCAGCAGGCTCACCCCGTACGGCCGCACGCCTCCGGACTGCGTCGCCTCCTGCATCACGCGCGCGACGTCTTGCACTAGTATCCGTGTGGGCGGGTACTCGTTGTAGATGCGCTTGTAGCCGGTGTGCGAGACTTTGCGGGCTTTATCGACCAGGATCCGGTAGTCGGGGCCCATGCCTGAGTAGACCATGCCGATGTCGGGCGTTACGAGGCTGATTTTCGAGGAGGAGGCGGCGTCGATGAGAGGCGTGGAGGACTTTTTTTCGGTGGCTAGGACGACGCCGTTTGTCGCTGGAGGGATGAGAGTCAGAAAGACACTATAGGCCGTTGTGCGGATGGAGGCTTGTACCTTTGATGCCGAGCGATGTGACACCTTGGTTTACGGCGTTCAGGGCATATTCTGAGAGTTTTGTGAGCGCTGTCCGAGGCTGAATATCGCTCTCCAGAACACATGACAGACGACATACCTATCTGGACCAGCTTGCCGCTGCGGTGATGTTAGAGGACTATATTTGTGCTGAGAGCTTGATGTTTACCTTGGTGAGAAGGTCGTGAGCGAGAAGGAGTATCGGTCCGCCATGTTGCGGGTCGGACAGTGGATTACGAGTGGGACAACGGGCTACAGCCAAGTCTCAGAGTATACACGAAGAGCTGTAGAGGAATGCGATGAGGTCGAAATAGCTCTTGCTCGTAGCTCAAGCTCCAGCAGGCACGCTCTAGTGATACGCGGCCAAAGCGCGCTGCTCACGGAGCATTTCGGCCCGAAGCTGTCAGCCACGCCAAGTCTTGATTTGACCGCGGCGTTCGACCAGTTCTAGCCTCTGCCCAGAAAGACATCTGGCCCCATTCAAGAATGCTTCCACGGGCTGTGTTGGCGTTTCGGTGTCATAAGAGCTACGACCCTGGCTAACTGTGTTTTTGAGGACTCGATCAAGCAGTAACAACAGCATAACCTGACTTCCTTTCAACCGCCTAGCAGAACACCTCCGCTAATACCTCTCGACCGTGGAATCCAGCAATACATTTTCGGCACCTGTGGGCCTCCACAGACTGCACTCTTGTGGATACCTCAGGTCTACCCATATCAATTGAACGAGAGCTTAAGCGAAAGCCATGTCGTCGAGCGGCTTCCAGGCCATGCCCGGCTGGTACTGGCCGGACGATATCTCAGGGGCACGTAGCAATGTTCCTGCGGACACAGCAAGCGAACCGTTGACGACAGAGAGCACTCCGAAACAAGAAACCCCGCGCCATCAGCCGAGTCAAGGGCCGAGTCAGGAGGAAAGACAGAGGCAAAGACACTGGCGGCCGCGAACCTGTCGAATCTGCCTGGAAACGGTCGATCCGACGTTCCACCCACCCTCAGAAAACCTACCAGGCTTTCTCCAGTCTGGCCCCTCGGTGACGTACGACTCGGAGGAAGGTCGTCTTCTCCGGCCGTGCAAATGTAAAGGATCGTCGAAGTACGTTCATGAGAACTGTCTGCAGGCGTGGCGGCACGCCGACCCGGCATATGGGAGGAGGAATTTTTGGCAGTGTCCGACCTGCGGCTTTCGGTATAGGCTGGAACGCATGCATTGGGGTCGGATTATCAGCAGTGCAGGTAAGGGCTGGCATCGGACATTTAAAGTCACACTCGGACGCTTGAGATTGTCCTGTTCCATGTTCCAGAACTTTTCGCTGACCATGAAGAAACACAGCTGCCCAGATCACGTTGACAATCACTCTTTTCGTACTCGCCACGTTCCTTTTGGGCTTCGTAGCGGATCCCATCATCAACATCTACCTGGATCCTTACGAGCACCTCATCCCAATAGGCGGTTCTAGCGACAGTCGTTACGCGGAGCCAGAAGACCCAGCATCTTGGTTCGAACACTTTCTCAAGGGCTTCGCTTCTCTTGGCCTGTTGAGCTTTCTCAAGGTCCTACTTGCCTCTCCCTGGCGATGGTGGAACATTAGAGTATCGGGCGGCATGGGCGGTGGGGGTCGTGCGGGGAATACTGGACGAGATCGCTTGGCGAATATCAGCTGGGTCGTTGTACTCATTGGAGTTGGAACGTTTTTATATGTACGTACTCATCCAAGCAACTATGAGGTTTCAGTTGCTGACGTTGCTTCAAGGGCGTTTGGAAAGCTGTCCGGACGTGGACTCGCCGCACTCTCGAGAAGGCAGGCGAGAGGGTCATGGACGTCCAAGTGGACGATGACGACGAAGACGAAGATGATGAACCGGGAGCAAGTAGCGCTCCGACAGGCACCACTACATAGGAATCGACCGGCAGAACATTAATCTAAACATCAGCGTGCCCTCTCCTTTACTTCCCATCAACCGCACATCTTTGAGTTGTCACGTGCCGTCAACGGCGTGTCAATCAGTCTGCGTGCGAATAGAGACCGCTTTCCGGATCCGTTTTGGGGCAGACGTCTTGTATGTCCCTTTTTACGACCGGAAAGCACTACCAAGCGGTAATCAAAGCGACTCTCCCGGGTCCTTCAGGGACAGTGTGGGTGCGTTGCAACAACGGCTTGGTACATCTTTCCTTGGGCCACCCTGCTGGGTGTCAGAACCTCGAACGTAGTGCTACTCATAGTACGCTTGTATATATAAGCTCTTCTCCCAGAAGCATTCAGTAGAGCATATGGACTCGTAGTTGGATATATGTATCACTATCAGGAGTGGCTACAGCTTTTCCTCTCATCATTGAATGTCTTTATACAATAACGAGTAGAGTACCGTACTACAAAACAAGTGAATGACTCCCGAGGTCGCTAATACAACAGACAGCCATTTCAGCCTCCGAAACATGCTACGGAGATAGCAGCCAATGTCCGTCACCAAAGTCACGTGCAAGTCTAGCGCCGTAGCACCGTCTCGGTATCTCGGATCTTTTATCTCCTGCGCGCGCTGTAATTCTTCCATGAGATTTTCGTTTAATGCCAACAACGCTCTTAAAAGATGTAGCCCTAAGAAGTCTTAGACCTTCTCATGGCGGAAGTCAATAGTCTTTTCAGATTTACTGGCAGCCCGTTCGACGCCGGCGGCTGAGAATGTGCTCATTGCGCGTTCTGCACCCTCTGCGTCCTGCAAGGCGTGGGGGATAATCTGGTCTCCGAAGAGTTCATCCATTTGCTCGAGCGTCCTGCCCTTGGTCTCCGGGTAGAAAAAGATGTAGCAGAGCATGGCGACGATGTTAAAGACGAAGAAGGCGTAGAAGAAGCGGAACCCAACCTGTCCAAGGGCGATGGGCGAGATTTGTGCAAAGAGCAGGTTCAGGCACCAGTTTGTCAGCGTGGAGAGAGAGTTGCCCTTGGCTCGGATCTCGATGGGGAAGATTTCGGCTGGATAGACCCATGATATAATGCCGGTCATGGTAAAGAACAGGCTGAAGACAAAGTTCATGGCCACCATGGACCGGAGCGCTGCGGCGTTGGTAGACGTCCCGACGTCGAGGACGAAGTACTGGCTGAGGACTGCATTGACGACGAGGGACAGGCCACAGCCAATCGCGGAGACTATCAATGGCTTGACGCGGCCGACCTTGTCGAGGAGGTATAGGCCGATGGCGCAGTAGACGATGGAAAGAGTCCCCGATATGCCAACAATTTCTAGAGATGTCCCCGTATCAATCCCGAGCAGCTCGTAGATGCGAGGACCGTAGTAGTTTATAACCTGATTGGTTTAAGCTTTGGGGTTATGATAAACTTGAAGAACAGATTCACTTACGTTGACACCAGACAACTGTCCAAACGCCTGAACACCGCAGCCCAGGAGAAGTCTCCGTCGCCAAGTAGGCTTCGCAAGCAAGCCTCTCCAGGTCATCTGTGATCGAGTCTTGTCGGCTATAATCGTATCCCGGATCTCGCGGAACTCGAGGTCTAGGAATTCCTCATTGTCGCCTGTACCGTGTAGTTTCTGGAGCACGACTCTAGCTTCCTCGTGTCGGTCCTTCTCCATGAGCCAGCGGGGGCTCTCGTGGAGAAACCAGATACCCGCAGCCATTACTAGACCAGGGACGACCTGGAAAGATAGGGGGAATCGCCCTGTTATGTTGAAAAGAAGTCAGTCTCTATGCCAGCAAGGAAACGATGGATGACCTTCGCACAGGAAGGGTACGTTGAAGGGAATACTGACACTGGAAGTGGCTATCGACATGGAAAGAGCCGTATCCAAGCCACTGCGCTGCGAAGAATCCCCACGAGAGCATAAACTGCAAGAGACCGCTCAGCTTCCCGCGATCCTGGGCTGTTGCGATCTCAGACTAAAGCGTCGTTAACTGGCCGTTCGCTTCGTCACCGTTGATGTGTCGTCTGGTAACTCACACAATACATTGGCACGATTGCCGAAAGTAGACCGACTGAGATACCCGCGATGAACCGCCCAGCGATGAGCATGCCAATTGTTGTGGCGCCACCCTGAAGAGCGCAACCGAAGACGGAGATGACCGCTCCCACGAAGACAGTCATCTTGCGTCCGAGGAGATCTGCCAACCAAGAGATGGACAGCGCGCCCAGGATGGCTCCACCGGTGAATGAAGAGACGATGCCGCCGACTTCAGCATCGCTTGGATCGCCAAAGTACTCGATAAATAGGGGTTGTGCGATGGTGGATGAAATGATGCCACTGTCATAGCCGAAGAGGAATCCTGTGCCAGATTGTCAGCTTGAAGACTGATCGGATGCTTCTAAGACTACCTACCACCGATGGCCAGAAAGATGGCCGAGCCAGCTGTTACCAAGCGACCCATGATGCAGGTTGAGGTTCTGTTCTTGCTTGTCGAGTGAGAGGCGATGAAAGAGATGCCTGGGCTCTGGAGATGAGATGGATATCATTGTCTTCGAGTACCTGGGTCTTTATATACAACAGCGACTATGAAGACGACAACACACATCTCGAAGGCGACCAGGGACTAGTCCCTTGGGACCAGATAGCCCGAACGCGAGATGCTTGGCAGAGGTTTAGCATTGACTTGGCAAAGGCTTGGTGCTGCTGATTTATCTACGGAGTATGGGCACCTTACCTCCACATGTATTCGGCCGAGAGTGCAGTTGAGACGCCACCATGCAAGTTTTGTCCGACTCTTAAGCCGATCGATGGCCAAGGCGTCCAGACCCATCTCAGCCCTACATGCAGGAGGCTTGAGTGCGCGGGGGCAGGTACGATAGCGCGATACGTTCGGGTTCGACTGAGCCGCAACCCGAGCCTGGGGCCTGCCCGCTCGAAGATTCATTCCTAACTTCGGACAGCGCTTCCAATCTAATAGCACTGCGACTCCTCCTCGCCTTGTAGTCGCCCGACGCGTTCGGGATATCTGAACACGGCCACCATCGTGAAGTAGTACTACTACGACGGTTGGGATATGAACGGAAAGGCTTGCCCCAGCTTGGCCCAGCGCCCTCTTCCTCACCGTCAATACGAAATTGTGTCGGCGCAGAGCGATACGTTGACTTTTGACATCGATTCTTCTCCAATACCCTTCCCCCAGACCTCCGCAGAGCAACAGACACCATGACAGCCCCTCAAGTTCCAGCTAACCAGCTGGTGGACCGGATATTAGCAACGCATGTCAATGAGAGATTCGTGGAGGTGGCCGAGTCTCTGACCCCTCGACTGAACGAATGGATTGAACATCCTCTCGAAGTCGTAACGTTTGAGCCGGATCCATCTAGCTACTTCGGCTGCCGAGTACGTCACAAACATACCATCAACGAGCTAGAGTCACTCCAGTGGGGAAGAGGAGAGGAGTTCATTCTTGATTTCGGATCACATAGAGCGGGTTATTTCTCGTTTCACCTCTCTGCCGAAGGCCTCAATGTCGATGCCCCAGTCCGGCTGAAGCTTACCTTCGGCGAGGTGCCATACGATGTGACGGAAGAACTGCACCCTTGTAACACCTGGATCAGCACCAGCTGGCTTCCGGACGAAGCAATTAACATCGACTGGCTACCCAGCGATGTCGACATGCCGCGCCGATACTCTTTCCGCTATGTACGAGTTCAAGTCATTGATACCTCGCCAAAATTTAAGGTCTTGTTCTCCAGCATCCGGGTCCGTGCTGTGAGCGCTGTCTCACCCACTCAAGCGGTCGAACCAGCCGATCTCGACGACGAGCTCTGGACCAGGATGGACGAAGTCAGCATGCGCACACTCCGCGACTGCATGCAAACTGTCCTGGAGGACGGCCCCAGACGGGATCGTCGTCTGTGGTCGGGCGATCTCCGCCTCCAGGCCTTGACAAATTACTGCACTTTCAAAGATTACTCGCTCGTGAAGCGGTGTCTATACCTCTTCGCCGCTCTACCTCGAGAAGACGGCTCGCTTCCGGCCTGCTTGTTCGAGAAACCGAAGCTTACCCCAGCAACGGATTACATCGTCACTTACGAAGCTCTATACGGCGTTATTGTGTACGACTATGCTTGCGCGTCGAGGGATCTCGAGACGGCGGAGGACCTCTGGGAGACGGTTCTCAACAGCATGAAGATGACCTTGTTCCACGTCAGCCCGGACGGAAAGTTTTCCTCTGAAGGACCAGGGTGGAAATTTCTCGACTGGGCGGAAGGCCTAGATACTAACGCGGGGATGCATGGCACTACGATTTTCTGTTGCAAAGCCATCAACAAGCTTGCAGCGATGCTCGGTAAAGACGAGCCATATACGGACATCGTCACCAAGATGACTGACAAAGCCGCGGATTTCTTCGATGAGAAACAGCAGGTTTTCGTCAGCGGCGCGGCCAACCAGGTCTCCTGGGCTTCGCAAGCGTGGATGGCGCTGGCTGGTGCTATGCCACCGGAGGTCTGCAAACGAGCGTTGCTGAATGCTATGGCCTCCGAAACTGCCATCAAGCCTTTGACTCCATATCTCTTTCACTACGTCGCCGAAGCGCTCGCGGTATCTGGTGCCGAGGAGGAGTGTCTCGACCTGATGCGAAGCTATTGGGGCGGAATGTTGCGGGCGGGTGCGGACACTTTCTGGGAGTGCTTTGACCCTGAGAACCCTCGCGCGAGCCCGTATGGTGATTGTCATAATAACAGCTATTGTCATGCGTGGAGTTGTACGCCTTCGTATCTGCTTAGGAGCGTGTTGAGGGATTACCTAAGGGCTGAGAAGTAGTGGTAGAAGGCGTCATGGCTTAAGAGTGAATACATCCCATAGGCAAATCCCAGAGGTTGATGGTGCCCCTATAATTCTCCGCTGTTATTTAACGGTAGCCTTCACCAGTCTCATACAGTTATATGCGAATACACAGGTCGCGCAGCATAGTATTGACTTGTAATAACAGTTAGATCTTGATAAAAATTTCTGAACGTTGAAAGCGCGTCTTCTTCGAGAGTAAGGGGAGAAAGTCGAAAGCGTTGATGGTGTGGAAGACAGTTCCTGGCTTGCTGGAAGTGGTCAGCCTCAGGTCCAAGGGTCTTCCGAAAAGGCCGTTGCCGCACGGAAGGTGGACAGCGCATAAGCGCAGTTCACAAATCAAAGGTTTCTTCGGTGATCAATACATTGAATGGCTGCACTGCCAAGCATCTTGTGCTCTCTATCCCATGCAACCGATCTAGCTGTTCTACAATTGACAAGATTATGAGTCCAGTTTGACACTGAATCTGATTGAAAACGCTATGAGCCGAGAAGCGGCAACCGGCTTTCTGATTGGCCTGCGGTTCGACTAGGGTTATCCATGTAGGCGCAGGGCACTAAATTCAAACTCCCGTCAAGACGCAGGGATACCTGTGCGGTGCCTGCGCTATCCCCGCTGCGCAGAGGGGCTCCTTCTGGTGCCTGGCAGCGTTCGATTTGTTACCTAAGTACAGCCTGGGTTATGTTGTTAGTAAAGTCTTGTGACCACTACAGCTCTCATGCGAGACCTTCGGAGCAGTGAGGAAGTTATTTGAGAACCATGAGCTTTAACTTCTCTTCGAAAAGGAAGAATCAGCCGACCATTCAGCAGGGCCCAGCAAACGGTACTCGAAACACCAAAGAAGTTGACAATGTGTCGTCAAAATTGGCCGCCGTCAAGCTAGACACAACGGCAAGTGGCCGTCTGATCGTCGGCTGCGACTTTGGCACCACAGTTAGATACCCTAGAGCCCAGCTTAACTATCAATGTAGACTATAGACTTACCTATAGTCTAGTACTCGGGCGTGGCAGTCGCATACACAGGAACTCCTGACGATATAGACATCATCAAAACATGGCCCGGCGGCAATGGCATCACATCGGAAAAGGTGCCGACGGAAATAGCCTATGATGCCCCTACAGCAGGCCCCAATGGCCCGAAAGGCGAACGGACAGTCAAGTGGGGATTCCAGGTTCAGCCGGGAGAGACGCGGCTGCGGTGCATTAAGCTGTTTCTCGACCGCAACCAGAAGCTACCACCTTACATCTCGTCCTTGGACACAGCCACGCAGCTACGGAAGTACGACAAGACGGTCATGGATGCGGTGACCGATTACCTACAGCTAATATATAAGCATACCATGGACACGCTCAAAGTCCGGTACGGACAATCGTTTATGGCAACGACCGAAACGGACTGGATCTTAACTGTGCCTGCAGTATGGTCGGATGCAGCGAAGAATGCTACGCTCCAAGCAGCGGAAAGAGCGGGCATGGGTGACATGCACAGTCTGCGACTTATCAGTGAGCCGGAAGCAGCAGCAGTTTACACATTCAAGGCGATACAGCCGAACAATTTACGGGTCGGGAGCAGCTTCGTCGTCTGCGATGCGGGCGGCGGGACCGTTGATCTCATAGCCTACAGGATTATTCAGCTCAACCCTCTGCGTATAGAAGAATCAGCAGTAGGTGCCGGCGGCCTCTGCGGCTCAGCTTTACTCAACTATCGCTTCGAAGACCATGTAAAGGCGCGTATTGGCGGGGAAAGATACAAAAACATGAAGACCAAGACCTGGAACATTGGCCTGAAGTACTTCGAGGAATTTGTCAAGAGAAACTTTAACGACAACGAGCAGCAGGATATCAGTATACCGTTTCCAGGCCTACCAGATGACGAAGAGGCGGGACTGGACTGTGGATTCCTGGCTATGACTACAGAGCAGGTCAAGAGCATCTTCGATCCTGTGGTACAAGAGGTTATCAACTTGGTCGAGGAGCAGGTGGAGAGTATACGGCGAAAAGGGGGCAATGTGTCCGGAATTGTGCTGGTCGGAGGATTCGGACAATCGAACTACCTCTACAACCGCATGCGCTCCCACTTAAATTCAGAAGTGCCTCCACCACCGTACACTGAGCGACCGACACACGCTGCGGCACTGGGTCCGCACTCGGGTATTGAGGTCATGCATCCGATGTATGCGTGGACGGCAGTTGTCCGAGGAGCCGTGTTGAGAGGCCTGGAGGGAAGCATTGTCACCAACCGTAGAAGCCGATGGCATTACGGGACGAGCTACGCGACTGTATTCGATGAAACCAGGCACCCAGTGACTGACAGGTATTGGAGTCCATTGTGGGAACGGTGGATGGTCAGTGATCGGATGCAGTGGCACATTTCCAAGGTAAGCAAATTCAATTACCACTATTCGTCTGCCTCACGTTCTACAGGGCGCCACGCTAATCCTTTATGTGTAGGGAGAACAAGTCAATGAAAATCAGCCCATATCCTTCCACTATACGCGCAACTTCCGGCCTGGCCAGTCGCTCATTGTCGAGGATGACCTGATCGCATGTGATGCGGAAATCGCGCCCGATTCGTACCAAAAGGACTTCATCAATGTCTGCACGCTGACGACAAATCTGAACACCGTACCTAGGGGTCTCTTTACTAGGCTTACGACTACGAAGGGCGTAGAGTTCGATAACCTGGACTTCACGCTTGACATGAGGATTGAGAGCGCAGGGCTGATGTTTGAGCTCAAAGTTGATGGTATTAGATATGGCGCTGTGAGCGCAAAATTCCATTGAACATGCCTTGAAGTAGAGATAGATGTAGTGGGCGTTTATGCGCGATACCCAGAGGCCATGAATTGTCGTTTTCCATCATTTGCACAGGCGTTAGTGGCGGTGATTAATTCATACCGGTGACCGATGCAACAAGCATTCGTACTGATCACTAGCATTATCCTTAGGCAATGAGCACCGCAATTGTTGCGCAGTTACGGCGATGGGAAACGACACGTGATATCGCGTAGATTGCTGCGGAGTTGCCGCGGAGATTCTGCGGCGACGCGAGTTATGCTATCGGCGCGCGGACCCGAACCACTCTGTATACATCAACAACGTCTTAGTGAGATGGTGAGTACTCGATTCGTATCGCCCAGCCCGTTGCTCATAGCTTTTAAGGCACCGTCAATACCGAATAGAAAGCGCGGTAGGCCAAGTAAAACAGCGTCCGTAGCACCAGCGCCGTCGAACTCGCGCGCAAGAGTCGCAAACCCTAAATTACGGCCGAACAAGAAGCGCAAAGACGCGCAAACAGGCTCCGAGCCAGAGACCACAGATGGAGGCAGCTCACATGCTGTCAGCTCGAACCGCAAGAAGCGCAATTCTAACGACACAGATGACGAGGACGACGAACGCAATGCTGAGCGTCCGCAGAAGCGCCCCAAATACCAACACCTCAGAGCTCACACCCGCCACATTCCTCAAGATACCATCACCACCAAATGGATCAATCTTCCTCCACCCGCCCAGCAGGCCGTCCGAACGCTCTTCAAAGCCACTAAGCGACCCGTCCTAGCAAGCATGCGCGAGGGGCAGCGGCGCACAGAGGCCGAACTTACCTTGAACGCCGTGATTCAGAAGTTGGAAAAACGACTGCCGCGGATGCCGTTCCCGCCCAAGACGAAAGACGCGCATTTCGATCTGGAGAAGGTGCTGGAGCGGAACCGGGTGCTGGAGGGCGAGCTGACACCTGCGCTGCATTGGGTTGAGTTGCTGAAGGGGGAAGTTGAGAAAGAGGAAGAAGCGCTGGAGAGGGATAGGGTGGCGCTGGCGGAGCTCGAGGCGAACGCGAAGGTGGAGGAGAGGAGAAGGAGGAAGCAGGGGAAGAAGGTTGGTTGGGCGCTTTTGAGCTGTGTGGGAATCCTGCTGATGTTTTGACCAGGCACATCCGCTCCTGATAGAGAGTCTCGATCACGAGTACGAGGGCGATGACGCTGAGAGTATTGGACTCGTTCCATCATCAACGCGGCCAGATCCGTCGCTCTTGCATAGTCTCGATCCGGATTTGAACCCGCTGCTGGAGCAACTGCAGAGTCATCTGGAAAGTATGCAGGCCAATTTGGGGCAGCTAGAAGGGATTGACGATGCGATGGTCAGCGCGCGTGAGGCGCTGGATGATGTGCTGTTCAGGCAGGCAACTGCGCAGCAGTACGAAGCACTATCGGCATTGTAATACCTAGGGAAGCTAAATAGCAGGAATAGCACAACAAGCTTTAATCTCAGGTTTCCGCTTCGCGCCGCGCTACAGAGGCATGGCATTGGAATATATCTATCTTCCTACAATCGTTGTGTGCTGTAAAAGACAGGGCTGTCAACGAATGCGGCTGAGGCAACATTTTAAGCCAAACCGTACCAATGTTTAGACAGATCGTGCGACAAACTTGATGCTTCACATTGTGCGTATACCGTTCTGCTGCGCCAGCCGGTTGAATTCTGATCCCTAACATTCCAGCCTTCATCACGTGATGATTAGAGTGCTTCCGGCTGGGTGAGCGGCCTTTTCCCAATTGGACTGTCCCCGTGCGGCCGCGGCAGCCCACAAGCAACCCCGCGAAACCCTGCAGCAGCCAGAACGATCCGCATAAGGTCGCAGGTCGCAGGTCGCAGGTCGCATGCTCTTAACACTTCACCGCGCCGCAAGCTGTTGATGAACTGCAGTCGCAGGGAGCGCCGTAGGGACGCGCAGCTGAGAGCCGCAAGATCCGATGCAATAGAGCCCGACCAAACCTTCGGCATAGCCAGGAACCGCGCCTGCAACGAACCGGAGAGCTCCAAATCACCAGCGAACCAGCCATTCCCCGCCCCCTTTGGATGACTGAAGTCGCACAAGACAAAGCCAATGGAGGTCCTTCCCAGGTTATGACGTCCAAGGCTACCGAAGCAGAATCCGACAACAATAGAGTGAAGCATGCGCCGAAGAGCGGTTCGCCGCAGAAGCGTGTGTCTGTCGGGAACGAGGAAGGAAGTACTGGAAGCCCCAACAAGAAGCGGAGGAAGGTCAATCATGGTCAGCAGCGGCTGCGCACATCTTGACAGCTGGCAGTACTTCTGCTAACGTGGGCCGTGTCCGAGCAGCATGCATATACTGTAGACGTTCGGTGAGCCGCAGCCTCGTCCTCGGGTTCTCCAAGCTCCCATGCGAAGGCATAACCCTCACCCCTGCGAAAAGCAACATGCTGACTTATTTCATGACCAGCACATGACTTGCGATCTCGTACGCTGCGCCAGCCGCCCCTTGTTCATAGGGCGGTAGCTAACTACGTCCCGTTGTTACTGTAGGAACGACCCTGCACACGCTGCATCAAGCGAAACATCGGCCATCTCTGCCATGACGAGCCCCGAGAACCAGTCAAGAAACAGAGGACCGAAACTGAAAGCGCTGCTGGGGATGACGAGGGGACCTCCAAGGTTGAACGATCGGACGATGACTTCGATCCGCACGCCAGGACCCAAGATGCAAGCCTTATCCTTGCGCCGCCCCCTCTGCCTCACCATAGGGCGGGCAGCTCAGGGCACATTGTTCAACCGACTCCAATATCTGCGCTTCAGGTCTCACCGCTGACATCCAATGAATCGCAATGTTGGTCACACATACCTTCTCCGTTAAGCGAACGTTCTGCTGACGCCTAGCAAAGATCTGGATTACAATGACTGGAACCTTGGAGCACAGAACCACTTCCAGGACATGCACACCTTTCATCCGTCCTATATGTTTAATACCTCTGAAGTTACCAACGAGTTCAACCTGCTCAATGACTTCCTCAGTAACAGCCTGCTTGATGATGGCGTTCTCTACCCTAGCGCTGATATGCAGAACCTCTATACAGACCCTACATACGCGAACACTATGGACGGGCCCCCCATGAACAGCAATAACAACAGCAGCATAGGCCAGGCCATCAGCCAGCATAACAAAGACCCACTGCCGCCATCGCAAGCGGCCGTGGGGAATGCTATCTCGCGCCCAGCAAGTGGCTTCCCCAATGACAAGGCGCGTGAAACCTTCTACCTGACCGCCGCCGACCCTGCGGGAAATGACACGCCCGAGGAACGGATGAACAAGCTCCTGAAAGCCAAGTATGATGCCGGAATGCTCAAGCCGTTCAACTACGTCAAGGGCTACGCACGATTGAATCAGTACATGGAACGGAATATGCAACCCGTCTCAAGACAAAGGATTCTGCGACAACTGGACAAATTCAGACCAAAGTTCCGAGAACGCATGCAATCGCTCACAGATATCGAACTTGTGCGGGTTGAGATGTGGTTCGAGCGGAGCTTGATGGAGTATGACCGCGTGTTCGCGAGTATGGCCATTCCAGCGTGCTGCTGGAGGAGAACCGGGGAAATAGTCCGTGGCAACAAGGAGATGGCTGAGCTGATACATGTGCCGATAGAAAAGCTGCGAGACGTGAGTGACACTCCCTAGAAGTTATTATCAGGCATACAACTAAACCTTGATCCCACAGGGCAAACTTGCGATCCACGAGATAATGGCCGAAGGCTCGCTTGTAAGCTATTGGGAAAAGTTCGGCGCGATCGCTTTCGATAGCTCGCAAAAGGCCCTTTTGACAAGCTGCGCACTGAAGAACCCGGACTCCAAGTCTAAAGATCCAGAACTACGCTGTTGCTTTTCTTTCACTATTCGTCGCGATACCCATAACATGTGAGTAAGCATCTAGCCGTCAAGAGATGGTGTCGGCTGACAGCCTTAGTCCGTCTCTGATTGTCGGGAACTTCCTGCCTATATTGCCTGCAAAGCGGACATAGCTCCTGTCGCTGTTCCTAACCATCGCTTCGCGCTGTACATGGTACTCAAATGTTTGATGGCTTGCAATGGACGGGCACTGCATGGAGTTACAAGGGATTTGGACGTGGAAAGATCGGGGCAACAGGTTTGCTTGTAAGGCTGGTGTACAGATGTCATCTGGACGTTTGAGCGCTCCAAGTCATGTGTGTATATTCTGTTCTGTACATGCACGTTAAGGAGGAGACTGTCGTGGTCAACGGAGTGTGGCCTAAATATTCAGAGTTCCCCATCTTAGTGACGTTCGTACGCCGCCACTTCATGACCGCGCAACCTTGCACCTACATCTCTCAGTACAGCGCGTCGCAACGTATTCAGTCCTCATCTGTCTAATGGCGCCTTCAAATGCGATTCGATCCGAGAAGGAGAAGAAAGTCCGGGCAATCCTTGGTAAGCTGTCGGAGTCGATTCCTCACAAACGGCCTTGGACCGACAGCGAACTGTCGCACGACCAGAAGGCTTGCTCGAGAGCGACGTCGGGTACTTCACACGGGCTCCGTGGTCAGCTCGGCTCTGTCTTGCACAGTTGCGCGTATGCGCATGAGTGTCGCCTTATGCGACCCGCCATCACGGAACGCGCAAGCTGACGCGATCTCGCAGCCTTTGCGGACAGTATATCAGAACGCCTATCCCACGCCAACGGCACAGATCCTATCCTCCTCGCCGAGCTCCACAGTCACATCAACGCGCTCCCCATCACCGCGTCAAAACGCGAAGAGCTAGACGCGAAGGGCACAGAGCTCTGGAACCTCTCTACGCGCCTCAGACGCGACAGCAGCACGACAGCTCCGGCCTTGCTATGCGCCCTACGCGTCTTCGCGTTGCTGCTCCTCATCAGTGGACAGCGCGGCCATGCCGGAACGGCGCATGGATGTGTCAGGCTGCTGAAGGTCGCGCTCAAGGCGGCGAAGTTTTGCATACAGCAGGATCAACTCGACTTGGCTACGAAGGGTTTGGAGCTTGCGGCGGAGTGTATGGATGAGCTTGCGAAGCATGATTTAGAGGAGGAGGATGGCGAGGTGCAGAAGCGGCTGAAGGCGGAGTACTTCGTGCTGCGGACCGCGCTGGTGAGTTTGAGACACACGAAATACCTGCCCCAGTCTAGCCATGGCGGCTAACAAACTCTAATGCAGGCCTGGAAGCAGTCACGACTCGACCTCGCAGAGCACCTGTTCTCGCAAGCCGAGCTTGCAGACAACCGCCTCGGACCATCCACAGCTGAGAGCCTCGCAGATCTTCTGTATGAGATTGGCAAAGACCTACTCCACAAGAAGCAGCTAGAGAGCGCCGTGCGATGGCTGGAAAGATCACTCGATGTTATCGGCGAACAAGATCTGGAGAGGCTCAGCCCGGATGCTGAAGAGCTGCGGCTGGGCATTATGCATGGACTCGTGAGAGCGCTTATTGGGCAGCGAAACGAGGCGGCACGCAAGAGGGCTGCGGATCTGGTTGGGCTGCTGGAGACGGATTATGGAGATAAGATGGCGGTGGCGTTGTTGAAGCTGGATCTGTTGGCTTCGGGGCCAGAGTATGAGGCGGCGGAGTACTACCATGGTAAGCCAACTACTTGTGGATGGATTCGTCACGAGCTTCGAGGAAAAGCATCCACTCGGTCCGCTCCGTTGGTATGGTGTCTGTTTTTAAGTCGTGTTTGGATCTTGTAACATCAGTCTACCCCTATCCTGTGTCACTGCCCGGCCTACCAAGTCCTCTGCAAGCGCCGCTCTGGCTGACTGGCCTTAGTGCTTTTCCGCATGGTACGGTCCCTCGTCCTAACTCCATCGAATTTCAGAACAATACTTCATCACGTTCACAAACTCAAAACTCAGAGTGCAGCAATGGCAGCAAAGCTCATGGGCGATCTCCTGTTCCGGTTGTTGGAGACCGAAAACCATGAGTGGATTGAAAAAGCAGCGATAACGTCTCTCTGGCTGAGATTATCCTCGCCGAACAGTGAAAACGGAGAGACCCTTGCATATGTACAAGACACCTTGGATAATCTTGTCCACAGCATCAAGCGTCCGTTGACCGTGCAAGCAACGCATGCCGCTCAAACCCTGCTGTGGAAACGCATCGAAGCTGCATACACGCAGGAGCATTACGAGATTGCAGAATCCTGGTGTAGGCTTGCCATGCACCGAGTCTTCGAGAAGTCAGGAGAGTTGAATAGATCAAAGATTGCTAGAAAGATTATCCTGTGCGCATTAGCAAGACAGGATCCCCCGAACGCAAGGGGAGCGTTCTTCCAAATGTCGGATACGGGCAAAGCTGCACCGATGACGCGCTACCTGATGTACAAGGTCGCGATGCGGGAAGGCGATGCGGATTTTGCGGCCGAGTGTCTGGACTTGGTAAGCAGACACTCCTCCAAGGACGCTACGCTGCTGTACGCTTGTGTGCTCGAGGCACAGCAACACGGTAACCGGCGGCAAGCTGTTCTTGCGCTTCAGAAAGTGCTGGATAAGTACGAGTACGCTGCACCTCAAGGGGTGCACCTTCCGGCGCTCTTGAGATGCGCTGCAAGACTGCTAATGACTGAATTTGTCGATAATGGCATGCCGGAGAACCTCGGCAACGAACTCTGCAAAATCTTCGAAGGGGCCGCTACGCAGGCAAGCAAGTCGAAGCGCGGCGCAAGTACAAGCAAGAGTCTTGAGTTTACGGCGGCAGAGCTAGATTGGTTTTCCCGGAACAGCTACAACCTGTCGCTGAAGCACTGCACAGAGCTCCACCCAGAACATCTCGCACGGCTCCTGGCCGTCTGCATCCATTTCGTCGAGCTCAGGCAGAAAGAGTCTTCGGTGGCAGAAGACAACGATCTCAACCTGCGCCGCGTGTTCTGCCACTTCCTAGCCGCATGCGCTCATGTCACCATCGCCAGGGCCGAAGACAACATCGAAACATCCCTCAACCATTACCTCTCCGTCCGCAAACACTGTCAGAGCTTCCGCGTCTCCCTTCCAGAGCTTTTAAAATCAGAAAAAAAACTCGCAGCATCCACCCCAGACGACCTCACCGCAAAACATTCCGCCCTCCTAAAATTCGAGCTGGAAGCCGCGCTAAAGCTCGAGGCATGGGATGACATGGATGCGCTCTTCGACGCCTGCTGGACGTACCCGGATCCGCGCCGCCTGGACACGCTCGCAGACCTCGTGCTCGTCATCCACGGTGCTATGACCAAAGCCGCGCTGGATGAGAGCTACAGGACCAAACCCCTAGCCGTGCTGCAGAAAATCATTAATCTCTCGCTCCGCGGTAGCGGGACCAACACCAGCAGCAGCAGCAAGGACAAGGACAACGACAGCATCACAAAGCTAGCACGCTGGCTCCGCGTCCTCTTCCAGCTGTCCCTAACCTCCACGGACGACGACAAGACCGCGCTCCGCTGTCTGGACCAAGCGTCTACTCTCGCGGCACAGCGTCATGCTTCGGCAGTCCCGTATCCGCAGGAGGAACTTGAGTGGCTGGCCGCGACCGCGTTCAATAGGGCGGTCGATTTTTATTGCGTCGACGATGATGTGCGCTGTAGGCTGTGGGCGGAAAAGGCGCTGAATCTGGCGGAGAATGCGGGAGATCGGGGCGCGTTGAGGGGGGTATTGATGGAGAAGTATAAGGGGCTAGCGTTCGAGAAATAGGGGGTGTGGACGTAGAGTTGAAGGGTGGCGTGGATACTGGGTGCAGGGAGGATTGGGTGATGGCGGTCGTGGCTGGGAAGGACTGTAGCTGGCTTTTTGTGCCTCGACGCGACAACGAGGGCGTTGCTGGCTTGCTTGTAACTAGTTTTGTGTACCATATGTGGAGAGCATGTACGCACGCGGCGGGCAAATATCAAGTCAATCTCTTTCCAGCATGCACGACTATTTCTAACACGAACTTGGTCCTCCGTGTCCCCAAGGCGAATTTACTCCTAACGCTCTTGTATGCTGTGCTTGAGGAAAAGGGGGTATACCAAATGCCTACGCTAATGCTGTGTAAAGCAAAGGACTGCTGCCTCGCAAGCAGCCCCAACAACCATTCAGAACGCCTCAAACCCGACATACCAACCCACCCTTTCAGGCTACCGCAAGAGACTCCATCCGCCCAGGCTATAGGGTTCTCATGGCGACGAACCCTCAAGGCATATACAAAGACTGAATGTACCGCTCGGCCAAGCTGGCTGAGCTGGTCGGTCCGGTTCGAGAAAGTGAAGGGGTTGCAGAACCTATTGGCTATTCAGCATAGCAGAAATGTTATTCCACTTCTGCTTAAGCGTCTCGTGATCGGCATTGAGCTGCACAAAGCATGTCCGTCAGTAAAACCCCCACGTAACAGCGACCAGTGTGGCACTCACCTGCGCATAATCCATCTTCGTCTCCACAAGCACCCTCTCCATATCTCCCAGCTGCTCCTCCAGCGCCCTGTTCTCGTTGTGCACAACGATGTTCCGCTGCATGACCCCTTCCATCTCCTCTCGCAAGCGACTCTCAACCTCTTCCGGCTGGCTCTCGACGATCTTCTCCAGCTCGCTCACACGTGTCCGCAGGACCTCATTCTCGTCGCTGAGGCTCTCATTTGCAATCTTGGTCCTTACGATTTCCGATGCTAGGTCCACGTGCTCACGGGCATGGCGCTCGGATTCCTCCTCGAGATGCCGCACCTTAGCCGTCAGCGCAGCGACCGAAGCCCTCAGCCCCTCCAGCTCCGCCTCCCTCTCCTTCTCCACGCGGTTCAGCTCCCTCCACTCCGCCGCATATGCCCTCAGCGTCTCCTGGCTAATCTTAACCGCACACGCATCGCGTACCAACACATCCGCGCGGTAAACCTCCTTATCCACGCCCCCAGCCGCGCTCCCAAAGAAGCCCGAATCCAGCAGGCTGCTGGCCGAGGGCGCCTTATCGATATACGCATCGAATAGCCGCTCTTTAAGAAACGTCGTGAGGGCCGCCATGTCGCCCATCGCCATCAACGTGTCCTCGTTCTTAAGCATGAGCGCGATGCCGAATTTTAGCACTGCGCTTTCAAGCCCTTCGCTGAGCACGAGGTCGTAGACGCGCAGGACGAGCTGCAGGGGGAAGCGGTACGCGAAGAGGGTTAGGAACCATTGGGTTGCATAGAGCTGGGGGGATACGCCGCGTCGGTGTAGGTGGGAGGAGAGCGCGGGCGTGAAATCTTCGAGGAGGCGCGAGAATTGGTGGAGGTGGAGGTGCAGGCCCGGCATGTCTCGCGTGAAGAGGTCGCGCAGGTTGTATTTGCGCATTAGTTGGACGAAGAGGGTGAAGGCCTCTTCTTCGGGCATCTTTGTCGGGTTGGGGTCAGTAAAATGTTGCGGGGAGGGGTTTGGGTAGGGAAGGGGAACTCACATTGAAGAGCAAGGGCATTGCGATGAAATTCATGCCTTGTGCATACCCTACAGCGTCATCGTACAACGCGTATGCTTTACATATGCCGAACAGCCCGTCCTGGAGACCGGCAGACATAAGGTACTTTGAGTAACTCGTGCGAGCGCCGAGATCCCGCTTGATTGCCTTCTCGAGCTTGGCTATGGCAGCCGCTTCTTCTTTCGCCCTCCTCTTCTTTTCCTCACCGAGCTTGGCCATTCCCTCCGGTCCACCGCCGTCCTGCGGCGGAGGCGAGCCGGGCAGGCCTACAGACGCGTTTGCACTTGTCGCGGGCGTGGAGTGATCTGAATGTATTGATGATGCCGACGAAGCAATAGACTCCTTTTCCTTGATGCTCCCATTGACGGTACTAGTTTCACTCGGTGTTGGTATCGGCATATGCGGCCTCTCCTTATCAGTCCCGCGAGACACTAGATCCCGGTAGACGCCTTCAAGCGCCTCATTCTTGCTTTCCGCAAGCACCTGCCAAACAACGCCCCGGATGGCTTGCGGGATGCCGCCGGCGATTGCACGGTTGAGCTCCTCGGAACTTGTCATCGCGATGGCTGCTGGTCCCTCGTACACAACTGACTGCCAGAGATCCCAATCGACCGGAGGCGCCGAATCGCTAGCCGGTCCAGCAGAGATCCCAGACGCGGTACCTGGCGCTAGATTGTGGTTGATCGATGGTTGCCTCACCGGCTTTTCAAGATATGTCCCGGAGGCACGTCTGGCGGCTGGTGGCGGGTGCCCATCCCTTTTCTCTTCTGCGAAGCTGGCCGGAGACCCCACGCCGAAACCAACGCTGGCTGAGCGGCCTATCAGCCCCGCCAGAGCTCCGCCTTGCACGCCATTGGGTTCGTGTTCGTCGTCGACTATGGCCACCCCGGCCTCCTCCTGCATCCGCAGCAACTTGAACCGGTCTTTCAGGCTGTTGCGTTGCCTGGACCCGTGCGACTCGTCCACATCGTCAATCTTGCTGAGTTTGAGTTCCTGATTGCTCCCTATAGTCGCCAACGAAGCTGTCGTATTGCTCCGGCCGTGGCTGGCCATTGTCGGTGGCGACGTAACCGTCTTCTTCGGTTCGGAGCTTTGTCGAGAGAACCAGGAGAAGGGGCTGGCGGTCTTTCGAGCGGGAGGAGCTGGAGATGCTGTAGTAGTAGCTTTTTCCGATGCCGCCGGCGGAGGAGGAAATTTTACAGGAGGCAGGATTCCTGAAAGACCCCGATGTATCGACGAGAACGAGTCCTTGGGTACAGGCTTCGGAGGCTGAGCGGGCGTTGGCTCTTGTGCCAATGATCGAGAACGACGCTTTAAGCTGTTGGGGCCTATGAAATGTTAGCCAGTGCACTGAACGGCTTGATTGGTGAGCGCGTAGGCCCAGCCAGTGACAGGCCCCTCATCAGGTCGTGCAAGATTTGCGTTTATAATACACCCTGCGCGTGTAGAGACTATCCCAGCATCCTAGTCTGGAGACCGAGGTGTATTCTCTGCCCTGACCGCTGGTCTACAGGCCCAGGGTCCGTCTACCAGTCTCATAGCCGCTGCGACTTTCAATATAGAGCTTGACCTACTTTCTTCCAGATTCACATCGTCCATTGACCCGACTGATATTCGATGTGAGGTAGACAGCGGTGACTTGCCCAGCGCAGCTTCGTCTGCCCAGTCCTCAACAGCTTGCCCATCTTTTGAATCCCTCTTCGGTAATGGAGGCGGTGGCGGAGGATCTCCCTTTGCTGTGGAAGCTGACGAGGGTCTTCTGTCGGTAAGAGATCGCGTATTCGAGGACGGCCGGCGCGGTCGAGGGGTAGTGTCTCGTGCGTCTTCGAAGGTGTCCTGGAGTGTTCGTCAGCCGCAATGCAGACAGCCAGATGGGCACTACGTTGATCCCTTACATCGTCTCTGTCTGAGTTGTTGTCGCCAGGGGTTTTAGGATCCATGGCGGAAGCTGTAGCTTGAGCGCCTTCAGCGAACGCTGCCGGGAGAGGTTCAGGCCTCTGTTGTGTATGTATCCGGTTTATGCAGGCCGATGAAGCGAATACTGAGACTTGAGGTTCAATTGGAAGCCGTATTGCTGGTCATTGCAGGGCGTTGCGTGAGTGAGTGAGCGTTGTTGGGTATGCGAGTTTGGGGGTTGATTGAGCGGGTGGTTTGACAGCTGGAGGTGCCCAGGAGGGAAGTCACGAAGGCCTCAGGGCTGACTTTACGTTGATGACAGGTCCCAGTATGTGAGTCAGTTCTGCAATTCGTGTCTGACTTTGCTTTGCTTGGTATTTCTCAACAATCAATAATCTGGTAGACACCTGCAGCAACCTAACCCAGACAGCTGGATAGCCGCTTATGTAATCTCGGGCTCAGGTTTACTTGAAACGATGGGGTGCGCGGCTTGTCCGTATGGGGTAAAACGGCCAATGGAAAGAGCCCTAGTCTACAAGGTAGGGTAAATATATTTGAGAAGGTAAAGTGTGCAGAGCAATCTTGAATATGGTGACTGTATGAGTCTTTCGGAAACTACGAATTATAATAGCTCGTCCTCGAATCCTCCGAATCATCGTGACTAGCTTTGCAACATCAGTGACAATAAAATCATTGGAAATAACCGATATTGGCAACATGCCCATCACACAAATCCTCTCTCTAGTCCCGCACCCGATCTCTAGCACCTCACGTCCCCATCTCCGTCTCTACAGTCGGCTTCCTCCCTTCCGTGAAGTCACTCCCGGTCAACTTGGCTTTCAGCTTCCTGAACCCCAATTTCCCCTGATCCTTCGCAAACTTCGCGTTCCTCACCGGTCTCCACTGCATCCGGCCCCTATGCTTCCTCTCCTCCGTACGCTTAACCTGCGTCTGCGGCGCCTCGAGCTGTGGGACATCCTCGCCGTTAGCCCCATTCTGAGTGGTGCCGCCATTCGGCATGTTCTTTGCCTGGCCTGCCCCACCACCGCCCTGCATCTGGCCGTTCATCTGGCCGGCGTGCGAAGTGTTGGTTGCATCCTGGATGCCGATATCAGAGCTCGTATCCGAGTCCTCGTAATCGTCGTCGTAGTCGTCGTCGCTCGGATTGTGCGGATCTCGGCCTGGAGCCTCCTTACCCGGCTCGCGGCGCTTGCGGCCTTGGTCGTCCATGTAGGCCTTGGGGTCGTGGCCGAACGCACCGCTCCAGTCGGTGCCCTCCTTGCTCAGCCACTTTCTCTTCTCGTCCTCATCTGCTTCGTTGAGCACGTCGCGGCCTTCGGTCAGGGATTCCTCGTGCAATTCTTGAATTTTGTCCGGGACTTCTTTGACAACCTTTCGCGTGCGCACGCCTTCGGCGAGGCAGGCTTGCCAGGTCTCGAAGGTCTCGCGCGTGTCGTTGTCTGTGATGAAGGTCTCGTGGGTTTCGTCCATGCCAGCCTTGAATCGACAACGGAACATGAGGCGGCCAACTTCCTCGAGATCCTCGAGGCCAGGCTCGTCGCGGCAGTTGTCTTCGGTGATGTAGTTTTGCGTGATGCGGTCGGGGTTAGATGTGGTCCAAATGGGGATGTTGATGGGGGTCTCCTCGTTGTCGATCAGATGGTGCAGCCAAATGATCGCATAGGCGTGTGCGTGGCGCTTGGTGGCAAGGTGGAATTCAAAGACGACAGGCGACCGGTAGCGATACTTGACAGGTAGCCGGACATCGTTCTTTCCGTCCTTCTTGACCAGGTCATAGTAGTAGCCGTCACCTTCAGGCAGTTTCTGAGCCTGTGTGCGAGAGATCTTGCCTGTGCTACCGCCGGTTCGCATCTTGATCTTCGCGTGATGGTCGTAATTGAGAGCAAGGATGCGGTCAGAAGTGAACTCAAACGTTCCGACGTCCCAACCGAGCATGCTTGGTGGTAGGCGCGTCTCCACGCTTCGGAACAAGACTGAGATGCGGATGCGACCGAAACCCTGTTCGAGTTAGCGGACTATAGAAGCAGTTTCTGCTGGGAAACCTTACAATGCCTCCATCAAGGGGGTACCACCTGGTAACCTGAGAACGGGTTTCGAGGATGTCGGTGAGCCTGAGGGGAACAACGCCGAGTATAGGATCGTGTTCTCTATTGCGTTGGTCGCGAACAGTAACAGTAACAATTCCAGATCTCCAGTCGCGCATGAAGCGTTCAGTGCCTGCATTAAAGATCGGCTGGCTACTGACAGCTTTCGAACGCGTACGGTACACCTGGTTCTGTCAGTGACGTGCTATCGCTATATCGTATTCAGACTACTTACCAGTTCGTCATTGAATAGTATGGTGCAGTAACTTGTAGGTAGCTCCTTCGACTCTTCCGCAGTAATCTCGCCATATGGCTTCGCGGGCTCATATTCCTTGCCGTTACGGTTGCCATCACTACCTTTGATGTTCTCGAATTCGAGATTGACAATCTGGTGAACGATAACGCTGCAGATGCCACTGGGCCACAGTGGATCCGGCGGGGTGTGCATGACAGCGTCGTCATCTTCCGTGTTCTGGACGCCAGTCTCGTCTTGGAACTCGGGCTTGTCCTGAAGCTCCTCTGGAAGAGACTTGTTCTTGCCGTCGGTACGCAATGCAGGTCGAAACTTGGGTTTCCCAAAGTAGCCGACTTCCCAGCGGAGTTCTCCCGGCATCTCACTATCGGCGTGCATTCCTGCGAGTTTCGACATTTGCGGATACATCTTGCCTGGGTGCTGAATCATCTTCTGCATAGAGAGCTCGATTTTGCCAACGATGTCATCCGCGCTGTGGCGGTCAGAATCCCAGAGTTCTACGCTTAGGTTCTCGTCGGCCTTGATGAGCTCGGGAGTAACCAGTAGTCTGCATACGAATTAGCTCGTAACTCCCACACAGCTGGTCGGATAACTTACGCAGCCGTCTCCTCCCAGATGGGGTTAAGGTCGTCGGTTATGACGCGTGTGCAGTACATTGGCTTGCCGTATTTCGAAAAAGACAGCGTTATATAAGGATCGCTACCTCCGTGACGGCTGCCACGCTTATCCTGCTTGCTGAGGCCAACGGCGCGATGGATCCTGATCCACATGACACCGAGCGCCTGCACATCTTTCTGGATGTCGTCTCCTTGAAGAATGGCACGCATATCGATAGACAATGACTTGGGCGCCACGTACATGCTGGCCGCAGCACCAATGGCGTAGTTGACAAAGTTGGAAATCAGAGGCAGGTTGAGGACGTTGACGCCCTTCTCGACCATTGGTATGCAGCCAGCCTCAACCTGTGGCAGACCCATGAGAGTGAATGTGAGCGTCTTGAGGAACGGCGGCTCCGGAGTCATATGGAGCCGCAGACGGACGGTACCAACAAGGCCCTGGAGCTCAACAAAAATCGGAAGGGGAACACCGAAGAGCCCCTTGATGCCCAAGTAGAACACGAGCTGCATGTGCAGGTTGCGAGCCTTGTCAGACGCACGTTTGCCGCTCGGGGCTGCGTGATAGGCGAACGAGACCTCTAGGTTGTAGTAGTCGCCGCCCTCTTCGTCCGCAGCAGCTTCTTGCGGGTCCTTGGTCTTCTTGTTCTGCTCGTGAATGTCCTTCTTGACCTGCTTCATATGCGTGTCTGGAAGGGAGCGTAGACTGAGGATGCGGATAGGATTGCTGCCCTGGTTTATCTCGGCGACGCGGACGTTCTCGATGACGCCTGGGACCGAGGCCTGCATGACATCTTCCAGCGTGTCGGCAACGCCTATGAACATGTCCGGATTTATCAATCCCCACACAATGGCCAGAAGCGTGTTCAACCATTCGACTGATTCGGGCAGGAGGTTCGCGGTAGCCTGCACATGATCAGCTATGTGAGAACTAGGCGGATGTGCGTCGCCTTACCGTCATGCCTCTTGTCTTCTCGCTCTCCCACTCGACTTCGCGGCCGCTGCGGATTAGTTCCTTCACCCACAGCCAGATGCCTGAAGTTATACACATTGCAAGCGGGATGAGGCCCTTCAACGAGCCACCAAACATCTTTCCGACTATGATGATAGCTGCCAGGACGCCAACGCAAAGAACGCCGGCCTGCTTCTCAAGCGCCGCAAACATAGGTTCATAGCTGACAGAGGGTGTCGGGTGGAACAGGATATTGGTCTTCTCGCCGTGGATTGGCACGTCCGATGTGCTGCCTGGCGCTGTCGGCTCCGGAGGTGAGGTGATATCTTGTTTCTCCTTGTATTCATCGTTCATTTGGTGGGGATCGGTCGCTACCGGCTGTTATATTGGGTCAGCGCAATGCTGGTCATTTGGCCCAAGTTTGGTCGCTCACTGTCGGTTTCCCGAGATTTGCGTTGGGTACGGTTATCTAGCTTGTGTGAGCGATTGCGTGGTATAGGAGCCGTGATCCAGTGAAACCAACATGAGGATCCTCAACCTGCTTCATCATATCCTTGTTGACATCTTCAATGACCACCTTGTTGCCAGTTGTCGGGTCTGTTACAGTCTTCTGAGTGCCCTCAATGCCTTTTGACTTCGGCTTGTGAGTCTTAACATCGGAGTGATCCTGGAGGCCTTGCTGGCGCTGTTGCTGCAGCTCCTGCTCTATCTGCTTGTCTCGCTCCTTCTTGTCGAGGTCGAGATTGTCCAGAAACTTCTTCACAGTCGGCACCTTGTTGTGGCCCGAATAATGGCCTCCGGGCATGTGCTGGGTGGGTTGGTCGGCCATGGCTGCGACTGGGAGAGCGACCGGGAGCTCCTCTGCGCTCAAACTAGAGCAGCAAGACGAGGCGTCGAGAATTGGCGCTGAGAACGGGCGTGGAAGGGGAGAGTGCCCCGAATTGAGGGCGACTTTGCGGTACCGAAACCAAGCTTGGAAGGCACGATGCAGGTTATTGCGTGGATGCCCCGTATCTGGCCAAGCTGAGCAGCTAAACGATGTCATGCTGGCGCAGAACGCAAGACCCTCACGCTAAGCCGATTTCAGGCGGGGTGCTGTAATATTACAGGTTTACATCGTGCCTCCCTTTCGCATCCAACAGCCTTGGAAAACTCCATCGCTGTAGGACTGCTTGCCTTAGATATACTCAAGAGACTGTTCCGGTGCGCTCCATCGAGCGCTTTCCAGCTAGCCCGGCAGGTTTCAATCGTGTAGGCGCAAAGCACTCCGCTCAGCCAGCAATGCTCGCAATGCTCGCAACGATTACCAGCTCAGGACCAGGCTGGTGGGGCTGTTCCCAAGTGGAGCGGAGCGGAGCGGATACAGCGTTCGTACATCTGCTGTCTTCTGCTCCACATCGACCAAGTCAGGAGCCTTCGTCAAGTCCAATTAATCCTCCTGGCGGTTACCAATCGTCCACAGCATGGGAGCAGGCTTCTTTACCACTTTCCTTAACTGCCGCCAGTGCATCGATGGCGAGCTCGTCGATGATCAGCTGGTAGTCTCCGAAGACACAGGCCTGATACTCGAGCGCACCGGCTACATTGGCGGCGAAGCCGTTGATCTTGAGGGTCATGTAGTTGCACCTGGCTTTCTGGAGCTGCAGACGAACGGAGTCAATGGCTTCCACTTCACTCACTTCGAGGACCAGAGTCAGTATGAGCAGAAGCTGGAAGAGACCGCCAAGTACTTTGTCACCCAGGGGGTCACTGGCTTCTGGGCGACAATACCTACGGTGTCCCAAGAAGATTTCCAAAAGGTAGACGGTTCTCCTCTGTCGTTTTCCCGTAGCTATTCCAAGTCAAGAATTTGACCATTTCGACCGTTTCGACCATTTCTATTGTCCTTCCATGTGCGACAACGACCGTTGTGAAAACTTGTTCGCTTGATGTGATCTAAACTACATCTGTCATCTGTGTACTTGAGTCATTCCTAGCACAGCCGCGTCAGCATTTGTATCTTCAGTTCCGTGGCGCAAAAAGCTCTGCAGCATACGCAAGCGTCAATCACGGGGCTAGATAAGCACTCCTCGAGACTAGATCATCGCCTTGGGTCCTGGAGAACGGCAATTGTTCTAGCATTGGACATCGGTTTCATCTGCTAGACATGATACACCGAAGCAATTCACTCACAGCTCCTCCACGGCAGATCCTACCATCGCTGAAACCACGCTCCTTCGACTCCGCCGCAACCCTCCTAGGCGCCCACGTCGAAGGCCCCTATCTCTTCCCCGGCAAAAAGGGTGCCCACAACTCTTCGCTCTTCCACCTACCATCAACTTCTCCAACCCACCTCTACGGCGCCGAAAACCTCACCTCATCCATCAAACTCGCCACTCTGGCCCCAGAGCTCCCAGACTCCCCAGCCTTGATCAAGGAGCTCTGCAGCCACAACATCCGCGTCTCGCTAGGGCACTCCGACGCAACCTACGCGCAAGGTCTCCGCAGCCTCCGTGCCGGCGCTACCGGCCTCACGCACACGCTGAACGCCATGTCCGGCCTGCAGAGTCGCGAGCCCGGTCTCCCAGGCCTGATCTCGCTGCCTCCCTCGTCCAACCCTCCGCCCCCGTACTTTAGCCTCATCCCCGACGGCCACCACCTGCACCCCGCCACACTCTCTCTTCTGTACCGCGCCGCCCCCTCGCGCGCCATCCTCATCACCGACAGCATCGAGCTCGCCGGTCTCCCCGACGGGCTGTACCCGGGCCACGCCCAGATCCCGCACTCCCAACGCAAAGTCGGTTCCCGCGTTGTCATTGACGGGACTGACACGCTCATAGGTAGCTGCATCCCGCTGCAGCAGGGCGTTCGGAACTTGATGGAGTGGGCTGGGTGCGATGTTGCGCAGGCAGTGCGGTGTGTGACTGAGAATTTGGCGGAGTTTATGGGGGTGGATGGGCCTGGGGGCGTGGGCGTGTTGAGGGAGGGACGGAGGGCGGATTTGTGTGTGCTTAGCGAGGAGGGGGAGGTGCTGCAGACGTGGGTGGCGGGGAGGAAAGTTTGGGAGAGGGAGGGAGGGTTGTATTGATGTGCGAGTCTGAGATGCGGGATAGGCAGGGAGCGATGGGTTTGGAATAGAGAGTCACGCGGGTGACAAGAATACGCGGACTCCATAACCAGAAAGCAGTAAATCATACCGTAAATGACCAGTTAAATAGCTCTTGAATTAATTGGGGGCTATTATAACTTCTTATCTTAGCATTTTATATCTAAGAACATGCGCACGCTACACAGGATCTGTTTAACCTAGCGGGTTACAGCTCGCACCACCCACAAAAAAATTCCGGGCACCCACGGATTAACCTCTGGGTGGGCCGAGCTTTTTCGGATAAATCTCTAGGTGGGCTTAGCTTTTAGCCTATGCAGTGCATATGCGATAAATAAGCAATGCATATGCATATTCACCGCAAGTTAGCGGTTAGAGCTAGCGGTTAGGTAGTTAGAGGTTAGGTAGTTAGAGCTAGCCGTTTAGAAAGAGTATAGAGACCTATTCCGACCAATTGCAACCCCAAACGGTATAGAATCATAAAGAAATTCTGCTTAGGAGTTGTACAAGCAATACTTAGAAGTTGCATATGCATTTTATAGATGGGCTCAGCTTTGCCAAGGTAAGCTCTAGGTGGTGCCAAGTCTTAATTTCTGGGTGCCCGGAACTTTTCTCTGGGTGCCGCGAGGTGTGTGGCCGTAACCTAGTTACCGATTTCATTTTGCTGCAGCTTCTAGGTTTGCTGTTTATGGAGTCCGCGCATTTGTGTCAACAGGGTGAGAGTTTAACACCATTGATGGAACAACAAGTCGGATGCAGGATTAATTTGTTTGTTTTGCAAGAGCCCATACCTCCATCATCAGATAGACCCTGGTTCACGATGCTTCCTCCGTTGGGGCTCTGATGTTGCGGCTGAATGGCGGGGATGCCTGACAGCTTGCGTGCCTGGATTGCGGAGGGGCCGACGATGGAATGGCCGCTCCAATTGGAGGTGCCTCCTTAGCTCGTGCAGACGGGATGATCGCTGCCCAGGATTTTCCCGCATCAGCCACGCGAAACGACGTGCGGGCGGAAGAAAAAGTGGAAAAAGGTTGAGGGCCTCGAACGGAGGATGTTGCTGTAGATCACTTGTAGATTGAAACGGCGTGAACGCGTCCGCGCTCTGCCCGCCATCACGCAAATACCCATAGGATACTTTGCAATTGCCGTTGAATGCTCTGTGCCTTCCAAGCGAGGAAAAAGCCTCTGGAGCCCGGTACACATCGTGACGCCACAGTTGTTGAGAAAGAGGCTTCGGGGCTTGATAAGGGCAGCTATCGTCGACACCGCGCCTGCCCGCTCGACGAGTCCGCAAACGAACGGCAGGCAGGCCCGCGCAGCTCATACCAGCATAAAACTTCCTCTCCACCTCCTCGACCATCATCCACCTCCTCGACCATCATCCACCTCACGCACCTCTACCACCGCTCTTTTCTCCCTTGCTGACGCCCTAGCTCATAGCCTGAGCATCGATTGTACACTCAGCTTCCTCCCGTATACTTTTGTCTGGATTGCTTCGGTGCTCAACCCGTTTGCGGCTTTCTGTCGATACCCAGGCCGTGTCATTGAACCTTGCAACACCAGACCGGCAATATGGTCCTCGTCGAGAACCAGGATTACCTCAGCCAAGAGGAGCAGCGTCTGAAAGAAGACCGGGAGCGCAAGCGGTACTGGAAGAAATGGGGATCATACGTTGCTGAGAGGCAGTGGGCAACAGGTAAACACCTCCCCGTCTTTCATCCCGTCCGCCAGTGTCATGTGCTAACAGTTACCTAGTGCGCGAGGATTACTCGTAAGTTGTTATACCAAGGAACGGACTCGACCGCTGCTAACAAACCAACCTCCAGACACGACGGAGATGCATGGAGTCGTAAGTGCCGTTTATGCTACTCACTCGACTCGTGTTGATTCACCTCCAGATTTCTCTCACGATCACGCCCGATCAAGAGCCTACCGCTGGGGCGAGGACGGCATCGCCGGCGTGTCCGACACTCATGGCATCCAGAACGTCGCTTTCGCCTTCTGGAACGAGAAAGAGTTTGTTCACTACTGTCGCCAGCTGCGGATTCTCGACTGACTGCGCACAGTGATTTCTTAAAGGAGCGGCTGTTTGGTCTCTCGAACCCGCAGGGCAACCACGGCGAGTCACTCAAGGAATGCCATTTCCACCTCGACAATGTCCCAACGGTCCGTCTCCCCAGCTTGCAATACTTTGATCTGCCACTTACCCTTTGCGCAGCATTCCTACATGAAGTACCTCTACAAATATCCTCAGCGAAAGTTCCCCTACGAAGACCTCATCAAAGAGAACGCCAGACGCGGCAAGCTTGACAAAGAGTACAACCTGGTTGACACCGGCATATTCGACGACGACCGATACTGGGATATCTTCATCGAGACGGCGAAGGAGGCGGACGATGAGGAGGAGCTTCTCTTCCGAGTCACGGCCTACAATCGCGGCCCGGAGCCGGCTCCCTTGCACATCGTGCCTCATGTCTGGTTCAGGAACTCTTGGGCATGGGGTCGTGAGGACCCGAAGCAGAAGCCTTCGATACGGAAGATTGCACCTACAACTGCCCTGACGAGCCACTCCAAACTCGGCGAGAGGTATATCGAACTGTCTCCGTCTCCAGGCATCGGCAGGAGTGGTCAAGATGTCCAGCCCCAACTTCTGTTCACCGACAATGACACCAATTACAAGAACCTTGGATGGGGCGAGAACAAGACGCCCTATGTCAAGGACGCCTTCCACAGCTACATTGTCGACGGTAAGAAGAACGCAGTTAATCCCAGGAACCAGGGCACCAAGAGCGCTGCGTGGTACGCCTTCGACGAGGGTGAGGGTGTTGCTCCTGGCGAGTGCGCCGTTGTCCGTTTCCGACTGTCTCGGAGGTACGAAGGCTTCGTCGACGAGGAGCTTTTCGACGACATCATGGAGCAAAGGAGGGCGGAAGCCGACGAATTCTACTGGCGCATCAGCCCCTTGCCGATGGCCGACGATCTGAGGAACATTCAGCGTCAAGCTTTCTCAGGCATGCTCTGGTGCAAGCAGTACTACAACTTCATCTGGGATCAGTGGGCCAACGGAGACCCTGGCATGCCACCCCCTCCGCCAGACAGGAAAAACATCCGCAACAAGCACTGGAAGCACATGCACCTTGACGACATCCTGTCCATGCCAGACTCGTGGGAGTATCCCTTCTTCGCCGCGTGGGATAGTGCCTTCCACTGCATACCCTTGGCGATGATCGATCCTGACTTCGCTAAGAAGCAGCTCGACCTGTTCACCAGGGAGTGGTACATGCATCCCAATGGCCAGCTGCCGGCTTACGAGTGGAACTTTGGAGACGTCAACCCCCCTGTCCACGCTTGGTCTGTGTTCCGCACCTTCAAGATCGAGCGCAAGATGTACGGTAGAGAGGATTTGGACTTTCTTGAGCGTGTCTTCCAGAAGCTCTTGCTCAACTTCACCTGGTGGGTGAACCGCAAGGATTTTGACGGCAAGAACGTGTTTGAAGGTGGTTTCTTGGGTCTCGACAACATCGGCCTTTTCAATCGCTCCGATCCCCTGCCAACTGGCGGTGTTCTCGAACAGGCTGACAGCACCGGCTGGATGGGCTTCTACTCCCTTTGCATGCTGAACATCTCGCTGGAACTCGCCAAGCATCGTCGTATCTATGAAGACATTGCATCCAAGTTCTTCGAGCACTTCATTTTGATCAGCGATGCCATGCAGTACCGCCAAGGCGGCGAGGAGAAGTCTTTGTGGAATGAGGAGGATGGTTTCTATTACGATGCCATCTCATGGGGCGGTCCTTGGAGCCAACAGATGCCCGTCAGGTCACTCGTCGGTCTCATTCCCCTTTACGCCACCCTGACACTCGAGCCCGAGGTCATCGACAAGCTCCCAGCCTTTAAAAGGCGTGTTGAGTGGTTCATCGAGAACCGGCACGACGTGGCCGGGCGAAACATCGCCAACATGAAGCGTCGCGGCAAGGGAAACAGGATGTTGTTGTCACTCGTCAACGAAGACCGTCTGAGGAAGATCCTCAAGAGGATGCTTGATGAAGACGAGTTCCTCGCAGATCATGGCATCCGTTCGCTGTCGAAGTTCCACAAAGACCATCCCTACTCCATGGACGTCAATGGCCAGAAGTTCCAGGTCAGCTATGTACCAGGCGATTCCGACAGCGGCCTTTTCGGCGGAAACAGCAACTGGCGCGGTCCGATTTGGATCGCTGTCAACTTCCTCCTCGTCGAATCACTTCTGCGCTTCTACATGTTTTACGGCAACAGTCTGCAGGTTGAGTGCCCCACTGGCTCTGGTGACACTATGCACTTGGGTCACGTCGCGGAGGAGATCCAGCACCGTTTGCAGCATCTTTTCGTACGCGGTGACGATGGGCGCAGGGCCATCAATGACGGCAATGAGATGCTCGACTACGACCCGAACTGGAAAGACTACATGTGGTACCATGAGTTCTTTGATGGTGACACCGGACGCGGTCTTGGTGCCAGCCATCAGTGCGGATGGACCGGTCTGATTGCCAAGATCATCCATGACACTGGGTAAGTCTCATTTGCAATCATTTACAATTTGTCTCGACGTGATCAGTGCTAATCTTCGTTTCAAGTGTCACGTGCCGTCTCCCGCAAACACCTCGCACGCCCTCCTCAGCCGCCTCCCACTACTTCGACGACGTCTTCACGCGCGGCAAGCCCCGAAACCCGGCACGCCTCCGCCGCTCATCCACATCCCGCTCGATCGGCGTGCGCAGCGACTGGAACGACTCCACCAACGGCGACGCGAACGGCAGCGCCATCGACGATGAAGAGGCCGAGCCCAGCAAGTCCAAGTACAAGCGCACCAACTCCATCGGCTACCTGGACGCCGATGCGCTGAAGAGGAAGGCGGAGGAGGATCAGCAAGTCGCCCATTACGTGTCGGATCAGCTCGAGCGCATGAAGAGCAACGACTCGGCAATGTCGAACACGGATGAGCTTGAGGCGCAGCTTGATGGGTAAGGAGGCGTAGGTATAGATGCTCGCGGCTTTGGGGGGTGCACGCGCCGTTCTGCTTTAGATTGTACAGCATGAGCCTGGAGCTGGTGGACGCATTATTCTTCTTGTAACCCCTTTTGATACGCCCACGGGGCATGTCGCGCCTCTTCGCGATGAATTCGAGATAGACGATTGTAGATCCTAGACTCTAGACCCTAGACCCTAGACGAAGTAATCATTTGAGCTTGTTTTGCTCCAAAAAACCGCAGTGTTATCTCATCATGATACTTCTCCCGCATTTGGCCCACAGCGACGGACTATGACTAAGCACTGTTTACCTTCTGCGACAGAAATCCAAGCTCGAACAGCCCACCAACATCAAATCACACAACCATACCAGTAACACCTGTCCGCTTTAGAAGCTCCAATAGGGTCCCCTTCCCTTCTGTCGCTCATTGCAAGCCCCTTGCCCAGTCTTCGAATCGCAATACCTCTAATTCCTGTAAGGCCATACAGAGACAGTACATTCCACTCTCCCACAAAATCACCCCGCTAACCAGAGGAACGCAGTCCACAGCTACACTCAGCCCACCAGCGATCCCGCATCCTACGTTCGCATATAGCTCCTCCGCCGAGCTCCAAACATGACCTCCTTCATAACAACAATGTTCGTCTCCCATATCTCCTCCTCCCAATACCGCCCGCCATCCACCCGCGCAGTCTCCACAAGCACAACATTCACCCCACCACACAATGTTCCCCTCGGCTCCAAAACCCCTTCCACCTGTCTTCACCCTCGCTGAATCCGGCTCGTGTATCCACCTGGGCCATTTTGGGCTCGGTGGAGGCCTGCTGGGCGATGGCCAATATATGGGCCAGACGGTCATGAGGCCGCAGGCTGCGTATGCGAGTCCGGTACAGCGCATGCTGCGAAGCAACCTGAGCCAGCGGAGGGCACAGCGGCAGCAACCACGTCAAGCACACAGACCGCGAGCGGATGGGGAGAAGAAGACGGAGGAGCAGATACAGGAGAAGGGGGAAGGGCGGCGGGAGAGGGATGGCGACATGCAGCAGAAGCAGCAACACAGCGGCTTGCGCAAATCCTCTGCCTTCCTCAACCCTGCACCTCCTTCCTGCCCTCCTTCATCCTCTGTCGATAACCCGCCCTCAACCGCACTCCCCACCGCGGCAATTGCTCACGAGGGCCTCGGCCACGGCATAGATGACATACTGACACGCCTCTCTTCGCCTCACAGAAATGCGCGAACACGCGCGCCCTTCAAGCCGCAGAAGTCGAACAGGGGCACCAGCAGCTGGCAGCTGAAGCAGTTCGCGGAGGCGACGCTGGGGAGTGGGAGTCTGCGGAAGGCGGTCTTGTTGCCGGAGGGAGAGGACCTGGGGGAGTGGTTGGCTGTCAATGGTGGGTTTGGACTCCCTCACACGGAACGAAGGGAGGAGGTGGTGCGATATGAGAAATGAGATTATGAAGACATGGCTAACGAGAGGGACCGGGAAGTCGTCGACTTTTACAACCAGATCAACCTCCTCTATGGCTCAATCACGGAGTTTTGCTCGCCGCAGAGCTGTCCGGAGATGAAAGCGACGGATGAGTATGTTACCGTCCTGTTTCCGTCACAGTTCTTTTCCAGCAAGGAGAGGTTTCGTTCTGACAGTTTGTTTAGGTTCGAGTACCTATGGCAAGACAACGAAAACTTCAAGCGCCCAACCAAGATGCCCGCGCCCCAGTATATTGAGCACCTCATGGCATGGGTCCAGAGCAACATCGACAACGAGCAGATGTTTCCTAGCCGCATAGGTATGTCGCCCATTCCCTCCCTTCCCGCTTCACCCCCAAACCCCTTCCTCCCACCCTCTCCTCCTCTCCACCAACCCAGCCCCTCCTGACACCCCTCACACAGGCGTCCCCTTCCCGAAATCCTTCCCAACCCTCCTCCGCCAGATCTTCAAGCGCCTCTACCGCGTCTACGCCCACATCTACTGCCACCACTACCCGGTCGTCGTCGCGCTGGGCCTGGAACCGCACCTGAATACTAGCTTCAAGCACTATGTGCTGTTTGTTGATGAGCATGGATTGGCGACAGGGAAGGACTTTTGGGGACCGTTGGGGGATTTGGTGGAGAGTATGGTGAGGGGGGATTAAGTTTATGGTGGGGGGTGGAGGAATTGGGTGGTGAGAGGTGATGGTGGCGGCGGTGGCGGCGGTGGCGGCGGGTGTAGAAGGGTGAGGGTTGAAGTGCGGGGAGGGGCAATTGGGGGAATGGGAAATCCTGAAGAGGTGTTTCGGGTGTTTGGGAATATGTTTACGGGCAGCATGATTGGGGGCTTGTTTAATGGCATTGATGATCATGGACATGCTAGGACGTCGGCAACGGATTGGTGGTGTTGTTTGCGGTATAGGGTCTCGGTACACATGAGTCGTACCTGGTAATGAAAGCCTGAATGGTCTGGCGCTCCCAAATTCCCAACCTAGAGATGTGGTACGCGGAATGCCGTATCAAGCTCGTACCGTGCTTTAGAGGATAGAATGTAAGGGTTTGGGTCCGAACGGGAGCCGGCGCTATCAAGAACTATATCGTGAACCCTCCCCTTTCTGATCACCAGACTTAGAGGCGCAAGCTGTTGCCTGCACAAATCCACCATCACGCTGTCTAGAGCCAGCTGGCTGCAAAGCATTGTCAAAGATGGTTATAAAAAATGAAGCACGAAGTCTACACCGGAGGCGGCTCCTCCGTCGCCGACGCGTTCTCCAACGCCGTGTAGAGTGCAGCTGCACCAATTGAGACCTGCACCCCAAAGGGGGGTAACCCTTCTCATACGTCTTAAAATGTGCTGGAGGTATGCTATACATATCTGTACACGACATCTTACGTCCACGGGTCTTGTACTTGGGGCGAACGTTCGTCAAAGGCACACTTCTCTTTACATCGCTCTGTATCACGAGAAGTCATCTTATCTCGATCCACCACGCAGCAATCTCACCCGTGCTCGTCAGGGACATGACAAAATTACACCCTCTGTTTTGTGTATGGGTTCTCAGTATGGCGATCGGGTGTCCAACTCTTTCTTGACCCAGGTTGTACAATTTACTGTGCCAACTCGCATATTTCCTCAACAATACTCGGTGTCCCGAAAGCGCCTTCCATGACATCTAGCACACATGCTATGCATCTATAGCCGGGCGGACAACAGACTCACCTAGAATTTCATTCTGAAGGATATTCGCATGTCGATTTGCTCTCCTGCTATCTAAAAGATGCGTTTTCCCGTGAATCTTTTGAGGTTACTGAAACAGCGCTGTTCGTCTTTGATGAAAGGGGGTCTGAATGCGAATTCTGAGCGCGCGGCTTCGGAGGTATTCTGTAGCCCCGTCACTGCATCAGAACGAGCGCTTCGATGCACACCATGAAGCCATTCCGGCGCCCGGAGTCGAGGCTGAGGCCCCGCCTGGCATCCGCCGTCCTGGGCTGAGTGCAAGTCTGTTATGGGTGCCAAAGCAAGTCGCCTTAGGTACTTCGTCCCAAGGTCTTGTTGGCAGTTGCGCTAATAATTTCTTGAGAATTATCAAGGACACCGCGCCAAAGCCTGCTGCGCAAGCACCAAGACTCTCTCACATGGAGCGGCTGCGTATCCTTCGTCTTCCACAAGTGCTTCAAGTCCGCTACTCGCAAGACGCGCAGACTTGCGTTACCGGATCTGACGCCATAAGGGCTTTGCAAGCAGCTTGTGCGGATCCCGGGCGCTACTATGTAGAGGCTCAACCAAAATCGGATCTAGAATCCCAAACTAGACTGCAGAACTTGCTCCACGCTCGGGACGCCTATTGTCAAGATGAGTTGAGAGCCTTAACCGATAGTGCAACCATAGTTGAAGAAGAGCTTGGTATTTCACATCGGCGCTTGTATTTCTAGCTTCCAAGCGGCAGTGAGGCATGTCTATCAGAGTAAACCCGATATGCAAAAGGCACAATGCGATTACCTAAGCGAGATTTTTGGCATGGTCTCGCGAATCCTAAGAAGGAATCAGACTGCGCCCAAAACGAACGACATCTCGGCAAAAGCTGCAGCATTGATTGGGACCTTGATGAGTGGGTACCACACGAGGTACGCTCGGAGGTGCTCGAACCGGTGAGATTGAGCCCGGAAGAGGTCAAGGCTTTACAGAAGATCACGTTTATCTTCCTTTCTTCTTTATATTCTATTCGCACAGAGCGATCAACAGAGGACTTCCTGGCACTTTTCATGCCATGGAAACAAACCCATGATTTTGACGTCGAGGCTTGGGCAAAGTCGGCAGAAGGCGTGCGTCCAGCTTCGGAGTTCTATCCTCTGACCAGTAGCATCAGCCTGTCAGAGCTTTGTCTGGTGCGGAACATGGTAATCGCTTCGCCTTGCCGCCTCCATGAGGTCCTCAGTAGAAGTTACGTCAACAATCACCACGATGGCAAGGTTACCGGGCCATCAGTGGCATAGCAACTGACAGGCTTGCCCTCACGATCTGAGGTGTGTACGACAAAGCTCGAGTACGATCTTGCCGGTGCTTCACGCGCTGCATGAGCTGGGAAGAGTCTGAAAGAGTGGCATGAACCTGTTAGCCATCTCGTGGCCGGTACATTGTCAACAGTGCTTCCATCAGGGACGTCAACTGGGCTCATCAAGTGAGGCGTTAGCGACCCACGCCGGTGATAGGTCATCTTTGGTTGGGGCCACAGGAAGAAATACAGCTCGGGCGTGAGCGGCATTGTCCAAGCATGAGCATAGAATCTTTCGGTATATATTGAATCAACACGGCGGATTTCACATGCGAGTCCAGCAGCTCCGCATATAAGATCCAAGATTCAAGCTTACACATAGTCCCCTTTCCTGTGCCTCCAGCACCTCTCTACCCACCGAATACGCAGTGGATTCCAACAACAACGCGCGCCAAACCCCGAATGGTCGACGCTCAAACACTTGCAATAATCACCTGGTCCCATAGGCCTGAGACACCGAATGATACACATCCAGTTGCCGTGACCATGTCGTGCCCATCGTCGTAACCCAATCCACCGAACGCCAGTCCGGCAAGCCTCTTCAGCTTCGTTCCCAACGCCATACCATCCAGACTCCTGCATCGCCCCAGCTGTTCTAAAACCCTGAACACCTTTCACGGCGCAGCACCCCTCCGCCAGACGCCTCCCTTTCCCGTCCTCATGACTTCCCCCGCCCTCGCCCACGCCCACGCCCCCGTACGCTCTTTCCTCTGGTGCTAGGAGCTGCGGCTCTTGCGCGCGGTGCACCAGCTCCGCCGCCGCTGGTACCATTCGCAGCCCGGTGTTCGTCGACGAACGTCTTGAGGACGCTCTCTAGGCCGTCGTTCCGGCGTGCGAGGAGCAGCACGTCGCTCGTGTTGATAGTAGTGCGGCCGGCATGGGCGGCGAAGGTCTCAAGGTCTTTCGCTGTTGTTGCTGTGAGGGGGTTTGGTCAGCCTGGCTCATTTGCCTTCTTTTTGAAGCTTCTGTGACATCTCTTGCGACGTCTCTGTAGGAGATTTCGGGAGCAGCAACTGTTGCAGAGTAAAGCGAAGGCGTGGGTGAAAGGACGAGGAGGGTCGCACCTATCTGCGCAAACACCATCTCGGTCAGCGCGCCGATGAATTGGGGCGTCACGTTCCAGTTCTGGCGTAGGCATTCATCGTCAATGTACTGGCCGAGGGAGTACCAGAGCGCGGACTTGAGTTGCTATACAAGCAGCTTAGCTAGAGCTTAGAGCACCGGGCGGTGTATTAAAAGGCGGCCGAACCTCTTCCCTTTGCGCAGCATCATCGTCGGGGAGGGCCATTAGAGCTTGTAGTGGGGGTGTTGGTGGGGTTAAGGTGGTGAGGCAACGAGGTTGCGGGAAGACGCGCCGACGCGATGCGCGAATTCGCGGTCCGGAAGATCATCGGGATGCGGGATTTCCGGGGTTGGGTTTGCGGGAAGCGTGGGATACTCGGTCGAGAGCAAGAGTGATATATTTAAAAAGCGCGCAGCGGCACACTCAAGGCTAGATAAACCTGTCCTGCCTGTCCTCCAAGCTGCTCTCAGAACACCACGCACACCATCACCCGCAATGTCGCAACAACAGGCGCCAGCAGCCCCCTCCGGCGCACAGAGCCCGATGGAAGTCGCAACACAGCTATGGAGCAACTTTGAGAATGGCGTGCACTCAGGCTGTGAGGATCTCCCCAAACAATTCGCCAGCCCTGGCTAACTGTGTCATGCTATAGTCATGAAGATGACCCCAGAGAAGTGGATCAGACTGGTCGTTATTGTGCGTGCCTCTTCTCCATAACCAGTCTCCGTCTCCAACGGCTCACTGTTCAACTAGGTCGGCGCATACGCTCTCATCCGCCCCTACCTCATGAAGCTCGGTGCAAAGCTGCAGGCACGTGAACATGAAAAGGAGGTGGATCTCGCAGGCCTCGATCCGAAGTCACAAGATGCCATCAGAGCACTACGAGGCGGCAAGAAGATCGAGATACCCGGCGTAGACAGCGACAGCGAAGGCGAAGAAGAGCCGAAGCCGGCGGACTGGGGCAAGAAGGCGCGGTTGAGGCAGCGGAAGTTCATCAGAGGCAAGGTCGAGGAGGAGGAGCGGAGACGGAGGGAGGAGGACGAGGAAACTGATGAGGAGCTTGAGGAGATTCTGAACGCCATACAGGTTGCGCCGCATCTGAAGCAATGAGAATGCGTTAGATGAAAGGGTTGTCATCCATTTTCGCTTTCACGCGTTCTCTCATTCCACAAAGTGAAAAGTCACGCGAAAAATGCTCCACCCTTGCGGGCTCAGCCGCTTCACCGAGGCCCTGCCATTTTGGTTGTTCACAAGCGAGTCTATTGTTCATATTGACACAAGTGTAAATTCCTGCTCCAGCATCGCCACGCCAGAGTCTCGACCTTCAAGGGTTTGACTGCACAATCCTCAAGATGGCAGTGCATAAGCAATCCATCCCAGTCTAGGTGGCCACCAGCCCTCCTTGCTCGGTATATGAACGAGGACATTGTCCGCCATCTGAGATCCGCGGATCATTTCGGACGATGGAGATAACGACCATGACGACCATGCCTAGGACAATGTTGTTCTTTTTCTTGTACACACTTGGACTCCACTCTCTTCCGACCCGGGCACACATGCAAATGAGCAACCCCTACCCCCTTCGAAGTCCACTAGATCCGAACACCGCATCCTCACTTAAAGACTACGACTATGTTGCACCACTTAAAACCGACGGATCGAACTACCCTTGCAAAGGCTATCAATACGACAGCCCGCTCCGGACGACAGCTACCTACCAAGCCGGAGGCACATACCAGATGTCGCTCTCGGGCAGCGCCTTCCATCTCGGCGGCTCTTGCCAGCTCGCGCTCTCCTACGATAACGGCGCGACCTTCAAAGTCATCAAGTCAATGATCGGCGGCTGCCCGAAGCAGCAATCCTACAACTTCACCGTACCCTACTCCGCACCCGACGGAACAGCCCTCTTCGCCTGGACTTGGTTCAACTACGAGGGGAACCGCGAGTTCTACATGAACTGCGCTGCCGTCCAGATCGTGAACAGCAATGCACAGCTTGCTAGCTCGCTGGAAGGGATCAACACACTGCCGAATCTTTGGAGAGCCAATATTGCCGGCACAGGCTGCGTAGCAGCAGCGCGGCAGAATGCCGTGTTCCCGAATCCCGGACCTGATGTGCTCTACGGCGACGGCATGAGCAGCGCCTCACCACCCACGCCCGGAGACTGCGACGGCAGCGGATCGTCTTCGAACACAGACAGCTCGTATCTGCTGGTTCTGGCGGAACAGTCAGCGAGCCCTACCGCCGACGACCACCACTACGCAGATCCGACGTCCTACGAGAACGCTCCTATCAGTACAACTGCTCCACAATACGACGACGGCCAATACCGCTGGAAAGCACCCACACCGTCGCCGCAAGCCCAGTTCGCGGAAACGATGCAAGGAGCCGGTATGGTCACGGAGACAACGACGAGCTGTCCCCCCACAACAACCACAACCACAACTCCAACGCCGACGCCGACGACGCTGTCCACCGCGGTCCGAGGAGCCGAGTCCTCCTCTGCAGCGCCACCGCCGTCTCCACCAGCCTCAAATCCTCCCCCAGCATCGCCGCCTCAGCCATCAAGCCCCCCTCCCCCCTCGCAAGAAACACCCCCCTACGCAACCGGCGACCCCTCGCTCTACCTCCCCTGCGCCCCAGGAACCTTCCTCTGCACCTCGGCGTCCACGTTCCTGACCTGCGACCAGACGGTCCCCGGGACGGCGCCGCAGCAGCCCTGGGAGTACCTGTACCCGCGCGACGTGGCTGAGGGCATGGCGTGTGCGCCCAGATTGGTGAGGTGTGAGGTCGGGTGGGAAGGGTGTGGTACCGGGGAGCGGGTGCCGGTTGGGTGGAGGAGGGATGATGTGTATGTGAGGAGTGGGGCGTGAGCGATGTGAGGAGGGGAGGCGAAGCGTGAAGGGGGGTTGGGAAGAATTGGCATGGTGAGGTAGGTGCGGATGGCGAATGAACGATGGAAGCGAAGAGACGACCGAGCATTCTTGGTAAGGAGAAAAGGACCTCGACGCCAAAACACTCTATTATTGTCAGACACCGTGCGAGAAGGAACAAGCATTAAAACTTCATTTACTGAAGAAATGAGAAAGATGGTTAACCGAATCTAATTAGCAGTTCCTGCTAGAATAAAAAACAGTCAACGTGTCAATCCATCAAGATGGTTACGGCACCCTATCACGACATTGCAGCTGAAGAATCAGTCGAAGATTAAGTCGTGATTAACAATTACTCTAATTACGCTTCGTAGCTTAGCCAGACGCAAAGCTCATGCCGTGATATCGCTGAAACAAACGAGAACGCTAATCAAATGCCACAACTCCTGCTGGAGCTGCAGATTTTGGTATCATACACAATCTGAGAAGCAAGCATAAATCAATCCCACACTCCGCGCTCAAGCAACTTCGATGTCCCGGCCCGCAGCAAGCAACTCGTTTAGTAGTTGGTAGCCACCGTGCCGCGAGGAGCGTCCAGTGCGTACGGGTGGTTGTGGTTGATTCCCGACGGGGTAGGGTCAACATGGTACCCGCCGTGGTCGATCGCTGGCGGGATGTTGGGCGTGACTTGAGCATGCCCAACGTTGTGCCCGGCGCCATGTCCAGGCATGAGACCAGCCGGGTGCGCGCCAGTGCGGTGGCCGTCGTTGTGCACGGCAGGTTTGTGCGGGACGTCATGAGCGACTGAGTGCTTTGGCGTTGACTCGTAAGCGCCGGCAGGAGACATCGTGGAGCCGGTGTAGCCGGTGTCGTGCGATGGTCGGACGTTGGGGTGGGGCACGCCGAGGCTGCCGGTTCCAGCAGACATCTCGGTGTCGTGGACGGGAGTTGTCTTGGGCTTGCGCTGCCAGAACTTGGGCTTGCTGGTGCCAGAGGTGTAGCCGTTGGTGGGAGACGGGCCAAAGGCCTTCTCCTTCTTATGCTGGCGGACAAGGAGCAGCTGGGCGACGGCGGCGAGGAGTAAGAGGACACTGGATAGAGAGTTAGAGGGCATATTTGATGCAACGTGTGGGTCAACTTACGCTGCGATGATCGAGACAATGAAGACCGTCTTGTTCAGTCTGCAAGCCAAGCCGTTGCCAGTGCCTAATGGCGTGGGAACGGTGCTGTTGCACCTGCGCGTGCCATCGCGTGTGAGCACGGCAATGGCGATGAAGGCGCCGCAGAAGAGGAGATTAAGGAGGACGGCGAGGTAGCCGAGGAAACTGATGCCGCCAATGAAGGCAGTCAAGAGAATGGCGAAGATGAGGTAGATGACGGCGGCACCCGACATGCCGGTGACAGCGTTCCATTTGTTGGAGATGGGGTCGTTACGCTTGGCGAGTGTCGCAAGGAAGTAGGAGAAGATGCCCATGACGATGGCAGCGCAGCAGAACGCGAGGACATAGTGGAGGGTCAGGATGCTCTTCAGAGCGGCTCCGGCTTTCTTGGCCATTGCGGTTGATCAAACGCGTGAAAGCGAAGCCGAGGAAAGAGAGTTGCAGGTGGGTAGAAGAAGCACGGAGGGAGGAGAGTTGCTGGCTGAAGAAGAAGTGATGGTTGCTGGACTGAGGAAGGGAACACGCCGCCGTTAAGGAGAGATTTTATCTAGCAGTTTGATAGCAGTGACGCAGGTCTGTGTTCGCATGTGGTTCCTCCTGCCATGAATTTGGTACATGGAAATCTTGGAAGCTAGCCGCGATCCGACATGGATCTGACGTTTGGCAGCGCCAACGTCACTGCCGTTGCGGCGACACCAAACCCTGTTTAGGAAGCGCATGGGGCTCGAAATGAGCCCAGCAGGCCGATCAACATCAGAAAGTGGCCCAACGCTGAATCTCACAACCGGATTTTGAGATGAGCTTGAGCCGCGCCGGGAGCCATGGGAGCCATTAGCGTCGCTTGTTGGCTCGCATGACGCACCCGGCTTCGCAGCCACAGCGGTCAGCCACAGCAGCCACTGACAGCGTCCGATGCAGCGAGACCTCATCCAATTTCCTTGGACAGGGACAACCATGGAATTGTTCTTCACATGATGGGTCTGAGCAACGGCTCGTGTAAAATTGCAAAAGACTGCGAGAATCAGGAGATCCAGTCGCACCAACTTACAAAACAACGCCGTCATCTGTCTCACCTCGCCCCTTCCGAAGCGTCCCTGGCGATGACGAGTACTGAGGTACCTTGGAGTCTCGGCGCTTCGCAGCCCATGTTCGACGAAACAGAAATGACTTATGACTGGAAACGGCCATGCAATACTCTATAACGGTAGTTCCGAAGTTTGCGAGATAGTTCTCCGTTTGAAAGAATGCGACAAAGAAGCTAAGACTAAACGAACCGTGCGACCTGTCATACTCGACCGCACACAATTAATCCCTTCTTGAGGGCACCTAGACCAACGGCAATGCTTCTCCTGCAGCGCAATACAGACGTACTCTGATATCGAGGAACGTGGCCGAACATGTCGAATATCCGCCGAGGAATGAGAAGTCTCGTGTCGAACGATTCTCGAGCGCCTCGAAGATGCACACCTGCCAAGACAGCCCCGCACCAGAGATACGAGCCGAGCAAGCTCAAAGTTGGAGCTCTTTCACTGGCATGACTGGATGACTCAGGCCAAGATGTCAGCAAGCCAGGCCTCACAGGCATCAATCCTGCTGTCGCCCAATAAGCGCCTGAGTGGAATTGCTGCCTAAAGTGATCATCGCGCTCTCACCTGATATCGCGGCCAAGACCCTCTCAGGTGAGACGCGTGCACGCGAAGTGGCTTACTGCTCTTCTGCTTTTTGCATGCAAAACCTCGTATTGCAAACGAGCCGATTCACGAGCGACGTTGCCCGTGAAAGCAGTAGAAGTAAGTATAAGTAAGAGCGGTTTCTTCGCACAAAATCTCAGACATCCAGTACACAAGTCTATCCCACACTTCATTTCCCACATCTCTTAACACCTTTGCACAATCGCAAACAATGGCCAACCACAACCAAATGATCTTCCTCAACCTCCCCGTCGCCGACCTCGAGGCCAGCATCGCCTTCTACACCGCCCTCGGCTTCCGCCAGAACACCGTCTTCAGCTCTCCAGACGCCGCCGGCATGGTCATCTCCGACTCCATCTGGGTCATGCTGCACACCCCCAGCTCCTTCGCCAGCTTCCTGCCCGCTGGACGCAAAGCCACTGCCGCAAAGACGCACACCGAGTGCCTCTTCTGTCTATCCAGGCCGAGTAGGGAGGCCGTGGATGAGATGGTCGAGAAGGCCGGGAAGGCTGGTGGAGGCGTGGACGTCGGGTTCAAGAAGGATGAGGGCTACATGTACGGGAGGAGCTTCGAGGACTTGGACGGTAAGTGGTTGCTTCCTTTGGCTTGTATCTTTTTGCTTGTTGTTCGCACACGGGTTGTGATGGTGAGTGCAAGACACGGAACGAGGAAAGCTCATGCAATGTGATGTAGGTCATGTTTGGGAGGTTATGTGGATGGCCGAAGAGGCTCCGATGGATCCTGAGGCAGCGGAGGAGGCTAAGGAACGTGGAGAATGCGGTCCCGGAAAATAGAATGCTTGGTTACTGCGCACAGGTTATGGTGGCAGGCGAAAGAGACACAGAATGAGAGAGGCTGATACGCTGTGATGCAGGTCATATTTGGGAGGTCATGTGGATGATGCCGGAGGCTCAGTGTAGTTCCGGAGAAAAGAGTGCTTGATGCGGAACTTTCAAAGTCTTTCGACCGTATTGGAGGATGGAGGAAATGCCGAAGCGGGTTAACAGTATGGAGTCACTTTCGTTTCGAAGAGTGCTGTTCTAGTACCTTTGAGTGTAGTCCTTGCAGAGCAGTTTTCCAAGTCAGGTCTTCCGAGACCGGTATGCTGTGCCCGACTTTTACTGTGCGGGATCATGCATTCTGTTCGAACTGAGCCAGATTGACCCACCTCTACCACAGAAACTGACACCTCTGCATGAGCACCCTACTCCCAAAGAAGTCCCACTCCTCCCTCCCAATCCAACTATCGTTCCCACTCCCACTCAACTTCCCAAACACACTTGCCCCCTTCCACACCACGACCTGCGGATCCAACTCCCGCGGAGGCGAACCGATAAAAATCTCCTTCGATAGCGCCGGCGTCATATCCCTCAGCCTCTCCTCCAAAAAGTTGTTAAACCCCAATATCTTGGAGCCGCCGCCAATGACCATGATGCCGCCGAGGAATTCGCGCATCTTGCGGTCGTCGCCCCGAGCTGCTTGGGTGATGGAGGTGAGGATCGCAGTGTCGAGCGGCATGATGGGGAGGATGGTATCGCGAGCTTCGGCCTCCTTGATCTTCTCTACGACTGGGTCGTGGAAGCTGATAGTCGGACGGTCTTCGCCACCGATGGCAGGGGAGTCTCGGCCGGGTTGAGGCGTGTCCTCTGGGCCGGGCGAACCTGCTTCGGAAGACCGTGGCGTTCCTTCGCCCTCGGTGAGGTGGCTGAGGTTCTGGAAGGGTAGTTGTCTGCTCGGGGTTGAAAGGACAAGTGATGCGATTGGCGTTTCTGATGTTGTGCCGTTGCTCACGGATGGGTCTTGGCCAGATGCCCATTGAAGCACAGCGTCTTGAGCGGCGGAGCGAGGGTCGTTTGGCGAACCGTCGTAGATGTCGTAAGAGCGACCGAACAGCTTACGCCGTCCAGCCAGCTTTTCTGAGTTGTCAAAGATCGTCGGTTGGAAGAGACCCTGTAGAATCCCAATCAGCCCCACCAGTTTCACATCATTACAAGAAACAGAAAGGCTTACCATGGGCGCAAGCATTGTCTCATCGTATGTCTTGAACGTGTATCTTCTTGTGTCTTGCCCCGCAGCTCTCAAGTGAAACTCGTACAGCTGCACGGTTATATCCATCTCTTGCACCGTGCAGAACTTCTGCTTCAGCTCCTCGGCCAGCAGAAAGTCGTACCTGCGCTTGAGATTCATGTCTGCATAAGGGAAATGGTCAAAGAGCAGCATTTTGATGAAGGTTTCAGTGACATCCGTTCCGCCAAACTTCAGGTTGATACGCGAGTTGTCTGCGCACATACCTTCCTCGACGCAGCAGATCGAGGTTTTCTGCGCCCCTACATCGACGATGCACGAGGAAGAGTATCCTGCGCCAAAGGTTGCGGCTAAGCTCTCCTGCTGAAAGCAGCATCGACCGAAGCCAAGGTCGCGCATCAGGATCTCGAGTACTGAGGTGACGTAATTCCGATCATACAGGTCAGGTATCACAAATACACAGCTATACTGAGCCCAGTCTCTCCGCCGTGTTAGGCCGAGCTGTTGCTTGATCGCTTGCTCGAGTATAACGGCAAAGTCCTGCAACAAGAGGTTCTTGCTTGCGTAATCCTTCTCGTTGAGCCAGCCATGTCGCAAAGGCCAAAATAGCTTGTATCTTGGGTTTGACTTCTCTGGTATCCGTAGAGCCTCTTGTCCAATAAAGTAGTCTGGAGCTTTTCTGGGATCTGGTGGCAGTTCGGTCCACTCTATGCGGTGTGGATCGTTGTGCTCGGTAATTGTCTCGTGGACCTTCTTCTTGTTGTAGTGGACTACCATCTCCTTCGAATTTGGCATCAATCGGATCCTGTGATTTCGCATTGTCTGCTTGAGCTCCACGGACATTGCGGCATACTCGCGCGCCCACTGTAAAACATAATCAGCTCACGCTTCTTGCTGTATGCGCGCTTGACACTGACATCGTCGCCGAACCACTTCTCGGACTCAGCCAGCACCTTGTTGTCCAACTTAATCCTCTTCGGCTTCGGCTCGCCTCCGCCCTCTTCTGACTCGTTCTCCCTTGCTTTCCGCGCAATGACCATAGGTATAGTCTTGGGAAGCGCATCACTTGCGAAGCCAATGCGGAGGTTCTGACTACCCGGGTGGATGACGATAATTTTAGAGAAGTCGCGTGCATCTTGCAAGGACGCGGCAGCGCCTACATCGTCCTCGTCCACGAGACCAGGCTCTGCGGGTGTGCCATTGTTAAGATTGGAGTGCGCAAGGGCTCGGTCGCGGTCTCTTGCCTCGCGTACCATGCGATTCGTGTCTTCCTCATGTTGGATACGATATGCGTAGTATTGGTCGTCGCGCTTGAGGTATTCGCTGTCGCTCACCGAATCAGAACGGGAAGATATCTCTCGGCGAGCTACAAACGAACAGTGACAGAAGATACCCTCACGCCATGCTGTCATGCACGCCATGCTTGCTCGAAGCCGCGAGCGCTCTACATGGCATGAGCCAGCTGAAGGGGACGCTGTCGGGAATTGGGAAGGACGACGGAGATGCGCTATAGCTGAGGGAGGGAAGGTACCACGAACGTGTAGTAGTTCTTCTGATTGATCATATTGACCTGAGGCCATGTCGTAAGGTCGAGGTTGTTGTCAGTTCGCTCGAGACCTGGAGCCGTCAGCATTAGTGTATTACTTCAAGCTTCGTTCAATGGATAGCACCTTCGTCTCGGGCGATGGCCCTATTTGATCGTTTCCCAGGCATGTTGGAGCGTGATGATGACTGCAGACCGCCAGGAGGAGCAGTACTGTGATAAGGTAGTAAGGAGTGGGAAGGGTAAGAGGTTTTCAGTGTAGTCAGTGAAGACGTGCGCTTCTATCAAGGTACGGGCCGCTAAGATGGTCGTCTCAAGGTTGCAGCTCCGACGGACGTCCGCTGCGGAGCCGCATTGTTCCCGCCGCTCATGGGGCGGAAGTTGTAAGCCGGACCAGTGGGGACGGATCCTGCCTGTTAGGGCCGTTCTAGCTTTGTATCTCGGTCCCTGCCTTCTCGTATGCCGACACCTGTCAGCTAGTTTAGTTTCTAGACATCCCCAGTGATCTCCGAGTGATAGTTCAAGAAGCCTCTCCTTCCTACAAGAATCCCCACACTCGATCCTCAGCGCCTCAACGAACAGTCAGATCCGCAAGTTCCAAATCGCCCAGCAACCAGCGTTGCCCAAACCGCAGCTTTACTCCCCCGCCACCACCTCCTGCCTCACATCGACGCCCCCAACTTCGCACAGGCGCTCGCGCCGCAACCCTCACCATGGGTGTATCCTGGTCGCGCATGTCGAGCCTCCTCAACATCTTCTGGTCAAAGAAAGAGATCCGAATCCTGATCCTCGGCCTCGACAATGCCGGCAAAACCACCCTCCTCTACCGCTTGAAGATCGGCGAAGTGGTAACCACAATCCCGACTATCGGCTTCAACGTCGAGTCCGTCGAGTACAAGAACCTGCGCTTCGCCGTGTGGGATCTAGGGGGGCAGACGTCCATACGGCCGTACTGGCGGTGCTACTACGCCAATACCGCTGCCGTCGTCTTCGTCATCGATAGTACGGATGTTGAGCGGTTAGGCACCGCGGCCGAGGAACTGGCGGCGATGCTGGGGGAGGAAGAGCTTAGGGACGCGGCACTGCTTGTTTTTGCCAACAAGCAGGATCAGCCAGGGGCGAAGGGGGCAGGGGAGATCAGCGAGAAGCTCAAGCTGGGCGAGCTGAGGGACCGGAATTGGAGTATCGTAGCGTGTAGCGCTATTGATGGGAGGGGAGTGGATGAGGGAATGGACTGGTTGGTGGTGAGTTCTGACGTGCTGTATGGCGAATGGGATATCTTCTCGCGCTGGGAGAATCCTTGGTAAGGGATGTTTGCTGACCAGCTGGGTAGCAAACGGTGCAGTCGGAAAACTCGTAGCGCTGATTCGGTGTGTGGGGTGAAATCGGGAGATGCGGCTTCGTGCGATGCCTGAATTGCCGGCCAGGGGGCTCGAACGGCGCACCCTCCAGCAGAGTTGACTTCGTTGGAATCGATGTGGCTATGAGGCTGGAGCGGCGGTGGAGAGACATGTTCGGGATGGGAGCGCGTCGGCAAGAGGGAGATGTTCGCACCAAGCGGATCTGCTGCGCACTCGGTGCAAGAGCGGTAGCCCTTCCGTGGCGGTTGTTTTGAAGTCGCATTGGTTATCCACACCATGTTAAGTACTGGAAACCCAGGCCCAATAGCTGAAGCGTTCGCGGACTTCAAAGCTGGAGTAAATATCGGCTAAGTGGGCATTCTACATTACACAGCTGATCTATATATCTTCTCCAGCCAACCACAATTACATGCGATGCGCAAGTGCTCGTAACCCGGTGTCCCGTACTTAATCACAGTACTAACCAATAAACGCAAATGCCAACACCAATGGACGATCCAAAAACGTAAGTACACATCTACATATACAGATCCGGATCGTCGAGGGTACATCGTCCGCCGATGACACTTTACAGTGCCTATCGCGAAAAACACGCGTATCCAATACGTACTAGACCCGCAACATAGATTCTCTAGATTAGTAGTGGTCCCAGGTTCCGATATGCCCCCCAAGCAACCTCCCTTTCGTCCAATCGACCCCATGCTTATACTCGCTCAAGATCTCTTCCTCATCAACGCCGCAGTGATCTTCCCCATCCCTGCCCCTAAACCAGCCCAGCGCGTAAGTCTTCCCCAGCTTCTCTATATGCTTCGTCATCTGCCTGCTATCCATCCGCTCCGTATTTACGAACGCCAGCAGCATCTTGCTCTGATGGATAAAGGCCAGGACTGAGGCAATGGTGCCTGGCTGACGCGGCAGGAACGGGTGCCGCCGACAAGCGTACACAAGTGAGGCTACGGAGATCAGATATAGAAGGGTGATGAAAGCAAGGCCGAAAGAGACCCAAAAGGATATGAAGGTCTCATCGGAGCTGGCATGGTCGCCCTCAGTCTTGTCGTCGCCGTCAACGAAGTCCACCACGAAGAACTTCTTGCCGTCAACATTGAAGGATGAGACGCAGACGGTGAGGACCTCGGTTAAGATTGCGCCAAGGGCGACGAGCGCGACAAGAAAGTGCCCGTTGAAGAGGGCTTTAATAGCGAGCCAGCCAGGCATGGTGCCCGTATAGTCGAGTGTGAGTGTGCGGGCCGGAGCGTGGCGCCGAGAAAGGACGTAGAAGGGTTCGATCATACGGACGTTGCAGTCGATAGTGTTCCAGAAGAATTTGATGCACGTTGCGATAGCGGTGAGGAGGAAGGGAAGAGTTTTGGTGACAATGTTCGCATTTGGGACGAACATCAGGACGGGAATGGCGACCAAAAAGAGGAACATGAAAATTATGTACGGAACGCCAGCTTTGAGCGTCAGTGTGAGTGGATGGGGGTTCTCCGGCTTCTTGGGTGCAATAGTGTCGGTCCTGCTAGCCTGTCGGATGTACTCGCCCTGCCACAATGAGCTCTTATGTAGAATATAGCGGCGTTTCTTAAGCTGCTTGTGGATCGCCTGATGACTGGCTGTATCAAGTCCGCGAAAGTCATGCAGGATGTGGCTGCGGGTTGCCATGGCCGCGATGCCAGCAATTCCCTTGGGGTTGCTCAGCAGACCACTCTTTCGTCGAAGCTGGAACAATAGCAGCACTCCGCAAATGGCAACCATGACTAACGCAACCGACAGGGGGCGGGACCAGGCCGGATTGATGCGAACGAACTTGTCTTCGTCCAGGCGGCGATCTTCCATTTCTGGGTAAAGTTTTACAGATGCTGACTGCAAGATTGGCACCAGACCTCCAGCAAGCAGTGTTCCAACTGAAGAGTATGCCACAGCCCAATGCCTAAATCGTAAGGCTTTGAGCGGCGCAAGCCATGACCAGAATGTCAAGTAGTCGACGTTCAGCGACTCCGCTGCCGTTGCCCCAGTCCTCTTCGACAACTGATAGTACGGCTCAAGCCGCTTGATGTCGTAATCCACAGCCTGCCAGAGCACACCGTAGCTGACAAGGACGATGATTGGAGCATATTTGTACAAGAAATAGTCCAATAGAGAAAGTTCAACAGGTCGTTTGAACGTTAGTAGCCCTGATGGCGGATCCTCCTTTGCCCTCTGCATCGAGACTTGACAGAGGAACTCTTGCAAACCGGCCAGAGCAATGGCAATGAAGACGAGTACTGAGATATAGGACCAATGCATGGAGGCTGGACGCCAAGACGGCATGTCTAAGTCAGGCGGAAAATAATAGCTCTTGTTCGCTTCACCGTTTGAGCCCTGAGCAAAGGCGTTGAGCGCGTTACGTGACTCGTATTCGGCACCTCCAAAACTACTGATGTCAATGACCGGTTCCTCTGACACGGCCAAGATCTGGCCCTTTTTCTCTGCGACTTTCTGCGCGTTCTCTCGGACATGAGGGTTTGGTGCTGAGGAGCCTCTGTGCTGTGTGATCTCTTCAACGTCTGACCGCCCAAGAAAAGGCGCGTCAAGTACACTTTCCATGCCACCTCCAAGTTTTCTAGGCATTCTTCGCGACTCGAGCCTGTTGTATTCCGCGGCCAGTCCGCCATGTTCCCAATCATCCGTGCCCTCACTATCTGCGCGTGTCCGTGGCGATGCGATTCGCCAGGCAATAGGCCCCTCAAAGCCAGTGACATCGAAGTCAATGCTCTCATCATCTCCGTGCTCTTCAACATCTGGCAGCCGCTTTTGTGCGCCGTCTTTTCTTGACTCCTCTTCTTCGTCTCTAAGACGTCCATATCTTGACTGCTTAGATGGTTGCGACGAGCGCAAAGACCCAAATTGGCTCAGTATACTTCGACTTCGGGACGGTCTAGCGATTGACGGCGAATGCGGGTTGTCGAACGATTCGGCGATCGGCTGGTACGATGTAGGCTCTGAGAAGGTCGGTGGAGAAGGTGCTTGTGAAATCTTGAACATGGGCTCCGCGGCCGGCGGGTGCTGCGCTGGATACGAATACCGGTGTTGAGACTCAGGACGTGAATCTGCGGCGGAAGGCACCGAAGGCTGGCGATTCGGGAAAAGCTGAGACAATCGAACCTGAGATGTCGGTTGCCGTCGCGAAGGCGCGGATCTTGTTTGTAGAAGTGGGCTTCGTCTCTCGATAGCCGGTGAATTAACGCGGAGGGCGGACGGATAACTCTCCATGATTGAGCGCTGGTGCTGAAAGCACGCGCTCCGGCGTGTCCGTAATGCTTCCTGTATTGTCTAGTCTCGAATGTCTCGCAGAACGTGAACTGCACTCGAATAACGCAACGAACAAGCGAGCGGAGGGTTGGTGCCTGAGCATGAACGAGCGACTGTCAATGCGCGAGGTAGAGCTCAAGCTGAGATGCCTTCTATGGATAGCAACGACGGAATGGGCGCTGAACAATCACGAGATCTTGAAGGGCATGAAGCTAGTGTATTGCACAGCCTCCAGGACCTGAAGAACTGCACAGCCTGTGAGAAAGGCTGTTTGGTCTAAGCAACGCGGGGACAGAAAAGGTTAAGGCTAATCTGCAGCTGGTTCGCGTGGAAATGTAGAACAGGACCGCATGCAGGAGATAACAGATGGTCCTGCCTGAAAGGTCAGCCTTTGGAAACAGCGTGGTACACAGCGGCTCCAAGTGCTCTCGCAGGTCGGCGGCGTTCAGCCCGGCAATCATTCTATCCGAGCTGACAGCTGTCGGCGCATCGCAGGAAGAGAAGCCGTGGGGGGCGTGGACAACAGACCCACATGCTGTTTGTTAGACGGGTTCGATGCGTCGGGTGCAACAGTAACCGTATGCCTTCGATTGATGGACACCCTTAAATTGAGTGTTTGCTAAGGTTAGGCAGTTCGGTAACCTGAGGCAGTGCTCCCTGATGTGCAACGAACCCTGGTAAGCCACTCAAAACGCCGCTAACCTTTAGAGCCATTTGAACCTCAGACCAGCTCCGCATCTTGAGGCAGAGCGACGTTGGTAAAAGCCGTGCAGGTTCCTCTCGTATGGGGTGCGTACTTTGCAACGAAGCTATCATGCTGGTCAAGTGAAACATACCTACCTTATGCAGGTACAGTACGGCCCCCAGTCTGCGAGGCATCGCGGTCCGGAGCGGCTGTTCCGTCTCACCACCTCAAGCAGTGTAACGTGATTCTCCTTCCTTTCGGCCTCAGCATTCTCATATTCTTCGACAACCATTCGGCCTCATCACTCTCAACCCATATGTTCCCGCTCGTTCATTCGCAAGATCCACCATCTTTTTTAGGAGGGGTGGGGTGCGGTTCAATACTGGTCGAACCTTTCCACAATCAAGCTCGAGTATCACTCACTGCGTAGTTATTAGAATCTTCTCCGGCGTGAGCTGAGAGGCAGAGCATCTTATGGTCCAGGATTAGTCCTGGAAGAGGCTTTTGTTCGATGTCTGGCTTCGAATACAAGAAGAAACTCGCGGCCTTCCGCCAGATCACCGAGGGGCCAATAACGGACAGCAACCCTAGCCTAAGAGCATGGGCGCCACCGGGATGAATCCAAGTGCGAAGCTGGTTCTTGCTGGCTCTCACGCGGCTACCTGTGCCAGGTGTCCAGCGGACAATACAATATGGATTGAAGCTAGCTTGCTTTCGTTACCAAGATCACCTGTTGCTTTTGCGGCTTCTTTGCCCCTAAATCCCGTAATGTACACTGGGTAGCTGTGAGGCTTGTTGTAAGACAGTATCACTGACTTGGTTCTAATCGCAAATCTTATAGACTATCAGTGCCATCGTCAGGCGCCTTTAATACCGCTTGCTGTGATTGTGGCGCGTTGTATTCACAAACCGTATGCCCGGATGGTAAGTATAATTACGATGGCTTACCTGAAGATTCAGCTTTATAGAAGAACCCCTACATCGAGGAGCTGAGGAGACTATATTGAGTCTTTGAGTGCCTGTCAATTGATTGGTCGATATTAATTCTGATCGCTTTCAAAGAACCCTGTGATTCGCTTGAATTGCTGACTCAGCTTCGTCGAGGCTTCAATTATTGAACTCAGGTAGCCAGTTTACAACACGTACGCTCACCACCAGGACAATATCACGGAGTCCCTTCACCTCCAACACGCGCAACTCTTTCTTCGCCGTGCCTACTCCCTTCCGTCCACCGTCTACCACCTGCAGTCCCCCGTTAACTCCAACCGGCCACCATGGCCCAGTACGGCTACCCACAACAGCAACCTTACGGCAGCAGCGCGCAAAACCTACAGTTCTACCCCTCAACATACTCTGCACAACCTGTCTCAGGACATTCGACCCCCTTCCAAGCTTACAGTGGTGGCCCACAGGCGAATGCGTATGGAGGGGCCGGTTTTGGGCCTGCGCCGAGCTTCGGTGGGGGCTTTGGTGGGCAACCCGGCGTTAGTGGGCGGATGGGAGAGCAGGGAGGACTGAGGACTGGGTGGTTGGCGGCGTTCGGGACAGAAGGATATGATGGGGAACCGCCGTTACTGGAAGAGCTCGGAGGTATGCATCGTCATCGAGGGTTTTCGCGGGGTGACTGACAGGAGGCAGTTAATTTTGGTCATATCAAGACGAAAACTCTCACAGTCCTGAATCCACTCGCACGAATAGACCAGCATATCATGGACGACTCTGACCTCGCTGGTCCAGTGCTCTTCTTTCTACTGTTCGGCACATTCCTCCTGTTTGTATGTCTACCTTTTCACTCCTCCACATTGCAAGCCGCTAATCTGGCAACGCCACAGTCCGGCAAGGTGCATTTTGGCTATATCTACGGCCTCGCCCTGGTTGGCAGCGGCTCTCTCCACATAATCCTCTCCCTTATGTCCCCACCGCTAGACCCGAACGACTCAAACCAACCTCACCCCTCCTCACATCCTTCTCATCCCGACCACCATAGCTCAGGCGGTCACTTCTCCAGCACACTCACTATCTGGCGGTCGACTAGTGTGCTGGGCTACTGCCTCCTTCCTCTAGTGCTCGTGTCGTTAATAGGCATCTTCCTGCCCATGGATAATCTGTGGGGGTACTTGCTCACAAGCACGGCGATCGCGTGGTGCACGTACTCTTCGAGCGCAATGTTTTGCGCAGTGGGGAGGATGAGCAGCATGAGAGGGCTGGTGGCGTACCCTCTCGCTCTGTTCTATGTGGGATTTGGCATTATGGGTATCTTTAGCTCGAGAGGGACCGGCAACTTGGCCGCGAAGACGGTGGGAGGCTGAGTCTGATGTGGAAATTTACCGAGGCCGCATCTTGAGGATGTCCATAGCATTATCACGGAAAAGGGGGGTGCTCAGGTCTTGTGCTGCATTGCAACCACAAAGCACGTTACTCTAATTCGCGACACGTGCTCACAGACACCATGTCGGCAATGGAAGGACATTCTGACCATGATATCCGCAGTCCGTTGCCGAGAAACAAATTTCAGTTCAGGAATTCTGAGATATATACCAGGGGCTTTGCGGCTTTGCAAAGCAATGACCCACGTCAAGGTGCCAAGAGTGTCGCGACTGCGGAGTTCTTTCGGCGCTGAACCCTGCATCGTCACTTGAAGCTCTTTAAGCTCCTCTTTTGCCGCAACCACTACATCCGCCACCTGCCATTACTCTACCGCTTCGCATTACTCCTGACAACAAACTCTAATCCAGTGACTCAAGATGGGCTGGTTCTGGGCAGACGCAACGCTCGCCGCGCCGGTTGCGCCGCACCCATTACCAAGAGGCGACGCCTCCCCTCCTGTATGTCCTTCGTTCAGCATACGAGAGAAGACAACTAACATGCGACAGCCCGGCTGCCCCATGCACAAGCCATCCTCCACCTCAAAATCCATATCATCCACCAGCACATTACTAGCCGCGCCCACAATACCGCAAGGCTCCTGTCCCTACATCCCTCCCGACAGCGCCACATCCCGCACTTCCGCACCACAACCCACCAACTCAACCGCCTCTACACTCTCCAAGTTCAACCCCCTCAACTACATGCCCTCCCTATCCAACAAGCGCGAATCGTCTCATCAAAGCGCCGACCTCCCCCTCTCCCGCGAGCGGTCCTCGATACCCAAAGGCGACGGCACCGGCAACTGGGAATACCCATCCCCGCAGCAGATGTACAACGCGATGCTGCGCAAGGGCTACACGGACACCGACACCTCGGCCGTCGAGTCCATGGTCGCGGTCCACAACTTCCTGAACGAGGGCGCCTGGGCCGAGATCGCGGAGTGGGAGCGGCGCTTCGGGCGTGGGCTGTCGCGGGGATGGCGGGCGTGCAAGCGCGGCGAGGCAGGCACGGTGTTTGACGCCTCGACGGGTGTGGATTGGGACGAGAGGAGGGAGCAGATGGAGGAGCCAAGACTGGTGAGGTTCATGGGGCGTCCGGGAGAGCTGACGCCAAAAGCGAGGATGCTGCAGGTACTAGCATGGGCGTACCCGGACAAGTTCGGCACGCAGCCGCCGTTTGATAGGCATGATTGGTTCGTGCAGAGGAGGTTGCCTGGGGGCCAGACACGGGAGGTTAGGTATGTGATTGATTACTATGAGGGACCGCCGGAGCCGACAGGGGAGCCTGTGTTCTTCTTGGACGTTAGGCCGGCGGTGGATGGGCCGACAGCAGCGTTGGAGAGGACGATGCGATGGGGTGGAGACGTATGGTATCGGGCCAGCGGAGGGAGTGTGAGGGAACAAAGCACGGAGAGTAGATAGGGGCGTATAAGGTACTGGATCCTGGGGCGTTTGGGTGGTGTACAATAAGGCTGGGTTCGTTCTTCAGATGGTCTAATCCTCCCCTCTTTTGCACAGCGGATACTGACGAAGTATGGTCATGAGGCTTCACCTTCACCTTCATGTTCTTATTCAGAGTACTTTTGGATCCTGTTGTTAGCTTTAGTGGAACCACTGACTTCTATATGTAAGTTGCTAGGTATTAAAATACCGTTCAATCGTGAAAGTTCCTTTAGGTAGGTAGCCACTGCCTCAGGTTTGCACGTGACGCTTGAACTTCCATCGCTGAAGCCGCCCTTTGCCCGTTGCCAAGCCCGGTTCCATTTCCTCCAAGCTCTCAAACACCACTCGGCGCATTACAAGAAGTAACATTATGGGCAACGACGGTGGCAGGTGTGCAACTCAACACTTCCAAACTCACTCATACCGATCGCTAACCAACCTACAGTATCCCCACGCGCCGCGAACTGGTCAAAGAAGCCGCCCGTCAGCCCTCCGCAACCGAGCTCAAGGAAACCCAGCACGAGCAGCAAGAATACTACTGGAGCACCGACCCGCTCAGCCAGAAACCCTTGCGAGCACCGGTCGTGAGCGACTGCAACGGGAAGCTGTACAACAAGGACGCGATCATCGAGTACCTGCTACCGGCGGACGGGGAAGATGCCGTGAGAGAAAAGGCAGAGAAGGACAAGGTTCTGCTAGGCGCGGTCAAGAGCCTGAAGGACGTCGTGGAAGTGAAGTTCCAGGTTGACGAGGGCGGGAAGTGGATATGTCCGATTACGAACAAGACACTTGGGCCGGGCGTCAAGGCGGTGTATATCGTGCCGTGTGGACACGCGTTTGCGGATAGTGTGGTCAAGGAGATCGAGGAGAGAAAGTGCCTGCAGTGCAACGAGCCGTATGCGGAAAACGACGTCGTACCGATACTGCCAACTACCGCTGCGGATATTGCGAGACTGTCGTTGCGAATGAAGATACTGAAGGAGAAGAGACTTACGCATTCGCTGAAGAAGGCAGCAGGTGCTGGAAAGAAAAGAAAGAAGGGCGTCGAGAATGGCGACGCGAAGAGCACTGAGGTGGCATCCGAATTGGAGGAGAAGCCGGTTGTAACAGCGCTGAGCGCGGGCATTAAGAACTCGGCGACCGCTTCGCTTACGGCAAAGGTGCTGAAGGAACAGGACGAGCGCAACAAGCGGCGCAAGATGGATGCGAACGGCAACTTGCAGAGTCTCTTTTCTTCAAGAGATCCGTCGAAGCCGTCAGGGAAGAGCAGTGACTTTATGTCTAGAGGATTCTCTATACCCGCAAATGCGAAGCGATGAACGGTGTGGAGTGCGCTCACCGATCAAGACGAAATCGGTAATTTTGACTACACCAGTATTCTGGCTGAAAACTCAGTAACGGGACCCAGAATTCGAAAACATTTCATTGAGGCGAGAAGGTTGCAAACGGGAACACGCACAGTCAAAAGTGGTATAGACTTGTCGCCAGCAAAAGAACCTGTCACCCGTATGGCATATACATCAGCGAGGCCTCACCTAAGACATACAGACCTCGCCGTGGTTCCAGTCCTCCCGGTGCGGCGGCGGCGCCGGATACGTCCAACTCAGGTTCTTCCAGTGCTTGTAACAGTTCTGTTCTAGAGAGAAGCTAGGTAGAGGGGAGTGTGAGACCCAGAAGGCTGGAATCAGAACATCCCTGATCCGGAGAATCTTCTCAGCCGTAGGCTTTGAGGTATCCTTCCTCGTCAGAGGCTGGCGGATTTCTAGTAGCTCGGTCCTAATTGCATTACTTTAGGTAGGTTGGCAAGGGCAAATGGGGGTTTCAGACTTTCACTGTTCAGTTCAAGGCGTGGAAGGGGGGCGGTTGTAACTTTAGAAGTTTGGCACTGTAGTTCCTCAAAATTTGTGCTGTTGTCTGGGCAAGGCAACAAAGCTATTTTAGGGTCAAATACTGAGGCCTGTCAACGTCAGATGTCCGAACGCTCGGTGCTAATCCCGTCGACCTCGTCGACCTTGTCCGGCGGCAAGATATGGACGGCCGGACGAGCTTCAAAAAATTCACACCGACGGACGCGACGGGGTTGTCCGTCGAAGCTCGTCCGCGTCAGTCCGACCGGCTACTGGACACCCTGCTTACTGTTGCTGTCGTTCAGCTGGGATCGCATCAGTGTCATCGGCGTGTGTGATTTGCTAGGACGTCAGCGCCGGCAGCTCGGCCATGGAGTGGACGGGCATGCTCGACATTAAGGAGTTCAGGTGGGCGAAGGCACCGCTGGTGGCACGACCGCGATGGCGATGGGAGACGCTCGGAAGGTGTTGTCCCACGACTGTGGTGTCGCTCACTCAAGTTGCCGCGGGTATTCAAATCCCGGCGGCGTTGACCAAAACGAAGTCGAGCAGGTGCTCAGCACCCCATAGCCCACCGAGTAGCCGGCGACGCCTTGGAGCCTATTAAGGTATCCCGGCTGGCAGACGCTGCCTGCTTGTGTCACACTCTAAGAGGCTCGCGGGTTGGCATGGGGATTTGCAGGGATTGCTTTGCAATCACGTATCTGACAGTGGTTAAAACCGCTCACAAAAGCAACGATACCTTCACTTTCTCATACCAATTGGTTTTACAGCTTCAAATAGGGTCGCCGGCGAGGTCTGGTCACATAAAAGTGAATGCGCTGAATTTAGGTTAACAATTAATGCCAAGCTAGTCCCAGAACTGTTAAACACGGAATACGAATCGTGAGACGCACTGTGCCCGGCCTCGTCTCGCACGCTGCGACTTCCAAGGCACGTTGTCCAAAGCTCGCCGTATCAGCCTCTGTTTTTGCCTAGTTCGACAATCCTCTCGAATATAATCTTCAGGGCACCTTTCTTCTGATCAATGAGCACGGAGTCATGGTTTGCCTCCGGAAACGTCGAAGTAGTAAAGTCAACCTTCCCCTTCACCCCATCGCTTTGCCAGCATTGCTCGAAGTACTCCTGTCCGCGCTTGGCGATCATAATGTCCGAGCCACCGAAGAATGATTCGACACTCACCTTCGCCGCGTTTGGCTCACGACTACCAAGCGCTGCTTCATTGACGGCTATCTTGCGGATGCAGCTTGAGTAATCTGCCGCCTCTCCCCAGTCAGCATCGTCGCACTTCCGGAGGCAAAGTTTCACTTCTTCGTTCGCGCCTGTGGTGCTCTCTGCGAATTGGTACTTCGACGAAAGCTTCTCAATAAGCTTAGCCGTGTCTTCATCGAAGCCGTATTGCTCGAACGGCGTGGTGGAAGTTGACGTCTCTGCTCCGGGGATGTCTGTGCTAGCTGGGAAAGAGAGTAGCGCTGCTGCTGACGAGATGATCCCTCCGGACCAGGAGGCGCTAGGTATAATCTTGCTGTTAATGAAGGTGTTGAGACCGGCATAAGAGTCGAGCAGGTTAGTCGGAAGTTTGGCAGCGATTGTGGTAAGAGTCGCGCCCGAGTGGGCGGTCGGTACCCAAGGCGCTGTCATTGTTGTCAGCTTCGTCCTAGGGGAGAGATAATCCAACAATTGGGCGCGAACCCAAGAATGCTACATAGGGTGCCTTTGGGTCAAGAAGGGAGCGGTGGTGGCATAACGTGTTGAGCGTGTATACAGCCCCCGCCGAGTGGGTCACAATGGCGACATGCTTAACATCTAGTCGTTGCAGCAGAGCTGGGACTGTTTCGAGCCAGATGCGCATGCGAATATCGATGGTCACTGGTGTCGAGCCTCCGAAGGCTGGTCTAGTCCATGCTCAGCTGGAGTCACTCTCAGCAGAGTACCATCTCGGGCATACCGATCGACACATATGACCCTTACGCCGCAGTCTCTTGCCAGCTTGTCAAAGTGCAAAGCATTCCATCGTGTGCCAAACATTGGACCGATGAAGAGTATGGCTGGAAGGCTGACGTTGTCGAAATTCGTCGTCGTCGAATATGTGACCTTAAGCTTTGAATGGTTTGCAGTCCCCGGAAGCCACAGAGCTTGGTGGAAGTGCTTCGTGCATACTATGCGGATTGCTTGGTCCTCTGGTGAGAAGGATGTCATCACTGAAGGAATACAATGTTACTAAAAGAAGAGGAAACGGGCTGAGCTTGGACGAGAGCAGGATAATAGAGTATCTAGCGGTTAAAGTATGGTAGGGCGAAGGTTCGGTGCGGTGGAGGACAGGTCTGCATTAATCAGCGGATGGCTTTCTTACGGCCCCCAAACCCTGTTCTAGAGGGTCAGGTTGGCCTCGAATACGAAAGCCACGTCTTCTCCACTAGTTACGTACTGATCCAGCGGTGAGAACTGCTGCAACAACCCATCGGACGCGTCAGCATGCTGTACAGTCATCTCCAAGCACTCCATATTCATACTCGAAGAAACACTCGAAGCTTCACAACCTGGCCTCCCGCAAACAATCACCATGGGCAAACAATTCGCACTCCACGTCACTATTCAAGTCGCCCCTCACAACGCCGACGCGTTCCTCGAAGCTCTCCGGCCAGCTTGGGCTGGCTGTGTTGCCGAGAAGGAGAACTTGTTCTTCGACGTATTTCAGGATCCAGAAACGCCTGGACGGTTTCAATTCGTGGAAGTCTGGAGCAAAGACAAGGACTGGTTCTTTAATGTCCAGTTGAAGAAACCCTACTACCAGCCTTACCTAGATATCACGGCGCCCATGTGGGTTGCAGAACGTATGTGTTCGGTGAGTGTGCTACGACTCCCAGACAGTGCTTACTCGAAGTAGGGAAAGTGGAGTTTATGGAACGCCAGCCGGGGTGGAGTGTGTACTCGGAGGAGTATTTGGTAGAAGGGAAGAAGAAGTGATCCAGGCATGGACGAGGCTGGTCCCGAGATGAAAACAGAGTAAAATTTCCGAACCAGCTTAATTGTATACGTCATCTTCACACAGCTCCCAATTCGAAAACACTAGATCTAGTCATCATTCAGCAAGCTCTACGTAGTACTCCGTTAATACTATATCTAACGTACAGTGGATCGTGATTAGCGGTGAGCTTGACTTTCAGTATAAGGCAGTATCCGCCAACTGCGCAGCTTGATGCTCCGTGTAGAGTGCTTTGTATTAGCTCACCTCGCTAGTTAGTAGTCGATGCTTCTCCAGCTAGCGACCCGTCAGAACAAGAAATGCACGTTATAGTTCGTCATCATGTCAGACAAAGAATATAATATCAGACAAATCTGAGACCCTAGGTCGCGGTCCAGAAAGGCCCTCTGCGCAGAAACCTGCCACACAATCATCTTGAGAACGGACTATCGGTCGAAGAACAGGATTGGAGAAGGGGAGCCAGCCTAGACCTCCCGCATTGAAGTCGTCCTGGATCTTTTTGACAAGTGATACGGAGATGCAATTCAGCGATTCTTCTCCACCGTATCTACTCCATGCACCACAGCTTCCTCGGTCAGCACGCTTCAACTTGACGATCTGCTACCTTTAATTAACTAGCTAAGGTTGAAGCATCATCGCGTCATCGAGTCCTTTCCCAATCGATGCCATCCGTATAGTTGTTAGAGTGTCTTGCAAGTCACTAAAATCGTCGCAACACAGCCTTCGTCATGAAAAGGGATAAGCAATTTTACCTCCAGGAGCAATGCTAAGATACTCAGTCTACATATATCGTCCTGTAATTTTTTCAACTTGTACGCAGTGACTCCCTTTCCCAGGATACCCTCTGTCGTCGGACGTTGTTTGCAAATAAGTGGACTGCAATATATTTTGTTTATTCTCTCACCTCGCGGTGGGATCCAAGGCTCTCCTACGAAGCTTTGTCTGGTGTGAAATCTTCCATCCGCGCTCTCACGCTCTCTGCACACTCAGTGAGCACTGTTATGGCGGACAAATACGAACATGGGCAGCGAGAGAGTATGTAGTCTGCTTTCTAGTGGTTCCTTTCGATCGCAAATTCCCAGATAACAATACACATAACGTAGCCGTTGCCAACTAGGAATCAGAGCCTCATGATAATCTGCGTTAATCAACATGGCCGTCTTCCCCGCTAGATAGTGTGCCGGATAAAACTTGACGCTGAGTTGAAGAACGTTGTAGAAATATCCGGCGCCCGGAGAGCAGGAATATCTATGGACTCGACGATCCCAGTATAATATGGGATTCATATGCCCTTCGTCTCCAAGTACTAAGGAGCGGGAGTTGTCACTCCCTCAAGCCCCTTGCAGCGGCTTTCTAGCCCTTTGACACGGTCGGCTCAGAAGACATGTCCTCGAAGAGCAGCCGTTCCTCTCCGCGCCGCGCTCTCCAGAAGTTTGTCGATTCGAAGAGTTCCGGACAGTCCCTGACGATCCAGCCCCAATTCTTCACGAAGCCTTCTGTGACCTCCCAGCTATACGGATCCCACGGTTCGCCCCAGACAATGAGGCCGGCCCTTCCAGTTGGCGCGCCACAGAACCCGACGAGATCGATGCAGAGTTGCACGTCGTCGAACGACTCGCCTGCACGCAGGAGATTGTCCCGCATCACGGGCAGGGGAAAAAAATCAAGCCAAGGATGATGGGGTGTCTGGCACTGAAGCATGGTCGGGCGAAGATTCGGTGGGGTGGAGGACGGAAGGCATCCGGAATTCGTGGTGTGGAAAGGAGAGAGCGCATCATCTTTCATCACCTCCCCTGTCATGCCGAGAGTGAAGATGTTGCTCATCATCGCTCGAAACACGTTGACCTGGATTAAGGTAAGGAGGAGATCTGACGTTGGGGATCCGAGCATGTAACTTCTACAGGCCCATTCCTCAAACTGGTTCCTGAGCTTCTGGGTCTCTGCGGGTTCCAAATCGCGCATAGTGGCAGCGCGTCCAAATTTTGAAAGCTCCAGCTGCGGAATTGGGGCCGCAGATCGGACCACGAGTGCCTTTACGATGCTTTGTTCTGTAGATTCTGAGTCTGCTCCGAAACCATGCCGGTAAGCTGCAGCATCGGCTGGACTACCGTAACCACGCCAAATCCTTGGCTTAGCAGGACGATTCGCTTGTGTAGAAGCAGACCCACGGTTTTCCTGTGACTGGTCCGCCTTGCGTTTCTCTGCGGGGAATGGCAGGGCTACATTAGTCGATGATATCTCGACGCCGCTGAATAGAGCGGCGTGCTGTGCTATTGCAAGCGTCAACACTCACTGTAAGCTCTCTGGTTTAGCCGGTTCTGCAGTCTTCTTCGCTCTGCAGAGTTAGACAGGCCCGTCCAGTCATCTTCTGGAGCAAGCACTTCGGCTTGCTGGGGCATCCGTCCTAGCGATATTGGCGGCATACAGGTGCTGTCAGCCTCCCTCCAGCAGGGTACGTCATTCACCGTAATGTCCATAATGAGCTTCTCTCTGTTCCGACGTACGCAGGATGAAGCGATGTGAAACCAGATCGAACCGCAGTTTCAGCAAGTCTAGAATGCGTATCACCGCGGGAAATGGCAGTTGGGGTTTCCTTTGATTTATGCAGACTGCTTAGGTGGCGGAACTAAGCTTTGCGCCCGGTCTGCGTTCGGCGCATGCAAACTGCTTACCGCGCTAGGGCGATCCCGCAGTTACAAGGGTAGGATACAGCAAATCCGCTTAAATCCGATAACGCGTGAGTATATGCCATCAGAGCAGCTGCAGCGTTCACAGCTGCGGAACGCCGCCTGCTCTGGCACAGGTGGTATAACAACCCTCTCTCCCTTCTCTGCTTTGTCTTTTCATTCCACAACCACCCTCAGCTCCATAGGACGACTACGCTTGTACTCTGTCTAAGTATGCATATCGTCCCTCTCTGATCCGACACTTCTTTCCTCTCGCTCTCCTCCTGCAATACTATATTATCTCTTCCGAAAGCGGTCAATTGACTCAGGCAGGTCGTTGAATAGTCATAAATCCTAAACCATGACGTCCACGATGGAATACGTCAGGTATGTCATGTCAGTAGCCATCTCGCAATGCCAGACACATGTCTCGTCTCACGCTGCACCACGGTGCCACGTCTAACAAACAATCCACCCCCAGACTCGGCAAATCCGGCCTCAAGGTTTCCAAAATCGTCCTTGGGTGCATGAGCTACGGCGACCCCAACTGGCAACCCTGGATCCTGCCCGAAGAAGCGGCCCTCCCCATCATCAAGCACGCCTACGACCGTGGCATCAACACCTGGGACGTTGCCGACACCTACTCCAACGGCAAGTCCGAGGAGATTCTCGGCAAGGCCCTAAAGGAGTACAGCATTCCACGCTCCCGGGTCGTCATCATGACCAAGTGCTTCCACTTTGTCGATGAGACGCGAGGGCCGCTCGATGCTGTCGCTATGGGGAGTAATGCGGGGGAGAGAGTGAACTGTGTTGGACTGTCGCGGAAGCATGTTTTCGACGCCGTAGAGAGGAGTGTCCAGAGACTGGGCACGTATATCGATGTGCTGCAGATCCATCGGCTGGATCGCGAGACGCCGATGGAGGAGATCATGAAGGCGCTGAATGATGTTGTTGAGAGTGGGAGGGTGAGGTACATCGGGGCGAGTTCGGTACGTCCCGTCCCTGTCTATTTGTTTTTTTTTACTTGTCCACACCACCTATCACCTTCTAGCACTGACGCGGTGGTCATCCAGATGGCGGCCTGGGAATTCCAAATGCTGCAGAACATCGCGGAAAAGCATGGCTGGCACAAGTTCATCTCCATGCAGGGTTTCTACAACCTCCTCTACCGCGAAGAAGAGCGCGAGATGATCCCCTACTGCCGCGCCACCGGTGTCGGTCTGCTGCCTTGGTCTCCCCTGGGCGCCGGTGTGCTGACCCATCCCTGGGCGGATCGCACCGACAAGCGGGAGGAGTCGGATGTGTTCTTAAAGGCGCTGTTCCGCGGTCGCGAAGATGAGGTGGATAAGGCCATCGTCCAGCGCGTCGAAGAGGTCGCCAAGAAGAGGGAGGTTGGGATGGCGCAGGTCGCGATGGCGTGGGTGCTGCAGAAGGGCGGGATGGCACCGATTTGTGGGTTAGACAGCACCGAAAGAATCGATCAGGCCGTTGAGGCGACGAAGCTGAGTTTGACTGAGGAGGAGGTCAAGTACCTGGAGGAGCCGTACTTGTCAAAGCAGGTCTCTGGGTACTAGGTGGGCGAGATAAGATGCATGGTTGAAACGAGGATTTGAGTGGCTGAGACAAAAAAGTTCAAGGAGTCAGGTGGAGAAACTTTGGTGAAGGTTGCTCTGCACATCAGTATAGGTAGCGGCAGGATGCAAGAAAAAGTTTCGAAACTTAGTGAAGAGGGATTACATTCCTTCCCAGGACACCAACCCGCAGCGGCAAGGAGGCCCCGAACACCTTATAACTACATATGTAGCACCAGGCGCACGCCGTGTCCGCCTACCAAGATCCCACCGTATGTGACGAGACCTTGACCAGCCATGTCCTCCAGTATGAGCCGAGAAAACACAACACTCACGACTCCATTTTGCCACAAAAGCAACACCAGCCCTTACCGACCTACCGTTTTCTCCCAGTGCCAACCTCTAGAAAAGGAAAACCGTGCTAAGCGAATGTTCAGAAGGCACTGATGGAGTTGCTTCGACCAGGATTTACTGCGTAGCCTGGTGCCCATCGTGCCTTCCTTCTGCCATGATGCTGTAGTTTCCGATATGCTTCTGATCGTAATCGCCATGGGCCGACCCCACGGGCGGCAACGGCATGATCTCGTGCTTGTCCTCCCTCGGGGTTCCGTTCCTGACAGAGCCCTCGGGCTGCAGAGTCACCGTACTCATGTCCAAGCTCTGCTCCTGGCCCTCGACTCCCACAGCCTCCTTAGGTGGCGGCTGTAATGATATCGCAGGTGGAGGCCTCCAGCTGCTCGAGCTCTCGCCCGAGTCACCACGAGCCCTGTTGGTGCCACTCTTGGCGCTGCCGTTCTGTTCAGTCACACTCTCAATGTGCTGAGCGTTTCCATTTCCCTTCTCTTCGTCCCCGATCATTGCAGCTAGACTGCGGAAGTTGAACATCGGCTCTAAAGCGGGAGTGGTTGCCGCTGGTGTATCCACACCTTCCTGCGGTGTTGCGAGATTTAGGCCGCTAGCGTTAGGACTGGCGTCAAACGAGGAAGCTGAAGCGCCGAAGCCGGTGGCGCTGCCCCTGCGGAGGGAGTCCGGAACGGACTCGGCGAACGAGGATGTGGAAGACGATGCGGTAGACAGGTGGCGCAGCGCGGTGCGGTGGTGGGGGATATCTGTTGGCGCAGAGAACGGGATATCTGCCGCTTGAGAGTGGAATTGCGCTCTACTTTGCTCAAGGTGCCGCTGAGGATCGTCTCTAGATGAAGACGCAACCGCGTCATTTAGTGGGCTGACATCGGCGGCTCCCGCCCTGTCGACGGCTTTGCCCTTGCCTGCAACGCCTGAGGAGGAGGTTGCGTGGTCAGACGATACGGGAGGAAAGTAGCCAGTTCTCTTCGCAGCCTTCTCAGCCCTCTTCGCCTCTTTTGCCTTCTTCTTCTCTTCCTTCTTCGCTTCCTTTGCTGCCTCTTTCTCCTCCTTCCGCTTCCTCTCCTCCTCGGCCGCGATGCTCAACCTGATCGCTTCCATCATCATAAGCTCTTCTAGATCCTCCATTCGGCTCCTTCCGAAGCCATGTCTGCCCGGGAACAGCTCGCCCGCTCCATCCGTTGCGCGCCTAGCACCGCCGGGTCTTTCAGTAGCCGCGGCAAGCAACGCGCCCATGCCAGCAAGGCTTGTTACCTCCCCATGTCGTGGCGTACCAGCACCACTACTGCCTTCGCCATCTCCAACGAAAACACTCCGCCGTCGTCTTCCAAGACCGAATCGGCCAGCGTCGGCCCCGCCGACGTTGCCAATGACGTAGGCCGCATTGTGCAATGCAGTCGCAGCTGCCGACCTCCTCAGGGCGTGCGCGCGAGCATCCGAGAGCTTCTTCGCCCAATCTGGGCGGACCTTGTCTGTAGTGATGACTTGTGGTGCGGTGGCCGAGAGAGATGTCGTTCTCCGCCTGTTCGACGTACCACCGGGGGTCGCAACACCTTGGGAGTTGAGAGATGACGATGATGACATTGCAGACATTGCGCTGGCAACATGATGTCCGCGACCCTGGTATGTCAGACCCCTCCGGAAAGGAGGCGGCTCGTACGTAACCCCAAACTCTGGCTGCACGCAGAACGGACACGCGGCTGGTTCGGAGACAAGGTTCGCTGCTTCATGAGGTCCTGACGGTGCGGGTTGACCGTTCGAGTCGTGGTGTTCCGGCGGGTGCGGATCCGGCCGCTTGATCTGTACAAAGCATTCCGAGCAGATTGGTTGGTCGCAGCAGCGTGTCTTGTTCAGATACGGCGGGTAGTATAGGAAGCAGATAGGACACTCTGATGCATCTTTGTACAAGAAAGCTTCAAGCCTCAGACCGTTGACGAAAGGGTCTTTCGGTAGTTGTATTTCTTGTGGCGTCATCTCGGTTTGCGAGTTGTTTCTCGACGAGGTGCTAAGAGCAGCCAGAGTTTTGGCCCGACCTCTGAAGAAAGGAGATGTGGAGGAGGGCGACCCTAGTGGCGAGCTGGCGGAAGGTACCGAGAACGCGGGATGTGACGGCGATAGGTTCATCGATAGATCCGAGTTTGATGAAGGCGAGCGTCCATTGATAGGAACTGTCAGATTGTTGATGTTGAAGTCCGAAGATCGTGGGTTGGAGCTTGATTGCGACATGGATCGCTCCATCTCTTCCGTAGGGATCTCGTCCGCTGGAGGGATAGGTAGACCTTTGGCCGCCGCGACCAGCTGATTTTCGGTCCATTCTTCTCGATGGTCGTTAAGTCCTTTCCAGAAAGGAGCCAGCCGCCTCTCGATCTACATTTTTGTGTCAGCAAACCTCACCGTGAACTCAACAGTCTACCACAAACCATCAGCTGCCGGACGATGGCCTTGTTGAAGTCCTCCGTCCCAGTGTACGTTCCGAGCGTCACCAAGAAGCCGCCATCTACGCCCTCCTCCCGTATACTCCGCTCGCGTTCCTTTTCCCTAGCCGCCCGCTCCTTCTCTAGCTTCCTGGCTTCTCGTTCCGCCTTTGTTTCTTTCCTCGTCTCGGCTGGAGCCGCATCCCTGTCGGAGTTGGCTCCTAAGCCGAGAAACGAGAGATCTGGCCTACTGCCACGAGAAGTGTAGGTCCCGCTTGTCAGCCGGTCGACAGGCGGTCGCGTGGAGCTGCTGGAAGCTTCTTGTTGTGAGCTGACGTGCCTCGACTGGCTAGGGCGCGATGCCAGCGAGGACGACGGCCGAGACTCTTTCGTCGAGCTGTTCCCCATGTTGTCTACAGTGGCTCAGCTCCACAGCTAGCGGATAGACAAGACGCTGCGAATACACCACGTCCGAGCTGTTGAGTTGCTGTTCCGAAACATAGGAGAGCTCGGAAAGCTTATCGAAGTAACGTTGTGCTGGCAGCTAGTCGCAGCGAGTGTCGTGGTTTCATTGAAGCGGGGACGTAGTGGGATAACCGCGTGTCACAAGAACCCGGGTTGGTTGCTCGGCGGTAGGTAGGCCACGGATCCTCCTTTCCTCCTCGACGGGCTGTGGGGCGTTGCGACAACCGAAGCAGCAGCAGGCGGCCGAGCGGTTTTGTGTAGTGGCTATTGCGGAATAGTAGTGAGGTCGATAGTTATCGAGCGGTGGGGTGAGGTGGGCAGTAGGGGCTGGTGATTGTCTTGGAGGGCAGAGGGCGACCAAGATTCAGTGGGAGCTTGGATTCGGCGGTTCAACCTTCCAGGCTTGTTTGGATGCGCAGCTCCCCGCTCTTGACGATCAGCCAGACACGCGGCCACGGCCAAGAAGGAGCGGCCGGAGCGAAACTTCTCACTCTTCAGGCGACTTTGGCTTGGAGAGAGAAGTCGAACAGAACCGAGTTTGCTTTTGTATGTATCGCAGCTGCCAGCAGAGCGGATGTCTATCTGGCTTGGCCGCTTCCTCCCGCCATAGCCGTGCAACACTTGCACCGCATGTCATCATCATCATGCGTCTGCAGCCCCTGGACGTAATTTAATCTCGAGGTACTCAGTACTATGAGGACCCGACTGCATCCATCACTGACAGTGGGAGAACACTAGGGTACCTAGATCTCCATTATCATCCTTCTCATAGGATCGGTCTGCTGTGCTTGCTAGACTACTAGTTGCCGGGATTGTGAGTTTGTAAGCCAGTACCCTAAGAAGTATCGAGCCCTCAGAATCTTCAATGTCCCAATCTTTGGTCAGGCTCATCAGTCTCCATGCGCTTTCCATCTCGTTGTCACGTCTAACAAAGTCATGTTGAGATTACGGCCGGGACAACAGTTACAAGGCGATCGCCTCAACATGAAACCACCCTTTCCCCATAGCTTGATGCATGGTTGCACTACCAGGATTTCAAGCCGTCCAAAGTGCCCTCATCATCCGAACACCCTTTGCGCCAAAAGCACCACCTGCTGAGAGCACAGGAGTCGTGTCTTGCCTACTGCACGGCCCTTCCGCTGCCCATCCTCTCAATGTTGCTCATGATCTTGCTCTTACTCACACCCCTGCTCAAACCGCTAGGAGCACTAGGCCTGCTGAGCCTACTCTCGCCAGCAAAGCCCGGTCCCCTGAGTCCACTAGGCCTCGAGATGCTCTTCCTGAAATCCTCCACGATGTCAACACCTGCGGCTGGAGCGCCAAAATCCGCTTGCAGCGCCAACATCTCGTCAACAGCTGCCACCAGCTCGCCCTTCTCCACCCGCTCCTGCTCCAACTCTTGCGCCAGCTGAGCATGCGAGCGGCGGACGGATTCGATTTCGGAGCCAAGGCCCGCCAGTTTCGCCCTCTGCTCATCGATCTCAGCCCTCTGCTCTTCCATGCTCTTCACATACGCTTCCCGCTCCTTGCCCAGCGCGGCGCTGAGTTCCGCAGGCGAAACGCCTGAGAACGCGCCCTCTTTGGTAGCCGAGAGCTCCTCGTTCTTCCTCGTAAGCTCCTTAATCTGCTGGTTAAGTTCCGCCGTCTTCTTCTCTGCCCTCTTCTCATAGCTCCTCTTGACATCCGCAACCTTCCTTAAGTGCTTATCCCTATACTTCTCATGCAGGTCCGCGCCCATCTTTGCCATCTGCCCATCAATATAGTTCTGCTGCTCAGGCGTGAAGCTCGGCCGCCTCTCCCTCCCCTCCTCTTGCGCCTCAGTATCCACCAACGTCTGATCCGCGCCGTCAGCAACACGGGATTCCGCCATACTCGCGCGGCTCTCCGCCTCAATCGCCCGCATCTGGCACTCGTCCGCCCTCCTTTCCGCAGCCTCCAGTTTCCTCAACACCTCCTCCCTCTCCTTCTCCGCGGAAATCACCTCAGCCTTGACAGCCCTCAGCACGCTCTCGACCTCCTTCCCCTGCTTCTCCCACTGCAGCTTCTCCTTCTCCGCATGCTCCCGCGCGCTCCGCTCCTCGCGCACCGCCTCCAGCGCCTCGCCTACCCGCCTCTCGGCGTCTCCGACCGCCTTCTTGAGACTCGTCACCTCGGCTTCCTTTCCGGAGAGGCTGGCTTCGAGCGCCGAGATTTGCGACTGGAAGAGCGACTTCATGCTCTCGACCTCGCGGACCGTGTGCGTGGGGATGCTGCGCGGGGTTGGGGCCGGCGGGAGCTCGAAGTCGAGGAGGTTGAGGAGGTTGCGGTTTTTTGCTGGGGTTGAGGTTGGCTTGTGCGGTGAGCGCTGCGAATGGAGGTAGGAGCGGAGATCGGGGGTTGTGGTTGACTTGGTGGGAGAGCCGCGGGTTGGGGAGCGCCGGGACTGGTGCGGGATGGAGTCGAATTGGTTGGTGAAGTCGAGCAGGTTGGTGGTGTCGTTTTCGGCGCGGGTTTGGGCTTTGGCGCCGCGGGGCGTGGGCGAGGGGGAGTGGTCGAATGTGAAGCCGTACCGGCGGGATGTGTTGGGGGTGGTGCGACCGGTGCCTCGTGGTGTGCGGGCGGAACCGAAGTCGGGGACGAAGGTTTTGGTGGGACTGCGCGCGCTGAGTTTGGCGAAGAGAGTCATGTCCGGGACGGCGGAGAAGTTGCTGAAGCAGGTGTCGTCGATGTTTGTCTCATCTGCCGTGAGAGTGGTCACATCTTGGTCGTAGTCTAACTCGTCGTTTCCAGATACACCATCATTTTGCTGTTGCCCCATGACAACAGTGGTGGATGCCAAATCCTCCCTACAGTCTACACTGGGACTGGCTGCTCTGATCTGCTTCTTTGGCGAAACGCGAGATTCCAGTTCCATTCGCGTCATGGTGATGGTCAAGCCTTCGTTATCGCGAAGATCTTGCGAGTTGCTAGCAGGCCGTCTCGCAGGAGATGGCATTTGCATCGGCCGCTCGGTAGGTAATGATGCTGGAACTTCCGGCTCTGACTCTGGCGGTGTGTATAATGAGCCGGTGTCAGACGAACCTTCGGTGGCAGACTCGTCGTTCTGTATGTTCAAGTCTTTGGCGTGTTGCGGTAGATTCTCTGTGTCTGGTCCATCTTCTACCACATCCACTCTCTCCGGCTCTTCCAATGTTATTGGTTCGCTAGACGTAACGTGATCTGGTGGACTGGCTGGCCGACTGAACTTGCGCGGCGATTGTTGTTTACTTGGACTGCTTTTAAGCAAGTCCAATGCGGGAACTTGGTTCTCTTGATCCGCAACCTCAGTAAGAAATGGAGAACTTGGGCCCTCGTCCCAGTTGATAATGTCCTCATCGAAGATATCAATGGGGTGAGCCGAGGTGGTATCCATTACGGGCGTTGGCTTGAAGTTAGGTGTGCGGTTGGCGGATGGCGCTGATCTAGCGTTCATTGTCTGCGGTGAGAGAGGCGATAGCGGCGAGACCATGGCTAGACTTCTTGCGCTCTTGTCTTGCTGTGTCGGTCCCAATTGCTGTGGAAAAGTGGTGTTGCGAAAGATGCGCGCTTTCATGTGGGATGGCGCGAATGTGGTATTGATTCCACGTGACGAGCGCCAAGAGACATCGTTGGCACAGCAATTATCATCTTGGCACCTTCTCCACGAGCATCGTCATGTAGCTCAAGAGACGTCCTCAAAATTAAACGACTGCACGAAGCTACCAGTGCTAGTAGCTCCAGGTCGAAGATTTGAGACGAGGCAAAGGCTTGTGTGCACTTATTTTCGACTTCTTTACGTAAAGCAACCAGATCGCTTGGTCTGCGTTGCAGTTAACCACGGAACCCGGTCTACCTCTCATGGCGCGAAGGCGGGCTTCGCAATGGAAGCTGGAGATTTGAACAAGCAGAGTTGTATACTGATCAGTGATAAATGTTGCCGCAGGTATAGAGTACACCCAAGAAGGCGCATGTAAGGTCCTGGAATTGCAAGAGTTCCGAAGCTACAGAGCCGTAATAGCGTGTCTTAATATCATGGTAGATGGTATTCGTACTTATATTGCTGTTGGTGTACCACTATCTATCTCTGTATCTCTCGATTGTGCGATTCCCAGTTTTGAAGTCTCCACAAAGTTCGTACCAATGTTCCTTCCAAGGTTGTGCTCTGTCGATTCCTCCCAGTTTACATGCCTCCTTCGTTTTAGTTTTGCAGTGCTTGCGAATATACTTTCTTGAGGCCAGTCGTAGCCTCGAGTTGATCAGATGAATCTGTAAATCCTTTCGTCTGCTTCCGTGCTACCCGGGAATCTATTTTACCCATTCAGCTTGAATTCATGGACCAGCCACCGTGCTCAATCACAACAAGTTGATCAAACATCCCTTCAATATGTCTAAGCAAATCCAATATTCCGTCAACAGAGACACGTACGGGAAGAAGAAGTAAGACAAGAAGACTGCTGCGACACTCCCATGCCTCGGGAACCTTACCATGGAGCAGCTAAAGGACTTTTGGAGGCATACTGTCAAGACACCGCCTCAGCCTTGCTCGCTCTACCCGTCTAGCCGGCGTCTCTGGGCGGTCGCGAGGCCGTTCAGCGCAGGTCCCGGTAGGCCGAAGAATTATTCACGGTACTTCCCTAGGCCGGCAGGCGAGCCCATTTTCACTCGCGATATCCCCTGTGACAGCGAGGATCCTGGTGAAGCAATATCGAATTCTTTCACGCTGGAAGAGCTGGAAGGCCTAGTGCTTTCGGTTTACACCTTTCTGAAGCTCGATGCGGAGGAGACCGCATGCTGGGAGGCCAAGCTATGGTCCAGTTCGGTCGACAGTAATGCCACCCTCGCCCGCTCATCCAACACCACCAGCCCTCATACGGCGGCTGCCTCTTAGGAAGATTACGGGGAGGAGGCTGAGGTTAACTGTCCGTATCGTGAGCACTCCTTTTGTGAGTGCGTCATATGATCGGGGAATTTTGACGCTGATTTGAGCCGCAGACCACCGTTCACTTCTGTTCGTTGGATCTGGTGTTGGGACAATGGCACTGGGGTCTTGTATTACTGGTTCTGTTTTCTCGAGCGTTAAAGCGGTCTTATGGCAGTCTGCGCGAATATTTGTTGGCCAATGAGCTACCAATCTACCCCTTGATTGGCGTGGGCGAAGATAGATTTGCGACGGCCTGGTGGCAAGATTATTGGATACGATCTTGAAATCGTCTTTGAAATCCGCAGTACATGAGGGCTTGCCGTTCAGGTGTTAACTGAGCAAACCAACGCAATTTCAGATAAATCATTTTGGGGGTAGTGAAATCTTGTTCAAGCAGTAGTTCGAGCTCGTTCAGAGTTAAATCATAGCCCATATGGTGTAGAGATGTTCTCGCCAGCTCAGTGGATTTCTGAACTGGGGTCAGCGAAGATGCTGATGACACAACCTTGGAAGCGAGAGATGAAGTTCGGTGCACTGCAGCTCCAATCCCCCACATCCGCGTCTCAACCACCACCACCGCACCCACTCCGCATTCCCATCAGGCACTCCAGGATAATTCGCACGAACTTCAATCTCGGCGCAATTATCTTGGAGACGCCGCCCCGGTCTACGCTGTCGCTCCGCTTTTGCGACTTATCGGGCTATGGCTCCTTACACCGTTCAGTCGGCCCGGCCACCGCATCCTCAGGCCAACAGGCCTGTATATGCCGCTTCTCGAGTTACCCCGGCTATACCATTGGCCTTGACAAGACCGCCTAAACCGAAACAATCCCGCACCCCAGAGGCCGCTGGAAGCGTTGCGAAATTGAACGGGGTCGTTGAGCACCCGGCGGCCATGGGCGGAAACGAAGAGTTATTCAAGGAACCGGCGAATGAAAGGAACACAGTGACGCCTGATGGCAGCGGCTCGCAACAAGCCGAAGAAACAAACGAGGCGAAGAGAACGGAAGAGATTTCAGGCGCTGCGCCCGCTGCAGAGGAATATGCAGGGCGCTTGAAGAAGCTGGTGGATACTGATGGTAAGTTTAAGCTGAATTATATATTTTAAAAGGAAGCGATACACAGGCAATGCTCTAAAGAGATGCTGATTCCTGTGCACTAGCCGATGCCCCTATCTCGTCAATCGATACGACGTATCAAGAACCCGCACAGAAGTCCGTTCAACAGTCCTCCCAAGCGCGGCCGCAACAGCCACGACACGAGGTGCGCCACGAACTTCCTCCGCCTTTCTATCCGGCTGATCATCGTACTACTCCCACATCGGCGACACCTTCCTCAGCTGCATATAGCCTTCTCCCGACTGATCAGATCTCTATGCATCAGCCGCGACCTTCTGCCAACAACATTGTCTTTGGCGGTCATCCAGACTCCTCTAGTCCATCTCCTGCCCCGCCGCCGTCCGCCGGCACATTGCGTTACCCCCCAGCTCCACCTCCCGGTTTCGGTGGAGCAAGCTTTGGCCCACCACCTTACTATACTCCGGGGCATGCCCATCATTTCTCTGAGCCTCATGCGCACATGATGTACCCTCCAATGTCCATGCCACCGCCTGGGCCTTTCGCCTATCGCCGAGGTCATCCACCGCCGCCGCACTATGGCCGACCAGAGTCCTGGTTTCCCTCGGACAGCCAGCTGCCTTATCCAATGGCTCCACCGCCGGGTTACCCATCCCGTAACATCCAGCCGCAAACCAACGGTGCTCTGCATCATTCTAGATCGCCATCGCAGTCTTCGGTAAGGACCCAGGAGCAAGAACCCACTTTCAACCCACATCAATCCGAGCAGCGAAATATTTCGGAAGGACAGTCCAATGGACAGTTCTCAAGCCAGAATGGGGCTACATTGCTGCCGCCACCAGACGAACCACGTGGTTCAACAGACAGCCTCAGACAATACCTACGGTCCCAGTTCGGTAGTGCGGACCTGGCGGATTACATTTTAGAGATCACGCTTTCGAACGCTGAGCACTCCGTATTCACTTTGCCGGTGCATAGACTTCTAATTGCACGCAGCCCGAGAATTCTAACACTCATGTCAAGGACTCGCGTAGACCAAGAAAGCCGTAACAGCCCCCTCGCAGTACTCAGAGACGTAGCGACAGACATTTTTGTCACCAGTCGCTCGCTTGTTGAAGTGCTCAAGTACCTCTACGATGACACCTTGCTGGAGATGCGGGAGTTTACTCAAGGACTGCAGCCTTTCGACGTGGACAGTGCTAGCTCGGATGGCAATGGCCAGGCTCTTGACCGCATGCAGCAGGCTCTCGAATATGCAGCATCAGGCCATTTTCTAGGGCTTGAAGAAGTTGTCAATCGAGGGTTTGCAATCGCCAAAGCACTGCTTCGATGGGATACGCTTGGTCTCGCCCTGGGATTTGCGCTCGACGGTGGCTTGAGCCGAATATGGCAAACTGTCATGGCGGAAGCAGCTGAACGAGGTGTTGTACCGAATGTCAAGCCCTTCCGCCCTACCTATGGTGATTACGGGTACCAGTTCTTACAAGACCTAGTGGATTTCATTACCTTGGAATTCCCAAAAGCTTTCCAGCTGGATACTACTGCGCTTCAGCTTTCACATGTTCAGAGGTTGCCGGTTGTTGTAGAGTCACGGCCTTCCATCTCCAACCCGCGGCTAAGCCGCATCCGCTTTGGGGAGCTCCCGTTCGAGCAACCTGCACGGCCAGACTTTATAACGACCACGCTGTCAAGCGTTCTCCTCTCACTGCCTTTCTCTGTTCTCAACGTCCTACTTGAGCATCCTGGACTAAACAGACGGATCACATGGCCGAACGTCATTAGCGTCATGCGACAGGTCATTGAGGAACGTGAGAGCCGCCGGAGCAAAGCACTCAATGCTCGCATCGCACCATCCCACGAGACCGACATGGACCAGGTCATCTACGAAAACCTCCACTGGGAGGAACGTGTTGAATCGGAATCCGCTCATGCTTCAGGCTTCAGAATTGCAAGGGCTTGGACCAGAACGGAGATCAACCCTGCGAACGGTACAAGCGGCAAGTGAGCAGTTGTTTCACGTTCTCTGCCACCACTTTATAGGATGGTTTGTTGCTCAAGCCAGAGGCGAGGCCCGTCCTGGGCATGGGAGTGGGCAAACCGCAACTCTGCAAGCCGTAAAACCCGGCCCTGGCTCTCGAATTAGCTTCGGCATACGTCGGTCAAAACGCATGAGCTCCGTTTTGGGTAACATGCCTTTCGGGTCAGCACCGAAAAGTCTTCCAAGCAATCGTTGTTGGATAAGACATTCTGGATTTGCATAGCGAGTGGTTAGGTGTCATTACCCGATTTGGCAGCGTAGATAGCTCATCATAGGCGTGGGGACGCTTTCCATGTTTTGCTTCTTTCAAGCTAGTGTTCGGATTTGCACAAAAGTCTACCATCGGCATAAGCGTCTTTTGGCTACGATTTACGGACTGTACACACTTTGCTTTGCGATATTATCTCAAGGCGTCTTGTGATGACGGAAGAGGTATGGGCGCTGCACACGCGGCATTATTGATGTATCTAGGGTTCATTGAGAATATTTATCGAGCGCATTAGAATAGTTCTCTACGAAGCTCCTCCCATTGATCCTTCTGTATCTGCAAGCCGGCCGAATGGCCAGGTGATCTCGAGGAGTTTGCTCATCAGTGCAACGCGCGGTGTAGAGAACCGCGAAGGATTAACTAGCTGCTCAGCTGAGGTTGGAATTGAGGCACAAAACGTTCCTAGGACAAACCTTAGACTCGGGAATATCGCGTTACAAAGCATGGGTCGGCTTCTCGGCAGTTAAGGCGCGTTCGACAGCCACAATTGGAGTCCGTCAGCACCCATTAATAATTGATCTTCGTCCCTCGGCTCCGTCCGCGCTTTAGAACCAGGAGCACCTCCGTCGCCTCAGCGCTCTTCTAGATTCTATTCATCGACCGCTTTGCTCAGACCTCATGGTTGGGATCTGTCTCGCGGCAAAATCTGAATTCATCGCCGCCAAGTTACCAGGTTACTTAAGCGAACCCCGCGATGGCGCGCTCGCCGGATCTGGAGTCACGAGCATCGTCATCGTTGACCCATGCCTCAACGCCTGAGCTTGCAATTAAGGTTGATGAAGAGCAGGGAGCCGGTATTTCAAGAGAGATTGTCGATGCATCCGGCACAGCCCCTGAGGCGGAAAAGGAACCACCACCGCCAATTGGAGAGCCTGTCTCGAAAGTTGTTTCGGTGAACAATATCGGTGCAATTCCCAATGGGGGACTTGTGGCATGGCTTCAAGTTGCTGGAGCTTTCTTTCTGTTCTTCAATTCATGGTGAGTGCTCTCTCGAGTGCATGAGACGTCACGCTGGGTACACGTATACTGACAGTCTGCTAGGGGTATCGTAAACTCGTTTGGCGTATTTCAGACGTACTATGAGAGCGAGCTGCTCCAGGATTCCAACGCATCAGCTATCTCATGGATTGGCTCCATTGAAGCATTCCTCTTGATGCTGGTCGGTGCCCTTACCGGTCCGATCTACGATGCAGGCTACTTCCGTGAGCTCCTATGGGCGGGCTCGTTCCTCGTCACCTTTGGATTAATGATGCTCAGCATCTGCAAGGAGTACTGGCAGGTGCTGCTCGCTCAAGCCTTCTGTGTTGGGTTTGGAACAGGCTGCCTCTTCGTTCCAAGCGTGGCCATTCTCTCGACTTACTTCACGACTCATATCGCCACTGCCATGGGCCTTGCTGCCGCAGGGAGCAGTCTCGGAGGCGTCCTCTACCCTATCATCTTCTATAGGCTCCAGCCGCTGATAGGATTTGGCTGGACGACGCGCACTATCGGGTTCATCGTCTTGGCAACGCAGCTAATCCCGAACCTGTGCATGAAAGTGCGAGTGTTGCCAGCTTCGAAGCGTAAGATTGTGGACTGGTCGGCCTTCCGTGAGCCGCCTTACGCTCTGTTCGTCGTTGGCGGCTTCCTCGCATTCATGGGCCTTTACACGCCCTTCTTTTACATTCAACTCTTCGCTATCCAGAGCAACATCGCCGACACCAATCTTGCCTTCTACTTGCTCCCAATCTTGAATGCGTCATCCATCTTCGGCCGGATCTTCCCAAACATGGTCGCCGACAAGGTGGGGCCGTTCAACATCATCGTACTCTGCGCTATTATCAGCGGCATTCTAGCCCTTTGCCTGAATGCCGTCAGCAGTATCGGATCTCTAATCGTCTTCTGCATCCTCTATGGATTCTTCTCAGGCAGTTTCGTTTCTCTGCCTCCCACTATTCTAGTGGGGCTCTCACCTAATCGTGGCATCATCGGAACACGGATGGGCATGAACTTCGCGTGCGTAGCAGTGGGTATACTCATTGGCACACCCATTGCCGGAGCAATCCTCGACACCTCCGGCTTCACAGCTGTGTGGATATTTGGCGGTGTCCTGACGGTTTTGGGGGGTTGCGTCATCGGTGTCGCTAGGGTTTGTAAGATTGGTTGGAAGTTGACCGCTTTCGGCTGAGTGATCGAGGTTCATCGGGAGCCATCAAGAATCATCGTGCCGCGACAAGAGTAGGACATTGGGTTGGAGGAGCTGTGTCAGCCTGTCTCAAATATGGACTTCTGGCAGACAGCTGTTGGGAAGTTTGTCCTTCGAGACGCCAGTGAGTAAGAGAAGGAAGTACGCCCCTCGGGCACGGAGTGGTTTCGAGCGTACCTCACAGCGTAGCAAGGCCTCGAGTACGGCGTGCGGCCAGGAATTACACTGGCTTGTCACAGATGAAGTGAGGGGAGAGGTGGCTTAAGATCTTGACACGCTTTAGAGATAGTCTAAGAGGTCGCTAGACATGTAGAAGTAGACGCAAGCTTTCAAGAGCGTGGCTAGACTCACGCATTCGTTGATGGCGCGGCACAATCTATTGCGTTGGCTTGATGTGAACTGTCGCTCTCAGTAAGGCATCCACGCCTAGTCAGTGACAGCATCGAAGGCCTCCATAACCTTCACGCAGGACGCTCCGGACCGCTAAAGCTGCTCCCAGACATAGAATCCTGCTCTCCGCCGTCAATGCCCCTGTTGCGTCTCTGAAGCTTAAAGTCTCGTGTCGTCTTGATCTTCGTGAAGCTCACATCTTTCACGCAGTCGTTCTACGACATATACAGCTTCCCAAACCGGACTGCTGATGGCAACGTCCATGGATCGCCGCAGTCAGTTTTCACGATCGCCTGAAGATTATCAGCACACATCAATGGCATGACCTCCCGATCTTTGGTGATGACTTACGTTGTGCAAAGAGCGTGTGCTGGGAGTCTTGCGGCATTCGTCGACACAGGTTGACAGGGTTAAGCCAAGTCACGTGATGCCCAAGATAGCGTTTCCAGAAAGTTGCGGAGCTCACACGGAGGTCTTTGGACATCAACCCACCATCATGCGCCGCTTACCTCGATTTCAGCAGTCGATTGACTTACTCCTCGAATCCACGGGATACCCCCACGCGCCGTCTACGATATGCCGAACCTGTCGCCTCCGCGCCGCATCTCAGGCCAGGAGAGCCGCTTTCTCCACATCCGCTCCACGAAACGAGGGTTCTCTCGCCAACAGGCTGAAGAACAGGTTGTTTAAAAAGAAGGACGCGCCTGGGACCGGCAATCTGGCATACGGTGTTACTCAGCCTCAAGCTCCAGAGGTAGAGGTAGAGGATTCAGTTCCCGGGGAGGAAGCTCCTCGAGAGTACGCCAACCAATACGAGCCGGCGAGTAAATGGGACAACCTGGAATGGGTAGGAGGAAAGAAGTCAAAGAAAGATCGGACAGACACGAGGGAGGAGATACAATGGTAAGGGATAGCCACATGGAAGACAGTCTAAGTTGGTATACTAAGGCGTGGACATCATTAGGTTTATGCCCAGGACCAAGGCTACAAAACCGAACGACATAGCGGCAGCAGTGCGCAGAGCACTTGTCGAAGTCCTTGCGTTACAAGAGGCTGGCATTGGATTTGAAGCACTACGGCTGCCCACGGTGTCGATTGACGACTTGGCCGCCGACGTACAGTATCAGGTCTCCGGAACCGGGCAAGATGTCAGATTGCGGTACCCTAATGACGAGGTTAAGAGTGAGATACTCGAAAGTGTCGTTCTTTCAGTACCTCAGGCCGCAGAGGTGGATGACGCTGCCTCATTTCTTCAATTCCAGAGGGCGTCAGCAGTGGTACACGAACCTGCCGTCGCGTCCAGGAAAACCTTGCTATGGAAGGAGGTGCCTTTAGATCCGGCCAACAAGTTTGCTGTAAGTCTTTAGTCTGAAAGTGATTTGTACACGAGACTCATATTGTGGCAGATCATCAAACGCGTAATGCAGCTCACCGGCATTCGACTAGCTGATCCGAAGATCCAGCGCTGCGACACCGCTGGGAAGCTATTCCACGAGCTGCTCCAACGACCGCAGCCGACAAAGCTTGCGGACGCGCTCAAAATCGACAATGAGCTGACGAGCTTGAACAATGTCACATTTTCGAGTCGTAGAGTCGGACCCATCGACAAGGAGAGGCAGGTAGGGAGGTGGAAGGTCATTGAACGGGAATTGGAGAGCCGGGGGTTACCGGTCACGATGTCTTGAAGATCGTGTTCGGGGGGGTTTGTTCCTAAGACAACGCTTTGTACATCTTTTGTATCATACTGAAGGAGGCCTGCGCCCTCGAGCAAGACGACCCTTGTTCAGTGGGCAAGTCCTAACTATACGATCGTAATATAACCCCGCCAGATGATCTCAGAATTGCCGACCTCTCACGAGTTTCGACCTTGCGTATAATTTTATACTCAGTGTTTCAGAGTCTACATCTCACGGCTTGTTAGATTCTCAGCGGTCGGAGTTCACGTGACAAGATGCCTGTAGAGCAACTCGGTGTCCTATTTACTATCCGTTTGTCTTTACTTTTGGTTCCGCTAATCGTGTTTCAGCTCAGTAGTAGAGAGCAAATGGAAAAGGCGAATTACGTGTGTGCAGTTTTTCCCCGAGCATCTCCCACTACTACCGTGGTTCATGTTGAAGGCAGTAGCATCCACGATGAGAAGCCTGGCTCATCCAATCTAGACAGTCTAGTTCCGTTTGACATTCCATGAAGATCTTTTGAACAGTGCACCTTCCTCCGAGAGACAGTTTCCCGCCAGCCTCAAATCAGCGTATTACCCCTCAGAATCTTCGCCGAGTTGTTGCTGAGCATCATTTACATGGCGGCCACCGCTCGAACTTCCACCTCCTCGAACCACACCTCCTCCACCGGTACCACCACCGCTTGAACCACCGCTTGAACCATCACCGCCCGACCTGGCACCGCTCCAACTAGCACCATAGAGAGCTCGCACCGCAACCCTATCATCAGACCGAAGCCTCCGCAGCGCGAAAGGTCACACACCATTGGATACATGACGCTGCCCGTGACACCTACTCTAAATGCATAACTCAAGGACATGTCCTAGCTCATGGAACGCCACGGTTTCGATACAATAACCCCCCAGGACGCTGCCGTTGACCCAGATATGTTCTGAACCGTCGAAATGGCACGGGAGCGCCTTTGGGGGTTGTTGGTATTCCAAGGAGAACGTTCTGAGAACTTTGCATGCGCGAGGACGTTGCCGGACGCGTTGCCGACCATGGGGTGGTCCGAATCATTCGCGCCCCGGTCGAGAAAATTGTTCTTGCGGGACACACGGCATAGCACGGTGAGGCTGATCTGCTCAAACCGCCAAGTGATATTCCTTCCACTGAGCTGAGCGCTTTCCGGTTAGACTTTCCAAAAGCACAAAGATTCGAAGTCCAGAAGATGGATGTCGCCTGGCTCAGAGATTCACGAAAGTAGACGCCAACCTGGCATGGCGCGGGTTGTAATCTGAGTAAGAGCTTGACTGGTCTTCAGCTGCGGAGTGCATGGCGGTTGGGAGTAATAAGACGGTAAGCACCGTCTTACTAGAAATTCATGGCGTCAAGCAATGATCAAGAGACAACCTTATTGACAGACAGCAGTGCCCGTTCTCGCTGTTGATTGGATGAGACCAAGGATTTGGCTTTTGGTTGCATGAACGTGGTTGCATTTCGGAGCGGATGGTAAGTTTCACCGCTGAGTAGGTGTAAGGGGACGGTGGAGATCTATGGCAGACGACTGGACATTGGCACGCAACGCGCCTTTACACCCTTCTCTTGATGGTTCGGCGATAAGTTCAGTCTAATGGCCCTCTCATGCTCAAGATCTCATCGGCCTTAGGACAGACATCCATGAATAGCAAGAAAGGATCGCAGGATGGATCTGAGAGGCGGGCGTTTGACTGTTACTCGGATCTTTTGGCGGTCCTATGCAGCATACAGTTTTGGGTTGAGGAGCTCGGATGATATATCTCCGATTCTTTGCCCGAACGCCAACGCTAAACCCTTGAGCTGCACTGACCGCACTATACACAAAAACCCTCGATAAAGGTCGATTTCCGATTCCAATCCAATAGGTATATTGCTTGAAACCCAGGGAGACGAGGCCATGAATCGAGAAACGAGGGCGCAACGACCACGTTACTTTTACCGTCGGCCCCTTGCTCCATTGCCCCTACTCCTACTCCGACTCCTATCACTGTGACTACTATAACTGCTGTAGCTGGGGCTTCTCCGCCTCCTGCCTCCACCCCTCGGTGGGCTTTCCCTCCTCCGATAGCTGCCTCGTCGCGGGGGAGGTGATCGTGATGGTGACCTTGATGAGTATGACCTGGAGCGACTACGACGTGGAAATCTTGATCGCGAGTAGGACCGCGGCCTGTACGAAAAGTCCCCTCGGCCAGAGCGACCGTATCCTCGCCCAGGCGGCGACCGACGCCGGGGCGGTGGGGATCGGTACCGTCCAGCTGCAGCACCAGTTCCAGGCGGCGGTCCACGGTATCCGCCCGGTGGTCCACTACGCGAGTCGAAGCGATCAAAGGGTGGCGGCGCGCGACGTGGTGGAGGGGAGCGCGAGAATTTGCGGCGGGGTAGAACGATCGATACGGTGATTACTGCGCCGTCGAGCTGCGCTTCATGCATGTGCGCGATGGCTGCTTCGGCGTCGGCGGTGTCGTGGTATACGATGTATGCTGTTCCGCGGTTTGTCATGACTGGTAACGTTAGCACCACCCTCAAGAACGGACAAACTGGAACCCACATTGTCTGTTCATAGGCATGTCGAGGTCTTGTATAGATCCGTATGCTCCAAAGATCTCCCGGAGATGGCCTTCGTTGACGTTCTTCGTTAACTTCTCTACAACGATCTGATTGCTCGTGTCAGCCTTGTCTGCATCGTATGATCCACTGCGGACGCTCAGCGCAGAAGCCTATCACATACTTTGGTACTCCTAAGCCCTGGACTTCCGCGACTCGGGCTCCTGCTATAACTGCGGCTCCTCCCTTGTCTCACCCCGCGGACGGGACTTCGACTCCCGGACTGGCTTCTCGCCGGGCTTCTGCTCGCGCTTCTCCTTGTGCCATTCCGTCCACCATACCTGTCTCTGCGCGGTGAAGGTGATCGAGTTGGCGTACGCGAACGCGACGCCGAGCGGGGCGATATTGAACGTCTAGGTGAGCGGGATTGAGCTTGCGAGGGTGGTGTTCTTGAACGCGTGCGCGAGCGGCCGCGCGCCGGGCTGCGGGAGCCAGATGGTGAGCGCGAAGGCATTGGAGTCGGGGTTGTTCCTCAGCGAGCGCTGTGAACTCTTGCACAAGTGAAGATTGAGCGGCGAGCTTCGATCGGAGCGTTCTGTCGAGGGTGTGATGCCCGTTTTACAGCAAGTTTGAAGCATTCGAGGTTGCAGACGCGAAGCTCTTAAGCAGCGGAACATCCCGATAGGGCTGAGGAATTGCAGGGGATATGTCGGCCTCAGGCGAAACTCTTGTTAGTATCCATCAGCACTTAGTATACAGCATACCATGATGATTGCGCCGCTCGATTGACACAAGATGCTGAGTTACATACAAGATGTAGTCGATATGAGTGTAGATATGACATATGTTCGTGACGGTACTGCCTGCCATGTATGAGCCTCCTACACAGGTCCCCAGACACGTAGAGCCCAGCGAGTCCAAGAGAGAGGCTCCGTTGCGCCGGCTGCAGGTGTAGGCCTTGACCGTGCAGAAGATTGGTTATTTGCAGTGTAATAAACGCTGAGAGGCCTATGTCACTTCTTTACGGCTCTTCCAAAGCCAGTCAACCCGCACTCTCTAATCCAGGCAAGCCCTCAACTCCACCAACACTTTGGACAAACTCCTCAAAATCAATACCCTGCTCTTGAAACATCTCCCTAGCCCTCTGCACAGTCTGCACCTGTCTCTCCTTCGTGAACCCGCCGGGCTGGGTACTCTCATACTGTATGAGCTCGACCCACCGAAAAAATAGGTTCTCCTTGCCCATGGCCGTAAGCCGGTCCTTGAACTGAACTACCTTCTTGCGGCTTTCTTGCTCTGCACCCTCGTCCAGCTCGTGAACTTTCCATACCAACCAAGAGTCCAGCTCTGTGGAAAAAGCAAGGATGCTCTTCTCAAACGCCTCTTCCGGCACAGCCTTGGTATCCACAAGCTTATGCGCCGCAGCCATAGCTGCGAAGTCAAGGTCCCAATTCGTGCCCATCATGAGATACCCGGTCTTGCTTCTGATATAGTGCCGGTCGATAGCCGGCAGTATTCTGACCTTGAAGAATGGACTTTCGTCCCCTTTCTTCGCGCCCTCAAGCAGCTCTTCACTGCCCCATTTCCTCGAAACCCGGATGTATATCTCGCGGTCACGGAAGCCCACCCTCCATCGCCAGAGGCATGGATTGCCGGGCATCTCGAAGAAGAATGTCAAGGGCCATGGCCAGATAATTTTGACAAGCAAGAAGTCGAGGAGGAAAGTAAACGTCCGCCAGAGTACTATCCAAAACAGCTGTGTTCTGGTCTTGGACTCGGTGTCGACTGTTGCACTGGTTGTATTACCGAGCATGGAGAGCGTAATCGCCCAGTATGTCGGAAGGATAGAGTATGCGCGCCATATGAGGAGAGCGAGGATGGTGACGTTGAGCAGGACTGGGACGGTGAAGATGCGCCGCTTGAACCACCACGGATGCGTGTCGATGTGGGCGATATAGACTTTGGACTTGTCGAGGGAGGAGAGGAAGGGTTCGAGTTCCGAGGGGGCGATCGAGAAAGGAGCTGGAGGTGATGCGGCGGTGAGATCGGAGGTGTTGGAAGAGAGATTCTTCCGTTTGGTGGTGGAATTCGCCATTATGGCGGCTGAGACTATATCGAGCGATTGGAAGCCATTGACCTGAGCAGCGAGTACTTGGTGCTCTTAAGGCGTTGGCAGTCTGATTTTGTCCAGAGTCGGACTTTCTCGGCATATCCCGATAGGGAAACCCGTAACCCTCAGTTTCAGATGCAACTTTCCAGATTATCATTACTGTACCAGATTTTAAGAGAGTTCGTCATTACTCAACTCAGGATCTAGCACTTCATCGTTCCTTTGAATGATATGAAATGTGAATGGTTGCGGCAGAGTCTCTTTGGGTGAGGCCAAGATCCATCCGAAAAGTCCGTTGCCGCATAGAAGGCTACTTGTGGCTCTGGAGGTGGACAGCCCAAGTACACAGCTCATAGATTAAAGACACCTTATGTGATCGGTGCATTAGAAAGCTAAACAGCTAAGCATCTCTTGCTTCCTATCACACGAAGTTGTCTAGCTATTCTACGATTGACAAGGTTATAAGTACAGTTCGATCGTCAACTTGGTATCAAACAAGCTGAAACAAAGATACAGCAACAAACCTTTCGGGTGGCTCTTGGCCAAGGGTCTCTAGAGACCTTACAACATGCTAAGGATACAATCGCTCAGGCACGGTGCCATAACAAAAGGACAAACCAAAGACTGCCCGCCGTAGGAGTCTAGACCCGTCAAGTCCCTCCATTCGTATCAAACGGTCCTCCACAAGAAAACCGAGATGAGTGCTCCAGGGATTCAACATCTTCTGGGATAAGGTCAGCTTATACTTCGTGCGATTCGAGTGGCGTTTGGTACCTCTCGCTTGCTTTGAGATGCTGGACTTGAGTAGGCACCCGGGTCCGCCGGAAGATGGTACTACCAGAAGTACCATTCGTGTCTATATGATCGGGGCCCATATGTAGAAATATCTGAATAGCTCAGCTTCGGCGGCGAGTCCGAATATTGCGGCTTCTATGGTGGCAATCTTGAGCCAGGATGCGGTGTAAGGACGTAGGACCGGGAAACGCGTGTCAAGTATGACGAGACCCATGCAGCTCCAAAGACGTGTGAACACGCTGACATGCATGATTATGAGGTGCGTTACGGGCCAGTCGCTTCGGACAGTTCGGAAAAGGAACAAAGCTGCCTCTGCAGTCCGGCTGATGTAAATCGCCTACATGAGGCAGATCGCTAATGCTTGCAGTGATCTGTCCATTTTCTCAGGACGTTCCTTTGACTGGCACGGTGTGCAACAACTGACTCGAGCTGTGGAAGTGAGTCAGAAGTGTGGGACAAGTGGTGGAAGTAGGGTAGAAGCCATGACGCACTTCCGGCGGCACATTTGTCTAAGGACGACTCCATATCGCGAGAGGTATGTAGGACAAGTGCCAGAGGCGGCGTTTTGATGAAGATGCTTGAAGAAAGCTTCGTGGTTTGAGAGGCTGGCTAAACCGCCGGATCCTGTAGGAGCTGAAGAGTGGAAGTTGTTCGGTGGAGAAGAACGGATGGAGGAACAGGCCAGGAAAGGTCTCTTTCCATCTGCCCTGCTTGACCACTTTCTTCAGAAATAGCAAGAACGCTCGCGCGCGGGCACTACCTGACGCTTGTCGCTTCTTCTTCATCAAGCAACATTTCATTGCTGAGACCTAAACCTCACTCTTCCCCGCGTCACGTCCGATGGCGTGGCAGAAGATTCTTCTCTTGTCTACGACCCCTGAGAACGAGAGACTCAACAGCTACTTGATACGGAAATGCATATTAATATAGAAAGGCTGGCAGGCTTTGCGGGTAAACTGCCCTACAGCTTCAAAACAGGCTTTATTGTAGAGCCTGTCCCGCTTCCTGTATTTTCGGAGTGGGAGAGCATCAACCGCGCTGTCCGGCGCGCACATCGTCGGAATGCGCCGAGCGCTAGTTGTGACTCGATTCAAAGTTGGTCGGTCACGTCCGCTGTGAGGTCGTCGAATCCAAGAGTCACGTGAAACCTGGATCCTACCCGGTTTGGGATCTCAGCGCTTCCATTACCCAGGCACCTTTCCCTCTTGACTTCGAATTACCAGCTGCAGCTGCATAGGACGCTCGAGTTTCTTGGTATTTGGGCATGGTTGTCCAGCAGCGCAAGAAAAGCCTCAGCGGATGAACTTGCATTTTCTCCTGCCTTCGAATATCGATCATGCTGCTTCGCTGATGCCGAGGAGGTACCTCGCGATTGATAGCTCCATGGAGAAGATGTGCGGACTCTTGATCACAAGACGGACTAGTCCGCTCCCTTCGCTTCAAGTGAGTATGTGCTGGTGGTCATAGGCAACTCTAGAAGGCCGCGTAAGCCATTGTTGCTTCTACCACAAGGAGGGTGGTATGAAGCATGGCTTGTACTTTGCAAGGCCTAAGGGCTTCCTGTTTCCTTCTCCGCTTCCGCATCTTACGGCCGCATTACTTTACCTCTTCACTGTTCTTCAACCGGCAAGAAGCATCAGTCTCTTGAGAAACGCTTAGCACCACAATAGTTACGACACGAAATCGAAGTACCTTTGTCTTCGTCCCTTCACCACGAGAGATACGCTGCTGCCTAGCGCCCTTGGGCTGTTGAATAGGAGCAGGGTGAGTAGGATTGAGCACATGGTTTGGAGATTATACCGCCGTCAATCAGTCTTCTTGATCTTGAGAGCATTCAGAGAGTATAAGGGCTGCCTCAGGAGCCCTTCCAAGGAGACGCAGCGCCGGAAAGATCCAACGCTCAAACGTTTATCTCTTATAGCTCGATCTCCAACCACAGCATCAAAGGACAATTCATACACTATGCAGGATCTCCTCACGCACGATGGCACCCCCATCTCTTCGCATTGGAGCCATGCTTGAGGCTGTCCAGGTATCAGACATCGTCGGCGCCGACATCCTTGGCAACCTCTCCGCTCAATACGTCCGCGAGACCTCCGCTATGGGCCTTTCGGATTTCTCTCACCACGCGCCAGAGATGGAGTTCATCTGCCCGGCAACCACGCTCGAACCGATCTTCGTAACGCCCGGGATCAAAGTGCAGCCAACGCACACCTACGACGATGCCCCTCGGGAGCTGGACATCCTGCTCATCGGTGGCCCCATGCTGACGCACCGTCCGGAGGCCGCGGACCGTTTCATGAAAGAAACCTATCCGAAGACCAAGATCGTTATGACGACTTGTGTCGGCGCCATGTGGCTCGCGAGCTCGGGCGTTATGAATGGAACCAAGGCGACGACGAATCGCGAGTGCTTGCCGATTGCGAAGCAGTTGTATCCCGACGTCGAGTGGCTGGACCAGAGATGGGTGATCGATAGCAAGCAGTGGACGAGTGGAAGGGCGGGCGCTGGTGTTGATATGATGGCGACCTATGCCTTGGAGAATTTTGGCCAGACGTTTGTCTGGTCGATGGGGTTGAAGCTGCTGTATTCTGATCCGATTGCTAGGGGGCAGTTCTACAAAGATCCCTCGCAGTGGCCTCAGGCTATGCTGGAGCAGGATTGGAAGAGAGTGTTTGCCGGCGGGGACCGGGGGGTTTAACCAGTCGACTCAGCGCTTGCCTTCGATTACTCTGATCTCTGATAAGTCCGGTCACACCAATTCTGAGGCTTGTGGTACAAGCACGACGCCAAATTTTGGAACCTGCAATAGATGCTGTAAGATGAAATTTGAAGACATTTCGGTGCATGCGCACTTTCCAAATCAATACAATAGATTTAAATACCCCTTAGCCTTCCCTTGGCCCAGTTGAGTCTACTAGAGGTAGACATAACGACATTCACAGTTATCTATAATCCCCTAGAGCCCTATCTTCTTGGTAACATATATAGCTGAGAGCTTCATTGATTGATCTATCGACAGTGGGAGAGGCTGGCTATATACCCTATCCCAAGGCTCACCAGCCGCTCCTTTCGGTTGACACGTGATATTCAAATCTCCTCGAACACGCAAAGACGGCATCCTGAAGGCGAATGGCCGCATGTGATGCAAGCCCAATACAATCGCATGCTCATCGGCCCAAACCCGCATGCGTGGCAGGTCCAGTGAGGTATTCCAGAGGGGTGCTGTGAAGGTACACGGGGTCCAACTTGAGTTGGAGGTCTCGAGTCGGTGTGCATAGGAAATTGCACGGATTTAGTTCTCGACGGGCCACGGGATTCAGTCGATGCTGGGTGCTCTGGGTCTCGTTCGGGCGCGCCGGTTGGAGCTTTGCGGGCGGCTTCACGGCGGGCAAGGGTTTCTTCTTCGCGTTGATGTCGGCGCGCTGTTGCTTCTTCTGCTTCGCTGTAGGGGAAGAGTGTGTTAGTGAGTTGCCCTTTTAGGTATATATGCGGGGAAAGATGAACCTACCGTCTGCGCCTCTCCCACTCCTCATTCTCAGTTCTTATCCTCTCCCGCTCCTTCTTCTTCTCCTCCTCGCGTGCCTTCTCTTCCGCTTCTTGAGTAAGGCGCGGAGCAAGCCGGTCACGCTGCTGTATATAGATTCTCCATCTGACGACTGTACGCACGGCAAGCATGGCGCGTTTCCACCGCCTTCTTGCAAGACTCCGAACAGCCCGACGGCGTAACTTGACGATTGCACGCACGACAAGCGTAGCGTGCTTCCACCGCTCGCTCGCCAGTGCTCCAAATTCGAGTCGATCCTGTGGTCGCGGGGCTAGCGGCCCAAGACTGATACACTGTTGGCTTCCTTTGAGGATAGTGTGAATGAGGCATGGGGTCTCCGGTGGTTCCTCTTGCCTGTCGATCATTTCTCCTAGCTTGTAAATGGTTATTGAGGGCTCGTCCCACTCCACATTCACCGATTGTTTCAGCACTTTGATTAGCGATGCTGTGAAAGATTGTAGTCTCAGCTCAATAGGGGATCTGTTGTAGCCGGTGGCTGCAAGTACTTGAAATGTGCGTGTGTTTCCAGAGCGGATATCCCTCTTTACCTTCGTCGCGTAAACAGCGTCGAAGATTGCCAACACGTCTCCTTCTGCGTCATCCGCGAGCATCCTCTCTGCCATGGTCCAGCCTGCTGCGAAACGGAGCTGCCGCATTTTATTTGAAAGAGTGGGTCTGTCGATTTATTAGCCTCACAAGGTCTCTCTTACGGATAGACATACGTACGAGCCGAGCACCAGATTAGAATTCTCCATATGCCATTGTGTGTGTCCTGAGTAATAAACAATCAACAGGCTGTTGGGCTTACCGTTCTTGTCCACAAACTCTGCCACAGCAAGGTTGAGTTGTAATTGAGGCTTGTGTTCATGATAGATTTCCACAGTCTTAGTGCTGTATCCGAATAGATCACGAAAAACGGCATCCAGTTTTCGTATCTGCAGGTGATATTAGAAATGCATCATTAAACATAAGCATCTGAAGAAGATAACCATGAACGAGGCTGGTGCACTGAAGTCCGGACAGGAGGCAATGGAACACTTGCGCAATGAACAAAGAACTGTCGTGGTGGCCTTGCATGAGTCCAGCACTATTATGAAGCTCAAGCACAAGTTCATCATATGAACTATTACACTGACAGTCCACTGCTCAATTCTGGAGCGTACTCACCTCTTTCTTGCGTTCTTCGGTTTCATCGGCCCACTGAATTAGTAGCACGGCGACATTACAGTACCCCGCTGTCGTACTTCGTTCCAAGAATGGCGCTGTTGCCGATAAGCCTCGTCTGGCTTCCGAGAATTTATCGGTCACATCGTCCCAGGAAGAAGGTACCATGTCTGGTACGTCAATCTGGTGGACTATATCCTCACCGGGTGGATCGTCATCCTGTGCCTCCGCAGCTCCCAGCCGGTCATCTCGATCCTTGGACAGCGTGTGGGCTGTACCTGACGGCTGACTCTGTAACATTTCCTTCTCGACCACCGACCCCTTCACATTTTTCTGTGACTGGTTCGAATGTATGTCCACGGAGTTACCACCTATCGACTCGTCACCTGCAGCGTAATCAGACCTCGGTAGCGCGAACAGAACGATTTGCTCAAGGTGGCGCGAAACATGCAATTTGAGATTCGTTGATGACAGGAAACACAGATTACAAATTCCTCCAAGGGCTGCGGATGGCCGTGTAAAAATATCGGCCAGCGTTGCTAAGCGTTCAGTGTCCAATATCGCGCCGTGATCTTGTCCCATATGTGTGAGGAAATCTGATTTCTTCAAAAATTGCGGATGTCCTTCAACATTACAAAACCATTCAACACGATGTTTTTGGAGTTCGTGTCTGTACCAGGCATTGCGGTCTTGGAACAGGTGGTCGAACAGGCTGCAGTTTGGAAACGTGCACACATATGGCTGCAAATCGTTCAAGACATGCTTTCTGCGCTAAGACATCAGCGAAATGACCTTCGTCCACCAAGCTATGATACTGACTTCCAGGCGTGGTCAGATCGTATATACGACACTAGGAGGCAGTATCGACACTCGAAGCGGTCAAGAAACCTTCCATCCTTCTTTGGGCGCGGCGGAACTTCTACCTGGACATCCAGAGTGGTTCGACTCGCCGCCCTTAAGGAGTTGAATTCAGTAGCTGAGGGAGCATGTAGAACGGTGGCGTCCATCAGGGCTAATTCGTCTAACAAATGCGTTGTTGCTTTGCTGACCAGGGTTTGCTGGACACTGGCGGCTTGTGTTCCGGTTATCTCGTTCGTTTGGCCCTTTGGTCGCTGCGTCGTTTCTGTCTTGCTGTCATCTGGCTCCATAGGAGTCTCTTGCGCTGTTTCACCTACTGCTAATTTAAGCTTTGGCGCCACAGCATCGGTTTTCAGGCTTTCATGATGATGCTTTCGATAAAGAAGCAGCTGTCGACGTCGAGTGATTAGTTTGCCGAGACGTTCTGCAACACTCCGCTCGAGCTTTGGAAATTTGTCCATAACGTATAGCACGTCAAAGGGCTGGTAGCAGGACGCTTGATCAGTTGTCTCATCCTTGAGTCGATCGATGGGTGCCGGCCGTCGAAGGGGCAGCTTATACAAACAGGTTATCGTGAGCTTGATCGAGTTGAATAACTGGCCGATCTCTGTATGCTTAAGCGTCTCTGATACGTGCTGTTTTCTGTCTCGTTCGAACTCAGGCGTGTGCATTGGAGCCTTTGGGTGCGGGTGATCCTGCTCTTGTTCTTCACGAAGTGCGAGAGCCGCGGAGAGCTCTTCATCCGATTCCGATGATATGTCCCACGGCGATTCCTCTGCTTCGTTGTCTGCGTTGGCTTCAAGCTGGTGAGGGTGGTCGGAGTCGCTATCGAAAGAAAGGTTTTCAAAGGGCACACTTTGCCCAGAGAGGATTGAAAGCGCTAGGACAACGGTTCAGAATTACGCATCGCTAGCGAACGGTTTTGAGCCATACCTCTGTCGATCTGTATTCGTCAGCAACTTCAAAGGGGTGTCAGCGGCTTGTCTCCCAAGATCCTCAGTGGGCGTTCTGGATGTTTCGAGTGGCAATGTAGGCGATTTGCAATCATCAGGGGCATATCCTTGCTGACCGCCTATGGAATGGAAGCTGGCGAAAGGGATACACTTACATGTTTGTGTAGGATTTCCAAAAGTTTCAAAACCTTGGTTGCTCGACGTCAGTGACTGCTCTCGAATGTCGGGATAAAACGGCAAAGCCCGCCTGGTGTGATGCAAACTTCTCTGCGACTCAAACAGTGCAAGAGGGCGTGTTCACCTGTCTCATGCAAACAACGACAGACACGACCAACAGCATAGAAAGATTTGACACAACGACTGAATACTGCTGGCGATAGGGCAGTGAAAGCTGACAACAGGTCATTTGCGGCTCCCCGTGTCAAGCATAGGACCATAGGCACTGAAGGCTTGATTGTACAGCCATTGTTTGTATCTAACTTGCTAGCCAAAAGCATCAGAAGTGGCTACGGATGTAAGAAAACTCCCCCTTACCTGAAAACTGTAGAACGATGCTTCCCTTAAGCGGTAGTCCAGAGAAAGCTGATAGCAGTCCCTTGAATACGCAGCACCAACGTTGCCCGCCCACAGCTTATACCTATCAAATTCCTCAGCAACGTCGCCTATGTCCGTAGACGGTGGCATTCGGGCAGCTTGCTTGGCGGCAATGTCCATAAGTTCGGTGAACGCAACATAGCAGTTGGCATGGCGTTGCGAGATCGGTATCGCCATCTGAGCTGGCAAGGAACTGTCGTTGAAGAAAAATTGTGACTCTAGAGACCACTGTACTGACGTCGAGGGCAAGGCTGAAGGTGCCTACAGCTTATTGGCAAGCCTCTCACGTGTGTTACCCCGCAGTACTTGCGTGCAGTGTATGAGCTCCATAGACATTCGGCCAAATGCGTAGGATGAGCCTCAGAGGCAAGCGTCTACGCTAGAGCTGCTCGGAATAGGTATAAAATCGTCCTTTCTCTCCCGTGTGCCCATGAGTATCAGTCCATCCCGCCATGTCCGGCCTCGAGATTGTGGGAGTTGTGCTTGGTTCGTTTCCGCTCGTGGTCGCTGCGCTGGAGCACTATTCCAAGGGCGTGAGGACTCTTCTATCGTCAATGTGGAAGCTTATGAGCTGATAAATCGCCGTGCCAGATATCAACAGTCAAGCAAATCTTCAGATACAAATACGTATTTGACGATATCCACATCTCCCTTGTAGGGAGCGTCACAATCTTCCGGCAATCCTGCGAACAGCTTTTACGTGGGTTGATGCTGCCTGAAACTCAACTACGCGACTTGATTGATATGCGTCAAGGATGGGATGACCCGGCACTTGACGAGAAGCTGCGGCGAAGACTTGGGAATAGAGATCACAAGATATACGGGCTCTCGGTAAAGCAACTCGGGAAAAAGATAGATCAGCTGAAAGAGAAGCTTGAGTTGAGGGACGATTTAAGCGTCGGTAACGTTCCCGCAGCCAAGCAAACATCGGCTGATATATTTCCGAAGGCTCAATTCGTGCGAGACGGGGTCATTGACGACAGACTCTGCAAAGAGTTCTTCAATCCCTGGCGATGTTTTACAGGGGGTTTCTCAGCCAGACAGTACGAATCATTGCAAATTAAGATCACGAACTACATCACCCAGATTTGCACCTTGACCAGCACGGCTATCGATCTGGAAGGCTTTCGTAATGAAAGGTCTCGGACTGCAAACGCTACACACTGGAGCACCGTTCAAAATCACGCGCAAAGGCTGTACAAGAGACTGGGGTGTATAGCGACTCGAAGTTGTCCTTGCCAATGCACTCCCCGCGTTAACCTTAAGCTGGACCTTCCTAAGAAAACCGACGACCGAGACAGTGAGCCCCAAATCGACTTTGGCCTTTCTTTCAAGAATGACAGCACAGCTCCGGGGCCATTGCTTTGGGACTGGCGAGATGTTCAAGTCTTAAATTTACATGCGCCTAGTGTTCAGTGAGTAATCTACGATCTCAGTATCAGATCTTTTTTATAAGTGTTTAGTCAGATCTACACTTGTCGATTCCTGTACTACTGTAGCAGCTTGAACTCCTCCTCCGCATGTCGTAGGCTGAGGTCTCCAGGTTTTTGAAGAGACAGATCCACTGTACTTTGCCCAAAAACAGTAAGACCTCATGCCAAGCTTGAAGGCGAGATATCCGGCAACTTTAACCACGCACTGGCCGTAACTTCCAGATGAATCGTCGTCGTCCCTCCTATGAAGTGCACACTCAAGTTGCAGCACTGAAGGCTTGCTGGTTTAGATCAATAACCCCCGCTTCGTCCGCTTCGACCCCTCCCGCTCCCGCGATAACCATAACTCCAGTCGCATCTACACGGCCGATTTGCACTACCACCACCAGGATAAACCGTCTATGCGGCACGTTCGGGCGACTTCCCCAGCCGGGAAACTGTCTTGGTGTTCTGGATGACCAGCAGTGGCAATACCATGTCCACGATGTCAGCGATTCAACCGCTCGATGTCAATCAAGGCAGCTAATGTCACTACGAAACGTCCTTGATCAAGGCAACAGAGCAGATTTGTCAACTAGGGAAAAGTACTGTCCCTCTGTCGACCCTTTGGCAGTGGTGGCTGACCAAGTATTCACAGATGTACGCTCGCACTCACTCTCGCTACCGCGGTATTGACACTGTGCAACACATCGTGGCTTCGCGAAAGCTGGTGCTTTGGCGACATCTACTTCGTTGAAGAAAACCAGAGGGTCTCACTGGCTAATCAGCCGTACGTCTCCGCGAATTTTGTTCTAGCACCGACTTCACAGCAGACAGTACAAACAGCTTCGAGACCGGTACTATTGCAAGTGAAGAACCAGATGATATTCTCTCTGGGCGCCGCACTGCTTGAGATTTCCTACGGCAAACCTCTGTCTTTCTTCAAGGAGGACCTCGATGATTGCAGCAACGAGCACATCATTATGGAGTACTCAATTGCTTCCCGTCTCCTGGACAGGATGTCCGATCGGGAGAGTTGGAAGTACACAAAAGCGGTGAAGTACTGTATACATCCTACGCCAACCGATCCCCCATGTAGCTTCAGCCTGGACAACGAAATGTTCCGAAGCATCTTCTATCGAGAGGTTGTGTTGCCCCTACACGAAAATTACCTTATGTTGGGCTGAAGGAACAGCAGGAGTGCGCGGATTAGAGTCATCGCCGCTAGGCACTGAGAGGCCCGTTGGGTGAGGCGTTGATCACAATCCTGTAATCTCCAAGCTGTTTAGTGAGAAATCAAGGCTGTGATGTTGCAATTCTTACTCAGTGGATGCCTGCTGCTTCCCTCCAAGGCATCTTATCCGCCACTAGAACCTCTTCCTCATGTGCTCGACCTTCAGCGCACTACAAACGCCAAATCAGTAGTTAAGCTTGCAGCCAGTGCGAACGCTATTCAGCCACTCTCCGTCCGTCACGTAGCCTTCGCTCGTGTGCTCACCGAAGATACAGCCGGCTACATTATCCTACTTCGGAACAGTCATATAGATGCTTAACGACAATAATCATACCTTAGCTATGAAAGGTCGCCAGTTGTGTCGTCCACAAGTTAGATTGACCAAAGGGCTTCAGTTTCCACCTGCGTGGGAGAAATTTAAGCTTCTGCTTAGCGGCGGGACGTAGCGAAGCGGCATCGCGGGGCAAGCCTCATGCTCATGGCACTGACGTCGAGGTATTGACATCTGTCCGTCCGAAAATCTACCCGAGCATTGTTTCTGACTGAGCTACTTGGGCATTCGGTGCCACTTGGTCGCATTAGCTCAATTCACCACATAGGATAATTCAACCTGAGTGACTCCTTTAAAAGCCCCGCCCATCGCCTGCCAAACAGCTCTCTACAGCCTCGCGTTTCTATTTCGATAGCTCACGCGAGCAACCTTTGTTAGACAGCCGGCCCCCAAAAAACGTTCATCTGAGTCGCAAGCCTGAGTAGAGGAAGTCAGCACAATGGAGGTGCCTACAGCCACCTCGCTGCATGACATATACCCGGATGACGTGATAGAAGCCCAGAAGAAGAGGTGGGTGCAGCTGTTAGCAAAGTTCAACGAGCTATATGGAAAGACTGCAGACTTCGTGTCACGGAGTCCCGGCCGTGTCAACATTATTGGCGAGGTGAGCCCTCCATCATCAACCCTCTTACTACTGGCTGCGCCAAAGAGCACCGAAGCTAATGCCCGCCTGCGTTGCAGCACATCGACTACTCCCTCTACGAAGTCCTCCCCATGGCCGTAACCGCCGACGTAATCATCGCCGTCTCCGTTCGCCCCACCTCCGAAAGTCCCCGCATCCGCATCGCCAACATCAACTCCCAGAAGTTCCCCACACGAGAGTTCGAGATACCTACGGACGGCGCGATCGATATCGACGCCGAGGCACACGAATGGACAAACTACTTCAAGGCGGGCCTGCGCGGCGCGTCGGAGCTATTACAGAAAAAGCGGCAAGAGAAGGGCCACTTCACATCCGTCGGGATGGACGTTCTTGTCAATGGCACTGTGCCAAGCGGGGGTGGGCTGTCCAGCAGTGCGGCTTTCGTGTGCGCGAGCGCGCTAGCGGTTATGAGAGCTAACGGCGAGGAGGCTGTGGATAAGAAAGAGCTGACAGAGCTCGCCATCGTATCCGAGCGAGCGGTCGGTGTGAACTCAGGCGGCATGGACCAGTCTGCGTCGGTATTTGGGATGCCAGGCCAAGCGGTATACGTCTCGTTCAAGCCGCATCTCTCGGCAAAGGACATCGTGTTTCCGGAGACTGATCCTAAGCTAGAGTTCGTGGTGGCGCAGAGCTTCGTGGCAGCAGATAAGCACGTTACGGCGCCTGTGTGCTACAACCTGCGTGTCGTGGAGTGCAGTCTCGCGGCGGTCTTCTTGGCCAAGGTCTTTGGTCTGAAGCGAGAGCTTCCGGAAGATTCGGCGCCATTAGGCGTGAGCCTTAGAGGCTTCCAAGATACTTTCTTCGAGGAGAAGGATGGCGTGAAGGACAACACTCAGATCTCCGTCGATGAGCACCAGAAGCAACTTGAGCAGCTTGTACAACTGACTGAAGACTACCTGGCTCAAGAAGAGGGCTATACGCGCGAAGAGATCAGCGACCTCCTCGGCATCAGCGTGGATGAGCTGAACAAGAGATTCACATCGCGCTTCCCTGTACGAGCCGAGAGGTTCAAGCTCAGACAGCGCGCACTGCACGTCTTCAAGGAAGCGATACGGGTCGGCAAGTTCATGAAGCTCCTCGAGACGCCACCGACCACGTCTTCCGGCAAGACGGACACCAAGAAGCTGTGTGAAGAGTTGGGTGCCTTGATGAACGAGACGCAGGATTCATGTCGAGACGTCTACGAGTGCAGCTGTCCGGAGCTGGATGAGTTGTGCCAGCTGGCAAGAAGTGCTGGCGCGTATGGCTCGCGGCTGACAGGCGCTGGTTGGGGCGGGTGCTGCGTGCATCTGGTATCGAAAGACAAGGTTGAGGCGGTGAAGAAGGCGTGGGAGGAGAAGTATTACAGAAAGAAGTTCCCGGATATCACGCCTGAGAAGCTGGCGGAGGCGGTCTTGGTGAGTGAGCCGGGGAGTGGGAGCATGGTCTTCAAGATCACCGGCGATGCTGTGGCATGATCAGTATACAGGCAATGGTGACATGGGTCACCCACTAGGATGGAGGTGATGGACTGTTAGGTATGTTGCATAGGGAGGATGCCTCGAGTCACCCCCAAGATTATGGGTTGACTACGCAGCTCCAGCTGTCCTCGGGCGCTTGGGCGGACCGCTGAACTAGGGTATATTTTCGCCGGGCGTGCATCCAGCCGCAAACGGCAGTCCTTTCGCACTCGCGACAAGTTCGAAGAGTCTATTTAGGTGGTGCTTCAATCGCCACAAACAGAGCAAACCGCTGCATGCCGTTGCTTGGAACGCTGTCCTGGCATTCCTCGCTCTTGCTGTGAACGGTCTACGCCCCACTTGTTGAGATGGTTTTTTGTTTCCTTTTCGAGTCCATCGTCCAGCAAGGCAAGACGTCTCATCTCCGACCCAAATCAATGTCCAGTACCCTGACCATCCTCTCGCTGCCAGCCTTCTTCCCCTCATCCCCCATCCCAAAGAACGGCGCAACAGCAACATCAACCACCTCTTCGAAAAGCCCCTGCACCAGCCCCTTCAGCTCATCACCCGTCTGCCTAAAATCCGGAAACGCATTAACTTCCAGCAACCACGCGTTGCCCTTTGCATCGACCAGAAAATCAAGCCCAAAAATCTCAAACGCAGACGGCAGCGTCTGGAAATGTATGCTCATGCCCCTGGCCGCTGCCTCGAAGACCTCGCCCGTGATGGCACAGATCTGAGCGAAGACGGCGTCTTTCCACTTTATAGGATCCGACTGGCCAGTGGGGGAAACCTGGCCGGGAATGTAGTCCGGCAGCTCCCAGAAAGAATGGACACTGCCTTCGCGATCGCCAGTGGATTGGAGGCAGGTATTCGTGAGGTGTGCGCGCAGATCCTCGGGATTACAGTTCCAGGGCGGAACGTAAGGATCCGCGGAGAAGAGAGCAAGCATCGATTTGTAGACGTATACCATCAAGCTGCCGACCGCAAGCACGTAGGTCCGGATGTGGAACTTGCGGTGGCCGTACTCTGAGAAGGTGAGTGGCGGGTGGATGTACGGCTGTGCGACGAAGTGGCGGAGCTGGGATGTGATGACGCCGCTCCTCTCTGCATCTTCTGCATCTCCCGTGTCGGAGCGCGCGGTCTCGTCATCGGAGTCGGGCTGCTCAGCTTCCCACTCGTCGAATATCGCTTCGAGCTCGGACTCTAGGCTGAAGAGGCGGATCCCTTGCCCGCGATCGCTCATGCCGGGCTTGAGGATCCACCAGTCGCGGTTCTTGGGGTATTCGCTTTCGTTGCGCGCGCAGCTTTCGCGCAGCTCGTAGGCTTCAACCAGGGCGTCGTCAAGGAACTCTGCGTAGTCGAGCTCGAAGTCTACGGAGGGCTTGACGTGCTTCTTGAGTACGGAGTCGGGGTGCTTCGTGATCCAGTTTGAGACTGTAGTTGAGAGGTAGTGCTTCCGGACCAGGGCCTTGCGGATGATATAAGAGTTTACGAGACAGCTAGGTTCCTCGAGTGCAAATTCGAAAACGAGCGACTCGTAGGCGCGCCATTGGAGGAGGGGGCCACCTGCGGAAGGGTAGTCGGAAAGGGAGGTTATGAGCTTACAAGACGATGATGGGAGCTGAGACTTGACTGCTGAGATAATGAGAGGTTGCACATATTGATCCTCATAGTCGATCAACGCATAGAACGTAGCATCAGTATCTGAAGACATAGTCTCGAGGAAGATGAGTTGGTCGAGCTCGGGTGCTCGAACAATATGTGATAGAGCCGCGCAAAGGCGTTGGTACTGAAAAAAGATGCTTTAGACGATCAAAAAGTGCAAAATGAATTTGGTATGAACGCCTTCAAATGCGCAACCACTAACGCCCACAATTCTTTCCGAATTAAGAAATGGGGCTATCGATGAGACCTGACACGAGTAAAGCTGTGTCACAAGGAAGGGCTTTCCAAGAGCACGCTTGCAATAGAACGGTGGTATTTCAGCTGCTGTTCGAACACAAGGATGCTTGTCCCGATACTAAAGTTTATGCGCCGGAACATCTTTCATCCGGGCACTTCACGTTCCTGGGCTAAGGTGGTCCTACTCTGGGAATGATACGATCTGTTGGTGTGCACACGCAAGACCATGGCATGTTCGGCGACCGAGGAAGTTCTGATAATATGACATATTCGAGATGCTGTCATTTCGCCGCCTTAGTTGCAGGTGCTTTGGCGAAGAATGCGCTGAGCTTTTTCATCCCTGAGCAGGTGTCAGCAGAGTCGTGATTACTTAACATGGATCCTACCTGAGGTATCTGCTTTCTGCAGCTGCCTCACGCCATGGCTCTGCGTCTTCTTCTTTTTCTCCTCGTCCTCTTTCTTCCGTTTCTTCTCCGCTCGTACTTCGGCTGCCTCCTCATCCTCTACAGCGGATCGCTTCCGGCTAATGTTGTCTGATAGAGAGCGAAGCGCTTGAGCCTGCGATCGAAGAGAGTCAAGATGCTTCAGGTGGGCGTCCAAGGGGGTAAAATCGACTTCCTTTGTCGAAGCTAGCATTTGCTGGAGTCCCCGACGGAGGTGCGGTGGTAGATATGAAGTTGCTATGAAGTTGAAGGCCGTGCGGACCTGCAATAGCTCTGCAACATCTGCAGGCGCGGCAATTGAAGCCTTAGATAGTGTTTCGGCCGCAGCAGTTGATGCTAATGAGAACGATGTTGCATTTGACGATGCACCTCCGGCCGAATCCGCTGTTTGCTGAGACTCGGCCGTGGACTCCGACGGCGCCTGGCTGCCTGTGTCTTGCGAAGGAACATCTTCGGCGATGTCAGTCGAGACAGCGCTTATTGTGCTTTCCTCCCGCCGGATGTTCATGACGGGAACCTCCAATGCGGCACGAACGAACTTCTGCTCCATTGATGCAGGCAAGCCGTTCGTCGCCAGTCTCCGCGCCTTCACCAGCAGCTCTTCTAGGAGTTTGTCTTTGGACAAACGATACATGTTCTCGGCGCCGGCATCAACGGCATCGCAAACGTGATTCATACGCTCCTGTAGCATCGCTCTGAGCTTCTGGTGGCGCAGAAGCTGTTTCACGTGTGCTGATGAAGCGGCGCAGGCGTCTAGATGGTCATCCATCGAGACGAACAAGAGATGGTCTTCGTCCTTGGCGGATGTAGAGGGCGGCGCCAGTATAGGGAGCAAGAGAAACAGCGGGTCTAAAGGCGTGGCGATATACAAATCCGCATCTTTCGCAACGTAACCATTGGATAGGCTGGTGTCGTCAGAGCTATCGGATTGAGCCTCCGCATCTAACGGTTTTACTAATTCTTGCTCCTCTTGAAAAGTAACACCGGTTTCTCTGTTCAAAGATTCTTTGTGGTTACGCCGAGGTGCAAGGAGCCAGCTTCGAGGTGTCCTCCTGGGCGCGGCGATTTTGGTGAACTCATAGAAGCCTTTCTCTGGGCAGAAGTAGTAGCGATTTGGGGTCGAGGTTGCAGGGTTCGGCAGCGTGACAATTCGGGCTTCTGGCGTCGCATCTCTCGGAAGAACAAACAGGCGTGGAGGACTCGTCTCGCTGGGCTGCAATGTCGTGCTCGTTGTTGTTGACTCCTCTTCACCTTCTTCCTTCTTCGGCTTCTTCACGGGAGCTCTCGACCGGGTCTTCATGATGTGCTCCCAGTTGTACTTCACACGTGCACAGCGAACGCAGCGAACGAGGTCCGGAGCGTATACCAGGCCAACAACGAGCGCTATCTGCAATTGAAGAAAGTGTCGAGACAACGGCGCGGGCGCGCGTCGACGTTAATTGAAACGCGTCGGGAGATCCTCGGTACATCTCGCGGCGCAGCAAGCAACATGGGCAACAACCAGCATTGCGAGCGACAACCACGGTGCTCTGAGGGCTGTCAATGGGGGAAGACCAGGTTTGCTTCTACCGGCTGTCGGAAGGCTTCAATGTCGAATTGTATGTCTGAATGCCGATCTCGAGGATATTGCTAACAGAACCAGTACGAGCCCCAGCAACCGACTGGCCCCCCAAGTCCCCTCATGCTGCGCTCCTGCTCTCACCCAGCGGTCGCAAGAGGCTCCAGAACCGGCGCGAGCGCACTTCTGTCTCCCCATCACCCCGTAGGAAGCCAGCATCCGCATCTAAAGCGAGCGCAATGCTAGATTTGCCAGACGATGATGAAGAGGAGGATGAGGAGACGCTTCAGCTCAAAATTCAGGCCATTGAGGCGCGGCTGAAGCTCAAGAAGCTGCGCAAAGCGAAGGCGGAGCGGTCGGCAACCTCTGGTGCAGACAGCGATGGTGGAAGTGAATCAAGAAGGGCAGGTGCCGCAGCCAGATTGCAGCGATCAAGAGCTACGCCGCCCGTAGAAACACCTGCCGTCGAGGTCCCGCTGTCTCCGATTGAGGATCGAAGGGCGCCAGAACTTCCCAAGTCACCTGCAAGAGTGTTATTAGGGATAGACAAAGGGCTTAGAGCACGGGATGTATCCCTGAAACGAGCCGCCAGCTTACGGAATCGGACAACCGCACCTAAAGATCAATTCGGATCGGAGCTCAATCGACCGGCTATCTCGAGGGGCTCTAGCTATGTCTCTCAGAGCAGCTCAACTGCGTCGCAGTCGAAGAGCTTCAGCGAGCGAATTGCAGAAAGCAGATTGACCGATAAACAAAGGCAGGAGAAAGAGGAGAGGATACAGAAGTCCCGAAGCCGCGGTTTCGGCCTTGACGTCAATATCAAAGGTGGCACACAGGATGAAGAAGACATCTGGACGGCGTCGCCCGCTGTATCTGGCGGTGCGAATGGCAGAGGTGGCGGCGCGCAAGGCACAGGAGATATGGGACCTCCAGCAACAAAACCCCCTTCGGGCGCCCTACGAACGCGACGGTCAATGGCAGACATCAACAACACAGCATCGACGCCGAGCGACTCCTCCAAACTATCAAATCGCCCAACTTCATCCCGCTCCGACTCCCAGCAATCAATCTCCTCCAGATCCACAGTCCCAACTCCAAGTACAGCCCATCGTCCCTCCAAAAACCTATCCTCAGCAACAGAAGATCCTCCACCCAGCGACACCACCTCCTACGATCCCTTCTCCAACCTCCACCTCACCAAGCGCCACATCCACCATACCACCCTAACTCGCACATTTGAAGACAAGGCCCTCTACACGATCCCCAAACTCCTCGCCGAAGTCAAAGGCCCCACCTACGACCCCCCCGACATCGAATCCGACTACATCGTTTTCGGGATCCTAGCCTCCAAGTCCACGCCCCTCGCCCACCGCAACGGGCCCCAGATCGCCTCGACGGGCGACCCCGATGACGAGAAGCAGCGCTCGAAGTACATGGTGCTGCGCCTCACGGACCTGAAGTGGGAGCTCGACCTCTTCCTCTTCGGCTCGGGCTTCGAGCGGTGGTGGAAACTGACGCCGGGGACGGTGCTAGCGGTGCTGAATCCGGGTATCATGCCGCCCCGCAACAGAGACACGGGCGCGTTCAGTCTCAAGCTCGGGAGCTCGGAGGATACCGTGCTCGAGATTGGGGTGGCCAGGGATCTGGGGTTTTGTAAAAGTGTTAAGAAAGATGGGAAGGAGTGTCTGAGTTGGATTGATGCGCGGAAGACGGAGTTTTGCGAGTTTCATGTCGGGCTGCAGGTCGAGAAGATGAAGAGGGGAAGGATGGAGGTTAATACGATGGTGGGGTGGAGTGGGGGGAGGGAGAAGGAGGGCCCGAGGGGGAGGAGGCTTGAAGGTGGGATGTTTGGGGGTAGGGGTAGGGATGGGGCGGGTAAGGGAGATGGGTTGAGGAAGGAGGGACGGTTTAGGGATGAGCTGACGCATGAGACGGCGTATATCTTACCGGGACAGTACTCGGTGGGCAGTGCGGCGAAGTTGCTGGATGCTGATATCAATGGCTTCGAGAGAGGCCGTGACCCGAAGGAGCTGCATCGGAAGAGATTGGCGGAGCAGGAGAAGGAGAGGGAGCTCGCAGATCGGCTGGCGAAAAGCGGCAGCGGGATGGGGAGCGAGTACATGCGCGTTCGCACGGACAGTCAGGCCAAGTCGTCGCTGGATGGTTCCGGCGCGGCGGCTTCGTCGGCACTGCACGATCCACCGGATGCGAGAGCGCTGGGTTTGTTGGGAAACAAGGCCAGCGATGTCAGCTTGAATCCTGTCAAGCGGAAACGTACGCAGGGCTCAGGTACACACAGCGAACCAATGGGGTGGGGTGGCGCCTTCAAAACAGGGCTGCTAAGTCCCACGAAGAAGGTCGGAGGTCTCAGAAGTGGTGACACTGTCAGAGAGACAAGTCCCGCCAAGAAGAAGGCAAGGCTGCTGCTTGATGGCAAGGGCATTAGGGAGCCCGGAAGGGACAGTCTTGGAATCGTGGCAGTGAAGGACGAGGACGACGATGACGACTTAGATATCATATGAGCGTTGGCGCTGGGAGTTATGGCTTCGGATGTAGTGTCGGGATTCTGGATACCAAAAGGCAAGGCCTGGAGTTCACGGTCGGCAGTAGGCGCACGCTCGCACACCCTAACGCGAGCTGTAGCGAGCGACCCGAGTCGGATTGGGTGTTGAACTTCGTTTCTACCGTGTGTTCTCTCACACCTCATTAAGATTCTGGTTGGAATGCGGGTTGGTTGACCCATCGTAGCCTCATCCCACCCCTCTACCTCTCCCTCTTGTACCCCTACCCGGAATCCCACTCGCCCCACGTCCCGTACCAGGCGTCGTCCTCCCACTCCCCCGTCCACCCTGCCCACCAACCCCCACATACCCACTCCCGCTGCCACTCCCTGCACCAGCCCCTGCGCCTCTGCCTGCAGCACCACCAGCACTAGCTCTACCTCCTCTCACGCCCCTCCCTCTCCCCCTCGCCCCACTGGCAGGCCTACTCCCCGCCTCGGCCCTCCTGCTCTCCTCCTCCTCGGCCTTTCTAGCAGCAGCTTCACGCCGCATCTGCTCGTGAATCCGGGACTGCTCGGCCGCCTGCTGGCGCTGGAAGGCCTCGGACTCGATGTCTGCGAGATCTTGGCTGGCGCCGTGCCAGTTGGGATTGAGGATCAGACGTTGGTTGTGTTCGGTTTGCGAAAGGATGCGGGTCCAGGTGTTCAGGAGGGTGGAGGCGGAGGTTACGGTGCGGTGGACGGTCTGGGGGTGGGGTTAGTTGGAGGGTTGGAGGGGAGGATGGGGTTGTGAGGGTTGCACTCCCCAAAGGGGGATAGGCATCGAGAGGATGGGGAGAGACGCACATCCATGTTGCTTTTCGCTTTTTCGAGGGAGGAGACGACATCTTCGATTACTTTGTTGATGTTTCGTACGCTTTCGAGCTCTTTCCGGAGGGCAGCTTCACGGGCTTCTTCAGCGGTGTATTTGGACTCGGGTCGTTGCTTCGAGGCGCCAGAAGTATTGTCGGCGGGTGCACCGTTGGCGTCCCGAGACTTTGTTTTACGGTGCGCGGGCGTGTCAACCGGAACTTCTTCTTCTGAATCGTAGAGACTGAGGTCGTCTATATTGGGGATGCTTTGGGATTTAGACATGGCCGCAGGGAGACCAAAGGGAGTAAGCCTCTCAAAACGAAGATTCAGTATAAGAGGCGAGTATACAAAGTTGCTACATGAAGCAATTTGTTTGGCGGGGTAATTGATCCAGACGGTTGACGCGTGGTGTTGCTGTGCGGTCTCGACGCGCAGGGGCGTTGTTCAGCCTCCACCATTTCGGTTTGGGCTTGGTGCCAGCCACCGCGAGAGACGAAGCTGCACTCTCTTCCAACCTCCAAGGGATGCCCATCGTCACTATCAGCATCCATACCACCACTGCACACTGCTTCCAACCTTCAGTCAGCCATTGCCATCGATACCCCTCTGCTGGGCTCATATTTGCTACCGTCACCCCTACCCGCCGCACCGTCTTCCAGGCTGCGCGCTGTTTGTTTTGATTGCGTCGCGCCATTGATCTAAGTACCTATACACCGTCTACCTAGAAAAGCGCTTGGGTAACTCCATCACCTATACTCAAGCGTCGACAATTGGGACGCGATACTCTTCATAGTGCTGCTGTGCAGTTCGAAGGGTTCGTTTTCCAGCCGCGAGCTGCAATCGCACGTAGAGTTGAGAAGGTGAAGCCCGGCGCTTCCTCTCACTTTCGGCAGCCATGGCAACAACACCTCCACCTCCCGGCCGCGTTCACACTCCTCCTACGCCCCGTCACGGTCCACTCATTGATCCCTACGAAGCATATTCACCCAGAAGATCTAGCCGTGTCGCTGCCCGCAAAAATCATCTTCCAGACGATCTACCTACCTCATCGTTACATCCCCGCCGGCAGATACGCGCAACAACTCCAACGAGCACCCGGAAACCGACCATCGCGCGTACCTCCAGCCAGACCTTTTCTCCACCGTCATCACCTGCATCACCTGCAAAACTTACCAAGCGTAATCCTGCTAAAAGTCGTGCTTTACGCGTGTCTTCAGCTGGACTTGACTCCGACTCCGACGCAATGCCATCTCGTGCAGAGTCATCGCTCAAGCCACTTGGGTTTGACCCGCGAGCAATGCTGCCAACCCCATTGAAGACGCCTCGCAAGCGGCCCGCCGAGTCGGAAGCAGCTTTGAGCTCCACAGCACGCGTGTTGTTCCCAAGTCGCCCAACCAATGTTGAGGATGTTATGCCGTCCCCTCGCAAAACTCGAAAGGGCAATCACTTTTCTCTTGCACTCTCAAGTCATGAAGAAGAAGTTGATGGAGGTGTTGCCGCCTCCTCCAAAATTCAGATCTACACCGATTCTAAAGAACGCGTCCCCAGCATCGGCGATGAAGAAGAAAACCCATTTCTCAGCAAGAACGCCAAGCCGCACAGTCGCAAGGCTAGGGCCAGCTTCATCAAGCGCCGCCAGAGCGACGAAGAACGGGCGGAAGAGATGGAAGAAGCAGCCCGTAACAATGAAGGAGTGATCTACGTCTTGTAAGCACCGCACAACTCCTCACGCATGCATCCAGACTTTTTGCTAACACCCACCCAGCCGAGGCAAGAAGATCTTTCGCCGATTCGATCATCCTCCCACGACTGAATCTGCCAATGCCGTAGCAGACAACGATTCTGATGCTGCCAGCGACGACTCCATCCGTCGCAAAGCCGGCGCCTCCTTTCGCCGTCCTTTTACGCGCTCGACAATTCAGCCTCGCCTACTTTTCCCGAATGAGTCCCAACGTCGCGCTCGCGAGACTGTTGACGAAGAGGATGAAGAGGCCGCCACGGATATTGAAGTTCCCATTCCTGTACCCACGCCAAGAAAGAGCACCCGCTACCAGCTTCGGCAGGAGGCGGAAGGGGAGATCCTTGCAACACCACCGGCGATAGGACGTGCTACTCGCTCTACTACAAGGAACGAGGCGGCTGAGCACGAGACGCCTACTATTGCCGGCACCAGCGAGCTGCAGCCGACAGAAGACACGCCGCTCCTAATGCCCACGCACGCAACACGCAGCAAGAAGGCTAGTCCATTCGACAGCTGGCGTCGCACTAAGGACTTCTCGAAGGCTGTACGCAAGGGGACGAAGAGGCAAGCTGAGCCCCTGGAGCGGGGCGAGGCGAGCGGAAAGAGGGTGAAGTCCGGACTGCATCTGGACTCTTAGGCGTAGAAGGCTTTGGGCACGATGAGTAATGTGACCTTAGGTTGATGCAGCATTTCACGCATGAGGGTATGAGTTTACTTGGAAGGGGGTTTTGGCATTGGCTCTGGAAGCGGCTTTGATGCGTTAAGTTGAGATACCATGTCCGCCAGGCGCGTTTGATGCATTCACTACGCGAGTAGTCCGCTTGGTTCGGCACGGCTTTGATGTTTCCTTAGCATAGTGTGAGGCTTCTAGCAATCGGAGTTGTTCAGCGTTCTCATTGGTGCTGTCCCTATCTACCTGGGTAGGTACTAAGAGTCCTCGACCAGAAAGCAAACCACATTCAGCCGCATGTGACTCGCTCTGCTCATCTGTTGACAAACATGGATCTGTGCTTATCATGTCTAGGTGTCCTCTCCCGTAGGTTTATGCTGGGACTGTCAGACATTTCAACGGGCACGTGATATCAACCGCCCACGGCTGTATGGGCCTAACATATTATGCTCAGATAATGAGTACGCTGAGTTCCAGACTTGCGCCCTGCTCCAAGAGCTGAATTCGGGAGTGCCGCACAAGACCAACTCCGGCGTGAAATGTGAAAGTACCGCAGTAGACCAGACCTCTGGGGCAGGCGAGATGAAAGCCTAATGTATTGGCTATCCGAACCAGGCGTCTTCCCGCGTGCGCGTGCGCCGTAACTCGAAACTCCTGAAGACGTCCAAGCCACAAACGTCCGACTCGTACGCGCCCCCTCCTCATCCATTGCCCAACTCAAGCGCCCAAGTGATAAAACCCCCTAAACAACCTCACACATCACCCCCCTAACCCACTCCCCAAACGCCCCCTCGACGCTCTTGCTAAATGCAACCCAAAACGCCATCATATCGCTCCCCGGCGGGGGACAATGTTCGACAATCGCCCTAACCCTGCACTCCCTGAGGCCCTTAATCACCATCAACTGCCGCGCCCACTCCATATCCACGACCTCGTTGCCCCAGCCCCCACCGCCGCCATTGCGCCCGTCCAGCCCCGCGAAATAGCTGACCTCCAGCGATGGGATGGCCGGGTCGTCCCAGCCTAAGAAGCTAGGCTTGCCCGCCACGACGCCCAGCTCGAGAGACTTGAGGGCGAGGGACGCGAGACACCGACACGCAGCCGCCCACTCGAGGCGATCAAACTCCTTGCAGTAGGGCAGGGCGCGCTTGGTCAGGGCTACTTTGCAGACGCGGGCGCGGGAGAAGGGCGTCAGATCCGAGAGGAAGGGCACGATGGCCTCGACATGGGTGTCGAAGGCGAAGACGTAGGAGCTGTAGAGGAGGTCGGCCGCTTCGGCGTGGGTTTGGTGGGAGACGGATAGAATCGCGGGATGTAGCCCCGGGTTGCTGAGGAGCGTATAGGTGGTGTGCATGATGCGCGCGCGGAAGCGGTCGTGGCGGATTGCGTAGGTGGTGCGGAGGCGGGGGGAGCCGGGGCTGACAGAGACGGTTGGGTCAAGGGTGCGGATTTGGAGGGTTGGGGTTGTGGAGAGAACGGGGCGCGATAGGGTCAGCTGGTGCTCGTAGTCGTGGTAGTCGGCGTGCACGCTTTTGGCAGTGCTGGGTAATGAGACGCTAGTGGAGGGGAGGAGGAGGTGGGCGTAGATCATGAGGCGGATCTCGAAGGGGAGACGGAGGAAGGGGGAGTCGGGGTTGGACATGGTGGTGGGTGGTTGTGGTGGTGAATATGCGATTGAGGTCTGGATAGGTTAATGGAACACGGGTGGAGGCAGTACGGTCAGCTTTAAGTCAGTGGCAGGCCACAATGGCATTGGACGTCGGACTGAGAGATGGATGCTTGTATCAAGACCTCGTCATGGCGATTGCTTGTGTTTAGCAGTCATCGAGCTGTCATACGGCGCTATCAAGTCGCTGGCGCGGCCACCGCCGTGTCAGCCGCACGTGACGTCATGGCAACTTGTATATCGCCTTGATGGATGAGATGATGCACTTGCGACTCTTGATATGGCACGGGTCGTCGGCGGAAGATGAACACCAGCGTGAGATCGCTATCGCGTTAACTGTTGATGACTGAATCCACGACAGTGCCATCCTTGGACACCTTGGTGTGCGTGCATGGCACACCTCACCATCCACAGATCGAGTCGATAGCAGGCGACGAATCTTACATAATCTTTCAGCTTGGCAGCGCCCGGCGCTACAGTAGGTAATTGATGTGACACCAGCCGCAAGTTACAACCGTATTTTGAGAGATGCTTCCGACCTCTGCTCGCACCGATGAATGCAGCAGACCTATATCCCAACCGTTGGTATCTTGTGCCTGAACACATCTCGACGCCGCACGCCGTAACATCAAAAACGCCAGCTTGCTATGCAGGTAGATCCAGCACACCGATTCGAACTGCGCCAACGAAGGTACTCTTCGGCCCTATGGCGAACCTGCCCAATCCACACGGAAGGATTGGAGCCTAACAGCCCTTTCTAATCATTCCTCAAGCTCGCCTTCTTCGCTTCCCTCTTCGCTGTCCACCTTGCTGGCTCCTTTACCAGTAGCTTGAGCATCCGCTTTAGCTGTTGTGTCAATACCGTTTGCCTCGGTCTTGACTCTCTTCGTCCTTGGCTGCTCTGGCTCGACTTTGGCTTCGGCCCCATTGACCGCCATGCTCTCTTCAGCTGCCTTCGGGATCCGGGCCGGAGGATTCGTGCTCCCGTTTGCGGCTTGGACCCCGTTCTCCATCGACGCGCCGCTATTCTCCCTCGTTCTCTTCACCCCCTGATCACTCGCACCCCTCTCCATGCCCGCCCCAGGGAAAGGCGTCTGCGGCGTCTGTGGTGACCTTAGCCTCGTGTCTGCTTCGGCCGGATCGCCGTCCTCACAAGACCGGAGACCTACGTAGATGCTCTCACTGCCATCCTTCGTCGGTTGGTGCTCGAATATGTCTGCCATGTAGTTGCACGCCCGGCGCACATCGCGCAGCCGCACACCCTGCATTTCCCACCAAGGCCTGCCGTTGAAGTCGGGGAAGGCTACGCCGCAGTGCTTCGCGCCGCAGTAGATGGCTGCTGCGCCGATGGTGCGCGAGGTCACGATGAGACAGAGCTGGGTCTGGCAACTGTCGTTGATGAAACTCCATGCCGCGTTGCGCAGCTTCTTGTTGTGTTCTGCGCCGAGCGCCTTGAGCATGTCGAAGAAGATCTTGTAGGGTGACTCGACGGTGAGGTCGAAGCAGAGCATCTCGAGCAGGACGTCTTCGTTGAAGAGTATTGTGTCTCGCCATTTCCAGAAGTCTTTGGTTTGCTCGTCGACGAGGAGGTTGGGGTTCTTTTGTGCGACGCGACAGCATGCAATGACCAGCTCTTTCACCTTGCGGCAGTTCTCCTCCACTTTGGTTGCCAGGAATAGCGAAGTCGCTGCGACTTGCTATGGACATGTCAGCGAACCAGCTGTGTAGTGAACTCCCAGCGCGTTGCTGCTCACGTAGTGGTGCAAAGGCTTATAGCCTTCCCTCGGTACCAATGAATGCCGCATGAGAAACCGGTTGAAGAAGACGGCCGCAGTCGAGAGAGTGAGCTGCGGTAGCTTCAACATCATCCCGACCTGCCAGATGAAGTTGACGCCCTTCCCTCGTGTCTCGCGCTCAACTTCTGGCTTCATTCCATCCATTATCGAGGGTGTGTGGAGCAGCTCTTCTTCCGAGAATATCCATTGTTGCTCTGTCTCTGCGAGAACCTCGGCTGCAGGCTTCGGCGGATGGCGCGCCGCTGGTTGAGATGGCGGGACATATGGTGAACTGTTCGTATACGGTGGAGGCATCGATGTGACGGACACCGGGTTCCCGGAATGCGGTTATCAAGGCGATTGCGAGTGCTGTGGGAGGAGAAGTATGCGCCGCGGTTTCCGCATGGATGTAGAGTTTTCCTCGGTAGATCCGAAGTGGATGTGGGGAGCTATTGTCAGCTCTAGGGAGGCATGAATAGAAGTGATTAGGTTCCTTTCTAGAGCGGCGGACAATAGCAGGTTGTAAAGTCAAGGCTTGGCCTTGATTGCGAACAGAAGTGCGGCCCTGGACTTCTCGGCACCCGTACCGTTGGTGCCTCAGGCACACTTCTAGAAGCACCAACTTTCAATGTTTCACGTCAACCTCATCCACTCCCTGAAATCTTCTGTTCGCATATTGACAGTTGTCGTAGGCGAGGCGTTCAGTTGCCTTCATTTCGATTCAGGTGGGTAAAAGTGCAAGTCGCGCGTTTCATTCCGAAGCACGTCCGCAATGAAGACGATTTACAGCTCAAGATCACATAGTTTTCATAACTACTTATGATATCTCAAAACAGGTCTTCCAACCCTATCGAAGCACAGCGCTGCCTAGGCGCATGAAACCAGCCCCCCGCTTCCGCAGAAGCTTCGCCCTTTCCACCGCCCGTACAAACATCGTTGTTCCCACTCCAAGACGCAGCCCCGCCTCGCAGCAAATCCGCAATCCCAGCGACCGCATCCTCACTCCCCGGAACATCCGGTTCAAGCAGGTACTCGATCTTCGAGCCCAGCGTGCCCACGTACGACCTGATGGTATGCGTACTCTGTACCACACCATCACATTCCACAACAATCTTAACCGCCGGTCTGCGTCTCGCCTCCTCAATGCGCCGTTGCGCCGCGCGCCTCGCGGCCGGGAGTGTGCGCAGGTAGCGCGTAAAGCTTGACAGCTTTGCGCCGCCCAGCTGGCTCAGGAGGTGGTGGTCGCTGTCCTGCGTAATCTGCGCGACAGGCCTGCAGAGGTTCTGCAGGAGGCCGTCGTGGTCGCTTGGTGCGCGGATTGTGCGAAGGCTGGGGAAGCCGCCGGCGGCAATGGAGGATGCTAGATCTTCGTTTGCGGAGCCGGGGACGAGGATGTCCCAGTGGAGGAACTCGACGGATTTCGATGATAGGGCTGGGATGCGCATAATGGCGCCGGGTGGAAGACCTGGCGAGCCGTCTTGAACTAGAGTGAACCGCTTGAGGTTTTCGGCGGTTGAGAGGAACTTTGTGATCACAGGGAGGAGCATGATCTCCAAGTCAATAAGGGAGAGCTTTCGTAGACCTTTCGCAGCGTCTGAGCCGGCGAAGCGGAGGAGGCCTCGGTCGGTTAGGCCGTGGAGGTCCTGGAGCCGCAGAGAGCGGAGGGCCGGCAGTGCGAGCAGAGTCCTGTCGTTGAATTCGTCGGAACCGAAGCTAGAGATGTAGAGGTTCTTCAGGTTCGGTAGCTGTCGGAATGTTGCAATGAAGGCCCTGAAGTTCATGCTGCCGGCGTTCTGGGCATGCAGTACCAGTGTTTGGAGGTTGGGCCAACTCTCATGCTGTTGTAGGAACATTTCGACTGGGTCCGAGTAGGAAGCGTAATACATCTCCTCCTCTTTACCGTCAAAGCATCCGCTATCGCGCCTCTTAGTGTTCCGTATGATCCATGCTCGCTCTTTCAGTGAACTCCGCGTTGAAAGCGCATGGGTAAGGCGATCAAATTCATGCTCGTAAGTCGGGTAAAGGCCGACTAGCTTTTCAAGATTCGGACAAGCCATGACGAGCGATGCGAGTGAATCAATCAGTTGCGATCGCTCCTGCGGAAGGCTCTGCTGGTAAACGCGCTGCAGTTCCGGCACGTGTATCTCTCGGACGAGCTTTGCTAGGCCAGAGCGCTCGCGCAGTGTTCGTCGTAGGATTTTGATGCGATTCGCGGTCTTCGTCTTGGACTTCTTTGACTCGGCATCGATCTTGTCCGCTGGAATTCGAACGCTACCGTACCTACAGCATAACGTCAACAACAATTCGACTAATCGCAGGTCGATCTCCTTACAATTGCTGTCTAGCTACTTTCTCCCACGCACGGCTTGTGAGAGCCAAATTCTGGACATCCCTAAGATAGCACGTCGCGCAGCTATTGAGGGGCGATTGAAAGTGGAGAGCCTCTAGTTGTTGCAAGATACAGCTGTATATCTCACGTGGAAGTTCCCTGAACACGCGCGCTGACAAGACGCTCGCAGGGCGTGAGCGCCGGGAGTGCTGTGACCAAGGTCGCTTGTTTCGTTCCAGCTCCCATGGTGTTCTGGTGAGGGTGGGCACGATTTCCATGTTCGCAGAGTAAACACTGCTGCCCGTATAGGATGTGGTGGAGCTTCGCCTCGAGAGCATTGAATCGGTCATGGATCGCACCGAATAGAGAGAGCTTCTCGAGGAAGTGGTCGAAGCTGTAGATGCATCTTTGTCTGCTGCTGGATTCCATGCGCGCGAAGCGTTAGACCTGACGTCAAGTTAGTCCCAATGCGTGTGGGCGATGGCGGCGCCAAAACTCCAATTTCCCAGAGTTCTACATACCGGCTACCAGCATCGTCAGGGATGAGCACATCCTTAGACGCCGAGAGAAGCCTTGGCATTGGCGGCATTGTGAATAGGCGGGATGAGTTTATTGAAGTTCGGAAAACAGCAGAAGCAGTGACTTCAGAAGGCAGACTGATGAGAAGCGCACAAGATAGCTTCAGCAGAACAGCGCGGCGAATGCCCAATATGAAAAGTGAACGGAGACATGTCATCAGCTGCAGGGTTCAGAGGCCCGAGATCGACCATGGGCTCGAGCTGCGTTGGCGTCAACGATGGCGCAAGATCGTCGTCTCGACCTGACAAGGTCGGCCAATTGGAGTCGCAACTGCAAGCCCGGAGAACCGTTTCTGGTGGCGATTCCCCATTCCCAGGGGCATCCAGCTCTGGCCGGCGCAATGCACCAAGCCACTCCGTAAGAGGGCGTGAGCACAGCCACTTGACGCACGAAGTCGGGACAATCCCAGCTGCGATAGGTTAGCTGTGGGGAAGGCGATGTTTGCCGGTTGCCGGGTAGAGATCATGGTTTTCTGGCGGCCTTGCAGGCGACAGCAGCGGAGGGTATAAACGAAGGAGATTGAATCAAGATAGGCGGTACTTCAATGTCCGGCGAGACGAGAGACGAGAGACGAAGAGCACGGGCAGAAACCTCAGAAAGAGATGGAATCTTTGCTCATCCTCGCGCCCGCCGGTCTCGCCGATCCTTCCGAGTCGAATGCGGTTCCAGCCACAGGTAGTGGCGCAGCATGCGGAGACCTGCATCATCGAAGATGGAGGCCCCCCCGGCGCTGCTCTTTGCGGAACAGATTTTCGACACAACCCCGTCGCTGAACGGTCTGACAGCGGCATGATAGCCAGCTGCGGTGCAGGTGCAGCTTCAGCTCAACCCCGCAAGAAACTTCTCGAATGGGATCGCGCCGCGTTTGGACGTCCTTGTCGTGTTGCGACCTCTCAAGACACGCATTCGGAAAGCCGATCAGTGATCCAGCAGGCTCAAAAGACAAGTGTCAGCGCCGGTCTCATCCGGTCAGACACCACAACCAATTGTGTCTCTGCGCATGTTGATAAGGCATGTTTGCTTTGCACGTAGCAAACCCTGAGCTGCTTTCCCAGAAACGTGAAAATTAGGGCACACAAGCATGTTGACTTTCATGTTGGTTGTCGGCACTTTGCCTCGTGAACCCAGGGGCCACTTGAGTGTCCTTGGATGGCCGGGGGGTTTCCTCAATCAGTAGGGGCACATGAGGCTCTGTAATTCAGCGGCAATCAAGCTAAGCGGAAGATCTGCCGAGCACTTCGTCTTGAGTACTAGACATACATCTCAATAGGCCGGAAACGATTGTGTCTACCAATGCTTTCATCGTGTTAGGTAGTCGCGTACCTCTCTAGAGATCACAAAACTTAGTCTTCAAACTTGCCTACGTCCCTGACACCCCCCTCACTTTCACGGCCTATGACAATACAATCGCAGAGTGCAGCAGCATTAACAGGCGAGTATGCTTACACGAAAGCCGTCAAGATGTTGTCCGGCCACGAAGCTTTGTCGCGGATGCGTGAGCGTATGCTGAGTCCGGGATGCCGCATACTGCTCAGGCTCTGAAACTGCATAGAAACATCAAAGAGCCCAACGCTCCGACGATAACAGAGAGCCAGTCTTTGAGCGATCCATGCCAGGAGATCCTTCCACTCGTTGGGCTCCAAACTTCATGCGGTGTCTACTAGTTGTCCAATATCTTGCCGGACTTCTAAACAGAGAACTGGCCCAAAGACATGAAGATGTGGAGGACGGCCCCTGATCTAGACTCATGCACTGCAATGCATTGCGCTCCCAGCTCTGCTCCGTAATCCCCCCGATGAAAGATTTGGGTCTGGGGGACTAGCTCCACCCAATCGCGGGCTCTTCTAGAGAGGTTGCAAGACTAATGTCCGACGCCTGAGTAAAGTCCCGGCAGCCCTTCAGGCACTTAAGCACATTATCGGGCATGCGCTGATCCCGTTCGTTGAGTCTCCAACTTCCGTTATGCGGAACGGCATCCGAGTGTTGCTGGGAAGCGAACAGTCTATGGCTGTCTCCGGGTTGTGAGGTTTACCCAAGAGTTTGGAGTCGGGATTGAATGACAACAAAGATCAATCAAGGGCCAGTCCGTCCAGCAAACGCAGATTGTTGAGCTCGTTTTCTCGCCCCTTGTCGCTTGAGGTAGTCACATTTCGCGTCTCACTGCTCAAGTCCAGTTCTTCCGAGAAGTTATTCTGCGCAAACTCAAGCACCCAGGCTCCATCCTCGACCCTGCCCTGCGCGAGGAGAAGTCGGGCAGCGTCAAGGGAGAGTTGGACCAGCGACTGACGCCGTGTCTTCTGCATCTCTCGCACAGCCTCTGGCGATAGGTGAATCTTCTGCAGATAATCCAATGCCGGCTGAGGAGAAGGCTGGTGCGGGTGGCGCAATGCAAGTCTAGCGTGGTTCAAATTATTGAGTTCTGTTGACCATTGCTTCGCCAAGCTGAGGAGCGTATCGAAATCCTTAACAGATCCGGCGAATGGATAAGAATATATGTGCTTTGTAAAGACATTCACGGCTAAATTCACCTCGCGTACTGAGAAGCTGCCAGATGAAGACGCAGCCAGGATGAGGGCGATAGCATGGTCTTGCCCTTGCGGATGGTTGAGCTCAGCTCGGACAAAGTGTTTCAAGAGGTAGGCTTTCCACCGTGAAACATCTTGACGATCCAGCAGTGTGGTTTCGAGAACGCTCGTCGGATCCACGTTCAGCATACTCCACAAGAGTTGTTGTTGTCCATCCGCAACGAGGACAAAGGCCAATGCCTGCAGAAACGGCTGATGTTTATAGAATGCCTCCGATTTGTGGAGGCCAACCGATTTGAGCAAGGCCAGGACTCTGGTGCCTGCGTTCAAATCCCGGTACGCAGGTGCACGGAGTGACTCTAGACACAACGTCGCGCTGACAATGCTTGCTGTACCGCCGGCTACTTTCTCTTCAAACCACTGGAGTGGATCGCCGATCACGTGACGTAGTCTCATGTTATGAGTATGGGCGGGCTCAGCTCGAGAAGTTGATCCTGAGCGTCTCATGGGCTTTGTAGCGAACATGGGGTTTGTGAGGATGGATTCGAGGTGATGGTTCGCGGTCGAGTGTGATGAGCGGTGAGCAATGGCGTCGGATGGTGTAATGGGCTGGCCACGCCCATCACGTACCGCATTTTGGTTGTCTCGGAGCTGAGTCGCTGGATACTCTCGATCGAGGTGCTGCCTGAAGGAGGTGGTGAGCAGTCCAAGCAGCTGCTGCGACTCTCGTGCGTTCAGAGGGAGCTGCGGGTGGATCTTGGACGTGAGGGCCTTGAAGGCGCGAACGCTGGTGGACTGCATTTTGATGGCCGCCCTCTCCCCGGCTGTAGCTTTGGTGCGAGCGATGGCTACAGTGACGGGGGAGGATTCAGGGGGCAGCGGTTCGCTGGCTGCAGGAGAGGGACATGTTCAGGAGTGAATGATGAGGAGGTGGTTCAAGTGGTGGTGGTGGTGATGTGGTGCTGCCGGAAGTAGCCGCCTGGCTTGGCTGGAGTTTCACGGAGCTTGACACGCGAAACGCCAGGCTCGTCTTCGCTCACTCGACACACAGACAGACACCTTAGCCTTGCATCAAACCTCAGATCGTACACAAACCACACATGCCTCTGCTGAACCCCGTCCCTTAACCTTCTCGACCATCTCTTCGAACCGATACCGCCCGTTCTGGCCGCTGCTGGTTCTCTTGACCGACTGAAGTTTGCTCCCGTGCCTGGCAGCACTTGTCGACCGACCCTTTCCATCGTCATCTACACCTAGTCCTCACCCTTCACCCAGCACTTCCCACAAACCTCCCTCACATCTGATTTTGTCAGCGAAGGTCTACAGCCTCTAAGCTGCTCACACAATGTCCGAAGTCCAAACTCGGCCTGCCGCTTCGCGCGGCAGAAGCTCAGCCCGCGGCGGTAGAGGTGGTTATAGAGGCGCACCGCGCACCACCAAACAGACGAATGGAGATCTTCAGGACACCGCAGTCGACACCTCGGCAGATCAAGGCGAACTCGGCGAGCTGAAGAAGAAGTACTCCTCTCAATTGAGCATGCTGAAAGAGCTGTTCCCGGCTTGGACGGACGTCGATCTTGTCCTGGCTCTTCAGGAGTCCGATGGAGACCTGCAGAGCACCATTGAGCGAATCACTGAAGGTACCTTCTCCACTACCCATCATACCCGCGCGCGACCACATGCTTTCTAGAATGTCGTTTGCATGCTGTTACTGTGATTCGTGTGCTACTGGAGCTCGTTGCTGACTCTAAAATTGTTCAGGCAACGTATCCCAATTCTCCGAAGTCCCAAAGAAGACCAAGGACAGGTCCCGCTCCAAAGCCAAGGAGGGCTTCACTCCCGGCGCGGATACCGCGACTTCCTCATCCCGTTCAGCCCGTGGTAGAGGTGGGCCGGACAGCGCTCGTGGCGCACGAGGACGTCCTGAACGCGGCCGTGGAGCATTTAGAGGTGGTCGAGGCGGAACTCAGACGGGTACCAATGGAGCACGCACTGCCTCTGGTCCGGCCTCCGTTCCTACAACAGAGTCAACTGCCTGGGAAGCCAGCGCTCCGACTGAGGGCAAAGAGAACGACTCATGGGATACGTCGGCTGCAGCGAACACTGGCGAAGCCGCTCCGGAGGCGCAATGGGCGAGCACCGCTGCTTCGACCGCTACTCCTGCGACTGCGTCAGAGGGTCAGAAGAGCAGTCTTATATCTGAAGGCGGCGCAAAGAAAACTTGGGCAAGCATGTTTGCCAAGCCCAAGCCGGCTCCGGCTCCGCCTAAACCAGCTGCTATGGCACCGCCCCTAGCTGAAGTCGGATTGCCGCCAGCAGTAGAGATCCCTGAGGTGCAAGAGGATGCCGCGCAAGTAGAAGTAGAGCCGGAAGCCCTGCCAGTCCCGCCCGTTGTTGACGAAGCTCCGGAAGTGGAGCCTTCTACTATACCGGTCGAGCCCCCAGAGGCAACCCCAGAAGCTGAGATCGAAGAGGCTGCACTACAGCTCACGCCATCCAAGGACGAACTGACGGAAGACAATCTGGAACATCTCCCTGACGCCTCTGTGCCTGCGCCCACCGAAACCGCTGCTAGCACCGTTGCGAGCTCGCGGGATATAGGCGTCGCGACGCCCTTGCCTCCAGGTCAGCAACCACCCATCAGCCGCCCGCCAATGGGTGGCTTCGCAACCAGTGCGTTCAAGGCTACCGGAGCGCCGGGACGCAGTGCTAGCTTCCAGCGGAGGATTATGGAGCAGCAAGAGGCTGTCGTCATGCCAGGCAATCATGCTGTTGATCGGGCTGCAGTGCAGTTCGGCAGTATGGGCCTAAACGGTGACGCAGATCTGGATGTGGATGATGATAGAGAGGAGCCCGAGACGCGCACTCAGCCGCCCCAGCAATCGCCTGCCGCACCCAGGGCTTCCTTGCCCCCTGCGATTCGGCAGCCATCGCTGCCATCGGAAGCTCCTATTCAAGACACTCTTCCTACACCGAAGCAAGCTGGTCTTCCGTCGGTGCCACAGCAGCAGCAACAGACTGCCCAGCAACATTCACCCCAGAACACCCTGGGTGCTCAAGTAATGCCACAGCAAGCCCCTCATGGTGGTCAGCAATACAGTCAATACGGCCGCTATGATCAGCCAATCCTGCCGTCTGAGCAGTCAGCCCCGTTGCCGAAAGCCTACGATCCGTTCAGCCAGCAGACCGGTCGTCAGAGCCATCTGGAGAGCTATCCAAGCCAACAACAGTCCCAGATTCAGCAGCAGGTGCCGTCGCAGCTCGGCGGATTCTCGTCTGCGCCTTCCGACCATTCCTCTTACTACACCTCAGACCAGTCACGAAATGCCTATGGCAACTTTTACGGCGCTGGTTACGGTCAGCAAGGAAGCACCAGTCAGCAAGACGCTGGCGCCTCTCAGCAGAGAACCGGCAGTGCGTTTGGCGCATCTGCTGCCGACTCTGCTTATCCGACGAGCCAGTCACAACAGGTAAGCAATCATGAAGACGACTCAGCTAGCCCATTAACCGACCCATATCATCCTGTTTTCCCTGTCTCCCGCCAGGAAGAACCCCAATCATCAGTATCTCTTATCAAGCCGCCTAACTTATTAAAACAGGTCCCGTCACGCTACGGTGAAGCCCAAAACAGTGGTCACAACACGCCGAATCCTACGCTGGCTGCACAACAACATGCAGGCGCCCAGTCGCAACAGGCGCAGCAACTCCACCAGCAGCCATACGGACAGTCTGGATATGGTTATGGCGGATATCCTAACCACCCGTACTACAACAGCCCGTACTACGCCGCCTACATGAACCAGTCCGCGCAGCACGGCTACGGTGGACCCTTCGGCGGCAAAGGCGGCATGTACGGCCAGCCCCACCACGGCTACGGCATGTCACCGCAGACCTCCCACGATCAATACTCATCCTCTCCCGCCGCCGGCGGCTTCGGCGCCTCATCCATGCATGGCCGCGACACCGGTCTCACTGGCGGTCTCAGCGAATACTCCCGCTCTGGCTCGACCCAACCCACGCAAATCTCATCGCAAGACGCTCGTTACAGCGGCATGTCGGACCCCTTCGGCCGCTCCCAGAGCGGATTCCCAGGCCAGTCTCAGGGCTATGGCCAGCAGCAGAGCGCCCACCAGAGCAACACGGATCCGTCTGACGCCCTGAAGCCGTTCGGCAGCGACGCGAAGTCTGGACCCAGCCCCTCTGCGCTCGGCCAGCCGGGTCGTCCTGGCTCGGCTACCAATAATACGCCTGGTGTAGGATCGCAATCGGGCCTTCCGCCCCCGCAGTCGCATCAGCAGGGCTTTGGCGGCTATCCGGGCCACCTTGGCGGCGGCCAGGGCTCCCAGTATGGCGGCTTTGGAGGACTTGGCGGACATCAGAGCAGTGCACAGAATAATCAGGCCGGTGGATATGGGGGCTATGGTTCTGGGTTCTCGAACTATGGTGGGAGCTATGGACGTGGAGGTTGGGGTGGAAATTACACCCAGCACTAGGATTTTGGCGTTGAGAGAAAGCTGGACAGCCTTGAGCATGGCGGAAATTAAGTTGTCGATACTAACGGCTGAGGCTTGGCGGGTATTTTCAGCATGAAGGCGAGGGGATTGCTCTTGGGCTTTGTTTCCTCGGGGCAGCGAACGTGGGATGGAAGTCCACCCTATACTCGTTCTCTAATGCGCGGAGCGCAGAAGGATGGGATTGTATCATGATTATCTACTTCTGAAGCTGTCTTCGTTTTCTACCTTTTGTCTTTTCCCACAACTGTCGTTCCAGGGTTTCTTGGTGGCATCTCTCCGCTGCCTGACGGGCTGGCGTTCGTAAAGGCGGTTTGCTGCCTACACTAAAAAGATGTGCTTGTCAGTTTGAGAGCAGAATGGATGGTTGCATGCTGCAGAGGACAAGCTTACATTTTTAAGATTACCTGATTCACCTTCGATGTCCACCGCTGAACTCAGGTCAGATTCATAAAGCTTGGTGATGCGAGCTCGCTGCTCGACCGCAAACCGCAAGTTGACAACAGGTATCACGAGGAAAGAACTAAGCATACACGAAGCATACACTTGACCGCCCTAACGTCGAGCACTCACTAGAGTAAATACTGTGCCATTTTGCTCAAACATAATGCACTCCGTTGATCCATCTTAGCTGAAATCACCTGGAGAGAGTCCGATCCAAGTTTATATTTGCAACTAACACATATTACGTACCGGCAACGGATATCGCTGCAAGTCCTACACTTATCTACCGACATCAGCCCCCTGTAGCATTGACAAAAGAACCAGAAGCTTCCAACAGGGCCACTACCACGTTGACTATCAGGTTATAGATGTCAGGTATCTGCGTCCAAGACCATGTTGACTGGGCCTGCATCCGCCAATGTCTCATTCGAATTTTCGGACTAGGGCCGAAGACAGATGTCTTGTTGGCTGAGCCCTAAGCGATTGAAGATGGGGCACGGTTTGTCTCGATGTCGCGGCTGCATGTTGATTCTGTCTACCAGCATGGACACACAGACGAGGGGGGCGTCCCTCGGCCGACGTTGTAGAATTACGTTGATGGCAGCAGTCTCTATCGACGTCCAACCGATCTGGACAATTAAAATTCTAGTCTATACGCTCGCTAACGTCCATTCTGCGTATTGATTCTCTTCCTCGCTCTCCTTCTCCTCGGCCAGTCGAATAACCTGCGATTTCTGGTTCTCAGCCGTTAAAGACATAAATTCGTCAGACACAGTTTTCTTGATCTTAAGGCGACGTTCTCGAAGGCGCTTCTCAAGCTCGTCTGATGTTATAGGCATCTCGGTTCTATGGGCGTGTCTCCAATCGACCTTTTCTCCTAGCGGAAGCTTTTGCTGCGGCACTTTGCGGAAGGTGTAACCCTGGTAAGTGGTAGGGAACTTGCTTCGTTCGCTCACTAATTGAGTCAGCGATTCGATCAATGCTGCTGTTATGAACCGTGGTTCCGGCTTGTTAAGAGGGTAAGCGGAGCCGCTGGATGTAAGTAGCTGATATCTGCGTGTGGTCGTGTGTTCCTTGGCGGTCTTTCCGGGACTTCCAATTCTTTTTATATCACTGGTGCTATTCTGTAGCGCCTTCGTCAGGTTTGAATCGATTTTCGACGCTGGTTTCGGGTTGCTTAGTTATACTACTGAACCCTCTCTGTAGGTACTGTCCTCCTTACAAGGATCAACCGCGTAAGAAGCATCGAAGATGTCCAGGATATCCCCTTCTGGGCCGTGGAGCAGGTTTTGCTCCACCACATCCCATCTTACGGAATTTCGAGAATCAAGATTGAGTCCGGACCTTTGGCCGTGGAGCCTCGTTCCATCTTCTTCTGTCCACGAAAAGAGCCCTGAGTAATACACGATTAACAAACTGTCTGGTCCGTCATTGTCGGCTACAAATCTTGCCACCATGTGATTGAGCTGGTTTTGAGCTAATGGATAGGATCCGATCTCCTCTATCTGAGTTCTGTATTCGAACAAGTCATGGAAGGTGATCTCCAATTGTTGCGTCTGTAAGAACAGTTAGAAGATAAAATTTCATACCATACAAGCTTTAGGAAGCAGTTTGTGATCAAGGCTGCTGCTTGGATCATAGGAAACAAACAACGAGGTACCTGCACATGAAGCAAACAGATTTGTGAGTGATGTTTCAGCTATGACTAAAGTATAACTTCTGTTGATTTCCTGAAGCGTCCCTTCGCACACATGAAGCTCTGTTGTACTTTGCAAGTACAAATCTATCATACCCGTCACGGCTCTGCCTGTGCCCAACTGAATGTTGGTATGCACTCACCCGTTGCTTGCAATTGGTATTGTCAAGGTCATCGGCCCAATTGAGGAGCAGCACGGCCACATTGCGATACTCTTTCGCTGTAGTCCGTTTTCGCTGAGATTGGCAGTCTATCGCCTTATAGTCGTCCGTTTGGCTCGCCATTATCGTCTAGTGCTTTAGATGGCCGCTCGCTATTTAGAGTCTTAGGCTATAATATTATAGGCCCTAACAGGGTTTTAAGATATAAGCACTACACTAGTTGGATAATTAGATGCTTATAAATCTAAGTAACTACTCCACTCCACCGTACAGGATTAGCAATTACAAAAACAGCTATGCTAAGACCTTAGGAATTCAGCCTCTGACTGAAACTAGCTATGAGATTGCTTAAAGTAGCTAATAACCACCTGACCGTCTGTATCGTAAGACGTCGTGCCGGGCGAGGTGAACGAGAGGACCCTCGTTCGCTGGACGTTCGCACGATGCCGAACACTGTGCCACAGCACTCGTCAACGCTGGAGGAGCACTCGTAATCGCTGGAGGAGCTCCCGATGGAGAGGCAATCCCAGTCCTTGCCCTTCCGGCGGGGGTTCTCTGTTGGATCACGCCTGGAGGGGATTGTTGTTCCCTTTTCTTCGACACAAGCCCTAGATGTTTGGCGGTGCGGTTCTTCGTCGTGCTGTTGTCGGTGCTCCGCGGCGGGATGATTCTTAGTCGCCAGTGCCAATGATGTGGTTAGCGAAGCGAGGTCACTCGCATCCAAGCCATTGTTTTTGTCTTCCGCCCCTTCATAGAACGTTTCATCGGTCCCGGTTGGTGAGTGTACGGTCCCCACTAGCCCAGAACCTTCCAGACAGCACGTTCCGCAGTAGTCTGGGTGGAAGCTGGGCCCATTACTAGCCTCCTGAATCTGATCGAGCAGAAGACTTGCGGTCCAACGTCGATCTGGCGCTTCCACAAGTATGTTCTCGATCCACGCCAATGGAGCATCCACTGCTCTAGTGTTGAGGCGCGTTGCGTTCAAAGAGCACCACGAATTGATGCCCTCGATATTTGAGTAGTAGAGGTTGGACCGTGACCCGGTGGATTCAAGATGTGCAGTCAATTCAGTAACGGTGCGTTCTCTGATCACTGTCCACATCTCGAGGAAGACACAACCCAACGACCAGATATCAGAGGCTGTGTTCCTAGGACGGTAGGCCGCTAGCTCGGGCGAGCAATACCGTGGGCTTTTGACTACTTCTGCGGTGGTGGTGCTGCGACCGGCTTCCGAATAATCTAAAGCCAGTCCGAAGTCTGTCAGGTAAACATGATCGCCACCTTTCACAAGCACGTTCTGTGGTTTAATGTCTTTATGTCGGACTCGGTTCTAGTGTAGATAATGAACAGCGGACGTCAGGCAGCCGAAGAAGTTGCACAGTGGTGAGCGGCGCTCAGTCGTGAGCTCCGCGTCTAGGTACTCCTTCAGGTTGCAATCTGCAATAGGTGCCATAAGAAGACAGACAGATCTTGAATCTGTATAACTGCCGACGAGCTCGATAATGTGATAATGTGAGAGCTTCTTGAGGTTGGATAGCTCGTTCTCAAAGTCTTTGAGGACCTTTCGGTCGTTATGGAAGGTCCGGCCTCTCGGTATACGCTTTCTCGCATACTCCCTGTGGCTGATGGTGCTCACTACATGATCCACCAATCCAAAACTCCCTCTTCCTAGTCCGGCAATCTTAGTGAAAGGAAGCTCTGCGGGATCTAAGAAGTGTCTATGCTTTCCATCTTCTTGCTCCAAAGACAAGGCCTTCGTAAGCACGAGCCGTTGAGCGTTCAGAAAAGCTGACTTCGCCGAGGACCTCAGAGTGTCTGGTAACGTATTTGCGGTGAAGGGGAACCAGATATCAGACACCCCCAAGTTGACGAACCTATCGATAGCTTGAAGTTGATTGATGATCCGAAGGACTGTGTAGACTCTTGGAATACAGCTCCAAGCTTCTCTACCTGTTCGACGAAGAACATCTGATATACCACGCAACTCAGACTCCTTGAGAGGGGCGCGTTCCTTTAGGTTCGTTGGTGTGGAACCAAAATGAGGAAACCAAGCAAGCAGCGCGTTGTCCACCGTTGCGTCTGACGTTTGGCTCAGCAGGTCTGCCATCGCGGTGAGAACGGCCCCGATGCGATATCGTTAGCTCGGAGACGGTGTGTCCAAAATTGTTAGTCAGGTTGTTTTACACGTGTACGGTAGTTATCAAAACAAGGCCTTCGGCCACTAGGGCCAGGTCTGTCCGCGGGGCAGTCGCGAGGCTGCGGCTGCTGCGGGCAGCGGGGCAGTTCGGCGATTTTCGTGTTGTTTCAAATCCCACTCAACACCTCCCACCACAACACGCTCAACTCCATTCTCCCACCTTCGCACCTATTGATCTCGAATCTCGCCTGTTCAGTCAAAGCAGACTGAGCATAACACATTCTTCACCCCAAGAAGACCTTCGGAACCCACAGTAGCGCCGCAAACACCATGTCTTGGCAAGGTTCGTCTGATTGTGCCGGACGCTAATATCTCTGCCCGTGCTAACACCAAGTGTAGCGTATGTGGACCAGAGGTAAACGCCTTCTCTCCGCCGAGCCACATGGTTCACAGCTCTAATGTCTGATCCAGCCTCGTCGGCACCGGCAACGTAGACAAGGCCGCCATTTTCAACTCCGAGGGGAATAGCGTTTGGGCCGCCTCGCCTGGCTTCACGGTGCGTCAATGACTCCTTCGCATTTGGGCAAACGCTGTGGGCGACAAGGGCTTCAGCAGCATACATGACGAGGTTATCGGGAGCGGGATGACCTGCACACATTGGCCGACACAATTCTGGAAGCCTTCCCCGCCACTCAGGCGCTGACGAGACACCAGGTCTCACCAAACGAGATGCGGGAAGTCGTCAATGCATTCAAAGACAAGGGCGATGCAACCGGCGTCAAGGCAGTTCAGTCGACCGGCCTCCACATAGCCGGTGAGAAGTTCATCGTGCTAAAGGCGGACGAGCGGAGTCTGTACGGCAAGAAGGTAAGCACCGCCATATCCTCACTTTCTTCCGTGGATGCCGCACCTCTAACGCAACCACACACGACAGGGCAGAGAAGGCATCGTCATCGTCAAGACCACGCAAGCGCTCCTCGTCACGCACTATCCCGAGACCGTACAGCCGGGCGCTGCCGCAAACACGGTGGAGCAGCTCGCCGATTACCTGATAGGCGTTGGATACTAGGCGATCTCTTCGGTTCAGATTGTGCATTGTGGATACTGTATTTTGATTGCATGCCTGTCGTCCTGGGCCCAAGACTTGGCTCATAGAGCGGAGCGGAGTAAATTGGAGGCATCTCACGTCCGGCGATGACCTATGGATGAAAGGAGGGGTTTGGGCACAGACTGGTATCGCACGAATTGACGAGGAAGCTACGGGCGCGAGTATCGTGCGAGAACGCCAAGCAGAAACACATCAACCACCCACTATTCAATGTGGCTCTCCCAAACTACTACACAATCATGCTTTCCAGCCTCATCACTACCTTATCATAGAACTCCCTTTGCAATTTCTCACCAACAAGTTCGTCCTTCTCGTCCGCTCCATCCTCAATATCAAAAGCCTCCGGCCCCTGCAAACAAGCCTTGACTACACCCTCCATCGTGTTCCCAACGTTTGCTTTCACATACCACAAGAAGTCTTCTTCGCCCAGCAGACGCTTCCTGACATCACGCGTTATATTCGGGCGGACCTTCTTCAAGTCTTCAATCCCCAGAATCTCGTCGATTGGCTTCCAGTGAACGATCTCCAGCAAGATGATACCTAGGCTGTAGATATCATAGCTCTTCTTGTACCCGGATCCACCCATATCCCGTGAAATCAGGCCGTGTACACGCGAGTGGCGATACAAGTCATGCGCCGGATTCTCCGGCGGCCGCTCCGTCATGTCATCATTCTGCACTGGGCGGGAGTAGTCGAAACCCGAGACATACGGCTTGCTGAAGTCAATCTCGTCGCTGCTGCCTGCGAAGAACAGGATAGTGTGGCTGCGGAGGCCCTTGTGTAGCCAGTCGACAGCGTGCAGACGCTCGATACACTGCGCAGTGGCGCGGGCCAGCGCTATGCGGGCTGTCAAGCTCGGCATCTTGAGGGTTTGATCCTTAAGGAGCTCCAGCAGCGATCGCGGCTTGGTTTGCGGGAAGGCTTCCTTGGGCTTCTCAAAGACCAGTCCAAAGCGACAGCGGTCGTCGCCGTTGTTGTCGTCGTCCTTGTCAAGGAAATAGCCAAGACAGTGCGGTGCGCGGAAGCGGTCGGTGTGGCCGTTCCATTTGAGAAGGGCAGCGAGGGCTTTGATCCGTCGTAGGATGTGTTCGTCGGGGCCGTTGTCGAGGCCGTTGTCGAAGGGTCGGGGGTCGTATGGTTTCCACTCGATCCAGACTTGCTGTTTCTTCTTTGTGGCAGGGTCTTGGTAGATGGCTTCCACACGCGCATCGAGAGAACCGTCTTTGGCTTCGTCCAGGAGCTGGATGTCTTTCCGTTGGAGCTCGACTGACACGATCTCGTCCCTAGATTTACCCACTTCCAGATCGGTCGTCGTATCATCGTTGAGTGTTCCGCTGTCAATAGCCGAATTCATGGCTTTGACCTGGGCGAGAGTCGCCAGGTTTTGCAGGCCTGTGTTTTGCGGTACCGAATCCGCAGGTTCATTCATAATGTTCAACTGCAAGAAGGCGTGCAATCGCCCTGCAGACGCTCTGTTGTTCATGCCCGATAACACGGCGGTTGACTGAAACAGTTCGATGAGCTGGTCGACTTTGCTGTGTAGCTGCACGATCTGAAACTCTGTCCTAGTCTGCTTAACGGCCAGTTGCTGGAGTTGCAGGCCAGTGAGCAGCTCTTTCATCACGTCGTTGAAGGCTGTCAGCTTCACAAGTAAGTCCTCGACTTTAGCTTTCTCCCAGGCCGCCCATTTCAGCTGAGCAGGGTACTTGCGGCGGCTCTCCACCCATGCCAACGACTTCCTCAACAGGGACTCTGACTGCGGAAAGCGTGTTTCGAAGGCTGAGTCTGCACTCTGTCCACCCGACGAGACGATGGTTGAGACTCGTGAAGTGTAAGCAGGTGGCTGCTCCAGGAGTCCCACTTCTTTCGGGTTCGTAATCTCAGACAGAAGCGGCGGTCGCAGTTTCTTGCATCTCTCATCGATGCTTCCGAAGCGGAGTAGCAACTGCTCCTGCTGGTCCAAGACCTGTAGTAACATGCCTTTGCTGGCATTGCTGATAAGGAGTTCTTCATCCCGCTCTGTTAAGCGCGCCACATGGGCCCAATCAAGTAGTCGGTATTGCTCGGTCTTCAGCCGAACGCGCAGGTACTGGCACTCTGCTGGCATGCCTTTGGCATCCGACAGTAACTGATAGCCTATGTACTAATCAGCCTGTTCCATTGTTGTGACTCTCTTGGGGAGCCATGATACCTTTGATGCATCCTGAGAAAACCTGGAAGGTTAAAGATACAGCTCCTAATCCTAGACCAGCTGCTTCAATTCCAGACATTGCAGAAGTCTAAATGGAATGGTATATGGAAGTACTACAATGCGTGGATGGTGATACGATGAAAGGTCTGCTAATCACCCAGATGGAAAGGACGGCAAACGACGTAGACCACGGATGGAGTCCGCGCGCGAGAATCGTCCCAAGGCCATGATTTTATACTAGCATGCCTGAAGCAGAGCCTCTCAAGCCAAAAGAGCTCAGCCCCAGCCTCGCTACGATTATGACAACCTACCTATGTACCAATACGCGGCTACTGCGCCGTCAAGGGCACACACTAGCCAATACAATGCTCACCCGGTAAGCCATCTGAGGCTTGAATCCATGTTGGGTTTCCATAAAATGATGGCAAGGGTGTGGTTGTGCCTTGAGCTTGCAGCCCCCGCTTGTTTTGGAGGCGTGCGGTCGAGGTTGACTGTTGACCAAAACCGCCAAACGCACAGCCCCAAGCCTTGGAAAGCCACCGAGATCCCAGCTCGACTGCGCACCTCCGTAGCGCTAATAGCACGATGGAGCCCTCGCCGATAACTACCTAACCATTACATGCTGTGAGCAAGGTTATGGTTTACTTATCGATATACAGGTCCACATCCATGATGGCAGTCGCCCCCTTCATCTAGCCTGTGAGCATACGTCGACTGGGCTCTGTTGTGGCATGGCAAAATTATTTGACAAGTGAAACGTATGTCGTACTAATCACTTCCGGTACGATGGAATTCGGGACGTAAGTTTTGAATGTGTGCTAGTTCAGCCTTCTCCCATGTCGCGAAAGCCATGATTGCAGTCCCGAATCTTCCCTTTCGACACCCAGAAGCCCTCGCTGCAAATATGGCAACAGTACAGGGCACTTAAGCTACCGACGATTATGTGCCGGTGACATGAGACCTCCTGTATGCAAGATACTCACTCTGTATATAAGAACCGAAACCCACTCAGGTGCTGGCATTGTCCACAATCGGTTGGAAACCATGCAAATCACTTACTGACAGTCTTCCCACACTGCTCACACCTTTGCCCGGTTGATGAATGGATGCTTGAGCGCTTCGTTCGGAGTGCATCGTTTCTCGGGGTTCAGATGCAGACACTTATCGAGGAAATCGGCGAAGAGGTTCAGCTCCTTCATCTCCACATCATCGAGACCTTTTGTTGCGCTCAACAAGCGAGATTTCAGATCGCGTGTAGGCTTAAGTATAGTCATCATGCGAACAACATCCTGAGTAGGTTGAGGTTAGCATCACTCTGGGCAATCTCTTCTTGGACAAGATTAGAGATTGACCGACCTTGCCGGTAATCTTGTCCTTCTCCATGCTTCGAAAGTTGAGGTCATTGTCGAAATGCATCCCAGCGTAGTTGGCCTTCTTCAGCATCTTCAGGCTGAATTTGCCTCGACACTCCATGATCGAGCGCAACATCTGGTTGTTGCTTTTGCCAGTGAAGAGGATCTGGCCAGTGTACAGTTCGAAGAGCGTGCATCCAACGGACCAAGTATCGATAGCAAAGTCGTAAGGCATACCAAGGACTATGAGGGCAACAGGTCAGTGGCATCCGGAAGCAGAAGGGTGATGATATACGTACTGATCTCAGGCGCTCTATAGAAGCGGCTGACAAGATAGGACGTGATTTCATTTTCTGAAGCGTCCGCAGCGGATCCAAGATCGCAGATTTTGAGCATGTTGCGCGTCTCGTTGACCAGAACGTTGTCCGGCTTAAGGTCGGCATGGAGGATGTTGGTCTTCTTCAGCAAGCTCAACCCGAGGAACATCTGCTGCGCGTATGATCTGACGGCCTTGAGGTTGATACCGACACCACGGCCGAACTTCTTTAATACCTCTCTAAGGTTGATGCTGCAACATACATTAGCGCCGACGTCGAAAGCAGTAGGTCAATGCGTACCTGAGATTCTCGAAGACCATGCAAAGATGGCCTTTGTGGTCGAAGGACCGCTCGAGGCGGATGAGATGCTTCTTGTCCTCTGGGTCGGCCTGCATGAGCTTTTGAAGGATATCAATTTCCTTCATACCGGCTTTGCGCCTGAAGGCAAGTTAATAAGACTCTAAAGAAAAATTTGAATAATAAACGATAACAGCCGCTTACATAGTCTCGTTGTTCCGCACGATCTTGATGGCAACCAATTTCTCGGTCTTACTATCCATAGCCCGAACAACACCGGAAAATACGCCTTTGCCGAGATTCGTCTGCACATGATAACGGCCGTCAATGAGCTCGCCAAGGATGATCTTGTAGTAGCCTTCGTGATCGTCCCAATCATCGAGCAAGCTCATGTCGAGTTCCTTTGCTTGCGGAATGGGCACAGCCTTGGATGGCTCCTTGCTGGTGACGTGGTTGGCTGGCTCCGGCGCAAACATATCATCGTCATCGTCTTCAGCGAATATATCAAAGTCACTCTTAGGCTGTGTTGCGGTCGGCTGTGGGTCCAGTATAGACTCTGGAAGGAGGACGCTTCGGTGGTCTGGCTTCGTTTCGTCGTATGCAGTCGCAGGGAGCTCTTGTGCATTGTGTCGCCGGTCGACTCTTGCTCTGTCTTCTTGCATATCCATAGTTGGATCATAGTCTGCTGCGGATGGCTCGTCTGCATCAACAGTGTTCGATGGCGCGCGCGTAGAGTTCACCAGATCGTTTTCGTTCTTAATGATCAAACCTGGTGAACTAGGTACAGAGTCGTGCTGCGGAGTCATCGGGGACATCAAAGGCGAAACTGCGATAAAACATTAGCCTAATAGAGACAACAGAACATGTGTGGTCTGACCGGATCGCTCCAGCCTCGGTTCTGGAGTTTCAACCCTAGGGGTTACAGATCCTGAGTCGCTGCCTAGCTGCAAGGCTTGAACAAGCAGTGGGGTGGCTTGGCCCATGTACTTAGCTTTGATGGCTTCGCGTTTTCTCCGTCGCTGCTCAATCAGCGATGCTTCGTCGATTAACGTAGGTTCGGTAAACGGCTCGTCGGCTGAATCATGTCGTGTCTCTGTCTCTGTCTCTGTCTTCCATCCCGGTCCCGGTCTACCGTCAACTGGAAGACGGCTGTTGCTGAGACAAAAGTTAGTGACGGGCCTCATGGCGTCCATACAAGGACAACCATACTTGGAAGTTTCAGTAGCACGAGAGTTTGCACTGTCCTGTTGTAGAGTACCACGACGAGTTTCAGCATTCAGTCCTGATACGCGAGCGTCGGAAGGAATGCCTCCCCTTTCGCTCACTGATTGTGCTTGTGACTGCCGATATCTAGCGTCGTCACGGCCGTGGCCATCGTATGACTTCCGAAAAGGGACTTCTCTTCGCGGATCTACTTCACGCCTTTCGAGGCGGCCGTTGTGGTCCCCACTGCGGCCGAAACGTGGTGGAGACCGGCTCCTGGTACGATGTCCCGGCCCGGATCTCTGTCTCTGTCCATAACGATCATTCCCATTACGCTCGTCGTTCTTTGTCGGTCCACGGGAGCTATCGGCGTGGTCAAGATCAGCGTATGAAACGCGGTGCCTGCGGTTCTCGTCTCGGTCCCGGTCCCGGCGCGGTCTGTCCTCATAATGCACCTTGAACCGTCTCGTGTCTGCTCGGTCAGCGTAGAAGTCATCGTCCCGGCGACGCTTCTCTCCGCGGGGCGAGGGATGTCTATAAGGCGATCGTGATCGGTAGCGCCCGGCGCGCTCATCAACTGACGCACTAGATGATCTCGATGCTGAAGCATTTCTGAATTGACGGTCAACGTTGATGCTATTTGCCGAAGGCAGTGTCGTAGTTGCCTTCTCGATCTTCTTCTCGATAACCTCCCCTTCAGATTCCGAGTGCGAGTTCATCCTGCCTCTTGGAAGAGCACAAAATGCTCAGAACCTTGAGAAGCGAAGACAAAGCGTTAGCGAATGTTTCCGAGGCAGTTTCTAGGCTTGTCAAGAAGCCGAACCAGCGTTTGTACCCTTCCCTCGATGGCCGTATAGTTCAGCCTGAGTCTGGGCCCAGGAAAGCGAGAGAATCGGCGGACCAAGGCAGGTGTCGTCTCGCAAAAATGAAGACGCGGTGGAGGAAGTGACGGAGTGACCTTGGCGCATAGAACTGCAGTCGCATGCAAAGTCCCGCCAAGGTGAAACGATCACGTGACCGGTGCGTCCAACAAACTCGGGGGTTCGAACATCAGGAGCAACTTCACTCATGCACTTGGGGAGAAGAAGTGAATGTTTTCAAGCGATTCCATCTCGATGTGCACCAATGCTAAAAGCAGCTGGCGTTCAATTTCTGTCAAGTTCTTTAGCTTCCCATAAGGTGTAGCTATAATCTGCTACTCAGCCTCCACATTACTACATCGGCGCATGGGACAATAGGATCACGAGTTGACATAGCCTGTCAGCTGGGCGCCTGCATATCTCGACATCCTATCCCGAAGGGTCGCGGCCTCACGAGTAACCCTTCTCGACAAGGTCGATGTCGTGGCTAGGGCCGAAGTCTGCGCTCCCAAGTAGCCCACCGCGCTTCTCAGGAGGCAAAGATGCACCGGCTGGCATTTCGGACATGTAATTGACTTGTTGGCCTCCGCCGCAGGGGCGGCAAGAAAATCTATGTTACTGCTACTGCAGTCCTGCCATATTGCATCAGAGTCCAACTCCTGCGTCTTTATCTCTCCAAAACATGAAACGATTACCGCTGACACATCGACGGATCATATGCCCAGTTAGAGACGCCCTTTCACTCAACTTTGAGGTATGAGTGTGGCTGTAGCAGCGCTGGACCACATCCGGCGGCATTACGGAGAGACAATGACGGTGATAGGCCTACAAACATGTGGAGTCCGCCGATGTTCCGCACCTGAGCCTCCAAAAGGGGGCAGCGCACCCACTGTTATAGTTGTCAATCCTTCTGCTTACCGCAGTCACATCACTCGAGGTTTGGAGTGACTGAGTAGAAGTACGAGCGACATCATAATGATTCTGAGGGCACTGTAATCACCTAGACAGTATGGGGAAGTTTTGTCAATGGAAGCATTGACTTCGAATATTTTGAATAGACTGCAAAAGTCGACGCCGTTACACGAACACAGTCAGGGATCAGGCCACCACATACCACGTGTCAACCGCATTGCTGGGTGCTGTATGAAAGGCTTAATCAGACTGAACAGCGATCGGTGGGCGTTAAGTGCACGCCACCATCGCTATGTTACCGACTGGATGGGATGGGCAGAGGTGTAGTGCCAGCGTGTCTAACTCCAATGGCTTGCGATGGACCAAACGAAAAGGTTGAGACGATGTGTGCTTCGCGATCTCTAGAAAGCGGAGACGGGTATCACCTGTAAGCTCCGAGGTTCAGGCCCGTAACATATATGCTCTCTGAAAGGATTGACCTATGTTAAAACTCCATTGATGCCGCACTGGCCGAACGGGGATTACTCGTCAATGTTGTGTGCGCGTTGCGGCTAATGTGATCTCAAGAGAACAGCACGATGGTGCCTTGGGAAAGTACCAAGTGAAAAGCTCCCTGTGTAAGGGAAAAAGCAGCAAGTTTCTCCTTAGATCATGATGAGTATACTGTGTCGCTAGTAAAGCACAACAAAGGGTAGCCTAGTGTCTAAGCGTGTAATATTCGAGTATCAGGTGCTCGCCGCGGTGGTGAAGGTGTGATTTTGCAGTCATACATGGACGTTCACCCTCATTCATGATGATATGGCAGATTGGTCTGTCGTTGCTCCGGAGAGAGGCATGTGGATGTGACAGGATTCGAGAAAGGCCATGGATATGGGGATAAACTGGATGCACGGCCCTGCAGAGGATACAAGGGTCCCAGGTGCGGGCTGGCTGCGCCCCCTGCTCCCGTGCCGTCTTGCAAGGTAGTCTTGCATAGTGGCACACAGGACTCATAGTCAATCAAAAACATCGGAGGAGTTGACAGAACGTAAAAGCCCCACCGAGACCAGCTACATGAACGATCAGTTGCCACCAGGAGCTAGGTATGCAGCAGGGAGCGCAGTCAGCCCGCACCTAGGGCCCCTTTGTATGCATAAGCGCGGGGCGCGGATTAAGAGGTGATGAATCTGCTATCAACTCTACTGTACCACACACATCGAGTGACTCTCGGAATCCCTCCCGATGATCGTTCACATGCGGAATGCAGTTTCGGCTTGTGGCACCGGCCACCTCTGCTTTTCTGCAGGGCCTAGAGACAAGGGACCAGGTTCAGCTGCCGTCGACGATTCTTGCCCCGGCTGACGGTTGCGTTCGCCATCAAGTCCGCTGCTACTTGACTAAGTGATGACCGCTTGAGAAATCTCAACGAAGATTTCTCAAGCGGAATCGCGTGATGCCCATGTAATCATCGGTCCGAGAAGTAGACCTAGTGTTTGTTAATGGTGTTGAGTGATTGCAGTCATGGCTTTCGAAGCTGTGGCTGAAGCTCCCGGACTGACGACGTCTGTGGCGTGCGGCAGCTGGCGGAGAGGGCTTTGCCCGCCGGAAGTTCTGGACCACGCCAAAGTGCTAGCGGCGATGCTTAATCGCTGTTCGGATCTCGGTTCCGTTCCGACAGGGCTGACTGATTGGCCAGTCCTCGGGATACCAAAACGTGCTGACCTGTGCCAGTCGGGGGGTTTTGCACTGCGTGAGGGAGCAGAACTCTCGCAGTTGAACATGAAAGTCTTTGTCCACAGCTCGCCATCGTTCAACACTTCTGAAGCCCCAGGCAGCATGCAGTTAAGCTCTGGTCCACCAACTCGGCGGTCGGAGCCGTCCTAGCAATGATCTGCAGCACGCGCTTGAGGATGCAGCGCTGTTGGTTTCCGAACAGGGCGCGCTCACCATCAATCCAATTTAGCTGACATTTGAGTAGGTATAGAACACAAAAGACTCATGATGCGCTACCCTAGAGGCCGTTGGGTACGAGGTGTTGGCCGGACTACCTCAATGGGGAGTTCGAGACTGAGGTGCTAGGATGAAATGGACTCGTACCCCTCTATGCAGGATGCAGAGAGATATGCCACGCACGATGCTCAATGGTATGCTCTTTTTCCAAAAGCATGGCGAAGCCTGATCTCAGATGCGCGTCTCGGATTGCCCGATTTTTCATTGCCCGAGTTTTTTCCCAGCAAAGGCTCCGGACTTCGTTCCATTGGTGCTACAGTTGGACCTGCGGATTCGAGCGAAAGGACTAGAGACTCAGCTGCCGTGGCTTATTGGGATTGGCATCAAAGACAGTAAGTGGTGCTAAAGTTTCGTCCACCGCACGGTCCTTATCTGGTGGTGCCCGCCAGCATGTGCAGGTGTGTTGTTAATGCATTCGTCGTGTTTCTCCCCTTTGAAACGTCGAAGTCCATAGATCATCCGGCAAAGTTGTAGGATAGTGAGTAAACTCCGAGCAATGGACCCCTTGCGGCTGACGGCGTGATTTTCCAGTTGACCATCCTTGAAGAGACGATTTCCCCTGCACGGCCACCAGAAAGACCCCTGCGTAGGGCTTCGGAGGGTAGTCCGCGAACGTTGACTGATTGAGGGAAACTGCAACGGTTGGCGCACAGTAGGTTAGTCGAGTCAGCAAAGAGTCTCATCCAATGTCACCTCGAACTCCAAGCGAAGGCTCTGCTCTCACATCGAGCGACAACGCAAACGCAAGCCGACCTCGTTGCCTGTTCTGTTGTACACCACCATGGAGCCTTTCGCCACACAATCACCTGCTTTGCGCTTCTCTGACAAGTCTTCTGCAGTCCGCCTGTTAAGCAACGAGAACCATTTTGAGGAGTCCGACCGTACTGTCGCTTCCACCTACGATAACAACTCGAGCGTGTTAGAACCTGCATCTCGAGCATCCTCTTAATTACAGCCAATCCATGTTTGCCGGACTAGAAACGCTTTCCGATACTTTGCTAGCCAATGTATCGACCCATCCAGGTTGGACCTGCTCCACCGCAACGGACGATTGAACCCGGGCAAGAGCCCCCGACACCAAATGTGACGAACCCAAAACTCCAGTCGAAGAGGGGTCGAATCACGGCCATCGCATGTGTGCCATGCAAGAAACGCAAGAGCAAGGTGCGCCTCGACCGGTCAGGATCAACTGGTCTTTCACTGACAAACTCGTTACGGACTCAGTGCAATGGTATTCGGCCGACCTGCAATACGTGCGCCCAAAAGGGAACCCAGTGTGGCTACGACATGGGCGAGGAGCATCGATGGCAAGGTACGCTGCGAGTGAACGTAAGGAAACTCGAGAAAGAGCTCGAAGACCTCAAGTCAATTCTGCCTCTCTTCGCGACGTCGTCTGAGAGAGAAGCAGCTGCCAAGCTCGCGGTCGAGATCCAGGAAAACGGCTTTGCTGCCCGGTCTGTCGAGGAGGTTAGAAGGATACTGCAAGGCGAAGGTCCAATGACGGAAGCTCCTCCCATACGAGGTAATACAACTACCAGATCCGTTACGCGTCTCGAAGTGCCCAGCTCCTCGTTCACTTCCGGATACACTCCCGAAGGGGATTCCAACGTTCAGCAGACTCCCGTTGTACGTATGAGCACTGAAGCCCATAGCTTCAATGATGCAGATATCCTCTTAAACTCGGCTTTAGTACTGACGATTTGTCTTAGTCGGAAAGCAGTTGGTCGTCAGCCGAAAGTCCTTTTTATTCGCAGTATACAGCCGACGAGACAACATGGAGTTACTCAATCGAGGACGAATTCAGCCATATGGGCAACCCAGCGTCGTATGCAGAAACTTCATCGAATGCTTCTACGCTGCCTGATAGCAGGTTAGCCTTGGCACGAACGCGCAACCAGTAGTTGATCGGTAGACTGACTAACCAGTAGCAGTGCAGTTGTGCCAAGCCATGGCAAATTTCCAGCAGCTGAAGGCTATGCGACGTCCAGCCAAAGTGGGAACGTTAGCCAGCTAGGAGGTAGTTACCCGCGGTTGTCACCTTCAGCCATAAGCACAATGTCCTCCGCATACGTCCAATCACGCAGACAACTGATAGTGGACGGTCATCATCCATCGTTGGTTCTAGGTCCACCGGAAGTTGATGTTGAGACCACGCTGAGGACGGGCATTCCACAGGAAAACCAACCTGTAGGTACCTGGGCCGCAGGTATGGCCGCTCATTACCTAGCCGAGCGTGGGTTTCCTGAGAAGTTGGCGACAGCGATGCTTGTCAAGGACCTGATGCGGGTAAGCCAATAGCTATAGTAAAACTTGATTGCACATACTCACAGCTTCAAAGTGGCAGATAGCTCCATGTAAGGAACACTTCGAGAGTTTACCTGACTGGCTTCGGCCAGTGGCCTCTCAAACCTATGTTCCGCACGACCCTTTGGTGGAATATCTTCCATGGTAGGTGCTACCCAGCGGGTAGCAACCGAGCAGGCATGCTGACAGAACTAGGCCTGCGGTTCGCGATCTTTTTGTTCACGAACCTGGAATGTTCAACGCTAATGTCGTTGCGATATCCATATCCGTGAACTGGCCTTTTCCCGATACGGAATCCTTTTTTGTGGACCCGAATACCAGCAGATTCAGGCTTACTGGTCGCTTCGAGACTCATGTTCGGGACCTCAACAACTGGACCTTGGGACAGTCGGCATTCGAACATATTCCTGCCCTTGAAGGAAGGGTCCGTATGACTGAGAGCGGTTGATCACGTGTGGGCGCTTGGTCGGTCATCAAGCAGTGGTCTTAACTCGGGAATGGTCCAGGTTCTGTTGTAAGGGATCTGCTCGACATCTGGGCAAGCAGGCCGTTTTTGGGAGGTCTTTTGGGTAAATTGCCAGCTACAGCGCTCCTACAAGTCTATCAGCATACCCGCGGGCCAAGACAAGTACGTTGGCATAGAGATCGACGGAGTCGTAGCTGGCTCGAGCGAAACTTACAACAAGGCGTAAGACATGGGATGATAGGGTCTTTTATGGAGGATGAGTGCTTCCGGGTCTCGCTAACGATTGGGACGGCTCCCATCAATGGCCTACAGCGCATGAAACTTGTTAGCCAGTTCTGACTGTAATACAGGTGCAAGTTATAGTATTTGCGACATGCCCTTAGGTATAGCTACGTACCACTGCCTCAATTTGTGTACTGGATTCTTGCTGTGCACAAGTGCTGTACAAAATGGGAATTGGACTTTGAAAAGATGGAAGCATAGTGTGCATCAACGATTTCCATGGCTCCCTTCTCCGATATTGTACTCCGCCTAACTAACGTTACCCCCCACAAGTTTGTTGAGACAGATCCTGCCAGCCATGCAAGCCATGCAAGCCATCACAGCGTGGCCTTCTGCTCGGACTGCCAAGACGACCATGCGCCGGCCCGTTTTCGGCATCCCGCTCCTCAGCTTCCGCCTCCACTAATCTTCAGCCTCACTGCCTGCAGGGCTAAATTCTCATCCCACTTGCACTGCCAAGACCGCTTGCCGAAGCAACACCCTCTTTACACAACGCCAACATATTCACGAGCCCCCTCAAGCCCCTCCGCTCAGCAACCATGCCTTCAGGTCAAGGAAGTACGTCGAGCGCCCCTCCAAGACTCTCAGGCGCAAACTGCTGACAGTTACACGCAGCCGGCACGAACCCGATCCACAACAAGAAGCCTAAGAAGAAACCTGCGGGCGAGGAAGACGAGGAAGACAAGGCCTTCAAGGCAAAGCAGCAAGCCGGTGCGTGATGCGCGATCCCTCCCGCACATCCCATACCCAGCCCCCCCTCAGCACAACTGCCGTGAGGCTTGCATACTCCGCGGCCTTGCCCATAGCCACACTGCGCGGACCGTGGGCCCTCTGCGCGGAGAGCAGATAAGGTAGCCTTAGCGCTACCTAAGCAAGCGTTATGCGACAGTAGTTCCTCCGGCTAATCAGATTCATTCTATAGATAAGAAAGCTAGAGACGAAATGGCCGCCAAGGCGAAGGGCAAGGGTCCGCTGAACGCCGGACAGCAGGGCATCAAGAAGTCGGGGAAAAAATGAGCTGGATTGGGCTATTCCGTGCGCGGACCTGCGCTTACCCTTCACGAGATATGCCGGGTTGCTGGATTAGATGGTGCGGTGCGGTGCGGTGCGGTGCGACGCTCGGAACGCCGGTGAAGCCGATGAAAGGGCTGGCATATTGGACCATGAGTTTATGAACGGGCGTTTACATCTAGAGAAAGCATAGCGAGTGCCGGGGATATGTTGTTTAACGGAATACACACGATGCTTTCTGCGGTGACGCAGCACCTACTTTGTACATTGAATATGACGCAGAGCCGAAAGCGGCGTCGAGGTGCTGAAGCGTGCGTGATCTTAGACATTTTTCAGCAATGGAGAAGTGCGTGTTGTGTCTAGCGGCACACTCGTCATGGTCCATTACAGCCATAAGCGAGATCTAACCCAGATCACTCATGTTAATGCCAGCCTCTGCCGTGTGCTGAAGCATTTATAACAGACAAGGATACAAACTTGCACTGATGACAAGGGCTGAACAATTCGTAGAGTCCATGTCATCCATTCATGCGTACAAAGGGTATCTACAGGGCAGGCATCCAGGCCACCATCCCTCTCCTGCGTAGGAGGCCTCATCGTACAATCAAGCGCCTCGCTGCAGCTAACTGGCTAGAGTCTAGAGCACACCCCTTTAACCAACAATCTCAATCGCATCCCAGCGCCCCCAGCATCACCCAGTAACCCTCCTGACCCAAAGCACACTATCATACCCACCCCCCTCCTCCCGATCCTTCTTCTTCAACGCCCGATGCAACCTGAGTCCCACCTCATGCTCGCGGCTCCCAATCTCCATCAGCTCAGCCTCATACTCCCTGACCCGCCTCTCCGCTTCTCGCCTCTGCCTGAGATCCGTCACCAGCGGGCTCGTCGCCGCGTTGCTTGAGAGGTCCCGCACCACGCGGCTGATGTTGCGCCGGCGGAGCTGCAGGTCATCGAGTTGCGCTTGCAGGGTTGAGACGTGGTCGCTTGATTCCGCCAAGGTGGGAGGTTGGGGCAGGGCTTTGGATACGTCGGAGGGGGAGGCTGCGGAGAAGTTGCGACGGGGTAGAGTGTGGGTTGCGGGAGAAGTGCTGGTGGAGGTTGGGACTGGCTTCCGGCTGGTTGTGGAGGTGATGGAGGAGGCTATGCTGGGGACGGGGCGGCGACGGCTCATTACTGCTGCTGCAGCTGGCGTTGGCGTCGACATAACTGATAATGGGAATGTGGTCGGCATTGGTGGAGGCGGACTCGACGGTGGACTTTGCTGGTATGTCGTGCTCGTGGCGTAGGTTGTCCAGCTGAAGCGGCTCACGGGATCACGTTCCCCGACTTGGCGAGCGGTGTGGGTGCTGTCGATTGTACCGAGCGACGCTCGACGTGCAGCCTGAGGCGGATCCTCCGACTCCGGCGAAGAGTGGAGTTCCTGATGGTACGCCCCGGAAGTGGATAGGTTTTCGTGCTGGACGCTTGGAGTTATGGGGCTCGGATACGGATGGACTCTGATACCTGCTGGCGTTATTGGAGTGACATTCCTTAGGGGACTGTTCCGCCCAGCCTTGAGCGGCACGATGGGTTTGATTGTCTCGTCATCTGTGTCTTGTAACTCCTTGCTGGATTGATCTGTTGAGGTGCCTATGAGCAACATCCGCGCAGTCTGGACAGCCGACGATGGAGTGGTCAAGCCAGAGCTGTCCGAGACAGTTGGACTTGGCCTTTGGTCGTTGCGACCGGGCACAGCGAGGGATCGTCCGTAGAGTGATTTGTTATCCTTGAGAGGTCCGACGATCGCTGAACGTCCGCTTGCACCTTTCCACGGCGGCCTGGTATCAATGGTAAGGCCTTTCTCCTTGAAGCGGCCCTCGCGCTCTGTGCTCTTGAAGGCGGTGAATTCATCGATGCCAGTAGTGTTTCCACTATTAAGCTTGAATCGCCCATCGTTGATAGTCGGCCCATGATAGCCGGAGAAGTCATCCCATCGAGTCGTAACATCAGCACCAGCTCTTCGAAGGCGCGGGATGTGGCTGGATAGTTGAGCGTTCTCCTTGCTGTCACTGTGCAATGATGCAATGTTGTCAACTGGAGAGACTTCGCGAACCGGGTATGATCGGCCGTCATAACTAAGGGCTTCGGGTTCAGGTGAGCTTGGTGGAGAGATTTGCGGCTCTTCTGCTAGGGTCGATGAATCTGTGAGAGGCCGAGCCCAACCGAATGGCACTGCGGGCGAAGGTTGAGAGTAGACCGAAGCACTCGGAGCAGTCGAGTAGTGGCCATCAGTGCCGTTGAATGGAGCGGTCAGTGAGCGGCTGGAATTTCCGTTAGTTCAAGCGACTGCACGAGAATAAGTACTGAAGGCATACAAGGGTAATTGCGGTAGCTCCTGCAGAACATCCTCGGTATTTCTTCTGCCAAACGCAGGCCGTGCGCTGAGGCTCGGATGTTCGATTTGCATGTTGGTTAAGTCGCGTGTTCGACCGAGTAGGGTGGCATCATAAGTGGTCTCGATGAGGACAGGATTGCCGATCTGGTTCTCCTTGCCGCGGTTGTGGCGAGGTAGTCGTTTCCACATCGTCATACACTCAGGCGTTGGCGATCAATCTGATGAAGGAAGATATTAGCAACTGGCTCGAGCACAAACTGGCACAAGAACGGATGTAGTAGGAAACGAAGGAACTGAAGTGTCTGAGAAGTGAGCCGGGGAGAAGGTGAGTTCCAGCTACCTTGCACCCAGAAACGGTCCCGGAGGTGCATAAGCTTGACGTGCGCGTCCTGGCGGAAGTTCGAGAGAGCATGAAAGGACAATGCGAGTATCTGGTAAGCCAAGTGCAGCAGAGTGGCTGTGACCGTCTTCAGCACCCAAAGGATGTAGTGTGTTCGCCCAAAGAGACCTGATGTCGGCCCCTCAGATGGACACAAGGTTGGGCGCAAAGGTTGGTGCACAAGCAGCACTCAAGCAGCGGGTAGCACAGGAGCGGTTGTCGGTTGACGTGCAACCGTTGGTGCCGGCGGTGGCGGAGAGGTAGGTGCCGGCTCAGGTGGGAAGGTTGGAGCGGGAACTGGAGCGGCCGTGAGCTCCGGTGTAGGGGGTGGCTTGACTGTCGGTGCTTTCTCCAGAAGCTTGACCTCAGCTGCGGCCACAAGCGCAGAAGCAGCCGGGATGAGTGGGACCAATGTATCGTCCTCGACGAGCATGGCGCGAGTCTTGTCGGCCTTCGATAGCTTGATGTAGTTCTTGGTGCTGCGGAAAGGTCGGTCGCCCGCACCTTGCTCGGGGTTGAGTCTCCAGTCCGGAGGTGACATGGCACCGCCAATGTGGCACCAGGCATAGATGACACCAGGAAGCCAGCCAAGACAGGTGAGAATCCAGCAGATCCAGGTATGCTTGAGAGTGCCGTAGTCCAGGATGACTGCCAATGAAGGCCAAAAGAGGGCCAGGATGCAGAGGCTGAACTTCTTCATGAAACCCTTGAACGTCATGGTGGATGGACGATGAACGGATGATGAATGAATAGGTGTAAGGTGCACGAGGTATGTGAAGCGACCAGATAGTGGCTAAGATGGGGCAAAGGAATGACAAGACGTTCAGGGTAAGATGTCGAAGGTCGCCGGATGAATGATGAAGAAGAGTGGAGGAAAAGCTGAGGGAGAAGAAGTTTTGTGCTGAAGAGACTGGGACCCACCAAGGAGGAAGTGAACAGAGCAGCTGCGAGTATGTGCGGAAGGATGTCTGGCTGTGATGTCAGTGCACCCGACCTCGTAGGGGAAGGCTCTGCACGCTTGAGGAAGCTGGTGGCCTGCGGGCACCGAGGGGAAAATCCACAGCACGCACAAGAGCGACACCGTGGCACTGAACTGGCATGTACCAGTCCATGCCTTCGTCGCTGGACTGTGGGAAATCGCAAGAGCGGTACGAAGCTTACAGACAGATACGTCTAGCGAAGGCTCAAAGCAGAAAGGGCAACATCCCACGATCCTGGACACGCGACTCACCTCTACGATCTATGCTTGGATTTATGGCAGCGGCGTTGGAAGGGCTCTGAGTAGATGGGCAATGAGAACGGCGAGGAGGTCAGTGAGAAAGAGCGAGAACTATGCACGCGCTGTCGTCGGGAGCAGCTGCAAGTTAAGTGAATGAAAGCCGCCGTCGAGGTCGCTCGTGTTGCGGCTGAGTGGCTTGATCAGAGGTCAATCGAGGTGCCACCTTTCAACAAGATCAAACCGTTTACGAGCTGCGGTGCCAGGCGAGAGGTTGTGATACCAATCGGAAGGGTGAGAGCTTGGCTGCTTGCTGTTGTTTGATGTGTTGTTTCAAAATAGCTCCCCTGTGTTTCGTGTTGATTTGACGCGTCTACATCTTCGTTTCTCTGTACGTTGCACCACGTATTGCTCCGAGTCGATAAACATAGATCTCCTTCTAGCCGCAGCAGAACTCTGTTCCTGCAGTAGCTCGGACAACTTGCAGCTCAGCAGAGGAGCGAGTGTGCGATGGTCGCGTGAAGCCGTTTTGATATTGTTGGCGTCAAACGGCAGCCAAGACTCCCGCCGACATCTCCGTGTTGCCCCACCATCCCTCTCGCAACGCACAGGCTCGTATCAATGCTAGCAGAACATACCACTGCAACACGATAACGGCAATGGCAGAGAGTACGTTTACGGGATCTTTACCACATCCAAATCACACAATTGCTAACAGCACCAGATCCAGTATCCCCGCCCCCAGCGGCCGAAGCGTAAGCCCTCCCATCCCCATCCTCAACCCTCCGCTTACTCCCCTCCAGCGCACCCGCCATCACGCCCATAAACCTAATCCTTCTCTCCCTCTTCGCCATCCTCGTCTACCTCCGCCTGCGCCCCAAACCCCCCATGACGCTCCCCAAAGCGCCCGCACCTGTCGTCTTCCAGACCTTCACCCCACCAACCCTGCTCCCCTACAACGGCACCAACGGCCAGCCCGTCTACCTCGCCGTGCGCGGCCGCGTCTTCGACGTCAGCCCTGGCCGCAACTTCTACGGCCCCGGCGGGCCTTATGCGAATTTCGCGGGCAGGGACGCGAGCAGGGGCCTGGCGTGCGGGAGTTTCGACGAGGATATGCTGACGGGGGATTTGGAGGGGCCGTTGGATACGTTGAAGGATTTGGGAGAGGAGGAGATGGAGGCGTTGAGGGGGTGGGAGGAGCGGTTCAGTGAGAAGTATCTTGTTGTGGGGAGGTTGGTGCCGGTGGGGAGTGAGAAGGTGGCGGAGGGTGCGAGGGAGGGGGGCGAGAGTATCGGTCCGTGAGAGGTAATGAAAGATTGAAGTGGGATGCGGGCTGGGAAGGGTCGAGTGGTTTCCTAATGCATGCCAGGGCCTTGCGGCATGGAAATGTAATGAGGCGGATCCGCACTGTGGGCGTCATGCTATACAATTACGAAGCTCACGGCATCGCAAACATTGAACACTTAATACATTCGAGGTGGTCTGATATTTTGGTTGAAAACACAGTATGGCGTTGTACGCTAACTGGATCGTCGTTTTGTTCTACGTATACTTAGATGCGTGAGTGACTGAATCGACTATGCATCAAGTGCAGGAGCTTTATATACCAGAATCTATATTCATGAACTATTTCCAGCGAATTTTAATGCCTTCAACGAGGCTGGAGCAACATCTTCGATAGTGGCTCTTCAGGACTCTAGAAAGGTTTGCCGCTACGTGTACGAGTGTGATTACCGCTGCTATCTTCAGTATATACTCGAATGAATGACCGGAAGAATGAAAAAATTGCAGCCTGCTATACCGGTGTGCAATCCATGGATGCGGTATGATAGTTTAAACAGAGGAGTCGACCAGTGCGATAGACACGACGTGGTATATAAACTACTACACGGACTCACGTTCTTCATGTTTGGGCCTGTAGCTCAGTGGTAGAGCGCCCGCTTTGCATGCGGGAGGTCCAGGATTCGATCTCCTGCCGGTCCACTTTTTGCGCTTTTGCACGCCGGCATCATGAAGCAAACGTCTACCGTCCACTCTGGTGGGGTTGGAGGTGTTTGGAGCCTTTTTGGTTGGGTTTACGGAGATACACTCCGATTTGCGTTAGCATAACCAGTTTTCTTGGGGTTCGCAGTTCTGGGCTGGTATACACAACACTCGGAACATCAATCATGATAGGTTGTTGAGAAAGACCGTCTTCTGAGTACTAAGTTTTTTTTATATGCACTATGACTGCATGTGCTCATCTCTCATTCATACGATGCCTAACACAAGCCACAAAATCAAACAACAATGGATATTATGAGCACCCTTCCTCCGCATGATATGCCGGCCATCCTCTTTCGATCTGACAATGTTCTAATGTCCTTGCACTCAGGCTGATGGACTTAGCAAGCTGGCTCTCCTATACCATCACCACCCGCAATCTAGTTGTGTATATGCACCTCAGTGGTGCCACTGCGATGCCACGTAGCGAGTAAAACACCGCACTTGCCGCACTTATGCTGCACATCCTTGAGCGAGTTCATGAGATACGGAATGCATCCAAGGCAAAGGCAACAGCAGAGGCCGAGCGCCCATGCACTATCGCGAACGTCAGCATGACACGTTCACGCAACGTTTATTGGACACACGCAACGATGGTTACTTACTGTGTGGAATTCCCGACCTCGTACGAGGTTTGCGTCATTGAGCGCTGCCCGCAAGCAGGGCAGTCCGCGGGCGCAGCTGACCTGCCCAGCGAGGCAATGGGCGTCGCGTTCTGATACACGGTGCCGGGCTGCATAGGCTGCATTTGGTGTTGCTGCGGCATCATTTGCTGTTGCTGCGGCTGGAAGTATTGGCCTTGCTGCTGCATCTGAGGGGGCGATTGTTGCTGGTAGCCCATTTGCTGCATCTGGCTCTGGTCGTAGACTGGCTGGGTGTGTTGTGGTGACAGAGGGCTCATCGACTGCGGTGGGGGAGACCCGGTGTGGTAGACGGGTGGCTGTTGGAGGACCGTTTCCGGCTGGGCGGGATAGGTGGACATTTGGACTAGAGGAGCGTGAGTTCATATTCAGCAGTATGATTGAGATCAAGAGGACTGTGACGAGGATCTAGCACACAGGTCTGCGTTGCTGTGGACTCGAGAAGCAGTTTTACGCAGGAGCAAAGGCGACAGGCACAAGGCTCTTGATGAACACATTGGTAGAGAGAAGGATTGACATTCACATACCGTTCTGCTTCTCCATTTTGCACGCGTTGAGATCACTGTACAGATATTGACAGGTTTATACAGAATGGTAGATATGGCAAATACTGAGGTAGCTTCGACGATGGAGAAATCAATGACTGTTTTGGAGGCAACCTGACAAGGAGAAAGCAAAGACTTTATGAAACCTCACGCCATGCGGCTGAGCATCCCCAGCCCATGTGCGTGCCTTGAGGAAACAAGCCCCCATCGTCCTAAGATACGCCATTAATCTCAGCTGCCGAAGCCTCGTGCTTCAGGCTGAGGATTAGCCAATGGGGACGTTAGTAGAACTAGCGCGATGAAGTCTGGCTGCGGTCAAGATGCCTGTCCTATCTAAAAATACGGGCTTGGTGTTGTTGTTCAGATTCAGCTCGAGGGCCCTGTGCATCTATCCCAGACTCGGTCAACGCTCATTGGTCGTCGCGTGCTCGTTCCTGCGCACTGCCCGCAGGTACAGCAGGGCTCGGCTGCAGACCGTCAGGCATCAGCAGGCACCAGCCCGTGGAAGGCTGAATATCCTGAAGTGCGCAACGGGTTAGCCGCAGAGCGCTAAGGGGTAGAAACCATTGATTCCTGCACCTTAGGGGCCTTCTTGAGACAGGTTTAGGCACTCGGTTGAGATGAGACCTTCAGCTTTACACGTCCACGTGACGCTGAGCGAACCGCACTGCTGCGCTTCGATCGCGAACGAGGCTCAGCGTTCGAAGTCTATCTACACTAAAGCCCACGAGATGTCCTCCGGCTCGTTAACCAAGAAGCTAGAACTTGGCTGCGTATACTATTGTCAATTCTACACGAAATCCTAGGGGGGTTGGTTTACTCTCCCCCAAGTCCTGTTAAATGAATGTAGCCTTGCCAGACTTTCCAAATTGAAGAATTATCTATTACTGGCAGCGGCAAGACTGTGAGACCTTGTTTGTATTTGTCCTGGCCCCTAGACAGACAGTATACGCTTCCACAGAAGCACTCGTACTTGAGACTGCGCCAAGAGAGACCCGGCTCATGGGGCATATGAGGAGAAGTCCGCAATATCCGTTGTCTGCCAGAAGAGGGGCCTTTATCTTCCGGGAGTAGAGCCACACATCTTCACAGACAACGGCTCTTTAGAGAAACGTCAACATTTGTCGGTGTATGAAGCATGTGATCAAACTCAAGCAGCAGACGTGCTTAGGTTGCGGCAGGGCTTCAGTGAACAGCGCTTGCCAAATATAACACGGGCCGCAGAAAACTCCATCCTGAAGAGCGCGCATGAAGACATCTACGCAAGACGAGACTCAAAGCAGATGGCGAACAAGCAGATAGTAACAAAGGCTCGACCAAACCGCATGCCAATGTGGGACGCTGAGAACCAAGGGAGGTGATATAAGCAGTAGATGGTCTGCAGGCTCAATAGCCACAAAGCGAGAGCATTCAACGAAGGGACGAGGCCGGGGTTCCAGGTTGTTTTGAGAACCTCGAGAACTCTTGGCTCCACCCGTGCTATTCATACAAGACTCCCGATCCGGAAAACATTTACAATGAAGAGTGGAGAAGCGCGTGACAGCACAGTCTGTGTTGACGTGGACCAACTTGGTGGAGGGCATGCCAAAAGACCCTCTATCGCTGTAACGCGTTTCTTAATCTAAACGCCAACCCCTTAAACGCCGTCGCAATGCCGCTATCGACCAAGGTATTCCGGTATAATGTACTGAGCCGCGCTGAGAGAGGTGTGGAAGATGTCGGTGACACTAACGAGAGAGCATCGTTGCCATTCGGTTGTGTCGGTTTGAGTGCCGCAGCTCACTGGTGGCGTCGCATCAGGACACTTGCACCCTGAAGATCTCGCTACCGGTCCTTGTATACCTTTGGATTCCACCCCTCCTTCAGCTCTTGCTCTCTTGACGCCGTCTGCTCCGCCGTCCGCACCTCCAACTCTATCCGCTCTCTCGCCCGCAATATCTTGCTTTGTAGATAGAAGCTCCCCCCGTTCTTCGGATTGTTGAGGTCGAACAGCTTCTTGAACCTCTCCGTTACGCTCTCCAGGTCCGCCTTGCCTCCCTTAGGCGGTGCTACATTCAATATCTTGCACGCCTCCTCCAGTGTCAGGCCTGATGATGCAAAGGTCGTTGCGGATCCAGGATTGTTCGCTGAAGCAGCGGCATATTTCTGGGACGCGGCGGCTTGTCGCCAGGCTTCGGCAAAGGCTCGCCCGAATACTCGGCCGCCGGTGAGGACGATTTGCGAGATGATGCGGTGTGCCTGGGGCTCTCGTCAGTTTTTGCCTCCCTGTTGTTTGCTTCCTGCTTAGATGCGCTGGGGCCGACTTACCATGCTCTGAGAGAAGCACTCCAAGCAATCTAGTATCCAGGAGAGACTTGGCGAAAGAGTATGCGTGGGGAATGGTGTGGTTGATGGGATGGCGGCGACAAGAAGCAACAAAATCTCATGTCGGCGCATCTCGAACTCACTGCCGACAGCGATCACGTGACTGCTCCTCCAAGGTCAGCGCCCAGATGCGGGCAGAAGTGCTCCCCTCAAACCTCCGGCTGAAATCGCCCAGCCCACAGCCAGCAGCATGTCATTTGGGGGCCTGTTCGAGTCTCAGAAGCCGGGGCTGCGTGCGAGAGTCCTTAAGCACTGCGACACTGCGGCGTTGGGTCCCTTCAACCTCCCTTGAACGTCCTATCCGACTCTTCCTTTCACATGCCTGCCATGATCAAAGCCGAGCTACCGTAAACATCCCCACGCTGCTCTCAGCTCTGGAATTTCGCGCCAGGTCGAGCCTTAAAGACATCGCCGCGTGGATATTCGGAACAGAGTCTCCAGCAACTCGTCGTCTGCCCGCAGGCTTCCCCCAGAAACCGCCTGTGCCTGCCCGCATGGCAATGACGTTCGCGCATGGCCGCACTTGGCAAGACACCGTCGCGCTCTCCGCTATCATGAACTCTTCCTAACAGCCTGACCAGACACCCCTTGGCTAACTCACATGTCCTCTCCTCCGCGAAGCTCAAACGATGGACCTGCTCAGTCGGGCGGAGATCCCCATTCTCCGACCTACGCCGCCTTCTCGCCAGCCACCGTAGGCCACTACTCGGCGCTCAACAAACAGCGATCTACCATACTCGTCCATCAGAAGTCGCCTCTGCTCGTCGCTACGCCGCCTCAAGTCACTCGCACCCTAGCCTACTCGCACCCGTTCCTGCTGCCGTTAAACAAGCTCGCTGGATTGCTGTCATGGACGACGGGTGATCCTTGGGAGAGCTTCCTTCTAGTGGCTGTATTCTGGGCAACGACACTGTATGGGGATGTCGTCGTGCGGTGGGCAGGACCGATAGTGCTGGTCGCGTGTCTCATACTTGGGATGTACGGACGCAGATACTCGCCGCTATCCTCGACCGTGAACACAGGGGAGAAGGTGGAGAAAGGACACAAACGTGGAAACTCCGAGGCGGGCACGAGACATCACAAGAGCCTAGACGAGATCGTGGACGAGCTCAAGCTGTTCACTTCACGATGTAACATACTGCTCGATCCCTTCGTGAGATTGACCGATTTCCTCTCCACGCAGCGGACGGCTACCTCGGCCACAACCCGGCCTGCGCTGACTACCCTCTTCATTCGCATACTTCTCATCACACCCGTGTGGGTGCTCCTGACGCTGCCACCGCTCTACATCATCACTACGAAACGGGTCATCCTGACCTTAGGAACACTGGCCCTGAGCTGGCATTCTCGGCCAGCCAGGGTATCGCGAACCATCCTCTGGCGCTCACGCTTTGTGCGCCGAATCACCTCTAACATCACCGGTCTGGACCTCGGTGTGGAGGATCCCACCAGCAGCCCCGAAGCTCCTCCCCTCCCGCCTCGTCCGCGCGACGCCAACACCATAGCTGCGTCTCTAGCCGCTAAACGCACGCCCGAATCACCCGGCATCAGATTCACATTCACGCTGTATGAGAATCAGCGCCGCTGGCTTGGTATTGGCTGGACTTCCTCCATGCTCGCCTACGAAAGAGCGTCGTGGACGGACGAGCATCTCAACGCCGCTCCGAGCAAAGACCAGTTTCAGCTGCCCGATGTTGAAGGTGGACATGCGCGATGGCGGTGGGTCGAGGGCAGTGAGTGGCGCGTAGACGGTGGAGGAGATAGTAACGATGCCGACGGCGGTTGGATTTACTACGACAATAAGGTAAGGCGTACCTCGCAAGCCATCTCGTCCTGTGGTGATAACTGACACGTACTGCAGTGGCGCGACGGCCGCCGAGGCCAGGACGGCTGGGGCCGCTACACCCGGCGCCGCAAGTGGTACCGCGACGCCGAACTAGTAGAGGTCACGCCGTCCACCGAAACCACTCCCGCGCCAACACCGAAGCCGGGTACGGCCGGCGACGAGGCGCTTTCGGAGGCGGATACGGCGCATACGGACGGACCGCCGGCGGAGTATACGGAATCCATAGAAGATGAGCAAGACACGAACAGTACGAAGGCGCGCAAACGGCGTTGGTTTCGTCGGACGAGTAAACCGACCAGTGAGAAGAGCGGGACTGCGGAGAGCGTGGCGAGCGTGAGTTTGAGCGCGAGGGACGATGAGGAGGATGTGCATACGCCGTTCAGGTTTCGGGAGAGGGAAAGCGACTGGGGGATGGGAGATGAGGCGAGGATGGATTTAGGTTAATAATCTCGCACGTATCCAATGTTTCCGGTCCACTCAGGCTTCTGTTTCAGCAGCATCATGCCCTACACCTTATGTTGAGCTACGCATCGTCACGCGCGCCACCCCATGTCTTCAAGCCCTCCTCCAGCGCCCCAATCAGACTTCCATTTACCGCCTCCTCCCCAAAACTCACCCTCCTTGTCCACCACTCCACCCACCCCTCCGCCCTAACCCCGCCCTCCGCATCCAGCAACCCAACCGCCACATCCAACAGCCCCTCCCGCCCATCCCAAAACACACTCGCGCCACAGACGCCGCAAAACGCCCTCTTCGTCCCCGGGGAGCTCTCAAACGTTCTGATACTGCCGAAATACCGCTTGAACGGACTCCCGTCCTCGAGCGTGATGTTGGCGGTGGGCACGAACGCCCAGGCTACGAAGTCGAAGCCGGAAGCTAGACGGCAGGAACGGCAGGCGCAGGTGCCGGCTAGGAACTTGGTCCTGTTGGCGCGGAGCCACCAAGGTTCGTTGGCGGGATCTTCGGCGGAGGCGCCGGAGTGGTATGGCGCTGGGCCGGCGTCAAGGGAGTGGACGCTGGGACGCGAGATGGAGAAGGAGACGCCGTTGCAGTGGCAGTGTGCGTGGAGCCTGTCCGCCGGTTTAGCCTCAGCAGACGCGGCTGTGCCGGTGTGTCTGGACGCGCTTCGCCAGTTCAGTGGAGCCGCCTCGCTCTTCTCCTCGTCGCCGAGCCACCGGTCCTGCGCTCTACCCTCGATGGCGCGAAGCCAGTCGCTCGCGCCGCCGTCCCGCGTGTCGCCGAGCCATTCGTGCCCGACAGGCTGCACGATCCCGGCGGTTTTGTTAAGCACGCCGGTGCAGACGATCAGCCGGCCCGAGGCCCGCTCACGCACGAACATGTGCGTGCCGCATGTGCTGCAGAAGTAGCGCGTCAGGCGGTCGGAGCTGTCGTACGGCGTCAGGGTGGAGAAGTCTGGCGCCGGGTTTAGGTCCGGAGGGACGGTGATGTAGGTTGTGCAGAGGACGCCGGAGGTGTGGCGGCAGGTGGTGCAGTGGCAGAAGCGGGCCGGGAGGGGGAGAGAGGATGTGGGGAGCGTGAAAGGGTAGGTTGAGGTGCCGCAGAGGCAGGAGGCGGTTACGCTGGCGGTCGAGGCCATGCTTGCTGTAAAGGCTCCTTCTGACAGAAGGCTGACTCGGTAAGATATGAATGGGAATGCAGGGTGGATGATGATGTGATACGACTTCGACAATGAATTTCTAATGCAATACGATCCGACTTTGAAGCCCGACAAACAGTGTCTCCGTACAAGCACGGCGGGGAGATAGGCCCCAGAAATCTCCAGCGCCCAATTGCTGGCGGTTGCAGGCCTGGCCGGTCTAACAGATGCAAGTACTGAAGAGAAGTACTACGGAACTGTTCGCATGCCCGAAACTGCTGTCGTGTCAGAGCAGATCGGGGCCTTACTGGCATAAAACTTGCTCACCAGTGTGACAGGCTAGTTATTTCCGCCGTGGGGGCGCTGTACGTTGGTTTAAGATTTCAGGCTTCAAGTCGATGCATGCCCGATAGCCCAATCTGTACACACAGGACGTGGTGTTGATATCCGTGGCAGACCCTGACTGGGTGTTAGAGTGTCACGTGACGTTACGGATGTGCTTAATGGTCCTCCCGGGGAGCTTCCCTCGCATACACATTAGGCATTGACTGTAATAGCCTGTGACACTGGTTCACATACTAGTACCCTCCAAGTCAGCAGACTCCGATATACTTGCTCAACACATGTTGGAGATTCAAGGTGGCCTGCAGCTTTTTCGGAGCGACCATTCTAGGTTTACGAGTCATGATTGGCCGCACACGACCTGCGCTTTGCAGCACAGCCGCCCCGTCACGCGCATAAATGCGCTCAATCAGGCGCTGATCCCGCTCCTGCATGGTGGGGGGTGAAGGTAGTGAGGCGGGGTGGATAAAAGGCCTGAGGCCCTTCTTCTCCTTCCAAAACAAAAGCAACAAAGAACATCTTCCTACACAGACAACTTTCTCACCCCACACACACACGCACTCACAACCACACTCGCTCGAGTAACGAACTAATCTCCATACAACATGTTGGGCCCCGACCACACCTGCTCATGCGGCAGCACCTGCTCGTGCGGAAGCTCTTGCAACTGCGGGGTTAGTTCAGCACAGGATACAGCTATAGCTGCCAGAGCTGTTAAGCTAACATGCTCTGTGACAGAAATAAGCAAACCGAACCAATATTCTCGTTTCCTCCACCACCTGTCTCTCCCTATCTCTCTCTCGACACACGACCTCACCCTTCCGACACACGATCTCGGCCTCTTCGAACATCGGGGTCATCTTGCATTACGGACAGCATTTGTCATTTCGGACCTTGCTCTCATTGACTGGAGTCGATCCTTCTTCGGTGTATATGGGTTGAGCACGGCTGGGGAGCATATAGAAGAAGCCCATTGACTATGAAGGAGGAGACAGGGCGGCTGGTCACCAGCTGGGTGCTGCTTTGAGAATATAGCGACTAGAAATGAGCAAACGAGCTTGAGGAAACCTTTCTTTTCTTCCATAACTTTGGTGACACTACCGAAAAGTTATCCTAGCGGTCCGACCACGCCTCCCATGGTCAAATTGAAGGTGCAAGTCTGTCACGGATGAAACGGCATTTCGCACTTCAATGCTCTTCCATGGTTGTTTATCGTACAGAATTCCCAAGCCCCGTCCATTTCGTGATGTCACATCCGTCCTTCCATCGTTAACACAATTCGACAACCCGTTTAATGCAGTGAGGAGCAATCAGTGCTACACCCGGGGCGAGTATCTTGTCAGCCATGCCCTGTTCCCACGGCCTTGGATATCTAGTGTAGTGTGGGACTCACGCCGCAAGAGGAGCACTTGCAGTCTTTGCAGTCGCCGCCGCAGTTGCAGTCCTTGCAGGAAGTGCTGTGTCGTCGGTCATTAGATGCTGTTGCCATGAATGCACGCAGCAAAGGGAGCTTTTCTTAGGGATAAAGAACGGAAGCATACCAGTCGCCCATGGTGGATAGCGTAAGGTACTTGGTTTGGTCTTGAGGAAGTAGTTGCAGATCAATGCTATTGTTCGTAGTAGATTGTGAGAGTGCTAACAGGAAATGATCAAAAGAGGAGGCATCAGGCCCTCAAGTATGCCCTCCCACGTTTCACATGACGACCACCCCCCCAACGACACTTTGACGCAGCCTCGCGTCCTGCTGCACAGCTCGCAGGAAAGCTGGCCGGCAGTGGCAGTCAGCGGGGTGTCTGATGATCGGAAATGTGGAGAGGCCAAGGCAAAGCTGCCCGTAACTTGGACCCAAGGCAACGAATCGAATCCGCGTCCCAGCTGCGTGGGTGCTGGGTGGATGGGAGCTCTTCCCGTTCCCTATCCGACAGGGCAGCGCTATTGGGCCCAAGGCTCAGTGCACTTAGACGTTGCCGCATCTCTGCCGCATTTCAGTAGGAGAGGATGCGGCAATGACTAAGTGCACCGAGCCTTGGGCCTCCCGGGGGAATATGCATGCACGTGACAGCAGCGAGGCTGATGGAGGTGGTGCTTGGGATGCGGGAATTGGGCAGGCTGGAGGGACTATTGGTCGGGTTGGTAAAGCCATCGGGTTGCCTGACCAGTACGTTACGTAGATACTCCATAACCTGCTGAATCTTGGTGTCCATCTCGTAGTGTGATTACATATGGGGAGCTTGTCTCAAAGATCGCGGCGGAAGGTTCGGAAACGCTAAAGGAGTGAAATCATGGGGTGGTCACTCTACTGTCAATCAAGGTAGTTAGCTGTTGTCAGGTTGACTGACGACGTTCGATACAGTACGAAAGGCTCATGCTCCTGGCAGGGTCGCGCATCCTGCCTCAGGACGAAGCACATGCCAATCAATAGTCAAAAGATTGTCACTCCAACGTCCTTTCGAAGCGTGTCGAGCGCTGTGAGGTTAGTCACTCTTGCATCAGATAAGAATCGCTTTCCCACGTGACCGACCTGTGCCCTAGAGCGAAGCATAAGGACGCCTTCGACGAATTGCCTAGTGCTCCTAAACACCCATATATGCCCGGTCAAGCTCCAAGAGCGAAGACAAACATCTAGAACACTCACTCAGGCCGCAAGCACGTGACAAGAGTATGAAGGAGAACGACTGCCGGGACTGGAGTACCAAACGAACCTTAAGGCATTGTATCGCGGGCTCCTATGCTACGCCCATTCCATGCCCAAACCTTGCACGCAGGCAGTCTCTGTTATACAAAAAAGTTAAACGCGGTCTCCTTCTCCGCTGTATATAGTACAGACGGCACTCCCCGCCCATGCTTGAGAGAAGCAAACCTGGAACCGCTGCCACAGCACAAGCCGAGAAGCGGCCTGGCATTTTAGACCCGCTGAAAAGAGGCCGCTGGGAGCAGCGGCAATGACACACATAGTATTACCCAGATCAGAAGATGCAGAGAGCTGCAGAAGATGTAAAAGATGCAGCAACCCGGAGTTGCCTTTTTTCTGCTCTGGGAGAGAAATCCAGTCAACTCAATGATTGACCCCATTAACCATCTCGGTGTCCCCGTCAGCCAGCGCGGCAAGCACAGAGTACTGCCCGCCCGCGCCGGCATAGACGAGCTTCTTGCCACGGACAGCGGTGTTGTCGATGAGCGTCGCCACCTCGATATCATCGTCCGTGCCTTGGCCAGTCTGGTAGTTCGCGCTGAAACCCCAGGAATATGCCTTCCCATCCGTAGTAATCGCGATGGTATGATCAGTGCCACAAGTCGCTGTCTGTGCTTTGAATCCTGTTCGCGTCGTCAGTACAATGGTCTATCCTAAAAGGCCGAAAGCAAATGTGTGCCCGGGAAGACTTACCAGGCACCTTCGTCGGCACCTTCAATATCCTCCTCCGGCCATTGTGGCTGATGACCGACTCCTCCGGGAGTTCGTTGATCTTGAGTCCCGTCTGGTATCCATCCAGCCGGCCCCACACAAGGCAGTCTCCGCCCTCCGTAACGCCGACGGAGTGGTGCGCGCCACCCTTGAGCATCTTGAAGCCCTTCCCGCTGAGTTCAGTGACCGGCTCGGGCGAGATGATGACCGCGTTGCTCTCACCTGCGCCGTGGGTAATGCCTGTTTCGCCGAAGTTGTTCGCGCCCCAGGCGAGGACGCGGTTCTTGTTGTCGATGGCGAAGGAGTGGTAGTCGCCGCAAGCGATGTACTTGACGTTCTTGACTGCGCGAGTGGGGATGAGACCGAGGTGCTTGTTGCGCTCGACGATGCGCCGGCCGAGTTGGTTCTGCTGCCCGCTGCCCCAGGCGAAGACGTTGCCTTTGTTGTCGAGGGCTAGGATGTGGTTGGCGCCGCAGGCGAGGGAGGTGATGTTCTTGACGCCTTCGACAAGCGCGGGAGTGCGTTGGATTAGGATGTCTTTCGTGAAGCCGAAGATGCCTTCGTTGCTCTGCAAAAGATTTAATTAGCATTGACAGTTAGGCTGAGAGATTGAGAACACGACTTACCCTGAAAGTTCCCCATCCCCACACAAACCCATCGTCTGTAAGTGCAAAGCTCGTGCTGTCACCGGCAATAACTTGCACGAATTTGACGTCTTCCGGGAACGCCGTGCTCGGTATAGCCGCCGGTGTCGCTTCATGCGGATTCATGTCTGTCTCGCTGCCAGCATCGCTATCGTCGTCGCTGTCGTCTCCCCCCTCTTTCATGTCCTTCAATCCGCCTTCCCATGTTGTGTCGCGGCCCAGAGCCCCCTGGTCGTTCACACCCCACGTTAAGATCCGATTATCGTGCGTCAGCGCCACACAGTGCATGCCCCCCGTAGCGATCTGCACTACTCCGACCTTCTGCGCGTCTAAATTCGGATTGAGGCGCGGCCGCTTGACATCGATGGCCTTTTTGGATGTACCGAGCCCTAGCTCGCCGGACGAGCCTTCGCCGAAGACAAAGACGTGGAGTCGCTGGGTCGGCGCGGTATTGATGATGTTCTTCGGGGTGACCTTTGCCGGCTTGGCTACTGCTTTCGCCTTTTTGATGGGACGCGCAGCGGGCGATGCGGTCCGCTTGCGCTTCGTCGGCTTGGACTCGTCTTCGGTGGGTTCTTCGTCGGGTGTCTCTGCTTTGCGCTTGCGGCCGGGTTTCTTGGGTTGAGCTGGAGGGGGAAACGTTAGCTCTGCATGCCACGAGCGCGCGTGGGTGATGTTGGCTATAACGATACCGCTACGAGGCATCTTGATATCGCGACTGTAGAGGCTACAGATGTTCTGGATGTAGGTGGTTCTCTTACCCTTTACAGCCGCCGTAGCCTTGGTCGCCTTTGGCTCGGCGTCCGCCTCTGGCATCTTGCGCGGTCTGCCTCTCTTGGGCGCCTCTGTTGCTCCATCCGCTTTTGCGGGAGCCTCGCGCGCAGCAAGCTTTTTTGTCGTGTTGGCTTTTGCGGCAGTAGGTTTCGCAGCTTTGGCCGGTCCTTTGGCTTCTTCCGTGATGCTTTCAGCCGCTTGCGCAGCAGCTTTCCTCACTGGACGCGCCATGACTTGAACGTCGTGTTTTGAGGGTGCTCCGAGGAACGAGTGATGTAAGGGGTGATGCTGAAGTATTTCGAGGCAATGCAGCAGAGATACGGGTGCCCGGAGTTGTGAATAGGAAGAGAGCGGCGAGGAGTGTTTATTAGCCTGCGTCAGTAGCGACGAGGTTTAGTCACAAGATGGACAGTGAATTCGAAGGAGTAGAGTGACGGCGTGCTGGCGCCTTTTTGTTGTTTTGATCCATGAATGCAGCGAATCGCGCTACAGAGCGTGCGGTGACCTCAGCCGCACTCCAGACCCGCGGTTCTACCGACGAGCCGCAGCCCGGAGCTTCCCTCGCGCCAAGCCTGTCTCGAGATCAACTCCAGGCTACGGTCTGCGAGCACTGTCTACTCGGACTGTATACTCGGACTGCTACTGTAATCTATCTTAAATGATCCCAGCATGATAGGTCCAGCGCTACTCCTGTTGGCTCTTGTTCCATGCGCTTTTACCGCCCAGCCTGGAGCTCCGTCTCCTGTAGCCGCGCCGCTGAGGGAGCTGCAATGGGCCCAGCTCAACCTGCTCCAAACTACGGATACTCATGGCTGGCACGGCGGCCATCTGCAAGAGTAGGTGCTTGAAAAGCCCGAGACTGAAGGGTGTAAACCGAACCAGACCTCAAATATCTCAACCATGTCAATCTATACGTGCCCTGCCATTTTGGGGCAGTGCAGCCGCTTCTAAGTCAACCCACCGTGGCATGTTTCTCAGGCTACAGCGTAGCGCCCTCACCTCTTCTATTCACCGTTGATATCAGAGATGGCATTAAGCTCCTCGACTGACTGGCGCCAGGCCATCGTTCTCCGCTGACTGGGGAGACTATGTATCATTTGCCAAGCATATGCGTGACAGAGCCGACGCTGATGGCTCCGATTTACTTCTCATCGATACTGGTGACAGAGTAGAAGGCAACGGGCTATATGATGCTTCAGAGCCTAAAGGCTTGTACACTTTCGACATATTCAAGGAGCAAGATATAGATGTGATCTGCTCTGGTAACCATGAACTGTATAAGCAAAATTCATCGGAGAATGAGTTCCACATAACGGTTCCAAACTTCAAAGGAAACTATTTGGCTTCGAATCTGGATATCTACAACCCTGAGACTGAGGAATTCGAACCGCTTGCTCCTCGGTTCAAGAAGTTTACTACCAAGAATCAAGGCATCCGTATTCTGGCCTTCGGCTTCCTTTACGACTTCGCCGGCAACGCGAACAACACCATCGTCCGCACAATCAAAGACACTGTCAAGGAAGATTGGTTTCAAGAGGCCATTCGTGACCGTGATGTCGATCTCTTCCTCATTATCGGCCACGTACCTGTGCGCTCGCCAGAGTATACCTTGCTTTACAAGACTATCCGCGCCGTACAATGGGACGTGCCGATCGCCTTCATCGGCGGCCACACGCATATCCGAGACTATACGACATACGACCGCAAGGCCGCCGCGCTTGAATCCGGTCGTTACATGGAAACCATCGGCTTTATGTCCATCGACGGCCTCAGTACTGACGGATCTAACGGCATCGCTCCAATGCCCGCTAAGAAAGGTATTACCTTCGCGAGACGCTACATCGACAACAACCTCTTCTCCATGTACCACCACAGCCGCAAGAACGAGTCCACTTTCCCAACCGAACATGGCCGCAATGTGTCCGCGCTCATCGCATCCTCACGCAAAAGTCTGGATCTCGACAAGCTCCACGGCTGCGCCCCTCGCGACCTTTGGGTAAACCGGGCCCCGTACCCCAGCGACGCCAGCATCTTTACCTGGCTCGAGGAGTCCGTGCTGCCGCAGCAGCTCAGCGCTTCCACCGAGCGCGAAGGCAGGCCCGCGCTCGCTATCACGAACACCGGTGCGATGCGCTTTGATATCTTCAAGGGCGCCTTCACGAAGGACTCGACTTTCCTGGTCTGCCCCTTCACAAGCGGGTTTAGATACGTCAAAGACGTGCCATACGAGGCCGCAAGCAAAGTGCTCAATCTGCTTAACCACCAGGGCCCCATCATGCAAGAGGCGGAAGAGAAGCACGGCCTGCGAAGCTGGATGCTCGTGCCGCCTGAGCAGGGCTTTGCACGACCGGAATTTATGCCAGCGAACAACGAAGAACGGCGTGTGCGTGGTGCGGGACAGCAGATTCCTCTCGCCGGAACCCGAGGCGAGAAGCTTGAGCTTATACCGGGCTATACTACGCGTGATGATGCGGGCGACGATGGAGACGACACGCTCCATTCGAAGATCGCGTTTTATAACGTGCCGAATTGCATCCAGGCGCCTGTCAATTTCCCCAGCAGGACTGCGGATGGGGTACTGCAAGAGCCGGAGAGCGTGGATCTGATCTACAATGAGTTTGTCCAGGCGTGGGTGCTGACGGCGCTGAAGTACTTGGGAGAAGAGTACTCGAGCGATGATACGGAGGCGTACATGAAGGGGAAGACCTTCACGGACGTCATCACTGATTGGGTATCTGAGAATTGGGGTACGGATGGGGAGGACTGTCCGTAAGTGGTGGACAACCCAATCGTTATATTCTAAATTAGCGACCATGTGGTGCTCCTTGGTTCCCATGTCTGTTTGCCGAAGCTCAAGGACCTCATACGTCAAAAACCTTGTTCGTGAGCCACGTAGCAAAACCCTTCTTCAACCAGCCTTAGAGACATCCTTCAGGCTCTCTCACGAGGGATAGCAGAGCTGATCTCCCTTACTGGACCACGCTTGACGCAACACGCCGCTTTCTCAGCCGGCAAACCCTAAACACAAGCAGACGATACGAGTCACTCATCCACTTTGCTCCTACACCCAAACTCCCCCCTACGTCCCCCTCACCCACCCCAAAACCCCCCCACAAAACCCCACCAACTCCCCCAACCTCTCCCTCTCCCGCCCCTCCACATCCCTCCACTCCCTCACCGCCCCAACCAGTCCCTCATCCGCGCCCACCACATCCCCATGCAGCCGCAAAAATACCGCCATCCACGCCTGCACGAGCTCATAATCCCTCCTTCGCCTCAACCGATCCGTAAGCGCGGCAACAAAGGTCACGAGCTCCGTGTACGGCGGCGCTGGATCCAGGCTGCGGATCGCCAGGTCCGCTGCTGCGGGCGAGAGGGTCTTTAGATGGGTTATTAGGGGCTCGTAGGAGAGGGTTTGGGAGGCTGTGGCCAGTAGCGCCGTGAATGGGTCGTCGGTGCGGGCTAGGGCGTTTTTAGAGAGGCGGGATAGGGAGGAGGAGGAGGGGTTTGGGGTGCCGTTGTTGTTGGTGGTGAGGGCGGTGCTAGAGGCGGTGGCAGGCGTGCCGCTCGCTCCGTTCTGCAGCGCTGGGAGGAAGAAGGGCGCTCTCTCCGGCGGCTTAGGCGGCTCCTTCGGCCTGTTACGCTCGCGGATAAGGTCGAGGTTCAGGAGGGTCTGCCACCGTGGCCGCGGGACGAGGCTAAGTGTCGTCATGGCTTCACTGAGCTGGTCTATGGTAGGCGCGGCGGTCTCGTCTGCCTCGCCTTCGGATACATCCTCACCGTCTTCTTCCAGTGCTGCATTGCCGGCCGATTCACCGCCTTCGCCTGACGCGGCGGGCGCATCGATCTCGACAATCTCGGCATCGCTGATCTGCCGCGTCGGGACGTGTGTGAAGAGCGTCCGGTTCGTCCAAACGTGCACGCCTACGGTGTCTTCTTGGGCCATGGCGAGGTACTCGCCTGTGTTGGAGAAGGCGAGCGCGGTGCATTGACTCCGTGTTCTGATTGCGTCAATAAGATGGCCAGTCGGTAGGTCCCACACACGCACAACGGAGTCGGATGACGCGGCTATGATCCAGCGGCCGTCATTTGAGAAGCAGAAGTCTGTGATACGGCCTGAAGCGCCCCAGAGCTCGCGGACGAGCTTCTTAGTGTCGATATCGATGACCCGGATGGAGGAGTCGTCGCAACTGAGGGCGATGAGATCGCTAGGTCGGTGGTAGCGCAGGCCTGTGATGCTTGTCATGGGATACCAATCTATTTCGTGGAGCAAGAGTCCGGTTGCAAATTCCCAGAACTTGACTTTGCCGTCGGCGCCACAGCTAACGACAGTCCGGTTGAGGCCATCCACGGCAATGCCGGTCACAGCTTTGGTGTGTTTCCCCTGGCCTCTGGAGAACTTCTTTTGCCCTTCGAACGTGCCATCGTCGAGCGGCTCCTCCGTTTGCTGTAACTTGAGCTTCTGCGCTTGTTTCGGCGTGAGGCGAGCGGGAAATCTTTGCCGATGGATACCTGACTGCAGATTGAACATGTCTATTCCGCCCGCCGCAGAGCCAACCAGACCAAAGGTACCACAAGGCGAGATGGCCACGCTGCTGACATTCGCCTGGTCACCCGTTTCGAAGGCCCACCGGCCGGCCCTTTTCCTTCCCCAAAACCAAGTTCGAGCGAACTTGTCCCCTTCATGGCCAGTAATGACGCTTTCCCAACCGGTGCTACCGCTTTGCTCAGTCGTCGCAGATCCCTTGCTCTTGCTGGCACTGCTCCATATCGAGGTTGCGCCAGGTGTAGCACCCATTCCGCCGTCGCGGTTCAGCGAGCAAGCCATGCAGGTGATCTTAGGCGCCTTCAAATCCTCAAGGCTAGTGCTGCTGTCTAGCGTGGCTAGACCGCTGCTAAGGATGCCGAGCTTCCTCGCCTTTTTCCTAATGTTGCCTTGGCTGAGCTCTGTGCTCTGACCGTCTCGCCGTAAGCTCCAGCCCCAAAGACTGCGGTCTCGGCTGGCACTGAGTAGCCACTTGCCGCCGGTGTCTGCACCGTCTGCATCCGAGGGTAGGAACTGCAGGGTCGACACAGGAGCAGCGTGACCGCTACGCGAATGCAAGATATGTGGGATGGGCGAGAACGGAGTCTCGTCGAAGATCCACGACTTGAGTGAGTTATCCAGACCGCTGGTAAGCAGGACCGCTTGGCCGGCGAGGAACTCGACCTTGCTGATGCCGCCGGCAACACCGCCATGCGCCGAGGGAGGGTTGTGCGCCCCGCGGAGAATCCCCATTTTGCGGCCGCCTCCGTTGAGGTCCCAGAATGTTACATCTCCGGTTGTCTTGGTGGCAGTCGCCATAACGCCGGCCTTCTGCCCATCATCGCCAGCGCCGAGGCCGTCGGTGCGGAACGAGATTGACGATACAGCTGTTTTGCTACCTGAGCCGCTGTTAAGACTGATAATCTCCTTGTCCGTTCGGATGTTGTGTATGACAACAGCACCTGACGCGTAGGCGATGGCGAGCAGAGATAGTGTCGGCGTAGGCTGGAGGGCAGTAACAGAGCCATAGTCGGAGGCGGCCGGAAGGATTGTGTACAGGAGTTTCCCGGTGCTCACGTTCCATATCTCCACACTTCCGTCCTGTCTTCCCGCGAGAATCTTGTTTAGATAGGTCGGCATATTGCAGATGCCGCCGGTGAGGAGGTTTCCAGACCCGCCATGGCGAGAGAAAGGAGCGGTCAGGGTCGTATAGTGCTCCAGAGTCGTGGATTTCCAGACCTCGATCCTGGTCGAACAGCACCCCACTATCCAGGCGCCAAACACCAGCAACTGGTTGATGTTTTCGTCGAGCCCTTGGGGCAATTCAAGCTCGTCCACCTTCTTCCCACGCTTGAACGACCAGATGCCCCGCCGACTTCCAGGCTCTTCTCCGCCCCATGGTGCTAAGACCATGTCTCTCCATGCAGTCGTAGCTGTGATGACTTCCGGGGTCTGCGGCCTGGTCAGGAAGACCAGGTTCAGGCCCTTCTTTAGGTCGTATGTCTGTAGGCATCTTCCGACGGAGGTGGTGATCTGGAAGGTGGTCTTGCCGAGTGGAACGGTGGTAAAAGGGACGTCGGTCGGGGAGACGAGGCCTACTGTCTGAGGAAGTCAGCATCGCTCACCTTGTGCAGAGTGCTCTTTCCTTCACCTACTCGAAACGGCGCAAATATTCGTGATCTTCCTCCGCGCCTCACACCGTCCTTGCTCTCCGCTCCTCTGACTTCACCTACACCGAGCTTCTGTCTCTTGACTACCGGACCATCCCTTATCGGGCGAACAGCAATAGCCGTCGGCATACTGATTTCTTACGGGGAAGATTCGCGGTGCAGCAACTCTCATCCACAGCTTGCGCGAACTGGAGAGCTTCAGAAAAGAGTTTGATCTAATCAGATTTCGGAACATCGCCCTGGGCCGCCTGCCCTGCCCCTCGGCCTAGTGTGACGTCGCAGGCCATCTGCGGCCGCAACCCTTGAACCATGCATTTCAAAGAAACCCATCCAAACTGTCACCATTGTTTGCCGGACGACGAGGGAGATACAACAGATTGCACTCCCGTTGCCCCCGTTGCTCCCATGGATCCTCTCGAGCTCGCACGAACCACTAGTGGAGACAGCGCCAAAAGCAACTCGACAACACTCTCCCTCTCTGGCGCTTCTCCACCATCCGCCCTGCGAAAAGGCCGTGCCGCGGAGCCAGATACCAGCGATGGCAATGTCGCAAGGGCTAGCCTGTCCATGCCTCCCCCAGCGTCCAAGTCCGTGCCACAGCAGTATTTCGACAGGCGGCCCTCTAGAGCCTGGGAGCCAGGCGAGAGACCAGCAGCAGAGAGGAAAGCGGCAGAAAAAGCACAGTCTGATATCCGTGGCATGGTTCCGGCGCCCGGCTCTGCCATTGACGATACGGACATCACACCTACCATAGAAGGTCTTGGCAGTAAATGGTTATCCTCAGCTTCGCTGAGACTGCCTGACTCCGCCATTGACTCTTCAAAGTCTGATAGCGGCATTGAATCTAAGCGGATGTCCTTCTCCTCTCTCTACTCCCTTGGCTCGGCAATATACAACGGCGCGGTAGGAGCAGCCGCAAGTGCACCTAGCTCTGTCGCTGGCTCCGAGCTAGATGGTAAGTAGCCGTACTCTCTCCGGTTGTCCGTCATTGTGAATTGCTAATGCTGAGCCCAGCTAGGCCAGAGGTCCCCGTCAAGCCAGAAGTTCTTCCAACTGCCTCGTCTTCCCTCTCCGTTACCACGCGCACTCAAAATGGAGGGCTAGGGCTTTCACCGCTAGAGAGCCTAGGGATAGGTGCCCAAAGCAATGGGCGTATACAGCCAGCCCTGCCCTCACCCGGCGAAATTCCTTTGGCTGCATCACCGCAGCCTCTGGTAAACGGAATGTCCGCCTCTCGGCAGCCCCCGGCAAGGTCTCGAAGTAGAACCAGAGCAACGAGGCGGATAAGCACTGGTACTGGCTACAACAGCAGCGCAAGCCCGGCCAGTGAACGGTCAGCCGTCAGAGAAAGCAAAGAGGCCGATAAGAAATCCTCCATGGGCATTATCGGCGTTTGCGCTCTGGACTCCAAAGCTCGCAGCAAACCGAGCCGGAACATACTCAACCGACTCATCTCGAAAGGAGAATTTGAGGTCATCATCTTTGGTGACAAAGTTATACTGGATGAGGATGTCGAGAATTGGCCCATTTGCGATTATCTCATCTCCTTCTTCTCTGAGGGATTCCCGCTGGACAAGGCTATCGCGTACGCCTCGATGCGAAAGCCGTTCTGTGTCAACGACATACCTATGCAGACGGTCCTCTGGGATCGACGCATCTGCCTGATGATCCTTGACGCGCTCAACGTGCCGACGCCGAAGCGTGTTCAGGTTGATCGTGATGGTGGTCCAACTTTGCCATCACCCGATCTAGCGAAATCGCTCTTCGAAAGAGCAGGCGTAAAGCTTCAAGGTCCGGAGGATGGCACTGGCGGTGGCGTACCACCTCCACAAACCATCGAGATGCTTGAGGATGGCGATGTCATCTCTGTCGACGGAGTACAGCTCAGGAAACCTTTCGTTGAGAAACCTGTCAGCGGTGAGGACCACAACATCAACGTCTACTTTCCGAAATGTCAAGGCGGCGGTGGCAGAAGACTGTTCCGGAAAGTGAATAATAAGAGCTCGGAAATGGACGCGACACTTACTGTGCCTCGGTCCATCACGCAAGAAGGTAGCAGCTACATCTACGAGCAGTTTCTCCTTGTAGAAAACGCCGAGGATGTCAAGGCATATACCGTTGGGCCAGAATACTGTCATGCTGAGACTCGAAAGTCTCCCGTGGTGGACGGTCTTGTCAAGCGCAATCCGAACGGAAAAGAAATCAGATATGTCACCAGCCTGAATGAAGAAGAGTCTGTGATGGCCGCGAAGATAACGCAGGGCTTTGGACAGAGAGTGTGCGGCTTTGACCTCCTACGTGCTGAAGGGAAAAGCTACGTCATCGATGTCAACGGCTGGAGCTTCGTCAAGGACAACAACGACTACTATGACAAGTGCGCGAAGATCCTGAGGGAGATGTTCATCAAAGAGAAACAGAGGCGCGAAGGCAAAACCACGACGCCTGAAGGCGGCGAGCAAACTTCTGAGAAGGACCGTCCATCGTACAGCCGCAAAACGACGGTGACGCACCGTGCTGGCTTGAGAGGCATCCTCAAATCTCCCAGCATGTCCAAGTTGAATGGACAGCTCCCATACAACCGGGCGAACGGCGCGGCATCGCCCGACTTATCCACTGGCATGACGCCTCAAACCTCACCACCGAGCCTGGACAAGCCTCTCGCAAGCGATCAGCCATCTGCGCCACTCGCTCAGTATGACGAATTGCCACCTTCCGTGGCTTCAGACAGCATCGATGAACATGCTGACATGCCTGCTTCGACCCCGCCTGAGGAATCCGCTCCTGTTCCTCCGCCTGCTTCCAAGGCCCAATGGAAGCTCAAGGGTATGGTGTCCGTCATCCGACATGCCGATCGGACCCCAAAGCAGAAATTTAAATTCACCTTCCATTCAAAACCTTTCGTGGATCTTCTGAAGGGACATCAGGAAGAAGTCCTGCTGATAGGCGAGCCAGCCTTGAACAGTGTCCTCGACGCTGTGACGAGAGCTGCCGAAGAAGGTAGCGAGGATCGCGACAAGCTCAACACTCTGCGTAATGCGCTTCTCAAGAAGGGCGGCATGTTGGGCACAAAGGTACAGATCAAGCCAATGTTCAGGAAGAGAAGGAAAGACGAGCTTCCACCGGATGCAGCCTTCGAGTCATCCCCTGAGCGGGAAAAGCACGAGGACAAGCACCTATCCTTGGGTCTCAAGGACGGCAGGCTTGCCGACCCTTCCGAACGCGGGAAGGACGCGCCACATGAACGAAGCAACTCCATGGTCGGCGTAACGCTCTCTCGCATCTCAGCGGCGGAGAACAACCTCGTTCTCGACAAGTTACAGCTGGTTCTGAAATGGGGTGGAGAGCCCACGCACTCAGCACGTTATCAAGCGCAAGACCTTGGCGATAATCTGCGGAACGACCTGCTCCTGATGAACAGAGAAATTCTGGACGATGTGTCGGTGTTCAGTAGCTCGGAGCGTCGTGTCACCACGAGCGCGCAGATCTTCTCTGCATGCTTCCTGGATCGGAAAGAGCTGCCGCCCGACTTCATCACTGTGCGAAAGGATCTACTGGACGACTCCAATGCAGCCAAGGATGAGATGGACAAGGTCAAGAAGAAGCTCAAGGTCCTGCTACGCGAAGGCAACAAGGCACCAGCGCAATTTGCGTGGCCGAAAGAGAACATGCCGGAGCCCTTCATTGTCGTCAAGAAAGTTGTCGAGTTGATGAAATTCCACCGGAAAGTCATGCATCATAACCTCAACAAGCTTCGTTCTGGCGCCGCGTCGTCACTTGCAGCAGTGGCTAACTCCGCTGCTGCTGAGACCGCAAGCGGAAAAGGCAACACCACTGGAGCACTCTCTCAAGCGCAAGCAGTCTCCGCAATTCAGCCACGCTGGTGCTGTGGCGAAGACCCGGAACTCTTCAAGGAGCGGTGGGAGAAGCTGTTCAAGGAGTTCTGCGATGGCGAGAAGGTTGACCCGAGCAAGATCTCCGAGCTTTACGATACCATGAAGTTCGATGCCCTGCACAACCGGCAGTTTTTGGAGTGGGTCTTCACGCCGAGCGCAAGCATATTAGATGAAGAGAGCCTCGCAGATGCTGCCTCAGACGCTCCCTCAGTCGGGGAAACACCAAAATCAAGCCAGCCACCCAGTCCTGCAGAGATGAAGGCAGTGTCAAAGGAGGCATCGGGATTGGACAGAGGCAACATCGCACAGCGCATGGGTCTCCGCCGGCGGTCGGAGGTGGCTGCTCCGGTCAAGACGAACGCGTACCACGACTCTTACTTCACGCTCTTCACAGGCATGGGTGCCGGATGTCAGACCAGGTCCAAGACGGACGCGCGGTTAGAAAAGTTGCGGGAGTTGTACCAGCTCTGCAAGGTCCTCTTTGACTACATTGGCCCCCAGGAGTACGGCATTGCGGACAGCGAGAAGCTCGAGATCGGCCTGTTGACTTCGCTGCCGTTATTGAAGGAGATTGTCCAGGACCTTGAAGAAGTACAGGCGTCGGAGGGGGCCAAGTCATTCTTCTACTTCACCAAGGAGTCGCACATTTATACCCTGCTCAACTGCATCCTTGAGGGTGGTATCAAGACGAAGATCGAGCGGAATGCTATCCCGGAGCTTGACTATCTGAGTCAAATCTGTTTCGAGCTGTACGAGAGCCAGAACGCGACGTCGGAAGATGAACCGAGTTCCTTCAACTACAGCATCAGGATCACGATCTCTCCCGGCTGCCACACATTCGATCCGCTTGATGTGTACGTTCTTCTCTACTATGCTCCTGTCCTACAAACAAACTGACATTTTGCAGGCAACTCGACTCAAAACACTGCATCGGCTTCGCACCTCGGCGGAGCCTGACAGCCCATCATGACTGGAAGGAGGTGCTGGATACTTTGCGGGCAAAATTCAATACGTAAGTTCGAGAGTGTTCGCCCTATGGACCGTTTCTAACGCATTGGTAGTGTCAAGCTGCCGAAGTCTTTTGTCGCCATTAACCTGTCCGAAAAGGTACCGCAAGCATTCGGAGATGCGCCGGCTGATGACGAAGGGGAAGATACAAGCGGAAAGGATGCTCAGACCATTGCGGATTAGAGGATAGAGTCGAGCCTTGTGACAAGTAGAGGGAAGAAGCATGATTGTGACATTCTCTAGAGACCTGAGCATGGTGGTTAGCGTTGCTGCATTACTGCGTGAAGCATTAGGAGTAAAGCTGGGAGGATTCATCTTTCAATTGCACGTCTACAGCATTGGTCTAGCGATTTCTCAGTGTTCCTTCGTTTGTACACGGAGTGAAAATGTGTCTTCCAATACCAAGTCCATTCGAAACTCCGAGGCATATGGAGGTTGAAGTACAGATATTATAAGCCACTCAACGAGTTGTGATTGAACTGACTAGAAACGAGCGTCCATATCTTCCAAGTCCTGCTCGTCTTCTGACTCCTCTGACTCCTCTGGTTCCTCTTTCCGCTTATGTTCCACCTTGTACAAGCGCTCCGGCAGACTCACGGGACCTTCACCACCAGCATCCAGCTCACTAGCTTGCGCAGGCGTCAATTCCACCACCATAGGCGCATACTCACCACTCTCATCATCCTCCTCATACCCACTCATCTCCATCTCAACCTGCTCCCCATCCTCCAACTCCAACATCCCCCTCCTCACAAACGCGTCCTCAAACTCCCACCCAAACTCCTGCCTTAAATACTCTTCCAGCTCCTCAAGCTCCTCCACAACATCCACCTTCCCCCTCCCCTCCATCTCCTCCAACCCTTTCCTAAACCGCCTCACCAGCCCCCTCAACAGCCCCGCCCCCTCCTCCCGTAAATCAAACAGCCCGCCCTCCACATCCCCACAATGCCGCAGCTGCAGCTGCAGAATCCCGATCGCGCGAACGAAGAACTGGGGACGCTGGCTCACGGCCTCGATGCACGTAAACAGCAGTCCCAGCACCCGCTTCCACTGCTCGAGACACGAGTGGTTATTCAGTGTCAGCACCATCAGGAAGCTGAACTGCAGCTCTCCCAGCACCTCGTTCTCGTCGCCGCCGCAGTGCGCAGCGATCAGCGAGGAGAGGTACCAGCTCCGATCCTGCGCCGCCTGGGTCCTCTCCCGCCCCGTTGCGCCCGCGCGCCAGGTCTGCTTCAAGTCTACGGGCAGGAAGCCGAGCTCCTTCTCTGCGAACCCGCTACCTCCATCAGAGGAAGAGGGCAGGCCGGGGATGTCGTCCACATCGACCTTCGCGGAGCTGGCGGAGGTGAGACTCCAGTGGTCGGGCGTCTCGCCTGTGATGCGGGTGAGGAGGGCAGGCGTGATACAGGCCGTCAAGCGGGCCCAGTCGTTCGTTTCTTCTTCGTCCTGGTCCTGCGTCGCGGATTGGCGATACGGTGTCAGGCTGTCGCGGTAGATGGATCCCAGGTTCGCGCGCCAGTGGAGGAGGGCTGTGGGCGAGGTTTCGGGGAGGAGGGTCTCGGTTGCCGAGTCCCATTTCTTGATGAAGAGTTCCGGTCCTGATGGTGACGACGGAGAGGTTGAGGAGGAGCCTTTGACGCGGAACCAGGCGCCGTGTCGGACGGAGAGGGATGATGTTGAGGACGTGAAGACGAAGTGCCAGCCTGGAGGTAGGTTTTTAACGCCGTAGAAGCGGGGGGTGGTGGTGAAGGAGAGTAGGTTGATGCCACCGAGGCAGGGGTGAGGTAGGTTGAGCAGGAGGACGATGGCTTGGTTGGTGGTGTCTTCCATGTTTTTGGACGCTATTTAGAGGTGAACTTGGATGCTTCCTCCTCGTTCCGGTCCCTATCAGCTGGACTATTGAATGTTTTGAGGGCTATGAATATCATGCCGGTCTGGAATTATCGTTCTGCCTAGACGTTATTAGGGTCTTTTCACGTAACTATACGAGGGTGGTTGTAATCCTAAATCAAGGGGCTTGATTCAGCCTAGATCAAGTTGAAAGCTATGTTTGATGAACCCAGGGTCCTTTGGAGAGTAAGGGTCTGCGGTTTGATGAGCTTGGCCCTATCCCCAGAAAGCGAAGGCAAAATAATTCGACCTCAGCATTGCCATGGATACCTAGGTGTGGTCGCATACATGGTATCGCAAGCGCAATGCATGGGGAACAAACATGGGTAATTTGGCTGTGCTGATCGTTGTACTAGTAACTTGTTTGAGCTGGCAGTGATTTGTATTCGATTTCGGCAGCTAGAGCATTGCATGAACAAGGGCTGATGCCTCGTCAAGTTCTCTTCAGACGCTTGAGCTTGATCCCGTGTTTATGTGACAAGTTATGAAGATGGAGACCAGGCGCAAGCCGTCCTCCGCGTAATTGTCAACAACCCATGAACCAAGAACAGATACGGTTTCACCAGTAGCAAACTATAGACGACGACCACGGCGACCACCCTTCCTGCGCGTAGAGTCGGATGGGGTGGGTGTGACATCCTCGATACGGCCGATCTTCATGCCAGCACGGGCCAGAGCGCGGAGGGCGGATTGAGCACCCGGTCCGGGAGTCTTGGTGCCGTTACCTGCACGGGTCAGCTTTGGAAAGGTAGCTCGAAACAAGAGTCAGCACATACCACCGGTGGCCCGGATCTTGACATGAAGAGCAGTAATGCCCAGTTCCTTGCAGCGGGCCGCGACGTCCTAAAGCTGTCAGCATCTTACTCAATGAGGCAGTAGCAGGTGCGACGAGAAAATACCTGTGCAGCCAACATAGCAGCGTAAGGGCTTGACTCGTCCCTGTCGGCCTTGACCTTCATTCCACCAGTGACTCGGCTGATGGTTTCACGGCCTCTGGAATCACCCAGTTTGTTAGCCTAACCAGCCCGAGCAATCATGTTCCTCGGTCCTAGTGGGGGTGCCGCTACACGTACGAGAGATCGGTGACATGGACGAAGGTATCGTTGAAGGATGCAAAGCTACGATAAATTAGCACAGGGACGAGACAAGACCGTTTCGGGGGTATGTACATGCGAGCAACACCGAAGACGAGCTCGCCCTCGCGGACTTGGGGGCCCAGCTGGACGTTCTCTTGCGCGCCGCGCTCGACCTTCTTCTTAGGAGGCTGAATCGGTTAGCGGGGAACCCGAGAGGGTCATGCTGCTTGGAAGTACCATCTTGTTTGGTGATTTTTTTGCTGAAGTCGATGTATTCGAATGCTGCTGGTTTCCTGGAGTCGACGACAAGAATTGAGAGGTTGCGGTGGTGCACCTCGCTTGGAAGTGCCAAGATTTGCACGATGGAGGAATGTTGTTCCGGGAAGTTCTCTCAAAAGCTTCAACTTCGACATCCCGTCTCAATCGCAAACCAGCCAATATTCTCCATCGCGATCACCGCTCGCTGTTTGTGAGAGTCTTGCCATGGCAAGCTGCAGCTATCCAACGCTTGCAGTTTCTTGACGAAGACCGCTGCCGCGACCGAGACCGCGCCTTCTTGCATGTGGGCCGCACATAGACGACTCAGTTGACGCTTCTCACAATGGCCGACGTATCAGTGGGCATTATCGGCATGGGTGATATGGGGAAGATGTACGCTAGGAGGATCAGTGCTGCTGGATGGAGGTAGGCTATCAGCCCCTACACGCCAGTCCCGTCCGGCACGTATCATTGTCAAGGTGTGTAGTACTTGTCCTCTTTCTCCGTCTTCTTATGATGACTTGAGTGCATTTGGCTCGAGCATGATCGCTTGTCAACTACCATGTCATTCTGGCATGGCTGTTGGTGGGTCGATTGTCACTGATGTAAATTCTCAGCTACCTTTATTTTTTTTGTCTGAAATCTTTCAACAATACTTGTTTGGTAAAGCACTATTGGCCGGGAGTTCATTGCTAACCTCGCGGCCTCCTCAGGTAGTCTTCGCACCAGCACGGTAGCTGACCAATTGTTCTTGCCCAGAGTGAACGCATGTGATGTACCGGAGAAGCATGAGGCATTGATGGAGGAGTTCGCGGATAGTGTAGGATTATATATGTGTCTGTATTTAAGCTGAGGTGCTGAGGCTGCGCCAGGCCAATGTTAATATCATGCCAAACGGCCACCTCGTCTCCCGAAGTAGCGACTATATCATATATAGTGTTGAAGCCAAGAAGATTGATGAAGTCGTTGCGAAGTTCGGCCCTTGTATGAGCAGCCCCATAAACCCTCTACTTACAGCCCCGCTGACGGCCAATGTGACGCCCAGCGACCAAACTCGGAGCCGTTGTTGGTGGACAGACATCTTGCAAAGCCCCTGAGATTGCAGCATTCGAAAGGCACCTACCTACTGACGTCCAGATCGTGTCTTGTCACTCTTTGCATGGTCCTGGAGTGAACCCGCATGGTCAACCGCTCGTACGTCTCACGCCTGTAGCCTAGCAGTCCGCTATCGTTTACACCCTTTACAGGTAATTATACAGCATCGCGCATCTAACGAGAGCGTAGAGCGCGTCAAGAAAATACTGTCCTGCCTCGGGTCGAATTATGTCTACCTTTCGGCTGCTGAACATGACCGTATCACGGCTGACACGCAGGCGGTGACCCATGCGGCATTCTTGAGGTGCGTTGATTCGACACTTACATCCGCCCTTTACTAATTCTCGGCAGTATGGGAGCTGCGTGGGCAGCTAACAAGCAGTTTCCCTGGGAGATCGCGCGCTATATCGGAGGTATTGAGAATGTCAAAATAAACGTCACGCTCCGCATCTACGCCAACAAATGGCATGTTTACGCTGGTCTCGCAATCCTCAACCCCTCCGCTCAGCAGCAAATCAAGCAGTATGCCCAGTCTGTAACCGAGTTGTTCAAGTTGATGCTCGGCGGTCATCGAGAAGAGTTGACGCAGCGTATCAAGACCGCTGGTGCAGCTGTCTTCCCAGAAGATACCCTAGGAGATCTCCTTCTGAGAGACGAGGTCCTGGATCGATTCTCGTTGGGAGAGTTGCCGCCGGAACGTGTAAGGAATAACCACCTCAGCCTTCTGGCGATGGTAGACTCATGGTGGAAGCTTGGGATCGTGCCGTACAGGCATCAGATCTGCTCTACACCGGTAAGTGGATGCATTGCTTGATATGAAGATTTTCTGACATCGATGATTGTAGCTCTATCGCATGTGGCTTGGCATCACCGAATACCTCTTTCGCAATCCTGAGCTACTACAGGAATGCATTGACACGGCCATTGACGACAACACGTTTCGCGCAGACGACCTCGAGTTCACATTTGCGGCCCGCGTAAGTTGAATCTGTTTTACTACCACGGAATTTTGGGTACTGACATGGGACTCAGGATTGGAGCGAAAGGGTCAGCTTCGGAAATATGGATGGATATAGAGAGAAGTTCGAACAGATTCAGCAGTACTTCGCCCCGAGGTTTCCTGAAGCTACAAGGCTGGGTAACGAGATGATCAAAACGATCTTAGAGAAGACCCGAGAGACATGAATTGAGCTAGGACACGCTGTGGAGGGATGGGAGAAACCAGCGTTGTTCAACTGCCTTGTGGGATAGAATCCTTCTGTGCTTCTCATCACTGAATCCGCTGAATGAACCCTGGAGGACGTAGAAATGCATTGCCGACATATTGAAACTCCGATGCTTTATCCGTATAAATCGTGCTTGAGTCTCTTACCCTCAATCTCAAGAGATCGCTGTACCGGGAGAACAAACTGGCCGCTTCGGACTTAAGCGGAGACCGCTAGGACCGCAGCTGCTGAGTCCCAAGCAGTCTCACATCAGCCAGGCATCAAAAGGCTTGTTCCAGGCACGCCAGGCAGGGCTTTTGATCCTTTCACACCAATTGTCCAGCAATCAGAAGTGACATTGGCACGGTGGCAGACCTGGACGGCCACGGATTCGGCAACCCGAGATGCCGACCGGATCCAGCGACTCCATGCGTCATCATCGATACGAATTTCGCATGCGCGTCTGCAGCCTCGCGCGGTGTTCTTCCATATGCGTGATTACACTGAGTGAGAATTAGGGGCCTATATAATGTACTGGTACCTCCGTGCTCTACTCCGCAATTCCATTCGAGCAAGAATCCACCGGCGTAATCAGCACCACAGACTATTCCATTCAAGGCCCAAAATGTCTTCCGCGTCCACAAGCACGGCGCTGTATGCAGCTGTGGTATCCTCGTCCCAGATGATGGGTGCAGTACCGGAGGATGCCAAAGACCGAACGCATCACCTCAAAGACGGGAAGGGCTTCAGAAATCCATGGGACTCTTACAGGGAAATGAGCGTGACAGCAATCATGAAAGCCATGATCTGGTAGTAGAGCCCAACCCCTTTCCAATAGCTGGCGCTGATCTCCTCGCGCAGGCGACATCTGAGCGGTAAAGCCAACAAGCCCGATACTACGCCACCAACTGTCCCAGTCCGCAAGCCAGCCTTCCTGCCAACCCGAGAGACCTCCACATTAAGAGCGACGTGGCTAGGGCACGCGTGCTACTATGTTGAGTTCCCCGGCGGTCTACGAGTGCTCTTCGATCCTGTCTTCGAATCACGATGTTCGCCATTCTCCTTCATGGGGCCGAAGCGTTACACCGAGATGCCGTGTAAGCTTGAAGACATACCGTGTATCGACGCTGTCATCATCTCGCATAGCCACTACGACCACCTTTCGCATCCTACCATCACCAAGATTAAAGAGCTACACCCTAATACACACTTCTTCGTACCTTTAGGCAACAAGCAGTGGTTTTTGAAATCTGGGGTGGAAAACGTCACAGAGTTGGATTGGTGGGAGTCCAGAGACATACACCTGTCAGCGATGCAGTCGAAAGACAAAGCACCGAGCGACGGCCACGTCACGCAAGATGACAAGGTCATTAAGACTGGAGGATCTAAAGATATTCAGGCCACCATAGGCTGCTTACCGTGCCAGCACACGAGCGCGCGGACACCGTTCGATAAGAACCATACCCTGTGGGCGAGCTGGAGCGTTGAGTCAGGGGGCAAGAGGATCTGGTTTGGAGGGTGAGTAGCGATCCAACGCTCGGCACCGACATTTTACTAAAGCATGAAAGCGACACGGGATACCGCGCCGTAGACGAGCTACCCGCCGGCGAGGACGACTATGACCCAAAGCACAAGTTTCCGCATTGTCCCGCATTCAAACAGATCGGCAACCTTCGAGGACCGTTCGATCTCGGATTGATCCCTATTGGAGCCTATGATCCGGTCAGTTCGGCGTTCCTCAAACCTGCAATAAGGCTTGTATGCTGACGGTTAAATCGCAGAGGTATATCATGTCGCCGATGCATGCGAATCCCTTCGACAGCGTCAATATCTTTGTTGACACGAGATGCAAACGTGCCCTTGGTATCCACTGGGGCACCTGGGTTCTGACGGAGGAAGAGGTTCTCGAGCCTCCGAAGTTGCTCAAGAAAGCACTGGCTCAGAAGAGCATACCCGAAGAAGGCGTATTCGATGTCTGCGATATCGGCGAAAGTCGCGAATACCGTGGCCCAGAGCCGCTGTGATTCAAAGGCCGCGCCTTCGACCGTAAAATTTGCCCACTGTAACACCTTAGAGTCGCACCGCGAAAGCATCAATCGTGCCGACGATGTACGTAACGTAATATTTTAATTACTAGTTATTGCGAAGTCATTCCGTTCGCTCCATTACTTCCCAGCAAAGGGTCATTCTCCGCTATGTAGACACTAAGAACGTCACAGCTCCGCGAAAACAACCGCCATAACGCACATCCCAAGCGTAACCAACCCCAGCCGTACCATGCCGAAAGCCGGCGGGACACCGTCAAAAGGCGACGCAGATCGCGTTCCGCTTTTGGAAGTTGTTGAAGCTCCTAGCGGAGGCTTAGTAGCGCCCTTGTCGTCGGTGAAAACCACGGAGGTCGTAGTTTCCGTTTTGGGAGACCCGGTGTCAACAAGGAGACCGCCGTATGCCGCTGAGGATGCTGCTGTAGCTCTATAGAGAGTTGCTGTAAGGGTTTGAGTTGCCGGGTCTGAAGAGCTGGGTTCGGTGTCGGTGGTTGCAGTGTCGAGGTCTCTGGCGGCGATCGCTGAGTCAAGGGTCGCGTCGGCTATCGAAACGGACATTCGGGAGTCTTTCAAGCAGATGCCACTGAAGAGGTGCGATGCCCCTAAGCGGGTTAGCCCTCAGAGTGCTTCGCCTGTTGAGCGCATACGTACTGGCAGGGGAAGCTTCCGTGCATCCTTCGGTGACCGATTCCGACAGGTTCCCGAGCGATTGCGAGAGCACCGTAGCCCCAAAGCACGCGGACACCGCGGCAATAACGTATATGCGCATCGTTCAGAATTTAATTTTCATTATGGTCTTCCTCAACCACATACTTCAGCCGCTCGGGGTTGGGTCCAAGCAGACAATCATTTCTACATTGAATTGGAGACTACATCCCTCAAATCAATTTCTGCTCCTCTCCGCATTCGAAATTTCCAGCTCATCTTCGCCATCTCCCGCTCTGCTCCCGTCAAACCAAGTTTAGAGACCCTGGCTTTCCTCATCTTCCGCAAGCGACTGCAGATGTTCATTGTTCCCTCTCTTCCCGACAGTATGGCGCGGGCCCAGCAACGCCGCTATCAGTGTGGAATGCGAACAAAGAATGTTGCCCGCCATGCGTGCTCGTGCGTCACTGCCGTTTGCCTTTCCACCTCTGCTGAACCGGTTGCCTATGATGCATTCTACCAGCTGACCTGGGCTCGTAGAAACAAAGAGGCGGACACAGTAAACAGCATACCGTAGCCTAGAATCAGCCTCTCGGCACGTGATGTCAGCCCCCTGTACCACAGTCAATGTGACCTGCAGCGTCATCTCTTGTACTTTTCGTAAAACGGAGGACTCTGCTATGCGCACACTTCTCACATTGCTAAATCATAGTCTTACACAGTCTATCAGCTGAAATAACTCAACACCGTCTAAGACCCGATCATGCAAGTCTACTGCAGCCAACTCTTCTCAGCGGAAGGCCAATCCCCCTTCGGCCTGCACAGCGACTCCGGCCACCCAAGCCGCCCTGCCCGTCCCGCACGTCGCCGAAAAACAGACACAGCCGAGGATGTCGAGATCATCACACCAGCAACCTACGCTCGGTACTCCCTCTCCCCTGCTCCTTGATACCCCAGCTAACAACGCCCAGCGCATTGCACGACTGGACCGCCAACCAACTCTGCGCCGCAACGCGTGCGATGAACCGAAACTCGCAGCCAGACACTCCGGTATCTTATAGCAAGGCTCTAAGCAGTCCTTCCACGCTCGCGGAGAGGAGGCTGGATGTCTCGATGGCGAAGCTGACGCTCGAGCCGGATCCGAGGGCCAGGCCGGGACGGTTGTTTAGTGATCACCCTGGAGAGAGTCCGAGAAGGGGCGCGGGTGAGGGAAGGGAGCTGGGGGCGGGGAGGGGAAGCCAGCGAGTGTGAGTTGATGGGGTGGGATGTTAGCGGGTGGATGAAAAAGTGAGGTGGCTGGGGTGTTCGAGGGTCGGGTGGGATTCTAGCGGTGCTGTGATAGTTTTTGTGTTGAGATGGGATGCAACCAACAGTGGTTCAGACACTTGGAAGCTTGAAGAGACAACTTTTTTCCTGATAGCACAGCATAGAAGGCTGGCCGATGCCCTAGTGCAAGCAATCCCTGTGTCCCAAGTTTCAAGCTAAGAAGCCAGCACCCTGCCTCCTCCTAACAGCAGCCTTCGCAGCTCACCCAGCACCTCCTGCTGCACAGCCTCCATCGTGAAGCTCCCCCGCACCATCTCTCAGCCCTCTGGCCTCACGTCCTGTCACTAGGTGATCCTATCAACCAACGGCTCATGCGCCCCACCCTTCCCCCGATTCCCAACTTTGGGCTCCTCCCTCTGCCCACCCGCTCCCATACCCTCGATCACCCCGCCCTTCTCATGGTCCGGCGCCGGAGCGACATGTTTGGTGTGCTCGAGCTCGGCGTCCTGATGGGGTGTAAGCACGTGAGAACTTGAGAGAAACGGGGGCATGGGGCGGAACAAAACGTGGGCTGTGAGAGTGAGAGGTGAACTGTGGGTGAGAGGTGGGAGATGGGTAAAAGAGACATGCCTTGTCGCCGCCGGTGCCGTGAGCCCTAGTCTGGAGGTCGTCGCCTTCCTCGATGGCGTTGTGGGAGCGGCCGGATCCGTCACGAGGCATTGTGGTGGTATGCGTATGGGGTGTGTAGGTGTGAGTAGTGAGGTATTGAGAGTGTTTGTGACTGAGATGAAGCAGTTCGATACCAGAGGAGATTGTATGTAGTTGAGTTGCTTCTCTGCGGTCAAATTAGGAGAGTGCTAGACGGTGTGTAGATGGATTACGTCACAGAGACGTGGGAATGAGGTTGTGTAGTGCAGATGAGCATAGACGCTGCAGGAGCACGCAGCAAGGGCATGATCTTCAGGGACCCAGTATTATCGCGCCTCCCGCTATTAAGGCCAGTAGTCCCTTACTATGTTCGAGCAGCGGTGTTGTTTCACAGTTTCGGGCACGCAAAACATCCCAGTGGTCTGATGCTGATACATCCGCTGTTACTGGCAATAGTGCAGTGACTGACTGCAACTCATGGTAATATAAGAAACACAGACTTCGAAGACGAGCAATAGTGGATGAGTTGAAGTATTGTGAATGGTTTCTATACCTAGGATGGCTCGGGTGGTCGATGCATGCGTGTTGAAATGTTGTAGAACCTATCGATTGTATCACGCAGATTCAGTCGAGGTCTCACGGCACAACAAGGTTGCAAGTCCAGCTCAGGCACAGCGCCATATCGATTTTGTCTAAACGATACAGATACCGCAGAACTACGGATACCAATCAACGCCTATGCACTCCACCGTTAAACCCTTGTTTTGCCCATTTCTTCATTCACGCTGCGTCAAAGAAGATCGTATCGGATGATCGAACGCAGTGACAAGCCTCTTGTACTCTTCGGTGAGAGAACCACCAGGTCTTCGAGATCTCCGCCGTGGCAGGAGCGATTTTGCCTGAAGCCTCCGCGACTGGGTACCGATCGTTCGTGTCCCAAACCTAGAACTAGCGCCAGCTCCGTGAAAATGCTCAAGCATCCTGCTCGAAGTAATCAACCGCATGGCCATACTCGTCGCTAACAGCTGGGAAAGCCGCTGCGCCAGAGAGGGCCTGCATGTCGATAGGATTCGAAGCCGAGTGCTCAAACAAGTCATAGTCGCTGAAACTGTTCGTAGTGAGGGGGTACCACGGTGTGGCGTCATTGAAGTGAGGCTGTTGCTCCGGATCGTCGGCAGGAAGGTTGACGAAATCGAAGAGACCGACTTGATGAGGAGTTGTAGATTGAAAGCGATCAGATAAGCAATCAACCACTGGAGTTGGTGCTGATTCCAAGTTTGCCGGCGACCAGAACCCGACTGACACTGCAGGTCCCACAACATTGCAGCAGAATGTTGTGTCTGTACGGGTTCGGTGCTGGCGACATCGATCAGGTTGTTGACAAATGGTGTGCTTGGTTGCGTTGAAGCCTCCGAAGGTATGTCGAAGGAGCCTAGGGTGGATTCGGGCGGTGACATAGCCTGATAAGGTCCAATCGTGGGCGGTTTCCTTCCCAGATTCGCAAGCGAGGATGGCGGCTCAACTTTGGGGTGGGCTGACGGGGTGCGCAACACTCTGCTGCGTAGCCCAGCGAGCTCTTCCGTCATTCGCGCCATGGTTTCCTGCATTGACCGAACCTGCTCTTCGAGCGCGTCGTTCTTTTGCTGTAGCTCCTCAACCTCGACCCGCTTTCGCTCCCTCGAATTGTGAGCTGCGAGCCTGTTCCTCTTGATGCGCTCGATCCGGCGTTGTTCTTTCTCGTCCTGTGTCTTTGCTCGTTTGCGAGGGGGCAAATTTGTCTTCGGTTCAGGCAGTTTCTGACCCCATGACTTGCGCTTCTTGCCAGGCTTTAGTGACGTCGGGGCTTTGTCGGCTTCCTCGGGTGTCTGGGTTGGCTCAGGTGTCTGGGAGGGTTCCTCAAAAAGAGGCAAGTGTAGATCCTCCAGCTTGATGGTGCCAGGTGGGGGACCGACACCCATTGAGGGCGACGGGCTCAGCGAGGGAGTCGTGGCCATGATGGGTGTCGCAAAGTCTAGTGACTCTGGTGAAAGATTTGCTTCCATGGTGGTTGTTGTCTGGCGTATGGAAACATGGCACTTGGGTGGGGGTTGAGTTTTCAAGGAGGTGCAGAGGTGCGGTCAGAAAGGGGACACGGTGTTCTTTTAAGGCAGCCACTGAAAGGGTTACGACGCCCCCTTGCCGATCTACTGCGGCGACCAAGCCCAATTAGGCATCAGCTACTCTTAATTTAGCAGCCCCACCACTACAGCCGCGTTTCACCCCCATGGAAATGAAGAACCCCGGAATGTGCAATACAACAACCAAGGCGACGAGGGCCCCACTCCATTAAGTAAGCGAGCACTTCTGGGGCATTTTTGATGCCCTTCGACGACCGGCCAGGAGTGTGCAAACATCCGTTCTAGTGGTTCTAACTCCAAAGGTGGCGTTGGTACTTAGGCATCTACTTTTCAGCTGCGCCTCGAACCGCAGGTCAGGTGGTTACGTAGAGGGTGCGTAAGCCGCCTCAAGTAGCACATGCGCAACCGCAGATTCTCGTATTGCGGAAGGCTGCAGAATATCCATCTCGAAATACCCATTCAATGACCGAACATCTTACAAGAGGTCCTAACCGAGGGCGCACCAAGTGGTCCACGTGAGTACGCATAGTTCTTCTCAATGCCAGATCATCACGTTGAGGAAACTCTGTGTGGTACGCGTACCGGCGTAAGTCAGTCATACCCCTTCGGCGCCGAGGGTCGGTACGGTACTGGACCATTGCTCTATTGCCTGAGGTCAAATTTATACCAAGCAGGACTTCCAAGCATACAGATACCGACAGCACGTGAGCCTCAGAAGGATAACACGAGCAATCTGAGTTATGATCTCTCTGCCTACCAAACTACGTAAATTCTAATACCTGTGATGAACACGTTCGAAGGATGTGGTCCTGTCCGCGGCCAGTACTCACCGCCGCTCTTGCTCAGGCGCTATTCACCCTCGCCTCGCCGAATATGGATGAGTACGGAGCTCATGAAGTCCAGTCTATCGAGTAGCCTCTGGGTATAGACCTTGATCTTTCTCGTAAAAGCGAGAGAGGGTCTACGGCACCATGATACACGTTCTCTACGTGGAAACGCAGCTGTGGTGTGAAGACTGGTACAAGGGAACAAAAGCCGGGAGTAAGATTCAGATCGTGGCCAAGGATACATAACAGAACCTTTCCGCCTGCGAGCGCCTGCGAGAATAGGCTACTACCTAGAATTATCATGTTGCTTTGTGTCTGATCGGGGGTTGCACCACCAGGTAAGTAATCCTTGTCCGGATCTAGGGTTAAGCATGAACAGTAGAAACCTGATATGATTTTTTGGAATTTCTCACGATGAGGGTGAAACGAGGGAATTTAGCACACAACTGGTACGGGACACCACAAATCTGGATAACGCGCCAGGCAGAAGAATAGGGTATCTTGTAATCCTAGAGATTTCAGTTCTCTTTTGACTCAGCTTGCAGTAGATCAGAGCACGCGACACACGAAGGCTCGATCAGTCTTCAGTGGCGGGCTCGAGAGTGCGACACAGTGTCAACGGAATTCAAAGTCCGTTTTTTCCCACGAGCGGATGTCGGAATCTTGGGAGACGGCAGCTCCCGGAGTAGCGTAACCCCGCAAAGCCAAAAGAGCTGTGCGGAGAACCAAAAGTCCGAAACCTTTGATTTCCACCGCAGGAATAAAACACCACGATTCGGGCATTGCTTATGTGATACCCGTGTCCCGATTCCATGGCAGGTGCTCCACGCCAAGCTTTCCGCCGTGTTACAGTGCTGATTTGTATGCCTGAACGCAGGAGCAGCTCAATGCTATTGCTTGCGAGCTCTGTCGAACGAAGAAATGCAAGGTAAGACTCAAGCTGTCCAGCTAGGTTGGCTCCCGCTAAGTTTCCTTTGCTCGCGCTTAGTGTGACCGCGAACTGTATGTGGGCGTCGGTTGTCTCGCTTTCCCGTAGGTACTTATTATTCAATGCTTGTAGACCATCGTGCTCTCAATGCACTTCTACTGGCGTGAGATGCTTATATCCGCCTAGTAACAAGAGGTCAGTCCGTACCAGTTCTGATAACGTCAAAGTCCTAAACCGTACATTGACAGGTTGCGGTCGACAGGGGTATTCCAACCGGGTACATCTCCTGTCTAGAGCAGCGTCTTCTAGAAACCGAGATTGTCCTCTTCGAGACGTTATCAGTCATCTATGGGTCCTATGACCAGGAGAGCGTTCGCGAAATATTTGCAGAGAATAGCAACAAACAGTCCAAAACCGCCAAAGTTGAAGAATGGAAGCTGTTGCCATTGACTTCTGAGGATCAGCGGCAAGCGTGGTGGCGGAACAAAGTTGAACTGCTCAAGGGCCGCGAGCCAGGTCCTGATGCTGTTGCAGAGCCGTCTGCACCCCAAGAAACAAACCATCCATGGACTGGGTTGTCCTTTGTCCAGGACAGAAGTACATCCAATGTTCAGCAACGAGATATCGAGAGAGTCGACGCGATGAGGAGTGAGAACCTCATGCGACCACGTCACGGGTCTTCGCAAGCAACGTCTAGTCCACATGAGTCAATTACGAACCAAGCAACGGCATGGCAGCCAAGCGAGGGTACTTTCGTCGGTGTTTTGGAGGGGGTTCATCATCTAGAGAACGTTCTCGGCGATCCTCCAGACTTGACTATCTCAGGAGCAGAACAAGTAATCTCAGAAGAACCAGGATTACTTCTAGAGAAACACCCAGCCCCGGGTGTACCGACAGGCTTTTCGCCCCAATCTAGGGGGTCAACCTCAATGCAATGGCATAAGTACTTTTGACCAAGCTTTTGGCGTGCAGCTGGCTGCTCAGCGGAATTACAGCCCAAGCATAGGAGTTACACTGCAGATTCGGGTCCATATGTCTAACCAGGTGACTTCATATCTAAAACAGTGCTGCCAGAACATGTCCAATTCTATACACTGAATCCATCGCATCGACAAGGTACTTAAGAAATGTCACCACTTCGTTTAGCGCCGTGAGAATATGCAGGTCTCCCGTCTGCAGCTGCACCGATCAGTCTTAGCCGACTTCCCCTTCATGTTTCTCACCTTGTTTGAACCGCCATGGTCCGCCATCCTCTGTCCCTAGACCCATCACCGGATCTTGTATATGGAACTTAAACGTGTTTTTCACTTCCTGCAAAGCGTGACCTATGTTCTTGGTGTTTGCGCCATATGCGGGGACGGATTTGCGGGGACAAACTTACACTTTGAAACACCTCGCCGTCTACCTGGTATCATTTCATCAACCTTGTGTGTTATGGTTGATTCCTGCTCCCTTGACCGAGCATGTCCTCGCCTGGAGTTGGCAGCGATTACGTTCTAATCTCAAGAACCATGCCAACAGAGAACTCATCCAACAAGCGGCGTTCGCGCCCAGACGACAGCGAGGCCACGTCAGACAGCACTGAGGCTGAGCTTCGTGCCGGAAAAAGAAGGGCCTTTCTGCAAACCATGGGCCATCAGTTGCGAGAGTTCGGCTCGGAGCGAAACAGCTCGAGAGATGATCGTCGGAGCTTTGCCGCCAGTGCAAACGGCAGATATTACGTCCCCTCTCTGTCCGGCGCGCTCGCAGCAGAAAGAGCGCAGAGCCAAATCCCACCAGAGAGTGATGTAGTTCCGGGAGAGGAGGACCAGTCTCCTACCGGGGCCACGAAGAGTGCCTCTGAATATCTATGGCGGTCTAGCGAAGTTCTCACCATTCCTGCGTCTAATGGAAGCCATGCATTTTCCTTCGATGACCTTCTTGACTGGACCCGCTATTATTTCGATAATTGGCATCCGGCGTATCCGTTTCTCCACGCTCCAACTATACTCAGCTATTTCGAGGATGCTGCTCGGAACGGAGTCTCAGATTCGGACAACACAAGGGCATACCAACTCATCATCATTAGATCCATCTTATCAATATCAGTTGCCGACCGCCGCCAAACGGGAACAGCCATGCGACCTGTTCCGGCAAGTCTCGTCTTCCACTCGTTCAATGACGCCATCAGCAGTATCCAGCGGGTGCTGACTGATGAGACCTCGATACCATCCTTACAAGCCGTTGTTAGTGTCCAATTGTTCCTGTTATCGATGTTACGTTACAATGCCGCTTCTCGCCTTGAAGGTCTTGCTGTACGCATGGTTTTCCAATTAGGTCTTCATCGTTGTCCAGTGCAATTCTCGGCCTTTTCTAGGAAAGAGGCAGAACTTCGTAAACGTTTGTTCTGGACGATATACTGTATCGATCGCTACATCTGCCTTAGACTTGGAATCCCTCTTGCTATCCGAGATGATGACGTCAACGTCTGCCGTCCAAGCTCAGAGCGGCATGTAGAAAGCGATGATGACCCTCCAGGTAGGTAATCCTTCCATCTCGGTACCTGATCTTAGTATCTTACTCAGCTCTTGCAGATCGCGATGATCGCCTAGATTTGCTTGACTTTCTAGCAAGGCATGCAGAGCTCAGAGGATCGACCATGGAATTGCGGAATAAGTCTGCATCCCATGCCGGAACCGAGCCCGATCAAGCTGTAATCATCGGCGCGGAACTCACCAAGTGGTGGAACGAAGTCGATGAATACCTGGAGTCAACCAAGTATCAATCTCTTCCCATCAGTCGGTTTCATCAGGTGACCCTCATTGTTCTCAGACACGAATCTGTAATCGCTCTCAACAGATTCATCATTGCAACCTCGAAAAAGAGTGCAGCATATAATGCAGCGCTTCAGAATTGCATCGGTGCCTCAAGGTCTGTCATAAACACTATGTACAAGGCTTTAAAAGGCGCGGGAACTCTGGGAGTGTCACCTGAGGCTCTACAGGAGATTCCCGAAAACACCCCTTTGCTTTGGCCATCCTTCACGTGGGCTGTGTGGATGAGTGCGTTCATCATGATCTACGCTGCAAACGAAGACCAAGTCCCTCGGGAGGTAGCAATAAGGCATGTCTTGAAATTCCCACTTTCGTGTTCCTAGAAACCTGCGGAACGCCGATGACGAATGACGAACACCATGCAAGACTATTAGAAGCAGCTAACATCTTCTCAGACTCGCCGATCGAAGCTTGGACATACTGAAACACGTGGCGTTAAGAGGAAGTATCTGGCCAGACGCTTGTGCCGTTGCGATACGAAGATTAAGCGCGCGATTGACTGAAAGAAGCAATGGGCCGGACCTCATGACGAGAAGTAGCGCAAATCAAGGAGTGCGGCACATGGCGCACAAAGACGTGACAGAGCTGAACGGAGGAGACAACAGCAATCTACGATCCACTTCGAGCAATCCAACGAGATTGCCGCAACGGCAGCATAACGAAATACCTTCTCCCAGAACGGACCATCACCCGGCTCAAGAACGACAAGGTTCTGTCAGCACGAGAGGAGCCAGCGTCGCCCTCCAAGAGAATCCAGACTCATCAATCCGTCGCAATACTGGTTCTTCGTACGAATCCGCCCCCAGACCAGGAAATTCTTCGAGCCTTCCCGAGCCTCCGCCGCAGAATGTAGCGTTTTCAAATCCCTCAAGTCTTGCTGGCTTACAATGGAATTTTTCTGGAATTGGTCAGCAACTTTCGGACATTCCTATGCCAAACGACGACGTCGCAGACCTGTTCTGTGGCTATGACCTACCGTTTTGGATGGGTGATGATCAGTTTTTAGGCCTCGGAGGTAGCTTCTAGCGCTTGATCGCTGCGGGAAAGACGCCGAAGAGAATTTGCGGGCTGAGATACTCCAGATTGAAGCGCAAGCTAAGAAAGTAAGTGTCAAGACTGATTTGAAACATTCACTTGGTGAGTGAGTGGCTGAGGTTTGGCAGAGTCAAAAGTCCGAATATCGCGCAAACGGTCGCTATTTCAATCCGTGAAACGTGGTACTGACTCATTTGTTGATCCTAAAAATTCAATATCTCTTGTTTATGTACAGCACAAGAGCCTATATCTCTACCGCTCCGGTCATTTTGCTAGATTGCCAGCATCCCTTTGCTCATCTCAGTGGTACCGCCACACCTGGCGCCCCACGAAGATCCCTCAGTAGGCATAATACACGCTTCCAGCAGGTTGCTCCTTGTGCATCCTCTTGTTGGTCCGCTGAAGCCACAACTTCAAGATCCAGGCACAGCTGATCGTCATGAACGCAAACGAAGCATTGCTCGACATCGCGATAACGTACTTCGGCCCGTCGGTCTTGGGATAAAGATAAGGAGTGTAGATGAAGGAGGCCATGGAGACGACATTGACAATCGACAATGATACGGCTTTCTTCTCCGTGGTTTGGCCCAAGGTGGCAGAGATCCATCCCAGGATGACCGAGTTGACTGCGTAGACACCGGAAGCGAAAAGGAAACAAGACACATATCTCGCAGGAACGTTAAGTGTTAAAGCAGAGGTGACGAACCCTATGAGCGCAATCCCCATGCAGATGGTGATGTGCCAGGTCCTCTCGTTGTACTTCCCAGACGAGATGCCGATGCCGATTCCGACCGCTCCAGCAACAAGACTTGGGGGGGCTGTGAGGACGAGCGTGATGACCGTGTTGAACCCAAGACTGGAGACTACGGTGGGAAAGAATTGATTGAAGGAGGTGGCACTGAGATGCATGTTCTGCATGAGACAGAAGAGGTAGAGCCGGGGATCACGGATGGCCTGGGCGAAACCCCAACGAAGTCCTCTGCTCTCCTTCAGGCCGACAGTGTCTCTCTGGATCCGATCATGCGCCAATTGACGTTCCATGGGATTCAACCATCTCGTTGTGAGGGGGTAGTCCGGGAGCAGAAACCAGGCGACGATTGCAACGCCGAAGGTGACAAGGCCCTCGATGATGAAAAGCCACCGCCAGCCCTGGACACCATGGACACCATCCAAGGTCTCGAAGGTCGCCGCTGCGATGAGTCCGGAAAATGACACGGCGAATATGTTTCCCGAGTAGAGTATGGAAATGCGAGTGGCAATCTCCTTGCGGGTGTAGAAGAGCGACAAGAGGTAGAGAGCTCCTGGATAGAACGGTGCCTCTACGACACCTAAAAAGAATCGAACAGTGGCAAGACCTGCGAAGTTCCTGACCAGGGCCGTGAGCGTGGCAACCGTAGCCCAGGCCATCATGGTGATGCTCATGTACATTGATGGCCGGATTTTGTTCGACGCCATGATCATGTTGGAAGGAATCTGCATGAACAAGTACCTGTACACGCGTTAGGTCAGAATGATTGATCGGACGAGCCCTGGAAGGCATCAAGACTCACCCGACATAGAGGATACTGATACAAGTGTTGTATTGCGAACCTTTCAGGTTGAGGTCATCCTCGAGGTTGTTCAACCGAGCATTCGCAATGGCATTCTGGTCGAGTTTGTTTCTGGTCGCAGTGTATCAGCTTCGAGTATATTGACATGCCGTCTCTGGACCCCTTACAAGAAGTACATTGCGAAAAGCGTTGGCATGATCCTGTAATCCATCTTTCGTACCAACGCAATCTCCACCTCGTCGGTCTTCGCAACCGCTCCGGAATAGTCACCGACTCGCCCAGCATTAACGGTCTTCTCAGACTTTTCGGTGACAATGGCGACATCTTCGACTTGCATAGGGGTCGATTTCTCAAGGTCGTGAGTCATTTTGGCGGTGGAATCTTTTTATAAAGAGTCAGAAATGTTGAACTGAGGTTTGAGAATCGCAGTATCCGTCAAGGTGGACGAAAAGGCCCAGTCAGCTGCTGATGCGAGATATCTGGATGTCTGGAGACGAGATTAAACGGGCAGATCAATGTCTCTTGTATACCCCAGCGATTTCCCCATGGAGAAATACTCCTCAGATCTAGGTCTTCCCCGGACTCCAAGTGGCGCTGAAGAACCACACTCCGCAGAGCCCTGTCCGCACTCCGCAACAGCCTTGCAGCGCCGTGACTGCGGGATGGCACCGCACAAACATTTGTGCGAGTGGCGGACCAGGTCGCTCGGACAAGTGCCAGTCCGCGCAACATCTCGACACCCACACGCGGTGTTTCGAAACTCCGCAACGTAACGATCGGCTTTGGCATGGGCTTCGACGTTCGGAACGGATGGCTTTCGCGGGGCTCTCCACGATTGTTGCTCTGACTAAATGCCTGGCTGCTCTTGGCCTCAAAGTCTCTTGTACACGGGTACCAATTGCATATAATAAGGCCCAGCTCTCTTCGCTACCATGAGTCCATCAATCAATCAATCCAACTTCCTCTCATACTCAAGACCAGATCTGCTCTCACAAAACCCAAACATTCTTGCCCAACACAGTCTCAGTTGCTAAAAGGACCCGCTCAACAACCATGAACGGCAACATGAACGGCCACACGACTTCTTTCGACCTCCGAGGTCTCACTCCAGCCCCTGTCACCCCATTTACTCGCGATGGCGCCGTCGATTTCGAAGCCATTCAACGCCTAGGCTCATGGCTCGGCAGTATCGACGGCGTAAAGGGTCTAGTTGTACTAGGCCACGCCGGCGAAGGCACCTTCCTCACGCAGGAAGAGCAGGCAGCCGTAATCACCGCCTTCGTCAAGTCCGTAGACGACAAAATCCCCGTCATCGCCGGCATCACAGCCGAGGGCACCGAAGTCGCCGCTCTAGAAGCCCAACGCGCCAAAGCCGCAGGCGCTTCAGCCGGCCTGCTCTATCCCTCTCACGGCTGGCTGCGATTCGGCTACCAGGCCGGCGCGCCGCAGGACCGGTACCGCGTTGTGTACGAGAAGAGCGGGCTCCCGCTCATCCTATTCCAGTACCCGGATAACACCAAAGCGACGTACAGCCTGCAGACCATGCTGGACATCGCGGCGCAGCCCGGCGTGTTCGCCATGAAGAACGGCGTGCGCAACATGCGCCGCTGGGACACCGAGATCCCGATCATCCGCAAACAACGGCCCGAGCTGCAGATCCTGACCTGCCATGACGAGTACCTGCTGCACACCGCTTTCGACGTGGACGGCTTCCTTGTTGGCTACGGCAACATCGCTCCGGAACCCCTCATCGAGTTGATCAAGGCGGGCAAGGCCAAGGACTACAAGAAGGCGCGAGAGATCCATGATCGATTGCTTCCGGTGACTAAGAGCGTTTATCACCGTGGGTCACATATGGAGGGAACCGTGGCGCTGAAGCATGGGCTGGTTGCTCGTGGCATCCTGGAACATGCTACCGTGCGTTCGTCGCTGCTTCCGTTGGAGGGGGGCGCGGAAGAGGAGATTCATGCGGCCTTCCGTGCCGCAGATCTGGGCCGCGTGTGCTGATTGTAGTGGTCTTGGGCAGATTAGGGATTATTTCATGAAACGCTCAGTGGCTTTGTTACGGGACGGGGTTATATAGACATTGGAGTACATGACTGTGAAGTGCACTGTTGTAAATAGAATCATGCAGGAATATGTTGTATTCTCAAATCGAAAACGGAACTCCGAATTGTACTGAGAAGAATAGAAGGCCCTCTCTAGAAACCCAGGTAGGCCTGATGAAAGGTGTATACTTATGCAGCATGGATGTACTCGAGTAGTCGGAGATTCGTTGAACGAGCCAAGTTTGGCGCTCTGAGTCCGGGCCGCTGCTATTCTGGCGCTTAGTAAGGCGGTCGAATAACTCCTGGGCTTTAGAGTTACATCCAGCAGCATGGAAGAAGTAAGACAATTGGCGGAAAATATTTATGAGCCTTGGAAACCAGGTGTCGTAGACTACCGAGTAGACAGCCAAACCGCTATGCTGCTCTGGGCGGAAGCAACAACCCCCCTCCCACCTCCCTGCCCCGGCTTCCTCGCATACAACCCAACAACAGCATCAAACAGCTCCTTCACAGGCGGCAGCGCAAAGCTGGGTCCCACATCAAAGATCTCAGCCAACTGCTCCGGCCTAACAACCGGGTTCGCGTCATCGTTGGCGTCGTCGATAGCCATCTCGTCTGGCACAGCTGCGGTGTTTGTAGCTTCCTCAATGTCTACGTCTTCGTCATCGCCAGCGGCTTCTTCAGGCTCGACAGCTTCCTCATCCGCAACGGTGGCTAACGACTGCTCTGGTGCCGCCGTGGGCTGTATGAGCGGAATAGCCGCCGCGGCTCTGGGACCGATGATGCGGATCTCGGCGGCGGCGTCGAGGGCGATGTAGCCCTTGGCGCTGTGGGCTGGGAGTAGGGCTGTGACGACATTTGGTAATCTATCCGAGTAGATGGGCTGGGGGTCTTTCGGATCGAACACAAGGACCTTCGAGCGTAGTGCGTGACCGTGGGCCTTGTTAGGCAGTGAAACAGCGAACGTGATGTCTGTGGGATTGATTGCGAGATGTGTCACGGCCGACCTTTGTGCGGCTGTCAAACTTGGTAGGGAGAGGCTGACGCTGTAGCTAAGCTCGTCGTCCACGATGTCCCAGACGGTGAGGTCGTCGGAGAGAACGACCAAGCATCTGTCCAGGAATCCAAGAGCAATGAGGCCGCCATCGTAGAGACCCGCTCGTGATTGTCGTATCTCTCCTGTCGCGGTATCGACAAGATGGACCAGGCCCTGGCTATCGCTGTGAGATCGCTCCTGGGCCACCGCAAGGATTGAGCCGTCAGACGAAAACGCCAAGCGGGCAGCCAGCATAGTAGAGGCCGTTCGGGCATCCACTTCCGCGTCGAGGGCGTCTGTGCCCTGCTCCAGCTCAACCACGAACCGGCTTGACCATATTACTAGGCCTTCAGCGTTGCTGCCACGAACCACTGTACCATCACGTAACCTCGTCTTTGGTTTCCACATGCGCACCGAGCCGTCCTCGCCGACAGTAGCGAACCCGACCCGGCTCGGTTCTGCCACTAGGTCTAAAATCCGACCTGGCAGCACACCGTCTGGAGACACATGAGGCGCATCGATTCTGGTCTCCAACATCCATTGCTCTTTCTCCTCATTCCATGCCCAGAACTTCAGGTAGATTTCGCGACGCAAAGACTGCTCCTCGTGCACCATCTGTGCGTCGGCGGCCAGATGCTCGACATCGGACTTGGGGGGAAGCCACTCCTCGACCGTTGCGAGCCACCGGCCATCATGACTGACTTTTAGGTGGGTCACGTTTGGTTCCACAAGTTTTGTGGCATTAGGGCCGACGTTGACGATCGTTGCGTTGTTGCGCGTCAGAGCCTGTCGGTAAACGTGGTGGGCCGACGACACATCGAAAGCTTGAAGATAAGGCGCGGCAAGGAACTTTTGGTTCACATCAGTCCTCGACTGAGAAGCGGGAACAGCAAGTAGGAGCTGAGTGGGCCGGAGGGGATTGGTGGCACAAGGAACCATGGAGAAGGCATCAACAGGAGTGGGCGCGTCTTTCAGCTTCGCGGAGGCAGTCGCCTGAGGATGCGGCGTGCCTGCTTCGTCCAGGAACCGGACACGGCTCTGGATGCCAGCGATGTTGGTCTTAGCGTTCAGCTCACTGGTTGACAGCACTATTACGGAGTTATCCGCCAGCTGAACGGCGTAAGACGACCCGGTAGGCGATATTGTCAGGTTGTCGATGGCGGAGGTCAGATGAGGAAGTTCCTGCCGCTTGCCGGTGTCGAGCTGCCATAGAAGCAGAACAGTCTCCCTGCCCCCTGACACGATGTATTTGCCTGGTCATATGTTAGCTGCATCCAGGGGAACTAAGTGAGCACGTGCCGCACCATCTAGAGACCACTTCAAGGAGCCTATGGGCTCTCTGTGCCAATGAAGGATGCGGGGTGTCGGGAAAGCTGAGCCTTTCGAGTCCTTGTTTGGCCGTTCAGCCGCGATCAGCTGATTCAGCAAATCATTGTAGATGTATATTGCACCATCACCACAACCAATAGCAATGTCAATATGCTCCTTGAGGCCCTGAGCAATAGCTTTGCGCTGCGCTCTGGTTGGCTGTGCTGGGAGCTGATGCCATAGTTGGACGTCGAAGCAGGTGATCGACTCTGTAGCCTTGATTTCTCGCCAGCTAAAAGTCATGTCCTTCAGCGAAGAGACAGTACGGCTCTCCAGGTTACCCACAATCAGAGTATCCGGCGTGGTTGCTACTATGATTTTGCCGCCAGCCAGAACCATAAACGACTGGAGAGGCCGCATGTTCTTGCCCTTGTACAGTATGACCGACTCGGGAGTCTCGTCGCCTCGATGGAGTAGGCGAGCAGTGATCGTGGAATAGTTGCCATGTTCCTGCGTATAGACAACATCTCCTTTGAGGCTCTCCGAGGTAACCGTGACCAGGCCATGAATATACAACCCAGTCTCCCATCGTTGCAACTGTTGCCCGTTGACCCAATCCCAGAGCAGAATCAGCCCTGAGGATGTGGTGACATACAGGTTGTCCGCATTTGAACTGGATAGAGCATATGCGGAAATGAGGCCTTCAGTATCGATTGGCAATGTCCGAACCAGAAGCGAGGTCGCCGCGGAGTAGATGTGGATTGTGCGAGGAGCCGCAAGGATGATGTACCTGATCAATCAGCATAAGAGTAGCGCAAGCCGTCGGGGCGAACACACTTCTCATCTTGCGAGAACACAGGGTCCACAGACAGAAACCTGCCGCCGGTGGCCTGGGATGTATACCACGCGCTTGCAGGGCTCTTCTCGGGTCTCTTGCTCTTCTTGCTTCCCTTCTGCAGAGGTTGCGCCTCCCGGACAACTACAGATTGCGCATCTACCGTGCTTGTATCAGCCCCGTTGGCCAGGCTGCTATTTGCCGCACCGGAGTCTCTGTCCCCAGCTACATTCTCTTTTGACGCTTCCACACCATTTTTCACCGAGCTCTTGACGCGCTTCGCCTTCTGGCCGCCAGAGGCCCGCTCCTCCTTCTCCCTCTTGCGCTTCTTCTCGACCGCAGGCTGTGCTGTCGCCATTTCTCTTCGACGGTCGGAGTCTTGGTTATGGCAGTTTCAGTCGCGCGAACTTTTACGACGAGCGGTGATGCTTGGCGGTGATGCTCCGAACTTTTTTGGCGCACGGTCCAGCCGGCGACTTTCCGCATCACCTCCGAGCATCGCTGCAACTTTCTTCGATCACGAACAAAGAGCTCACCACCGCGCCCACCGCTCTCCCCTGTGCTTCTCAGGCACCGGAATCCAGAGCCGTCCCCCGAAACACATCTCCCACTCCCAAAATGATCGTCCCCATCCGCTGCTTCTCCTGCGGCAAGGTACATCCCCAGCGCCTCCCTCCCCTTCCTCGAATGCGCCAGCGCCATACTAACGACCCACCGTACAGGTCGTCGGCGACCTCTGGGAGCGCTACATGGAGCAGAGCGCCGCCGGTATCCCTGACGGGTCAGTCTTGCCTCACCCCACAACCACCGTTACCACCGCTCGCCGCGCAGCCTCTGACATGAAGTAGAGACAACATGGACCAGCTGGGCCTACATCGGTACTGCTGCCGGCGCATGATCATGACGCATGTCGATCTGATCGAGAAGATACTCAAGTACGGCACCTGTCGAGTTGTGGGGCTGTGGGGCGGAACGCTGACGTTGGGACAGGTATAATGCTGCCGAGAGGGAAAACTCGCGGCTTCGTGACACGCAGGAATGAGCGCGCGGCATGGTCGGGGGCGTTTGGGGCGTCAAAGAAGATGCATAGGTTGCTGTAGGTCAGCTGGCGTTACTTGGGCTTAGTTGAACGACTGGTGGGCAACGTAGGAATTTCGCACGCGAAGAGGCACGGTTCAGCGATGCGGCTGGTTGTGTCTTCGTAGCTGTATATAATTCTATGTCTCCGCAACTTGGGGGAACTTAATTCAACAATGCAAAAACTCTGCGTGACTCAAGTCCGTCTAGTTTCTTCTATCATCCTTGCAACATCGAGAGCGAGATTATCGTCGCCATACTGGGCAATGACCTGGATGCCGATATTGCCCTCCTGCCCTTCTCCCTCTCCCCTTTGCGATGCTTTGAACGGCACGCTCACAGCCGGCAACCCAGCCAAACTCGCCGGCACCGTAAAGACATCACTCACATACGCCTCGACCGGTGACTGCTTCTCCAGCGACTCGAGGGTAGGCGGCAAGGTCGGCGCCGTCGGGCAGACCAGTACGTCGACCGCCTGATCCGTGTCCTGTCTGCCGGTGCGCCCACCATCCAGCAGCGGATTAGCCAGGCTGAACACTCGATCGAAGTCCTGCTGTACAAGCCTCCGAACCTTTTGCGCTTGTATGAAATAATTGTCGATAGCCTCGGCGCTCAGTGTGTAGGCACCAAGGAGTATGCGGCGCTTGACCTCGTCTCCAAAGCCTTCTCCGCGGGTTTTGGAGAACAGAACGCCTTCAGCGCCATCCGGGCCTTCTGCGCGAGTACCGTATCGAACGCCGTCGTACTTCGCTAGATTGGAGGAGGCCTCGGCGGGTGCAAGGACATAGTAGGCGGAGAGGGCACGCTTCGTGCTTGGTAAAGAGACTGGGACGATCATGTGACCTTGGTTTCGAAGGAATTCTAGGGCACTTGTCCATGCGCGGCGGACCTGGGGGGAAAGCTCGGCTATGTTGTACTCGAGCGGTACACCGATGCGAAGGCTAGAGTTGCGGCGTCTTTGGGAAAGCGACTCGGAGATGCGGGCACGTGTGCTGGGCAGCAGACTGGTTGGGTCTTGCTCGTCGTAGCCGTTGATCGCCTCGAAAACTACCTTCGCATGCTGAGTGCTTTGCACCAGAATGCCGACAGTATCGAGAGAGTTTGCGTACGCAAGGACTCCCCATCTCGAGACCAAGCCATACGATGGTTTGAACCCTACTATGCCCGTGTACGCAGCCGGTAGCCTTACCGACCCTCCCGTATCAGTTCCCAATGCTGCCCAGCATTGCCCAGTAGCCACCGCTACGGCACTTCCCCCCGAGCTGCCTCCCGCAGACAGGGCTTCTGCTCCCTCAGCATTGCTTTGTGTTACGGGACCGAAGTAGGAGCACTTGGAGTGCGAACCCATGCCAAACTCGTCGAGATTTGTCTTGCCGGCCACGATGCCGCCGGCGTGGTGAATCTTCTTGACAACGGTTGCATCGTAGGGGCTGGTGAATGTTTTGAGGATTCCCGAGGCGCTCGTTGTGGGAAGGTCAGAAGTGCAGATGTTGTCTTTGACGGCTATCAATCTGCCGTGGAGAGGACCTGTGAATATTAGCTCTCGTCCGCGTTTGCCTCATGGACGCGATTGGTACCTCCATCCCTCTGCGTGTCCGCCGCCTCGGCTTTGCGAAGGATCGTGGGTCCTCCAGCCAAGCCGATAAATGCATTGAGGCTCTTCCGAGCTGTCTGGTTAGCTATACATATTTGCGCTTCTCGCAGGAAAGACATAGGGCTCCATGATGCGCGTCCTGAGAGCTCTGCATTCAGAAGTCGAGCTCCTCGGCGAAACATCAATCCGAAAATGCGGACGTCAAGCTCCGAGGCATCTCCTTCCCCCTCTATACGACCCCATGTAGTTAAGCAGCCCCGCGTATATGTGCTTAAAGATGATATACTCTGCAAAATCCTGCTCCGACATCTGGTTTGCAGATTCTAAACTACCATGGAGGGTCTTCCGAAGTTTTCTGATCTTCCCCTGAACAAGGGCGATCCACATCATTCTGCATGGGGCCTGTAAGCAGCATGCTTCCAGAGAACTTATAGCTATCTGACAGTGCCAGCTATGGGAAAGGTGACCAACTGGGCTTCCTGAACCGTCTGACCGATGATGTGGTACTGGAGGCAGCCAAGGAGATCAAGACAGGAGTTAGGTACTGGGATTCTCTCCGCCTTGAACTGCCTATTGTTATACTCTAGTTTTCAAGCACATGTGCTACCCGTGAACTCCCACGGGACTCTGTGCACTTTCCTACCCCCCCAGAGATAATTTTACCAAGCCCTTTCGACCATTCAGCTGATCCATCGTCCAAGAATCTCCCTGAACTGGCCCCTCGATGCCCAAAAAGACATCCCCTTCTTCGGCCGCCAGGTCTTCCACCAGCACATGTACAACAAGCCCCCAAGAGTTGTCAATGACGACGTGTGGACCTTCAACTCTCAAAGCAGCAGCCAGTGTCAGTAGCAGCAGCAAGCAAGACCTGCCTATTCCCCACCGCTAAGCAATACAGGGGACGGACTCCGTCACTTCGCCTACCAGAAGGAAGCAAAGTTTTACAACGGCGTCACCATGGACGACATCCATGCGGAGGGTTCTGTTGTCAACGGCATTGGCGGTATGTTGGCAATTGCCCAGGTATTGATATATGCGCCGGCTGATTGCGCTTAGCATGGTCTGAGAAGGGCATCGTAGGCCGCGGCGTGTTGTTAGATTTCCACAGCTGGAGACTTGAGAACAACATTCCGTACGAGCCGTTCAAGACTGGGTCGATTCCGCTAGAGCAACTCAAGGCTGTGGCGGAAGCTCAGGGGGTAAAGATCAAGTTTGGCGACATTCTCATCATTCGCTCTGGCAAGGCTTACGGTGGTTCTTTCGGCGGCCGTTTCTAACAGTGTTCCAGGATACATGGCTGCCTTTAGCGAATTGAAAAAGGACGAAATCGCAGCCTTGGCAAAAGTCATGCCTCCCACTTTCTCAGGAGTCGAACAGAGCGAGGAGGTGCTGGAGTGGATCTGGAACAATTTCTCTGCTGTGGCGGGAGATCAACCATCGTTTGAGTGTTGGCGTATGTCTGCCAAACCCTTGTTTATGGGGCGCACTATCTGACGGGGGAGTAGCAACTCAGAAAGACTTCATGCTCCACGAGGTCCTACTGGCCGGTTGGGGGTGCCCGATCGGTGAACTCTTCGACCTGGAAGCTCTTTCGGAACACTGTAAGAAAGCTGGAAGGTGGTCGTTCTTCATCACGAGCGAAGTGTGCAATGTAAGTTCTCCTGTCGAGGCAAGCATACAGATGGATTGATACGTCGTAGGTGCCTGGAGGTGTGGCAAGCCCGCCGAATATACTTGCGATATTTTAATGATATCCGTGAGTTTCGAGGAAGGAGCGGTTCGAAGGAAGAGGCGGTTGCGATTTGTGTGTCACGCCTAGACCCGAATGAATTGAGTAGTAAGGACTGATTGAACCCCATTATCGGCATTGGGATCTTATAAGTTTGAAAATTTGACGCAATTCAAAGAAGGGAGATACGAATACACATGATATCGAATACCGGGCTCGTGATGTTTTCCAACACGGGGCGATGCTGCTAAGTAACAACACAATGAGTGGATATTGATACCACCTCTAGAGACAGACATGCTCCGTATTCTTCCGCATCGTTCTAGCTCATTAGTGATCTGCCGCCGACTGCCAGTCAACATTATTGAACCTAGGAGCCTCGTCCGAAACCACCGGCTCCTCCGTAGTCACGTTGTCGAGATTCTCCTCAAGCCCAGCCCCATTCTTAGTGTTGGTCGCCTCCGGCATCTCTTCCAAGAAGAAATTGCTTTTGTGAATCCACATGGAGCCGACCTGAACATAGTTCTCTTTTATCTCCTTCCGAGTCACCACCTTCCTCTTCGGCGTCTCCGCTACGGCGAACTCACTCTTCCAAACCCACTTGCCGTTGATACGAACATGGGTCTTATGCTACTCCCCCAAGGTCACGTACTTCCCCTTCGGCCTCGGCTTCAGCTTCTCCTCCACGCGGGGCTTGGGCTTTCGAATCCGCACGCCGTTGGCATCGTATTTGCCGTTAGCCAGATCCTTCCAGATCTTCGCATTTCGCTCCCGCACCTTGGCATCGCGAGACTCGCCATTGGGCCAAGACTCGGCGTACCTGGACGGCCTAGAATCCTCCAGATGAGAGTCGTGGACGGAGTTGGCATCGTCGAAGTATCTCATTGTGGCGTATGCAGGATCCTTAAGCTCATCCATCCACACAGTTGCGCCAAGACTCAAGCCCGACATGTCCCCCCGATGCCTCCTTTGCCATTCGTATAGAAGCTCGGCCCAGCGCGCGCGTCTGTCGGCCTCACTTTCGAGATACTTGATAGATGCTGCGGCTCTGCTTGAGGGGTCAGTGTCATGGGCGATTGGAAGGGACTTGGAGACGTTGTATCCATTCGTGGGCGAAGCTGTTACACACTCGCTGGGGATGTAGGATGTGATCTGGTGCATGGCCCCTCCGATGACAGTCTGAGCTGATATGGTTGATGAAGGCTGCGGTTTGCATTCGAGGACGGGTTCGTAGTGATTGATGCTAACGTCGTCAGATTTTGAAGAATAACTTTGTGAGCTGCACTTTGCGAAAGCGAAGCGGTTTTTAGAGTGGGCAAAGCCGATTACTTATACTAAGTACAAGAGTACGACGTTGAAGCCAAGATCAACCAAGCTTTTGGGCGGAGCTTCAATCCACTGGTGGGGTATAACAAATCCATGGTTCAGGGTTGAGCGGATACCAAGACCCGGGGTGCCGCACGTTATTGGATTCTACTTACCACGTTTCCGCGGATGCTCCCGACAAAGTGTCCACTTCTCCCCGTGCAAACGGATCATTCGACTCCCACAAACCGGTATTGTGGTCGACGTGGCCAGCATCCGGGTTCTTGAGCGCTTGGAGCTTCTCGTTGAAGCTTGTCTGTGTCAACAGTTCCTTGGGAGAACGGCTGGCTGAATCTGTGCTAAACTCGGAGGCGTGTGTTGCGCATGGTTTGTTTGGTACTGTTGAGAGATCTTCAAATGGGTCCTCCAATGGCAAGATTGTGCCCGGCATCGGTGTCGGCAGTGCCTGTGGGGCTTCGGCTGCCGCGGTTGACAAGTCGAGTTTTCCAAGGTGGTGCCTCGCATGAGATTCTCGGGTCGGTAAGTGCGCCGCCCAGGTGATCATGGGAGTAGGATCGGGCACACTGCCGACGATAAATTCGCTCTTCTTCGTTTCCTCGGGTGTGATGACCTCCGATCCCTCAAGCGAGCTTTCCGTGGTCGGCAAAGGAAGCAGGCAAATTGCACTGTCTCGCTTAACACAGCGGACTGGAACAGGCGAAGAGTGATGCACTTCAATAGGTGCCGGCGGATACATATGCTGAACGTGCAAATCATTGTGAAGTAGAGCCCCACGCCTAGAAAGTCTGGTTGAGCTGGAAGCCGTATCGCAGAACAGATCGTATTCCTTCTCGCCGTAGCTACCCAGGCCACCGGTCGGAATGTCGACGTCGACGGAAGGAGCCTCTGACGCGACAGTGGAAGCAGAACGCTGTTCTTCGGACGCGTTCATCATGATGATTGCCTGCACATAATGTTCAGCATTACGAAGCTTCCAAAAGACACCACGCCTAAGCGATTATACGAGAATATAGTGTGTTGCGAGACTCACATCTCGACCAGTTCTCCGTCCAATACTGGATGCTGCGAATCTTTTGATCGCATCGGACTTCGAAGTATTCCTCTTGTGGTGGGGACTTCCGTCTTGAAATTCTTGACGAGCTGTTGGACTGCCTAGCACGGAAGCGCGCTGACGTCTCTTTGAGCGGCTGAGGGATCCCAGCGAGAATGTTTGATATTTGCTTGAAGGAGTCTGAGGGCAGCTCTCTTCGTCACCGGCTCGCGCCGGGTCCACGATGTCCTTGACGCTTGGTCGAGATCGCACGAGCTTTGCTTTGAGACTGCCGAGGAGCGTTCGTCGAGACCATGACTTCAAACCGTCCATAGCAGCATCAGATCCGACCGGCCTATCCAAGTCTCGGGCTATGGAGGTCCTGGTGTTTTCCATTGTGGCAAGCGCTTCGAATATACTCAAACGATCAGGTGAACGAGTTTTGAGACAAGAGAAGGAAAGCAAACGTTGATATGAATTTCGATTTTCTGTTGATACTGCTCAAAAGATCAAGGAAATGCTCCGATTCGATTGTGTATGCAGGTAACTACCATTGCTTTGGAAAGAGCCACTACGTGGAAAGCAAGCAAAGGTGCTTTCTTCATATGTCCTTACCTCATGCAGCTGTACGGAGGAGCTGCTGTGTTGCGCTTGGCATGTTGCGAGGAAGCTTCGATTCAGCAGACCAACCGTTCTACATATGCAGCCTATCAGGCAAGTTCATGTGGTCTGCCTGGAAGCCATAGGGGTAGATTAAGGCTCACCAGAAGAGCACTCGAGACTCCTCGCCGTGGAGTCGAACGTACATTATGGCTATGGGGATGGCGACAGTGTCTTCATGCTACGTCCAATCTATGAGATCACGGCGCAATCTGTAGCGCCCGTTCTTGAAAGCCATGACGCCGGCGTGTGAGGGATGGGGAGGTATAGTAGCGGTCTCTTCGTCGCAGCTTTCTGCTAAGTGTGTCGGAACTCTTAGCGGAAAACAACTGTCACTCCATAGCGTAGGGCACTCCAAGTAAGGCTATAAGAACCACTGCCACAGGTGCATCTAATCCATAAATAATCATACAGATATACTTTTGTACAGGTTCGATAGCCATCTATAGCCTTTTTCTGGCGGTTTACAGCTGGATTTGATTCTCAAGAGCTTGCAAACTAGCCCAGCTTGCGGCAGCTTTAGATTAGATGCAGAAGTCTTGGCGCGGCCGCGAGCTGTGAAGCTTTCAGAAGTGAACTTCCTCCGTGAATCCTGCAGCACCAGGAGTCTCCGACAGCGCTATCCCACGATCGCTCTGGCCTTTAGCATATTCCGAGTCGTCCTAGTGTCTCTTCGCAAACTGATAAACTGCCGCCGCAATGGCTGCCGAGAGAGAAGCCGTGTCGTTTGACGCGATGATCCAAGCAGGTGCGCTCAAGCTCCTGTGAGCTGTTTCGATTATATCGCTGTAGCTGACGAGCTGTACTCCCGCAGACCGTAAAAGAAGAAAAGATGAAGCCCTTGCGAATGAGATCTTTGGCAAAAATCGACGACCCGCAGCATCTGGAGCTGGCGCAAACCGCAGCGCGATGACAGGCCCAGGAGCAAGCCTTGCCAGCAGGGTCGGCGTCACAAAGGTCTGCCAGGCAGAGGCGCATTCTGCGCGCCTCATAGCGAATATACCAGTCTTGCTGACATCTACTCAGCCCGCACAACGCTCCGCGACGTCTACCCCCAAGCCTGGTCTTACCACGAGCTCGTCTTTCACCAACCAAGCCCCTAACGCGCGCGTCTCCCGCATCGGGCAGTCTTCGCGATCGAACTCTGCCTCCCGCCTTGAACAGCGGCACAATCGGCTATATGACTCTCTTCGCTCCGACACCGTGACACCAGTCACCGCTCAAGCCAATATCATCTCCCGACCACCTCAAAATGGCGCCGTTAACACGCGCGCACCGCAAAATGGCTACGCGAATGAGCGCGCCCCGGGTATAACTATCCGAGGTATGGGCAGTGAGGGTCCCTATTGCGTCGTCGCTTCGAACTTCGCGCCTGGTACTACCGCAGCGGACATCGAGGCCGTAATGGCGCCGATCGGGGGAGAGATGGTTAGCTGCAAGCTCGCTGCGGCGAAGCCGACTGTGATCGCCGAGATGCTGTTCACTGAGAAGACCGGTGCGGAGAACGTGATATCGATGTTCAATGGCAAGAAGGTACGTCCTTCAGCTGCGTGTAGTGATGATTTTGTGGTCGACAGAGCTTGTAATATCTTAATGACGGCGCGAGCATGGCATGAACTTCGAGACTAATCCATTCATACCAGGCCGACGGACGCGTTCTCTACGTGTACATGAAGCAAGCGCCACCACAACAGGAACCGCACCAGTTCTACAACAGCGCACATTCCCGACCATCGGCCGCGGCTCAGGCATTGAGGCCTGAGCGCGATCTGATGGAAGTGGACGACGAGCCGCCAGCACCGGCACCAGCGCCCGCACCAGCTCCCGCTCCGACACCGGCTGCGGCTCCAGCCCCTGTGCCTGCTCAGGGGGAAGAGTACAACAAGCCCATCCGGCGGGCGGAGCCACAGTACCAGGACGGACGATATGGCTTCAGTGAGCATGCGCCGCGGGATGATAGGAGGGATGACAGGAGGGACGATAGGCGGGATAACAGAAGGGGCAGGGATGGCTATAGGCTTTACTCGGATGGGCTAGGTAGACGAGACTGGGGCTACGGGCGATGAATAGGGGTTCTGCACATTGCGGCATCAGCGTGGCGTCGGCGGCGAACATGGGAAAAGCTCTGGGTCATGAATGATCGTTGGATGGTCTAACCATGCTGTACAAGCGAGAATGGACTCATTCTAATAGTTGGCGAGCTTCTTGGATTGTGCTTGCCGCTGCAAGCTATCTAGGTATCAAGGATCCATCTCTTTGGTGTTCGTCGTGCGGCGTTTGATACGGAGCTTAGCATGACTTCAAGAAATCGACAATCATCTTCATGGAGTAGCTTTGATACAGCCATTGTCGCAAGGGATGATAAAGCACGTAGAATCCGCGGATAGAGCACTCCGACCCCCTGTGATCATGCGTAGTAAAGTACCACAGTACCCCCGATACCTTAATGAATCCACGCTCTGTACAACTTTGTAAGCGGACTGCACCAAGGTAGTTCCCCGTTAACGGCCTGCACGAGTTCAGCGCTTCCTGTTCGTATGATAGGGAGTTGCTGATATGAACTGTATGGGGTAGAGTCGTCGGTTCTCGACCAAAGACGAGGCGGTGGCAAGATCCATGTTCTTTTACGTTGATAGCCTTGTGGCCTTGTGCAGTACCTTGATGGCTCAAAGGCAGTTCGGCGACGTCGCGCATCCGGGGCTGATCCCTGTAAGCTGACTCGAGCTCCGAAACGAACCACCCTCTTGTGCGTCCCTCTTCCACCTTCATTCATTCCGCGACTCCTTGCTTCGTGCGCCACATAGAACAATATCTATTTAAAATTCTAACGCTGTGCTTTAACTACGAGATGGCGATCGCGGCCACAGAGACTCCGCAAAAGGTTCCAGAAATGGACGAAGCGCAATGCCGAGCAGCTCTTGCGCGCCTGGATCAGCTGCGGCAGACAGTTCGTTTGCTTCCAATACTTCACTATCTCGTACCTATACTGAGCTTGCACTTAGCTTGACGAGGTCCGCCTCGCAATCCCAGACATTCTGAGTACACTCAATGACCCACATGCCTCGCCGGCGCGTTTCCTCGCAAACTTTACCGGCGCAGCGGTGGATGCGCAAAAGCGCTTGGAGACCTTTAAGGTCACATGGCGGAATGAGGCGACACAGGAGCTGTTCGAGCGTGCGAGACAGAGCCTACAAGCGAACTCTGATTTGAGCGCTGCCGCGACGGTACCCATGTACGGCTGGGCAGAAACGGATCTCGTGGATTCTGAGAAGACGGATGATGCAAGCAGTGCCAGAGCGCTTGAACATGGCATTGTGGAAGACGGCGGACACTTTGATCAGGTTGACGTTGCACGGGTTGTGGATGACTTCCGGAAAGCGCATCCAAACTTCAATGTCGACCTTGAAGTTTGGAGGAAGGAAAATTGGGTTATAAATGTATGTGTGTTGTCTCACTGTCAAGCTGTCATCTTGCTGACGTCTGCAGATACAATATCAAGCACCGAGGATCTTCTTGAGGTTCAGCATTAGAAGATACAAAGGCCGCAACGATGAAGCCGTGCTTATGGCGGAATGCCTGGGAGAAATGAAGCTCTTTCCTGCAATTACTAGGTGTCTCGCATCGCGACCCGACCCCAACAATCTGCCATACCTCCTGGTTTGTTCTCTGCCACTCCATGCTCCACAATCCATCTGACATCGGTAGGAAATGATCGCCGCATATACAAATACGAAGACAGTGAGATGCGCCAAATGCAACCACGGAATAGAATACGGAGCCGCGATAAGCCCAGCCGCCAGGAGAAGCAGGCAGGTCAAGAATGCCGATGGAGTCACGACAACCGTCTGGGACGCCTTCCACGAGAGCTGCCTCCCTACACCTCACAGCTAGAAATTCCACCCCGGCTGAGGCACCCCTCTATGATGTATGTACATGTCGTGCCAGTTGGCCCTCATACAGCGATAAGCCCGCGGGACCTTGTACTGGCCGTTGGGTTCTTCCGGCCACAACGCATCGATCCAAGTCGCTCGATCGGGCCTCTTGTACGTGCGTGTGCGGAAGTCGTACCTCTTGTCTTCTTCGCGGAACGGGCGCACCCAAGGCGCTGCGCGCAGGGCAAAGTCTGGTCCCTGCTCATGGGGCATGTCAGTCCAGCGGGACCATCTGGCCCTAATGGGCCAGTTGTAAGGTCGGACGTTTCTTTCGCCGCCGATGGCGAGATGGATGTCCGGGCCCTTGTTCTGCAAGATGTCTTTGAGTCGGCCCATCTTCGTTCCGCGCTTTCCGTCTTTGGGCCATATAAAGGCGTAGGATGGCTTTCCTGTTGTGGTTCCTCGTCGCAGGCGTCGACCGTTTGGGGTGACCCAGCCTATGCCTGGGATAAAATCTCGTTGTGGTGGTCGCCAAGGGTGATGCACGGGCCTGTAGTCGACTCCCCGGTTGAAGTTCATTGTCGGTCGGTGAGACTCGTTGTTTTGTTGGTTGATGATGTCTCCTGTTGAGTGGGAGTCGATCTCGAGATGAGTTGGCTGGGAGATGTTTGATAGTCAGGTGCTGGAGAAGCAGTTGTCTCTGTCAATGAAGTGCTTCTGTGTTCCAGCTTATATGATCCCTTGCAATCTTCTATCTGCCTTCCACGGTTCTTCTGTTTGATCAAACACGTCTATGGCGGTGCTTTACTGACACCTGGCAAAAACAATTCTTTTGCTGTCTGCATGGCGATCTGAAGGCTAGCAACACAACAAACGGTTACGATACCCTTTCAAACACACCTAGAAGTGCGTGTCAGCATTTCTGCGCATCACACGCGACGCAGTTGAGGTCCTGTCCACCAACTCAGCCCAGCGTTCTACCACGAGACCTCATATCTCGCCTTATGAGGAGAACTAGCTCGTCCGCATTTCTCCGCTTCGGCACGTCCACCCTGAGATAGGGCCAGCCGCTTCTGATCTCCTTGCCTTTTATTGTCACCATTTCTATCAGGCGATCACGTTAGCACTTGGATATCTTCTGGCAAATGTGTACATGGAAAGAGAAGCTCGGTCGTAGTTGTTGAGGGATCCTGTGGTCCTACACCAACGTGAGCAGTCAGTCCTAGCTCACAAGCGGAAGTACCACAGCCAGCACAAGCACGATTGGACTACTACATTCGTCGGCTTAGGCTGCCTCACTGAAGCTTCAGTTCAACTCCTTATCCAATTATCTGGTATATCTGTGAATATTCCGCACGAGAGTGCAGTGGGTCCATCAGCAAGAAACGTTGGAGTATTAACTTCTACATGTAGACTAGGTAGGTGATTGATAGTCACAATTAGCTTTGTGTAGCAAAGTGATCAAAGATGATCAAGGAAGATCAAAGATGAGCGCAATACATAGACCGCAGGATTTGAAGAATCTGAATGTTCCCGTATCATTCAGTTGCAAGTGCCTCTTACTTGATGTTTGACTGTCGCTGGGTGAAGTCGGAGTTTCAGTCCCAGATCTGCCGACGATCGTGGAAGCTGCTCCGCCGAAACACGACCACCAAAAAGTTCCACGCAAAAGACACGGACGCGTCAAGCCGCCAATAGAGCTGCCCGCCAGCTTCAACACGCCAACCCTAGCCTCTGCGCCTTACCTCCCTTCTCCACCATTTATCCTATGTCCCAAGATGTCCAACATCTTCGGCAATCTGAACAATCAGCCTAAGCCCGCAGGCTCCAACATCTTTGGTAACCTGGGCCAAACAACGACCACAACATCGCAAACGACCCCTTCACTATTCGGTGCAGCACCTACCACGACTACCTCATCCGGCTTTTCCTTGTTTGGCACAGCTCCAGCAGCATCTAGTGGATCTCTATTCGGTAATCTAGGAGGCAACAAGACCACAGCACAAACCGCCCCATCGCTAAGCGGCTCTACCCTGTTTGGCTCACCTGCCCCTTCACAGCCAGCACAACAGTCGAGCGGCGGCCTCTTTTCAGGCTTGTCCGGGGCGTCAAAGCCGCCAGCGCCAAACTTGTTCAATGGTCTATTCGGAGCTCAAAATCAAGCACAACAGCCGGCCTCAGGAACTGCCACGTCGCAGCCTGCACCGACGCAATCGCTCTTTGGCGGGCTAGGTCAGCAGCAACAGCAACAGCCTGAGCAAACGCAGCAGCAGCAGCAACCGCAAAATGGTCCATCAGCGCAGGCAGCGTACTTCGACCACCTGCTCGAGCGCGGCAAGAAGAGGAACATGCAGGATGGGGCGAGCGTATTTGGGGAGCTGCCCAGCTTACAGTTGGGGCTTGGGGACATAGCGCGCAAGGTCAGGAATTTGGGGACTGGTGGGCCTAGCGCGCAGGCCGCAAAGGGGGACAGCAGGGCGTAGGCTATGATGTCGATCCGAGGTTTCTCACAACACGTTACTGACCATCTGATTACAGTCATTACCTCCTTGCAGCGTCAGGCGTTCAGACAGGTCCTGCTCTCCGCGAGCTCAACTCCTTCAGCGTTTCGGCCGGCGTTGGCGCCCCATCCTCGCTCCCACCCGTAGACACTGACCTGGACGCGTACGTCTCGAATCTTCGCACACAGTCCACACTCGATCTCATTGCGGAAGGCTTGGAGCAGTCCAAACGTGACTTCGACAATTTCTTGGAGGAGAATGTCCAGATTGAATGGGATGCGCAGCGTAGGAAGATATACGAGCATTTTGGGTTAGTGAGGAAGGACGAGCCGCTCAACCTTAGCACCAATGGCGCCTCGACCAGCACACCCGCACAACGAGGCGCATTTGGGAGATCGTCGCGCAGAGCAAGGCCTTTGAATGCGTCTGCGTTCGGCGCTTCTGGCATGGCCCGGTCGGTGCTTGGGGCTGCGCCAGGCACTGTGACCGAGCAAGGCGAAAAAGTGAGTTTCGAAGACGGCTTCAGCAGGCAGCGAGCTAACATTTCGTGCAGCCCCCAGAAGACAGGTTCTCGAGAGAGAAGCAAGAGAAGTACTCCGAGAAGGTCAAGCAACTCAACACGCTGAGACAGGATGGCTACGTCTATCCTGTAATACAGAACTTTGCTGAGGTGGAGGCACAAGCGGGAGTTGATGTAAGTAAATTGACCCTTCTTCTTAGTGGAGGTACTGACGGCAGCATCAGAGCACGTCCCAGTTGGTCGACGCGTACAAGGCGTTGGTCGACATAACAGGTGAAGATGCGAGCAAGCAACTACAGTCCGATGCTGGTGCAGTCAAGGAGCGACAGTACGCAAAGGACTATCTAGACGAGGCGCCGAATTCGCAACGAAGTATAGCTATCCGGAAGCGGATCCTGGACGGCTCGCGCAGGTTCTTGGAGAAATCATTCTACCGTCAACTTGAAGCTGCAATAGCAAAAAACCCGCGGGAAGCCAATCTTGGTGGCGTCCCATCCACTTTGAACAAGATTCGTGCCTACATCCGACTCCGCTCTGCGAGGAAAGAACTAGGTGCCGACAATGTGCAACTTCAAATGCTCGGCGACGACTACTGCTGGGTTCTGATCTTCTACCTCCTGCGATGTGGTCTTGTCAGAGAAGCGGCACAGTACGTCATGGACAATGAGCGTGCCATGAAGAGCATGGACCGGCCATTCCCACAGTTCATGATGGCCTACGCCAACAGCGAAGACAGGCGCTTGCCGCCGGACATGCAGAGGTCCATTAGCGGCATATACAACCAGCGCGCCCATGTAGCGGTGGACGAAACTCAAGATCCGTACCGTTTGGCCTGCTATAAAATCCTGGGTCGCTGCGAGCTAAGCAAACGTAGCTTCGACAGGATCAACCAAGGCATGGAAGACTGGGTATGGTTGCAGTTCAATCTTGCTCGAGAAGTCAGCCGCGTAGAGGAATCAGCAGGAGAGGCATTCGGCCTTGAGGATCTTAGGGCTACGATCAAAGAGATAGGCCAGCGGCACTTTCCCGCCGGATCAGAAGCCGCTGGGGGTGGAGCGGTGTACTTCTTCCTGCAAATACTTTCTGGGCTGTTTGAAGAAGCTGTCGCGTATCTGTATCGGCACAACTACGTGTCAGCAGTGCATTTTGGTATAGCGCTGGATTACTACGGTCTGCTTCGCGTCTCGGACTTCAACGTTGCCGGGTCAGATCTCTGTAAGTTGGAATTGGGTGCCTGTTTCTTCACTCGGAGCTAAGCTGACCTGCTATACAGTGACCTATACAACCAAGAATCAGCCTCAGATCAACTTCGCCCGCATGATAGGAATGTACACAGCCGACTTCCGTGCGGCAAAGGCTGAGACGGCTGTCGATTATCTCGCTCTCATCTGCCTAAACGCTGATCTGCCCGGACAACTAGGTCAATCACAGGCCACAGTGTGTCACGAAGCACTGACCGAGCTCGTACTGGAAACGCGCGAGTTCGCGCAGTTGCTCGGCGATATCAGGAGTGATGGCTCCCGAATCCCAGGATGCATAGAACAGCGAATGAGAGTGATCAAGGTTGCCGATCAACGAACCTTTCTCAAGAGCATCACCGTTCGAGCAGCCTCAGTAGCCGACGACAGCGGCCGCATCGCTGACGCGGTGCTTCTATACCATCTCGCAGAGGAGTACGACAACGTGGTCACCATCCTTAACCGCACCCTTTCCGAAGCCTTAGCAGTCGACCTAGGCCAAGACTCCATGCGCCTCGAGCCCCTGCGGCCCCGTCAACCCCAATCCAACTCCCCAGGCCAGCAGCAGATCCAAGACAGCAACAGCAGCCTCAGTCTCACAAGCGTTGAAGACCCCGCCATCCTCGCCCAAAACTTCGTGCGTGTTTACGAACGCAACGCCATGTACGAGCGCAAGATCCGGGCCGAGAATCGCGACGTCCTGAGGCTCCTCCTTAAGATCAACACCGTCAAAACGCACATCTCCGCCGGCCAGTGGGACGCAGCTCTCGACGCCGTCGTGGAGACCTCGCTACTCCCCATCAACGCGAATGGCTCGCTTCCAGCTATCAGAGCTGCGGCGCAGAACTTCAACCAGAGCTCCACGGTGCTGTCGAAATGTATTCCGAACTTGCTTGTTTGGACGATTCTGGCGTGTGGACGACAGAGGGAGCATTTTCTGCAGGGGCAGTTTGAGCCGAAGGCGAAGGAGGAGAGGGCGGAGAAGTATCTGTCCGTCGCTCGGGATTTGATGGTGTTTGCCGGGTTGGTTAGGTTTAGACTTCCGCCGAGGGTTAGTGAGATGTTGGCGAGGGTTGGCCAGGATGTTGGTGTTTGATTGAGATAGAAAGCGTTGTGACTATCAGGGAAAGCATTTTAAGCTGTGGGATGCTTGTTGTGCGGTAGATGTATGCTGCACTTCTTACAGCGTGTGGGACAGACGAGTGATAACTTGCATCATAAATAATGGGATATATTGCCTGAAAAATCGAGTGAAGCTGTAGTGGCCAGGTATATACATATCAATCGCTCTGTACCTAAACCTGAAGTTGGGGTTAACCCTCGAGCTCAATCACAATTCAAACCCTATACTAGGTATGACGATATAAATTTCATCCAGCACAAGAGCTCTCCAAGCTCCTGGCAGAAGCCGAAGATTTGCCGCGCATCCTGCATTCAGAATCTTTTCCCTGAGCAACACCGCGCTCATCAACAACAGTAATACAACCTCACCAGAACACTTCCTGCTAGTTAGCGACGTCTGAGCTAGCTTCCGCGACCTTCTCCTGAGCTTCACGCCGCGCGCGCACCCGCGAATACACCTCTCGATATCCACGTCATCCAAGCCCCATCCCAGCTTCAACATCTCGGTCACCGAATCCATCTCTAATAGCCACCCTCAAGACTCCCACCCTACGTCACCATGCCCGCCAAACGCCAACCCGTCTCCGTCTACAACGGCAACGCGCCGCAGCCGCAAGGTTACGCAAAAGCCGTCATCGACGGCCTCACAGCGCCCGAGAACCGGAGTGTCCTGACCGCTGTCGGACTGTTCGCTGTATGTTTCCCCCCTGCGCCGGCAAAGGAGATATCTGGGGGCTGGGAAAGGTGATGTAAGGGGCTGGGCTGATATACTGGGATGACTATAGGCTGGTGTTGCGTTTCTGCATAGTAGCTGGAGCGAGATTTTGCTTCCTCCGTAAGTTCCTGAAGGAGTATGGGGGTAGTATTGAAGCGGTATTGACGCTGACACGGGAACAGGGCGTAGAGGATGTTCTCGTTGCGGTTTGTGTTGGTGCGGCCGGTGCGGTCGATGCGACAGCATGGCTACAAGCGGCTGGGAGGGTACACAACAGCCATACAAAGGGGATAGGGGAAAGGGGCTGCGCTGCTATACGATAGCGTGTGGAGTGGTCGTGCATCATACAGCATCTGAGAGGCGTACATGGGGATTCCGCTCGCACGATTTCTTGGAGTAGTTTGAGCGCTGCATATTCACAACATGGCTCAGAGGCTTTGTTTTAGGGAAAGCGCTTTTTGTTCAGTGGTAGTGTGAATATTTTCAGCCAGTATTGCTCAGATCACTTATCTTCAGAAGTGATACTGTGGTTCAATGAGCATCCTGTGACTTCTACGATGCCTAGTAGCCTCTAACCAACCCTCCCCATCGCGGCTATCAGGACCTGTATACGCTCTTCGCGACTCTTCCCTACCTTAACACAGACTGAGTCCAACCGTGCTAGTAGCTGGACACAGCCTCAGGTCTACGTCCCAGGCGCACTCTCGCAAGATCCTAGTACTCAAACGCGTCGCAGCACAAGGCAGCCTGACCGCAACTCAGCCTCTCCGCTGAAAGCGATGCCTATTTCCCCTCATATGAAGAACAAGGCACAACCGGCCCCCAAGGCATGCGGAGAATCCTTCCGCGTCACGGTTGCTGGGTGCTGCGTCTTCCGGCCGAGAGCCAGGCACACTGAAATGAATTGATAACATAGCCCCAGGCTGCATTCCTCCATCGTGAGCGTGGGACTCGGCAGCTTCTCGCACTGCTGCCTCAACAGCCACGCGTCTTCCGCACCGTCTCATGCGCGGGCCGCTTCACCAAGCCTGACTGCCTTACGAGTGAAGATTCTGCCGCGGCTTTGGCCTATTTGACTTTTGCAACAAATGCCATATTGCGACAAATGCCATATTGCGGCTGCAGATGCTGTGTGGTGACGTGATGACCCTTTTTTCATGATGATCGTGACCCGAGGCTCACAAAATCTCTGCGCGGACAGCCAGGGTCTATTGCCATCGTTATGCCATCCATTATGCCATCTCTTACAACATCCTAACATTATAACATCCTCGCCGTCGAATCGCACGAAATCTTTTCCGCTACGCTACGGAGCTATCCACGGCCGAGTCAAGGCCGGCGAAGCGGCGAGATAGATGGCCGATAAGAATCCGTGGATTGGCCGAATTAAGAACCCGCAGCCGAGCGGGCCCGTTTCCCCCTCCGTCGCATTCGTGATTGCACACGCGGCGCCCGAGGCGGTGGATCGCGGTTTTTGGCGCTAAGCCCTGACGATTCGGTGCAGGGGGCAGGGGTAGCTCGGCGTGAGCGAGCTGGAGATTCCGTAAGGTTGTCTCGGCGTTAAGGAGTTAAGCGAATAGGGCGTCAGCTGAGTGCGCGTTGTGATGCTTAGGTCAGATGTGGAGAGTTTTGGGTTCGTTGCACCAAGGAGGATGGAGTCTGAGGAGAGCTGAGTATTGATGATGTTTTAGTTTGATTGTGTGAGCTATCTGAGTCTCGACCCCATGATGAGGGGGAGAGCTACCCTGAAGTCCGTCGTTCGTGATCCTCCCCAGCAGAAGAGGAAAGAAATGGTACATTGAGTGGAATGCTGCCTCGCGGCCTGCCCGCCTGCGCCGCTGATTCCTGCCTGAATGCAAAGAAAGTGAAAAACGTGTTGATATCATGCGCTGCCCAAACGCCTGCGCTGATCAAGATCGCTTGCTCTGTACGCTTGAAAGAAAGACAAATGCAGCCAAGAGCCCGCTGATGTGTGCGCATCATGCTGCCGCGATGAGTGGTGCATTCCTTTCCGGTATGAAGAAGCCTTCTTGGTCAAAGGCTGACTGCGCCGATGCCGAGAGCGGTGCGTGCTTCTCGTCGAAGAAGCCAGTTGTGACAATGGCTTTCCTCTGCTTCTCCGTGTATTCGATGGTGATCTGAGGCGGTGATGTTGGCGGTGACTCGTCGTCTGAGTCTTCGTCGTGCACGAGCTCTGGTGGTGAAGCGGAGGAAGAGACGCGGGTGAGTGCGTGCTCCTCGTCGTACTCCTCGTCCTCGTACATGTCCTCATCGTCGTGAATGGTGGCTGGTCGTGGTGACGGTATCCTTCTGGGAGGGCTGATCATCTCAAAATCCCCCTCGTCGATGTCTGAATCCGAATCGCTGTCTGAGGTGTCTGACTCTCCATCCCACTCCTCCCTTGGCTCCTCCACGATGGTGTCTGCCCACTCGATGTGTGCTGACTCCGTTCTCCTGGAAGCGTTCTTCACTGTCTCGTTGAACCAAGCATCCTGCTCCCGCTCGGCCTCCTGGAGATCAAGCATGAGCGAGTCGAGGAGATTTGCGTGGCCGACGAGGAGTCTGAGGTTGTGGTCAGGCCGGGAGGCTTCCTTGCCCAGCTTTGACCTGGCCGAGGCGGCGATGTAGTAAGTTTGTGTGAGGCTCATCTTCTGCTTCTTCTGGGGTGGCTGTGGTGAGGCTGCCGGCAAATAGGTGCGAGTAGTCTCTGCTGAGAAAGGTTCGAAATGTGCCTGGAGACGGAGGTGTGAAGGCATTATGGTGTGTATGTGTGTGTGTTTAGGCAGAAGAGTTTTATGAAGTGCCTTTGGGTGAGTCAGTGCCTGAAATCTTTTCTACTCAGACGTGCATGAGGGAACTTACGATAGTTAAGCAGGCAGTCGGGTAGCGCGGCGCAGGCTTGCCGGTTCTGATCGAAGGCGGTCTGCGAGTGCGATGTGACACAGGGATGTGGTTCGGTAGGGCTAGCGTCCGTTGGTGGTGACCAGCACAGGCTATCGAGCGTTGATAATGGATTTGAATTTTCGTTGACTGCTTGAGGGGCTTTGTGTCTGTAGTTGGATGTTCGACTGGTGGAAATGTGTGCTGAGCGGGCGGAGGCAGACTTCTTTATGTTCGTGACCGACGCTGGTTCGGCGCCCTGGTTCAGCATCAGGATGACACCGCAACCAAGCAGCCAAGCGGGAAACACGGACGTACCGTAACTCCATGCAAGTCTGCCAACGGAGCTTGCGGCCTGGCGGTGACCAAGAGACAGCCCGAAGCCGGACGTTACCAAGCACCGACGCGACAAAACCCCTGCAACACTGCTCGCCAAAGCCAGTCGTACCCTGGCACGAGCGATGAATCACCGCTGAGCCGTCCGCAATTCCCACTCAAGCCCTTGGAACGATCCCAGGGCGGATTACGCAGCAGCCTCTCGGCCGACTTGTCGACATTTCGTGCGCGCCTTTCGCATGCGACATTATTCATCCGTCACCGCGTGTGTTTGATCTGTCCTATCGCATCCCTTCCTTGGATGATTCATTCGGAGACATTCTCATCACGCAAGGCCGCTTCACCGACCGCGGTTTCAAGCCCCAGGGCACTTCTCGCGATGAGTCCTATCAACACGCCGGCCATCAGATTACTCAAAACCCGCTGCCGTGCGCTCTCAGTGTGGCTGCCTGACACAGCCCTACACATGTATCTTTTTCTCGCTTGGCTGGCCATGCATGCGACGCTGCTGAGGTGTTCCTCCTGATCTCCTGCGCGAGCCTCGCAAAGCTGACGCGACGCACGCGACGCCCAAGGACATGCAGCTGCTCTCCAACGCAGCCACCCAATCTCTCGCAAGCCTTCCCGCAAGCCTTTCCTACACCTGTTGCACGGAGTTGCCGCAGATCACAGGCCTTGTTTCTGCAGTGGACTAATTAGGAAATCCACGATATCGTAAAGCGACACTGCCCACTGCGACGCTGTACCTGGGAAAGTCGACTCTCGTTTGGAATTCGATAGGAAATGTGTTGATGTCGTGACCGCTTTAGAGCACAATATGCACCGTCCAGTTCCATGACAACCTGCATCGTTGCGACATTTTGCGGAGGCAGTCACCCCTAACGTTATGCACCGCTGGTTCTCGGAGCCTGCAATGTCCGTGTCGGAGACATTTCAAAGTTCACGATGTCTTTTGCCCCGCATGTGATGGTTTGACCTGTGGATCACTTGAACCACCGGCGGGGTTTCTCAAAAGTCCTGTCAGAAGACAAGACAATCCTGGGACCGGCCTCTTCAAAGCTCCGTGCATGCCGATTGTTAAGCTCACGATGAAGCTTGTCAAATTCTTCACGGTGAGCACAGGGGGTCAGCTACACGACTGCGACGACTCATCGAGGAATCAGAGGGCAGCGTTAATTGGCTGACAATCGCGCTGATAAATAATTCTCGTAGGGCTGATTACCGTGCAGTTGCTCGTCTGGCCGCTCTCGCCGAGAAGTGGGAGTCAGTGCACAGAACGATGATTTCCAATTAACCAAATCATGATGCCATCAGTGTTGTAAGACGCAGCTCCACAATCAAACGGCTTCCTGCACGCCGTGAGACAGGAGGGCGTCAGAAACACCAAGCGGTCTGCATCGCGATGGATTTCATCGCTTTCTGCAATGCAACCCTTCGCTTGCTCCCGCTCCTCCCATTGGCGTCCGTCAACTTTATTCCAGCACGCGGCCTCCGCTTGGCGATTGCTATCTGTGGTCAAAGTCAGCTTCTCGAAGGACGCTTGTGCCGGATCAAGCGTGCAGTTCCTGGTGGATGTTTCGTTACTTACATAGAACATTCTTTCGTACCTCGTATCTCATGTTTACTACATCGAGTCAAACTGCTGCGGCTGAGCGATACCGCCGTATCGTCCTCTTCAATAGACATTCATCTATTCCTGTCACACTTCATTCCTCGCTTAGCCGACTGTTGTCATGCACCATCAAGCGACGCAGTCAGCCAGCCAGCCTTACAAGAGGCGCCGCAAGGGGAACCGCATTGCAACCCTTCTGCTATGTCTCACGCCAGCCCACGCCAGCCCTAATCAAGTAAACCCGCAGTGGAAACTCACCGCCTGAGGCGCGTGCAGGCCCCTGCCGCTACCCGTTCCGTTACTCTTCCTGAATGCTGGGTTACGGAGGCGCCGATCAGCGATGCGGCTTCCCGTTATCTCCCTGCCAACGTCGTGTTGATGAGATGCTTGTGGAATTCGCTGTTTGTGCCAGGAGCACCGTTGAGTCAAATAATTCTTGAATAGAGCGCGCAGTGAGCAGCATTGTCAACAACAGCTTATTGCTATCGTCAGTAATGCTGACTGTAGATACCACGGGGAAGGTAATATTGCAATGGAACAAGGCAAGTGTTTCAAGGCAGCGAATTGTCCGCGCCGTTGGCACCTTTGCCATCGCTGATTCTTCGAATCCCTCCAAGGCTTTATGCAAACTCATGCTTCAAAACGACGTGCAGTTTTTCCAATTTCATCAGAGTTTTCAGCTATTTTACTCCCTCCAGTACCTTTAATCTAAGAATTTTTGTTCTCAAAGTTGTCGTTCTATGCGTGTTGTAATGTACACGTCACAGCAAGAGGCGGTACCAACTGGTAAGCGGTGAACAGAAGCAGGTAATGTGTCCGTCATAAGGAGGGCTACGAGACACAACAGCCCTCGCATATCCTGCTCTCACGTCCTGTTTAACACGCTATGCAAACGTCACAAAGCAACTACGCAGCTTGACACGTAACTCACAACAATAACTCTAACCAGAACATCTTGGTCAACCAGAAACATGTCACTTTACTGTTGATCTTACTTCCATAGTTACATTTGGACCATACCTTGTTCAAAGCATAACTAACAGAACTCTTACTAACCACACAACCGTCAAAATTGACCCCACCAGCATAACATCGCTCCGCCCATAGCTGGCCGCCATGCGTCCAGCTTTTCGGCGTTTACCGTCAGCGTCCTAGACACTCGGCTCCGACACGCTCACTACCACCGTAGGTTGATTACGGGCAACTGGGCATCGCCGTGATACGCCGTCTTGCTACGCGATTGTCGACGAGGAAGTCTGACTCGTCCCGATAATATCACGTACTTTCAAAGCACGCATCGCGCAACATTTGTCACACAACGCTGGGCTCAATGATAATCTATCCTATATGGCTGGGACTTACGATAGCGGCTGAACTTGCTAAGCCGGCCTCGTCGGCCTGACTCTTCTACCCAAGATTAAAGAATCGCCTGAAGTTGGGCTCCGGAACTGTATACAATCCCATAGCGAGGGCGACACTACATCGCCACGGAGCAGGCTTGCATTCTTGCGGCATCCAATCAGCGCAATACGCCAATCAGTTGACACACTCTCTCTTTCACTCCGCGGCGCAATTTTTTGATAGGTCGCCGCTCTTCTCTTTTTTCTTTTACGACGCGAGGCACCACGACGTCGAAACGCACCCTCTTGATGACAGGCATCAATTCTTCGACCCCCGTTTCTCTTCTCTTCTCTGCACGGCGCAATGCGTCAGTGGGTCAAACTCTCTTCCAACTCTCGATGGCATGCGCCGCCGCTTAGTCCGTTCCGCTTTATTCTTCGCTGCGGCGACGGAACGAGGCAGAATGGGACATGGAAGACAACATGACAGTTGACTTGAGTCTGGCTTCCACTGCCTGCACCCGCTGCGCCCGAGACCTAAAGCCACTCGCAAAGTTTCGAAATCCTTTCAAGCACGACGAGAACCTGGTCACAAGCATGGAGGGATGGAACTTGCCAGTTGAGCAGGCTTCAAAGCCATTGCGGTGGATGGAGTGGCGCTGAGCCGAGGCGAGCGATCTCTGCCGATTTGTTTTGCGGTTTTAGCGAGACTGGCTCCATGAACCTCCACTTGCGTCGGTGTATTCAACCTTTACCGTCGGTGGACCGCTGAGCGATACCTGACCTCACACTTCGCCTTTGGGCTGATACCTCTCGTGCAACCTCTTGACAGCGAGGATGAGGAGTCCCCAACGGCTGTTATCCATCAGAACCGGGTACTCCTTCCTGCTGGTGTGTTGATGTGTTGAAAATGATAAGACACGGCGAACCGTTTGTGCGAACGACAACAGTTCCGGAATTTTCCTTCTGCCAGGTCCAGTCTGTTGCGTTGACACTGAGATGATGATGAGAGATAATTGCCGAACACTACTCAAAATGACAGTCACCACGGAGTAAGTTGATGGATTACCTGTCATTAATACACACTGACTAGATGATAGGTACTAGCACAGCAATCTAGTAATCTTAGGCCACGTAGAAGGCGACCTCGAGTATCCACGAGGAGCCACAACCCCAGATCAGTTCGAGGAGCGAGTTGAAGATAAAAACGTTTGGGCGCGGCTCAGAGCTGTTGAAAAGCTAGACCTAGAAGAAATGGATGGCCACAACTGTAGCGGCGCCCTCCGACTGCCTCACCGAGCGTGAAGAACCTGCCAGATTGCCCAAGAAGCGGGTGCGTTATCGTTGGAGAGCACCGGAAAGAAGTAGCCGAGGCCTGATAGATGGTAGTGCCCTGGCGAAAGAGAAAGACACTAGATGTCTGCAGCGGTAAGGGCTATGCATATGACTGAACACACCTCGACGCTCTCCTCGAGAAATACGTACGCAGCGGACTGTTAGCAACTGGCCGCCGGCGGAAGACGGCATGGCTCGGGTCTCTCGGCACTATCCGCAGTAACACGCGCCTTTATCCAGGACGCACTTGAACGAGGCACCCGGTCTTGGGACGTCATAATCGCACGAGTTCTCGCTATCGTGCTAGTAGCAGCTTTGGCTAATCGTGGTGGGGATGTCGTGCGCGCTAAACGATATACCGGAATAGAATACATGCGATATAAAGATATCAAGGTAGTACTTAACGGAGACAATTTAGTGGAGCATTTGGTTGGATACTTCACTCCTATAGCAGGAAAAGGAAAAAAGTTAGTATCATTCTTCCCCTTTTGCAAAGGTAGCGACAAGCTCTTACAGCTTATTCCCCTACGTCTTATGTGCTCGTGGATTTGGACCGTGCTACGTAAAATCCCTCGCAACATGTTGTTTGGATCGTTCCGACTTCGAAAGGTTCCGCACCAAAATCTATAAGGTCTACAGCAATTGAGGAAGGATCTAGCAAGCGCTATATCACCTGGCCGTATGATCTAGTCCGAACCTTCATCCTAACAAGAGAAAATATGACTATTGCACCCTCGAAATTGAGTCTTATACGGTTGTACCCGATAGAAGAAGCAGAACATCTGCGAACTCTATCACACACGAGGCATATCTTGCAACTTCTCGACAAAGCCAACTATACAAGCGGTCGGGTCTCTTCGATGAGACCTTCACATTCACCACGGAATAAAAGCGCGATCGTGGTTGAAGACCCTAATAACAAGAGCTCATACATGGCTAGTAACTCGGCAGATAGCAGCCAAGCTGGATAGTTGTAGAAGGATTTACAGGAAGACTCACAGAGGGGTTCACTATGGTTGAAACGCATTGAGGGGTTTCAGAAGCTGCGGAACTGTACGACGAGAGACAAACAGTAGCCTATAACCGTCTCGTAAAGCAGATCGTAGGGGAAAGCTTCCAGCTCACGCTAGACAAGATTATAGCTATTAGTACTATTATCAACACCATGCGGCAAGTACTGGGATTCTACATAATCAGGCGAACGCATAGTACTAAGTGGTTTAGGCACGCTATAGCGGACATGCCACCGCATTTATATCAGGATGTCACCGTGCGGCTCACTAACAAGACTCTAAAGCGTCTTCTACAGGCAGAGATTAGCAGGACTGAAGCTGCCTTGGCGAACAGACTCTAGGCTATGCAGGATGCATGGAACGCGAAGTCGCATAAAGAGCGGAAGAACCAAACCTACCCTGAGGTTCTTCCAAAACACGAGTGGCTCAACGAGACCCGCCGGGCGCGAGTGTTTACGGAGTTTGGGGCCCAGTCAACATCCTATAGGACGCTGGCCCGACGGATGACACCTTTTTGTTTCACCTCCTTGAAAGTCGTTGAGCCAGACTCAAGCAAGAACAGCTAGCCCAGCGGAGATCTTAGGTAGGAGATGGGGCGCTCTCTCTCCAGGCGCTTCGTGCATTTCTGCACCGAGACTCCGCATGGTCCTGATGTCTGAAAGTATCCCCGGCTACAACACACTTGGAAGTACAGTGAATTCAAAGGAATCAATGAACACAGCGCGCAGACCCCTAGGACACGTTTGACGCGACGGTCATCCATATCCTCGATGAGGACATCGACGCAAGGATGCAGCAGAAGAAGTCTGGCCGTAGCAAAGAAGTTAACGGGGTGACACACGCCGCCATCATGGAGCTGCCTTACACTTTCGCTTGACCATAATGCTATCACGAACCTTCCTAGCGAACAAGTAGACGGACGTATATACGCTAACTTACGTTCCTGGCCGCCACAAGCACCCATTTAGCTCGGTCGTTCACAGCACTAGAGACAGCAGACAGGGGAGATCAACCCCGGAATTCAAACTCGACGGTCGTCGACAGTCTCAGATTTTCAAAGCACCACCCCTCGTCCTGGATCAGGATGATCGAGAAGACACGGTTCAATTACAACAAGATGCCGGTCTTGAAGCGACGAGCGGAGGAGCTGAAAGCCCTTCCCCACCGATCGCTCGATAAAGACAGTAAAGAACTTCAACTTCCTGCGCAGCAACTTCCCTCTCCACGGAGCCTGATAGTCAGCAGCCGCCGGAATCAGCAACATATAATCTCGCTCTCATCCTCTCTTCCTTTCTTTCTTCAGTCCACTGTCCGCACCGCCTGTGAGTCAATGGTTCTCAGCTCACCGTCACTCTGAACACTCACGTTGACCGTTATCAGCCGTCTCCCCTCACAGGATCGTTTAAGCATTTATTGGATGTTCAAACAGGGGCATGATTTCTAAGCCGGGGACCATCTTTGCAGACATGATGGGATTCGGCAAGACGCTAGAGGCTATTGGGCTCTTTGTCATGAATCGATGGCTGGGTATCGCACGGCAACGAGTGGAGGATTCCGTGAGAGCAGGACGGCAAACATCTTTACGAGGATCAAGACGAAGAGGAGACGTGCCCTACCGACAAGCAGCATAGACAAGGGCGTGTATTCATGTTTGAATGCCTTCGCTAACAAGGAACCCCGGCAAGTCGGATGCGCCCGTAGAAGACCCAGGCTTGTTTATACCACCGCCGGGCTAGTGCCAAACCAGAACACCGAGTGGCACACCACATCGACAGGAGCATTACAGCCCTCGATTTCCAGTTCAGGTACTACGGTAGAGTCGTACAATATGACAAGTCCAAATACACGCAGTTCTTCACAGAAGAACGGATCCAACATCCGTTTCTCCACTCTCCGAAAGTCTTCGAAGACATCTTGCAGGTCGCGTTGCTCTAAGAGCGCGTCTCAGAGACTGGAGTCTTCGACCGCCAGTTTCACAGCTGGGAAAAATCCCGTGTAGAATTCTCGTTGACCGATCGCGAGGAGGTGTCCTTAGTGAAAGTGTGGATGAACGGCCAGCCATTGAATGCGGGTGGGAAACAGCTTCTGCCACCTGATGGGTGTGAAGCAGCCAGGAGTCATAGCAGTCCGAGCGAAGGACAACAAAGCGCTCACGATTCTTAATAATCAGAAGGATCGGCCTCATATAACGTCGCAGGAGTGGGAAGAAGACAAGTTGGATAAAAAGACGAACGAGCCGAAGATCTCGACCGAGCCGATTAAAAATTCTAACAGATACATCATACTTGTCGCACACACGTTCCTAACGAAACTCACCGCAGCGCTTAAGCCGACTAAGAGCGCCCCGTTCCCGGTCATATTCGGTCTAGCAGCTATAGATGAGGTTTGTTTTAGCGAAGGGTGGAACACTGAGTTCCTGACGGCCATGCGAAACCTTAACCCTTAGACGAGAGTCCGGTTCCTATCCGGAACCCCTTATGATACATCGGCGAGGGACTTATCTGGATAACTGCGCGTCCTCCAGCGGGCCTAGAGCAAGGTGTCGTCGGCTCGCAGAGAAGGGAGGACGGTATGGTCTATTGAATAGGCCTAGGAGTTCAAACCACAGGCGTCGGCGCCAGAGCCCTACCTCGCAGCGCACACCGAACTGAGGAGTGACCAACGACCGCCTTGTGAAGTAAATTGCAGCTTATACCTTCCAGCTGACATCGGACAAGGTCGAAGCCATCGGGAATATTATAAAAACCATGTGGCGACATCAATTGAACTAGCTCTTAACAACCGGGAGTCCGACTCAGGAATTCTCGAGGCTGTTTAATTCGAATTAAGACTTACCCGACTCGACGAAATGCGGAACTCAGCCACTAATATGAAGCTACGACAACAGATGCGAACGACGAACATCAAGAGTCCTTAATAGCTACCTCCAAAGGAAGGTGACCTAGTGTTACTCCGCCGTATCAGAGGCTTGTCCGCATCTACTCAGCCACTTTGTAACCTCAAATGCGACCAACAAGGCGCTGAGACGGATACGCCCACTACTGCTAATCGAGGTTGCCGCACTGCAGTCCCTGCAATAGATCTGGACATGCTTTGCGCATTAATGATGATTATTAGCTTCGTAGTCTGATGCCACAGTCTGCCAAAGGCCCAGATGCTTACACTGCTGAAGCTCTTGTAGGAAGGAGTATGGCCACCTGATGCGTGATAGGCCCAGGCGTGTTCCGTAAATTCGTGGAGAGATTGGAAAGACTGAGCTCTCGTCGAGGGGATGTGATTGGCTATTGTAGCTCACGCGAGGGTACCGATAATACCGACTCGAGTACTTCGCGGGCACTGCAAGAGCGCCTTGCAAGTAGATCTCCTACATAGCTGCGGTAACATTCAATTGATATACAGCCTCCTCGCCCTTACTTAGCAGTGCTAAGCGGTGCGGTACCCAACGAGCTTTTCCAACGCTTCATACCGTGTCTGCACCTGCTAGTAGACCACAGGCGCTGGGAAGCCTTCTTGAAGGCAGTCACAGAAGCCTGCTCTCGTAAGGTTGACTGACCAGTGATCCCATGTATCTTGGAGCTTTGTAGAACAAATGTATTATGACAATGGAGAGCCGTATCTAGGAAGCCGTACAATGCTTTCACTCATACAGACCGCAACTGGAAGGCTGCTGACTACAAATCCTTGAACGTTGTAGTCTGAGGGCGGGCTGAATTGATGGCGGCCGCTGAATATGCCAGGATTCTGGCTGAATGTACAAGGATCAACCTCCTGCGGGCCAGTAGCGCTTCCGACAAGCTTTGTATTTTCTGTATGCATCTGCTATGACAGAATACAAAGCTAGCAGGGGTGCTCACCAGCTCCTTCTTGGCATACCCTTGTTTGCGGCCGCAAACAATTCAGCTTGCTCTCGGACTGAAAGTGATCAGCTACCGGTTACCACCCTCTGCGACCGAACAAACCGTCCGGCGGCATGAGTATGCTCCGAGATGATACACGCGCGTAAATATGTTGAAAGACTTGCCACTTTCACCACGACCTGTTCAAGCGCCAACACACTCCGTGAAACTAAGTGAGCCTCCTAGCATTGCCTCGGGCAACAATGAGTAGAGATAGTACACAACCATCGCTCAACTAAACAAAACTGCACCTCGCCAATCACAATGGCGAGCCCCTACCCACCTTCAACCATGAAAGCATGGCAATACACCAGCACCAAAGGCGGCCTCGCCCAAAACCTCAGAATTAACCCCGAAGCCCCCCTCCCGAAGCCCAAACCGAGCCAACATCTCGTCCAAGTGCTCGCCGTAGCACTCAATCCCGTCGACTACAAACCCGCCGAGATCACTCTGATCAGCTATCTAATTCCCAAGCCAGCGACCCCCGGCATCGACTTCGCCGGCCGCATCGTCACGCCCGCAACCGGCTCGCCCTTGAAGCCCGGCCAGCTCGTCTTCGGCATGGCCGGTACTAACCCCTTGGCCGGCGGCGCGCTGGCCGAGCTCGCTCTCGCCGAAAAGGAAACCACAGTCGCTCTCCCGGATGGCGTCGATCCTGTTGACGCAGCAACCATTGGCGTAGCAGGCCTGACGGCCTATCAGTCTATTGTGCCGAACGTCAAGAAGGGCGATCACATCTTCATCAACGGCGGCTCAGGTGGCACAGGTGTATTTGGGATCCAGATCGCGAAGGCGGTAGGATGTCATGTGACGACGACTTGCTCGAGCGCGAATATCGAGCTTTGTAAGAGCCTCGGCGCAGATGAGGTTGTGGACTACAGGAAACAGACCGTGGTCGAGGCGTTGAAGGCGAGTGGGCGCAAGTTTGATCACGTCGTCGACAACGTGGGCGCGGATCCAAAGCTGTATTGGCGGTGTCATGAGTATACGACCTCTCAGGCTGTGTATGTCATGGTTGGAGGGACGCCTTCGCTTGGTTACGCGGTCGCTATGTCCAAGATGATGCTGTGGCCTGGTTTCCTGGGCGGCGGGAAGCGAAAGTTTGCTGGTTTTTTCTCGAAACCGAAGTATGAAGACTTGGAGCAGATTGGGATGTGGATGAAGGAGGGAAAGGTCAAGCCTATCATTGATCAAAAATATCCATTTGAGCAGGCGCCGAAGGCGTTTGAGAAGTTGAAAACGGGGAGGGCGAGAGGGAAGATTGTGGTTGATGTTGCTTCTGAGACGTATAGGAAAGCGTGGTCAGAGTGACGCTGTTAAAGATACTAGTCGCGCCGGGTATTTTGTCAGTCTGATGGGGTAATCACTTATCATTCCGACATGCGACAAACAGTGCGCCGAAATGGAGATACTTATCACTACTTGTTAAGGCTGTAGCACCCCAGTCTTCCCGCTAGACGGTAAGATGCTTCGTGAGTTTATAATAATCGCTAATAATATAATCCGAAGCTGTTGGTTGCTATCATCCTATAAGCGATGGGTAGGATACTTATATGCCCTAAGATTTTGGCAACGATCAGTATGACCGCTCTATATGTAGTCACTACAGGTAGCCCGTTTTTAGATAAGCGGAATGACTGCAAAGGACAAACTATCATTAACAGTGGTTTGCTGAATATTCTAAGCAGGAGCACCAAGTATGCATCAATTCAAGTACCTAGGCACTGTGCTAAACCTTCGAAAACGCCTTGTTGGTGTGTTCTTCTGCGTGTCTACTGCAGCACCTACATTATATAATCCTTCATCGCTCTTGCCTGTAAGTGTTTGGGCGGCGCGGTGCGCAAAGAGCGCTTCGGGCTTGCGGTGTTTCCACCTCCAAGAGACCATGGCCGCTGGAAAGGCTCCTCAAGGGCAGTCATGGGAATCTGGTCCCATATGATTGTACTGAATCGGTGAAACCTAGTCTTCTCGAGTTCTATGTTGCCATGTGGGTCAGGACTGGCTTGGTCGCGCCAGTGGTAGAAGAACTATGATCCTGTTCGATGTGCTGTCGCAAGCGGTGCAAAGGGATTGTAGTGACCGGTCCACGGCCACCAGAGGTTGACACACTGCGAGGTGATGTCTATCTTGAGGTTTCTTGGGTTGTACCCACGAATGCAGCGGCATTGATAAAAACTATCTCACAATAATCGTTGAAGACAGATACTATAGGAAGCTCCGGCCGCAAGATTAGGAGAGCTTACATATATCGAACATCCGCGCACGTACTTAGAGAAGTGAAAGCGGTGGACCAGAATTGAGACATATTGAGAAAACCTGGTTAACCGATTCCAGTAAAGCCCTCGGTGAGTGTGTGACGCTTGGGTTGATCACCATGGAAGCAAGGACGGTAAGTTGTGAAGGAAGCCGCATTGTTTGGCTTGATAACGCTATGCGACAACACGCAAGCCGACGCAATTGCGGAAACTCGGGAAGTAGATCGGTATGAATACAGCCTTTTACACCCACCTAACCGATCCGCGCAAAACCGTCCCTTTACTCACTCTCATCACTCTAGCCCACACTCTAAACCCTCAACAACTTCGCAGCGTAATCGGTAATCAACTGCTCCGTCGGGAAGCTCATCTCCTCCAACTTCTGCGCGTACGGCGTAGGCACCTCCGCGCCGGTCACCCTAACAGGGGGCGCATCCAGATAATCAAACGCGTACTCGCACGTCAGAGCCATGATCTCCGCGCCGACGCCGAAGGACGGGAAGCCAGACTCGACGACCATCATGTGGCCGGTCTTCTTCACGCTCTTGACAATGGCCTCAACGTCCATGGGCTTGATGGATCGCAGGTTGATGACCTCGGCCTCAACGCCGTAGTTCTTCTTCAGCTGCTCCGCGGCGACGAGGCACTGGCCGACGCAGCGGGACAGCGTCACCATTGTGAGGTCTTTGCCTGGGCGCTCGATCTTGGCTTTGCCGAAGGGGATCACGAAGTCGGAGCTTTGCGCTTCTTCGGACATAGGGAATTGAAGGCCGTAGAGCAGCCTGCTGTTGTTAGCACGGTCGCGTAGAGGGTGGTGGAGTGCGAGACATACTCATTCTCGAGCACGATGACCGGGTTCGGATCGCGGATGGCAGCCTTCATCAAACCCTTGGCGTCCTCGGAGCTGTATGGTGAGACGACCTTCAGGCCGGGTATGCTACCGTACCACGCGGTGTAATCTTGCGAGTGCTGGGCGGCGACACCGGAGGCGAAGCCGTTCGGACCGCGGAATACGATGGGGCAGGGCTGGATACCACCGGACATGTAGTGTGTCTTGGCGGCGGAGTTGATGATCTGGTCGATGGCTTGCATGGCGAAGTTGAAGGTCATGAACTCGCACTGTTCCGGAACCAGTCAGTTACTCTGCAGCTCCTTGGTGCGGCTCCAGGCGTCAAAGTGAGGCTCACAATCGGCACCAATCCAGCCAGCGCAGCTCCCACAGTCAACCCGGCAAACCCAGACTCGGTGATGGGGCTGTCTATGACCCTCTTCTCGCCGAACCTGTCGAGCAGACCCTTCGTAACTTTGTATGCGCCGTTGTACTGCGCGACTTCCTCGCCCAAGACGAACACCTTAGGGTTGGCCTCCATTTCCTCCGCCATTGCCTCGTTTAGCGCTTCTCGCACCGTCATCTCTTTCGTACCTGCTTCCTGTGCATAGCTTCGAGAGCTTACTATGGACGGGAGTGATGCTGCTGGGCGGAAGGCGGGTCGGAGAGCTGTGGTTGGGCGGGATGCGGAGAGGAGACGCGAGGCTGGGCGCAGCACCCTGGAGACGGACATGTTTGCGGCGGAGCGTCTGCTCGGAGGAAGTAGAGCAGAGAGGAGATGTAGGGCGAAGGAAGGGATTGTTGCAGCGGTTGATGTTGCGGATTGGAGCTCAGAGCTTCCCTCGCAGAGTTGCGGCTCGAAGCTGTCGGAGTCCGAAGTTGTTGGGTGCACGGGCGGGAAGCCCCGTTGCGGTTCAACATGCCAATCTCAACGTCCACTCTTCAACACACTTAAACACACTTCAACATCACTCCAAGATGCAGCTATTGACAACTTAATAACCCGTGAAGCACAGCGTTCCGCGATACACGCAGTTTGCAAACAATCATGTATCATCGCAAGAAGGAGAACGGATATCGAATCTGCGTTCGATAACTTCTACCGCAGCTGCTGATCGCTACGGTACTCAGCCCTCGAGCTACTCCTTCACCATGTACTGGCGTTTAGCATTGCTTTGTCTGAACTCGTTGTCCACAAGACGCCAGTTCTTACAAGCCGTCTCGACAGCTGCAGAGCGAAGCCGCAGCTAATCAATGGTGTCTCAAATCAACTTCAACTGAAACCCAGCACCGCTCTCCTCATTCTCCCGTCCAGCGAAGATACCGCTGAAGTCCAGCTCACCAGGCATTCTTGGTGCGTCGCCTCTCATGGGCGCATCAGGACTTGCGTGCCTTCTGCGCTTCTCCTGCCCGGCTTTCGAAGGGAAAGTGGGAAACATTGCCGTCGACTTCGGCCGAGGGTCCTCTCTGAAGTAGGGATGAGCAAGCACCTCGCTAGCCGTAGGTCGCAGCGCAGGGTTGAGCGAGAGTAGTGAGCTTAGCAGTTGGCTTCCGGTCGTGGTGAGGAAGGGAAATTTGGCGCGGATGACCGAGCCGATATTCTGCTTGCTGGGCGGTAGACGTAGCGATCTTGCATTCGGGAGCCGTTTGAAGCCTGGCCAAGTCTCTTCCGTCGGGATGCCGCAGAGCTCGAAGATCTGAGACAACCTTTGTCAGTAGTTCCTCTGACGCAAAAGGATAGAGGATCAGACCTTAGACAGCTCATCTACCTCGTTCTTGCCCTGTAGCAGAGGCTCCTTGTTTAGGAGCTCACCAAAGATGCAGCCCAGACTCCACATGTCGATCGCGCGATCGTACTTGTCCGCACCCAGCAGCAGTTCCGGGGCTCTATACCACAGCGTCACCACTAGCTGTGTCATGTTAGGCGGCGGAGGATCTCCGAAGTACCGTGCCATGCCAAAATCGGCTATCTTGATCTCTCCTCGATTGTTCATGAGGATGTTAGAAGTCTTAAGGTCCCGATGTAATATCCAGTTGTCGTGCAGATACTCCACCGCAGAGCTCAACTGCAGCAGCAGCGTCTTGATCTCCGATGGGAGAAAAGGCTCTGCCATATCCTCTTGCAAGGTCTTGAGGTCGTGCTCCAGGAAGCCCATGACCAGAAACACGTCATTGAGTGTATCGCCAACCACCACCTCCCTCAGATCCACTATGTGCCGATGTCGCGACGCCTTTAATGTCTGTATCTCACGCAGCGCCGTGACCGGGAAGCCATCGGTCGCCGTGTCCATCTTCAGCTTCTTGAGGGCCACAATCTCCCCCGTTGCCGTCTCCCTAGCTCTTGACACAAGCCCATACGAACCCTCTTCTATGTGATTGAGGCGCTCGAAGTTGTCGACATGGCGGCAGGGGCCCCATTCCGGCGCGGCGAAGCGCAAGAGCTTTCTGGGTTGAGCTGGTTGAGCTTGTGAACTCTCCCGTTCTCCTTCAGACGACACCCTTCTCCTCTTCGCCGGCCTCTCTGACAAGTGGTGTGTGCCGTTGCCGGCACCATTGCTGGCGGTTGCTGCTGCTTGAGCTTCTTGCTGGCGGAGCTTCTCAGCTTCCTCAAGCTTCCGCGCCTTCTCTGCTTTGGCTCGCTTCTTCTCTTCCTTCTCGCGCTTGCGTTGCGCTTCGGCTGCCGCGTCGTCTTCGTCGTCTGCCCATCTCGTCTTCATCATGACTGCGGCGCGTGTTGCGGCCGTGCTCAATGGCTCGATAGGCTTGGGGCAGATTTTGTCGAGTCAGTTCTCGATGCAGTTTCGTGATGCATGACCAGTGCTTTCATGCTGGTGACAGCTCGAACACGACCAACATCACAGCCAGAAGATGCGGATACAGACAAGACTTGCCATCAAGGCCGTCTCACGCTGCGCACACTTGCGCTCCGCCGCTCCCGCAGCTTTTTGGGGCGCAAGATGGTCGTCAACTGCCACCCGGCAGTGGTCCACGCCGCTGGCGAAACACCTTGCGGAAGCCATTAGTGTACGGCCACCCAGGATCCATCGCATCACTGAGAAGATAAGTTGGCAGCTAACTCATTCGTAAGACCACAGGTCCGGTGCCAGTAGCGGCGTATATGCGACAATGCCTCACCTCCCCAGAGGGCGGATACTACACCTCACGAACTGAAGGCCGGGATCAGTTTGGGCAGAAGGGCGACTTTGTCACCTCGCCGGAGATATCGCAGGTCTTCGGAGAGCTGATTGGCATATGGGTCGTTGCGGAATGGATGGCCCAGGGCAGAAAGAGCTCGGGAGTGCACATCATAGAGGTTGGGCCAGGGAGAGGGACGCTGATGGATGACATGCTGAGGGTACAGTATAGGAACACATCGATGGTTATGCAAGGTTACTCACAGACATAATAGACCATCCGGAACTTCAAGCCGTTGGCATCGAGCATAGAGGCCATCTACTTGGTCGAGGCCAGTCCGTCACTGAGAGAGGCGCAGAAAAAGTTGCTTTGCGGCGATGCGCCTATGGAGGAGATCGACATTGGGCACCAGAGCACGAGCAAGTATTCAGATCAACTGAAGATCATTTGGTGCGAGGACATGCGCTTCATTCCGAAAGGTCCGCTGAAGCGCTCTCTTCCTGTACGCGATAATGCTGACCGTATCCAGACCCTTCGAAGACTCCCTTCATAATCGCCCACGAGTTCTTCGACGCCCTCCCGATCCACGTCTTCCAATCTGTCGCGCAGCCAGCAACTCCTGCTTCCACCATCCTCACACCCACAGGAACCCACGCGACAAGATCTCGGACCTCTCAGCCCTCCGGGCCCCAATGGCGTGAACTCCTCGTCTCACCGACTCCGCCCTCCTCAGTTATTACCACAAAGCAATCACCAACCTCGGACCCACCGCCCGACTTCCAACTCTCCCTCTCCAAAGCATCCACTCCACACAGCCTCTACCTGCCCCAAACCTCACCCCGCTACGCCGCGCTCCTCCCCCACGCCGACTCCATAATCGAAATCAGTCCCGAGTCCCTCGCCCTCGCCGCCGACTTCGCCGCGCGCATCGGCGGGACCCCCAAAGCCCCAAAGCCCGCCCCCTCCGGCGCGGCCCTAATCCTCGACTACGGCCCACTCTCCACAATCCCCACAAACTCGCTGCGCGGCATCCGCCACCACACGCGCGTCTCCCCCTTCTCTCTGCCGGGGGAAGTCGACATCTCCGCGGACGTCGATTTCGTCGGGCTGGCTGAGGCGGCGATAAATGCCTCCTCTGGGGTAGAGGTGCACGGGCCCGTGGAGCAGGCGCGCTTTTTGGGCGAAATGGGGATTGAGGCGCGGGCCGCGGCGTTGGTGGCGCGGGCCGGGGGAATAGAGGAGAGGAAGAGGATTGAGGGGGGTTGGAGACGGTTGGTGGAGAGGGGGCCGCAGGGCATGGGGAGGCTGTATAAGGCGATGGCGATTGTGCCGCATGATCCGCGGGCGGTGGGGGGGAGGCGGCCGGTGGGGTTTGGGGGGGATGTGAGGGGGTAGGTGGTGGACCGAGTGCAGAGCTGTGAAAAGCGGAAGAGAGTCGGTGTGGGGTTGTGTAACAAGTGGATGCACAATCGTTGACTACACATGTCTATCTACAGTTGTGTTGTATATTTCTAGATGCATCATCGCAACCATGAACGCCTCCCCCAATGCCGCGCGGGCACCTGCAAGCACACGCCCTCATTTGTTTCTCTGACACCGAAACGCCAACGCCAACGTCCTACCACATCCCCACCACATCATGACTGTATTGCCGCCCTCAACGCCCCCGCAAGCCGCTGATACTCCCTCAACAGCTCCTCCACCTCTCCAATCCTCATCTCCCTTGCATCCTTCATCTCCACAAACCTCTTCACAGGCGGTCCCGTCCTTCTCAGCTCCTCCAGCGCTTTAACCGCCACCGCTTCCTTCGCGTCGCCAGCCGAAGGCAGCGGTTTCGCCTCTCCAGCCGGCGACCCAGCCTTCCCCTCTCCGTGCCCAAGCTGCTTCCCCTTCTCCCCCGCACCCCCCACGGCGGGCGGCGTGGGCGTACTCGGCACCGCCCTCCCGAATCTCGGAAATCCGCCAAGACCGCCGAAGCCTTTGAGCGGGTTGAGCGTGTTGCCGAGATTCTGCAGCGCGTTGCCTGATGATGCTGGCGCGGCGGGAGACGGGCTCGGTGTCGGCGGTGCTGGCGCAGGCGAGCTGCTGGCAACGGTAGGGCTCTTGCCCTCGACGAACGAGACGCGCTTTCCGCTGCCGCCGCTCCGGGTGCTGTCGGCGCTTCTGTCGCGACGGCCGGCGAAGAGGTCTGTGAGTCTGGGCTCCGGGCGCGCGGGAGGCGCGGCGGGGCTGGAGTCGAGGGCGCCGTCTGTCTGCTCCGGCACGCCCTCAGGCGCACTACTAGGGCCGTCATCGTCGAGTGGTAGTGGTGGCGGCGTCCCGACCAGCTTCCTCACATCCTCTAGCGTCCTAGGGACCGGGACCTCGCTCGCCCCGTTCTTGGTGGGCGACTCGCTGAGCCGGCCGAAGAGGAACTTGAAGCTGCTCTCGAGCGTCGTGTTGATGCTGTCGAGGGCCTGATCGGCCGTGTCGTTGATGGAGGCCCGCACGGCGTCGCTGGCCTCGTTTAGGCGGTCGGCTTGGGACTGGATGAGGTAGCTGATGCGGCGCTGGGGTTTGAGTGGGGAAGCTGGTGGGCGGGTGGTGGTGCTGGGGCTGCGGTCGCCTGATGTCGCCGACAAGGCGGAGACGCTGGGTGGGGCTGGGCTGGAGAGGCCGAGGTTCATCGGGGTCGGCGCCGTGTGGCTCCGCGGTGTTGAGGGGCGGCTGGTGGATTTCTCGGGTCCTTCGGGGGCTTCGTCTTCTCGGAGGGAGGACAGGTCGACGGTTTCGAGGAAGGAGATGGCTGCTTCGAGATTTACGAGGCAGTAAGCGGCTTCTCCGTCAACTTTTCGGGACGCGCGGAAGCGCTGTATGAAGTTGAGGTTGCTGACGACGTTGAGACCCTCTGGAGGTGATGTGATTAGGGTGTAGATGAGGGTGGGAAGTATTTCATCGGCGGAGGAGGAAGATGAGAAAAGCCGTGACAGCGTCTCGACGATGTTCTTGTGTGCTGCGGTGAGGTGTTGGAGCTTTCCCACTGGATATCTCTCTTCATCCATCTTGCGGATACTTTCGCGAGCACCTGCGAGCCAGTTGCATATATCCTCCTCCTTCTCTATCGTTGCTTTGCGAACCTCGGCGGGGATATCGTCGGCGGTGGACACAAGCTCCTTCAGTCCAATGCCTACAAGTGACAGTGCGGCGGTCCTCGAGCGTAACTTCTCATCCCTCTCCGCATCGTCTGTGATCCGATGTCTCCATACCCGGTCGTACATCTTCTCGCATACTGCTCGCTCAACCGCCTCTTCGAGCGCCTTGTGCCTAACTCCCAACAGACGGCGCGCCCTCTTGCGGTCAGATATCTCAGACGCGGTGAGCATCTGCTGCTCAGTACCATCGAGCTCAGGGTCAGCCCCCTTGCGCGATGTGCCAGACGCGGCTTTTCCGCCTTTTAGAGTCTTGGAGGTCTGGGAGGCTTCTGGTGGTGAGGGCGACTTGCCCCTTGACAGGCGTGACGACAAAGCTGCTATATGGGTGCTTATATGCGAGTCGGCACGAACATAAAACTCTTGGAACATCTCGGCGAGGTCGTCTATAGATAGTGGAGTGGGATGCACTTTGGCAGACAGAGACTCGAGAAATCTGTATGATATTAGGATGTTGGTCTCAAAGGCCCGCAATACTAGCACGCCAGAGGGCGTACCTCTCGGTCAGGCTTCGAATCTCAATTGGAAGCTCCTCGAAAGCCTCGAGTTGCTTGCTGGCGGAGCCCGCATTGTCCTCGACGGTCTCATTGTCCGAGTCATCCTCATCTTTGCTGATGAATATATCCCTCTGAGCAGCCTTCTCCTCGCTCCCGGGTGACAGGGTGATATGGTCTGCGTGCGGAAGCTCAGATATGGCTCCTTGGATGGTGCTCGCGCGACTGCGCCCAAGCGGGCTTTGGGTGGTGGGTTCAAGACGGGTAAAGGACTTGGAGGAATGCAGCGGGCGGGGACGGCGGATGTCACCGTCGCTCACAGCTCGGATGCTCTGCATAGTAGGCGGATTCCGTGACAGCGACACCGAGAAGCATTATCACTCAACACAATGCTTCCTAAAGCGGCTTCAACAACCCTGAGACGATTCAGCGATTCAGTGATTCAGCGATTCAGGGTCCGGCCCGGGTGATCGTCGTCATGGGCATTCTTTATCCTCTATCCTTATCGCCACGTGACATGTGGCCCCAGAGACAATACATCACCAGGCCCCCATCACTTGCCGCCGCACCGCAACGCCACTGCAACACCCACTACACCAGCAGCAGAGCCTCGATGCCGTCCCTGCTATGACTTCTGCCTCTCCCCTTCTATGGCTGCAGGCATGCTACCTATTCGATACAACCACTCTGCCAGCGGGTTGACCGCCACGCTTCTGTTTGCGCTCTTAGCCCTATCATCATGGACCATCCAATCCGTAGCTGCCAGCGGACAAGTTGTTGCTGAAGCAGCTGTTGTACCTGAGCTGCCAGTGCTTCTTCCACCAGCAGTCCCGCCGGAAGAGCAGACTGGCCGCACTCCAGGCGCCGACGGCCAGCTGTTGGAGTTCGTGAGTAACGCCGGAGCAACAGACTGTTGACCTAGCTAACCACCGTCGGACCTAGAAACTCCAGCATATATTTCATCATGGTACCCACAAGTACCCCAGACTGCACAGAAGACTTGACATCCCCGCCGATGCCCGCTTGCTCGTCACCTTGGACGAGGCGATGGATCCCGAGCCCGCACCTCGACTCCGTGCCCGTTCTCAGCCCACAACTATCCAGCGACTCGCCGATCGGAGTGCGTCTCACATAAATGACATACTCGAGTATGGGCGGATGAACGGTCATCCAATGCCCTTGCCTGCCTCCGCTTGGACGGAAGATGAGCTGTCTGGCCCCAATGCAACAGACAAAGAGACCGTCTTGAGTTTCGCGCGGATGGCATCAAACGCTTACATACTGGAACCTCACACTGGAGAGTGGCAAGATGTATGTCGTCATAATTGGACGAGCTCAAAGCGCGTGTTCACATGATTGACTGTCGTCGCAGGTTGGCGGAGGCTTCAACTACACCGAAGACTTTGGATGGCAGGCTGATGGTCTGCGCGGTCATATCTTCGCGGACACCAAAAACCAGACGGTCATTATCGGGCTCAAGGGAACATGTATGCCAGCTAGTCCCTGTGGTGAGCAGTCCGTGTGCTGACTCTACAACTAGCTGTGGCTGTTTTTGACGGCGCAGAAACTACGACGAACGACAAAGTCAACGACAACCTCTTCTTCAGCTGCTGTTGCGGCCAGGGAGGCTCGTTCCTTTGGCTCCAAGTATGCGATTGCCAGACTTCGACGTACACCTGCAACTCGACGTGCCTGGTCCAGGCTTTGAAGGCTAAGAATCATTACTATTATGCCGTGCAAGACCTCTATCACAACGTCACCGCCATCTACCCTGACGCAGATATTTGGGTGACCGGCCATTCGCTAGGCGGGTCCGTCGTCAGCCTTCTCGGTCTCACGTTTGGCTTACCAGCCGTCACATTCGAAGCTCCTGGAGAAGCCCTGCCTGCGATGCGACTGGGTTTGCCCACACCGCCAGGCTATCGTGCTGGCTCCCATCAGCAGCGAGGGAACACTGGCGGCTACCATTTCGGGCATACGGCGGACCCAATCTTCATGGGTACGTGCAGCACGTGCACCCTGGCGGGATACGCTTTGCAAAGTGTCTGCCATTCCGGATTGACGTGCGAATACGACACCGTAAAGGACTTTGGTTGGCGACAAGGCCTCGGCTACCACAGGATCGTCAACGTGATCCACAACGTCATCGAAAAGTATGATCAGCCGGCCAAGTGCGAACCGTACGAAGACTGCGTCGACTGCTTCAACTGGAAGTTCTACGAAAGCAATAGCTCGACCACGACGAGTTCCTCAAGTAGCAGCTCGTCGACCACTCGCACGCGAACCGCAACCTGCAAGACCCCCGGTTGGTGGGGCTGTTTAGATGAAACCACGACATCCGACACGACTTCCACGCATTCTGCCTCTACCTCGACCTCGACCTCGACTTGCAAGACGCCCGGCTGGTTCGGGTGCAAGGATCCCACAACCACCACGACCACCACTTCATCATCCTCGCAGACTGCGGCACCTGCTCCCACAATCACGACAACTTCCAGCACTCCGACAGCAAGTTCGCCAAGCACTTCGTGCGATGATCCGGGGTGGTTTGGCTGCAACGACCCAACGTCGACCGTCAAACAGACATCGCACAAACATAGATACACCGCGTCACCAACCGCCGAGTGCACGTCCAGGGAGTGGTTTGGGCTCATCTGCGTTGATCCTTCCCTGGTGACGAGCACCAATCCACGTCCCACGTCGTCTCGCACTGCGCCTGTGAGGCACCGGACGAAGTGTGCACATCGGTATTGGTTTGGAGGATGTAAGGACTGGGAAGACAGAGACGAGATGTGATGCTGTTAAACGAGCTGCGGTTCCTTTGGGATAGTATGATACGTGTCATGGGCGGTCTTGGGCTGGGCATCTGCATAGGCGTTCAAATTGATATGATTGTTAAAGGACGTTTATACAATGGGAGATCATTAGCTATCAAGCATTGGTGGCCTTAATCACAATACACATGTTGGCTATTGAGCTCTGCCACTTTGCACTGACTGAGCTTTGCTTGATATGCCATGTCACGACAGACTCGAGATGCCACTTCGAAGCCGTGGCCCTCCCCTGGCTTCTCCCTTGGGAACACGCCGCAAGCGGACGGCAAGTGCCGACAACATCCCATCGCTGGAAAGCCGAGCGCCCTTCCACGCTCAAACATGATAATTCGCTCGACTCCAGCATGGCTTCTTGTCCCTGCTGCCCTGCTGCTATGCTTTACAGCCGCGGTACATGCTTCCCTCGGTGACCGGCTACCAGACTTTCGCGAATGCGTCAAGGTAAACACTATGCGTGCCGGACACTACCCACAAACTACGAATGCTGACGAGCTCTCCAGGTCTGTATACAAGCCAATTGCGAGAATGATCCAACCCCAATCCGTACGCATCCACCACTACCTCCCTCCTCCCAGCTCCCCTTACACTAATACCCCCCCCAAAAGCCCTTCACCACCGCCTCCTCCTCTGGACCTGCCCCTCCGAATGCGACTACGCCTGCCAGCACATAACCACCGACACGCGCCTCTCCCGCGACCCGCCCTACCGGCAACCAATCCTCCAGTTCCACGGTAAATGGCCCTTCTACCGCTTCCTCGGTATGCAAGAGCCCTTCTCCGTCGCCTTCTCGCTCCTCAACTTCCTCGCGCACTACACAGGCATGGCCGCTTTGCGTGAGCGCATACCAGCCTCCTACCCTCTACGGAAATACTACCTCCTATTTGGGTATTTCGGGCTCGCGAGCTGGAGCTTCAGCATGCTGTTCCACGCGCGCGACTACCCCCTAACAGAGAAACTGGACTATTTCGCCGCCGGGGCGAGCGTGTTGTACGGGCTGTACTACACGCCGATCCGCATCTTCCGGCTGGACCAGCCTACCTCGGCCTCGCACGCCTCGCTCCTGCGCCTCTGGACCGCCCTCTGCATCGCCCTCTACGCCGCCCATGTCTCCTACCTCGCCCTCTGGCGCTGGGACTACACGTACAACATGGCCGCGAACGTGGCCGTCGGCATCATCCAGAATGTGCTGTGGAGCTGCTTCAGCGTGGCGCGGTACCGCAGCCTGAAGCGCACTTGGGCGGCGTGGCCGGGCTTGATCGTCGCGTGGATTGTTGTGGCGATGAGTTTGGAGTTGCTCGATTTTCCGCCGTGGCGGGGCGTGCTGGATGCGCATGCTTTGTGGCATTTGGGCACGGTGGGGCCGACGGTTTGGTGGTATAGGTGAGTGCAGTGATGTGCTGATGGATATTTTGCGAGGTTGCTGACAAGGGTGATAGCTTTCTGATTAGAGACGCGCAGGAGGATTTGCAGGGGACGCGGTTGAAGGCTTGAGGGCTGAGTGCCTTGCGTCGTGCAGCACGCTGCATGGTTTTGTATATATGTGTAGAAACTGGAGTCTATTCTTTGCGTGTGCTCATCGATCTATGAACATTCGGCCGTTATCGCTTTGAGTATGGAAAAAAACATCATGACGAGGAAAACGCGAAACGCCTATGCAATGCAGAACCCTCTACGCCCCTCCGACCTTAACCGCAAACTCCAGCGTAGCAGAAGAGAAAGACATCCAAACGCGGATGCGGGCCTCGATGACAACTGTACTTCTCACAACACATCTTTTAGCAGCCTCGCCAGATCCTCGACCAATCCCTCCGCATGCTCCAAATCCAGCATCTCCACCGGCCCAAAAACGCCGATATCCAATCCACCATCTCTCACCGTAGCTTCAATATCGAGCGAATGCTGCAACTCAGTCAGAGAACCGCCCTGCCGCCCAGTCTGCCGAGAACCACTTACCAGGTAAGCACCTCCCACCAAGTTCCCCTTCAGCTCCTCAGGCTCAGCAAACGCCTCCTCACCCGACTCCACCACCCTCGCAAACTCCCCCTTCCTCTTCGAACCCACTTCCTCAATCCTAACTCTCCCTTCATCCGCCCCACCCTCTACCTCATCCGCATCCGGCAACTTCAAGAAATTGACAAACGAGTCGATCTTGACGCCAGTCCAGCGCTCAATCTCCCAAAGCCCCACAGCCGAGACCTCCGCGCCGCCAATGTCCTGCAGATCCGCCTGAACTCCCGCTGCCGAATCCAGCACCGCCGTTCGCCGAGGCTGTCTCACGCGCAAGGGGACGAGGTTGACAGTCGGGGCCGCGAGCTCCGCGAGGCCGTCGACGGGGTGAGAGCGGTTGGCGAGGTAGATGCCGAACAGCACATCCTCCGCGTCGTCCTCGCTCGCTTCGCTGCTGCTGCGGGATGCGAGCGTGGCGTAGATCCTGGCGTAGGCGGCCAGGAAGAGCGATTGGATGCTCAGGCCATGCGTCCTAGCGAGGGTTTCGAGCGGCTTTGCGTCGGGAAGGACGCCGGATCTGAAAAGCTCGACTCGTGGGCCTCTTCGTGCTGTGGGCTGGACGAGACGGCGGGTGCGAGCGCCTGAGAGGTAGTTTGTCCAGAAGGACTGTCGCTGGTGGCGAGACTTCTCTGATGCGCTGAGGGCGATGAAGTCCGCGAAGGCGTTTGGCACTGGTGTTGGATGTTGGTTGGAGCTGCAGAAGGCCTCGAGCTGGCGCATCAGATTTGGTAGGCTCACTCCGTCGTATAGTGCATGGTGGATCTTGAGTATCAGTGCCCAGCCGTCGGCCTCCTTTCGAACGTAGAGTCTGACGAAGGGTTGTTGGGACGCGGGTCTGTCCCCGGCTTCCTGCTCAGAGTCGGATCCCACCTCTGTGAATGTCTCCTTGGTGACTTTGACTGTTACCTGTACGAAGGGCATGTCTTGGCTTTCGGTTGCAATCAATACCGTACGGAGGATCTGGTTTGCATCCACCAGCCTTCTCCAGGCCTGTCGAAGGGTAGAAAGCTCGCAGACACCATTGAGCTTGTATTTGAAAGCAGGGTAAAACAGAGTCCCTTCGGAGTTCCTCCATGTGGCGAGCATATACACTTGTCCGGCGGTTGCTGGTAGCAGCAGCTCCACGTTGTCTTGAACAATACCAGCGCAGTTAAGCAGCCATTGTCGATCGATACCAGCCAGCGCTTGCGAAAGAGTTTCTTCTGTGGATTGTCTGTTATCAATCCGCTCCCGCTGCTGGCCATCGACCACAGCAGCCATCTTCTCAATGGTAGCTGCGCGAAGCATGGCGCTCACACTGAGCTTGATCGACTTTTTACGCAGCAAGGACGAGACTTTGATGGCGCTGATGGAGTCGAGACCCATGTGGAATATAGTCATCTCTTTGGAGATATCGCCTTCTGGTATGCCTGAAACTGCTGCGAGAACTTCCCGAATGGAGGTCTCAGTAGGCGACCACGAAACAGCATGATGCGATGTTCCGTTGGTTGCTGACGCGCTACCCCCGACGGTGTCATTGATGTCATCTACGGCAAAGGGCGGAAGTCCGCAGATTGAGACTTTGTCAGCGAATTCAAGAATGGGAGCCTCGGGCGAAACGATCAAACAGCCGAGGACGGAGTCGAGCTCCTTGAGTAGCTCTTCCGTCTCAGCGTTGTTCAAAACTTCATCGCTGCACGCTGTACGCCAGATGAGTTGATCCGATACCGTCTCCATTTCAACACAGACGGGATACTCCACGTTGGAAGCGCCACCGACGGACTCATAGAGGGCTTCTTCAGCCTCTGCAGCAGTTTCAGGGCGCTTTTGGTAGATGAAAAGAGTGTCGAAGAGAGGTTGACCCTGCGAACCGGCGATGGCTTGCACTTTGCGGAGAGGAAAGTGCTGATGCTCCCGGATACCGTTGATGTTTTCCTGTACGTACTGTAGCATCTCTCTCCTCGTTCCGTGGACGATAGAGCGGACAGCTACTGTGTTCATGGTCGGAAACAAGGTCTGCATGGCGTCTTCGCTGTCTCGTCCCGCTAGTACGACTCCGAAGGTGATGTCGAGGTTGTGCACGCGAGAGGCAAGAAGCAAAGCCCAGCAAGTCTGGCCGAGAGCCTGAAGAGTAATGCCCTGGCTTTTGCAGAAGGCATTGAGAGTCTGCACCGATGTTGAGCTGGTTCGCTCCTGGCGGTGAACTTCGGTCTGCTGAACTGCATGGGATCTTCTTGGGAACCTTGTTTTTGCTGCGTTTGAGAGAAATTCCCGCCAGAAGTCTCCTGCGGAAGGACTGGAAGCGCCGAGTATGTCCTCCAGGATGGCATCAAACGGCGGGCGTGAAGTCGTATGACCGCCATATGCTCTGCGCAGGTCATCATGGAAAAGCCCCAAAGACCATCCGTCGTACAAAGCGTGCGCAATTGAGAACGCCAGATAGACTTCAGCCTCGGACCGTACAAGAGTCAATTGTATCAGGTCGTCTTCGCATTGTGAGGCCATCGCGATCTGCCGATGCTGCTCAAGAATCCCAGAAATACCATCAGTGCCCGAGAGTTCGACCTCTTCCCACTTTAGCGGCAATCCCGTGTGGACAAGCTGAGCAAACGCAGAGTGTATGTCTGGATCGCCAACTTCGGCGAATGTTGTGCGGAGGATTGGCGTCTTGTTCATGACATTCTGCCACGCATATTTCAATCTTTCAATGTCAACGCCTCGACTAAGCTTGAGTACATCATGGTTGTAGTAACGGTTGAACTCGGAGTTGATCATTTCAGCAACCATAGCCTCTTGGAGTGGAGTGACAGGCAGTACTTGTTCTATGCCGGTCAGATCTCGGCCGACGCTCTGGAAGTATTGTCGAAGGTCTTGTTCTATCTTCGGCAACTCAATGCTTTTCTTCCCGTTCAAGTTCGCTGAATTGTCTTGGGAGATCTGCTTCAACATTTTGGGAATCGTTGGGCTGCGCATGATGCCGCTGACCGGAATGTGAATTCCCAAGCCTTTGAGTTTTGCAGACAGCTTAATGGCATCGATGCTGTCGAGGCCCAAGTCAAATATGGAGACGTGCTCGTCAACCTCCGAGTTGTCCACTCCCGCAAGTCCAGCTACAGCGTCTCTGATCCGGAGGGCCTGCGGTGTCCATTCAAAATCTTCAACACCGTTCAGATAACCATTGGAGTGGCCATTCACGGACGACTCCCTGGGAAGAGATGAGGCAACGTCTATATGTACGGTGTCCGCAACACGTGCGTCGGGGTCGTTTAGCAGATTCTGTAAAGCGTTCTCAAAGGCGCGCAACAGATCCGCCGAGCTCTCTTGGTTAGAGACGTGGCTTTGGGTCACAAGGGTAAGCTTCAGGCTGGATTCTGTCTGCTGCTCCACCTCGAATGCCAACGGGTAGTCGGCCTGAACCTCCGAATCCACAGGCGTCCATAAACTCTTGATCCCGGAAGCCACCGGATCTTCCACCACTTTCTGGAAAACGAAGAGCGTGTCGAAGAACGGATGGTCCGATGTGCGCTTACACCACTTCATAACGTCTCTTAGTGCTGTGTGTTGGAAAGGCAAAGCCTCCAGATTGAAATCGTGACACCTTCTGACTATCGAGGACCATGTATCTTGAGCAGTGAATCGCAAGTGGAATGGGACAGTGTTGAAGAGCGGACCTATTACTTGCTCCACACCCTCAAAGTCGATGGACCGACCTGAGACAACCATTCCGAATGTGACATCGCCGGCGAAACACTGCTGCAGGACGGCAGCCCAACAAGCCTGTATGAGCGCTTGAAGAGTCACATTGAGCCTTCGCCGAACTGTTTCAAGTCCGTCAAGGTTCTGAAGCTCAACGACCACCGAGGTGTCATCGTCACCAGCGTGTGATACTAGACATGGCATTGGCCGCGGCCGAGCGTTGGACAGGTTGTTCGTCCAGAATTCCCGGGCACCGCCGATCTCCCGTAGGGGACCGTATGGTAGAACGTCCTGGAAGGCAGGCCCGTAATCAATATCTTGCGACTCTCTGTATTCCGCTTGGACCTTCTGAAGTAGGATCGGCAAGCTAGCGCCATCGTAGAGAGCGTGAAACAGATGTACTGCCATGATGGTGGCACTGGGTAAGCGAGCAATAACAATCTCGAACGGTTTGCTGAAGTGATCTCTGTTTTGCCTCCACCACTTGTGCACGCGGTTATGAAGAAACTCTTCGGAAGTCATATGGTCTGGGACTGTGCATTCGATCCATGGCAGCTGGCCTTTCCGCAGTGCAACCTGTATATGACCCTGCTCAGTAGGGATGAACCTGGTACGGAGCGTCTGAACGCTTCGAAAGGCTTGAGCCCAAGCCCTCCGCAACCTAGCTAGGTCGGTCCCGTCCAAAATTGCGAAATAGAAGGCACCAAAATATGCCGGTTCTTCGCTCTCCAATGACCTAGAGATAATCCCTTGCTGTAAGGGTGTGGTAGGCGCAATGCTCTCTATCTCTTTTTGCTCGATACCAAGGGCGTGAGCAGCAAAGCTCTTGTAACGGTGTTGACATGCTGCGATAAGCTGCTTTGCTGTAGTTACTGAGCCATCTGAGGCAGCTTTGGAGGACTTCCCGGAACCCATTACTTTGGCGAGTCGAGGTATCGTAGGGTCTACAAAGTATCAGCAGTGGTAATTCTTTTGCCCTCAAGGCAGACTTACTTCTCAAAATCAAAGACGCATGAGCGTTTCCAAAGCCGGCCTTCTTGAGAGCGTGAGAGAACCCCAGGACTGAAATGGAGTCGAGGCCTAGTTCAAAAATGGTGGAGGATCTGCTGATGTCATCTTCGTTGATCTGAGCCATGCTTCCAAGTACCCCAGCAATCTTCCTCTCCTCTTCGGACATTGAAGTACTATCGTCCTCTCTCAAGCCAGACAGCCTCTGCAACTCATCCGGAGTCCTTTCGTCATACAAGTTCCTGAGTCGGTTTGCATCCGCTTTGTTGTTGGTGGACAAGGGTATTGCTGTAAGAGGCACTACATGGGTCGGGACCATGTATCCTGGTAGTCTGCCTTGACAAGCTTCCCGAGCCGCAGCAGCGATCTCAATGTCTTGCGAGTCGGTAGAAACCCTGGGATTTGTATTCGGGCCAGTCGAGAGCTCGCGGACTACAAAGCTCACAAGCTGCTCTTTCTGCTGCTTTGCATGTTTCAGAACCAGAGTAACCACTTCCTGGATCCCATCAACTTCTTGCTTGATAACGCTGTTGATCTCTCCAATCTCCAACCGCTGACCGCGAAGCTTCACCTGATCGTCGGCGCGGCCCAGAAAGTCAAAAGTGTTGTCGTGTAAAATTCGCACAAGGTCTCCAGTCCTGTAGACTCTTTCGCCGAAGCTTTCGAGCATCGGGAATCGTTCATGCGTGAGATCCACCCGGTTTAGGTAACCCTTGCCGACCAGCTTGCCGGAGACACACAGCTCTCCGACCGCGCCACGCAGGACTGGCACATCAGACTTTGGCCGGAGTACGTAAGAACCGACGTTATCGAACTGTCGTCCAATGTTGGACGGTTTGCCATTCTCAGGAACTCTCGGAAACATGGTGACGCCGATAGTGGCTTCAGTCGGTCCATACCCATTGTAGATGACTCTTTTGGGGCCCCAGGTGTCCAGAATTTCCTGTTTTAGCTGCTCACCACCAGTGATGAAGACGCCTTTACAGAGGCTTGGCACATCGTCCGGATGAAGTACTCTTGCAAGACTTGGAGTCAAGTCGATATGCGTGATACCTAAGGTTCGAATTGATCCTGCCAAATCCTCGAAGATTAAGTCCCTAGGAGCGGATACCACTCGAATGCCTACTGACCAGCTCCAAAATTGCTCGAGCACACAGACATCGAAGTGGAAAGAGGCGAATTGCAGCCAGCGAGAGTCCTCATCCCAATGGCCATCGAACATCCTCGTAAAAGCGAGCATGGCCTGAACGGCGTTCTCGTGTGTCAACTCACAACCCTTTGGCGTGCCCGTCGTACCTGAAGTGTACAAGCAGTAGGTGCGGTCCCACGGGTTTATAGTGCGCGTCAAATCGGGTGAGCGATCGGACAAATTTTCTGCAGTATAGTCGTCATCCAGGTTGATAATGGGTACCTTGATCTCCTGCGGGAATTGATCTGACTGCTCCCTCATAGACAGTACAATTGACGCGATCGAGTCTTCTACAATGAAGGACTTTCGACTGATAGGGGCCCCATGATCGAGGGCAACGAAAGCGCAGCCTGCCTTCAGAATGCCCAACATGGCAAATGAAGCCTGCGGACATTTGTCGAAGCACATTGCCACAAGATCGCCAGGCTTGGCGCCGCGTTTGAGCAGCAGATGAGCGATTTTGTTTGCTTCGGCGTTCAGTTGTGCGTAGGTCCAGCAGCGGCTGACAACGCAACCATTATCGAGACTTGTTGCAAATTCGAACGCAATTCTCTGCGGATTCATCCGGGCACCCTGTTCCACAAACTCATGCAGTAGCTTGACATCCGATCTAAGCTCCGGAGATTTTGCTGGAGTCACTGAAGTCAGCGCTGGATTACTACGCAAGAACTCGTCAAAAGAGGCATCAGGAGACACCATGAGATTAGTTAGCAGGGCGTCGAGTTGATTCAGTAGCTTTTCCACCTGTTCTTTAGGTATGACGTCCTGGAGATACGTAATCCTGAACTGGAGATGTCGATCCGCGAGCGGTTCAAGTTCCACGGATATAGTGTACTGACTCTGTTAGCATGGATCAAGCTGAAAAATGTGGGAGTGCTTACGTCTGCCGTAGCCTCTTCGTCCTCGATCTTCCAAGGCATATCCCATTCATGGTGATGTTGCAACTTTTGATACGCGAACAGAGTATCGAACAGAGTCCCGTCACCGTGGCCGGCCAGACGCTGTATCCTAGTCAAGGGCGTGAACTGGTGTCTTTGTACAGCAGAATTGAATTGCATCATGTGGTTCAGAAGCAATCGATTGCTGTCTGTGGGCTTGCAGGTAAGTGGCACTGTGGTGATGCATGGGAAAGCAACCGACTGTGCACCCTGTATGGTACGGCCGGATAAGACGACTCCGAACGTAACTGCCGGCTCACCGATATAGGCTGAGAGCAGACGAGCCCATGCCGCTTGCCCGGCAGCTTGTATAGTGATATTGGCTTTGCGGCACCCTTGCTCAAGCTCCATGATGGTTCGGGAATAGGCTTTTACCAGAACCTGCGACTTGCGATTGCATACCCGGAGAGGCGTCATGTTGGGAAATTTACTGGTCGGCATATGATGTCCTTGTTTCTTCCAAAATTCATAATCCGCTCCATTGTCTTCGTTACTTCCTGTGAGTATCGCGTCCAGTACCGGCTCGATTGGCCGTGCTGGCTTCAGTGGCTCGCCGTTACATGCAGCTGTAAGATCTTCCAGGATGATACGGAGACTTTGCGCATCGTAAATGGCGTGCAGCATGCAGACGTGCATCACCAAGCCGTCGTCAGCAGCCACGATGATTGCACGCCACTGAGGGCAGTGTAACGATTGCGATGCGTCAGTCGCCGCTTTCTGGCGCCATGCCTCAATTTCTTTGTCTGACATGCTCTTGTCCTCAATGATAGTTAACGGCACGATATCCGGTGAGTACTTGTGTATGGCCATAGCGAAGGAATGCTGTAAATGATTCACATGGACAAATCCGGTTCGCAGCATTGTATGCTTGCTACATACGGACTCCCAAGCGTTGCGCAAGGTGGAGCAAGTGACCTCCGGGTCGATACCAAAGCGCAGATAGTTGAAGTACATCTTGCCCTGAGACCGCACATATGGAGCGATCAATCCGGTCTGAAGCGGAGTACATGGCAACAAGGACTCGATAGTCTCGACCGGTATGCCGACATCTTCGCAAGCAACAGGTAGGAATTGGCTGGCGAAGGCCTCAAAGTCGAAGCGGCGCTGCTGAGGGGACTGAGACCTGTGCAACTTGGTCAAGGAGGAAGCCAGATCTGCGCAGGTCGGATGTTCAAGAATGTCACTTGCAATTACTTGCAAGCCCTGATTTCTCAGCTCCGAAGCTACTTGGACCGCACTGATGCTGTCAAGTCCGAGCTGGTAGATAGTGGTGCCCCGCTTGATGCGCTCAATTGATGTTCTGGACAGCTTTGCGAATGCGGATCGGATCTGTGATTCAGGCGTGGTCCAGTCCTCGTTCGTATCGAGGGTGCCATCTTCATCGGCGTCAATCATGTCCGCGGCACGTTCCTCAAATAGGGCTCGCAGCCTCTTTTTGTCAACCTTGCCAGCAGCTGACAATGGGATGCGCTCGAGAGTGAGGAAAAATGTGGGGACCATATACGACGGCAGAGAAGCACTCGCAGCAGATCGGGCTGCGTGTTTGATGCCGTCGTGATCGAAGTCGCCCTTGTTGGAATCCAAAGCTAAAAATGCGACCAGTTGGTCCTTGGAGCTGTTTGGTAGGCGTAGCACCTGGGTTGAGGCATCTTGAATCCGGTCGTCCGAGTTCCGAATGACTTGAGTGATCTCGCCCAGCTCAACGCGAAGCCCGCGGATCTTTACCTGGTCATCGGAACGGCCAATAAACTCAAAAGTCCCATTGTTGAGCATACGAACAACATCGCCGGTCTTGTAGAGCCGCTGACCGTCCCTTTGTATAAAGCGTGATCCAGTCAATTCCTCGTTTGCGTGATAGCCTCGCGCCACTTGATGGCCGCCAATGTGCAGCTCACCGGAAGCCCCAACCGGCAGGACGCGGTTACCGTCCGAAGATAAGACAGTAAAAGTGGTTGTCGGAAAGGGCTTGCCAATAACGGCGGACTTGACCTCCGAATCCACTGGGAAAATGGTACAACAGAAAGCAGCTTCCGTCGGTCCATAGGAATTGACGCATTTCCCAGCCCACTCGTCGACCAAACTCTGTGGCATGGCCTCGCCGATACAGTAGAGATATTCGATTGTGGGTACGGATTCGCTCGAAATGTTCGATGCCACCGACGGCGTCAGATCCATATGAGTAATCGCTAACGAGTTGATGATTGAAGGTGTATCATCAAGCATTGTCCGCTGTTCAGCTGCACAAAGACAGAAGCCAAAGGACCATGCCAGGAAGCAGTCATAGTAGCACATATCGAACGTAGTAGCCGCAAACTGGAGCAAGCGAGTGTCATGATTCCATGGTATGATGGAACGAGAGCTCTCAACGGTCTGAACTGGATTGCGGTGCTCTACGCTGACTGCTTTAGGCTTGCCAGTCGAGCCCGACGTGTATAGCCTGTATGCCAGATTGATGTCCTTCAAATCTGGAACAACTGGGTTTGATGTGGGATACGAATCAATGCGACTGATGTCGATGGTTTGTACGTCGCCAGCCCATGACACATCGATGCCGTCGGAATGGAGAACGGTCTTCGCATTGAGCTCTTCAAGCATGTACTGCTTCCGCTGCACCGGCAAGTCTGGATCAAACGGCGTAAAGGCGGCTCCGGCTTTCAGAACCCCCAGAACGCTTGCATAGAATAGAGGCCCCTTTGGAATGCAAACCGGAACAGCATCTTCAAGGCCAACGTCGGCTTCTAGCAAGGCGTGCGCTATGCGGTTAGATTTCTGGTTCAGCTCTTCGAATGTATATTGAGTTCTAGTGCCATCAACATGCTGGAAAACGAGAGCCGGGGAACTCGGGCGGGCGGATGCATTCTTCTCGAATGCAGAGTGGAGGAGTGGTCCGTCCTCGGGGTCATATCTGGTGGGATGCGGATCGCTGATCGAAAGTAGGTGGCTTGGTAGGTGTGCCAAATCGGTTGTCGGTGCGTGAGGATACTGAATACATGAGTTCAATGCGGACAGAAAAGCCTGAGCAACGTTCCGCGCGCCTTCGGCGAACATAATAGATCTGTCTAATGTTAGCTTTACAAAACCCTGTTGAAGTACCGCTGCAGAGCTTACTCCTGGAAGTGTAATGCTAAAACAAGGGTATCATCTTTAACGTTAGGTGTCAGCTCCCATACAAGCGGCAGCTGTTGCAGTATCAGTAGCCGTTCAACCGTGGGCCAACGGTGCTCACTTACGTCCATCTCCCCCAGATCTTCTTTTAGCTTCCAGATATGGCTGTTCAGCCCTTCAGAAGGCTGCTGCAAAAGGAAAAGGGTATCAAAGAGGCGACTTCCGTCAGAACCGAATTGAGACTGAATGCGCCGAAGCGGCGTTAACTGAAACGGTAAGACATCGGCATTCGTGTCTTGCAATGCTCTCATGAGCTCTATATTCTGTGTCTGTGTCGCAAAAGTAACTCTGACCGGCAGAGTGTTGAAGCAAGGCGCAACGAGTCTCTCCAAACCATCCACGGGAAGCGTGCGGCCAGAGTAGACGTTGCCAAAGCACAAGTCTGTCTCGTTCAGATACAGCGCGAGAACTTTCGTCAATGCAGCTTGTCCCAGGGAAAGCAAAGATACTGACAACTGCCTACATCGCGCTTCCAAGGCGTTGAATGACACCGGTAGCGTTTCTGAATGGACTAGTCTTTTAGTCATGCGTTTGCGGGAGTTGTAAGATCTGCCTGTGAGGTCCGGAAAGGCGGAGGGCTCAAAAGCACGGAGCATCTCTCTCCAAAACTCATCGGTTGTGTCTTTCCTCGTGGCCAACATCTGTTCAAGATAAGGCTCGTATAGAACCGCGGGCGGGAGACTCTCGCCTTGGTATGTTTGCTCAACTTCGTGAAGCAGTTCTGCAATGGCAGCACCATCATACAACGAGTGATGACAGGTGAAGAGAAGGTACTTCGAGCCTCCTGAGACAGCTGTGGTAAAGTACAGAGGAGGCCGGTACGACTCTATGAGGGATGAGATGGTTCTACGAGAACGATCATTAAAATCATCCGATAAATTTCTGGTTTCTGACTCGATCGCATCCCAAGGAGGGTGGGTGTCTTCCAAAACGACTTGAGCGAACGGATATTCGGGCTCCTCTGTCGGTACGAAGCAGGTTCTGAGGATATCGTGTCTGCGGCACATCAAGACCCAGCAGTCTTTGAGCCGATCAAGTTCACCAGTGACCTCGAAAGTCATCTGGTTGCAGTACGTCGATGTCGCTGAGGAGGCGCCAGTCGAAAGCATGGCTTCCTGCAAAGGCGTGCAGGGTAAGACCTTCTGAGGCTTGTTTCCGTGTTCGCGAACAATTTTCTGAATCCGCGACAGTGTTTCATCAGTAAAGACTTTGTCAAGATCTACCTCTAGCGCGGGCTTTGGAGACCTCTCCTCAGACATCTGACGGCTTAGGCGGGCTATGGAAGGATTCTTGAGTATAGCAGAGACTGCAATCGTGGGAAAGCCGATATCTTTCAATGCTCTTGAGAACGCGATGGCAGATATGGAGTCCAGGCCAAGGCTAAAGAATGAAGAGTGTCGTTTTACTTCACCTGCAGCGAGATCCAAGACTTTCGCAAGTGCTTCCGCCATACGGTCCTCAGTCCCGGTCCAGTTGGCTCGATCTTCATCTCCTCCTTCTGAGGAGGCTTGCGAGACTGCGTTCAGGTAGTCCAAACTCAAGCTCTCGTAGCTCGCTTCAATCTTGCGTCGATCGACCTTGCCTTGCACAGTCATAGGGATAGAGGCGACTGGTACCAGTGCCTTCGGGATCATGTAGACAGGAAGCTTACTCGACAATGTTTCATACAACCGTGCAATGATGACTGTTAGAGCTGTTTCTGCAGGTAGAACGAGATGGTCTCGAGTTGAGCTACTCGAGGGAACCCAGAATGCGACGAGCTGTTGCACGTTGAACTTATCGTTCCGGATAATGAGTGAAACACAGTCGCGGACCGCCTTGTCATCCAACACACAGCTATTAATCTCGCCAAGTTCGACTCGCTGACCACGGATCTTGACCTGGTCATCTGAGCGGCCAGCGAACAGTATGGAATCGTCGGTAAGTAGCCGTCCAAGATCACCGCTGCGGTAAAGTCGGCCGAACTCAGGATGGTCTATGACTTTTGAAGCCGTGAGCTCGGGTGCATTCAGATAGCCCCGGAACACTTGATCACCGCCGAAACACAGCTCGCCAATGCCGCCTTTGGGCACAGGTTTCGTGCCGCCCTCTTCCAAGATGAAGACCGATGTATTTTTGAAAGGTCCTCCGATGTTGTTGATTAAATCCGTGGGCGCGACTTCCCCTTTAACCGTGCAAATGTTCGTCGTTTCAGATGGTCCATACCCCTGGTAGAGGCCCCTACCTGCCCACGCTCTCCGTACATGCTCCGTCACAGCTTCTCCGGCGGTGACAAGAAATTTCACTTTTGGCACGTTGAGGGGGTGCACTAATGCAGCCACTGTAGGTGTTAGACTGAGGTGGGAGATGTTCATCTGGCGGATAGCATTCTCCAAATCATGAAAGAGGACGTCTTTGGTAGCAGAGCAAAGGCACATGCCAGAGTACCAGGCGAAGAATATCTCGAACACGGAAACGTCGAACGCTTGGGAGCAGGATTGCAACAGCCGGGACCCTTCAGAAACTGGATAAATCTCACTCAAGACCTTCAGATTGCTGACAAGGTTGTCTTGTGTCACGAGTACGCCCTTCGGAGTACCGGTGCTGCCGGAGGTGAACACGGCGTAGGCTAAGTTGGATCCCCGATAGGGTTGGCAAAGGTTGTGTTCTGGGTACATCTCGAGATCAAGCTGATCCACAAAGATGATCTCACACTCTGCATCTTTGGCAAGGTTGGATGATGCTCCCATTTGAGTGAGACAGAGTTTGACTCCTGCCTCCTGCAGGATATAACGGATTCTTTCTTGCGGCGTTTCGGGTGTGACTGGGAGGTATCCTGCACCTGCCTTGATTGTAGCTAAGATGGCAATGTAGAGCTCCAGGCTTTTCTCCATGCAGATGCAGACAAGGTCATCCGGATGAACACCCTGAGCTTTAAGAAAATGGGCAAGCTTGTTGGACCGAAGATTGAATTCTTGGTAGGTGATAGTCCGGGTCTGAGTCGACGTCTCGCTAATCGACTCAGCAAACACTACGGCCAGATCGTCGGGACTCGTCGTAGCCCTCATTTCTACAGAGTGAGTAAGGCCTTGGCTGGTATCTTGGCGCTCGAAGTATGGGTTTGCGACGGACAATGTATGCATGGCGAAGATGTCGCCCAGATCGTCAACACTACACTCGACGTTGCGAGCAAAATGGGTGACAAGCTGATCAAGCTGCTCGAACAGTAGCTGCATATGAGCATGAGGTACTGTGGATTTCTGATAGGTGGCCTTGGCGGTAACATGATCCGCTCGCGGCTCCAACTCCATGATGAGCTTGAACTCCAGTTGATCTGCAGAGTTGATTTGACGAACACTTCTGGACTCGCTGCTGTGACTTTCCAAGCTTTCCTGCCACACTAGTAGCGTATCGAACAGAGCAGTGCCTGGTCTCACACCACAAGCCTGCTTGATATCCAGCAGCGGGAGGATGCAGTGCCGAAGCAGGTCTCGGTTCAAACATTGTATGCTTAGCAGCAGGTCTTTAACGGTCCTGGAACGCGAGATATCCACACGTAACGGCAGTGTACATATACATGGACCAACGATGTCTTCGATGCCAGTGACGGGAATCGTGCGGCCTGAGGTGACGGTGCCGTAGACGACATCACTGCTTCCAAAGTAGTGACTGAGAAGGTAGGCAAATGCCGCCTGGAAGAAAACCTGTGGGTTGATGCTAAGTTGACTGGCCAGCGACTTTACATCCTCCCATGGTATTGCCAGTTTGTATCTCATCGATGTCAGCGAATCGTCTTCGTGGAGACGTCCATGCAGGTTTGGAAAACTTGTCGGGGTGAAGTCTGCTAGATGCTTGGCCCAGTATTCTTTCGCGAGCTCCCAATCCTCGATGTGTTTGACTGAGGCATAGAACTCAGCAACGGGCCGGAACTGTGGTCCGTTGCTTAAAGATTTACTAGCTACAAGACTGTCGAGATCTTTGAGCATGAGGTCAACAGACCATCCATCATACAGGGCATGATGCAACTGAAGGAGCACGCGTGACCTATCACCGGTGCAGTTAACCTGGATCTTCAGCGGCCGAAGTAACGCTCCCGAACTGTGAACGTCATAGGCGTAGTTGAATTGAGTAACTTCTAAGATTTGCTCGTTGTTCAGCTCTGTCCAGACTACCTGAGCATGAGAATGCTTCGATGCTGCTACAGTAACAAACCCCGAGCGGAGTGACGAGTGCTTCACTGCCAGCGCCGAAACCCAGTACGTGATGGCTTCGGCCGTACTTCCGGCAGGGAACTCAAGCTCTATCCAGTTACAATAAGCTTGTGGCCGGACAGCGCTCTCCGCGAGCATAGATGCTTGAAGGGGAGTGCAACGAAGGACGTCATAAACTTGCGACTGGCACGACACCATGTCCGGACCGTTCAGGATTACTGCTCGCAGCTCTTCAAATATGTCTGTTTTTGGAGCTTCATGCTCTCCATTATTCGGTAGACTTTGTTTTTTGTCGATGGTATTCCGGAGAGTTTTTACGTCTTTTGCAGCCAGTATGTCGACAGCTGTCAGGGAAAATCCCGCTTTCCGGAGAGACGACGCGGCTCTGATTGCGTTCAAGGAATCGAGTCCAGTGGTCGATAGAACAGTGGACGATGTGGTTCTTTGGTGAAGGACTTCTTGTATAATTTCGCATATCTTTTGCTCAGTGCTGTCGGAGTAGACACCATCATCCCGGACAGCGTCTTCCTTACACCGTTCATAGTCACTCTCCAACCTCTTTCGGTCGATCTTTCCAGATGACAACCGAGGGAGTTCTGAGAGAAGTATGACGTCGCCAGGAATCATGAAAGCTGGGAGCCAGCGACGACACATGTCTAGTACTTCTTGCTTCGACGTTCCGCCGTCGTCGATCAAACAGAATACTACCAGGACGCTTGCAACTATGCTTGCAGTTACACTCCGGCAACCCGGAACACGAGCGACTGCTTGCTCAACTTCGCCGAGTTCGATACGTTGACCTCGTAGCTTCACCTGCCCGGTGACGATGCGTCCGAGACACTCAATGGTTCCGTCGGGCAGCATCCTTGCCTTGTCGCCGGTCCGGTACAGTCGGCCGTGTTCCTTTGTCTCAACAAAAGCCGTGGCGGTCTCCTCGGGCCTGTTAAGATAGCCGTTGGCCAGCTGATGTCCGCCGAGAGCAAGTTCACCGATGTGGCCGATCGGTAAAATATCTACATCGGTCCGCTTCTGCGATTCGGGCGCAGAAGGGCCAACGATAAAGGTTGACACAGTATCAAGTGGTTTCCCAATCATACCTACTTTCGATGATGCCTGGAAATCCAGCTGCACAGTGCAGTGTATCGCGGCTTCTGTGGGGCCGTACATCCCCCACAGGATACTATGACGCTCTTCTTTGCCTCCGAACTCATTAGTGACAGGTGTTGTAAGCATCTCGCCAATGGTAAGAAGTAATTTCAGACCAGGCGTAGAGTCCCTGCTACGCAGTAAAGTTGCCGCAATGGTAGGAGTCAGCTCTGCAGCATCGACCTCCAGCTCATTGATGACGTTTGGTAGATCGTCCAGTAAGCGATCACGATCGCAGCCAACAAGGGTGCGACCTCTTAATAAGGGAAAGAAAATCTCGAACATTGATACATCGAACGTTGGTGCAGCAAACTGCAGAAAGCGAGAGAATGCAGGGATGTGCCGATCGTGAGCCAGTAGACTCTGGGTTACCGCGAAATGAGATAGGCCGACGCCTTTAGGAGTGCCTGTAGATCCAGAAGTATACATGACATAGGCGAGGTCCTCCGGCTGCGGCTGTGAAATTGAGGCTGCGCGACCAGCAGCTGCAGGAGGGGGTTCTTCGTCGATGCAAATGATTTCCAGGGTATCGTCTTTAGGTATCCTGACATTGAATTCGGATGTAGTAAGAATGATCCCTGCAGAAACATCCTTGAGAATGAATTCCAGGCGTCTCTCTGGCGCATCTAGATTCAACGGGCAAAATGCCGCGCCTGCTTTGAGAATCGCAACCAACGCAATGTAAAGCTCCGGAGATTGCGGTATCAGAACTGGTATGACTTGCTTTTGCGGGCTGGCCTTCGTTGCAAGTGATTGCTGGAGCCTCGTCGCCCAAGCTGTCGTGGTAGAGTCCAGTTCAGAATAAGACATACTCGTATGGCTCCCGTCCTTCCGCAAGAAATCTATGGCGCAAGTCTGGGATGACCCGAGATCTAAGAGGTGGTGCAACAACCGTGGTCCATCAAGCAACTTTGGGCTCCGGTTTAGCACAGACAGAGTTGGTTGTGCAACAACTGCTGTACTTTCTAACATTCCCTTCATACCTAAAGTCCACCGAATAGCATGTTTCAGCTGTTCTGCGAACTCTCGCAGGTGATACTCCGGGACATGCCGCGAAGCGCGGAGTTGACCCTGGCCCGTTTGAGGGTCAAAGAGCAACGAAAGAGCCAACTGTCCTGAGAAGCTGTCCTACAAGGGCTATTAGCTACTCGATAGCTGTTCGTAGACAGGCTTGACTTACTTCCTTCCGGAATACTCCAGTGACATCGGCTTCTTCTGGGCTCGCATACTCATGCTCTCCGGAAATCCGTTCGACGACCCAACTGCGGGCATCAACTCGGATGGCGCAGTCTTCTGTCAGGAATACCAGCTCCTCACTGCCCGTATAAGACCGGAGCAGAACAGCCCAGGAGATGTGGATTATTTCTTCGGGGAAGCGTAAGCCGCCAATATGAGCTTCTGTCAACCCATCTCCGTGGACCACGGGGCTGCTAGCCGTGTAGAGGTTTGGGAAGCGCGTGTACTGCAGACCTGGCATGATGCCAATGATGGGGGAGATGACTTTTCGAGAAGGGCTTGAAATGAGTACCGCGCTGGAGAGATGCGCTGTATGGAATGGCAAACGAGACGTTGGTGCATCTTATCAGATTCCTCGTCGTCCTTGGACTCACGAAGCCAAATTGCGCGGAGGTTCAGTGTAGTGGTCGCCATAATCTAATCGGGCCACTGGTGAGTTTGGTAGGGGTGCTGGATGCCGTTGGCATCTGGCGTGACCCCGGCCGCTCCCAGCATCATCACTGTCGGCTAGACCAACGGCTGGTCCCGCCGCTTTCTGTCAAGTTTTCCGCTCGCCTGTCATCATTTCTATTGGCCACGTCGTGATCGAGCAGTCCACCACCCCCAGCTTCTACGCAGACCATGGCGACTCGCAAACACCTCGTGCCGGGTCGTCTTCGGTGCTCGTACGATGCCAGTCGCCGAACCTGGCCGCAGTGTCTGCTCTGCCGTTACCGGAGATTGCAACAACACACCTGGGCAGTGCGGGACGCTTAGTCGGGCGCTGTCGTCACGAGATGGACTAAGGGCAGAGTTTTCTCATGTCCGATGATCTGATAAGTTAACCTAAAACGAACCGCAGTGACTTGGCATCAACCACGGTTGCATGGTTCCAGCATTGTCCTGCGCCATCACTGCTCCAACCGGTTAGGGAAGTCCCCAGCTTCTGCAGTAGCAGGAGAGGATTGCGGATCTGATAAGCCCCCACACTGACAGGCGCCAGGATGTCAGATGCAGGCGCGCTGATCTCGTACCATGCAACCTAACAACTTCGCAACCAGCCAACGAACCTTGTGCTGCTGTTCCAACGCCTATGACGATCTGAACGTTCCAGGTGAGGTTCCGGCAATGCAATCGCGCGGGCGCGCTCAAGCTTGTCACTACTCATGCTGGGTTCACCGGCGACCAGGGCTCGCTTGCCCGACGGCACCAAAAGTAGGTCTTGGAAGCTCAGCTGTAGGTGGCTGTCTCCGGCGCTTGACCCTCGTCAGGATGCATAATTCTGCTAGAGAACATTGTGGGTATGCCATTCAGCTACCATCGGTTAGCCGTTTCAATTTAATTTCTTCTCAAATTCGTTTCCGCTACGTGATTAACAGTAACTCGAGCGCTAAAGATGGCTTGACAATTGGTCTCGCCGTCTCGGTGCTTAGCATACTCTCAACGTCTAGTTCTTCCCATCTTACTGGTAGCTCAAGTTTTTCCTGAATCTATCAAGCTGTCCACTCCCGTCTGCGAGAAACAGCTCCCAGGGAGCCAGCATCAACATGTCTGTCGCAGTGGTTGAAGAAGGCCCGGTGCGGAAGGATCCTATTGCGCCGGCGACTTTGCTTCCTGGTCGGCCAGAGCTAGGAAAGCGTTCGTCAACTGGCCGCCTCCCAGTGGGGGATCCCGACGGCGACAGACACTCAAAGGCGGGCTCACAATGGCGCAGAGATACTGAGCTCGTGTCTCTGAGCACTGCACAGAATCGAGTTTGGCATAATCATCTCAGCAACGTACCGCAAAAGGCTCTGCGACAGGTACTAGGGCTCAACCCTTTCAAGACCTCATACACAACCCTTTACCGACCTCTGAAAGATTTCCAATCAAGAACGACACTGCTGGCAGGTGTCATCCTTGCCGTTGCAGCCGGTGTACCTCTTCCTATCATCGGCGTCATATTCGGACGCATCATTGACTCTTTTCCGCCCTCCGAAGCGGAATTGGAGACACGTATCGGACAACTCCTTGGCGTTGCAACGGCGTACTTTGTGATAACATGGGGCTGGGCTGTATGCTGGGGGATAATTGGCGAGCGAGTATCTCGAGGCTTGCGGGAGTCCTTGGTAGAGCGAGCTCTCGGGATGGAGCTGGCCTATTTCGATACTGAAGCGCCGGATATGACGAACGTTCTTACGGAAAAGACGCAGACTATACAACTGGGAACGTCCGAAAAGGTCGGCCTATTCATCCAGTCGATCAGTTACTTCGTAGCAGCCTTCACCGTCGGGTTTATCCTCAATGCCACTTTGACAGGTATCCTCTTCGTCGCAGTAATACCAGCCATGGCGATGATCGTCTACTTCGGCACAAAGGCCGTCTCGAGATTCTCTAAGAGGGCAGCAGATCTTTCGGAGGAGGCTGCAAACCTGGCAGAGAGTGCCATTAAGGGCGTCCAAGTCGTTCAAGCCTTCGGGGTTCTTGACAAAATGACCGAAGATCATCTGGCACTGCTGAAGAGAGCAGTCCGTGTCGGAGTAAAGAAATCAATCGCCGGAGCCCTTATGCTTGGCTCAGTGTATTTCGTGGCATACGCTGCCAATGCGTTAGCATTTTGGGAAGGTCGTCGGTTGTATGAAGGCGCAGAAGGAGCATCCGGCGGAGCAGGCACTATATATGCCGTGGTTTTCTTGATCCTGGACGCATCCTTCGTCGTTGGCCAGTTCGGACCATTTATTCAAACTTTTGCCCTCGCAGCGTCGGCGGGCGAGAAGATCTTCGAAGTGCTGGACCACACGGAAGCTCACATCAATGTATATTCTGATGAAGGAGAAAAAGCACGTCCCGACACTTTCAAGGGCGAGATCCGTTTCCAGGACGTCACGTTTGTCTACCCAGCAAGGTCCAATGCACGCGTACTTGAAGGTCTTAATCTCAAGTTCAAGGCGGGAAGGGTCAACGGTCTCGTAGGCGCTTCAGGTTCCGGTAAATCGACCGTAGCTGCCCTGCTGTTGCGGTTCTACGATCCATCATCCGGAAGAGTTACCGTCGGTGATAGGGACATCCGCACCTTCAACGTCGGTAGCTGGCGTAGGCAAATCGCGCTCGTGGATCAAAACCCTGTCCTCTTCTCCGGCACAGTCCTTGATAATATACGTCACGGGCTCGGGGATAACCACGGTTTATCCGAGCAAGAAGTCATCCGGCGATGCGAGAAGGCTGCAGCGGACGCAAACTGTGACTTCATCTCGGCACTGCCCGATGAACTTTTGACTGCAATCGGCGGTTCAGGAAACACGCAATTGTCTGGGGGGCAGAAGCAGCGGCTCGCTTTGGCCCGTGCCCTTGTCGGAGAGCCCTCAGTATTGGTCTTGGACGAGTATACCAGTGCTATGGACGCGACGAGCGAGACGCTGGTGCTCGATGCGCTCAGGCGTGCGGCTGCGGTCTCGACAAGGACAACAATAATCATCGCCCATCGCCTTGCTACCATCAAGGAGGCAGATAAGATCATGGTCATGGGAGAAGGGACTCTTCTTGAAGAAGGGACGCATGAATCACTTTTGGAGCTGAATGGTGCCTACAAGCAGCTGGTGGATGCGCAGAGCTTCGTGAAGTCTGATTCAGAGTCGGAAAGTCGAACATCAGCCAAATCCAGCTCTCCGGAAGATTCGATGACGAAACCTACTCCGCTCGGTACTCCCTCAGGCAATGTGACCGATGAGCACTCACATGCGGAGCCTCTAAGCGTTTTTACCCTCGTGAGGAGGTGCTTTGCCATGAGCAGGTCAGAGAGACCGTTCATATTCCTAGGCATCCTAGCCTCAATGGTGAGCGGAGCTATCATCATGGGTGAAGCCATAGTTTTCGGCAACCTTGTCCATATCCTCAACGAAGAATCCGAGAGTGAGCGTCTTGCTCGCAGGGCCAACTTTTTCTGCCTCATGTTCTTCGTACTCTCTCTGATTGCACTCGTGGCTTACTCCGCGACTGGGAGCCTTTTTGGCATAGTCTCAGAGCGGCTAATTCTAGGTGTCAAAGCAATCTCCTTGAAAACGATCTTGCAGCAGGATGTGGGGTGGTTCTCCGAGCCCTCCCGCTCGCTGCACGCGCTGATGTCTTCTCTCAGCATGGATGCCGGTCATCTCAGCGGGATGTCCGGCATCATCATCGGCACGTTCTTTTCCGTTGCAACCTCCATCATTGGAGGCATCGTCCTTGCTCATATTATAGCTTGGAAGATTGCAGTAGTCTTACTGGCCGCCGTGCCCGTCATGCTTCTTGCTGGCTTCCTACGCTTACGCATCTTGTCCAAGGCTGAGGAAAGACACGAGACGGCATACAACGAAGCAGCTGCATTGGCCTCTGAAGCCTGTGCATCTATCCGGACGGTGGCCGCTCTAGGCCGCGAGAGCGACGTTCTTCGGCTTTATAAGGAAGCCATCCAAGAGCCTTATGAGCAGAGTCTCAAGTTCACGATCATGAGCAACGTGTTGCTCGCGTTCTCCCTTTCAATCACTTACTTTGTGTACGCCTTAGCGTACTGGTGGTAAGTATCGGTTGAGATTCTGATTTCCAATTCATCATCGACGGCGGCTGATGACTTGCATAGGGGAGCGAAGCAAGTCCGGAATGGCAATTATACAACACTACAGTTCTTCATCGTGTTACCTGCCCTCCTTTTCTCTGCACAGGCAGCCGGACAGATGTTCAGCCTCGCACCAGAGCTCACTCGAGCCAAATCTGCTGCTCGCAGTGTCTTCAAGCTACACGACCAGCGCCCCTCGATCATTACGGACTCTACCAGCGCTTTGACGTCAGTCGTCTCGGATTCATCCGAGCTCTCAGAGAAAGGTAGCGACTTGGAAAAACCTCCCCTTAGCAGAGGACAAGTCGACTTCCAAGCCGTCAGTCTGATATACCCTTCCAGACCCAGCGCTCCCGCTCTGAAAGAAGTTATGTGCTCCGTCCAGCCTGGAGAATTTGTCGCCTTCGTCGGCCGGTCCGGGGCAGGCAAGACATCCTCAATTTCTCTCATCGAGCGTTTCTTTGACCCCACTGGTGGTGCTGTTCTAGTCAACGGAATAGACATCAGAAACATGCCGGTAGAGGAGCACCGAGCGAGGATAGGTCTAGTAGAACAAGAGCCACATCTTTTCCCAGGCTCTGTTTTGTTTAACGTCAAGCTAGGTGCACGACCTGGCCGGGAAGCATCGCATGAGGAGGTTGTCAATGTGTGCAAGAAATGCGGCATTCATGACTTCATCATGGGTCTGCCTGAAGGTTACAACACAGAGTGTGGCAAGAATGGGTCTAGGCTCTCTGGTGGTCAACGGCAGCGCATAGCCATTGCGAGGGCGCTGATACGAGATCCGGAGATCCTGCTCCTCGACGAAGCAACATCACAGCTCGATGCAACCAGCGAGATGGAGGTTCGCAACGCCATCGCTGCCGCCTCGTCTGGCCGCACAACTATCGTGGTGGCTCATCGACTGGCTAGTGTTCAGAGCGCTGACCGTATATATGTTTTTGATGATGGAGCGATCGTTGAGCAGGGCACCCATGATGATTTGGTCGCACTTGGTGGCATTTACGCTGGCATGGTCGGAGCACAGGAATTAGGTTGAGTGTTGCTGTCACAAAAGCACTTTTTTGCATCACCTGGAATTCCGATTCCTTCGAAGAGCGTCAGCGACTCCTGGTCTCTACTGGATGAATCAGTACGCGTTGGAGGCTGTGGTATTAGATTTGCACTACCAAATTACAAGCTAGATGCCATTTAGGTCGCCACTTCATTCTCCTCGACTGTTTGCAGGCCTTGAAGCAGCAATAGATCAGTGCGGTTCACACACGTCTCATGAGTAAGGAGGTTATGCCTCAGGACATACCACGACTTCCCGGAGGCCTTGCTCGAGTAGTGCTAAAAACTTATCTGCAGCTGGTCCATGGTTGCTTCAATTTAACTGACATGTGTCACCCCACCATTCATTTCGTCAGTGATGCCTCTTTAGCCCGACACGGGAAGCGGTTCAAGGGAAACGATGCTGGAGGGTTTAGAACGTCCTGGATCCCCTGTCTCTCCGGACATCGGCCGTCATGCAGCAGCGGATCAGATAACTTTATTTGAAGATCGCCGTCCCCACTCAGCGGCTTGTGCACGTCTGCATCATCTGTCGCATCAGGCTCTCCGTTTCGCGGCACTGTGAGCGCATTCTGCTCCTCCCTCTCCCTTGCAACCGGCGTATCCACACCACACGCTAAGTCGCACGGAAATCAGTCCGTCGTTTCTGCTAATCTTGCCAGGGGATGCTGCCCCAGAAAGGCAGGACTACGAGCCTTGGCGACTGAGCCATTTGTCTGTCAAATTTTATCAGATCAATAGATTAGATCATAGCTCGAAATCGGCTCGGTGCCGACTGCGTCATGTGGGATCGGCAAGCGAAGCTGTCCGGGGTATTCGCTCCACCACCAATGCGACTCTCCTGGCTTAGAGTGTTAATCTCGTGGTATCGTGGCCGAATTTTCGCAAGATGAAATCACACTATTACATACCGTGTTTACTCGAGCCAAGTCCGGCCTCCGGATACAGCCGCTGTGCGAATTTTGTCGAGCTGTACTTGTACCAAGGTAACCTGCACTGCAGAGAGGCATTGCATGTGCCCGTGTAGATAGTCATCCATCGCAATCAAATCATCAGATTTTGTTCAGCCAACAGACATTGTGACGTCGTCTTGCCCTGCTCAACGGGCGGCTTACATTGAAGCAAGCGTACGGCTGATATAGGGTTTGTTCAACGCGTCATCACTGTTTACAAGGCGCTGACATGAGTGATCTTCAGATCCGACTATCAACAACTTGTGGATCGCATTGAGTACTACTCGGTTATCACACAACGTCGAAAGAGCAGAGGCAAAGGCAATCAGGCTAGCAAATAATCAGAAGCGGTCCGTCTTGTTTGTGAGACCATGCGATAACAGCGAACAGCTATACTGACCTTCCTCTACATATAGAACGCCAGTTTGGGGACATTCATCAACGCTTCCACGAAGCGGCATTAAGACTCCAAAGATGACACCGCACGCCGATGACCCATCTACTCCAGCCAATGGCAGATACAACGGCCCTTATAAAGGCCACCAAACGATCGGACACGCGAACAACGGCGTCAGGCATGCCCCGTTAAGCGGAGGGAAGAGCCGTTCGCATCTCCGGTATACGGCAGAGACCGAGCTACACGACCTCGTCTGCGTCGGATTTGGCCCTGCATCGCTCGCCATCGCCGTTGCTCTGCATGATGCGGTGGATGGAGCTGAAGGGGCCTCTGGACTTCCTAGCCTGCATGGAAGCCCTCCAAAGGTTGTTTTCCTTGAGAAACAGCCGCAGTTTGCGTGGCATGCAGGCATGTTGCTCGAGGGCGCCAAGATGCAGATTACCTTCCTCAAGGACATGGCAACCCTACGTAACCCTCGAAGCGAGTTTACTTTCATCAACTATCTGCACAAGAACAACCGGCTGGTGGATTTTACGAATCTGAGCACCTTTCTCCCGCAGAGGGTCGAATATGAAGACTATATGCGATGGTGCTCGAAATGGTTCGACGAGGTTGTGAGCTACAGTCAGGAAGTCGTAGAAGTGCTACCGGAGAAGACTACTAAAGGGGAGCATTCTGTTCCCTCTTTCACGGTTGTATCGAGAAACATCAACACTGGAGAAACGACTACCCGGCGGACGCGTCACGTGGTCATCGCAACAGGTGGGAGGCCTCAAATTCCAAGATCATTGCCTCAGTCGCATCCGCGAGTGATCCACTCGTCCCAATACTCTCTTACCATACCTCGGATCTTCCGAGATCCTCAGCATCCCTACAGATTCGCAATCATCGGCGGTGGTCAGAGTGCCGCTGAAATTTTCGAGAATCTCAACTCGCACTACCCAAACTCGACCACACGGCTGCTGATCAAGCATTCGGCGCTGCGACCTAGCGACGACTCGCCGTTGTAAGTTTGAGTCGAGGTAATTTTCTGCGTGAATTGTTACTGATAGGACGGTGTAGCGTCAACGAGATCTTCAATCCATCTCGCGTCAATGACTTCTACAAGCAGTCCGCTAGCATTCGTGCCGCTTCGATCGCCGAAGACCGCAACACCAACTACGGCGTTGTGCGGCTCGAGCTCCTGGAACGTATATACGAGGAGCTGTACATCCAGCGCATCCGCTACGCCAGCGAGGAAGACTGGCCTCGCCGCATCCTCCCTCACCGAACCGTGACGGCTATCGATGATTCTCCGGTCCGCAAGGGTGGCGTGCGACTGCATGTTCATAACGAGAGTGGCAACTTCCTCGTCGATGGCGCTCTGGGTGACGAGGTGATGGACGTCGATGCTGTGCTCGTTGCTTCGGGCTACAGGCGTGATGCGCATGAGGATATACTGCAGAACGCTAGGCATCTTATGCCTGGCGGCGACCGGCCTGACAACAACTGGACAGTGGGTAGGGACTACAGGGTTGAGTTTGAAAAAGGAGCTGTTGCTTCTGATGCGGGCGTTTGGTTGCAGGGTTGCTGCGAGAGCACCCATGGTGTAAGTCAACCATGCATTACTGTCTTATCGATGTTCGAGATACAGCGCTAATCAGCCAGCAGTTGAGTGATACCCTCCTTTCCATTTTGGCCTGCAGGGCTGGACATCTCGTGGATTCCATTTTCGGCAGCGCTGTCAATGATGGCGACGCGATTCTTGAGGGAAACGGCGTTAATGGTCACGCAGAGACCAACGGTGTCAATGGACATGTCGAGACGAACGGCATGGCCCTAACCAACGGTGTTCACTAGCGACATCTGTCCGTTTGTAGAGTATTCTTCTTCGAGGCGAACCACGGCCGTCTTTCATTTCTATCCGCGCAATGTATCGCGCGGAGTTTTGTCGTTGCACAACTAGCTACGCACTCTGCAGTTTCAATACACGCATCTCGTTCCATTCCTAACGACTGCTGTTGTCGCGTAAAACTCCGCGTACGATTCACGTAGATGCGATGCTCGACATCGGCTTCGTCTGTTATGAGAGTCGACATCACCATGTGATTGGTACGTAGGCCTTAGCAAATGCACCCGAGACTACAGAAGCACACGGGGTAGACGGAAAATATGCTCTACGACGGCTTAGGTCGGAAAAACGTATCTCGGTAATACCTAGCTTCTGCAATGCTCTCCAGGATATCTGCACGCGCTTCATGCAGCCCTTTCTTCTGCGGCGACTTCTTGAGCACCTCTTCCGGCGCCCAGCGCCTAGCAGCTTCCTTGATCGCGCTCACATCAAGAATCCGATGATGCAAATGCTTGATCACTTTATCGTACGGTGCTAGCCGTAAGAATGCCTTGTCTGCATGAACGGTGTTGCCAGCCAGTAGTGCTCTCCGAGGCTCTGGCGCAAACTTCTTTACGTACTGGAGCAGCTTATCTGCTGCCTGTTCTGCGGTGGTGGTAGAGGCGATGACTGCTTCTGTCAACCCCGATGCTTTGTGGTGTTTCTTGCACCATTCTCCCATTTGGTCGAGGACTTCGCGGTCGTGGTGGATCGTGGCTTCGTAGCCGCTCTCGTCGAGCAGGTTCAGGTCGTAGTCAGTGATGAAACATGCGATTGAGAGGACGCTATCGTTGTCGTAGTCAAGGCCAGTCATCTGGATGTTATAAGTATGAGTCCTTGGAGGAAAGTACGGGACGGGTACCTCGCAGTCTATCCACACCAGCGGGTGTCGAGAAACGGATTCAGGCATGATGGAACCAGATGAACAAGACCGGAGCAAAGTTAAAGTAGCGCTACTGAGCGATCCGGTATAGCCACTCCCTCTACTAAGGTATCTCAGCTGCGCAGGTGGCAGGATCCATGACATTGTTCTGATACTCGTAATGTCTATGAGCATCACTAATTCCGAGGTTCCGCCTAGCGCGTTTCCGCCAGCGCGTCACGACACGTCCAGTCCGCTTAAGTGCTTCTGGGTACCCCGTGCCAACCTCCCCAAACAACACACACATTCTATATCACTCTCGTCTGATTTGAATCACGACCGTAACTGCTTCGTGACCATTCTTGCCATTTCATTTCAGTTACTCCTCAAGTTACAATGGCTTCCAGGGCAGCCCGGTTGGCGGAGCTGCGCGCTCTGAGAGCAGCAGGCAAGACGCGCATGTCCACGTACGAGGTCAAAGAAGCGGACGAAATATACGATGAAGTGGACGACGAAGGGTACAAAAAGGTAGTTCGAAGGCGTCTCGACGAGGATGACTTTGTTGTGGACGACAATGGCGCGGGATACGCGGATGATGGCCGCGAAGAGTGGGATACAGAGCGCCAACAAGCCTATGGCAGCGAAAGCGAAGAGGATGCTCCTTTACGCGGAAAACCAGGTGAGTCTTCTATTACCAGAACGCCTCAGCCATGATGCATATACTGACGCATAGCGTTGACAGCAAAGCGCAAGCGCGAAGACGACCAAGAAAAGAAGGACAAGATTAAGAACGGCATCAGCAAGTACTTCAACAACAATCCCACAGTAGCACCGCCGAAGCAGAAGGCAAGTGCCGCATGGAAGAAGTCGGTAAAGTGCTCTCGCTGACTGACGTAGCCCGTCACCACCGCGGAAGATGCTGCATTTATGGCAGACCTCCTTGGCGAAGTCGATACGAACATACCGAGCCGCCCACGCATGAGAGCTGTCAAGACCCAGTCTCGCCGCAAAACACGCGTCCTCTCCCCACCTATCGTCGAGACGCGAACAACTGCACCGAGAGGGCATGGTCCATCGAATGACGCGTACATGGTGGACAATCCCCCAGCGGAGACGGCGTCAATCGACGATGATGCTTTCATGGCCCCGGGAGACGATGACATCCTCATGAGTGATGCCCCACTGCCATCTTCACCAGTGACAAAGGCCGTTGAGAGAAAATCCCAAATGCCTGTCAAGATTGAGGAGGAAGACGAGGAAGACTTGCTGGAAGTGGCACAAGCTGTTGGTCATTCTGGTATCCAGTCCACTAGTGTCAACATGGCAGGAAGTAGACCCGCACCAAAGATCCTGAAGACACAGTACCCGACTCCAGACAGCTCTTCCCCTACACTCGCACCTGCGGATACAGTGGACGCCTCGATCTGGAACAACGTCACGAGCAAACTCAATGTCATCAGCAGTCCCGTGCCTGAAGTAAGCACCGTGACTTTGGGGAAGCTGAGGCCACAAAACGCGCTCGAAGAGGACGGCAGCCTTCGCATGTTTTGGATAGACTATACCGAAGTCAATGGCAGTCTCTGTCTATTCGGCAAGGTCAGGGACAAAGTTACTGGCACTTTCGTCAGTTGCTTCGTGAAGATCGACAACATTCTCCGAAAACTCTTCTTCCTACCACGGGAATACCGCCAGAAGCACGGCAGAGATACTTCGGAAGAGGTGGGGATGACCGATGTCTACGAGGAGGTGGATGGACTGATGTCCAAGCTTGGAGTCGGAATGCACAAGATCAAGCCTTGCTCTAGGAAATATGCATTCGAGCTTCCAGATGTTCCTAAGGAAGCGGACTACCTCAAGCTGTTGTATCCGTACAACAAGCCTCCTTTGCCCGCGGATTTCAAGGGCGAGACTTTCTCGCATGTCTTCGGCTGCAATACTGCGCTTTTTGAGCAGTTCGTTCTGTGGAAGAATATCATGGGTCCCTGCTGGCTCGAGATCCAAGAGGCCGATTTTCAAGCCGTCAACAACGCCTCGTGGTGTAAGCTTGAGCTCCAAGTTAACAAGCCAAACCTAATTACCACTCTTGGTGACTCAGACAATCTGGAAGCACCACCGCTGACGTTGATGAGTATCGCACTGAGAACTAAGTTCAACGCAAAGGAGAACAAGCAAGAGATATTGATGGCTAGCGCGAGAGTCTACGAAAACATCTCCTTGACAGAAACCACTCCACCGGAGAAGCTGCCCTGCAAAGCATTTACTGTGATGCGTCCCATCGGTGACGCGTGGCCAACAGGGTTCAAAATGGAAGTCAACAAGCACAAAGGCCTCGTAAAGTTGGAGAGGAACGAACAAGGCCTCCTTAGCATGTTTATGGCTATTTTGCACAAGATGGATCCGGATGTTTTGATTGGACACCGCCTCGACGACGTAGACTTCAGTATTCTCCTCAGCCGTATGCGCGAAAGGAAGACCCCCGGCTGGCATAGGATTGGACGCCTCAAGAGGAGCGAATGGCCTAGGAATATGGGCAAAGGAGGTGGGAACTTCTTCGCAGAAAGGCACCTCGCCGCTGGCCGGTTGCACTGTGATCTTGCTAATGACCTTGGCAAGGTAAGTTACGCTGGGTTCCGGTGATATTTAGCCAGCTGCTAACATTTCCCAGTCACTCATGACCAAATGTCAATCGTACAGTCTCAATGAGATGTGCGAGCTCGTTCTCGGCGACGGCAACATACGACGCGATATTGATAACGAGGCCGCACTGAAGTCCTGGGCGACGACCCGCGAAGGCTTGATGAATTATCTAAGACATTGCGAAGCCGACACCTACTTTATCGCGGCCATCGCGCTCAAAGTGCAGATGCTACCTTTGACTAAGGTCCTCACTAATCTCGCTGGCAATTCATGGGCACGAACTTTGAGCGGCACAAGAGCTGAGCGCAACGAGTACATTCTGCTTCACGAATTTTACCACAACAAGTATATTTGCCCCGACAAGGCTTTCGGCAAGGGCAAGCAAAAAGTCGAGGAAGAGACCCCTGAGGGTGAGGAGGGTGCAGACGCCAAAAAGAAAGATAAGTATAAGGGCGGTCTCGTCTTCGAGCCGGAGAAGGGCTTGTATGATAAGTTCATTCTGGTCATGGACTTCAACAGTCTGTACCCCAGTATTATCCAGGAGTACAACATTTGTTTCACTACCGTTGATCGGACAGACAGCGTAAGTACACCATACAGTCAGGAGTGATCCCTCAGAGCTGACGTTGCTAGACCGAGGACGACGAAAAGGTTCCTGAGGTCCCAGACGCAGGCCAGTCTCAGGGCATCCTTCCAAAACTCATCGCCACGCTTGTTAACAGGAGACGAGAAGTCAAGAAGTTGATGAAAGACAAAACCGCCACCCCAGATCAGCTCGCCACCTGGGATATCAAACAACTGGCCCTCAAGCTGACTGCCAACTCGATGTACGGGTGCCTCGGCTACACCAAGTCTCGGTTCTACGCTCGTCCGCTGGCCATGCTTACAACCTACAAAGGCCGTGAGATTCTCCGGAGTACCAAGGATCTGGCCGAGAGCAAGCAGCTGCGTGTTATTTATGGCGACACCGACTCGGTAATGATCAACACGAACATGGACAACATGCAGGACGCGCTGAAGCTCGGGAGTGAGTTCAAGCGCGACGTCAATGACCGCTACCGGCTCCTGGAAATCGACGTCGACAATGTCTTCCGCCGCATCCTCCTGCACGCTAAGAAGAAGTATGCCGCGATCAACATGGTTGAGATCGACGGCAAGTACGTTGAGAAGCTCGAAGTTAAGGGTCTTGACATGAGGAGGAGAGAGTACTGCGCGCTTTCGAAGGAGACATCATCGAAGCTGCTTGGCTTTCTGCTTTCTGGAGACGACCCGGAAGCAGTGGTCGAGAAGATCCACGACTACCTACGTGAGCTGGCCGCGAAGATGCGGGATTTCCAGATTCCGCTACAGAAGTACACCATCTTCACTCAGCTTGGCAAAGACCCTAAGGAGTATCCGAACGCCAACAGCATGCCTTCTGTCCAGGTCGCGCTCCGGCAGATGGCCAGAGGCAAGCATGTCAAGGCCAAAGACGTCATGTCCTTCATCATTACGGGCGAGAGTGGTGGATCCGCTGAAACCGCTGCCAAGAATGCCTTTACTCTCGAGGAGGTACTGAAGCCCGAGTCTGGACTCAAGCCAGGTACGTCCCCTCAACCTTATCCTGCTTTCTCTACTACGACTTGCTGACCGATAGTGGCAGACATCGATTACTACCTTCATAAGCAAATCCTTCCTCCCGTCGAACGTCTCTGCGCGCCCATCTCCCAGACCAACATCACCCAACTCGCCTCCTGCCTCGGCCTCGACACCTCCAAATATCGCATCTCCAGTTCATCTGCCAACAGCTCATCCGAAGCAGAGATCCACCCCCTAGAATCCCAGATTCCGGACGAGATCCGCTTCAAGGACACCGCGCCCCTCTCTCTGCGCTGCCGCCGCTGCACTCACCGCTTTTCCTTCAGAGGCCTACCAGTGACGTCCCGCATGGTCTCCAACGAGGGTCTCGTGTGCCCCAAAGAGGGCTGCGGTAAGCCGCTGGGCAACCTGAGCGTCGCGGCCCAGTTGGAGGCGCAGATACGACAACACCAGGCCCGGTATTACTCCGCTTACCTTGTGTGCGATGATCCGGCTTGTGGTAACCGGACGCGGCAGATGTCCGTTTACGGCCACCGCTGTCTGGGGCGTAAGGGCCTTGGGACGGGCTGTCTGGGGAAGATGAGCTTTGAGTACGGAGATAAGGCGCTGTATAACCAGCTCCTGTACTTGCAGGGTTTGTTCGATGTTGATCGGGCGAAGGAGAAGGTGAAGGAGAGTGGGAAGGGAGAAGAGGGTGAGAAAGTGGAGGTACTGGCGGAGTTAAACAGGGAGAGGTTCGGGACGCTTATGGGGGTGGTCAAAGGGTATTTGGATAGGAACGGGAGGCAGTGGGTCTCGATGGATAATATATTCAGCTTTGCGCTGAAGGCGGTGTGAGTCTTTGGATACCCATTGCACGCCTGGAAAGCGGTTTCTTTGGAACGGGACTGGCGTTTAGATAGCCTGGCATTTCTGATGTAAATTCTAGGCAGTTAGCCCTCCGCATGAAGCATGTCTCAGCCAGCTATGATCATTCGCACTATGATAAAGTCAAACCATCTTGATTGCTTCGTGGAAATTCGGATTACGAGCATTGTCCAAGAGCGGCGAAAGCCCTGGATGGAAGTCGGAGCGAAATTCGCAGGCTTTCCATCAGGGGTTCTTTTTCGTGTGCTGGGGTGAGGGGCTCCCGCTCACTGCCCCACCTCTGGCCCCACGTCATGGGGTCAAAAAGTCCATAGCTCCTCAACACTCTGTTAAATAATTCTCCAATTACTCTCCAACCTTCAGAGAAACTAGAAGAGCAGCAAGCAAGCAAGCAATCAACAACTATGAGCACCAGAACTGTAGAACTGAAACCCTTTACCGACCAGAAGCCCGGAACGTAAGTTGGAGCTCCCATCTTATTAGCTTTGGTTACCCGACTACGCCTTTTTGCAACTTCTTCAAATATGCACAACGATTGCTCTCTACTCCCCTGTATTGCATTTTGGAGTTTCAGGCTGAAGCTGTTGATCACCCTACGATGTGAGACGCCAATGGCTGACGGATAGCTCTACACCAGTTCCGGGCTTCGCAAGAAGGTCAAGGTCTTCCAGCAGGAAAACTACAGCGAGTCATTCGTTACTAGCATCCTCCTCTCAATCCCAGAGGGTGTCGATGGCAGCACTCTGGTCATCGGCGGCGATGGACGATACTGGAATCCCGAGGTGATGCAGGTGATCGCCAAGATTGGTGCTGCGTACGGCGTCAAGAAGCTTATCATCGGTCAAAACGGCATCCTCAGCACACCAGCCGCTAGCCATGTCATCAGGATACGGAAAGCGACGGGTGGTATCCTGCTCACGGCGAGTCACAATCCTGGCGGTAAGTAATTGCTTGTTCCGTTACCATATGGAAGACTCTCGCTGCCATCTCGCCTTGATCGGCCAGACACTTCTGCAGGGTATACCTACGCCTTACGTTTCTTCGATATTTCTCGAGGGCTTGCAAGAACTCAGACTGACGTTATGTCCCTGCAGGCCCCAACGAAGATTTCGGCATCAAGTACAACCTTGCAAACGGCGCACCAGCACCCGAAAGCGTCACAAACAAGATATTCGAGACGTCGAAGAACCTCACGTCGTACAAGATCGCCGACATCCCCGACGTTGACCTGTCATCAATCGGCTCCAACACCTATGGCCCGCTCGAAGTCGAGATCATTCACTCCACAAAGGACTACATGGAGATGCTCAAGGACATCTTCGACTTCGACCTTATCAAGTCCTTTCTCAAGGAGCACTCCGACTTCAAGATCTTGTTCGACGGCTTGAGCGGCGTCACGGGCTCTTACGGCATTGACATCTTCGAGAAGGAGCTGGGCCAGGAAGGCAGCACGCAGAACTGCATACCGAAGCCCGACTTCGGTGGTCACCACCCGGATCCCAATCTCGTCTATGCTCACTCGCTCGTTGAGGCGGTAGACAAGAACGGCATTCACTTCGGTGCCGCCTCAGATGGCGACGGTGACCGCAACATGATCTACGGCGCGAACAGCTTCGTTTCGCCGGGTGACAGCTTGGCCATCATCGCACACCACGCCAAGCTCATCCCCTACTTCAAGAAACAGGGCGTCTACGGCCTGGCACGCAGCATGCCCACCTCCGGCGCCGTCGACCTTGTCGCCAAGAAGCAAGGTTTGGAGTGCTACGAGGTACCCACCGGCTGGAAGTTCTTCTGCGGTCTGTTTGATGCGGACAAGATGAACATCTGCGGCGAGGAGAGCTTCGGCACGGGCAGCAACCACATTCGTGAGAAGGACGGCCTCTGGGCAGTCGTTGCCTGGCTCAACATCATCGCTGGTGTCGGCCAGGAGACTGGTACCACACCGAGCATCAAGTCCATCCAGAAGGACTTCTGGAAGATTTACGGCCGCACGTTCTTCACCCGCCACGATTTCGAGGGCTGCGAAACCGATGGTGCCAACAAGATGACTGCGCACATGAAGGAGCTCATCACAACCAAGAAAGACGAGTTCGTAGGCTCAAGCATCGCTGGCCGGAAAGTGCTCGAGGCGGATGACTTCGCTTACACTGATCTCGACGGCAGTGTCAGCAAGAATCAGGGCATCTACGTCAAGTTCGACGATGGCAGCCGCATCGTCGTGAGATTGTCTGGTACGGGCAGCAGCGGCGCGACCATCCGTCTCTACATTGAGAAGCACGAGACTGATGAGAGCAAGTACGACATGGATGCGCAGGACTACTTGAAGGATAACATCAAGCTGGCGACGGACCTGCTGAAGATGAAAGAATTCGTAGGAAGGGACGAGCCAACGGTGATAACCTGATCGAGCAAAGTACTTTGTAGCTACATGCTTGTCCGCTATACTAGGCAGCTCTAAATTATAGCCCGCTCTAAAATAATCAAGTCGTTCCTTGTGCAACAAGCTGTATCTGACCATAAATGTGCTGAATGGCGATTCTTTACGCTGGATTGAAATCCTATCTACATCCATCTCTAAAGGTGCCCGCTAGAGTAACGTCAGGGTCCTGAAATTGATGTGCCTGTGGCGCCGCGCTCGGCTGACGTATGACGCTGCCACTGCCGTTGGCCAGGATCAGTCAACAGTGTCAAACCAACATTGACTTTTGTTGCGACAAACTTCAGAACCTTTCATCAACCTCTTTTCACACCCATTTCTTGTACCGTATCACTCAAGATGCCGCATAATGGAGAGACTGAGGGCGCCGGACTGCCCGCCAATTCGAGAGGCTCATGGGGTTCTTTCCTGAAGGTACAGCTCCCGCAGAGCCCTCAAAGAAAGCCCTGATCGAACGAGCTATCGCAAGACATCGAGGCCTTTCCTACGATGAGCAACACTGCGGACTACAGAAAAGGGTCTTCCCGATAAACCCCAAGCATTTCGGACCCCGTTCAGCAGATGCACAACACAGCACCTAGCCTCTTCGTCCCGAAGCGATCCGGCACCTGTGTGACCATCGCGCTTCAATTCCGAATCCTCTTTCGCTCCCATATCCACAAGATGTCACACTGCACCTCCCACATGATGAGCGCTAACATCCGCTGCCTCGTCAAGTCCATAGCCTCCTTCAATGGCGACATCTCCACCATGACCGCGCCGCCCTTCATCCTCTCGTCACAATCTCTCACCGAATACACAGCATACTGGGCCGAACACCCCTCCGTCTTCGTAGCGCCGGCCCATGAATCAGACCCTCAGAAGCGCGCCCTCCTCGTCCTTAAGTGGTTCCTTTCGACCCTAAAACAGCAATATTCGAGTAGGAACGAGAAGCTGGGCAGCGAGAAGAAACCCCTGAACCCGTTCTTGGGGGAGCTGTTTCTGGGCAAGTGGGAAGACGAGGCTGGGGCTACACAGCTTGTGAGCGAGCAAGTCAGGTAGGTGGTAGGAGAGGATGGGGTACAGAGGGTCGGGTTGGCTGACTGAGACTCCAAGCCATCATCCGCCCGTCACAGCATACTGCATCTGGAACAGCGACCACGGCGTACGGCTACAAGGGTATAATGGCCAGAAAGTCTCATTCTCTCGAACGATCAATATCAAGGTACTGTGCACCCTCAGGTCCCAAAGTCAGCAACAAGCATCGCAGTGGAGCGATGTCGAAAGAAGCCGAGCACGAGACCCGCGCTATGAAATACTCGCATCCAACTTGATCCACAATATTACTTGCCGCCGTTGACAGCTACACTGACATTCATCTTCCAGCAAGTCGGTCACGCGATCCTCCACATTGACGCCTACGACGAAGACTACCTCTTCACCCTCCCCTCCCTCCACATCGAAGGCCTTATCGGCGGCACACCGTACGTCGAGCTCAACCGAACCTCCTACATGCAATCCTCTTCCGGCTTCACGGCCAAGATCGACTACAGCGGCAAAGGCTGGATAAGCGGCAAAAAGAACAGCTTCAGCGCATACCTATACCCCGAAGGCCGCAGCGAAAAAGACGCCCTCTACACCATCGACGGCGTGTGGAGCGACTCCTTCACCATCAAGGACCCCAAGACGAAAAAGGTGGTCGATACCTGGGACCACAAGAAAGCGAAAACGACGCCCCTGACCGTCGCGCCGATCGAGCAGCAAGATGAGCTCGAGACCCGCCGCGCATGGCAGAAAGTCGCAGCCGCCATCGCCAAGGGCGACATGGACGCGACCTCCCGCGAAAAGACCGTCATCGAGAACCAGCAGCGCGACATGCGGAAGAAGGAGAAGGACGAGGGCCGCGAGTGGGTGCGTACCTTCTTCAGCCGGTCAGAGTCGAGTCCGGTGTTTGAGGCGCTGTCGAAGCGGCTGGGGAGCGAGTCGGTGCCGATCGATAAGGACAAGACGAATGGAATCTGGATGTTTGATGCGGAGAAGGCGAGGGAGGCGAAGCCGCCGTTTAGAGAGGGGATGAGTAAGATAGGGAATAGAGTCAAGGGGGAAGATTAGACGGACTCGGTTGTTGCTCGATGGGCTTTGCTGAGCGGATCGTGGTGTTGGGCTGAGGTTAGAGGGGCGTTCTTGTGCTGGTTGAGTATTACTCGTTCTTAGAATTCCTAATACCCTAATGAGAACTTGGATTCACTCAAGTGTGAGTTCACTAGAAAGTCTGAAATCTGCTGTACCATGAACCCGGCTTTGTGCTGCGCTCGAACAGTCCTGGAGTGGCGAGTTGTGCAAACCTCAGGCTTGATGGCGGCGGCGATGCGTGAATCTAAATGCTTGCTCTACTGCTTGATACCAAAGCGCTGATTCTTATAGTGTGCAGCTTCTGCTACAGTCTTCTGGCAGCTTCATATGAGCGCTTGCTTGTTGCTCGGTCGTCTGAGAACAACAATCAGCAATACTGAGCGAGCAGGTACAAAGGGTGGGAGTCCCCAATGCTGGCCCACTATCGCAGGATCTGCTCGATTGTCGCATGCCGAAATGTCTTTCGTCCATGTGTCGATACCATCGAGGCCAAGAATTGCGGATGGACCTCCTCCATCACCGCTTGAGTCTTTGCCCACCGAGTTACTCATGCTGATATTTCCACACCTGCACTCCGATGATCTGGCCGCTTGTATGAGAGTGTGTCATAAAGTAAGTGGACGATGCAGGCGTGGTAGATGGTGTATCAGCGGGCCAGGAATGCAGCCGATAAAGTATTTCATTTCCTTGCGATTTGAATTATACTCTTCGGTTGTGGCAGGATCACCAGATCCAAGGCCCATCATGGAGCTTTCAACGAAGCCGGAAGGGTTCCTGTAACCTAGACGCGGGCTTTGGACTCAGATGGTCACCATTGTGAAGGGGTTGTAGTACTCCTGTTGGTGTTTCAGGACTTGCTGATATCACTCTCGAGATCATGAATATCAAGCTGCATCCTAGGCAGAAACATACTAACATTTCGGCAGTGGAACGAGATCATCGTGTACAGAAAGACAACCTTTGGAGAACCATTGGTCTCACGCACGCCGCAATCTTAGGGTATCCTCTTCCAGGAACACGGCTGATGCGTCTGATCGAAGGAGCCCGCGTCGTGACTCTACTGCCTAGCCAGACACCTGATCCTGGCGAGAGGTCGCGCCGGCGCCTTTCGGTGGCAACGTTTGGGGTGACGGCCAGTGAATACGGAGCGTTCTTGGCCTCAATAGTAACTTCGCTCGAGAAGGTCCACGAGCTGAGGGTGTGTATTCGTGACATCCGATGTCCTCAAGAGTCGCAGCGGCGCAGGTTTCTGACGGGCGACGGACGAGACGAACTAATGAGTAGGATGCTCCTCAACTTGGCCATCGAGGTGTTCCCCTCCGTGTTCTCCCGCCGCCACTCAGCACAAAACTCCTCGCCATTTGAGAGAAGACTCTTTCCATGCTTAACGACGCTCGACCTGTCCTACAGTTCCTTCGATCCGCCCGTCACGGTGGCAAGCTTGGTCTCCAGGTTCCAACCAGGTTTGAAGAACGTAAGGCTTGAAGGTGTCCGCGCCCTTCACCTTATCGAGCCGTACAGCCAAGAACTTGAGAGATACAGTTTGGCCGACGCATCTTGCGGGGATCGTAGCCTAGCACAGTTTCTGCAATCGCCGATCAAGCTTCCGGAACTCAAGGAGCTTGACCTCAGCTGGATTCATTGCAGTGGGTTCAATCTGACTCCCGAGCTGATAATTCAGTTCCATAGGCGAAGGCTGGACATTTCTTTGCCAGAAGATTCTCTAGAGAGGCCTCTTATACTGTTGTTGAAGGGCCGCCGGATCTATCGACGGAGGGGGATGAGGAGGGTGGACCCACTGCCGGGTTTGCGCGAGATGTACCCCGGGACTGAGTTCGTGATGGAATGACATTGTGGAGGCCCTGGATCAAGACGAGTGAAGATGCATGTACGTCAATATCAACACCAGTAGAATGGAGCAAGAGTTGATACCACAGTGAAATGGCTCGTCATGCGGTGTTATCTGTGTCATACTAGCTGCTGAGCGTACTGTTCGCTGAGCCTGATAGGCTTTGGCTTGCTTTCGCAAAGCTAGACGTGAACGAGTGATGGGTCTGATAGGGAGTCGCAGATCACGCAATGGCACATTGGTGGAAGTAGCCCGCCCGTCCCAACCTCAAGTCACCAGTCAAGCTACTAGCCTTCGAGCATTGTGAGTCTAGATGATACTTTAGCAGTCTATCGCTTTTATGTGCTAGCCACCGAACACGTTTTGACTCACATGTCGCGCAGACGTCTCTAATTCTAGGCTTTGAATATCAGTCATATGAGTTGAAATTGATACCGATGCCACCATCATGGTTGCGACGCCGTCAAGTTTCCAGCGTCCGGTCGGATCCGTTTCCCCTGGCCGGAGGTTCTTCGTCAATTGCACGAGTCCATTTCAATGAGCAAAGACTGCGAGATTGGCGCCAGCGGAAGACTGATCACGCTAGTGGATCGAGGAAATCAAAATCTCCATAATTGAAGGGCTTCAGAAGCTCACTCGACAGATCAGCACCAGAGCTGCCAAGAAGAGTGTCAAAGTTTTCGAAAGCGTTGTCGAAGTTCAGCCAGTCGGGTGACTCGGTGAAGTCAAAGCTTCCAAGAGGCGACAGCTCAGCTCTAGTACTGCTGATGGGATGCTGACCTGGTATTGCCGGCATCTGATCCACGTTGAGGCCGGCAAAATCTCTTGAAGTTTGAAATGCCTGGTGCCGTTGATCACTAGACGGGGGCAAGAGGTTTTCCGCACCGGAGGCTACTTCGTTGCCACCAAGGCTCGGATTGATGCCAGGTTGGTGAGTGAACGGAGGCGCTGATGTCCGCTTGTTACTCTTCGCCCGAGATGCATTGTCTGCCTTTGCCAAGGCTGCGGTGCCTAGATCTGCCATGGCACCAGCGGACCACCATGCGGTGCGGAGTCTGTTCAGTAGTACACAACATGTCTTTAAGTCTTCTTTAGCTCTGTTCTTGTGAACCTGTAGCTTGCTTTGACGGAACTGACGATACGCCACAGACATCGCTAATGACAGCGCGTACAGTATGATCGGTAATGGTGGCAGATTTTCGGGCGACTCGCTGCTCAGGATTGAGATGACTCTCACTGCTGAGAGGCTTTGACGAATATACGATGGAGTCGATCGTACTGGATCGTGGATAGATCTATAGTTGCACGACGCCATGGCTACGGCATGGTAGAAGAGTTCAAGAGCAGCTGCCGGTAACGTTAGTGAAGATTAGTCGAAGAACACAGGCGCAGCTAGTATACTAAGTTGTCCAAGAGCGCCATGCAAGGCCATTGGAAGCTCTTGAACTAACTCATGAAACTTTGGCAGAACACTGAGGGCGGATTGTGGAGGAAAGGCGGAGAGAGCGAACAAGCATCCAGTTTCGATAGAAAGAAATGCATACCTATGGTTGGACCATCGAGATTCTCAGCGCCATCGCCGACGATCTCCTCGAGGCCGGGAAAGCCGGCCTCCCATCCAGTAACAGACGTGTCGACACCCGGTCTGTAGAGAACAATGACCTTGTCAAGAAGTTCCGATAATTGGAGCCAGATACCGAATGGTGTTCGACGATGATCTGCCGCGACATTGGGATTCTCTAGCCCATTATCACGATCGTGCATGATGAGTGGTCTTCCATTGATACTGGCGTTTAGCTTGTCCAGACTCCACAGGCACCAAAACAATCTTTCGAGAGGCTCGTCCTGGGCTTGTTTCCTTTTCTTCCCGAACTGGAGACCGAAAGTGTGCGCGTGATGTATGGCCTGGGCTAAATGCATCGACGCCTGTTCAGCTCCGTCGAATCCCTCGCAATGCAGTGACAACAGGGCTAGAACTTGCATGAGGACAACTCTGTCTGTCTCTAGTCTGGCTGCAATGGCAGCGGTAACTGAGGTATACAGTCTATGGCCGAATTCACGGGGTTTCAGGAGACTCTGGTCTTCCGACAAGAAAAGGTGAGAACGAGCCTTGTCATGCTTGGACGCGACGATACACATCGCTTGGATCAAGACTGTGGGCTCGTTCTGTTCGAAACAGCGGTTACGGAACGACTTCTCATCCAGAATAGGCAGGAAGGGCTGGATATAGGAGAAGTAGATATCAAGAAGAATGTCTTGATGTGGCCGTGGAGGCAGCATGTCGATACCTACCGCATGAAGGTAAACTTGAAGCGCTTTCTCCGCAAACGGAGACGCAGAGCCAGGAGTTGAATGGTCTTCTCCTGGACGGATTCCCGGCTGGGCCGCTTCTTCGGCTTCATCAGGTGGTCGAACCCAGAAGCCACATTGATTCTGGTAGGGTCCCTGACCCGCCCTTTGCCCGCGTAGCGGACCCCTTAGTATAGCCTCCGGGCTCAGGTACCCGATGAACCGCGGCGGCTTCGCTAGATTCGGGCGAGCAGTGGGGGTCGCCTCCTTTCCAGCATCACCCGGGCACTCTGTTTCGTCTTCAGAAGGGACATTGGACTGAGAGTTGGAACGAGCCTCAAACGGTTCCGCTGTATGTTGCGGTAGTGGATCAGTAGACTGGAGACTTGCATTGCCGAGGCCTTTGTTATCGCTTTCCCCGAAGGTGTGACTGCAGCGCTTCTGAGGTATCATCAGGAGAATGGCCAATGACGAGTAAGCTTTCAAGGTAGCTACGCGTAGTAGTACTTACTCGGCGTTTCTTACAATTGTCGCATGCTTTATGCACTCGCTTCCGCTTCCTAAAGAACTCGTTATCCGCTGCGAAAGTAATCATTGTCGCCATAATTGGATATCAAGACGGTTTCATCTAGTAGCGATATGGAAGCATGCAATGACTAGTTATTCCTGTCCGCTTCTGTATACAACTTGGGCCAGCGCAATGGGAAATTCGAAAGTTCAGCGGAGCTCAAGTTACTCCACAAAACATGACCCGCTGAGTAATCAAATCACTGATTGGCCGGAATCATCCCAAATCTACGACCACTTCAACGTAGCGAACAGCACATTAAACTGATCACGAATCTGTTTTGTGCTGGCCGGTTTTATGTTTCTTTGCTTCTAAAAATCTCCTATAGGTGAAGCTCCTCATATGTGTAAGGAAAAGTGAAAGGATCCTCTCCTAGCTGTGGAGCCTCAACATTCCCACGACAACGAGCCGCTCTAGGTAAGTCGCTGAAGGCACTCCAAGACCAACCACGGGTTCAACCGCTCACACATTCCTGTTTTCTCTGGTGACGGTCAAAGAGCAGCGAGAACTCGACCAGGACTTGGTAAGTTCAGACGCTTTACGCAGAAGGAGTTGGGAGTGAAGATACCATCCGGATCAGCCGCCTGCCTTGCCTTCTGTAGCCTCTCGTACTTGGCCAAGTCTTCATAATAGTACCTCCAGCTCGCATCCAGATCGAAACTACCGTACGAACCCCAGAGGACACGGCGGTCCTGCTTGCTAAAGATGCCGTTGGGACCAATCCCTTCGCTGTCATTGACCTTTTGCCAGTCTTCAGCTCGGTCCTTGGCGGAAGACGAGTGGAAGGCGTCGAGGATGCACGCAAGGGTCGAGTCCCGCCAGCTGTAGGAGGTGCCGTTGTCGGCGTTGGTGACGAATTTCGAGTGTTTGCCGCCGAAACACTGCAATTGGGCGGACAGCCAGCAACGATTGGCCTCAGGCTTGACGATGGCGTCGATGCGTTTGGTGACCCAGCTGGCCCAGCCGTCCTTGCCGAGCGTGGTCGACTTGGTCAGGTAAGTGCGCTTGACGTACGGGTGATCGAATTCGCGCACATTCCGGAAGATCCAGTCCCCCGTCAGCTTCGACATGGGCTTCTCTTGCACCCCTTGGTCGAAGATGGAACCCTTACTGAGCCGATCGAACCAGGCCATGTCGCAGACGTCGTTCTTTTCGAACGGAACCCACTGCGCATACACGATGATCGTCCGGGGCCAGAATGGCATGCCATCTTCTCCGTAAATCTCCGGATGTTCCCTTCTCATCTGGCCGTCCAACTCGGGCCACAAGTCCAGGAGTTTGAATGACGAGCTCAGGACGCTGATACAGAGGTCGTAATTGCGTGGAAAGTTTTCGTTGTCTGACATCTCAACCAGAATGTCGACCAGACGCTTCAACGTCTTAGGGTCGTACCAGTATAGCGCCTTCAGGCCTCGGGAGCCTTTGTAGTCGCTATCGCGGTGGACCTCGAGCGTGAAATGCGTCAGCACACCGAAGTTTCCAGGACTCCCTCCAAGAATCGCGTAAAACAGCTCGGATTTAGTGGCCCTGGTAACTTCTTTGAAGTTCCCCTCGTGATCCACTATCTCGAGCGAGAGAACGTGGTCTCCGAACAGGCCAAAGCTGCGGCCCAACTGCCCATATCCACCCGTCTGAACGTGGCCCCCGAGGTGGACGTGGGTGCACTGTCCGTGGGGCACGAATAGCTTGTGCTTCGTGAGATATGCATTGAGTGCCCCCAGACTCCAGCTGACGCTTGTACGAACAAAGGTTCTCCCGTCCTTCTCGAAGATAGTTTGGTCGTTGGGACCTCTGAAAGTCTTTTTGAGGTCCAGCTGGATGTTGGGGGTGGACGTAGATGAAGCACCACTGTATTGGTGGCCTCCGGTTCTGATCGCCACGGCAATTTTCTGGGATTTGGCGTACTTTAGGGCAAGCACAATGTCGTTTTTGTTTTGGGGTTGAATTATCAGCCCTGGATTCATGTTGTGATCTACTTCGTGGCTGGATGACGCATATTGGTACTTGTTATTCTGATATGCTTGTGTCCCTTTTATGAACTGATTGCCTGTTATGCCGGCGATAGTGGCCATGATGTCGAAATCAGTCCGTCCGGAGTACTTCAAGTGAAAGATTACACGCTCGGGATCCTCTGGACAAATACACTACATATGTGATTATCTCAGGCTAGCATTAAGGTGCCAAAAGTCCACGGCGTGTGATCTGGCATCAGCCAGCCTTTGCTACCTCCCGTCAGCAAGCCTCTTTGGCCTTAGCTAGCCTTTTCTACGAAGCAAGAACGCCTTGCATCTAGGCTGTCGCTGATGATTTGTTCCACGGAGCACGCAGCATCTTCGTGGCTGCCTCACTTGCGGCGAATGGAAACGCTCCCGGACGGATTTTCCACGTGTTTGAGCTTTTACTCGTGCCTCCCCGCTCACCGCTCAAGGAGCTGAAGAAGACCTGATCGCTCTGAGCGTTCAGCTGGCCTCAGGTGAGGGGTTAGCTGAACTTAGCGCTTACATTCATACTGTCAGTTTGCGAACTTCCAGTGAACCTTAACCATTCTCCGGAAACGTGACACGCCGAATAATCGGCTCTCTTATTGGCCAGTATCATCCTAATCCAAAACTCCTTCAGCCCAGCGAAGAGTAGATAGAGTATCGTCACGATCAGTCTTGCACGTCTGACCTCGTCCTCCGTCGCTCCTAAGAAACTCCTATCCCTGTTCACGAAGGCGATCTCTCACGCGCATGAGAGCTTTCCCCAGTAGATTCTCACCCCATCTCTCTCTGTTCTCTCCAGCGTCGTTTGCGCCGAAGCCCACACCCCAAATTCGATCAAAGGGTGATGCCTACAGGAATACGTTTAGTCTTCCTGCGGCTGCTACAGTGTACCTGACCGGTTACGGAGAGCGATTGCTTACTTCTACGAGCTCCCTGTCCCCTGTTTCCAGCAGCAGCTTCCTCAGCTGCTCTTTCTCCTTACTGTTGGTGAACTTCCACCAGTTGCCCTCTTCGACTATGCGACTCTTGTCTGCGGGAGGTATTGTCTCAGCGGTACAAACGAGGAGAACGACTGCTCATGTGACCAGAGATGCACTCACGCTCATCCCACTTAGCCCTCTCAAACCCCTTGACCTTCCGTCCCAGCGCTTTGTGCTCTTTCGGGCTCGGAGCCTCGACCATCTGCTGTGCTATCTTCTACAAGGCCCTTTAGCATACCGAGCATGCAGATTACGGCGTGATGATATAGCATACCTCATCCCCAAAGAGCTTCGCTTTCTGCACCATCATCCACATCTCCGCTGATCGGTAGCTGATGCCCTCGTGCTCGAAAGCACAGTCGTACCACTGTGACAGGAAGCCATATGGGTGATCGTATTCGCGCCAGAAATACACGGGACTTTTCTCGTCGGCGGAGCTGAGGACTGTTGCGGACATGGCGAGGGTTCTTGCTCTGACAGCCGTGAAGGAGGACAAATTCCTACCGGGGAGCTGGATAGTCCTCAGAAGCATGCAACCTGGGCTACGAGCCGAATCGCTGATATATGTACTGTTTCCTAGGCCACAATCTAAATGCACCGCCCAGCGTCAATCAAGGTAGGTGCATTCCCAAGTGATGACTGGTCGAGGGGGACCCCACCAATCATGATTGTCCAGCCGCTCGACCGTGGCTCAGCCTTGCCAGGCTGGTGCCAAAAAGGGTAATCGCGTATCTGGATCCAACATCCGATGAGTCAAATTGTCATTGCGTTCGAATCTAGCTAAAGGGCAACATAAGCTGTTACCTTTAACAGATTGTTAAGGCTCCTCACAAGCTCACCAGGTTGAGGCCTACTTGCACGTAATAAAAATTACACTTCTAACAGGCTTCGTGATTTAGATGCTATCGAGCACTCCCATACCGCTTAAGCCATCTATTTACACTGCTAGTCATACCCCACCAGAGCCGAATATACAAGGAACTCCAAAGCATTCCAAAGCCCAAAATGAAGTGGTATCTCTAGAGTAGAGCGAGCGTGTATCCAACATCCCTCCCACAGCCGTTGTGTATGTCGACATGAAACGTGAGCCTCCACTCAGCACCGCTGCAGATAGTTGCTGGGCACCAGTCCCGACCGGCCAGCCTTCCCTACAACTTCAGCCTCCCACCAACCGTCATCTTGCAGCCTGAGTACGGCGAGAATGTCGCCCTTCGCAAAACCCAGCTCCTCGGGTATCTGAGCTTGGTACATATACATAGCCCTCGCTACATCACTGTTAGCAGATATTCTCTCTCAACTTCCAGAGACGTGCGCCCAGGTCGTCACTCACCATGATGCAAAATCTTCCTCCCATCTCTAGAAAACTCGCCCGGCGCCACAACACTCTTACTCCTGACTCTCCCCACCTGACCTGCCGCAGGATCTCCATACCCAAACTCGCCGCCGCCGCCATGATACCTACTATCCTGGCGCCCACCGCTCTGCGGCCTCCCACCACCACCACCGTACTCCCCAGGGCCAGGCGCAAGCTGCAGCGCCATACCGCCCATATCGCTCCCACGACTACTACCCGGCCGCTCCTGCCGCGCGAACGCCGGAGCCGGAGCAGGACTGACCGCACCGCCTCTCGTCCCGGGACGGCTCCCGTATGCTGGCTGGGGCGAAACAGCTCTCGGCACAACGCCCTGCGACCCGCCGTGGGGGTTGTATGCGTTGTAGTCTTGCCGCGGCTTGACGGGACTCGAGGACTGGGCTCGTGGGCGCGCGGCGCCGACGGGTGGCGCGCTGTACGGGTTCGGCGACGGGGCGCGCGGGTTCAGGGGCGCGGGGCTGGCGTACGGATTCGGTGACGGAGCGCGCTGGTACGAGGACTGCTGGAGACCGGGGCGGGGAGAGGCGGCGCGCAGAGGTGCTGGGCTGGTGGCTCGAGGAATGATCTCTTGGCTTTGTTGGGCGCTGTTGCCGCGGGTGGGGGGACGGGAAGGCGTGCGTGCGTCTATGGTGGGTGGGGCTTGGCGGGGCCGTGAGGGCGAGTTGAACATGTCGCGGTTCTGGTTGATGTATTTTTGCGTCGTTTGTTGCATCGCTCGGGCCGTGTGTGCTGGTTGCGGTGCGCCGAGACGGCTGATGGGTTGATCGGAGGCGTAGGATGGAGGGGGCGTACCGCGTTTGGCGGCGCTGAGGACGCCGTTTCCTAGGGTGGAGAGAGGTGTTGGCATACCGTTTGTAGGCGTTGCTGATGCGCCGGAGCCATTGCTGGGTGTTCCCGGTGGTGCTGGTGTAGCAAGGCCGTGGTATCGGTCAGCTGACATGCGAACCGAAGATTGCTTGGTGACCCCTTTGAGCTCAGCGAGTGCTTGAGCGACTGGGTCAAGTTCCTCGTTGGCGGGTTCCGTGTTCGAGCGCACGGGTTTACGCGCGTCAGGGGAGGCGACGTCGAAGACGTTGTTGCCTACGTTGAGCTGAAAGTTCGCTCGAGGGTCAACAGGCTCAGGTGAAGGTGAAGGCTTGTCGCGGCCAAACACTGGGCGACCCGATTGACGGGTAGGACTGATGTTGTCGGGAGCTGCATTGCGCGACATCGGTGCCCATGTATTACGGCTAGAGGGTGGCATGATCTGGGGTGTCTCTTTTTCATGCTTGCTGCGCCGACGGAACGGACTGTTGAAGAACCCGCTCTTCTTCTTTTGGACGGAATCGTCCAGAGGAGTCGGACCACTCTCCTTTACAGGCGAATGGGCTCCGCTTGGAGGCTCGAAGCTGGAGAACGAAGTCGGGTTGGAGTACTCGCTCTGCGAATCTCGGCTCGATGGACGCACAGGACTAGCCACAGAACTTCGCTCAGATGGTGGGCCGATTCGACAGAACTGGGTCATGCCATCCATTGGATACTCATTGTGAGGTACTTTGGGAATATCGTTATACTGCTCCTGGTGGAGCCGGGGTTGGCTTGGCGGTTGCATACGAGCATCACTCTGAGCACGAGATTGCGCTCTTGGCCGCTGCTGCTGGCTTGGAAGAGTGTCCTGGACAGGCGCAGGTTGAGGATCTCTGTGGCTCAGTTCCTTAGCGAGAGCATTTTCGGGATCGTGGTGGGACTCGAATGTCGACGGCTGTGGTGAGGAGCTCCTGAACGCTGGATTCATCGTTCGCTGGAACTGAGCCACGGAGTAGTTCTCGTCTGCGTCAGCCTCGGAGCCATGATCATCCAGGTCCCCGCGGCAGAAGTTGATAAACTTTGGAGGATCAGGAATTTCCTGCCCTGTTCCAGCTTCCTTGATAAAGTTCGAGATGTCCTTCTCCACTTCGAGGTCTTCCAGAGACAAGCGGATCTTTTCGCAAGCCTGATCGTCACTCACGCAGACGGTCGAAGCAATATTGGCAAAGTTCCAGAGACTGCTCTTCATGAAGTCTATCCGCTCCTCCTCGAGGTCTTGGAATTTCTGAGGACCTGTCAGCGTCACAATATGATAGAACAGACGTTCCAGGCTTACGTCGCATGCTGCCTTCCAATCTCGGTTCCATCTTCCAGTCGTTTCTTCGAGCACCTTGACCGCTGCTTCGTACTCGCTGCTGGTATTTGAGAGTTGGATCTGGGTTTTCTCCAACTTGGCCTTGTTCTTGCGCTCCTCTTGACCCATAACCATATGTCCTTGGGCTAGGTAACCCTTGATCTTTAAGCAGTCCTGCTCGTACCGGTCGCGCGACTGTCATGAATCAGTGTCTTGATCTTGTGCTTTCCCTATACTCGACACACCTTGTTTACGGCAGCAGTCTGTTGCATCTTGACCTTGAGTAGCTTCTCGATACCCGACTGTACGATCTTCCGCCGCTCCTTGATCCCTCCCGCGAACGCCGCCAGCGGCTCCTCGAGCTCGCTCTTCATCTGACCAGCAATATTCTGATGCGCCTTGCCCATGGATTCGATTTCGCCTCGGACGACATCGAGAGACATTCGGAGGGTACCCGATTCGGAGGAGCCGAGCGGCTTGCGGGAAAGGTTGAGGAGTTTGCGTGAGTATTCATCTTCGATTGCGGCGCGCGCTGCATTGCATGTCAGCCTAGCCGCAATGTGCGCGACCTCCATGCGCCACTGACCGGTATAGAAGGCTTTCAGTTCGTCGCCAGTGACTTTGGCATTGTGCATGCGATCAAGGAGCGGAGACACGCCTGCGTCATCTTTGCCCCAGAAGTTGTTCGCGAACGAGAGAGATACCGAAGGAGGCTCCGAGACTGTGGTCCCCGGCATAATGCCTACTGGTAACGATAGTGGACGATTGTGGTCGTGCTGTGTCGCAGCGTGCTTCGCATCAGATAGAGGATGCTGTGCGGTATGCGGCGGGTAAGTTTATCCACGAATGTATAGCTGGAGCAGGGTAGGATGTGCGAGCGGAATTTTGGCTTGGAGTGAGTGAGTCTCGAAATGCGACAGAGAGAGGGAGGTGACGCGCCCGTGTAAATACTGGGGGGGTGGGTGTTGCTATGGGCGGAGCACGAGCCGCGCCGCGCCAATACCTAGGTAGTCCACCTCATCCTCACGACAAGACCACTTTGACCATTAAAAAGCAGACACGAACTGATGGTCAAGAAACAGTTGAGGACTTTCTCTTGAACGAGCTGCCCTTCGGGAGAGTGACCGACTGGTGCACAATCAGTAATCTACCGGAGACGCGCCCAGCAGCTCCGTCAGTAGCTCTTTCACCAAAACTCATCATCAGTCGCCCCGGGGCTCGCGCAAGGCCTTGAGGACGTGCTATGGAAACCAAGCTTTAGAAACTCGGGACAGCTTCGGACGCTCTAATATGCTCGGGGGCATTGCAGAGCTCTCTTATCTTTCAGGCACACCTTACCGCTGCGGCGGCGGCGATAGAGCTCGAGAAGATAGGCGTTGGTTCTTCTCATGCTCTACCCAGACTTAACACAGTCAAACAACTGGGCACCCGCTGTACTCAGCACAAAGTATCAGAAGTTGATGCGGTTGGCTCGTGGGTTGTGCGTATTGGGACCTGCAGCAGGACCGTGGATACAAGCTGTGGCTGCCGAATGATGCGCCTACGCCCCTGGCATGCCCAAATAGCTGGCAGAGACACGGTGTATGTCAAAGCCTGTCACGTAGGTACGCAACAGAGATGTCGAACCGTGAAACGGACAGAGGTGAATCAGGCGCGATGGGCGGTAAAGCGCGTTACCTACCGATGGTTTATCTGCGAGCCTCTGCAAGGTTTCCTTTCCCGTTCTAGAGGGTGAGTGTCGCCGCCCTAGGCTCGCGCGAGCCGAGGTGAGTTTTGGGTGGGCATTGGTGAGCATAGGTAGGGTGATAAACAGGTTGATCCCTCACCCTGGCTCACCCGTGTCTCAAGGAGCCCGAAAGGCTCCCTCGACTCAGCCACTTCCTCCGATATTGCTCCGTGACGTGCTTTATACCTAGGTTGCGTACTGTTTTAATTCTTGGTCCTCACCATCTCAGCGGCACTGCAGTTAAGACGCTACCTAAGCAGAAAACGACCGCACCATCTTGTAAGCTAGACACCAGCGGTAATTATGGTGTCGTTCAACAGCCTGAGCAGCCTAGACGCACCGGCATAAAAGATCGTGTTCTTTGAAATGGAAGCTCCAGTCTGGCCGAAATATTGTCTTGGAAGCTGCAACTGCCACAGCACGACTTTGCTTCTACTTGATTCAGAACACTAAAATATCTAATAGAGAACTAAAACATATACCAGAGAAAAGAAGTCGATAGCCTCAACCTCCGCCCATTATCGTTCGGCTCAAACCCTTGTCCTGAGAATTAATGTAATTACTAATGATCTATTTCCCTTTCCATCATCATTTGGAAGATGCCGTAGCACACACACTTGTTCACTTAGCTACTAGCCCCCCTGTTCCCTACCCCGGGCCATACCTCAGCCTACAGCGACGGCGGCGCAGGCCTGATGTACCTCCCATCAACAACTCCAGTGTGCGTGAGGCGCCTCGCCGCGAAGATCACCACCACCGGGCTACGTAACGGAAATTCCAAGCCCGTACCCCGATCCCGGCCGCCCATTCCCCGCCTTACCCCTACGCTCTGAAGCCGGACTCCCTGGCTCAAGCATTTCTGGCGACACTCCGCCGAGGGCGCCCACGCGCCGCTGCGCCGCTGCGCCTTGTTGGTGTGTCTGGCTCGGACTCAACGGCGACGAGCGCGAGGACGCTGTGCTGTCGAGTTCAGCTGGCGCGACGGCTGGCGAGGGGTGCATGGAGGGGTAGGAGAAGGGCGAGGGAAGGGATTTGCGGGAGATGGGGCTTGTCGCACGGGTCTCGGTGAGGGGGAGTTCGTGGGCCGTTGCCGGGGTCTCGGTGTGGAGACTGTTGGTGCCGATTTTGAGCTGGTCCTCTAGAGTCGAGTAGCGGGGCAGGAGCGTTGTGCGGTGTTTGGAAAGGTCGTGGTCTGGTGGAGCGTTAGCTGGTGATGAGTACTGAGGCGAGGCTGAGGGGATTATACGTGCAGGGAGCTCACTCATGGCGGGAGAGCTTTGGTACATGTCTTGCATAGGAGGTGCATTGGGATTGAGATAATCATCGGGACCGGCACGGCCGCTTCGCCGTGACTTGGGTGAGCGCCGTCTCATGCGCCAGATAATGAGGCCCACGATAAGGGCGAGGACCACGGCGCCTCCGGCGGCACCGCCAGCGATGGCGGCCACTGGTGTATCTTGTTCATCGGAGTCCGTGGTAAGGGGAGTCGAAGAAGGAAGGCTTATCGATGTGGAAGTTGGTATCTCTGCACCACTTGTCGACGAGCTCTCTGCAATCGACGCAAAGGATGCTGCTATACTGGGATTCGACGGTAACCGCGCTGGCGTCAGATCCCCTTTCGGACACCCACTGGCCGGACTGCAGGGATTTGATTTGCAGCATCCCATGAATGAAGGCGTCGGCGTCGTGTAATTACATTGGTAGGGCTGTGACCCATATTCACACACCACATCGGGGAATTTTCCGTGATAGGTCGCATCGAAGCTGGCAGGTTGCAGATTGCCGGCGTGACATCCTAGCTGGCAAGGCGATTGAGACCCTTGTTGGTTGACATCGACACAGCAACCAACGAAGTTTGAGCAAGCATACCAATTGCCTTCGGCAGGGCAGTAAGGTCCAAATGCTTGTCTCTTTCGCAGGAGAGACATCATGGGAGAGAGTTACCCAGCCGAAGAAGACAGAGAAGAGAATTACCCAGCCCCCGCATGGCCCGCAGAGCAAGGCCGGACTCTTAAGACGGGAACGCTGCAGCCAAATCATGCGGGCAAAATGCCGCAACATCGCCACGGTGTATTGCGCAAGCTGCTCCTCCGGGTGCAGTAAGGCTGACCCAATCTGTCGGAGAAGTTGGTGGTGGCAAAGGCCAGATCTCGTCCAGCCTTACGTCTTGGGGCAGCAGCGAAAAAAGTGTTGTCGGGAACCCAGAAACATGCATTGTGGATTATGGGGTTTACATGATGATCCAGGAACAACTCTGAAGGCCGTTGGAGCCGATTTGCCTAGTGCGCCTGTAATTTCTTCTTAAGAACCTGAATGCTTCATAATATTTTGCATCATGAAAGAAGAAACAGCATAGAGACTGAGAAGCGGCCGTGAGCGAAAAGCAACGAGCGTTGTGGAGGAGGTTGCCCAACCACGAAAGTTCGTGCCACACCCTCCTCGACCTCGCATAGCTATCACCTACCTGCAGCTGTAGGAAGAACTGCGCCTTGCAGAACTCTGTACTATTTTTACACTTATCAAAGCCAGAGAGTGTTCAATCCATAGTAGATGTGGATACCTCATCCCTTGTCGTTCGCAGCAGGCGGGGCTTTTTCGTGAATAGATAGCCGAGTATTCTTTCTAGAAGTGAGGGGAAGCAGGACGCGGTTCGGTGGAATTCTGAGCGTCACAGAGGGCCAGAAGGCGAATCCGATGGTCTCTAGTACTAGAGCTCGACTCACTATTCGTGCCTCTCATGCAAGGCCAGGTCGCTGTGGTTCAGTCCAAAGCACGGGTATTATAAAATCGCGTACAGTCGCGAGCGTCTAGAGCGCTTAGAGTCTATTCTAAGCGCTTAGAAGCACGTGACCTCGGAATAATAGAAGATCCGAACGCCGAGAAATATCAAGTTTACGTCGTGACAAGAACGGCGCCTTCTAACATTGGGTTAGAAGCTAATAGAGTACGGCATAATACATTAGCGGTGGTGTTCCCGGAGGAAGAGTAGAGAGCTGCATACAAAGTTTGGTGGGTTTCTCGCTTAGTGGCGGGAACTTTTGCGGCAACAGTGTAGGTAGTCACGTAGTGCAGGCACAGGTGATGCCAAGAAAGCTGCAAGGCTCGCCGCCGAGTAGTTGAGCCTCAGGTCACGCTCGCTGCAACTTCAACTTCTGCGACTTGACCTGCAGCCCAGAACCCCGTCACCCTCGCCCTTAACCCCCCCATTACCTACCCTTCCTCGCAAGACCCCGTTATCCCATAGTCCCTTCCGCTTGCCCATGGGAGAGCTGCCTAGATGAGCCAGCAATTCTCCTGGGGCTCGTCAAGACAGCAGCAGAGCGGGCGCCGTGGACTGACCCCAATATCAACCGCGTTCAACTCTGGCGCTCCATCCGCCAGCCCTTCGCGCAACGCTTTCTCGCCTTCGCAAACCAGCTTCCCCGCGATACAGCCCTTAGCCAGCAGACACGTCGCCAGTCGCGCCTCGTCCTTCTCGTCGTCCTCCCCCTTCTCGCCAACCAACACCGGATCGCAGCAGCCGCCTTCGAACCAGCTGCTGTCGTCCGGAAGACCAAGGACGATAGCGCCACCGGGCAACCCCAGTTCAGCTTCCTCCGCCGCCGCTGTGCCTACCGCGTCGCAAGGGGGTGGAGGTGCTTCGAGCAGCGGCGGAGGGGGCTCCAGGCTTGCGCGAGGTTCACCTTCACTCTCGCAAAACAGCAACATCGGATCGCCCAGCAGCTTAAGCAACCCTTCATCTGCCGCGCCCGGCCAGTCGCTGTCTAAGATTGTCATTGCGCAAATATTTGTGCTGCTGAGCACAATCAGAGACGACAAGGATAAAGCGAAGTGGGACAGCCAGGCCGACCAGATACGAAAGGTATTTCATGCAGAGCAGTCGCGCCAACGTCACCTGAACCAGAGCAGAGTTGCTTACTTGCGCGTTGCAGCTGATCGAATCGTGCGGCATGGACGTCTATGCCAAGTACTTCCGTCGCCTTCTCTCCAACAACGCGGCTCAAATATTTCCAGGCGCTGGCCGTAGCAGCGATGCCTCTGGTAGCTATAGGTTGCTAGTAGAAGAGATGCAGAAGATCACGACGGACACACAACAAGCTTACAAGATCGCCGAGTCCATCGATGGCCCTGAGGCCGATCTGTTCAAGGATTTCGATCTTTCAGCTTTCATGGAGCACTTCAAACTCGACCCGTTGGCTAGGACAGCTTTGGCGCTCGCACTCAAGACCGCTTCAAAACCCGACTTGAGGATGAAAGGTACTTGCCACAGCACGAGCTTTTGACCCATGCTAACAACGAGCAGCGGACGCCATCCTTACGAATAACCTCGAGAACTTCCTTGCCATAGCTCTTCCTCCGTACGATCACTCACAGGTGGATCTGCTCCCCTCTTTCGTCGCATCGGTACTGGAACGCCTCATTCAATACCCTCCACGGAGCTGGAGTGACGAGGACAAGCTCGAATTGGTGAAGGTTGTACGAAGTCGTTATGCAAAGAACGGCATGCTAGTACCCACCGAGGTCGCCGCTGCCTTGTACGTAGTGGAACTCGTAGGGCCTCAAAATCCTCTTGTTCGGCTAGTTCAGCGCACAGGGCCCCGAGGTACCTCCAGTCTCGAAGCTTGTCGAGACCTGTTGGCTTCTGCGGAAATACGCGACATCAGCTATCAGCAGGTTGCAAGTGTGCTTCTCTACATGGTCATTGCGCAGGACGGCCAAGCTTACAATGCTGGCACTTTCGTTGCGGCACTTCGCGAGCACCGTGCTGGTCAGCGCCTCGACTGGCAGGACATTGTCGCTTCTTTCGACCGCGAGGACTTGAGAGTGACCAAGTCTCAATTTCTCGCTTTGTACAATGCGCTGCTGCCTTTGGCGACAGCGTACGAGAACTTCGATATCCAGCGGCTATGGGGCGGTGATTGGCAGTACGGCGACACTCAGTTGTCTTTCGTCGTTGCTTTTCTTTCGTGCTCTCCGGAAGAGTTGGACGCTTCGCAGATTCCTCGGTTACGCGCCGCTTACTCGATGGATATGTACGAGGACGCGCCGGAAGACGTCAAAGCCTACGCTAGCAGTGCGATAAGACATCCTTTCGTCTCGCTTGACGCGACGTCCATGCTGTTCACCACAGTTTTCCGGTCACAGGAGACATACAACCAAGCAGCTAGCATGAGGATCCCCAACACGATCATCAACCCGCACACCCAGATGTTCACGGTGTCTGCGGCTGCAGTACCGAAGCCTTGGGGCGGCGTTCAAGAGATGGCGTTGAAGCAACTATTAGATCCATTTGTGGAAAAGACACTACCGAACCACGGCTTCGTCCTTCATGGACTATGGAAAGCCGACCACCACTGGCTTGCGCAGAGACTCATTGAGAAATACATGCAATCTCCATTGGTACTTCTGCCGATCTTTGAGCATGCGCAGGAGCTTGGCTGGTTAGATTCCTTGATCGCGCTCAACAGTGATATGAGTGTAGACCTTGCTGCTCTTGCGCATGGCCAGGATCTGTTCGACCTCGATGCCTGGCTAGAACAAATGTTTCTGCAGCTTCCACAGGTTTTCCCCCGCATTCTTCTTACGTTCCTGACCACCAAAGGAGAAGATGAATTCCGGATTTTGCGAGAGAATGAGCCACCGAGCACTGTACCCTTGCTGGTCAAGACCGTCTATCCGCTACTGAGCTCTCTACAGGGACATCTTTCCGATGAGGAACTGGTCAAGCTACAACGTGACTGCATGCAGCGTTACCCAAGGCTTATCAACTACGGTGAAGGCTTCGACGATATTATCAATGCCAACGGCAAAAACGGCAACGCGATGTCTCCCGAGATTGACGCACAGATGCAGGAGCATTACAAGAAGATGTATGGCGGTGAAAGCGAGGTCCGTGAGGTCGTTGAAGTTCTTCAAAAATACAAGACCTCGGAAGATCCTGTGGAACAAGACTTGTTCGCTTGCATGATTCACGGGTTGTTTGATGAGTACAGCTGCTTCGGTGAATATCCTCTCGAGGCACTAGCGGTCACCGCGGTCTTGTTCGGGAGCATCATCAACTACAACCTGCTCTCACGCATCCCACTTCAGGCGGCCTTAGCAATGGTTCTTGAAGCGGTTCAGGAATTCAAGCCCGCGACTACCATGTACAAGTTCGGGCTACAAGCGCTTCTTCACTTCAAGAGCCGATTGCAAGAATGGCCTAGCTTTTGCGACCGTCTCTTGCGCGTGTCGGACCTCCGAAATACCGAGATTTGGGAAGTCGCGCAAGAAGTCGTGCGAAGCCAACACGGAAGTGACGCCTTGAATGGCGATACACGAAACGGTATGCCACACAGCAACGGCAACGTCGATCAGTTTCCACCACCCGAACCAATGTATCCTCCATTCTCTTGCCTCAACGTGGATCCCCCCGTCCGAGGGGACTTGTACGAAGAACCGGATGAGGATGTACAAGATAAAGTTCTCTTCGTTCTGAACAATGTGTCCGAACGCAACCTGAAGGACAAACTCAAAGATCTGAGAGAAGCATTAGAGGAAAAGCATCATCAGTGGTTCGCAGGCTACCTTGTGGAGGAGCGGGCAAAGATGCAGCCAAATTTTCAACAGCTCTATCTCGACATGCTCGAACTGTTCAATGACAAGACGCTGTGGGCTGAGGTCCTTCACGAAACCTATTCATCAGTCATCCGAATGCTGAACTCGGATTCCACCATTACTTCTTCCACCGAGCGAACACATTTGAAGAACCTAGGCGGATGGCTTGGATCCCTCACCATCGCTAGGGATCAACCAATAAAGTTCAAGAACATCTCGTTTAAGGATCTGCTCATCGAAGGTCACGATACCCAACGGCTAGTCATCACGATACCCTTCACATGCAAGGTGCTGCTACAAGCGGCGAAGTCTAAGATTTTCAAACCGCCCAACCCATGGACCATGGAGATTATACGCCTGCTGCTGGAGCTGTACCATTTTGCCGAGCTGAAACTCAATCTCAAGTTCGAGATCGAGGTGCTCTGCAAGGGCCTAGACCTCGACTACAAAACCATTGAGCCATCTGAGAGCATCCGCTCCCGTCCAGTTCCGGAAGACGAGCTTCTTGGTCCAGTCGTTCTATCTGAGGGCCCGGACGGGTTCGGGGATTACTCACTCATGAACCTCAATCGCGCCAGAGTACCGAGCGAACGCTTCACGCCTGCTGCTATTGCTGCCAGTTTGCCAGATATCGCAAACCTGCTTGTGATCCCGCCTACCTCCACCAACTTGATTCCGCCTGCACGTATGACCCAGGTATACGCTTACGCTGCCCAGCAAGCGGTAGCTGAGATCATTGGGCCAGTTGTTGAACGCTCAGTAACGATCGCGGCTATCTCAACGGCGCAGTTGGTGATCAAAGACTACGCAACAGAGCCGGATGAAGATCGCTTCCGACTGGCCGCTCATAGCATGGTCAAATCTTTAGCTGGCTGCCTAGCGCTAGTAACGTGCAAGGAACCCCTCAAGATGAGCATGCTCAACAGCATCCGCTTGGCTGCGCGAGAGCTCCCGGAGCAAGCGTTGCCAGAAGGATCTATACTCATGTTCGTCAATGATAACCTCGATCTTGTCTGCAGCTATGTCGAGCGCGCAGCTGAAGAGCAGTCACTTCCTGAGATTGACGCGCATATTGAGGATGGCATTCGTGCGCGAAGGCACCATAATAGCACTCGCCCCAACGAGCAGTTCATGGATCCGCTTGTCAGCCGGTGGGCTGGGTACATCCCAGAGCCCTACCGCCAAGGCCCAAATGGTTTAAATCGCGAACAGCTTGCTATCTTCGAAGATTTCGGCCGCCAAGTACGAGGATTGCCAGGCCATGCCAATGCTGCTTCGCAGGATAGCGGACGCCAGGTTCTCGACCTACTCCAGGATCACTTCCCTCCTATTCCAAACCTAGCAACCCCTGCCGAAGGCCCAGTTCTGACCCGCGCAGGGATTCAGCAAGTGTCTCGTATGCAACCAACGCCGGCTGCCCAGCTCTCCCAAGCTCAGCCCCAGATCAACGATTACATTGATGCTCAGAGCGTTGTAGAACGCATACGCGAGCTCTTCGCGGAGGTGCAGCACGCCGCACGGGAAGCGCCAGAAGAGCATATCGAGGACATGCCGCCGACTGCACCGACTCGCGCTGCCTTTCATCAACTCCTTGTTGCCCTCGCAAGCTCCGGATCCCAGCTTGATACGGTTTCCGAGGCGCTGGCTCACTTTATCTTTGAGTACATCTACAATGAAGCCGAGCGCCGCTTGGAAGTTGAAGTGATGGTGCGGTTGCTCGGCAATGTCTGCGATATCGCTGTCAAGACTGGGAAGCGAGTCATGACCTGGCTGGCGAACTTGGATGAACGCAAGTTGTTCAACGTCACGGCCACTATCTGCTGGCTGAGCAGCGGCTTACTGACCATTGATCGTGTCGATCAGTCTGTCGCCAAAGCGTTTGATGATCGCAATGTCGCAGCTGCGGAATTCCTGTCGGCTTTGATGGACGAGCTGCTCCTTACCGGGCAGCCTGGTGTCCTCCGTGCAGACCTGGTGAGGTCTCTGGGAGCCTTGACCCGTTGGCTCATCGAAGACCCACAGCTTGAGGTCGGCAAGCAGATCGTCTCGAAACTACAAGTTCCTGCAGATACGCTTCCTTCGCCTGCGTACTCCAATAAGCAGGATCAACTCGAATACCTTTTCGACGAATGGATCCACCTCCAACGCAGGGATGCTCCGGAGAAATCCATCGCGGCGTTCGTCCGCCAGCTGCTTCAGTCAGAGGCAATGAGCACACGGGAAGCTTCTATGGACTTCCTTCGTGTCTGTATCGACAAATCGGTCGAGGTCTACGAGACCGACGAAGCCTACCTGCCGCCACGTCTGGCCCCTCATGACGCCTATACCCACATCGATGCTCTTGCCCAGCTAGTCGTGTGCTTAGTTGTCTACCGAGGCGAGCCAGAAGGCACTGACAAGACGGACAAACCTACGTATTTCGAGGGGATTCTCAGCTTGATCGTCTTGAACCTCTGCCATCATCAGAACAAGCGCGGCGAAGATTTCAATCAGAAGGTCTTCTTCAGGCTATTCTCGAGTATTCTGTGCAGCCTTCGCAGTGCCGCGGAGGCCCTCGCTGGGTTGGAAGACGACATGATGAACGTTATGGGACGGGCGTTCTTAGCGCTTCAGCCCAACTACTTTCCCGGTTTCGCTTTTGCATGGCTTTCCCTGATTTCGAACCGCATCTTCATGCCTGCCATGCTCAATCAGGGCGAGCAGAGCGAACAAAGCGTGAGTGTTTATGTTCGATACCTTGTGTTTGTTCTAACTGACACCGCTACAGGGTCTGGATATCTACGTTAAGCTTTTCGAAATACTGCTAGCCTACACCGGGGGTCTCTTGAAGCCGAGTCAACCGTCGGGCGCTGCGGCAAACTTTCATCGAGGGGTGCTCAGGGTTCTCTCAGTCCTGTACCACGACTTTCCGGAATTCCTGGCCGAAAATCACTTCCAATTATGCAATGCGATTCCGGCCCACTGTCATCAGCTCCGCAACATTGTGACGAGCGCATATCCCTCTTTCCTCGCAACTCTTCCGGATCCTTTCTTCTCTGGTCTTCGAGTCGATCTTATCGACGACGTTAGGTCCGCGCCGAGGATCCTCGGAGACTTCAAGAGCCCGATTCGTGAAGCCAAGATACAGGAGACAGTCGATAAGCTTCTGGTCAGCGATGAGATCGACTCCGCAGAAGTTGACAAGATCTGCCAAGCGGTGTATAACGTCCAGCGTAAGGCAACAGCCTTCCAGAACGAGCCGATCAACGTCAACACCGTCTTACTCCATGCTCTCGTCCTCTATATCGGAACTAAGGCCATTCCCACCCCATCCGATGCCGGCTCGTCCTTTGATAGTTCGTCAGCAGGTGTCAAGCTCCTCGAGCAGCTGGTCATGACGCTCTCCATCGAGGCCCGGCACTACTTCCTCGGCGCCATCACGAATCAGCTCCGCTGGCCCAACAGCCATACCTACTTCTTCAGCTGCTTCATCATGCATCTTTTCAGAGCCCGCCACCAGGACGCTCAGGCTCTTCAAGACGTCCAGCAGCAGATTACTCGCGTGCTGATCGAGCGCATGGTGGTTGCGCATCGTCCACACCCGTGGGGACTGATGGTGACCTTGGTCGAGCTTTTGCGCAACCAGGCGTTTGGATTCTGGGAGTTGCCGTTTGTGAAGGCGGCGCCAGAGGTAAGCAATCCTTTATCGATGCGCAAATATGCACGTGTACCCTAACAACCGTCATAGGAGGAGCAACTGATCCAGAGTGTCTTCGCTCTGATGCACCAACGGAATGCGGGAATAGCCTGAGCGCGGTCAAATTTCCGAAATGGTGTGTGGACCATCCCATGGTGTGAACTTAACTCTACGACGGGAAATCATGCAGCCATCGGCGAACGAAGGCCCGGCCGCATACCCCATTCATCTTCACCTCATGTTTATCTTACAACTACTTCCATTCTTTGTCGATGCATTTGCATGCGAGGGGTCTCTCTGGGTACCAATGGCCGCATGGAACGAGGCGTGGGCGGGCGGCACATAATCTTCTTGTTCCTGGTCTGCATTACAGGCTTATTCAGGTAGCTGAGCGCATGCTTCGCGCTGGTCACCGGAGCTTGCTGCTGCTACTTCTCTCTTACATTTCACTAAAAAAGCGACGGCGTTGACAAGGGAACGGATACGGGCGGGAATTATATAGTCTACTCTTTCTCATTCTCTTCTGCTTGCTTTGCGGGCGAAGATGAGACGGATATGAATATAGTGTAGGATACCTATGATGATGGTTTTCTGGGACGAGCTGCAACACTGCGCATTTATGATGATGATGATGATGATGATGATGATGATGATGATGATGGTGGTGGAGTTATATTCTCCCTAACGTATGGCCTATTATGCTTGAGACCCACTGTGTCTTAGTAGTATTACATTACTGAATTGCCAGTCTGTTGATAGACGCTTGAGTCGTGCCGACAACCCCGAACAGGTAGTCACTGCCCTTGCTGCAGTATTCTAAAGATACAACTTACATCCTATCTCTGTCTCGGCTAAGAGCGGTTCTGGGGTTTCTCCTTTCGAAATGTAGAAAGGGGTTCGTGAATCTGGTAGTGCGGGTGGTAGAAAATAACGATAAGTACAGCTGAATAATACAGCTATTAAAAATAGATACAATACCTTCCTCAGGTGGAGGCTTGGTCTCCGCAGCAGGGCTGAAGGCTGTCAAGCTGTCCCAGGGCATCGCCCCGCACGCTACCTGAGTTCGGATGTGGTAATCATGGCTCAGCCCTGCCATCTTTACCCCCTTAGAGCCTGCTGAGCGTGCAGAACCAGCTCTTCAGCCGAGTAGCTACGAGTTCGGCAGCTTTTCTACCTCGACCAAACCTTAATGGCTGTAGTCAAGGAATGAGAACACACAGCCATCTTCTGTTCCCGCCGCTCTCTAACCCAGCTGCGGCTGATGTTAGAATAGTCTCAATCATAGTCCAGTTTAGTATAAGGATGCGTGCATACCTCTTCCTACAACCTTATCATCCATCGAATCTCAAACAACAGCTTCTTCTTTCCTAAAGTCTAATCCCATTTGTCGATTTCATCTCAACAATCTCTACTTTCGTGCAGACTGTCATAGCTTACAGCTAGAGCCATCGGCCATTTAAACTTTCTCGAATCATCCACTTTCGCAATATTAGTCTCTAAATCTACCCGAGATGCATTTCAACGCCTTCATTACCGCCCTCTCCGCCTCCGCCTCTATCATGACTCTCACAAACGCTGCACCCTTCGGTGTCTCCGAGCGGTCAGTCATCTGCCCATCAGGCACATCTTACTATCCAGCGGGTAGCTGCAACAGTGGCTTCGTAGGCTGCGCAACCCTTGCCCAGTACTCCTCCGCCTGCCCTGGAGCCCGTCGCTTCTACAATGACTGCGGACCCAACGGAGACCTCGGCTCCTATTACAACTGCGCCAACGGCTTCAAGGGCTGCACCACAGACCGCAATGTGTGCAACCCCGCGACTCCTCAAACCACACCACCCGCTCCCGATAAGAAGAACACTCCTACAGACCCGACAAAGCCCAGAGATCCCAAGCCACCCACCACTGGCAAATGCCCCTCAGGCACCTGGTACGTGCGCGAGAACGACTGCGACAGCGGCTTCGTTGGGTGCACCGACAGCGGCGCCATCTGTCCAGGCCCCAAGCGCTTCTGGGGCAGCTGTCCCACGGGTCACGGCAACTACTATGTCTGCGCCAGCGGCTTCAAGGGCTGCACGACCGATGCTTCGATTTGCAACTGAGCGGGGGGCTTGACGGTTCGGATTTGTGCCTTGTGTGGTCCCTTTGGCGGGCGAAGCATTAGACTGTGGAAAGAGCATCGTGTTATGGATTTGTAAGGATAGCGAGCATTGTCACAGGCATTTTGTTATGAGTTGCATCATCCCCTTGGAGGAGGTCTGACCTAACCTGCTAGTTTGCGAGGTGGGACGAGAGCGAAGCGGAGAGTCATTCATTCATCCATTTTTCTATATTTTCATTTTATCTGTACTTACTGGCTAGTTGGCTCAACTTAACTACTCAAAATGACCGGATTGCCTAAACGAAAGAGTGCTCTAGTGGAAGGAATCTTGGTTAGTCCAACCTTAGTGACCCCTAATGCGTAGTCGCTCTTGATAATACAGGTCACTAACCCGAGACACTCCGTCCCTGCGTTTCATTGTCGCTGGCTCAGGTTGCTCAGGCACCACTCCCCCACTCCATCGTTCGGGACTTGCGCATGCGCATCGAGGAAGGCCTCGCACATTCGCTGGACCTCGAACTTACGGGAATTCGCCGGAGACACTTTCTGGACGAACCGCCATCCGAGACACGGCTTGACCGACTCGTCTTTCTGGACAAGGTGGAGCAGGAGGTCAGATAACGGGGCGGAAGGGGTGGAAAGCTGAACTTTGAAGAGTTTGAGAAGGCGGTGGTGAGGGAGGATGGGCGATTAGGGTTCGTGGAAAGCTGGCTGAATATGGTTAATCTTTAGGCTACCCTATATCTGGCTCCCCCGTCCCTGTTGGCTTTTCTGCCCGGGGGTTTGTTGCATTGCGCATTGAGTTTGGATTCTATCATACATGTACATGTTTTGTCGCAGTAGTGTGCCCGCGGCTGCTTATTTGAGAATCTTAGGCTGATTCTTCAAATGTATCGTAGGAACAGCCGTAGTCGAAGACCGACTTTATGTGACGTGCTATGTGTGGTTTGTTTATCGGGAGGCAAGCGGGAGTGGTCCGACTGGAAGATTGGGATTGAATTGGGCCTGGAATGGGTGAGTTTCTATATCTGTAGTGAGACGAGCTGCGGCGTCTTGCAGCAGCGATGCAAAAATGAAAAAGTGGAAAAGAAACGGTCCAAGCAAAAATCGAACCAGAACCTAACTGCCTTCTTAAGGTTACGGGTGGGTGGCTTGCCTGTAACCACATACCCTTTTGGGGTAGCAGGTAGCAAGTGCCTGTGTCCCGCATTCGCATGAGCCAACGTAGCAAATCTGGGATAAAAGCAAGATTCAGCTACTCATTTAATATAGTTAAATTGCCAATATGTCTTCACTTGACAAGCCTTGGTCTCCTCAGCCTCATGTGACAAAAAATGCTGCTTGTTTCTCGTGTTCAATGGATGCATCTTACGCGGAAGTCCCCGACAGCATTATGTCGGATGGTGATGCGTGTACAATTTCTTCTTTACAAAGCTGTCCGTGAAGCACATCGGAGATAACACAAGATGCCGCACCACTACATCCCCGTCGAATCTCTTTGCAGAAGCACAGCGTGATTATGCCACAGTCGTCTTACAGCATCCGTCTGCTGCGCGGATACGGATTACTACGGGCACTGTGAAACGTGAAGTTTTTGAAAACGTACTGGGAGCGCGAGAGTCCCAGAGCCAGCGTGTGCGGATTAAACGCTTGTGTAGAACCAATGCAGTGGCGCCCTTTCCGAGCCGCGAGATAGTAGGGAATGTAGGACCAACTTTGCTCAATCAGTGTAGCAAGCACTTGTTTACTCCGTTGAGGAGCCCCACAAGAACCGCTTGACCGCCTGAATGCCTGAAAACTTTCTAACGCAATATGGTACTGGTTGACATTTGGGCGTAACAAAGGACGCTTGTTGTAGCATGCTACATACAAGGACAGGAGTAGCATCTCCAATGGTTTCGGAAGAGAGGTGCTACCCGAGTTCCTTCGAGCGCGACCTGTGAGTAAAGCTTCCGGCTCTCAACATTGCACTGCGCCGCTCAAGACAGAGCGGGGAATTGATACGGGCGGTAAGGATTCCAACATATGTCGTTGCTCACTCTGACAACTCATGGAGACGAGCGGATGACCACATGGGCATATGCCGGGCAACGGAGGTGCTTCTGGAATAATGTGGAGAAGAATACTCATCAACTTTCGTTTGAAAATCAGGCGGCCCGGTACTGCCAGCTCCTGGCTGGCGCGCTATCGTCCGCAATCCTCTTTTAGCTCATTGCACGGACAGCAAGAGGGCTATTTGGCAGTCACGTTGGCTAAAGACTAAAGCGGATTAGCATGCGCCGTTCACCACGGTGTGACTTCATACTGAGCTTACATGTGATGCCGTAGCCTGGTAACGATAGTCTAGTCAGTAGGTCTTCGCCCGGCGGACTCCGAATTCATAGAAGCTGCATGTAAACGGCGCTGAGTGCTCACACTAGCATCTCTACTGGAGTACGGTTTCGTGCAGCACATATTGTCCGTGCGGGGGAAGTCTGAGGAATGGGTAAGGACGGCTTGCAGTCGCCCCATCATTGCGTGACCAGGTCGGGCAAGGAGGTTGGCCACTTTGAGCGAGGACGAGGCGGGTCCCAGCGCCCCGGCGGCCTTGGGACTGGCCTCGTTGTCGCGTTGGACGTGTCCCTGGTCAGTGGCGGCACGGGGATCATATTGCTGGCTGGAATGGAAGCACCGGGGGTAGGAGATATTGGTATACGGGCTGGTGGTGGTGGCACGCCAGGCTTTGCCTTCGTCCGCTGTGAGTACTCCACTGGATTGTTGTAAAGCCGACGTCTGGGAGGCGGCTGCGAAGACGATCTGTCACTGGCTATTGCTGAGGCAATGTCTACGGCTGGCGGAGGTTCAAAGGCTGGCGGAGGTAGAATCCCCAACTGCTCCTCTGCTTCTGTTTCAGCCTCCCTTCGGGCCCGCGCATGTCCTTCCTCTGCCTTTTCTACATTCGTGGGTTTGGTACCTGGACTCTTGCTCGTCGCTTGCATTGGCTTGACTTCGGCGTGTGCAGTTCTTCCAGCGAGATCTCCCCCCGGGTTGGCAGCTAGAACTATTCGTACCCATTGTTCAAGCTTCGCCTTTTGCGCCCTCAGAAGGGCTGCATCGCTTTCCGCGAGCTTGGCATTCTGTCGCGCTTGGTCGAGCTCTTCAGTCGCGCGATCAAGATCCATCTTCAAGTCATCAACTGCCGTTGCTGCGGACCTCACTGAGGTGAATGCTGGAGGGCAGCAGGCACCGAAGAGACGGCTGGAATCCGTGTCCGTGTCCTTTCGAAAACCATCGATGAGTGTCAAATGTTCAACTAATTCCGCTGCATTTGGTCTCAGACTCGGCTCGACAGCGAGCATCAGCTCTATTTCAGCCAACAGATGCTTGAAACGCGCGTTATCTATGCGCAATAAAGCGTACCACTGATGTCTCAAGTGGATGTTGGCTTGAAAGGAGTGATCAGCTTCTGGACGAAGGGCCTTAAATGCCTCCATGGGCTCTGTTCCAAACAACAAGCTAAGCATTTCGAAGAAAATGCACCCCAGAGAGAAGATGTCGGCCGCTCGACCATTTGGCTTATACGCCGCGACTTCGGGAGCAAAGTACTTCGGCGTCCCGCGTTCTCCATTGTCTGTGAGACTCATTGTCAATGCTGAGAAGTCGGTTGAGGTACCAAAGTCGGTCACCCGCAATCCTTCGCGGTATAGCAGAACGTTTGATGGTTTAAGGTCCTTATGTCGAACACGCTGCTGGTGGAGGTACGCTACAGCCTGTGCCAGGCAGCCGAAGCTTTCGTAAAGGCGGTCCCTGTACCAAAGTAGTCTCACAAGGCCTTTATTGTCACTCTCTTTAGGACCGAGTTGATGGAAACGGTCTATAACCGCCTCAGCCTTAACGGCTTCCTCGGGATCTGCTAGGGTCAGAGAGTGACGCCAAATATATTCGTAGTCTTCGAAAAAGGTTGCGAGATCGCACACAGCTACGGGCCAAAGCAGCAATCCAAGGAATGGGCCATGCGTATACGTGCCGACTAAGTGAATGATGTGATGGTGGTTTAGTCTTTTTAGGACTTCGATCTCGTTCCGCTCCCGTGAGCCGATTGCTCCGCGACAGTACCTCCTCTTCCACGCAAGAGCAACCCCGCGGCACGTAGTCTGGTATACGCCACCATTGACGCCGTGTCCAAGAAACTTCCCTTGCGATAAGGGCACGGTGTCATCCGTTTGAAAGTCAACATGCGAGCCTCGACCGCACCAGTCGGCTGTGAGAGCCGCTACTTTTTCTGGGGGACTGTAGGTACCCATGTTGAATCGGCAGCCGGTAAGCTGTCTTTCCACTGACAGCAGTCAAGGAGGAGCTCCTAGGGGATCGGATGCAGGGTACTCCGTCTAAGGGATGGGAGTGCCGCCCTGCAATATCGTCAGCTTTTGTGGTCGATTGACTTTCCAGTTGAAGACACAAAGGTCGTTCAAGCACATGAAGAGGTACTGCAGGATTTCGGCCTCGTGGTATTTATAGCTCCCCCGCAGCTTGGCAGGGGCATGCCTCATCCAGGTACCGGAGCAGATGTTTCAAGAAACAATAGCCCGTTCTGAGATGGTAATGCTAGTACAGTCATAACAGCACTGGTGCACTCGACTTCTGCTAAGTGTACATGGTACGCAGCCATACTGAGCTATTCATCGAGGATTGGGATATATTCCCTCGCATTCGTGGCCATTCCCTGCTCCCTAAGAACGGACAGTACATGTTGACGTATCTCTAAGTATAGACTGGGACATTTGGATTGGAGATAAGCTAGGTATGATGCTTGCATAGGAGGGTTCGCACTCCTGCTCGGTCGGTCAGGCAAACAGTTTACAGATGTTGATAAGTGCTACATGTTTGTAAATCATGGAGAGCTGAGGAGGCCCAAATTCATACAGACTTGAAGGTTGTCATGATGTATCTAGAGGATGTCCTCGCCTATACCATGATACGTTCAAGGAGGTTCCACTGCGCAGTGCAGCTAGAGTATCTACGCACCTAAGACTGACACGACCGCTCACCGCACCTCACTCCTACTCGGCGCCCAAGCCCTCAACCACTCCCTCGCCTTCTCCAAATCTCCCCCCTCAGCCTCAAGCGCAGCAACACACCACTCAAACCCAAACCCACCATCCCCCTCATCCTCCGCCGCCAGCAACTCCGCGAGGCCTCTCTTCTTCTGACTCCCCTCATCGACACAGAAATGCAGCGGCGGCCTCGCCGGATCCGCCTCGCTCCTCCCCAACCCGTCCAAAAACGGCTTCACCATCGGCAGCGCCTCCTTCGTGCTCACCGAGCCCCCAATCCCCAGATGCTCGCGCCCAGTCTTGCAGTACGGATTCCTGCACCACGCTTTCCCGCAGCCGGTGAGCAGTTGACTGAGATACCTCCGCTCGACCCTCCGCCTCAACGCCCGCCCCTCGGGGTCATAGACCGCCACATAGAGCGGCCCGAAGCACTGGCTGCACAGCCCTATGTCGTTCCCTGGCCCCTGCCCTCTCCTCGTGCCCGCCCGCGTATCACCGGTCTTGGAGACCCCGTCCAGCGTCCGTCCACACAGCGCATTGCGACACACGCGCGGCTGTGGGCGGGACAGTTTCTCGAGCTCGTGGTGTCGCAGGTGCATTGCCATGTCGCGGAGCCGTACGATGGCGCCGCAGCGGTGGCATTCGGTCGTTCGTGCGCCATCGGCGAGTTCGTGGGGCGTAAGGCCTGTGAGGAGGGCTTCAGGGGAGGGGGTGTCTGGGTCGCCTTCCTGCGGGACTTGGAGGTGGCAGAATTGGCAGAGGATTGGTTTGCCGGGGCAGGTTGTCGTGCGGTGGTGCGCTAGGGCGGGGAGGGTAGGGTAGATGGTGGATGAGGTGCAGGAGGGACAGGTGTATGACGTGTGGTAGAGGTGGTTGTGTTTCGCTTTGCTGAGGGGCGTGTTGCCGTACGAGGAGTCGTGCGGACAGTGCCAGTGGTTGGCCCAGGCGGGGCTGGTGCGGAGGAACACTTGGTTGCAGCCGTTGGGGCAGCGGATGTTGTTGCGGAGGCAGAAGTTCTCGTGCAGGAAGAGGGTGCGTTGGGGGACCCATTGGAGGCAGTTCTTGCACTGAACTTCATCTGGGTTATGTTCGATATTATTTGAAGCCGGCAGTATATTTGAAGATGCCGGAGGTGGGACTCTCAGGTCAAAAGGAGAGGCGCGGATGGTGTAATGCTTCGGTGCTTTTCGCATATCACCATTTTGGCTTGTTTCGGGGGGCGCATAGGCGTGGACGGACACCCAAACGGCTTCTGCGCCTTCGAGCTCGATGTTGGTGGGCGCAAGGCGTATGCGCTTTGGATATCGGCCTTCAAACTCGCCGAAGACATACTCGTCTTCTCGAGGCCGGACACGCTGCCGCGTGCTGAACGGACTAACGAACAGATCAACTTCATCCTCCTCTTCAACATCTCCGAGCTCGATCTCGAGACCTTGCGAGCGATCCCAGGAAGGTATCTCGTAGTCCACATATTCACCGTCAAGCACGTGCCCTGATTGTGCTCGGAAAAGATCAAGTCTTCCGCCAGCGGAACTGCCTTGATCAGTGCCTGGCGCCCTCTGCGCCTTCTCCGCTATCCTCTTCAGTGTCTCTCGGGCCTGCTCCTCGTTCAGAGCTTCAATGTCGACTTCCAGGTCTGTGTCTACAACGCAGATTGCGTCGCCTTCCGGCTTGAAGCCATCGACCAAGAACCTGAATTCTTCTAGCTTGCCTCCGACTCCCCGTCCGCCCGGTACCACCAGCACCTCCCCATTTGTCAAGGTTGTGAAGTTGGCGCGCATATGCTGCTCAAGTAGCGACTTCCAGTCCTCCGGGTTATACCCGGCTTCTAGTGGCCGTAGCTTAACGTAGGTGCCTTTGGGCAGCTCCTTCACATGGATTGTGATCCTAGGCGCATTCTTTCTGGCGACTGCGAGACCTTGCACGCCGTTCGTCACCGCCTCGTCGTCATCGCTGTTGCCCGGCGTTGGACTGCGACTTGGTGTCTTGGAGCCCTGTGGGTCCTCGATACCCAAAGCTTGCCTTAGCACGGAACTTAGGACCACCTCGCCCTCCTCAGCGGAGAACTCTCTGATACCCGCATAAATGACGCGCCCATTCTGCGGATTGACGAGACGGAAGGTCAGTGGATGTGGTAGCTGCTGTTGTCTGTCCTGAAATTGGGCACGTGCTGCTCGTTCAGCGGCGAAGGTGAAGGGATTGTAGGGGTCGAAGGCGGATGTATACGGCCGAGAATAGGTGGGTTCGGTGGTGATTGTGGGGGCGGCTGCGAGGAGCTGTTCGAGTGCTGACGGAGGTAAGAGGATCTTGTCGCCTGGTAGCTTAGTTGAGCGTGAGGATGGTGCTACGGAGTATTGGGCGGTCCACTGGAGGGATGCCGGCTGCGCGGACATTGATGCTGTGACGCTTAAGCAAGAAAGAAATTAGGAAGGGTATGTCAGAATAGATGCAGATACTCTGCAGACACTCTGCAGTTCAAAAGCAAGTAAGAGAAAGGAAAGGGAAGGTTGGCGTTAGTAGCAGACGTCGAGGCTGACAATTGCCTCGAACGCGATTCTCGAAGATACCGTGATGCTGCGCACATGTCACTCCAGATTCCCGATAAGATCTGACTGATAGCTTTTGATTGATAAGATTTGATTGATAAGATTTGATTGATAAGATTTGGTCGATGGGATTTAACAGATAAGATTTAGCCGATAAGATCTAAATGCTATGATCCCAGCGATAGGATAAGATTAGATTCATAACCTGGCAAGCTCAACACCATCATTGCTCGCGGGCCGGGACTGCAAGTGATGCGACGGTGTCGACACGAGACCAACAACTTGCTCCCAACCCGGCCATCCCGGTTATCCCTCCATCCCTTCCCCTTTTCTTTCCTAGGTACTACATAATTGCTAATACCATATCTGCCATCTTTTCAGTCGTTTGTTTCCCTCTCACTTCTTCTCACACCTACCAGTTTCATAATCCGCCAATCCCAGCCGCTGGATGGCTTCGGCTTCGGCTTCGATATCGGAGCATTCTATGCCTGCAACGCTTCTCGACCTCCTCTCGAACTCCCTAGTCCTGCACCATACCGCACCCTACCTTCCCGTAGCAGCCACCCTCGCGCTTTCGCGCACGTCCAAGTCCTTCCGAGACCTTGTATTACACACGCCCGATGTCTTCAGATACCTCGACCTGTCGACGGTCAAGTCGGCCGTCGTACCCTATACGCCTATCGATATCGGGGGAAACAACTGGCGCGCTGAACGCATGGACGAGGCGCTCACCGAGGATGAATTCTACTCCGGACCCCTCCGCGGCATCTTCTCCAAACTCGAGCGCAGGCATCTCCTGAGGAACGTGCAGACGCTGGTCCTGGACGGTCTGAGCGTGCCGGCAGATCTGGTGCGGGAGATTATCGCTGAGGATCGCTACAGCGTTAGAGTGCTCTCTATCCGTGACGTCAAGAATCTGAACGAGAGAAAGCTTCGGCAAGCGCTGAACTACGCCGTGAGGCCGTCGAGACCCGAGGGGACACCAAGGCTCAAGGCACTGTATGTTTTCGGCCCTCGAGACTCAACGCCTGCAGAGGGTCCCCCAAAGCCAACAAGGTCTCCACCGAGAATTCCAACCCCCTCTGGAGTCACAACATCGCAGGGTGCGCAGATTGGCGCGGAGTGGAACGAGAAGTCCGCCCAAGCGCTCACCGCTGCCCTCGCGCGGACTACGGACAAGTGGTATCAGCCGGCCGGCCGTATCTTCTCCAAACGTCCCTCCTACGACTGGGCAGACACCCTGCAGGCTTGCGAAGGCATCATTTACTTTGATGCCGTCCTCTGCCGCGGCCCACGCCACTCCGCTCCGGCCTCCTCTACCTCGCCAGCCTACGCCTATCCGACTCAACCGCAGACCTATCTTCGTCCCGCTGTCGCAAGCATCGCCCTCGGATCCGCTGGGTGCGCGACCTGCGGCTCCTGTCCCGAAACCCCCGCAGTCTTCGGCCAGTCGCCTCTAACTCATCTACCGCTTCTAAGCCCACCACCCCTTCACGCCTCCACTATCCGCGCGGCCCAACTGCCTGCAACCCTCGACGGTTCCCCGCCGCCTCGGCTGATTGTCAGATGCGAGGACTGCCTCCGTGGGCGATGGTGCGAGCGCTGCAATAAGTGGTGGGACGAGGACTGCTACCAGGGCCTACCAAACTCGACACGCACGGAACTGCAGCAGCAGGAGGCTATTGAGAATATGATGGCGCAGCTGGATAGCAGCTACAAGCGCGATGTCAAGGTACATATGGGTCTCTGTATTGAAAAGTGCTATGTCAGCGAGATGATGGCTGTTACCGACGGCATGTGGGGTTGATTGCCGGATGCTGCACTGCCTATTAGCGCGCCTCACGAGTGTATACGCCATACTCGAATCCGGGAAGGCTACATGGACTGCCAACACGGATGAGGAATGGGGAGAGTTGATAGCCTGATGACGGATAGTCAACCGACAGCCATCTAATCACTAGCAGGTGCGGCGCGCTAATAGGTAAGTGCGTGCAAGTATCTTGGGATCATGTGCTGACATCTCGCTCACATAGGTGATCGGCGTAAAACGTGAATGTTTTGGCTGTGGGCCCACTGTACGCTTGCTCCACGTCCTCAAATAGTCGTAAAGTTGCATAGCTGACATCAGACAGTGCATCGATTGCAAAGAGCTCTATATTCGCCGTTGCCGCATTTGCGCCAACGAATACTGCTATCTCGACAACGACGGCTCTTCTCACAACACGGTACGTCGAGAGACCCCCGCCTCCCACTGCTTCGACTGACTGACTATTTAGTGTGACTGGTGCAATTACAGCGGAAGGCGTACTCGGGAGCTCTATTAATTGTTTTTGTTGCCGGTCAAGGTCCGAGCGGTATGACTGGAGTATAGAGGGCTTTGCTGTAGCCGGCTTCTGAGGTGTTTGGGGAGTTGGTGGTGTGCTGGGAGCATTGCTGGTGCGTTGGCGAGGCTTAGTGAGCCGGAAGATACCCATCTCTTATTCACTCTGTATCCGTTCACGGACTCTTCTCATCCTTTAATTATTATCACATCTCATCTTCGTTACTCGTCTTCGTTGCTTATCTTCGTTGCTCATCTTTTAAGCACACGAAGTAACCACTGCATGCGATCGCCCCGATTAATAGGCTTTCGGATCTCATCTCTACCAGTACATCGTTACGTTTCTTCAAAAGCAACGAGGCGACAGTGGAAGCCGACGGCAAAACTGAGTAAGACATGCAACACTGTATTCACTCCCTCACGTTCCGATCAGGGGAAGAGTAGCCCAACCACAACCCTAACAGCCTCAAAGACACCCCGCTCTCTCACCAGCCTCTCAAACGTCGCCGGAACCTTGTGCAATGACCTCCGTTCATCAGCCTCGTGCCACGCCGCCGGAAACGCCGCCTGCGCCCGGACAACCGACTCCGCTTCCCCCGTCCAGTCGAATTGTATACGCCACGCTATCCGCAGCTTCACGTCCGCGGACTGGAAAACCAGCTCTGTACGCCCGAGGTGCCGCCGCAATTCCCTCCTCGACGCGGCACCCCTTGCGTTCTTGTTCGTGGACCCTTCTATGGCGGCAATTGTGTCGCCGATACCGGAAATCTCTTCTAACCCGTCTTCTCCTTCGCTCCTAGTGTCGTGCTCGTTATACCCCGCGCTCGCCTGCCCACCCGCCTTCCTCTTTCCCATCTTCTCCACTGCCACCGTCCTCTCCCCATCGCCCCTACCCTGCCGCCCAAGCAAATGCGGCCACGCCCTCTCACATCTCCCCCAACACCCCGCGCGCTTGGTCGCAAGCTCCCAGTACGAGCCTAGCGCCCATCCCACGCCGCCGACGTCGTTCTCAGCCACGCGGCGCCGGAGCCAGGCGCCGATCTCGGACTCGGCCCATGGGTAGAGCGCAGCGAGGTTGAGCCTCTTGATGTGCGGTTCGGGGTTGGGTGAGATGTGGAGGTGGAGTGTTGCGGAAAGCAGGGAGGAGGGGGATGTGAGGGTGAGGGCGTGGAGGAGGGTAGGAGGTTGTAGGGACGGGGCTGTTGAGGTTTCTGGGGTCGTAGAGATTGAGGACGTGATTGTGAAGGGGGTGAAGAGGGTGAGGTATGGCAGAGGGTCGTCGAGGGCGAGGGGCGCGTGCGAGGGGATGGGGTCGTTTGAGGCGGGAGGCGCTGGCTCGGTGCGGTGGGCGAGTGGTTTGGTGAATGGGAGGAAGGAACTCAGAAGCTGGGAGAGTGGTGGTTGCTTTGGTGGGTCGGGTGGTTGGCTGGCCGGATTGGTTTCGTTGATCAGAGTGATGAGACTCTCCAGGTCCTGCGGATTCTTGAAGCCTGAGTCGCGTGGATCGGCGTCCATCGTTTGTACTGCGTGCTCTAGTCGCTTGACTTGGTTTTCCAGGGCTTTCATCCCTTGCAGCAAACGGTCTTTCTCCTGCTGCTTCGCTTCTGACTCTTGATGTGCGGTCCCAGTAACCTGCCCGGCTTTGCCAGGGCCAGCTGCGGTCGCTTGTTCAGCATCGGGGATCCCAGCTTCAGACTGAGAAGCGGCTACTTCTGGTTGGATTTGTCGATCGGTTTCGTCTCTATTGGGTGCTTTATCCCGTGGCCTCGACGGCGACGCATTCAACTTCTTCGCCAGCACTTTGCTCCGCTTTGCACGCTTGCTAGGCGAAGAATACAGTATCCCCCGTGGTGTATGACTCCCAACATCTTGTGTCCCACGCTGACTCGGCGTCAACGGGAGCTCTGCCTCCTGTTCCTCAGCCGGTGTTTCGCTTCCAACGATCTTCTCGTAAGCAAGGAATGACCGCCGGGCGACAGTTTCCAACTCCCTTGCAATTTGCGCGTTGATGTTCCCCTGTACGCTATCACCTTGCGCCTGCGTTCCCGGCGGTGCGGCTGCCAGCCCGTCTTTCGGCGTCCGCGTGACGGCCGCAAGCCCTGATTCTGGTACCTCCGCATCACCTAGGACATACGCGCGTAATTGCTGCCCTCGAGAAGTAGATTCACGCTGACTGCCTGGTCTTGACGCTCCTGAGCGAGTAGGCGTCGACTTTGGTAGCAGGTTCGGATTGAAGCGCGCCAAGCTGGCCTTCGTTGGCGACAGGAAGGAGGCGCGTGTGGGTGTTTGACGAACGTCCGAGCGGTCTGCCCCTTCTTGGGCTGCCTCCGGGGGCGGATGTGATGTCTTCCGACGCTTCGCTGGTGAGGAGAACATTTTGGCGTGCTACACTGGTCGGGTGCAGATTAAGAATGATTTATTGCTTGAGGAGGTTCGGGACGCGTTATGCGACGGGAATCACGCGTATTGTCTGTTTCCAACGTGATTCGGGGGTGAACTGGCTTCACCGGCGCTCTTTTGTAGCACACTTCAGATTGCTATCCCCTCCGGTTCTGAGTTGGCCAAATGAATGCATTGATGATGGGTTGTTCCTGGTGTTGATGTTGATGCCCCTCGGCTCAGATCCGAGATGCGGATCTGTGGGATGACGTCCGGCCTTGATTTCTCTACCGAGCTTTATCTCTCTCTCCACCCTCTCCACCACAACTTCTCCGGTATCCTTACATCTGTATCGTCACTATGGAGTCTCCTCTCTACACTGCGCCTTCACGCGCCGCCCTGAGCTATCTACGACACTGCCTCCATGCCTCGCGCAGCTCCCGGCCACACGCCGCGCCCCGCGCAATGGGCCTACAGGCTGCTACGCAAGCGCACCGCAAACAGCACTCCGCAAGCAACAACCGACGAAGTCACATCGCCCGCGCCGGCGAACAAGCGAACCCTCTCTCCGGCTTCTATGCCGAGATGCTCTCGAAGCCACTCCCCGAAGTCACCTCCGCAACGCGTACCGCGCCCACCCCCGCCTCCAGAGCCCCTAAGAACGACAAAGAGGAAGTCCTCGCCAAAGCACGCATAGTCTTCGGCACACGGCTCGCGGGTCCAGGACGCCAAGCAGAGCGCATGGCGCAAGCCACGGAGATTGCAGGCGTGCTCGTGCCCCCGAAACCGGAGGAGCCGGATAACTGCTGCATGTCCGGCTGCGTGAATTGCGTGTGGGATGTCTATAGAGATGAGATCGAGGAGTGGGCTGCGGCGTCGAAGCTCGCGAAGCAGCGGCAGCGGGAGCAGCGGGCGAAACTGAAGGACAAGGGCAGAGCGAGTGGGAGCATGGTTGCGGAGGGGGGAATGCCAGCGCATGTGGCAGTCAGTATGGATGATGATGGGGGCGGGAGCGAGGCGAACTGGGGTGTGGGAGGGATGGGCCCACAGGAGGCGGATCTCTTTGAGGGTATACCAGTTGGGATTAGACAATTTATGGAGACGGAGAAGGCGTTAAAGATGAAGCATTTGGCGGCAGGGGAGAAGGCTGAGGCTGTGGCGAGTTGATCGGTTGACGGGATAGAAATTCGGAGGACAAGTAGTTGTTTGGATAGCGCGCCAAAAGTGCCTAACGAGTCAGGGCGTATAGATTCTAGATGGTAGACGGGTTCGTCTCCTCTGGTCTTCGTAGCGATATGAACAGGATGTTCAGAAACTGGTCCGTTCAGTATAGTCTGTCCATTTGGACACACCTTGCGCAGCTGGTTGTTAGCTCATTCAATGCGAGGTGCACCGATGCCCTAAGTCGTGTCTTGTATCCCTATCTCTACCAGTTTTCAATACCCTGAACGCCGCGCAATGCTTATCTCAATCCACATCAACCCCCATCCCCTTCAGCTCCATCCTCGCCTGATCAATCTGCGCCATCAGCTCCTTATGTGCCTCCGGAACATCGTTGAATGTGAACACGCCATAGCCGAGCTTGAAGAGGAGGTATGCGCCGAAGGAAACGAGGGCCCAGAAGGGAAGCTTGTGTATGTGTTAGTACGATTGGCGATGTGGTTGTAGTCCTTGGTCTGGGGAGGGTAGGCGCACCACTGGAATGACTTCTTCTTGGATTTTGGCGGGGAAGGGTATCAGGCCTAGGAAGCAGGCGAGGTAGAGCTGGGAGAGGTGATATCTGTTAGCAGGCTAATTGTGGAAGGCGCAGACGGAGCGCTTACGGAGGAGATAAGGAGGCCGATGGAGATTGTTTGCTGTGCGCGCGTCATGGCTGCTGGTAACTGGTGTATAAGTTTCTTGGAGCTGATGCGAATGTACTTGAAAGAGCGACGTGAAAGAAAGCGGCAAAGAAGGTGCGGGTTCTCAATCGTTCTCTAGATTTTGGAATGCTCGCCTTGAGGCCAGAAGTTGATGTCGAGCTTGGGCAACGGCACGTGACATGGTTTTCAGAACCTTGATGTCTTTATTCCTCAAATCCTGCATAGAACACTCATCTTTGCACAGTTACTACTCTGCAGAACCCGGCTACATGAGCTGTAGCTCCCTCTCTAGCCAGATGCGACACTGAGTCCGGATCCATTTAGGGAAAAGCGGCGTATGGGTTGACTTTCTCCCTAGACACGAGGAAGTGGTCTACGGAGGGGTTTGAGACCTTTCTAAGCCGATCATGGCATGGCTGGATCCAAGCAGGCCAGATGCGCTGGTAGCTCGATTAGAAACTCTCCCAGACGATCCTCCTGGTGGGTTAGAAGGGCTGCCGGACGACCTGTCAAGGCTGGAGGATATCAATTCGACTCTACACCTACAGGCTATCAAGGCGTTGGCTGATGCCAGCAGGCAGTGTAAGTGAACATGCTCGGTCAAGTTTGTGGTAATCGCTACCGAGGTCTTTCTTCATGTCTCTAGTCATTCTTATATTTCACACTTTACCTTGCGTCCCACTATGCCGATACTTACGAGCTTTTCTCTTGTAGTCGATTATCGAATTGCGTTTGGCGAGTGTGGTCTGCTGCATCATTGCCTTTTGCAGCTGCGGCGAGCTCTCGAGCGCCATATAGAATCTCTTGATCTTCCGGTGCAGTACCTACGGCTCATAGGCAACTGTTGTGCCGATTGGGGTGAGTGAATTTTCTATTCCGTCTCGGCCGGTGAAGCAGTCGCTTGGCGCTTGATCAAGAAGGTGTATAGATCAGCCCTAGCAGTTGCACAGAGTTTTAAGCCGAAAATGTGCACTGCAGGAGCTTATAGACCGTCTGTATCAAAGCGAAGCTGACGCTCTGCAGGCCACAACAGAGCGATTACCGTTAAATTTTTAGGACACATAATTTCTCTCCTAGATGTAAAGCCTCTAGTAGAGATCACGGTGGGAGTGCTATTCAACTTATGCAATGATTCTAGTGTGTGACCTCATTGCTTGATACACTATCCTTTTGCCGTTTAGCGATGTACATCAAGCTACACTTACGAGGCGAGCATATACTTCTGGTAATCATGGCTAACTGCTTGAAGAGGATAGCCAAATGGAGGCAGCTCGCCTCAAGCTGGCCTGCATCATTGCCACCTTGATCGCTACGCAGAGCATTGCTGCTGGGAGCGCCGCGGCCAGCCAAGCTATCCAGCTGCTCTACTGGACCGTTCAGCGGATGTCACAAACCTCTACACTTCGAAGCCTCGATGCGCCTAAGCTACTAACACAGATACTGAGCTTTCTCGAGTGTTCCGAGTGTTGCGAGGACCCCGAGAACTTCGTGATGCTCGGCGATACCGCTCTGCTTTTCTTTGACATTTCAGAAGATTACATTGCACACAACCTTTTCGACCGGTGTTTAGATGTCTACAGATCGGCTGTGGAGTCTATCTGTCGGCTGAAAGAAGAAGAGCGGCTAGAGGAAGCCGACAGTGTCGCTTCGCTCTCAATAAGACTGCTGCATGGTCTACATCGCGCATCCACAGCAACACACTTCACTGCTAGTAACGGCTTCTCCGGGCCTGTCATTCGACGTCTCCTCGATTGGCTCGACAGAGATGAAAGACCCTTGCAGATGTGTGCTTGTATCATGCTTGGCAACTACGCGGTAGAAAACCGTATATGCGAGGAGATGGTACAAGCTGGTGTGGACGCGAAAGTGGTCCGCATACTGAGGGAGACAAGGTTGGTCACCGCTAGTGATCCGCTCGAGTAAGTACCGATTACTGAGTGATCATTTAGAGACAGCGACGAAACCCTCCATGCAGCCGCCGGCTTTCTCGGACATTTGGCCATACCGGCCAAAAACAAGGAAAAGCTGGGCTACGGTGGAGTCATCGAAGAAGCATGTTTTCTCCTTTCCTCCCCAGTGCCTCGGCTTCAACGCGACGGAGCATATCTCTTGAGACTGCTGCTCAACCGCTGCCTCCCAAACGTCCACCACGTCGTCGACAAGCGGCCGGCGGGTTCGTTAGAGTCAACCTCCGAAGCAGCACCGCTCTTGGACGATCTTCTTCTGGCCTCCTCCACCATCGGCCCGGCCTCAATCGATGCATCAAGAGCCATATTTCATATCCTCAGAGGGTTGCATCTTCTTGGAGCTGACCACGAGCGGCTCGCCACTCTCTACAAGTCGCAGATCATGATCAGTCCGCTTTTGAACCTACTTCGACAGAAAGAGGATCCAGCGGTACGCTCGGAAGGCCTGCTCGGGCTGGCACTCATGGCGCAAACACAGCCAGGAGCGCTTTGCGCGCTGGAGGCGTTGAAGGACAACGCCAACCTTAACTTGATAATGTTGCGCGAGGACAACCCAAGTCACCATGGTGGAGACAAGGCGAATACGCTCTTCTTAATACATGGGCTGCTCCAGAACGTTGTGGATATGGACTCGGATCTGCGGGGGAAGCTGACGGATATGTTTCAGGATCTTTCGCGCGAGCGCAGCGACGTGTTGTAACGGTATGAACGATCTCTCTGATTGTTCACTGTGATGGTTCGTGGACTTTGGGTATATACCCGATAGGCAACCTTGTCTTGTGTAAGACTTTGCGGATCTCGGCTCACCAGTCTTGATGGCTCTCAGCCGGCATATTATAAGGCAAACTGCCATGGGCATTCGTAGTAATGACAGCACTTGCAACATGCCGCGAACCAGGCTGGTATGTGATGTCGTAATCTCGTTACTCGTCCACACAGATCTACCTCCTGTGTTGCAAGCGACGAAGAAGGAATAACATACATGAATCATGGGTCGGTGGATTGACACCCAATAAAATGGCCGAGCCGACTCGGTGAGCTGGACCACTGGATCATGCAAACAGTCGAGAAATACAGCCACCGCTCTCTAACGAGGTCAGAAGACAAATTACTCGCTATCAGCGGTATCGCTGAGGAGTATGAGAAACTCCTATGTGACGACCAGTATCTCGCTGGTCTATGGAGGTCTGACATCACTCAAGATCTGCTTTGGCACGTATGGGAATCCGGATGTAGGCGTCCTCCAAAGTACCGCGCCCCCTCCTGGTCATGGGCATCGGTGGACGGCCCCGTCAGGTTCGAGCGGATACGTAAAGAGCCTATGCTCAAGGTATGCGCTGCTCAGACCAAATTGGTATTCGACTTTGCCCCTTTTAGAGCTGTCTCTTCCAGATATATCAAGGCCCGAGGGCGTACGAAGCAAGCACAATGGGTAGAAGGGTTACGGCACTTTTGCAAGCTAAAAGATCCTTCCCTAAAATACCATGAGGATCTTGTCATGTTTGTTATTGCGGATACGGTTGATTGTATACCAGGCAGCAACTCAGACGATCCAGCTGTTGTCTGGTGCTTGGAAGTCGGACGTTATCCCCACTGCTCGAGGTACATAGACGAGGGAATACTTCTGGCACCTGTTGACCACGGTCGCTTCCGCCGGATAGGTTGGTTCAGAGCTGAGGTCTCCTCTGGCTCCAATACGTATATCTGTACCAAGCAAGGGAGCGGAGAGTGTTCGAAATAATCTTGGTTCGGTGGATGTGAAGCCCGGACGATTATTATTGTATAGCATTTAGCTCTCGATGGCCAATTCTGTATAAGAAGAGCTTCTTCAGCCTGCGCGGTCAGACTTGCAGACCTACAATGTTTATGTCTTTACGAGCATTGCAGAGACAGCTCATCTACAAGCGAGAGCTCAACACACACAGCAGTGAGTGTTCGCTAGTGGTCACCCACCTAACCACTAATCTACCAATACGAAGCTTGCGTATAGGTAGAATGCCCAGTTTGCTTTGATCCATGGCCGTATGTTTTGGTTTGCTATTTTTGTTCCAAAACATTAGGTATATCCCAGTCTGGTTAACAAAGGTCGCAAAGGGGTCGGGGTGCTGTAAATGGAGCACGGACTTCTCCACCACTCTTCCCACTAGGCCTTGCACTGAGTTCCTGGTGATAAAAACTCTTCTGTTGTTACCTCGAAAGAGGCCGACGGGCTTCGTCACCAAAAAGCCGCGGTAAGACTGGTGGGCGGCCGATGTTGTAACTTTCGCAGGCGGCGCAGGAGCCCTGGCACATTTCGTCTTTGCTTGCCTTGATACTAATTGTGTTGTCACTGCAGACATCTCGAGTCTCGTTTACGAACATTTCGAAGCCAAAAAGTCATCCCGTGCTTGTTAATCGAGCTATACGAGTACATGAGCACGCCAGCCTGATGCTCCAAAAAGCCTCATTGCTCCCAACACTCCAGAGCGCCAGCCAAAGCGATTAACATAACCGCAAACCGAGACTCCCCTTTTCAATCATCTTACTCTTTACAACCTCTCCCTCTGCAGCCCCTTCCACCCCCAACTCTCCGCAATCAGTTCCGCGGCCCTCTCCCCCACCCCTAGAACTGTCAACATCGGATTAATCGTCGTCATCTCCGGGAACACGCCCGCATCCGCAATTCTCACCCCCTTCAGCCCCCTAACCCTAAGCTCCGGATCCACAACCGCCATGCCATCCCTCCTCAAATCCCCCATCTTCGTCGTGCCAGCCGGATGGTAGACCGTATGCGCGACCCTCCTTCCATACTCGCTCAGCTCCTCGTCACTCTGCACCTCTGGGCCGGGCGCGACTTCGCGCTTCAGCCAGTCTGCGAAGGGGGACTGCTGCGCGATGCGACGAGCCGCTCTAAGGCCTGCGACTAGGGTTGCGGCATCGTAGCCTTCGGGGTCTGTAAAGTAGCGGAAGTCGAGCGCGGGTTTAACCGTGGGGGAGGAGGAGGTCAGGTAGATACGGCCGCGGGAGCGGGGCCGCGGGATGTTGGGTGTCATGCAGAAGGCGTCGATGGGGGTGTCGTAGCCGAGTCTGTGCGGGTGTTAGTGAGGGTGGTGGGCGAAGGGAGCGGGTAAGGAAGAGGGGGATAAGAAGGACCGTACCGAGCGGTGTTGAGGCAGAAGGGGATCTGGTAGCAATGCATCATCACATCCGCAATATCTCCATCCTTGCCAGCCGCGTTCGGAGGTTCTCGCCGGAGGAAGATCCCCGCATCCGAGTCCATAGTCGTTTGGTTCAACGGCACCGGCTTGTTCAGCTCCCAGAGAATGATGGTCTCAGGATGGTCGAGCAGGTTTTCGCCAACGCCCGGTATATCTCTCACCACGGGGATTCCAAGGTCTTCAAGCTGCCTCTTCGGGCCCAGCCCGGAGAGCAGCATCAGCCTGGGTGTGTCCACCGCGCCGGCGCAGAGGATGGTTTCGGCCTTCGCGGTCAGCGTCCGCTTTTCGCCGTTCTGCGGTGTTATGTTTACGCCCGTGACACCATCGCCGGAGACGTTGATCTTCGAGACCCAGGCGTTGGTAAGGATAGTAAGATTTTTTCTCTTCTCTTCGCCCCGCAGGATAGGATGGATATACGCCACCGAGGCGCTGCTCCTACGGCCATCATCCGGGTTGTAGGCCACGGAGAAGAACCCAACACCCTGCTTCAGCGCACCCTTCGTCTTAATCTCGTGATTGAAATCATGAATAACGGGAATGTCCATAGCGGTCGAGCAGGACTGTACCCAATCCTTGCAAAGTTGGTTCCTATGCCGGTCATGTACGGGCTGAATCGTGTTGCGCAGGTTGTCCAGTACGCGCATGAAGGTCTTGAAGCTCCACCCCGTGCACCCGGCCGCTTCCCATAACTGACAGTCGTACTCGAACGGCCGGAAGGATATTAACGTATTGTGGCTCGAGCAGCCGCCCAGCACTTTGGCGCGCGAGTGGCGGATGTGCGAGTTGCCCATCGGCTGCTCTGTTGTGGTATAATCGTAGTCGAGCTCGCCGCCGAGGAGGCTGAGCCAGTCCTTGAGGAGAAGGACTCGGTCGTCCATGAAGTCCGAGGGGCCGGCTTCGATCAGGAGCACACGCTTGTTAGGTAGGTACTCGGTGAGGCGGCTGGCGATGACACACCCGGCGGTACCGCCACCTACGATGATGAAGTCGTAGGCATCAGAGTCCGCTGCAGGCAAGTTGACTGTGGTCATGGTGGGCAGAGATGGAGAGTTGAAGCTCGAGAGATGTTGAATGTCCCAAAAGCATCAAATGCAATGATGCGGATACGTGCAGTATTGACGTAAGGAAAGACCGCAGGCGGAGGGGTAAAGAAACAGACAGAGGGGTTCAGACGGAGAGGAATGAAGCTGAACAGAGTTTGAATGATGATAGCGCGAAGTTCAGGAGCTGGTACACTATTTACCCTACCTGCCGCTATCTGGCTAGAGCTGTCGTTACAGAGCAAACTCTGCAACGAGCTCCACTGCCTTTATAGTCCAGTTCTCGCAAAAAGTTCTGCCCCGAGTTGGTAATCCCTCTCGGCAGCGTCGGCGTCGGCTGGCGACGGCCCTACGGTTTCATGCTGCAGGGAGACACGCTAAAAACGCGCTTGAAGACGCCAGAAACGTGTGAAGAACGCCCCGAAACCTGGGCTGAAGATGCCCCTAAGCCTCGAGAGGTGATGGTTTCCTGGGGCCGCTTGGGCGGTCAACGGCAGATCAACGGCTGGCGGGGGGTAGTGACATCTTTTTGAGGTGAAAATGGCAGCGCGATCCCGTCTGCAGGCGTGTGCAGCACCAATCCCCGTAAAACACCAGGCCGAGAGTATTGGATGTGATAAGAGAGTGTCCTGCCGCATACATCGCGGGAAGTCCGATAATCAGATATCATCAAGACCCATTGAGCTGTCTACTGAGGAGATTTCCTAGTGGCAGGGCCCCCCACCATCAGTCGCAAGAGGCTGCTCCAAAGCCTGCTCCGAAGCCTGCTCCATCATCCACCCTCTCAGGCCATAGCTCGCTGAGCCACCAGCTTCCTACACTTTACTAGCAACCATTCAGCCTCCATAATGTCAGACCTCCCATACCCCACCCGCCAGAACTACTGGAACGGCCGCCCACAACCCTCCTCCTCCACGGCCTTCCAAACCATCGACCCCTCCACCGCCAAACCCCTCGCAGACGTCCACACGGCCTCCCACGCCGACATCGACGCTGCGATCGCCTCCGCTGCCTCCGCCTTCCCCTCCTGGTCCACCACTCCTCCCACCCAGCGTGCGCGCATCCTCCTCGCCGCCGTCGCCCTCCTCCGCGCGCGCAACGATGAGCTCGCCCGCGTCGAAACCCACGACACCGGCAAACCCTTCAGCGAGACCAGCACCGTAGATGTAGTCACCGGCACCGACGTGCTGGAGTACTTCGCGCACCTCGTCGCGGGCGGGGGTCTGAACGGCGAAACTACGCAGCTGCGGCCGGACGCATGGGTCTATACGCGCAAGGAGGCGCTGGGCGTGTGCGTGGGCATAGGGGCCTGGAACTACCCCCTCCAGATCGCGCTGTGGAAGGCTGCGCCGTGCCTTGCGGCGGGGAATTGCATGGTCTATAAGCCCAGCGAGGTCACGCCGCTGCATGGGATGTTGCTTGCGCAGGTGTTTAGCGAGGCGGGACTCCCGGATGGGGTGTTCAACATCGTGAATGGGGGTGGGGAGGTCGGCGCGTATTTGACTGCTCATCCCAGCGTGGCAAAGGTCAGTTTTACGGGGCAGGTGGCTACGGGGCAGAAGGTCGCGGCTAGTGCGGCGGGGGGGATGAAGTATGTGACCATGGAGCTTGGGGGCAAGAGTCCGCTGCTGGTTCTTGAGGACTGCGAGGTTGAGAACGCGGTTGATGGGGCCATGATGGCGAATTTCTTCTCGACGGGGCAGGTATGCACGAATGGGACAAGGGTCTTTGTGCCGGAGGGCATGAAGGAGAGGTTTGAGAAGAAGCTACTGGAGAAGATGGAGTATATTCGGGCAGGCGACGTCATGGACCACAATACGAACTTCGGACCTTTAGTAGGCAAGGTGCATTACGAGAAGGTGATGGGCTACATCAAGCACGGTGTGGAAGCCGACAAGGCGAAGCTCCTGTATGGCGGTCCGGAGAAGCCAGTCTTCCCTGACGGCACGGCCGAGGCGCTCAAACAGGGCTTCTGGGTGAGGCCGACCATCTTCACAGACTGCACGGACGACATGCGAATAGTACGGGAGGAGATCTTCGGGCCCGTCATGACCATCCTGACCTACAAGACCGTGGAGGAAGCGATAGAGAGAGCAAACGATACAAGCTTAGGGCTTGCGGCAGGCATATTCACACGAGATCTCAACCTGGCCCATACGGTGGTTGCACAGCTACAGGCGGGTATCACGTGGATTAACAGCTGGGGCGAGAGCCCGGCAGAGATGAGTGTTGGTGGCTGGAAGCAGAGCGGTGTCGGGGTTGAAAACGGCAGGAGAGGGATCGAGGCGTGGGTGAGGAACAAAAGCACACTGGTGGATATGAGCGGGAGTGTTGCGAGCGTGTTTTCAAAGCTGTAAGGCAGAATCGTCAAGAGTATTGGGTCAACGCTCGAACTTTCAACAGGTACGAACCATCCCGCGTCGTCTTATAATCCGTACCGGGTGCCAATCGAGATATCAACTCAGGACTGCAAGATACGTAAGCGATTTCGAAGCTCCCAACGAGTATAAGATCTATTGGTCGAGGAAGGAAAATTTACGACCGGATCTCAGCCGTTGCATGCAGAAAAGCAAGGTAATATGGGCTTTCAAGCCGCTTCTCAGCCAGCCGCTCCTCAGACGCAAACATCTCCTCAGGCGCAAACCGCTCACTTGGGTTGCATGCTTCCGTTGATGGATTAGCCTAAATGGCAGGATCCCAACCATGCCCGCACCGGCTGACATGAGATTCGATCCGTCGTGAGTAGGCGGGAGGTTCCAGCAGCTGTAACCGCTCGTCCTCTGATATCATCCAAAGTGAATGTCACTTTCACTCAATGGCCTGTGCACAACAATCCGACCGTGAACGCGGCAGCGAATAATCCTACCTGTCTGCTGAGTGAATCAACTCACCGGCATGGAAGGAAATTGGTTCAGAGGACGTAATCACTGCAAACCTATATGGACAGCAGACTGAGTGAGTTTAACGGCACCGCCATTTCCTTTGTAGTAGCACATCCGTCAATATGCTGGAGGCTCTTCGGCGCAACTTCACTAAAATATCTAGATAGTCAAGAGGTCTCTGCAATGTCTTGTGTCGAGCACTCGCGCTCTCCCTCTTCACGCTTGTTTACCTCAAAACTTTTAGCGTGCCTATGTATCTGTCTCAGGTGATCTGCGCCAGTAGCACGAAGCCCTCCACGGTCAAGAATCTTGCTTCCGGTACAGCGGTCATAGTATCGCGCAGAGATTTGCATCTGCCCTTCAGGATCGGAATGTGAAGCGCAGTATTGTCGTGTCTTTGGTCTGCTTCGCTACATCACTGCTTTGATGGCTGTCGGGAGAGTCATGGCGGAATGGATGTGCTGCGAAGACCGGCCTTGGCTGTCACTGTGAAGAGCGGGGACTGTGATTGGGCGTGAGACCTTCTCTCTGATACTTCATAGCACAATCCGTTGAACTATTAGAGTCTCATTCTCAAGCCTCTTGATAATATACCAGATGAGCCAGCCGCCAAAGCAGCCTGTTATAACCATGCTCTTCCACATATCCGAGAACCCTCCCCCCAAAAAGACGAACAGACCTGATTTGCCAGATACCCAGCTCCCAGCCCTCCCCTCAAAACACCGCAATAGCTCCCGGCGGACTCCCCACACCCCCCTTAACATGCAACGGCGCGCTCGTCAAAAAGAAGCTCCACCGCCCATTCTTCTCACAGATTTTACTCAGCTCTTCCAGATCCCACATCTCGCCAATCGGCGTGCCCCACTGCACCAGCAGCCATTCGTGCAGGCACCACCCGGCCTCCATTGGCGGGGGCCATGCCTCGAAGGCCACGGTATCACCGGCCACGGCGGCGAAGTGCCTGTCGTAGAGCCAGCGGACGGTCTCCTCGCTATTTTGGACGCCGATGGCAACGCTGTTGTCTTGGGTGCCGCGTTTGCGGTCTTCGGGGGAGGCGAAGCTGGATTGGGGGTGTTAGCAAGCCGATTTCAAGCTCAGATTATGTTTGTTGATGTTGGGTGACGGAGGGGTAGCTGAGGATGCGAGCATACTTGTGCCAGCGCACGTAGCCACTGCGGACTAGAAGGATGTCGCCTGGTCGCGTCGTTGTGCCTTGCCACTTGAGCGTCTCCTCGAGCTCCTTGGCTGGTATCTCATGTCGGGATACCGGCGATGGGGGCTCTTTGCCGTTCTTCTGCTCGTACCACCGGAGCTGTGTTTTCACTATCAGCGAGCGTCTTTCGAAGGCACTCAACACTGCATTGGCCCATAGTGATAGAACAAGGGGTGATTACCCAGTCAACGAGCACACCACGCCCAACGATACCGCCTCGCTCGCACCAATCTGCGCTGTTGTTAGCTTCGAGGTGATTATCCACGCTGAATTCGGCAAGCACATACTGTGGATGCCGTTGGTGACGGACTTGGTTGCCTCCTGATGCGATAGGCCATTGTAGTACATGCCCGTCTTCTGGTGAGCGAACTGCAAACCTGGTGTTAGCAGCAGTCGCAACTCCAGTCTTACATTCCCATGTCACGCACATGCTTCAAGCTGTCCCACTGCGAGCCGCTCTGCGTATTGATATAGACCTCATCATCCAGCGCACTGAACCCCAGGGGTGCCAGGTCCACGACCTTCTGCTCGAACGGCTTGCGGCCGAAGCCCGGGAACTGGACGTTCTCAAGACACCAGTCCAGCTGGACGTGCTCGCCCGTGGTGATCTCACGGCTGGCTTCTCGGACGACGTCTTTAGTCAGGAGGTTGAGAGCTGGATATAGGAGTCAGCGCTGAGTGCTGGCGGGCGAGATAGGGTAACGGAAGGGGGAAGGAGGAGACTGACTCCCAACCTCATCTTTCTTGCCCTCCGTGTCGAAGAGACCCCAGATGCATCCCTGCGGTTGCCCTTCGACCTTTGGCAGGTCGTCGAATGCTGGGAATACTTGGGATGAGCCGCCGGTGAGCGTAGATGCTAAAGCGGACAGCCGATTCTGCGCGGTTTTCAGGGCGTTTGACATCTTGACCTGCGAGATTGGTACAGCGGGCTGTAGAGGCTGGAGCTGTATGCGGTTGAGCGACACATCGTGAAGCTGTCCTGGCGGAGTTAAGAAATGCAATGGCTTGACCGAGGTCAACCCCTCCTGATGCGGTATCCGGCGGGCCTCTGGTGGTGGCGCTAGCTCCTGGCACTCCACGATCGATCCACCGAATGATACGACAGCATTGAAGCCATCGCTGGAGGTTGTGCGCCTTCCGATGACCAGAGTTGTGGTTCAAAACGCCAAAACGTGGGGTAGCTCGGTGCTGACTGAATGGCTTTGGCTGCCCCGCGATGGAATTAGAAATGCATTTATATCCAGTAACAACAGATGTTAAACTGCTTCTGAATGACCTGATATATATCGAAGCCACTGAATGTTACTATTGAGAATCTACAAGACATTAAATCGGAGTTAGAATTACTCGACAAACGCGCAATGTCTATACAACAAGTCCAGTCACGCGGCATATATCATGGCCTGCCAGTGTTTCCAGACGACATAGAAGGCCTCACAGCAATAATCACGGGCGCCAACGGCATCTCTGGCCAACACATGCTGCGTGTCCTCGCGCAATCTCCGGAGCGCTGGTCAAAGATATACTGCCTTTCTCGCCGGCCGCCAGCAATACCGGGTGGTTTGCCATCAAACGCCAAACACATCCCATTGGACTTCCTAAAAGAGCCCCAAGAGATTGCCGACGTTCTGAAAAAAGAAGACGTCAAGGCTGACTATGTCTTCTTCTACTCTTACATCCAAGTCGAGCCGAAGGAAGGCCAGGGGTTGTGGTCGAATGCGGAGGAGATGTGCGAAGTAAACACCAAGCTGCTCCGTAACTTCCTCGAAGCGCTGCCGTTGGCGTCGGTCAAGCCTCGCCGCATCATGCTGCAGACGGGCGCGAAGCACTACGGCTTGCATCTAGGCCCTACGTCAGTGCCACAGGAAGAGACTGACCCGCGAGTCCTCATTGAGCCGAACTTCTATTATCCCCAAGAGGACCTCCTATTCGACTACTGCAAGCAGCACGGCATCGGCTGGAATGTTGCACGGCCGTCGTTCATCCTCGGCGCAGTTCCAGACGCTGCCATGAATGTCTGCTATCCGCTCGCTGTGTACGCATCGGTGTGCAAACACATGGGTCAACCCCTGGATTTCCCATATGATCTGCATTCCTGGGAGACACCGCAGGATCAGAGTAGTGCGATGATGAACGGTTACCTCGAAGAGTGGGCCGTCCTGACTGATGCCGCCGAGAATGAAGCCTTCAATGCTTGCGATGTCAGCGCGTTCACTTGGGGGAAGTTCTGGCAGAAGATGGCGGGTTGGTATGGCATCGAGTATAAGAGACCGGATCCTGATGCCGAGTACCGCGAGTTCACGGTACCGAGGAAAGAGACACCTCGAGGGTGAGCACAATCCTAAGGCAGCATGGAGGTACGTATAAGCCTGCTAACAGCTTTTCAGCTTCGGACCGCAGTCCACCGTCCGCAGCACATTCTCCTTCGTCGAATGGGCGAACCGCCCGGAGGTGCAAAAAGCATGGACCGAACTGGCCGAGGAGCATGACCTCGTCGAGAAGAAGTTCAGAGACATTGAGCGCATCTTCTCGTTCACAGACGCGGCCGTCTCAAATGGAATCATGATGAATTTTAGGTAAATTTCGTGTTCCTTGAATACTCGAGCATCCAAGTGCTGATATCTCCTGCAGCATGGACAAAGCCCATAGACTTGGGTTCCACGGTTCGGTTAGCTCTTCGCAGTGTATCCTGGAGGTGTTCAATGACTTCGCGAAGCTGAAAATGATCCCGCCGGTACCCATGGTGGATGTTAGATTTGTTTAGGATCAATGCTAGAGCCTCTCTAGGTATGTTATTCTATACGGACTTACAAGATGACGAAAAGGACTGTCATGAAGAAGGGTGCTGCTGGAGTACAAAGCGGGTCGCCGATGCGGCCTTCATAGGAGCACTTCTTTGGAGATCAACGGGCACAAACCTCTCGTAACAGACCTCGAAAGACCAAAGGCCTCCCTTTCATCCCTTCGAGTATCCTATTGTCAAGTGACTTGTTCACTGTGATACGTGACTTGCCACTGGAGGCTGCACAAGGCCTGCCCGCAATGAGGAAGGCGGCATCCCGCTGCTACATTCTTGTACTTGGAATATCTAATTCTGACCGGGCCGTACCTACTTCTTCCTTTCATATGTTGGTGGTGATTTTGGTCGAAAGAAGCTTGAATATGCTTCATGTTGAAATGGCATGGAGATGGAGATGGCGCTTTACCGTGATCGGACTTGCCTCTTGGCGGCCTAGGAACCCCGTACTTGGGTTAATTCCCATATCTGTTCGCACTCTTCAACCGTCACGCTTGTTCACCGTTACTGGGGCTCACACTGAGTTCACAAGGCTTCGTGGTCATGCAATATTTTGGCGCGTTCTGATCACGCGCTTTGTCACCTTACGCCTGTCCACCAGTGGAGCCTTGTGCTCGATCGTTCCCGCACCGTGGATAGCTTCTGACAACCTTGGACACCTTAGCAGAGCCCTCGGTCACTCACAGACGCCAAAGATTAAACGAAGTTTGCAGGCTCGTATCGGGGTGCCTTCATAGCCTTTGGAAACTGGCCTCCTTAATCGCTTCAATATCCGCTTTCACCGACTCTTCAACAGCCGGGGGTCTTCGCACCTCGACCCCACAGCTCTCTCACGATGCCATGCTTCCACGGCTTAGCCGTCAGCATCCACACGCCTGACGGCCCTTTGCCCGAGTACTCTATCCAGAAACAGTCAAAATTCCACCGTATCACCTCCTACATACCCGTCCCTCCGGCAAAGGTCCCAGAGCGTTCGACCACCAACAAGCCCGAGCAGTCGACTTTTGCTATCTCCATCACCCTTCTGACACCGGGCCAGAACGTCCCATATTCCACGCCGAAACCGACTCCTGAAGACCCCTACCCACGCCCGAAAATTGTCGGCGGACTTCCAGGATACGGGGGAGAGCGAGGGAAGTACGGACCAGTCATCGGACCCTACATACCTCTGACACAGTCATCGAACGAGACGATCGCGGCATACATATATTTCGATGGGCGGGCGAAAGAGGAAGTGGCTACACTACTCCGACGTGGGGAAGAGACTTGGGTGAACTCGCGATGGGTCAGTGTACCCGAATCGGAAGGCGGCGGGCTCGCGGAGAGAGAGTTCTTATTCCGGGAAGTTGGGCTAGAGCGCTGGTTAAACGGCTTGGATCTTGAGGGCAAGGATAAAGACATAGCTGCCAGGATCGAGCGGCGGCGGCAGCGGCTGGACAGGAAGAGGCGGCAGAAGAAAGAAGCGAAAGGAAGCGACGAGGATAATGATAGCGACGTGGGTGGTCGTAGGGGTAAGCCGCTCGACCGAAACGGGGTGTTGCGGTATGGTGAAGACAAGGCTGCGCCTGTGGAGAGCCTCTCAGGAGACGAAGGATTGTTCACATCAGACTCGGATTCGGGTGATGAGCCCCCGATGCCCGAGGCTGCCGGTCAGATCAAAGTCGCGCTATACCGCGTGCTTGCCTCCGGCGAGATTAAGAAAGGAGAATATTCGCCGCAATTCGACGCACATGATGACGACGAGAATTCAGCGCGAGATGGGGACGGAGGCAACGGAGACGCAGACATCGACCACACCACGAGCTTCGCTAAGCCGAAGACTCTTGATCCCAAATCTATCAGCACACAGACGGTTACAGGCATAGACCCTCCAAATAAGCCATACGCTGTTTTCACTTTCCTGTACAGAGGCGAACGTAAGATCACAATCCGACCCTAGACTAGCGCTTGGAGAGCTGACAGTAAACAGGACAACTAAGAAAGATGGGCATCCTTCAAATTCCAGCCACAGAGCAGAAGACCCCCGCATCCGCAAAGCGAAAATCCGTAGGCCTAGACTTTAGCAGCATCAAACCATTGAATTCTAGCGGTACGAAGAACTTCGCCGGCTACCGAGAGCCCTCAGGGACAAAAGCCAAGCCTAGCAAGAAGAACGGCGACGGCATGATGGACAGCGACATCGAGGATGATGACGAGCAAATTATCGAAGATGCAGATGATGTCGACATCAAGACGGAAGACAAGGGGCTGTTGTCGCCAGAAGACGCTATGCGGCAAGGCGAGATTGCCGAAGGGGTGCGGAAGATGAAGGTATGATCATATCGAATCGAATGCAATATCTGGCGACAAGCTGACTACTCCTTTCAACAGCTCAAACGCCAGCACTCAGCCGAGCCACTTAATGCCGCATCTCCAACGCCTAAGAAAGCCTCATCATCGAACAGTCCAACTGCAACCGGCTCAGGTACACCTCTGTCCGCAAGCCCGAACCCCGCTACCCTCACAACCTCAACGTCAGCGCTCGTAGATGTACCCGGCCCGCTAAGCACAAAGCTGGACCTTCCACCCGATGGCATCGTCGCCAGCCCCTTCAAGAAGCAGCGAGCGAGTCTGCCAGGCTTTGACGAGAGCGTCAGAAAGAGTCTTGCGGAATCACTCGCCGCAAGCGCTGTACAAGAAGAACCGAGCCAAGTGGTCAAGGCGGAGATGGATGAGGACGAGGAGTTGTGACTTTTGCACGTGCAGCGATGTCTTGGCTGATAGCGTAATCAGGGCAGTCGTTGGACGCTCCTGGTATCGCGGTTCTACGCCTATGTGGCCGGAGCACGACTGATGGCGCGGTGGTTGGAAGCTGCTGTGCAGCACGCGCCAGGCGGAAAATCCGCGCACAGAGGTCTGTGCGAGGTTCGCTCTCACCAGCACGGAGGACACGTAGCCTATAGGGAGCACTTCTTTGCGAACATCAACCGGCAGGTCGTCAAGCTCTGCTGTTGGCATCAGTACCTGTACCACTAACATACTTACCCGGCGTCATCAGAGCTTTGGATAGCAAGGGGGAGGCGGAAAGCAGCCGTTTTGGCATGTATGGTGTGTGTTAGTTGTCTTGACGGGCTACTAGACAGCCCGATTGCAAATATACACGTTTTCGTTGCGAGTGTTACTTATTCATGCCCAGTTACGTTGGGCGAATGGGTTTCGGCAGCTTCAAGCCTATACCTCAATGCTCATACTAGCTCACATCTGCCTCTTCAGTTCCGTTAGTGTGTGACTTCAATGAATCTCGCAGCAATCGCCTTGGAATCTTTACTCGCCGCTCCATAGAAGCAGCACGTGAAGTGGGTTTACGCGCTGGAAGATCAGCCTTAAAGTATCCAGGAATGCAACTCATGCGTACACAAATAGCTCTCGTAAGACCCTAGGGACGAGTGTCAAGGAAGGCGCTGCAGAGGTGAATGAGTTATATGCTGCCAATATAAGCAAACCAAGATAGGGATGCAAAATCGGGTATCAGTATCATACACCACGCACTTTACAGACACTTCATAAGGTTTAGAGTCCCAGCTCCCTGTAAACAAACTCGACGCCCGGCACGCTCAATACCACATCCCACCCAGCAGCGGCCGGTGGGAGACCGGATCACGCAGTCCGTGCTGGTAGTCAAATGCTTTGAGCAACCCCACCAGATGCGCGAACGCAGCCAGTACCACCAACACATGGAAGATCTGGTGCGAGCTGCCCCAGATATCGAAGCGGCCCGGCCGCAGCCGCTCCGGAATACGGGCCTGTTGAGCATCAGCCTCCCTACAATCCTCCCGGCTGTGCGCATGTGGAGCAGTAGACTCACAGCATAAATGGCCGCGCCGGCAATATACAGCGCCCCTTGCAAGACCAGCCACGAAAGGCCGATCGAGAGGTTGAACTGGCGCAGGCCGTAAAGCCTTGACCCGTGCAGGACAGGAATAATGGCCGAGAGGCCCATCGCTACAAACAGCCCTGCGCGCAGCGGCCGCCATTCAGAGGTGCGGAATCTGGGCGACACACAGACTATGCCGCAGCCTGCGCCTATGCTCGTGATCTACTCTCGTCAGCCCCTCTTGTGGCTCGTATGTTAGTGGAGGCGGTACATGAACAGTACGCACCATAGTCCAGTAGCCGCCAATGAACTGCGGATCCGCCTGAAACCCGTAGTAGATGCTCGGGATAAAACTACCCCAGATCAAGAAAACGATGCCGAGGTAGTCGAGCTTGTTGCCAAAGCTCTGCACAATCTCTGAATGGTTTGATATCGTGTGGTACGTCGCCGAGATGCCTAGACATGCGGCGGCGCCGAAGAAGAAGCAGCTGAAGACTAGCACGTCGTCTTTGCCTGCGAGCGAGTAGCGGGGCTGCAGCTGGTGGTAGAGCGGGAAAATGCTCGCGATGGCGAGAAGAGCGCCGATGAGATGCGTGTAGATGTTTACGGTCTCGTTGTGCAGGTAGCCGAGACTGGAGGCGGATTTGAGGTAGGAGTTTGAGGCTGGTCGGTAGCCGCTGTGGATGTGTTGGTTGTCTTGCTGCCAGGGGGCGATTTCGTGCCAGAGTAGCGTCAATCTCTTCTCTGTTTTCTTTTCCAAGGTTGAAGTTTCCGCTACGGCCCCCTTGGTGACGTTCTTGGCGGTCTCCATCTTGTTATAGCTAGTATGGAAAGGCTCTTGACAAACGACCAAAACAGACTCGGAGGACTTAATCTTGAAAGGGTAGACGGTGGTCCCTTTACAACGCTAGAGAATGCTTCTCAGATCTCCTTCAAAGAGAGGAGGAGGTTGAAAGTCTTAGACGTTCAGAGATTTACCGTCTGAGTTGGTGGCGGTGCAAGACGAATGTATTTATATACACATCACTACAACTTCAGCCATTGCAATTGACTGACATTCGACTGCCCATCACTGCATCAGGAGATTCAATGCCTTTTGATGGGCGTTGGGGCACTTGTGAAGACCCCGGATGCCTCCCCGAAGCCAATGCGGTGGTGGTTCCTGCATGACGTTGGAGCTTCCTGCCTCGGCTTGCCGATTGTTGACATCCGTGACCTCGACGCTCTCGCTATCCAGCATTGAAGCTTCAGCACCAGCGGCCAGCTCCACATGTAATGCCACAATGCCCGGCCCCTCCGAGGCACCGCTCAGCCTAATATCTTCCCAAATGATGGCCGCCCAACAGCGCCCCAGCAGCCGCCGCGCCGCATCCGCAACCTGGGACCGTCTCAAATCCCGCCCTTCCGACCCGCTGGAGCAATACGGGCTGCCCTCCAAAGGCGAGACGCGACTGAACGACTTCAAGGCGCAGGAGAACTACTACAACAAGATCGTGGAGCGTTACATGAAGTTCTGCGCCTCATGCGGCGGCGGCGACGGGCTGGAGAAGGCCTTTGCTTCGCTCTCACTGTCCTCCACTCCAACCCCTTCGCCGAACCCAGCGCCGCCGCAGTCGAAGAGGTCCGGCGCACCTACTCTGGGGCCTCGTAAGGCTAGCTCCGCGCAGCAGACCACCCCGCCAACCCCGCAAGCCGACCTCCCCACCATCCTATCCGCGATGCGCAAGCTGCGCGAAGCGCTGGTCGCCTCGCACCGCCTCGACGTCTTCGCGCAGCGCGCTTACACCTTCATAATCCACGCCTCGATCCTGTGCCGCCATTTCGAGTCATACCACCCCGCGCTGCTGTACCTGCTGCACGTGCTCCACCCCGTGGTTCCGCTATCCGAGCCCGAGCTGCACGAGTTTGTCGGATACCATGTGCTTGATCTCGCGTGTCGGCAAGCGGACCTGGGGGCCGCGTATGCGGTGAAAGTCGCGTATGGGCATCGGGATCCGGCGGGACGGGTCGAGGTGGTGCTGAAGAGTCTGGTGCATGATGATTATGTGGGGTTTTGGCGGGTGAGGAGGGCGGTGGATGGGTATCAGAAGGCGGTGATGGAGTGGGCGGAGGAGGGCATGAGATTGCATGCGTTGAAATGTTTGGGAAGGAGCTATCTGAATGCGGAGAGACAATTCGTTGAGAAGATGGCGGAAGCCACGTGGAAGGAGTTGGTGGATAAGGGGGTAGGGTGGGAGCTTACTGGAGAGGGCGAGAAAGTCATTATGCGGAGGCCGAAGCCGAAGTGAAGGGTAGCAAGTGGAGGGACTCTTTTTACAACGAACAATTGCAGCCACTCCGGAAAAGAAAGGTCGCATTTAGACGTACTCTGGAGGGCGGAGGACTGCCGGTGTGGCGAGAAATGGTGAGGAGTGGGTGTCCGCGCTTCGAATATCTCAGCGTATACAGCAAGGGAAACCAAGGCTGACGTGACGAGCAGAACAAGTAGAAGATATGAGGGTACAACCTTACTTGATGGTTTGGATGATGGAGCCTGTATTGCAATACTAGGGATATTAGGAGACCTGCCTGTGGCGCCTTGCCCATATCCGCGTAGTTAGCAGGTCCTTTAGTAGGTCTGTAGCATACAAGCTTAGCGCTCGGTCCATCCGGCATTTTTTGGCCTCTACTGGTCTCCGAGACTGCTCGTGGGTCAAAAATTCAATCGACTGGACGATCCTTGGCAGTGGAGGGCCGGCCCCATTCTAGCCTTGCGAATATTCAACCCTCGTCGTCCTCGTCGTCCATATCCTCGTCCCCATCCTGGTCCCCACCCGCGTCTTCCGCATCCTCCAAGCCCTCACTATCCCACTCATCGTCGTCCATGTCATAGTCCTCATCCTCCTCATCTTCTCCATCCACCCCACCATCCTGCTTCCTCTCCTTCCTCTTCTTCTCCACATTCTCCTTTTGCACTCTTCTCCTCTCCTCCTTCTCTTTTCTCCTGGCATCCCACACCCTATCCATCTCCTTGACCTCCTCCCTCCCCTTCTGGATATACTCATGCCACATGACCTTCCCTCCACAAACCCCCTCCTCCACCTTCGTCAGCCTGAGCCTCATCCTCGGCCCCAGCTCCACCAACTTCACCGCCCTCTTCTCCACGTGACTCCGACCGGGGCGTCCTCCGCCGCCACCGCCTTCACCGTTCTCCGTACGCGAGGCTGCGCGCACCCGGTCTCGCTTACCCAGCACCTTCCGCGCGCTCGACGCCAGCACCTCGACTTCAGCATCCGTCTCGACCTCGCTCTCGCTCGCGCTGGTATAGCCGCCTGCGGAGGGGTCGAGCAGGTAGTCAGCCACATCGTCCAGTTTTCCCAGGTTCGGCAGGCCGCCTTTTCGCTTTCTGGCATCAGAGGTGGAGGTTGTTGCATGACCTATCCTGGACGCGGCGTTCAGGCGGCGGATCGCGCGCGGGAGGTCCTTGGTCGAGGTTCTGGTCGTGATGGCGTAGTGCCGGAGGTTGAGGACGTAAGCGCCGCTTGCGTCGGATGAAGGTTCGCGGTTCAGGAGTAGGACGCGGCGGATGGAGGTTAGGGGCATGGTTTGTGGGGATATGGGCGGGAAGAGGGATTGGAAGACTGTGGTGCAGAGGTTCTCGAGGTGTTTGGGGACCGCGGGTGCTGGACCGGTGAAAGCGGAGTCTGTGGAAGTGGGGGCGGGAGTGTTGAAGTTGTTCATGACGAGGAGGGGCGCGGTTTGGTATTCGTAGCCGCCGGTCTTGGGGTGCTTTTGTGATTTCGCAATGTCTTTGCAGAGCGAGTATTTCTCGACGCGGAAATGCAGAGTCGGCCCGCGAGGCGTGATCGCTAGCCGTAGGTTCGTGTTGCCGGAGGTGGAGCGCGAGAAGAGGAGGAGGTGGGTTACGCCTAGAGGTCCGGCCATAGTGGTGTAGTCGCGCAGCTTGTTGGATCTTCGCTCCTAGAGAGGAGATGTCAGCATCTGATCTGATATAACTTTGCATACTCAATCTGTACCTTCAGCCGCGCAGCTGTACCAGGCTCCATAACTTGTCGCACGTCTTTCACCAACTGGCTGACGCTGGGTCCCACCTCTCCAGCACCAATGCGAATGACCATGCTCTTGGGTGATCGGTCCATGTTCTTCGTGTTCGCTGCTCCATTGGGAGCACCGGCGCGTGCTCCAGCGTGCGTGCGCTTCTTGACTCGTCGTTTAGCCATCGTCGTGATATATCAGGTCGTCGTTCTACTGTAGTCGTCGGCAGCTTCTGGATATTTTTCGTGATTTTGCGGTATTGCGGAGATGTGATCTTATCTTATCCATCTCCGCAGCTTTTCTCTCAACCCTACGAGATTTCAAACTCCACTATTGAGTTAACCTGGCGAAGCAGCAACTTAGATATACAGCGCATATCACGACAATGCCGGAAATGTCTGCGCCAAAGAGGAGGAAGATCAACGAGAGTCACACACCAGTAAAGGTTAAGAGCAACGACCGCGCCTCGAAAATCGTCAAGCCTAAGCCATCCAACGCCGCCGTCCCCACACCGAAAGCCTCAACCAAGCCTGAGAAGCCCGCAGTTGAAGATGAAGACGGAGAAGAAGACGCCGTCGAAGATGAAGATATCTCGGAGCATAATGCACAATCGGCGATAGATGCGCGCAAATCATTTCAAGAGCTAGGCGTAGTGCCAGAGCTTTGCGACATGTGCCGCGAACAAGGCTATACGCACCCCACACCCATACAAGCAGAATCAATACCAGTCGCCTTAGAAGGGAGGGATATCATCGGCCTGGCAGAGACAGGGTCGGGGAAGACCTGTGCTTTCGCGCTACCTGTTCTCCAAGGTATGCAGAATTAGTTTTTTTTTATATGTCTGGGGCTCTATGCTGAGATATGTCGCAGCACTCTTGAACGAGCCGCCAAAACAACAAGCTTATTTCGGACTGGTCCTTGCCCCGACACGCGAACTGGCTTTCCAGATCTCTCAGCAGTTCAAGGCGCTTGGTGCGCTTATTCAAGTTGAAGTCGCCACCATAGTCGGGGGTATGGATATGACTGCTCAGGCCATTGCGCTGGCAAAGCGGCCGCATGTGATCGTCGCCACGCCGGGACGGTTGCTCGACCATCTAGAAAACACAAAGGGGTTCTCCTTGAGGAATCTGCGATATCTGGTCATGGACGAGGCGGACAGGTAGAAACAAACATCAGCTCAGAGACACTTAAAACGCTAACTCTATGGCAGAATCCTTGATCTCGACTTTGGCCCTGTAATGGATAAGATGTGAATACTCCTTCCAGCTCCCTCCTGCAGCCAGCTGACTCTTCCAGTCTCAAGGTTCTTCCCCGCGAGAACCGCCACACCTACCTCTTCTCCGCAACCATGAGCTCCAAACTCGACTCTCTAACGCGCGCCTCCCTGCACAACCCCGTCAAGATTTCCATCAGCACCTCTTCCCATCAAACCGTCTCGACTCTCCTTCAATCTTTCATCTTCATACCCCACAAGCACAAGGACCTCTATCTTGTACACCTCCTCAACGACTTCTCCGGCCACCCTTGTATCGTCTTTACGCGCACTGTGAATGAGACGCAGCGGCTAGCTTTTCTCTTGCGGAATCTAGGCTTCGGTAAGTTACTGTTTTGGTGCGGGCGAAAATGCCTTCCAAACTGATTCGGTGACGCAGGCGCCATCCCGATCCACGGCCAGCTCAGCCAGAATGCACGGCTGGCTGCCTTGGGCAAATTCAAGGACCGCTCGAGAAATGTACTCATCGCTACGGACGTTGCGGCGAGAGGGCTGGATATTCATAACGTGGACTTGGTGGTGAACTATGACTTGCCTTCGTAAGTTTCCAATCAGCCTAGTGGATTAGGGGTTTGTTACTGACATGGTGTACAGAGACAGCAAAACCTACGTCCATAGAGTCGGCCGAACAGCCAGAGCAGGCAAGTCCGGCAAGGCCGTTTCGCTGGTTACGCAGTACGATGTTGAGATATGGATGTACGGCCCCTATCATCTCTTTCTTGTCCTCTTTGTTCACGAATAGTCCACTGACCTTCACGCGCAGGCGAATTGAAAACGCCCTAGGCAAGAAGCTGGAGGAATACCAGGTCGTCAAGGACGAGGTTATGGTCTTGAGTGAGAGCGTCGGAGAGGCGCAGCGGAGAGCAATCAGGGAGCTGAAGGATATGCAAGAGAATGGGATGGGTAGACACAGGAGTAGAAAGGGGCCGGTGGGGAAGAAAGGGAAGAGAGGGAGGGACGAGATGGATGCGGAAGAGGGATGAAGAGTTGGAAGATGACGATATGATGTATGATCCTCATCAATATGACTGAAAGGATGCGGCATGACTTGCTCGTATCTTCCAGGAGCAGGTCTTGATTCCTTGCGAATGGCTCACTTAACTATTGCGCGCGCAGCATGAGAAGAATGCAATGGAAAGAGTTAGCTACCAACGTGCTACGCAAAGTACTCGTGGCGTACCTCAGTACCTACACTGATAGATTGATCAAAGCGTGCCGTGATAGCAATGTGCGAACCTTTTCAACATCAGTCGTTCTACGGAGGAGGGACGGAGTGCTGCCTAATCCGGAAAAAGACCAAAGGCCGCAGAACAGCGATGTGAAAACATCCACTCCCAAGCAGCTTCCGACGGGCCAGCAACCTCCAAGCACCTAGCGAGGGCCAGAGGGTCAAGATTTGAGCGAGTGGCAAGGACGAGGCCAGAGGTGGGTATAATCCGGCGAGCGAGGAAATGTGGTGGTTGTGGCACATGGATGCCCTTGTGCACTTGGCGGAGGCCGTCCTTCGCGAGGTAGGAGGGACGTGATGAACAGCGTTGAACTTCCGGAGTATCTGAGCGGAGCAAAGGCACCAGCTGCGGGCTTCGTTAGCATGCTGGGTCGTATCAGGATGCGGGCGGCCACAACCTAAATGCCTCCGTCCGTTTGGCACAAGTCGTTCGCGCGCCAGTGGAACGAAGCAGGCCCGCGGTGGTGTACCTAGGTACTGCCGGAGGGTCAGAGTTGTCCATCCAGGTCACAATGTGGAAGCATGGACTTGGACAGTCGTTCTACGCACGTTGTTCGACTTCCGAATATGGCATATCCGGTAGTTGCGTAGAACGTCGCTCTTGCTACATAACATGTTAGGTTGCAGTTACATAACAGAGACGGTGACCAGGGCAATCACGGTGAGCGTGGGTGTCCAAGCAGGCACCAGCACAATGGAAGAGAATAGCGATGAATCAGAAAATGAGCCTGGCTTAGCTTCGCATCTTTGGTGAAGGCTTCTGGAGGTGATGAAGATTACCCCTTCGTATTTCTTGCAAGGCTTTCCTACTCAGGGCTGTGCAGAAGCTCCCAAGTAGAACCAGATGATTCCCCAACCACGTAACTTCGAGCCCGAGAAGCGCTGGTGCGGGACGTGAAGATAGTGCTCTCTTCAAGAAGGGATGTGCACCCGTCTTACCGATCGAGAAAGGAGTGCCTGTCGTTGTCAGTCCTTCACATCTCGCTTTCGTTCCTCGACCAAAAGAAGGACTAGCTGTTTCGCTCCGGTCACTGTGAGCTTGGTATCCTCCTCAACCCATAAGTCGGGCAACCGATCTGACTGCGGTGGTCAATTCCGCCGTGACGCCTGGGAACCGTGGACGGCCACGTGGTGTCTGTTCCTTCGGGCCTCGTATGGTTTCTGTCAGGTGTTTCGAACAAAGAAAGTTCTGTACCGGCTTTCAGGCGAATTTGCGTCTTGCGAGTATAATGTACTGAGTGAGATTTCATGGAGCAGAGAACGTCAACGACTTGATGGAGAGCAAGAAGACCTCGCAGACTGCGGTATCTAGAGGAAGCCGACGAAAAGCTCCATGGACACTCGGCCAAGCTGGAAGCGGCTATTACTACCTTTACCTTAACAATCCACGGCCCCAACGACTTGCAGAAATAGTGGACGGATGCGGTCTAATACCGGTATCAGCCATCCCTTAGACCCTAAAATCCGACATCTGTGATGCAACGACTACATGCTGCGCCATGAGTGGCTCTACAAAAGAAGAAGACAACTCATTAGGAGCCACTGGTCCCATTTTGTCGATATTGAAGCCTGCGCTGGTCGTCCAGCAGATCGGATTCTTTAGCACTGGCTTGCGCCGGCTCGGAGGTTTCGTCGCCATGACCACACCAATAGAGCCGAGCCTTCCAGCTGAGTCCGTTTCGCCAGTAGAACTCGCTAGCTCCTCATGATGCAACTTCCTTACTCCCGACTTGCTTTTAGAGTGGTAAGGTCAGCTCGAATGGACTGCCGATCAAGGACAACGGCGGTATTCGGCAGCCGGCAGGCCATTTGAAGGTTAAACACGGCTGCTACGACTACAGCCCGTTGCAGGACCGCATCACAACTTGAAATCAACTGCAGCTTTCTCCCACACGTCTGCAGCCGGCGGTCTGGCGGCAAGCCGCTCCGCAAGCTCCATCTTCCGATCGCGCGAGCGTTCGGTGCAGAGGTCGTAGACAGTTGATAAGTTGAATGTCAGAGCGTGGAAGGCGGATCCGGATTCTGTGAGGGCTTCGAGGAGCTCGCGGGACTGATGTGGTCAGAGGTGTCAGTTGCCACTGCCTGTAGTTCGAGGGAGAGACATGAGACGTACTTGGCCTATCCGACCGGTGTAGAAGAGGCATATGGCTAGGTTCTGCTTGGCGAGCGCATCCTCCGGGTCCGCATCAGCCAACCTCTTCCACGACTCAACTGCTCCTTCGTAGTCGCCGTCTGCCATTTGGATGAGAGCCGAAATCACTGCATCCCCATCACCATTCCAATCGTCCTCATCCGACCCCGCGCACGCCCTCCGCGCAGCCCCTACATCTCCCACCCTCAACCACACCAACGCCTCCATGCTTCTAAGCCTCCTCTCACCCTCCTCATCCCGCCCCTTCTCCGCCCGCCTCAAGCCCACCAAATGCCTCCCCGCCCCCTCCAGCTCCCCCATTTCCACCAGCGCATTGCCAACCAAAATCCCACACTCCCTCAACCGCTCCTCCCACATCTTCTCATCCCCTCCACGGCCCTCCTGTCTCGACCTCAGCACCTCCCCCCTGCACTCCCGCGCAAGGTCATAATACCCCACGACGCTCCTCCTCGGCTCCCCGAACCCCAGCGCAAGCAGCCGCACCGCCAGCACCCTCAGCTCCCAGGGCACGAGATGCGCGCCGGTGAGCGGATGCCGGTAGAACGAAGCGCCGAGGTCGCCGAGCGCCTTCGCTTCCTGCGCCGCGAAGCTGTGCTGCCCGATGAGCGTTAGGCATGCGAGGCGGGTGTAGAGGAGGGCGAAGATGCGGGGGGCATCGGTTGGGGAGGTTGCGGTGGTTAGTTGGCGGGCGCAGTGATCGGCGGCGGAGCGGTAGTGGCCATGAGAGAGGAGGTCTTCGAGGGAGGCGTCGGGGGAGGGCGTGTGAGGGGAGTTGAGGAAGGGTGGGAGGATTGTGGTGGTGGGGAGGGGGTGGAAGGTCTCGGGGCGCAGAAGGTAGGAGAAGTCTTTTAGGGGGACGTCGTCGATGGCGGAAGAGGGTTCTGTGATCAGAGGACTGCCGAGACCGGGGGAGGTGACGGTTGGGAGGGCGGGCGAGGATGAGGGTAGGCGCTGGGGTGAGGCCGGTTGAGGGACCGATAAGGGGTCCGAGAGAGGGCTGCCCGGTAGTCAGAAGCTGTGTAGAGTGGGCTTGAAGGCGCGCGGAATCTGTACCTACTCTACACCCGCATCAAGAGGCCCTCTGGTAGACCGACGTGGCATCGCGACTGCATATCAAGTCAGCAGTTGACGATTGTGGGGGTGCATCAGCCCATGTACCCCTCCGCCGGTCGTCTGAAGATGCAGTCCTGCCATGGCTCCTCTGCCTGAAGGGGAGGTTGCCTGATGGCGCGTCCATATCTGTGTTGTCCTCGATGTTGTTTGTGTTGCTCTTCGTGATAGAGCTGCAGCTAACTTACAGCACCTTCAGACGGCGGACATGCGGGAGCTTGGCCGCAGTTCTGGTCCCTTCTCGAGCGGTCGAGCGGCCGATCTCGGACTGTGGGGTTTTAGCGTCTGGGCGATGATGGGTGCGCCTGCCCCCGTTGTCGCCTCCTCGGCACGAGCGTGAGAAATCCTCGACTGACTCACTTTACACCTTTCTGTCACCCACTCGCACTTGCCAATTCTATTTCTCTCCCCCCCCCCCGTCGATTTTCAATCCCAAGGACAACCTTTCACAACATCACAACCGCTTTCGAAGCCTACGGGCGCATCTCTTCAGCACAATGCTCAAAGCACGCCAGACCCGCGCTGCCCTGCAGTCTTTGCAGCATGCCCGCCAATTCTCCTCCACGCCAGCCGCAGCTGCTGTCTCACCTCACCGTCGAATAGCTCAGGCTGCCCCGTCGAACACCGTCAAAGAGCCTACAAAGAGACCACAGAGCACATCGGCAGCGACCGCGCAGGCGTCGGAAAGACCAGTCCCAAGCCCTGCTTTCAATCGAGACGACGGACGATGGAACGATGTACAGCCATTGCGGCCGTACCGCCAGCCGGAAATGGACCACTCTTTTGTGGGCATGAAGGGTGGAGAAATATTCCACGAGATGATGCTCAGGCACGACGTCAAGCATGTTTGTGAGTATCCAATTGACGGCGCATAGTGGCAATGGTAGCTGACTTTATGACTCAGTCGGTTACCCTGGTGGGGCCATTCTACCTGTTTTTGACGCCATCTACAATTCGAAGCACTTCAACTTCATCTTGCCAAGACATGAGCAGGGTGCTGGACACATGGCTGAGGGCTATGCGCGGGCCTCAGGCAAGCCTGGCGTTGTCCTGGTCACCTCGGGACCCGGCGCCACCAACGTTGTAACTCCAATGCAGGACGCCCTCATGGATGGCACACCGATGGTCGTCTTCTGCGGCCAGGTGCCCACCACAGCCATTGGCTCCGATGCCTTCCAGGAAGCTGACATCGTCGGCATCTCAAGGGCCTGCACCAAGTGGAATGTCATGGTGAAGAACATTGCCGAGCTCCCCCGGCGCATCAACGAAGCGTTCGAGATCGCTACATCCGGACGACCGGGACCCGTGCTCGTGGACCTACCGAAAGATGTAACGGGTGGTGTGCTCTCGCGACCCATCCCTATGACAAGCACTCTCCCCCGCCACCCCAGCGCTGCGACTGTTGCCGCACAAGAGCTCAGCAAGAAACAGCTCGAAGGCGTTATCAAGCGCTCGGCCAACCTTATCAACATCGCTAAGAAGCCTGTCATCTATGCCGGACAAGGCATTGTTCAGGCGCCCGACGGCTCTCGTCTCCTCAGGGAGCTTGCAGACAAAGCATGCATCCCTGTAACAACCACTCTGCAAGGTCTCGGAGGCTTCGATGAGATGGATGAGAAGTCGCTGCACATGCTGGGCATGCACGGATCCGCGTATGCCAACATGGCTATACAAGAAGCCGACCTCATCATCGCTCTCGGCGCCCGGTTCGACGACCGCATCACTGGCCACGTCGCCCGCTTCGCGCCGCAAGCCCGTCTGGCTGCCAAGGAGGGCCGCGGCGGCATCATCCACTTCGAGATCATGCCCAAGAACATCAACAAGGTCGTGCAAGCCACCGAGGCCGTGGAGGGCGACGTAGCGACCAACCTTCAGCTCATGCTCCCACAGGTCAAGGAAGTCAAAGAGCGGCCAGAGTGGTTCACGCAGATCAACGACTGGAAGCAGCGCTTCCCCTGGGCGTACGAAAAGGAAGGCGAGAACGGCCTCATCAAGCCCCAGACCGTGATGGCGACGCTCTCGAAGATGACCCAGGACGGCGAGCCCGGCAAGACCATCATCACAACCGGCGTGGGCCAGCACCAGATGTGGGCCGCGCAGCACTACCGCTGGCGACACCCACGCACCATGATCACATCCGGCGGGCTCGGAACCATGGGCTACGGGCTCCCCGCGGCCATCGGCGCCAAGGTCGCCCGCCCAGACGCCCTCGTCATCGACATCGACGGCGACGCCTCCTTCTCCATGACGCTGACCGAGCTCAGCACCGCCGCGGAATTCAACATCGGCGTCAAGATCATCATCCTCAACAACGAGGAGCAGGGCATGGTGACGCAGTGGCAGTCACTCTTCTTCAACGACCGCTTCGCGCACACGCACCAGAAGAATGCGGATTTTGTCAAGTTGGGCGATGCGATGGGCGTGCAGGCTGATCGGTGCATCAAGCCGGACGAGCTGGAGAGCAAGCTTAGGTGGTTGCTTAATACGGAGGGCCCGGCGCTGTTGGAGGTCGTGACGGATCAGAAGGTGCCTGTGTTGCCGATGGTGCCGGCGGGGAGCGCGTTGCATGAGTTTTTGGTGTATGATGAAGGTACGTTTGAACTCTCTTGCCCCCTGTCTCGAGCAGTCTGCTGGGGACAAGACGAGCTAACTTTTTGGCAGCCAAGGAGAAGGAGCGGAGAGCTCGCACAAGAGAACGGTCGGGCCGGTAGAAGCTCTGGCTGAGGCGTGTATATTCGGCTGTTTCACGATCGAGCATTTGACTGCGTTGGCGTTCCGGAAAAGTATCGTTTGACTAGCTTCACGGTGCTAGTATCCTTACTCGAGGAGGGGTCTGTGACATGCACGTATCGACGAGAAGTATGGTTGTTGCGTTTCTTGTGTGCTGCTGTGCTTCCGTTGTTGAGATACTCTTGGATTGTATATAGTTACTGAATGAAGACAAGATTCTGATGAAGGCTCTAGCGTGTCCCATTGGAAGCTTGATGCCTGTGCTATGAGCGGTGGTTCGGTGACTTCTAGACATCGTAACAAATCTTAGCGTACAGTCTGTATCATAATGTAGATATTCGGTGACGCAAAGATCGCGGTCTCTACAGGCATTAGGGGAAGGAGATGCGATAATGCTTTGCATGGCAGCAAGAACTTGTGTACGGTTTGAAAACCCCCCAAGATATCCATTGGGTTATGCGTACACGTCTATCACAATGTACGAGCTTGACAATGTGAGCTATACTGGGGCAGGCGCAACCACAACGCCTTGAAGCTCCTCAACAATCCACCACCCTAGGGTATCCAAAGCACTCCTAAACGCCTTGCAATGCTTTTCTCGCGGCTGTCCTCTCGGCACCGCAATGTCCACCACCAACTGGATGAATCTACTCATCGTCTAATATCGAGCTCGCAAGGGGTCCAAAGAACGGGACCTCGCACCGGTCAAGTGTATCCGCTACAAGTTTGGTTAGCTCTGCGGTGTCTTACAAGGCGGAAGCATTGGAAGTATACCGTCTCTATACGCACGCATCGTCAAGTACCCAATCAGGCCTAGGTCGCAGACGAAGAGGAGCCAAGATAGAAAGCTTGACCAGGAGAAGATTATGTGCATGACCTAGCACTAATCAGCCCCATCGTGTTTGGAAGGCGGAAGTGTGTATGGATATCGGGCGACTTACAAAGAGGAACGTGAACAGCAGGCTCGACTGCCACGCGTGAAACCTGTGGCCCAGAAAAACCCGTTAGCCTTATTCCGTACAATCTCACGGCCACGCCTTTCGATCGCCCCCTCAACCAACGCCCACAGCTATCACCACTACCACCAACCCTTCCTCTCCCAGCCCTCCTTTCCCCTAACCCCTCCTCCTCACCGCTCACCTAACGTAATCACTCCTCTGCTCCAGCACAAGCAACAACACCGCCCCCGCAGGCGGCAGCAGCAAATACGCCGCACACGCCTCCCAGTCCATTCGGATCCCCAGCCTCGTCTCAAACACATCCATATCCGTCCTTCTCCCCCCAACACCACCACCTCCTCCTACGCCGAACCCCTCTTCCGCTCTCGCAGCGCCATCCCCGCCGTCGCCGAAGTAGCTACTCCCCTGCCTATCAAACGTGCTCGGTGAGGGCAGTTTCTGGGGTCCCGAGGCGGCGAGGGTGCCGATGTTGGGGCTCGTGACTCGCGGGGAGCTGGAACTCGCTGGCAGAGGCGGGGAGAGCGCGCGGTGCGTTTCGGGGGAGGCGTCTTGGTAGGGTGCGAAATTCATTTGGAGCGGTCGGTGTGTTGGAATCGGAGGTTGTATAGGGGGGTTTTCTTGGGGGGGGGGAGGTGGATTGAGTAATTGTGGTTGTTGCCTGGGCTTCTGAGGATTGGAGTAGGTGGGCGGTGATAAGGGTAGGTGGCTTGGAACGGACGCGTGGCGGGGCGGGTGCTGTGCTTGGCGTGGAGGGAGTTGGTCGTAAGGGCTTTTGGACTGCACGAGATGCTTAAGAGAAGGAAATCATTGAACAGTAGCTGTGTCCGGTGGGGAAAGCATATATAATTGTGGGAAACAGCTGAGCATGCTGAAACAAGTTCTCATAGGGGAACGTCTATGTGTGTACCAAGTGGGAAACAAAATGCCGCTCAACTCCACCTGGTGCGCGCACCGAGGTGAGCATTGGCCAAAGGAATACAGAGAAGGTCGAAAGAAATGCAAATAACGATAAACTCCAACCAAGAGAACGTCTACAGCCATGCTTTTTACACTCCCCACCCTACGTCCCCGCAATCTTCTCAGTACTCCCCTTCTCCCCCATATCCTCAACACGCTCTTCACCATCCCTAATAATCACGTTCCCCTCCTCCGGTGCCCTTCCCCCCAGATACGCCGTGAACTTCTCCCTGCTATCCCCCGAACCGAGCTCCACATCCTGCTGCCCGGTCTGGACACTACTATCCGACGTACTTATGGCCACCTTAGCCGTCTCACTCTCATCTCCCGGCTCAGTCGCAGCGCTCAGCGGATCCTCGACCTCCTCCGCCGGCCTATGGACCTCAGGGACGATGCTCAGCGCCGGCGCCTCCGCCCTCAGCGTCTCGATGCTGGCGCTCATGTCCTCCGTCTCCTCTCCGAACTCAAACAGCGTCACCATCGGCATGAACGACAGCGTCGGCGCGGGCGCGGACTCTGCCTCCTCTGCAGCGCCCGACGGCGAGGCGGCTGGCTTCCTGCGCGCAGGACCCTTGGCCCGTCCCTTCCGGGCGTCGCTCAGTGGCGCCTTTTCTTGCCCCTCCGCTGGTTCCTCTTGAACGGGTGGGACCTCCTTCTTCGGCGCTTGAGGTCCGAGTTGGAGACGGCTGTTGAGGTCGTTCATGAAACCTGCTTTTAGGGCCGCGATCTTGCCGCCGCCAGGGCGTTGAGGGACGATGGGTTTTGCTTTAGGTGCCGCCGGCTGCGCTGTGGTATCGCTGCCTGCACTACCTGTGCTGCCAGCTGAAGTTGTTTTCGTCAGGGGTGAGTCTTCTGACCCCTCCGCTGGCGGCGGCTTGGCGGGTCGAGCTGGCACTTGTGGTTTAGGCCGAGCCGGGATATTTGGGGCCTCTCGTTTCGTTGGCGATGCCTCCTGGACGTCTCCAGTCCGCTGGGCAGGTCTTGGCGGTATTGTCGGTGTGTCCTGCGACGCCGATTCGGGACTCAATATGTCCGTCTCGTCCTGTTGGGGCCCTCCCACAGTCGTCACCAGCTGCAGGTGGTCTGGCGTGTCTTCCCAGATATCTTGGCTAGGGAACCGCGGCTGCATGCCTGGTCTCGGCGGCAGTTCCGCCTTGACATCCCGGTTGAAGTGCGTTTTAGCGAAGCGTTTCGTGTGTTCAGGCAGGAAGTTCTCCTGGTCCTTGCTGGTAAGATCGTGTTTACGAGCTTCCTCGGTCTCAGGAGGCTCGAAGATTGCGGACGGCTTTTGCTCCACGGCAGATTGGGGTTCCTGGGGCTCTTGCGGCGCCTCCACCGTCGTCACAAGATTGAAGTACTCAGGGCTGTCCTCCCAGACATCTTGGCTTGGAAAGTGATGTCGAGCAAGGTCCGGACGCTTCACCTTGTCTGCGGCCGTTTTCGGCTTTCCTTGCTGCTTCTGGCGCTCATCGTCGTCTGGAAAGAGGGGCTCATACTCCTTGACATCGTCAAGTGGCGTGCCAGTCCCGTCGTGGTCGCCGCGGCTTATCATTCGCGTTAGTCCAGGAAGCCCGCCATGGATACTGCCGGGACGACTCGAAGGGCGGCTGCTGCCCCTACGACCGGTGCGGAAAACACCCTCCGCATCGTTGTGAATGTAGTCGTCACGGTTACCGCTCCGTTCCAGCTCAGGCGAGACGGCGGGCTGCAGGAACTCAGCTCCCGGACGTCTGGCAACTTCGTCGGAAGCAAGGATAGGCATGCCCGGGCCGTTTTCTTCGATCCAGCCGCCCTTCTCCTCAGTGTTACCAGCATCAGGTCCGAGATCCTCAGTTGGGGGGTCATATCCTCCTCCATGGATCTTGCTGTGTCGCGATGCGGGCGGATCAACATGGATGACGTCGTCGTCTGGTTCGCTCTCTACCACCGATGTGCGCTTGTCATGTGATCCGTTGGAGTCCATGACATCCGTCGGAAAGCTTGCCTTGCGAAGGGGTGATTCAGCGTGGCTGTGCGAGCTGCTGGTCCGCGCCTTACGCAGAGTAGACTGCGGACGCGACGAGGCCATTCGAGACGCATACTGCTCAGATGCCAGAAACCCAATTTCTTCGGCGGGCGTGCCGATGGCTTCGCGCGAGGTGCCTGCACAGAGAGAGCAGACTGTCAGTAGATGCCTGTATGATACGGCCTGCCGGCCAGAGCTTACCAAAGCCAATGCCAGCGCTACCTTGAACGAGTTTGTTAAGATCATCACTGCTCAATGCCCACTCCTTGCGATCTTCCGAAATGGCCGGACCGTATGCTCCCTGTGCCTCTCTCGCAGCATCGTCGGGATGCTTCTCGTACCACGCCTTCTCAAACGCGTTGGATGGCTGTACGCCATGGCCATGCATACCATAACTGTCCGGCGGTCCACTGAAAACCTCCCGGCCACTCCTGGTGCGGCTGTGGTGGCGACCCGAAGACCGTCCATCGTTGAAGAAGCCGACGCCGGTGGAAGTGTTCTGAGCAAAAGGCGAGGGTGTCGGCATCTGCACATCGCCCGCATTCGGATACATCGGCACCTGTACGCCGATTTCCGGGATGCCGTGCTCCTCATCATCCTTGTGGATTGACTGAGGCCTAGTGCTGTTGCTCGATTCGGACTTGTTCGAGGTGCTCCCATGCCTCTCATTGTAGCCAGGGAAAAGCTTCGGGATGCCAGCAGCCGCGGCCTGGGTGGAATCGGTACGGGTAACGCTCGCGATTCTGGACTTTTGGGCGGCCGCAGGAAGTGAGGCAGTTGGCGCATGCAATGGCAGATTACCAGCAATGCCCTTTGAAGTCTGGGCTGGAGCTTCCTCGTTGTTGTTACTGAAGTCCTCCAGGTTCGCATATTCGTTCCCTTCCTGGCCTATAGACGGCAGACTGACGCTCGGCGGGCGTCGGGGGACGTCTTTCGGCTTTTGGTGATTGCCATTGCGGTTGTGCAGGAAGCTGGGGTCATTGAAGGGAGACCGAGCATAGGTATCTCGGTGCGGAGATATCGAGCGATCAACGCTACGCCTCGGACGAGGTGGGATTTGAGGGACTGCCATGTTTGCAGAAGCCGTCGGCGGTGGCTGCGAGCGGGCAGGACGAGCAGGTATTTGGGGAGCGGCCATTTTGGAGGTTCAGAGAGGATTGGAGAGCTCGATTGGATGTGATCTAGAGATGCAGGAAAAGTCGGTCAGCAGCTGATCGTCGGCCACGACAGTCTAGACCGCAGTGCAAGCCAAGTTCTGAGGATGCTCGAAGGTCACAGGTAGTGGTTGCTGTCGATGATGGATTGGAGCTGCGGTAAAGCTCGGGGAAGCTTCGTTGGGCTTTGTTGACCTTATGCCCGCCGCGGGCATCGCTATCAGCGGTTGCACCCGGCTGTTGGCCAAAGATCCTGAACGTTGACGATCCGCCGGTGACAGGTACCAGTACTTCGGGTAAGGAACAAAGACGCTTTACTCACAGTCTTGCGGGGAGTACTCCTAATGTCGTTGGAGATTGGGGTGAACAGAAAGCACACGAATTGCCAACAGAGGACTGTGATTCCTCAGATCGTTCTCACATGAGCAGGCTTTGAGGTTTTTATGTAACGATCGAGCTGAGTGACGCTGGCAGCTGGGCGGGCAGTGCACCCGATCTGATACCTGCGTTGAACTTGGATCGACGGCTTGACAACGGCGGCAGCATCATTGGCCAAGCGCATTGCGGTATTTCGACATCATCCTTCACATGAGCATCTGAGCAAACCGTGCCCCTCTGCAGCATTTTTTGAAGCTTTGGATGTCGTTCCTGGGATAGAGGGGCATCCCCTTCTCAACTTCTCCTACAGAGGTCCTAAGAACTCCAGCAGCGGCTCACAACAGAGACTCCGTGGAGATGGGATTTTTCCCAGCTTTCCAGGTGCTGAAAGCTCTGCTTGGCCATGCGCCGGACGCCACTTGGCCCCGCATTGCAGGAACCAGGCGTCCCCGTGATTGATCACGAACGGTTCCTGGAGCTGCTCCCTTTGCAGAAGGTTTGTCCAGCCCAGCTCGAGCTGAAGCCCGGACCCGCCAGACCCGCCTGAGGCCACGACAGTCGACACTGACAATGGCAGGTGACGCGTCTAACAGAGCGGACCTCCCGTGGTTAACCTGCTGTGTTCTTGGCGTCGCCGAGCAGGTCGTCTTAGAAGCAAATCCTCATGATGTTTACCTGTGTAGGCTGTCGATTCCGCCTCTGTGGCTGAGTAAACCCAGTTAACTCCAATGGCTGCATGGTATTATGTATGATCTTGGACTATCGATCCAACCGCACCGAAAACTCATGGTAGGATGCTTGCCCCAGTAGCTGGCTCAGTGAAAATATTACTTGCTGCCTATCTGTACATCTCGTCCGCTGCATGAGTCGTTTCTCAACCAGCAAGAGTGCCCATCCTGCTCAGTCAAAACACAAAACCAAAGTCGAACAGGGGAATCATTCGCCCGCTCAGCAAGTCCTCTCATGTAACGGAAAGAGAAAAACAATGGATATGATGCATGCCCGACATAACGCTGTTCTGGTGAAAGTCCGGCGCAGACATGTAACCGGCGAAGAAAGATATTTTGAGACGACATCGGCAGTGCTGACGCCTTCAACTCGGAAAAGCAAGGCTTTGTTTCTGTCCCCCTCTCCTCTTCAAACAATCATCTGCGCAACCCCATGTCCTCCCAGCGTCTTGCTCCCCACAAACCCCTGTCCCTTAATCCCAGCCGCCAAATAGAAGAGTGCCGCAAACAGCAGGAACACAGCCGCGGCCACCAAGCTCGACGAGCCGAAGATGAGGCTGAGCCACTGGATAACACTCAGAACGCCGTAGAAGGCCGCGCGCATGTAGTTTGTCTCGAAGCGGCGGACGAAGGTGTCGAACTTGGCGGATGTCGGGCAGATGCGCAGGAGGAGCGGGATCTCGACGAAGATGATGACGAAGGAGGAGATTCTGGGGGCGTGTTAGTACTGGTGACGGCGGTGGAGGGAGTGGCTGAAGGGGGCGAGCGTACAGGCAGATTACGCTGAATATCCAGATGAGGCGGGGGAGGGAGATGAGATTTGCGATGCCGACGGCGAAGCAGAGAAGGACGCATATGACACCGGTCCTGCAAGCTGTGTCAGTAACAGACTAGCTTCATATTGTTTGGCCCGTTTCTCGTTTCTCTGGGTGCGCTGCTCTATCGGCCAGTATAGAGCTTCAACGGCGGGCACAGTGATAGCGGCGCGTCTTCAATGCGCACTTCGGGACTCGCAGTTCACGACACTGACGCCGTTTGGAGTACTCATGCGCTTGCGGTGGAGCTCACTAACCATTGACCGTAAATACCTGGCGGAGCTGGTTAGCTATCTGGACAGTCCGCTATATCTATGGGACCACGTACTAAAGTTTCGCGACCTAAACTCCTCCGCGATCGTCATTTTGCAAGTGGAAGTCCTTATTCAGACTGGACTGATGGTATCCGAAGCCGCTACGGTCTCTCCAGGAGCTCCGCTGAATGAGCTGTCCTAGGTTTCAGCTCGCTCACTCTACTATGATCGTTCAGCGCCAGCCGCTCGAAAGTCGAAGATGGGATTTGAATAGCAAAACTTGGTCAACTTTGGAGGTGCCGAAGCTGTCAAATGGCTCGAGAATGTGTGGTAGTGTTGTGTAAATGGTTTGTTGTTGCCTTGGTTGCTTACGACGCAGTTCGTTGTTTGACGGCTGCACTGACAGGAGCTTGGCGCCCCTTCCCCGGCTTGTGCAAATCAAGGGTCTCGCGGTTTCCAAACAGAACCGCTCCACCACTCCACAAGAACCCTTGCACAGTATTTGCATGGATATTTAAGGGCTGTTCATGTTCTTTGACAAGTAAGTTCCGATCTGCAAAAGTTATGCGTTTCATCAGAGGTAGAGCCCAATGTATCTGAGCTCTTGACAGCCAAAGGAGCGAGATATCAGAGGCAAGTTTTACTGTGTATGACATTCAGGTCTTGATTCATCCTCTATCACTTATGTGAAAACCTTCCAAAGAACCTCTTCGCTAAACAAGGAGTAATCGCCGGGAAATGCGGCAGACTGTACTACACCAACGCAACGAACATGACCTGCTCCTTCAGCCCACAATCATGCCGCAGAGTAGACAAGCCGGAAGACGTCGTTGAACACGAAGAAACTTCCCGCTCCGTCCGGCAGCAGCTGGAACGCTTGTGTATAGCTCATCGGCTTTTGCTCTTCGTCGACCTAGATGGGCAGATATGTTAGCTGTTTTGTGAACAGAATATGTTATCTCTCTGGATCTGCGTACCAGCAGTGCACCAGTGACCAAGACTAGAATACCGTTGGCCTCATTGGAAGGCTGCGCGTCGAGCGTCGAGACCTGATGCCGCACTTGCTGGAATGGTAGCGACTGACACATGTCAGCACCGCTTTATTGTGAGCCGTAGCTGAACTGACTGCGTGTGTCATACCGTGAGCTTATCAACAATATTGATTGCGCCCTGAGTCGGAGAGTTCTCGAATGTGAGCATAGAGTTCTCGCGCTACGGAAAGGTATGGTTAGAGGCGGGTGCCGTTATTAGCAGCTGTTGGATCGTACGTAGAGTGCTCCTAGCGCCTGCCGGTTCTCATCGAAGGTCTTATAGTAGAATTCGGTGAATTGCTCTATGAAGAGGCGTCAGTCGACGGGTCAAGGCACCGAACAGGCGCCCTTAGAGGACGCTTTTATCTTCGAAGGGGGTTCAGCGCGTGAACATACGGGCGATGGTCTGGAAGTCTGCCAAAGCGGTCAGGTCAGCGCTGTTGGTTTACCGGCGAGGAGCGAGTGAAGGGCTCCAGCTGGGTCAGTCGCTTACCTGCCATGTCGGCGAGTATTTAGAAGTCTTCAGATTCTGAGGCGTTGTTTAGGAGGGCGCAAAGCTTCGAAGCTGTTATCGCAGACGGCTTTATTTGTATCCAAGGCGCTGAAACAGCTAGGTACCTCACATGGCGGGGCACGTGAGGGGGATCGGCGCCGCACCGGAGGATGAGTTTCTCCGAGAAGTCCTGCCTCTTGCAGTTTGCAAAGTGAAAAGCTTCACTTCTAACCCTCGAAAATGGCTCGTTGCACATGAGGTCGCTACTGCTAGCACAGCACTCGGGATGTATGCAATGGTCAGTGTACGTGTAAGCTCTACCTTCTGGCTCTTCCCTGCTGCTCTTTTCAAAGGATGACTCTTCTTCAAACGATAACTGCTGAAAATTCATGACGTTCAACCAAATATTCAAGCTCAACAGTCTGACTATCTTCATCTCTATACCCAGTTATACACTCAGGAACCGTGCGCTACATACTGACAGTTCCCTTAGGAAACTCGTAGTATCTGTAGAGTGTAGCGAGTGCGGTCCTCCAGAGCCCCAACTAGACCCTGGGGACGGATGAGTAGAGGGATATCATAGTGGACAAACCCATTGTGAGATTGGCAATAGGGCAAATGAAGGCAATGTTCATACAAACAAGCAATCACGTGGTCAAGCTTCGGAAGCGCTCACAATCACTATTCAGTGCGTCTATCAGTCTAGCTTATGAATCCGGTTCCTTATGCGCCCACTGCCTGCAGCGACCTGACAGTATCCGTTACGCACTCTTCAATGCTCCTAAACTTCAATCCCAACACCTCCCTCGATCTGCTGTTATCGTAGTTGTAGAATTCCTCCTCCGGATAATCGTCGACGCCCTTCTTGAACTCAGTTGGCAGCCCGTCCTTAATATCAGAGAAGTTCTTGCTGATTGCCTCCACGATCTCCCTGTTGCTGAAATGGCCAGCGGTCACAAAGAACCGCTTGTTCGCCGCCTCTGGCAGCTCCATCGCCTTGACGTGTGCTAGTGCTACGTCTCGGACATCCACCCAGAGGTATACACCCGTCGGCACTGGCTCGTCCTTGCCTTTGCCCTGCATGTAATTGCGGATGCGCTGGTTAGAAGTGTTCAGGGAGTCTAGAGAGTTGAGGTAATGCACCTGCAGACCAAAATCAGCAGACACTCCAGCAGCGGCTGCCCGACTGAGAACTCACGATCGGCCCAAACACAAGAGGCGGGTTTATCGTCGCAATCGTAAAGTTCGGCTTCTCCTTCTCCAAAAACTCCCACGCCGCCTTCTCCGCAAACGTCTTGCTGGCCCTATACCCCGCCGTGGGACTCTCCAGTGCCTCCTCCTGCGTAAGCGGGCTCCAATCCTCCTCGGTGTATGTATGGCCCGGCCACAGCCCCTTACTCGGGTTCACAATCGCCGCAAACGAGGACGTGATGACCACCCTCCTCACCTCTGGCGCGTGTTTCTTGATGCTCTTGAGGATGCCCGTAGTGCCAATCACGGCAGGGTCCAGCAGCTGCTTCTGGATGTCTGTCACGTTGAAGTGGAAGGGGCTGGCGGTGTGGATTACGGCTTCGAAAGGGGGATCAGACTTCACGGCGTCGTCGAAAGCGCCTTCGATGGCAATGTCTTCGACGATGGCGAAGTCGAGCTTGTCTTTACCAACGTTGGGGTGGGCTTCGGCGATTTTGTTGGCTTTGTCTTGGCTGCGGACGGTGGTGACGACGGAGTGTCTGGGGTTGTCAGCGACGTATAGGGTGAGTTTATAATTGCTGCTCCAGCGTACCCGTGTTCGAGCAGAATGTCCAGGACGTGGGCAGCGATGAAGCCGCTTCCGCCGGAAAGTAGCACGCGTGTCATTGTCAAATGCGAGAGTTGGTAGGGATTTCGAACGGAGGCAAGACGATTCTCTTGTTGTGCTCAGTACCTAGTCTATGGAAGAACAAACTCGGTGCAATTCGGGTGTTTATATGCCGCCAATTCGAAGATGTCTATCCGTACGTCACCCCGCTGTGGGGTTAGTCGGCGTTAACTGCAAGTATCTCCGCTCTCTGATTCGCCAGCAGACAAGGGTCCAAACATCCTCAGGATGGCTGCCACTGTGTTTCTAGCTACCATATGAATGTGATAGGCAGTCTTCTTCCGCGAAAACTTCTCTGCGGGGACAGCTCAAGGCTTGTTCTTCTGTCTGAACGTCGTGTTTACGGCGGTTTAGCGGTGTCATTGGACTTAGTTGGGCAAGGGCATGCCTCAACTTGAGCCTGTCACAGTCAGCGCTATGAGGTCACAAAATGTCAAATTCTCTCCTGGCTGATAAATGCGGTGGGCTAGTAGGCGCTTTCTCCTCGCATTAAGATACAGTGCATCTGAGACCAAGAGGTACTAGTTATCAAGACAGATACACGGATATAAGCAGAGGACATAGCCAAATCGTCTACAGGGCGGTATTGAGGGGCTACGCAAAAAGGACACGCATGGAGAAGACGGAACTAAATACCAAGCGTGAACTCGACCCCAACATCGATGTCTCGCGCCATCTTCACAACCTTCGAGAACTGCACCGACTTCTCTGCCGCGCTTTGCAGGTCGTCAATCGAGAAGATCTTCAAGCCGGACTCATTAATCTGAATCCTTCGTTAGCCACTCGCCTGTTCATTATGGGAGCCCATCTTGCTTACCAGCTTGTGTGCCATTTCCATGTTCGTGCCCTGTAACCTCGCAATAACCGGCGTCCTCAAGTTCATGCTCTCCACGACGGCGATGAGCCCCTTCGCAATAGCGTCACATCGCACAATGCCACCAAAGATGTTCACGAAGATAGCCGTAACCTTGGGGTCAGCTGTGATGAGGTCGAACGCCTGTTTGATGGCCTCAGGGGTGGCACCACCGCCAACATCCAAGAAGTTCGCCGGCTGCCCGCCGTTCAGCTTGATGATGTCCATGGTCGCCATGGCAAGACCAGCGCCGTTGACCAAACACCCGATGTCGCCGTCCAGCTTGATAAAGTTGAGGCCGACTTCTGCGGCCTTGACCTCGTCGGGATCTTCCTGCGTGGTGTCCCTCCATGAGAAGACCTCCTTTTGCCTGAAATCAGCGTTGTCATCGAAGTTGAGCTTGGCGTCCATGCAGAGGACCTGGTGGTCGGTGGTCTCGGAGAGCGGGTTGATCTCGATCTGGGTAGCGTCGCGCTCCATGAAGACCTTATACAGCTTCTGAATCGTGTCCTTGGCGTCGTTGATGCACTGGTCCGAGAAGCCGAGCTCCGTAGCGATGTTGGTTGCAATCTCATCCGTGACGCCCTTGTGGATGTTGATTGGAGTTGTGATGATGGCGTCCGGGTTCTCTTTGGCGACTGTCTCAATGTCCATGCCACCTTGGGATGAAGCAACGATGACTGGGCCCTGCGATTGTCGGTCCATGAGAATGGCAAGATAGAACTCGCGCCTGGCGAATTTCCGCTGAACGATGAAGACGGCGTTGCACATTCGTCCTGCGGCTCCGGTTTGCTTGGTGATGAGCTTGTGGCCGATCATCTGCTCTGCGAGGATTCTAGCTTCGGTGGGACTGGATGGCTGCTGTCAGTTCGATCGCAACCTGAGGACTAGGACGCAACGTACGAGTAGATCACCCTGACACCGCCCTTGAAGCCGTTGTCGAACGTGCCCTTTCCTCTGCCTCCTGCCAACACCTGCGCCTTGATAACCATGTCATCGTGCTCGGGTCCCCCTGCAAATTGTCAGCGCGAGCGCGCCGTGTATCGTCTTCGAAAGTTGCATACCGATCTTCTTCGCGACAGCCTCTGCCTCCGATGGTGAATAGGCAACCTCGCCCGGAGGTACGCCAATGCCGTACTATCGCAAGGTAAGCAAGCAGTCGAGGATGTGGCTCCTGAAGCCGTACTGATTCGAGAAGCTTGGCAGAGCGGAACTCATGTATCGACAGCCATCGAGCCTGCTGAGCGACAGAGCTCTTGAGGGGTGTTCTCTACAAGCTGTTAGCTGTGGCATCAGAGGCGCTTCTCCGCACCAATAGAGCGACGAACCGTAGCTGCTCTGAGCGCGGAGGCCAGAGGCCGGCTTCTGGCGAGCTTGAACATAGTTCAGGAGGAGACAGAAGGGCAGCCTCAAGGGTGGACTGCGGTGTGTTCTACCGGAGGAGGTGCAATGGGTGTTGATACCAGGTAGGGTTCTCCCGTTGCAGAGCTTGGGAGAGCTGCGGGAAGCGCCAAGCTTTGACGATCTTGCGAGGGGTCTCTAGCAACTCCAACGGCGATATTTTCTGATACAGACAAGATGCCCGCACCGACAACACCCAGCGATGGAGACGTAATACTCAACAGAGCCAGCGTTGCTCTGGCCAGGAGTCAGCGGCTTGTCGCATCATGGCTTTCTCCACCCACGGCTGAGGAGAGCGCGCAGTCCAAGTCCGAGGAGCAGCTTGAGAAGGAAGATCAAGATACATTTACACCGGTCCCTGAACTGTACGCTAGCGGCTTGTCCCTTCCAGTCTTATACAAGCTGAGATAATGCAGACTCGGTGTCGGAGCTCCTCTACCACAAGAGATCCCGGACGGCAGCTTCAAGCGCTCACAGCTATCATCCAGCGACAAGCTGCGGAAGCAGTTACTCGGAAAGAATGCAGTCAGCAAAGCGAGCGGAAGCCAACACGTCCCTTCGAAGCAGTTGATGTCTACTCGGGAACCAAGCAAGCCCGTGAAGCGACCGTATACAGAGGATAGCGAGGATGAAGAGGAAGGTCGAGCTTCGTCCTTCAAATCCAGAAGGGCGCGATCCAACAACGTCTCACCTGCGCCACTGCGCAAACCCACTGCAGCGCAGACCAAGGACGAGGATGAGCATGTAGAGGACACGGATGGGGACAGCAAGGGGAATGGTCTGGCGAGTCGGCCACCGAAAGCCTCATCACCAGTACTTTCAGCAAAAGTCAAGAGACCCACAAGTAGTTTCCTTGATGATGTTCTGGCAGAGAAGGCCAAGAGAAAGAAGAAAAAGAAACACAAGAAGAACAAGGAGGCTGGGGCGGCGGCCACCAACAACTAGTCGAGATACTCTCAGTCTATGCGGTAGGAATGGTTTGACCTCATACAAGGTTTGACGGTATTCAAGCCAACAACTTGTACATGCTCACAACATCCAAGAACCATCTAAACATAACTCCAACAAGGGACAACATCGCTGTACAAGACTACCAGATATCTTCTCAGAGTCCATGAAGCTTTTATTCCCGAACAATCAAGCTCGCCATGCCCATGCCTGTACCGATGCACATGCTAATAACACCCAACTCTTGCCCTTGCCTCTCCATCTCCGGTAACAGCGTTGCCAACTGTCGACCACCAGTGCAGCCAAGTGGATGGCCCAGGGCTATCGCACCGCCCTTCGGGTTGACCTTGCTCTCATCTATGCCAAGTTCCCTGATACAATAGATCGCCTGGCTCGCAAACGCCTCGTTGATCTCCCAGATACCAATCTCTTCTTTCGACACACCAGTGTACTCGAGGAGTTTCGGTATCGCTATCGCCGGCCCAATACCCATCTCATCCGGCTTGCACCCTACGACCTGCGAGCCCGCCCACTTGCCAATGATCGAGCCCGACAGCCCCAACGCCTGCGCCGTACTCCTCCTCATCATAAGCGCCGCCGCCGCACCATCCGACACTTGCGAGCTGTTCCCCGCCGTGCTGCTCCCATCCGGCTTGAATGCCGGCTTCATCGAGCTCAGCTTCTCAACCGTCGTACCAGGCCTAATGCCATCATCCTTCGTAACCGTGATCTCCTCCTCATTCTCCGGAACCTCCGGATTCGGCCTCCATCTTGTCGTCACCGGCACGATCTCCTTATCAAACAGGCCTTCCTTCTGCGCCTTTGCCGCCTTCTGCTGCGACCGTGCCGCGAACTCGTCTTGCTCTTTCCTACCGACCCCATACCGCTCCGCCACGTTCTCGCTCGTGATCCCCATGTTCATGATACAGTCCCTAGCATCTTTCACCGGGCTCTCCTTCAGCGCAGGCCACAGCACCCTCGGAATAGCCCTGGTGTCGTAGTTGCGCGTCATGCTTTCCATGCCTCCGCCGATGCCGACGTCGATGCTGCCGACTGCGATACTGTGCGCCACGCCGGTTATAGCTGCTAGGCCTGAAGCGCATGCTCGATTTACGGTTTGGAAGGAGGTGGTGCTGGGATAGCCGACGTGGTTCATCGCCATGCGCCCGGCTTTATGACCGCCGAGCTCGGCGAGGACGGTCCCGATTTGAACGTCTTGGACTGCGGCGGGATCGAGGTTGGGGTTCTGGGTTAGGGTGGCTTTGAGGACCTGCTTTGAGTCTTAGCGAATGGGCTCAGCGGAACTGGGAAGGGGGAGGAGCTCGTGGTGGTGGCGTACTGCAGCGAGCATTTCGTGGTCGTAGGCATCTTTCAGACCACCTTTCTTTGCGCGCGTGACAGGTGTTCGGAGCGCGGAGAGGAAGACGACGTCGTGGGGGTTCTTTTGGAGGATGTTCTTTGCGCCTTTTTGGATGAAGCCTGCCATGGCTGCTGCTCTGGATTGTGATATTACTGGCGAAAGCCGCTTGCCGGTAGCTAGAAGGTAGATGGAAAGCTTCAAAAAACAGAAATAAGCCCAATGCGCGCGCCACGCGAGTGTCTCGGGAAGCTGCTTAAAGGAGAAAAGAAGAGAATGAGCATAGACTGCCAATTCCGAGCGAGGAGACCAGCTCCGTGGCGGGCATCTTCGGGAAGCGTTTGCGGAGTGAAGCTCTTCGACATCGGCAATGGGTCCTGGCAGTGGATAGCAAGTCACGTGGCGGGAGAACGTTCATCCTCTAGGTCCAGGGGTGAGTTGTCGACAATGATCATCACGTTGGTTTAGGTGTGCTCTCATTCCCCACAGACGGTGGATTATTTACACTTACCCTTCATCCGAACATTGGGATTTTCTGTTCATCTTCAGCAGAAGTTCAGCAGCTACGACTTCAGGATAAAGAAAGTGCTTTGGAGCTTTGATGGCCACAAGCGGCCTGATAACTAGTACTACGTTCCATCTCTATTATAACTACCGATATGGTAGAAGGTAGTCCGGAACTTGCGTGGTTAGCGGGTGATGTTATTTTGTCTCACATATGGACAAGCAAAGAGTCATGACGGCAAGAAGGTTCAAGGGTTGTTTATTCTTCGTATCATCGCATCTAGTGCTAGCAAAGTCATGGTTATCCAAACCATCCGGTATTTCCTCCAGCAAGCTCCAGTTTTCCATTCAGACGCCCGTGCTTGTACCGGACCGCAAGCATCCAACTGGGGTATCAAGGCGACGCTACTACGATCGTGCGGCTTCAGCGCCCTCTAGCGGACATTGGAGGTGCCATCATCTGGGCCAGGAAGTCCCTTGGGAAAGAAGTTAGTAACATCGTTACGCTTGACAGTGTCGGGTCATTCGACTCACCTCCTCATCACCAGGCTCCTGGTAGGTACCAGCTGGCTTGGTAGCGCCACGGGTACGGCCCTCAACGATGTTGCTCTGATCGATAGCCTCTTTGTCATCCTGGGCTACTAAGGGTTAGATGGAACGATCTTCAGTACAGGTTGGATGTGTCTTAGCATACCCAATTGCTCGTCGGTATCAGCCTTAGCCGGGTCGATGGGATCTTCGACCGGAGCGGAGTCCTTCTGAACGGGGATGGGGCCGGACTGGCCGCTGCGGCTCGCGTAGTCGTTGTCCGCGACTTCGCCGGTCGGGACATCGTCGGCGTTCATGACGACGGTAGTTGAGAGTAGCTGTGGTTTGGATGTTTGCTTGTTGATGTCTTGGCTTGGTTGTTGAAGATCTGATGTGACTTTGGCGGTTGTGAAAGATTGAAGAAACGATCAATGAAGAGGTTCTTATATTGAGCTCGACGGCATCAGTACGTCACTTCCAGTGGAAGTGAAGTGAACCCTTAGTCTGATGTCACTCCTGCCTTCGGGCTGTTGCCATGGTAAGTGAAGTGCAGAGAGATGGAAACGAGCACGTTCATTGCGGTTGGTCCAGCGATCCCTCAATCGTAGCGTCATGTATTGTGAGATTCAGTCGGCATTCTGCAGGGGCACTGTCAACGGCTGCACGCGCAAGACTGATGGCTAACGATGAAAGTAGAAAAGTAGCATCATGATAGAACCATCTAAGAAATGATCAGCAGGAACAGGCGAGATCTGATCAGCCTTCTAACATATCCTGTTAAAGGTCCAACGAACGCGGTCTTGTGAAACTCTCTACCCATGAGACATGTTGGAGCGAATGCAGATTGACCATGGTATCCTCGTCAAGCAGAGTAGAAGTAGATACAGGTTGTTGTAAAGAGCATCAGTTGGTGGATTCCCTTCTTCGCGATAAATGTTGTGCGGGAAGTAGACGCCTCAAACGTCAAGACTGATCTGATGCAGCTAGCCCAGGCACGGATCAAGACCAACGCCAGCCTCCCGCCCTCCCAGATCTCCGTGTGGATCTTGGATCTCACTTGTCGGTTGAGAAGGGTGCGTATCTCTAATCACGGCCTTCTTCCTCTGGTGATGCAGTTGCTCTTTCGTGACGGGAGGTTCCCCGCTGCACATTCATGCTGGATGCAGGATGCATGTGCCCGCTATCACATCACGGCGAGAGGTGGTCACGCAAGAATCACATTTTAGTATCTTCCGCTTGGGCAGATGGTTCGTATGAGCAAAGCTAGTGTTGATTGGTTCCAATTGGTTTCGCTGTACATAGCGAAAAGCAAGGCTTTTGGGCCCTTTCACTGAGCCTGCTAAGATACACGTAGGAGCGCCAGAGCAAATAGGGTATCTATTAGGGCTTGCACCGAAGACCATGTGCAAAGCCAGCTGAAGCAAGAGCAGACGCAAGCATGACAGAAATTTGAGCAGAGCGTAACTCCCATGCTGTTGACAGGCCATAAAGCAAATCATCCGAAGGCTGCAAGATGTTGTAGAGTTGACGCTCGTGTGTACTCACACTCGCACAACGGTAGAAGGTAGAATCGACCACAAGGCGTAACCTTCAACCCCATCGAACGGCCTATGGAGAATGAGACACGCGTCAAGACTGGTCCTTGATGAGCTGCAGCAGGCCATCCCAGTCGAGAGTTGAGAGATTGTCCTTCTCAATCATCTCGAGCTTCTTAGGGCCAGCGTCTGTGCCAAGCACAATGTGGTCAACCTTTTTGGAGATTCCTGATGCGGTTTTACCGCCGAACTGTTTGATGACCGCTTCGGCCTCCTTCCTGGTGTAGCCGTCGATGACACCGGTGACAACAAACGTGAGACCGTCAAGGGCGTCAGGAGCTCCTTCTGGCACCTGCCTGGGGGCCTTGACACCGTTGCTGGCGGATGCGGCGCCAGTGGTTTTCTTGCCCTTCGCCTTCGGAGCAGGAGCTTCGTCTGCGTCGCCGTTGGCCTCTTCTGCGTCCTTCTTCTTACGGCCTCGCTTGGCCTTAGGCGGTTCGGGCTCATTCTCGACTTCATCATCTTCTTCGTCCGCTGCATCGGCCTGAGTCGCCTTGGGCTTCTTGGCTCTAGAAGCCCGCTTTGGCTTTGGCTTCTCCTCTTCCTCTTCGGCATCATCGGCAACTGCCTTCTTGGGTCTGCCCCTGGACTTCTTCGGCGCGGGTGCCTCAGCCTCTTCGTCTGCAGGCTCAGCTTTTGGCCTGCCGCGCTTCTTCGGCGCCGGTTTGGTGGGGCTTTCGGGCCCATCTTCGCCGTCTTCACCTTCATCATTATCGTCTTCATCCTATGATATGTCAGCGCAGCTCACAGCCTCGGGAGACCCTTAATTTCTGAAGACGTAGTCTCAAGACAATTCCTCCTCGAGTGAGGAAGTTGAGCAACTTGTAAGAAGTCGCCAATAGCGTGCAGCGTTCAAGGTGAAAGAGTTACCTACCTTGGTTTTCTTGGCCTTTGGCGTGCGAGGTTTCTTTGCCCCAGGTCGATTGTACTGAGGGTCCTAGCTATCTTAGCGAGAATTCAAACGACGCAGTTAAAGTAACTCACTCCCTTGTAGTCCTCGTCATCTATGTGGCCCTGTTCAAGGGCCCTCGCGATCTTATCCTGCCACTCGTCGGGCATCTCTTCGTAGCCTTCGATCAGGCCCAGATCTCCCTGACAGTGAGCTTGCATGTTGGAGATGACTTTAGGCGAAACGCAGCCCCTGAAAGAGATAAGCCCGGTGTTTGGAGTCACTGGTTCTATGGAGACACACCAATGCTTGTACGCCCACGACTGCTTCTCCTGAATCTCGATAAGAGTGGCGAGGCGGCATTCACCCTTCAAGATCTTGACACCATTGTTCTTGCATTCGGTGTCCTTGCAGCCGGCCCGGTTGTTGGGCGATAGCTCTGAAGTAAAGCTGTCAGTCATTATATTGCAAGGAGGCAGGGCTCACAGGAAAACCTCGAGCTAATGACACGCGCACTGAAAAGACGCCCAACTTACCGATGCGGTATGCCGTAGGCATGGCTGGTTTCTCTTTTCAGTAGACGGCTACAAAGAGCTGTCAGCTAGGGAGATCTTGGCGAGAAATCTATTGAGCTTGATCTGAGCGACGTGGAACGCGGGGCTTCTGATCAACAGGTTCTTACCGCGTTTTATACTACTGAGGATCTTTCAGCTGCTGAGAGATGTGAAGAGACGGAATTGAAGAAGCTGGATGGAAGATGAAGGGAGGACGTCGAAACGAATAGGTGCAGGGTTGTCGTTCAGAGCTTCAGGCACCCATCGCGTTTGAGACTCCGACGCGAAGCACGGGACGTCATTCAAGTCACGTGGGTGCTTCGCCTTCAGAACCACCAGCATGACCGGACACTTGCACACGTATATCAAATCATTAAATCGCGTTTTTATTAGGGGCCAATGTTCGTTCGCTGTCAGACGGTCTTCCGCCAGACGTCTAGGAAAGCGGTCAACTCATCAGCAGGTCAATTTGCTGCCACAGATCTTCTCACACCAGCTGCGTGGCGGCAATGCCCCAGAAGGCTAAATACATGTCGCCCAAGACATGCGCAGCACAAAGAAGCATCACGTCTCTACGACACGAACGTTTCGAAAGAGGATAGTCCCTTCAAACCTTTGGCGCCTCGTCCTGAACTCAGGAATGATCCCCTTTCCTGGATCGCGGCCATCGAGCAAGCGCTGCCTCCCCAGCTAAGGGCATCGGAGACGGGCGTTCCTGATCAAGAGATTACAGCTCCAGCAAGAGAAATTGCAAGATTGTTAACGCATGCCTCACTCCGCGAGCGGATTGATGTTTTGGCATGTCTGGGCGTTGAGCAGGGGCGCTGGACAGCTGTAATGTGGATTATCAAGAGCCTGGTAGAGCTGCCAGCATCCACCAGAAGCCTGTCAGACCTGATTCTACCGTACGAGGAAACCACTTTAAGCAACTTCATACCCTTCGAGGATTTCACAGAGGAACCGCAGCGTGGTAACGCCTGGACACTGCGCAAGAGCTCTGGGCAATCACTTGAGCAGCTGACCGCAAACGCCCCGACACTGGCTAATACACGACTCGATGTTCGCTCGGAAGCAGTCGGTCAGATATGGCGAAGTTTAGGCAATATGATCCTTACCGCTGCAGATCGATCTCGGACAGAGACTGATCCGATAATGCCGCATGTCCTAGAAATAATCGCGTTTCTTCATCACAGTGGGGTTGTCCCGGAGTCAGTTTACAACTATACTCCTGCACAGGACTCATCTGCTCTACAACAGCCTCCTACACTGCACTTGCTGTCCTCCAGGGTCTTGACGTCTTTGACTGATGCTGCCTGGAGAGCACATCAGACGACTGCGGCATCCAAAGCAAAGAACACAGGCACAAGCTATGATTACGTAGGGCGTGACTTCCCCGGAGCACGGTACAAAGTGGCCATTGATGAGCTGGGCCCGGAGGTCTGGCTCGAGCTTGTGTTATGGTCTTGTCTGCACGGACCGTGGCTGCTGGATGGTGCCGCTATACTCACAAGGATGAGCAAATATGAGGGCGATAGCAAATGGTCCTTGGTCTGCTGGCAGGACGTACTCCGATCCTCAGAGGATCACGAGTCTCAGAAGGGCAAGGTTGATTGGAACCTACTGCAACCCCTGATTGGCGTTGACGCAAGGACACAAGAGCACCAGCAAAATCGATTGCGCGTAGAAAGAACAATCAGTAGCGAGGTGGTGGCAGCCTTCGTTGACGGTCTCATGAACCAGGTCAGAGTTGGCGTAGGAGCCAGAGGAGAAGAACCAAGGGCTATTCTGGAACACGTAAACGGGCTCAAAATGTTGCTGGACCGCGCAAACTTGGGTTTGGGTGGTACTTCTTGGGATGCAGTGGTCGTTCGGTTCCTCGAGTCTGAAGGCATCAATGCTGAAAAAGACCCGGATCTGCTACTTGACATTCTGCGTCTAGTGCAACCATTCGGCGCTGAGCTCAATTTCGCTAATGCGCCTGTAAATAACGTGGAGTCTCAGGACCGACCAACCTATGTTCTGGATGGATCTGCAGCGGCACTTGGCCTTTTGCATCGAGCGATACGTGCTTATGCCCGGATGGAGAATACAGCAGGGGCCTTGCAAGCTTTTGAACAGCTTCAGTCACTGACAGATTCCAACAAAAGAAGGTCACTTGAGGAGTTCTTCAGAAGTATGAGAGACCAGACCCAGCAAAGCGCCGATGGGAGTGGCATGTTCGATAGTAAAGTCTCCGGGATAGACTACCCGAGCTTCTATCCTCAGGTCCCGTCCACCATTTTGGCCGCTCTGCTTGATCTCAGCACACGTTCCAAAGCTTACGATTTCGGAAATTGGTTGCTTTACTCTGAAGATATCGATGGACCGATCATTCCACCGAGCCTGTACGGTGACCGCCTTTTGGCACCTGCAATCATTCGCTTCGGAACCGCGACTCGTGACAAAGCTCTCTTAGCCAGGATTATTGAAGTACAGAGTCTAAGGTCCAGAAAAGGTAGTTCACGTCTTCCTGACGAAATTCTGGTAGCGTTCATCAACAGCCAGATCGAGAACAGGAGGTGGGACTCAGTCGACAACATCCTTAAGTATCTGGGAGACCGGAATCACGGCTGGGGCACTCAAACTGTTGCGGTTTTGGCAAGAGAACTATTGCGCCATGAAGTCCCTACTCAAAGTCAGGTTGGGAACGAAGAGTCCTTCAGCCAAGCCAAGAGAATTTTCCGAGCCCTGCTACAAGGACTGTATGGGCACAACGATCGGGGAATATACCTCGAACTAAACGGTCTCTTGGGTGTTCTATCAAGCGTCAGTCTATCTTGGGCCCAGTATTGCACATCGCTCTTCTCCCGAAGTGGCGTGCAGCCGCTGCGTCTACCCACGCCGTGCTTCAACACTCTGTTGGAAGGCGTAGTAGATGCCTACGGCAGCATCCATGGCAAACGTGTGTGGGATATCTGGTGCGAAGATCTCGCAGACGGTCTGCCGCGAAACCCTCGTCATCCAGGCGGTATTTCAAGGCTGCCCAGATATCGACCTTCCAAAGACATTGCCTCTATGAATAGCCTTCCAGACATCAAGCTCGATGACCTTCCTGACCTTGACATAGCTTTCCGTGGCCGTGTGACTCCGACCCTTGCTACTATCCGGATCATCATTCGAAAGGCAATCCAAGAACAGCAAGAACAGCTACAGGAGACACACTTGCACACACTCCGAGAGGACAGGCGTGAGCTCGTTCACTGGGCTGAACTGGTTCTTCGGAAAATGGGCATCCAGGACGAAGATACTGCCCGCGAGCTCGGAGTTTTACGGCAGCAGAAAAGCGATGACACTATATTCTACCCGTTGTTTGAGGATACGGCAGTTCAAATGGATGCTACAATCGATTGAAACCCAGACTACCAAAGCAATGGAGACTTCCATCCCAGCGATAACCTTTGTCTGGACGTGAAGACGAGATTTCAGGACCGTCTCGGTTTCGACAGGTCGATTAAGTCGCTTTTCATTCTAACTGAGGCGTCGTGTAGCGACGAAGCGTAACCAGACCTCGAGACTAAGCATCAGGCGCGTAGCGAACTTTGATTCGTCCAGGCTACAGAAACGGCTACCCAAAGGGTATAGCTCCTCAAACAGATGTTTAGCGGCGCGCCTCTGTTTCAGTCGGACGTTGGCAGTTATCGCTCGTAGTCATGAACGGAGAGGCGCAAGAAGAGAAGCATAGCTTCCTCGTTGATGATAGACACAAGCGATGTCAGGCAACGGCACTTGTCAACCTCACTTTGAATTCAACAACCTGCTGTCTTCTTAACCTCATGATTCTGCATACATTCGTTTGCGACAATGGTTACAGTATCTCTTGCTCGGCTTCTGCTTGGTCCATACGAGCATAGTTCCAGGCAACATGGCGAGCAAAGAACCCACTAGAAGTTCCAACCCCCCAGACCCTCCAGTTCTTGGTCATTTCATGGTTTCCAATGAACGGATCGAATAAGCGGTCCGCGGCTTCCGAGTGCTAGCTTAATGCTGTATTTCTTCGCGGCTCTGATCGACGCGGCACCTCCTCCCTTGGTGTTTTCACGTTGTTCGACTTCGTTCGCAAGCCCTTCCACATCTGTTTGGACAACTCTATGGTCTTGAGCTCTCAGCCATTCTGCCGAACACTGAAACACTCTTTATCGATCAAGTGTAATCGCTCCGTGAGCTTACTGCCTCACATTGCGCGGCTCAGTATTGTCCGCAATTCTGAGTGATACGCTTCAGTGTGGGTAGACGTATTCTCCTAGTCTTCCAAGATTATTGGTGTGAAACAGGCACGATGGGCTATGGGCGGCATTGCCCTCAGCCAGGATTCTTGCATACGGTACGGTGCATTGCCAGCAAAATTCCTGCCCGCATTTCCGGCCTAGCGACCACCAAGTCAGTGACGAATCCCTCATACATATGCGTGAAAATCAAATCAGAACCGTAATACTCACATGTCATGTGATCACATCCTTCATTCTTTTCAATCCTCCAGCCGCAGTTCACACCTGGACACTTCTTCGTTATCTGCTGCATGAGGGCTTGACTGGCTGCTTCGTCCGCTGCGCGATGTCGATCGCGATCTTGAAGTCCACTCGTGCGATAGTCGTACAGAAAGCACGATTCGCCCTCGTGCCATTTGATTCCATGTCTCACACAATGCTCATAGCCGCAGCCGGCGCACTTGAAAAAGTTACCGCCCTGCTCGTCATGGATCTGACCGGAGCTGCAGCCAGGAGCGACGCACCACCTAAACCTCGGATCGGTGGCGAGCACAGAGAGGGCGGCGAAGTGGTCGTACTTCTCGAAGTCTTCGGCACTGGCGCCGCGCCTGATGTCGTCGTAGCCCAGCCGCTCGTGGCACTCGGGGCATCCGATGCGCTCCCAGCCTTTCGCGTCCATTTCAGAGGAGATCCACTGCGCCAGACAGCTTTGGCAGGCGCTGACGGCGTGGCTGCACGTTGCGGTAGGAGGGCGCGCTGGGAAGTCGAGCGGAGGAAGTGAGTCGGTGCAAACCATGCAGGAGCGAGTCTTGGGCTGACTTGCTTGTAGCCGCTGCTTCTCTTCTTCGTGCTGAACTTGCAGGGCCAATGCCTTATCGTCATTTAACTTCTTCTCAGCCTCTTCTAGCTCTTTTTGCAGGCGCTGGGCTAGCAGCAGATCGACATCGTGCCCAGCCCGCCTCAAATGCCCTTCAATTACCAGCGATCGCGGGTCCGGCTCAGGTAGGGCTATGGTCTGCGGGGTTTTCGAACTGCCTGCCGCAGTCTGCAATCCAAGGCCTTGGAGACTTTTATCAGCATCAGAGGGCCGTCGTACATAATTAATAATAGCTCTTGGTAGCGGCTTCGTCTCTGGCCAAGGCATCCCAACGTCTCGTTCCCGCTTCCGCGCTGGCCCGTCGTAAAAGACGGTCTTCGAGCTCACTGTGTGTGGCCAGTGTTCTACCGGCCAGTTGTTACTATGGACATCTCGAACGGAAATGCCCAACACGTTGGCCAAAGTCCGCAGCGGAGAGTTTATATCCGCGCTCGATGGACCGCTGATGGTCCATGGGTCGAACGGTTGGCCTGGTGAGATATCAAACGACAACGGCGGTGCGTCTCGTGGCCTACTCACGGCATTCGCTCGAGGGCGCGCGTTACGCACGAAGTTGTCATTGTCATCGGACTGGTCCAAATCACCTACGAAGACACGCCTGCTCGCCTCTCCGGCCGACCGCGCAACTTTTCGGGGTATGCGATTCTGTGCACGAAGAATTGGCGGCCCCGTCGGCATCGTCGAGGACGTGTAATGGGTCTCCACCGAGGATTCCGAGTAGAACGATACGGAGCTGGAGCTGGGAGCGCTGTCCGGGCTGGGCGCAGCACGAGCTTCTGCTGAGTCGGCGCGACCAGATATCTCCGCTGACTTCTTTTTTCGCCTGAATGAGGACGGCCAGGAGAGCCTCTTGCGCTTCGAAGGCGCGGCAGGGAGAGGGTCACAAGCGGGGACTCGGACGAGCGCTGGAAGCGCATCGGCAGCTGGAGCGGCGGCATAGTTGTTGGCGCGGACATGCTTGGAGTTGCGTTGGCCCATCTTATATGTGCCTTATCATGTAACCAAACTCGCACAATCTCCGATCTGGTAGTGCTTCGTGGTATTGGGACTGAGTTCTGAGAGCAAGGCAGTCGCACAACAAGGCTTGAAATGGATTGGAGCAGTGAAGTTTGGGTTTGCATCGTGTCTTTGAGCAAACGTTTAATTTAGATTTTAAACAAGCGCGGGGATACCACCAACACGATGCCGGCTTTCCGAGTCGCAACCATGGAAGCCAGGCTCTCGCGACCAGTCTTCCCAGGTGTGGGGTGAGGCAGTACCCCAGTCTGGGAGCCTCATCACCAAGCTCAGAGCGGCCCACTTGAGGCTGAATCTACGGCTGGAAGATGTACCGTGATGTGCACCCTTCTCGCCCACTGGGACAAGCCTGTCTTCGTTGAGCGTTTCACCAACGTGAACGAGCGAGGTAAATTTGCAAGACGACATAAGTCCGCATCTTCTCCAGTATTCTGATTTTCTGTAGTGTGACAAAACTGAGTGAGAAACACACTCAGAACAATAGAACATTCGCTACACCTCCGCGGATATGCAGAGAACAAAGAGTAGGAGAGCCGGAACTATACTCTAAGCGTACCATGTGAGACGTGTTCTTTCTAGATTATGAAGCTGAAATCAACCAGAAAGCTGTAGTGGATGACGGAAATGACGCACATCCCCCTGCTTACCCTAAATGGCGTGCTCGTACCTCCAAATCCACCCTCTGACTTGTGCGTCCTGGGGAATGCCTTACCCCTTCCACACCGCAGTGTGGGTCATAGACGTTGCGATCCCCTGGTGGCGAAGTTCGTGGACCCTGGATCTGGGATCGCTTCCGTCACCCTTCGTATTCTAGCGCCGCTCCACTGCTGGATGAAACGCCAGGTACCTTGGTTGGAGGGACGTTAACGGTGTGAGAAGGCGTGCTTATGAGACGTCATTTAGAATGCGCAAACTTCTTGCTCGATGCTGTGATGTTGTACAGGAAACAATCAACCAAGCAAGATGCTCGTCAGATGTAACGCCTTCCCAATGCACGCCAACAGCAAAGAAGCGCTGGAAGAACTATGCAACAAACCGACTCGTGATCCAATCATTAGAACAAAACAGCCCCTGCCATCACAACTGCCTGCCCCGTCTAAAGTAATCATAACTCGTATCCTCATCCGGCGTCCCCACACCAACCTGACTGTACCCAGATCCCACCATGGCCGCAGATGCCCAGCCCGGATTCGCGACACCCATCGGCGACGCGCCTCTCATGAGCCTGCTCTGGTCACCAACATCCGCAGACCTATAGCTTCCCGCGGGGCTCTCAGTCCGCATATAAGGCGTCTGGTGGTAACCCTTCGGATAGCTCGTGCCAGGACCCGCCTCCCCTTCTGCGGTATACGTTCTCTCTGAATCCCTTGAAGAGCTACGGACCATGCCGCCGGTCATGACGCTGCCTGGTGTGCCGGGGCGCACGATATCAGAGGGACGACCGTACATTTCGCCGTCGCCGCCAAACTCCTCCTTGAACTCGGGGCGGTTCTTGTAATTTTCGAAATCTAGATCGGCCTCTGCGACAATCTCGAAGGGCGCGGACGGCGGCTCCGCCTTGCCGGGCTGCGTGGCGCTCATGTCGTGCAGGCTGAAGGTGTCGCTATAGGCCGTAGTGTGATTATTGATAGGCGCTTCTGAGCTTAGGCGACCGCGGTAGATCTCGCCGAGAAGGTGTTTGGCTTTTGCGTGCACCATCGGTGTGATAAGCGGCTTGTACAGCACGGGGTCTCCGAAGCGGACAGCGACACGGTCACCCTTGCGGGCGGTCTTGTCGATGCGCGCGGCGTTTTCGGGGTCCTTGGTGCCGGTGCTGTAGAAGTGGAGAGCGTCGTCGAAGGTCTTCATACAGTACCATTTGAAGCCGCCCAGGATGAGGACGAGCGGAAGCATGCAGCCGAGCATCGTCCAGCTGTAGCCTTGGGCGTAGACGAGAAGTGCGGTGAGGATGTTGCCGAGGAGAGTCGCGATGAGGAAGCGGTTGAAGATCAGGCGCCAGAACATGCCGCCGGACTCGTATTTGGTGATGAAGACATAGAGCAGGAGGTACTTCTTCAGCCAGCCGTCCAGGTAGAAGTAGAGCGCTGCGACCGGAAGGACGAGCGGCTGATACGACGCAAACACCAGCGCGACCGACGCGTAGAAAAGGAAATAGTTATAGTATCCCGCGTAGTCGAACGGTTGAGGAGCACTGAGCTCGATCAACTGTCGAGGAGTAGGACTCAAGAACTTGCGCGAGAAGGAACCCCAAGCTAGGTTGAACAATTGCGACAAGTCAACGGCAGCACCTAGGTTGCGCTGCAGGAGCCAAGTTACCCAGAAGGGAGAAACGTTGCAGAAAGCAACCATGAGCTGGGTGAAGATGTGCCCGTTCTGAAGTGCGTCCCAGGTACCGCTGTTGTTCTCTTTGGCTTGGATCACGTTCGAGACGTAGCCAAAGATAGCACTGAAGATAGAAAACGCGATCAAATTATTGACGAGAAAGAACGAGAACAGCTTGTGAGTGACATTTCTTTCTCTAGAGGTCTTAGTCAAATCACCGGCTCTGATGGATAGTCGGCGGAATATGGCGGGCAAATAAAAGTAGAAGGCTGATGTGATAGCCGGGGATGCGATACCCTGGATGATGGCCCACAGTGTAGGATTGCGGTTGAGCTCGGTTTGAAAAGCTGGCCACACTCTGCCAATGTTCGATAGATTGGTCAAGAAGATGGCGATCAAGGCGTTGGGAACAATCCAGAGCACGGTAAGCACCGCAACCCAACCGTTAGTGTAAACCGTCTTCCAGCGACGCGTACTTCTGCTGAGTGGTAGATTCCTCCAGATCAAATCGTTTGGCTTCGGGGCAAGTCGAATAGTGCTGCCTTCGGGATGCTTGTTCTTGCCAGCATGCGCGACGCTGTGAGCAGTATCAATCGACTCGTAGCTTGCGAACCCGTAAGACATGGCGTTACGTTTGTCGACGGATTCGCGGGCTTCTCGAATCTGGGCTTCGAGCTCCCGTATGCGATCCGTAAGGTAGTCGATGGCGTCGACCGTCTCTCCTTTCTTGTACGACGCATCATTCCTCGAGGCCTTGCAGGTCGGCCTCTTAGCAGGCAGCTTGTTCGGGTTGCGGAGGTATTTTGCGAGATGTCCCTCAAGCTCTTTGACGGCCTCCTCATGCTCTTCGACGAGTTCAGGAAGATCCTTTGCGTTGCGCGCGATTGCAGCGCGAGGAACCTCCGCGGTTGACTTGACGTCATCGATAATCTTGACAATGCCTTCGTCCGTCCTCAACGACTTCGGAATATCCGTAAGCATCAATGTCCGTGCATGCAGGCTAGCCTGGTACTCGGGACTGTTGAAGTAGTCTCGTCGAAGTCGCACAACCGCCCGGTAGTTATGCCATAGGAAGTAGCAGATGACGATCGTGAACAGATACGAGCAGATGACAAATGCCCAAAAGATGTTCCCCCACATGAACTGCGGTGTCATAGTCATGAAGGCAGATATCCCACTGTTGTTGTTTCGAAACGACCTCCCACCCAAAACGTTTACAGGTATGAGTATTCCGCAGCCGAGAACGGAGAGGGAGAGGAAGATGTTGCGGCACATCCTGGTGAAACGCAAGAATATGGCGGCATCGAGTCCAACTTTTTCGACAAGCTGCTGCTCGTTCGTTTGCCGGACGGGTGTAACCCATGCAAAGAGACCTTTGCCCACGGGTGGAGGGGCGTGCTTCTCGTCCGCATGTCGTGACCTCGGTGCGTAGACGACGGTGTTGTATGGCCGGAGGAGGCAGAAGACGAGAGCGATGGCGAGGGTGAATAGGAGAGAGGTGCCCAATGATGATAGGAAAGCCGTTTGTTGTATCTAGGGCTGTCAGCTGTCTTCAAGCCAAGCAGGCCTGGATGCCATACCTGAGATTGGAATGGATCACTGATGAGCTCTAAAAACGCCCCAGTGCTGTCTGAGTTCTGCCGTGGCAGCATCTGCCAGGCAGAGGAAGAAGAGGCCATAACGAGGCCTTTTGCTTGTGTTCGAAGGAAGAAGATGATACTGAAAACAAGTCGTATGCGGTGGAACAAAGGTCGCGTGATAGGAATCAACGACGGGCCATTAAAAAGGTAAGAAGAAACGAGGGAGAGGTGTTCAAGATGCAGCAGTGAAAGCCTGTCGTGCACCTCTGAAATAACGTGTTCTACATATGTGCTGCCGAAAAAGCACCTGGGGCAGTGGAAACGAATAATTGTTGGGATAGGCGGCGGAAACACCCACTGGCGCTGATGTGGCCCGCGTCGAACCCGTTTCGCTGATGACGCCGCCCTGCGGGAAAGCTGTTATTTTCTATTGGGCACTTTTGGCACTTTTCCCAGCAAACCTTGACAGCTGCACGCCATCTTCGGGCCCTTGCGTTCGACAGCTCTAAAAATGGCAAGCCGGAGAAAATTCCCGAACCCGTTCTCACGCAGGTCCCACAGCTGCCCCTCATCGAGCATTCCAAAAGACTTTGACCGTTCTCTTGGATGTACCTAGCCAGCAGAACGAGGAACGTCTCCATTAAACGAATCTAACTATGATTCTAATCTACGTCGGTCACCTCAGAACTGTGCCGCTTCTTAAGCCACTAGGCCGCTGTGCGGCGGAGACTTTTTGCTATCAGTCGATCCTTTTGTGTCACCCCGCAGCATTAACGGTCCAGAACTCTGGGTCCAAGACGTCAAAACAATCAATCGATCGCATGAAGAACGGAATTTCAACATTGTTCATTGCTTCCCCGCATTCAAAGAGTCGAGTGCATCGATTTAGTAGTCCGTTAGCGCCCCTGCGCTTCTGAAATTGTTATTACTTACGACGATCGTTGCCAAGATCGGTCATCATCGCTTGCTGATGGTAATGATCGGGGAAAGATGTTCTGCGCGAGCTGTGCCGTTGCTCGATGTGGAAGTGGAAGAGTTTCCGCAGAATGACTTGTGAAAGTGAAATCTCCGTAGGGTCCTAGTTCCCTGTCTAATGGTGCCTCATCAGAGTAGATTTGAAATGGACCTCATGCCCATAGTATTTCGGAGGGTTCGAACAACAAGCGATGGGAGACTGGGAGGTTTCGTCGCGTTCATGATGGGCCCTCCCAAGCTCAGACCAGGCCTCTATAGGACCTTGAAATGTTGGGGAACGTTCACACGGAAGCGCCTTTCGCGCATGATATTCGGCAATCCGTCTACATAGCTGCCGCACCCCAACGCTCCTCGGCCTCGAAGCCGCATAAGGATAGTTACCCACACCAACCGTTGTCCGCTAGCTCCTCAAGTACGCCTTAACCGGCTCACCCCACACAACCTGCCGCTTGTAAACGGCCATTTTTGGCGTACTGCCCCCGGGCAGGCCATCGATAGCTTCGCACAAGTCCTCCGCACTCCCCTCATCCTTAATATGCCTGAGTGGATATTGATAAGTCTTGAAGGCAAACACCAGCGCCTTGCTCTCCGGTAACCGGTGCAAGGTCTGTCTCTCGCACCTAACCACGCACTGCTCCACATCCACCTCCTCATCCTCCCGTCCAGAAACACCGTCCGCCTCGCTCTCATAGCCGTGATTTCCGCTGAGCACAAAGAGATCGCGGTTCGTAGTGATGGACCAGTTCGCCCGCTTGACAACCTTGCCGACCGGTAGTGCTGCGAAGAATCTGTCCATGCTCTTTTCGAGCTTGGCCGCATAGCCGGGAACCGGTCCATGGATACCAGCGAGATTGAGACCGAGCTTTAGGCGCGTATTGAAGCCGGAGGGGAAGCATGTCACGAAGCCTTCGAGTCTGTACTTGCCCTCCTCGGCTGTAGGGAGCAGGAGGAGAAATTCGCAGTCGATACTGCCTCCGAGAATCTTGAGAGCTTCTACGGGCGTTGGAGGGGGTGCGACGGAGAGAGTCTCCTTGGTGGCGGTGTTGAAGAGGACTGGGTACAAAGACCCTGGGGCGAGAGTTAATTGGTAGACTCGTGGGAAGCGGCGCGGGAGGTAGGTTTCCATCATCCAAGTGTACAACTCGTTGACAGCTGGCTTGATGATCGGGTTGGCAGCTATAGCGTCTCCCTCGTGGTCTCTCATAATCCTGCGCCGGAGCTGGATACGATCGACGTAGGTATTGTCCATCTCAATTAGATCAGACATAGTTATATTCTCGAGTGCTAGAGAGTGTCAGAGCCCCTCTGGATTCAAGAGTCGTATTGACTGGCGGTTGTACCCATGGTGAGGTGGTATTTCGGCTTGAACGGCCGCAGTTTGATCGGTTCAGTGTCCCGCCATTCGAAATCTGCTAATGGCGTGATGTTGCTGTACGCATCCAGTGTACTAGTCTTTTCGTCTTTCCTTATCGAGTCTTGTTTAGTTGTCGGCCTGTATGACTGTGGCACTGATTAGAAGGGGAATGACGTTAAACGCAATGAATATGCGCTGACTCTACAAAAAGCATCTGTCTATTGTCCTACCATCTTGAAGTTGATACTGTCAAGGGCATGGTCATACCTTGTGCCGCAAAAATCTTATGTCAATAAACCACACGATAGCGGCAACACACAGGAATAGAACAGGCAGTGTCCACACTGAGTGAATCATGACTGGAGAATAACAAGAATCTTCGCCTCGTGTCGAACCAAAAGGCTTGTAACGGGCGACAACAGCTTCTAAGTTTCCACTGTTTTGAGACGACCAGACTTGGAGCAACCCACCTTCCCACAGAGATACAGAGGTTGAGTCGGCTTGCATCGGCCAAGAGGTGCGGCATCATGCATCAACCGGATCGGACTTCCTTTTCTGGCCAAGCGCGAACTTCTTTTTGAGCGAGGTCGGAATGCATGAAACTATAGGGCTTACAGGCGCCAAGCATACAAAAGCGAGCAAAAGTAGAGCAGTGAAGACTTGTGGATAAATACAGCGTGACGGCGGCTTAATATATCTAGAACGTCAATTAGAAACACCACGATTCTATTGAGCCCGAGTTCTCGGGTGTGTTGAGGAGAGGCTTGGAAGGCAGACGCCGAGTTCGTTATGAGTAGGCGCTAGGGAGTAACACTCAGCGTTGCGATCAACAAGTGGAAGCAAGGTGACCATCGGAAATCCACTACCGTGAAGTGTTTGGACGAGAAGAAGTGACAAACAGGAAGTTCAGTGTAACAAATTTCGGGGACGTAAGGCATCAATGTGGGCATTTCAGCTGTTTACAGTGGAGTGATGGTAAAAGTGGAGGAGGAAGACGGAGAAGATGCTGGGGATGGAAAATATGTATCAGGAGTTCCAGTACCTCCTGCTGTTCTTAGCTCGGCTAAAGTACCCGCTTGAGTTGTTGCGTTAGGGAAGTTGAAAGTCATCTCTGGGTGACGTTCACGGTCGTAGATGGAAAGCTGCAATATCCAGGTATTAAAAGTACGGTCTGAGAACCGTCTGAGATGCTGATACACGGCCTTTCTCTGCAGATGTATTACAACTTCTCATTTATGGCAATTCTTTACGATGTTTCATGAGGTTCGTTCGTCAACGCCGGTATTGGCCGGCGATACCCGTAATACCCGCTGCCGCAGGGACACTTCAAAGCTTGGTGGAATTCCGCACTCCATCGTGAGAAAACTGAATGGCCTAGCTAGCGGCGTGTTCCATAGGAGCCTGCCCACGCCAGAAATGGAAATGAGAGAATAACTCCATATTCAGAGATGCTCAGCCAGACGTTCTTACTCCTCGAAAACTGCACTGTCGGAATGTCGAGCTCGGAGGTCCGCCGACGAATCCTTGCCCGAAGCGCTGGCGGACCGATCAGAGTCATCTTCTTCTCCGATTGATGAAGGCACAGCGAGACTGAATTTTCGCCGATGGCCGCTAGGCCGTTCTGTGAGACTCGGCGCTCGAGGTCGCTGTCTACCGCGCGCTCGTCCGCCGATTACAGGTATTTCATGGGTTGCTGATCGCCAGCTGTAGAGCAGGAGATCGTAGATGATCAACAGCGCCCAGGGGCCGATGGTCAGCACGCCGAGTAGTATCTGGACAGATCAGTTGTCAAGCATTCCTTAAGATCATTATGGAAGACCTACGAATATGCGAGCGGCCCATGCCTCGACGGTGCTCAGGTTGTCTGGCAATATTGAGAACCAAGCCATTGCTTCTTTTGGCAAAACTTCTCAAACTCTTGTGATCGATCTGTCTTCGGAGGACCAGGTGCCCTAGATGACCGCGACTCTTGTCGCTACTTATATTGCTTCAGAGATCTGTTGGAGGACTTGCATGTCAACAGCGGGGACGAACAGGGGGCAGTCGCGGTTTCGATCACGTGATGCCTGGGGCAGCTTGTGCCCCCAAGAACCTGGATGGAGGACTTCCGCCGCGTGTTTCGCAACAATGAAGTTGCCAATAGTTCGGTAGGTTGCCGAAAAGACTAGACAAGATCACAGATCGTCCAAAAGCTCCCTGATATGGGCTCAATGTACGCAGAGAGCTGACTGATAAGCTACAAGCTAGCCCAGGACCCACCATCCTTAGCGACTGCTAGAGTAGAAACTTCTTAGACCTGCACGAACGAACGCAATGAGGCTTCAGAAACCATTGAAGACCGCCATTGATCTGGTGCTCACTGAAGTTGAAGGTAAGGCTACACCAATGAGCATAGCAGCCTCGAGCCAAGGCTTGTGCTATGCTTACTCCGCATCTGCCTAAAGCATGCATAAGGTAGGATGCTTAAGCTCTCAGCCTCGTCTCTGCAGCTTTCAAGAATATGCTCGACGGCACCTTCTCGCCGTCTCTCCGCTCTCTATCTTGTCTGAGTCACTGTGTGTTCAATCACTCCTGCTGTACACTCTCACAGTGACCTGCCAAGCCACCGGCAAGATGGCTGAAGTCAATGTCTTCGAACAGGCATTTCAATCAACTCACGTTGCCACGGAGAGCCAGCTTCCTGTTTCCTCGCAAAGTACCCCATACACCCTGCTGAACGACCTTCAGTTCCTGGACGTCTTCCCTGAAGGCAACGCTTCGCTCATAATCATCCTACCAGACGGCGACACCTCGATCATTACCGGTTTGGATGTAGACATCATCAGCCAGCGATGCCCTTTACTGGCCTATTCCTTTGAGGACCGTGCGTATGGTCTCTCACAAGCCAGCATCGAAGCAAGCTCCAGAGGCCTAGTGGTTCACTTCCTCCAGTTCCTCTACCTCGGCGACTACAACGACCAAGGCCGGTTCGGATCAGAGCCATGTTCTCTTCTCAGACACGCAGAGCTCCTACGCATAGGGGAGATCTTCGAAGTCCCAGAACTACAGACTCTGGCTCGCACGAGTATCCTCCAAGACACGGAGGCATCCTGCAGCAGGCCGAGTCCCCCAGACGACCTCTGCTCGGCCATCAGCTTCATCTACGCTCAACTCTCTGATCAGCGATCGCTCATAGAGTCGATATTGCACTACTGTGTCTTCTGTTTCCTGTACCACAACCTTGGAAAGAACCCAGCCTTCAGACAGTTGGCGTTCGAACTGCGCCCGTTCTCCAACGATCTAATCCGGACGAGCTACTTTCGAGACTTTGAGGACGAGGGTAAGCAGTAATTCTCTCTGAAAGTCTGAACACGTTATGTTGGTCTGTTGCACCTTTGCCGGGAGCTCGTGGCTCTACTGTTGCCTCCGTTTGAATGCCCTTGACATCTGGCGAGGTGAGCTACCAAACAGTTGGCTGACTGTATTTAGGCGCAATGGACATTTTAAACCTCCCAATGCGCGAACCGAACCCCCTCTCGAACGCCCTCAACGAGCAAGCCGCACTCGGCGACTTCCTTTTCGATCTCTTCGCAGACAACCCACCCTTTGCGGAGGAGGATGCTCTAGCAAAGATGCGCAGAAAACGGATATCGGAACCAACATACACGCTCGTCCACCGACCACGACATGGGCTGCCGCGAGTTGCGCCGAGTGCATACAGTACTGAGACTGATACGGAGGGAAGCGAGACATCGACGTCGGAGGCGGAAGGATTCACGTTCGTTCGCCGACCGAAGGAAGACGTATTCGACGTCTCCGAAGGCGATGAACCTATGACGGACGTAGAGAGCGACTCTGAAGACGTGCGCAGCAGAACCCCGATACCGAGAAAAGATTTGTGGACTTCCACTGGCACGATAACCTCGCTGTGTGATGGGAATGGCGCAAACCAGGAGTCTGTCAAAGGGGGCGAAGAAGACAACCGCTCAGATTCCGAGTGGTGTGTGGTGTAGATTTGACAGTTTCTCGACGGAATCCACGGAGTCTATTTGGCAAGGCGTACAAAGGGCAGGAGTTTATCCAGTGGCTGGGATTCACGTGGGCGTTGGGACATTGAGGGAACTGTTGTGGACTTGGGAGGCTGGGCGTTACAGTGCTGAGGCTGCAACATCATGCTATAGATGCATTAACGTTAAATGAAGGGACTGCCAAAGCGATGTGCGGCTTTCTGTGTTGGGTGTGCTTCGATGAGACTCGGCTGGCCTAGTACTCAACACATGACCTGGCTAATCTCCCTGCTGGATAAGCTCACGGAGGCATTATTCTTTATGAAGTACCAGGTAGTACGTCTACAGCAACGCAATTCTACCATAGTTCTACAGTTACTATCGCCTCTACCACGCCGACATTTGACATCCTAGAGAATCCACTGCACGATTCAAAGCTTTACGTAGAAATCAGACTGCAATATGAGGAGCGCATTCCGTGCTCAAGTGATATGCGGAAAGTAGCTGGACCACGCAGGTACATTGTAGATGCCAACAGAAGGATTGGAGAGGGCTACGAAGCACTCGACGATCAGATATGCTCTTGCAAGGACCTAAACAAGCAGCACAGAAGTAAAGATAGCAAGTCTGCCATTCGGTCCGAACAGGAGAACCATCAGAACATAGGGCGGAGGAGCCTCGGCAATGAATCTGACGACGACCAGTCGAAACAGCAATCAAAGACGTTTTCAATGTAGTAGCGGTGGCTCCACCAAAACGCAAATAAGATATGATTGAGGTAGGGACGAAGCGGGATAAACCATCCTCAGTGATTGCCGAGCTACAGAGATACCAAGGACGGCGGAAAAGAAAGAGGAAATAAATAAAAATCATTTGGATGAGATTTTTCAAAACAACATAGAATCTCAGCAATGAAGTTACAGTTCCCGGCAGAACAGAGATACTCGTACGTCATGTGGTTCATGTTCGGCCTTTGTGATATGCTTTTGGAAGCAGAACTCAAATCGGCTCAGTACTTCCCTTGCCATCGCATACTGAACCCAAGCTGTATATGCAACCAACCCGGGCGCTAGAAGTGTAATAAAGAGTCATTTGACTTTGCGCCATAACTGGCGCTTCTTGTACCAGGGACGGCCCAGGTCCTCATACTCAGGGATGTTAAGATGAACAGCAGTCCAAACACAGAGCAGTGTCTTGAGGATGCAACTAGACAAGACTGAGAATGTACCTCGTTTGGTAGGCTCGGGCGTCCAAGAGACTGTATCTGTACCGTTACCGAAGATCGTTAACGTGATGCCGTAAGCACCCCCGTAAGGCTCTGGTGATAGTACAAGTAGATGAGACGAAGGCAAAAGACAAAATTGAGAGTTGATGCGCTAGAAGGAAAGGAAGCCATCTAGCAGATTTCAACTGTCTTAGACCTACCATCATACGCACGCCCTCAGGCAGCAGGCAGGCAACGCAATACCACAAGTAGGTCATTTGGGAAGCAAGAGTCGCTTCGTGCACAAGTTACAGCCAAAAGCTGTCATACCGCGTCTTCTTCCTGTAAAAGGTCTTGGCGCTGGCCGCAGACATCGTGCGGGCGCATATTTACACCAACTAGCTCTTCAGTCAGCAGCGTTGTAAAGGCGTTCGGATACAGCGCCAGCTTCAGCATCTTCGCCCTCAGACGGTGGCTGAATCATTTCAGTCCCTTGCCTTCAGCTCTTGAGCGGTTCTTAATTGCATACGGTGAGTCTTGCCGGCATCTCCTTGCCGTTCCGCTTTGAATAGAGATCAAAGCGATGTCTGGCTGGCACCTCTTAGCCCGCGCGAGGTTCAGCATGATACAGCAGCATATCCTTTAGTAGTGTACGTAGATGACTGGAGCTTGGAAAGGGAGGGAAGATGTAAGTCGGCTCGGCGTATGCTACGGCGTGTTGTGTGTGCGGTGCGCTTCTGATCCAGTGGGATATGGTGGCTACTCCCTGAGATGTAAAAGATTAGGAGGACCGCGTCGAAGTCAAGAAGCTGAATCCTGATAAGGTCCAGTCTATCGTGCCTGATATGAGAGCGGTACGGAGTACATGTCGACATCACGGCACATCGGCACCGGATGCAGTGACCAGATCTGAGGGGATCCGGCAGTTGTCTCCACTGCAGCAGATCTCCATGGGATTAGTGTTGAGCTAGAGGATGTGCTTTCCCAGCATAGATATCCGCAATGCTTCCTATGTCCAATTCGTTAGACCTTAGAAGCATGCTGCGTGAACTGCCTCGACGCTCTTGCTTGAGATGACAGACGACAAGCGCGGGAATCTTTCCGCGGCGGCTCAAGCCACACCATCATCTGCCGCCGAACCATCACCAGCATCGACATCGGCTTCCATAAACCACCAGCAAACGACCAGCTCCAAAACTCTTTGGCGCCGAGCATACGACATACTATCATGGACACCGCCGCGATGTCGCTGGGATACGGAGAAGCCGCCCGTGTTCTCAATGCCTCTAAACGTGCTCTTTGCGGTTGCTGGGGCATTCACGGTTGCGAATTTGTATTATAATCATCCTATTCTTAACATCCTAGCGGCCGACTTCAACGTTTCGTACGAAGATGTTGCTCAGATTCCCACGGTGATGCAAGCGGGCTATGCAGCGGGGCTGCTTTTCCTGTGTCCGCTGGGAGACCTGTTCAAGAGACGGGCTTTCGTGCTGCTGCTGGTTCTGTTCACCGCGACTATGTGGTAGGAGACAATTCCTGTCCAGAGCCTTATGATGTCGGTCGCTGACAATTTATACTCCAGGATCGGTCTCTGCATCACGAAATCCCTCGCCGTATTCACCGCCATCTCCTTCATAACCGCCATCACAACCGTGACACCCCAACTCATGCTCCCCCTAGTCGGCGACCTCGCACCTCCAAATAAGCGCGCTGCCGCCCTCTCGATCGTCGTCTCCGGCCTGATAATGGGCATTTTAATCGCGCGTCTCCTCTCCGGCATCCTCACAAACTACACCTCGTGGCGCAACGTCTACTGGCTCTCCCTCGGGCTGCAATACGCCATCTTCATCCTCCTCTGGCTCTTCATGCCCGACTACCCCTCCACCAACCCGGGCGGGCTGAACTACTTCAAGATGCTCTGGTCCATCCTCGTCATGGTGACCAAGCACCCAGTCCTCGTGCAAGCCTGCCTCATCTCCTTCTTCACCGCCGCAACCTTCACCAACTTCTGGACGACCCTGACGTTTCTGTTAGCCGGGGAGCCGTATAACTACAGCTCCCTGGTAATCGGCCTCTTCGCCCTCATCGGCATCGCCTCAATGCTCCTGTCCCCCGTCTACGCGCGCACCATCACAGACCGCTTCGTCCCGCTCTTCAGCACCGTCATCGGCGAGCTCATGGTGCTGACCGGCGTCGTCGTCGGGACCTACACCGGCACCTTCACCGTCGCGGGCCCCATCCTCCAGGCCTTCTTGAACGATCTGGGGATGCAGTCTGCGCAGATCGCGAACAGGAGCAGCATCTATGCCATCGAGCCCAAGGCGCGCAACAGAGTCAACACGGCGTTCATGCTCTTCACGTTCTGTGGCCAGCTGACGGGCACCGCGGCGGGGAATTCGCTGTATGCACGCGGCGGCTGGATTAGGAGTGGGAGTGCGAGCGTGGGGTTTATCGGGGCGGCGCTGCTGGTGTGTGCGGTTCGGGGGCCGTGGGAGACGGGCTGGGTCGGGTGGTCCGGGGGGTGGTCGATTCGGAAGAAGGATCCGAATTCGTCGGATGGGAGGACGGCGGAGGGGCCCGAGAGGCAGGAGCAGAATGGGGCGGATGTGGAGAAGGGGGTTGCGGAGGAGATTGGGGAGGAATTGGCGGCCGAGGAGGGGAAGAACCCGCTTAGGCGGATCAGAGACGAGGAGACAAAAGAGGTAGAGAAGAGTTCGTCCGGATCCGAGATTAGTAAGTCTACGGAGAGCCTGAACACTGCGGGCGACATAAGACCAGTGAGTGCGCCGAAGCCGTAGCTGCCTGCGCCGAAAGGTCGTTGTGTTCCTACAGCGCTGTTTCGTCGCAGTTGGTTATATTTTCTGTGAGTTTTTCGCATCTAGCGCCGGCGCGTTGGGATCCAGGGCATTCGGGCTGCATAGAGGGCATAGACAGCATTGGCGCAACGGAGCGCGATTACAAAGATATATATATACGGTGTCTTACTTTCCCGTCTCTATACACACACACTCACACCCCACCTACCCCTCCTCCCCAACAACCTTAGCATGCCTAAAATACTTCATCCCCACCCACGCAACCACGACCCACACCCACGCCATAACCCCCGTCATCACAATCAGCGCGGGATAGTACCCGACAATCGGCAGCGTCGGGTCGTCCTCGAGTTCCGGCGGTGCGTAGGGCGTCTCCCCGACGTCCCACGCCCAGCTCCAGACTCCGAGACACGAGCCCATGCCCACGACGAAGATGAGCCAGGTGCAGAGCAGCAGCAGCCAGCCATAGCGCTCGGTTTCTGCGTTGTCCTCGTCGGAGGAGGGGGTGGGCAGGGGGAGGAGCACGGACTGGGAGAGGGGGGAGGTGGCGCGCGCGGAGGTGGAGGGTTTGCTGCGGCGGCGGGGTGGGATGGTGGCGTTGGCGGTGCCGGCGGTGGTGGTGGTTGGTGCTGTTGTTGCTGCTGAGGGGTCGTGGTGGCGGTAGGGCGAGGAGTCGGACTCGTCGGTTGTAGAGACGTAGGGGTGTGCATTTGGGCTGATGGCGACGGGCGAGGCAAGTATTGGTCTCACTGGCGCGTGCGTTTCGGCGCTCTGCGGAGAATCTCGTGGCGAAATGCTGCCGGCTGCGTGGTGCGAGTGCTTCGGAGCTGGCGCGAAGAGAGTGATGCCGCCCTCAGCTGAAGAAGCCGCGGACGGGTTCTCGTAGCTGAAGCGCCGCCGGGGGGTGCGATCCTCTGGGGTTGTGGGGCTGCTGCCAGGTATATTTCGCTGATGGTCTGTAGAGGCGTGGAGACTTCGCGGTGGGCTCTTTCGAGGCGCGTCGCTGCGTTCGCGCAGCTTGCCCGTTCCCAGCATGGCAGCCTTGCGCAGCGAGTCTTTCCGCCGGCGCACTTTGTCTTCGCTCATGGCGGTGGCCATTGCGCCGCCTCTCTTCGTTGTGGATGGGGCATCGCGTTCGGTGTTGTTGCGCTCGGCGTCCCTGGTCTTGGAGATTGAGGGTAGCGATGGTAGCTCTTCGAAAGATGTCCGCAGGAACGCCAGCTTGGACAGGATGCTGCCGGACAGGCTTCGTTTGTGTCCGGTTCCTGCAGGCGCGCTGCTGCCGCCTTCCGGCTGTACGTGGCCGTTGGCAAGATGATCGGTGCTACGGTGGGCGCCAGCGCTGCCTTTTGGGGAGGTGGCAGATCCATTTTCCATGCTCTTTGTCTGGCAAGTCCATCCGCGACCGCTCCTCCTCCAACAATGGCCGAAGGGTGGTTATGTTCCCGGCATTGCGCTTCTTTGTTTCGGAGAGGTGAAGCTGAGCAGGGGAGGGATGGCTGACGCGCGTTTCAGATCGCCGGCAGCTGCAGGGCCCAGCCGAAGTCACGACACAGCTCGGGGGTGCGATCTGCGCCTTACGGTAGGGCAATTGTTTAAATCTCAGGAGGCTACATACCAAACTGTCTACAAGATGATATAGCACAGCCAGCTCGCTATAGCAAGCGCTCAAGCAAAGACAAGCCGATATCTCCCTCGCCAATGGCACCGGCCATGCCTCTCCCAATCCCACCCCGCACACCCACTCCACCTCCTGACGACGCAGACCAGCCCGTAGGCCTGGGAGTTGCGGGTGCGCCGCACTCTTACAACCCAGATGCCCTCTCGCCCACCTCCGCGACCTTCCCGTCTCGAGGATTCGGCTCTCTAGCAGATCCAACACCCCCGTTGAGCGCGCGGAGCCCCCTCAGTTCCGCCGGCCTCGACTCTCCCTACGGCTTCCTCAGCGATGTCGTTGACAGCGCAACACCGGTCAGCGGCTCTGAGAATGGCAGGAACCCGTTCAATTTCCAGACGCAGCAGTACACGCTTGGTGGGAAGTCTCCCGCGAAATCAGTATGTCTCCCGCAGTGTCAAGCCGAGCAAAGACAGTCGCATCTCCATATATCAGTCACTAACGCCTCACAGTCCCAAGACGCAGCCCTCGGCCGCCGCCGCGGCCACAAATACAAACACAGCAGCATCTCGCACCAAATCTTCCTCGAGCCCGCTCCACGCCCGCCCCTCCAACTCCCCGCCTCGCTCCCGATCCCGACCTTCAAAGAGTTCCGGCACTCGATGACTGCGGACCAAAAATACCGCGCCCTGTGGTGCTTCGGCCACCTGCTCGTGGCCGGCTACGTGCAAGCCTGCGCGCACGGCTCCATGGCCATGACGGCGCTGTCGCACCTCCTCTTCTACGACACCATCGGCGCCTTCGTGTGCGTGGCCGTGGACGTCGGGGGCAACTTCGAGGTCTGGAAACGGAGCACAATCAAACACCCCTTTGGGCTGCAGCGCGCCGAGGTGCTGGCGGGGATGGCGATGGCCGTCACGCTGCTGTTCATGGGGCTGGACCTCCTGTCCCATGGACTGCAGCACGCGCTCGAGAACTCGGGCGGGCATGAGAGCCATCACCCGGACTCGGATACACACCATGAGCGCATCTCGCCTGGGGAGGTGGATGTCGCGGCGCTGGCGGCTATCGTCTCGACGCTCGTCTCGGCGCTGCTGCTCAAGAACCATGCGCGTATGGGGAAGGTGCTGAGGCTTGCGCCGATCGCGGCACTGCCCTCTGTGTTGAGTAACCCGAGCCATTTCCTCACGCTCTCGTGCTCGGCGCTGCTGTTATTGCTGCCGTTGCTGAGCGTGCAGAGCTACGTCTGGCTCGACCGCCTCCTCGCCTTCTCCATTGCCGCGTGCATGGTTGGGCTGGGGTGGCGGCTTGGTTGGACGCTGGGGAGGATGCTCATGATGTCGTATACCTCTCCTTCGTCCTCTGCATCGGGTGTCGAAGCCGTGCTGGCGGAGCTGCGCGCTGACCCGGCTGTCGCGGAGCTCGAGGAGGCCAAGTTCTGGCAGGTGCACTATGGGCTGTGCCAGGCGAATCTGAGGGTCAGGTGTCGTGGCGCGGGAGACGAGGAGGCCGGGCGGCTGAGGGAGAGGATCGCGAGTTTGGTGCGGAACAGGCTCGGCGGGGCGTATGGGGGTGGGTTGGGGGTTAGGTGGGAGGTTAGTACGCAGTTGAGTTTGGAGATGGAGTAGAGAATGTGGGGGCGTTTAGATCAGGGGTTGGATGCTCCGTTTCGCTGAAATGTTGTCATGAGAACACGGTTCTGGCTGTTTCGCTGTGTGGAACCATAGGGACGAGTGGGGTTTGGAGAATTGACAGTTCGCACATGGATTCGCGAAGAAACTCGATAGAGCGTCTAGAGAAAAACCAAAAACTAAAGACGTAAGTACCATGTCCTCGCTCTTCATGGACTGTAGCTTGCTGATAACGATAAGTGAAAGCGAAAACGTTACTGAGGTTTCCACGTATCCTACGCTTCATTCGATTCCGCTGGATAAGGCGAACGGATATCAAAAAGGCGCCACTATTTCGAGGCCCGACCGCAATATTGTTGGAAGTACTCTCCTGTTCTGACGATCCCTAGCGACCGTACATCGTCAGAGATCGCAGCTACTCAAAAGACTCAGCACAAAACATTGAGCAAGAATTCCCGCCCATATGTGACCACACTCCAAGCAAACGCCAGTTCCATGCACAGTAGCCAGCCCAACAACGCCCTTCGCTAGATGCTTTTGATGACGGAGCCCCGCTGCTCTAGAAATCTCCATACTCGTCCCCTCCACCTCCTCCGTCGTCCCCGTAGTCATCGTCGTCACCACCGTCGAAGTATTGCTCGGCGTTGTAATCGTCGTTGTCGTCCTCGTCGTCCTCGCTAAATGCGTCGTCCTTATCCTGCTCGTTTTGGTTTTCCTCGTCTTCGGAGCCTTTCTCCTCCTCGTCGCCTTCATTTGCGACGTCCGGGTCCTCGAACTCATCGAGCTTGCGCAGCCGGTTCGAGTTCGTGATCTGGAGGAGCTTCTTCTTGGGCTTCGCCGTTTTGCCGGCCTGGAGGGGGTCGAGCGTCGCGTGGAGCTCTTCGGGGAAGAAGCGCTTGACTGCCCATCACGAGTCCTCGGATTAGCCCATATCCCTTCCGCCCTTCCTGCGCCAAGTTCTTCACGCGCGAGCCTCACCATACGGCCTCATATCCAGCCGTGGAATCTTCCGCCGCTGCTTCTTGTACTTCTGCGTGAAGGTCGGCATGCCCTCGAACGGATCGAATGTCGCCGCCGCTGCCGCCGCCGCCAAAGGCGCTGATGACCCGGTCTTCCCTACCCGCACATTGTCGCCTAGAACAGTGTAGAGCGGTCCCTCGTGGATGCGCTCGCGCAGTGCGCGGTAGTGTGCGACTTGGATGCGCTCGAGGCGCCTGGGAGGCTTGGCGATTGGCGGGGGGATTTGCTGGTCGTGGGTCAGTCGGCGGTGGTACTCGAAGTAGGCCGGGCGCTCCATTGCGCGGGACTAGGAGCTGTAGGTAGTGCAGGTCGAGGAGATGGTGGATGCGCAAGACTCGATTGAAGGAATGCGGCTGAAGCTGGAGCTGCAGCGAGCTTGTGATTGGGATCGTCGCTGTTGCAGCCAAGTTTCTCGGCGTTGAGATGAGCTTCACTCACTGGAAACAGCTCCGACGGCTTCGTCTCAACCTTCAGATCTGGATCGTATTCCCAAGGCACGTCCTGGCCTCCAATCTTCCCGCGGCCGAATCCTCCTCCTCCTCCGCCGCCGCCGCGGAATCCGCCTCGCCCGCCTCGTGACATTGTGAGCGCACGAGCGGGCTGCTGCTGTGCTACCGGTGGATTGAGTGTAGAGGTCGGCTGTAAGGATACAGCGGACGTGGAGTCGAGGGCAGAGAGAGCATGGTCGACGAGTCGAGAGAGGCGAGGAAGCTGAAGTGCGGTGGGAATGGAAATCTGGTCATGGCGGTGGGCCGAGTCAAAAGACAATAGCGGACTTTTTCAATGGTGGGGCACGAGCCGGAAGCCCCACTGCCATCGTCACCGCCTGTCAGGCACCGCGCGTGAACTGAAGCCGCGTCTCAAAGCTGATACTGCATCTTTCTCGTTTACTAGAAGGGCATCAACAGAGACAACTGCCTGGTATGGACCGTAGCGTGTTGGCCGTAGGATGTCACTCATTCTGTGGCAAAGGAAGCAATCCACGTCCAGCAAACAGCAAACCTAGGAATCTGACGTGCCACGAGCACCACCATCCAGTATCAACCTCTGCTGGATAGCTACAGAGCTATAAGATAGACACCCTTTGCCGCCTCCTCTGGCAGCACTCGACCAACATGGCGGACCCAGCAGCTCTGGTGGAGAAGCTCCATGCCCATCTTGACCAAGTCTACAACGACCCGAGCATCCCTCTGGACCTCAGGTTGCTAGATGAGTGCGAGTACTATCTTCCAAGCCGAATCACACCAGAAACATCTCAATCTCTAGTCCTGCATTTCTCTCAGCTTCTCTCAACTCTACAGCAAGATCCGTCCCCGGCCATCCGAGTCCTGTTGAAGCTTCTCGAGTCAGTCCCTTTCTCCACCATCCTCGCCCTCGAGCCGCCTGTCGATTTTACCGCCGGCTTAAATGTGCAAGCTCGACCCTTCAACCTCCTGATGCTCTCGCTGCTGGAGAAGGCCACTCTGCGCGCCAGCGATGCGGCAATCCTCGCTGGTATGCCCGAGGTCGTCTTCGCTCTAATCAACCTATGGCTCTGCACCGAGGACACAGGGATCGCCGAGAGAGCAAGCGCGGTCCTTCTGGGCCTGCTCAAAGCTGATCACCAAGACTCGAAGGATGCTATAGGTGCGTCTGGGCAGGGCGTGATGTGGAGAAGACTGTTTGGAGATCGAGATGTCTATGACCTCGTATTCTCTGTCTGCGACTTCGGAACACAACCGGCCGGTCAGCGGCTTACCAAGCGCCAGAAATCTCTGGCACAAGCGCGACTGCTTGAGTGGATACCGGAGGCGGGTGCAATAGATCTGGACGTGCTCGCGACCAGTCATAATGCCGATGTCGAGGCTGCCCACGGGCTCAAAAGGGGTTCGCGAGGCCTGGTAGAGTTCGCCGCCGTGCACATGGTGGACTACGATGTGAGTCGCCAGAGCGTCTGTATAGTTAGGTGCCAAACCACACAAGTCTTGTTCTTACTATCATCAACAAGTCGTGGAACGGATTCAGTGCTCAAGACTAACTAATCTATTTGCTTGAAGGATGACGTTTTGATGCACATCAGCCTAATCAACTTTTACACTGAGTTGATCAGCTGTACTGGTGGCGAGGGATCAAATAGGAGCCAACGGTAAGTGTTTTAGATCTCTTCGTAAAGTTCGCAGTAGGCTTTTTGCAGGAATGGTATTTCGATACCGGCGGGGCTCGCTTCAATTATATCTCTAAACACTCTCAGCAGCATAGTGTTAGCTTTGGATCACTACCGTGCGGACCTGCGGATAGATGGCTTAAATGCTCTTTTTCTTCCCAAAGAGTGGATATGGCTCCGAACAGCTACAGAGCAACAACAATCACGAGATCTATTGGGAGTATCTGCTAACGAAACTATAGTCAGTCTCGATCATTCGATCCTCTAGGTTTCTTGATAGAGAAAGGTCTACACCAACGGACGGCAGCCTTGTATCTAGACCCCGACAACGACCGCCACAGCTCCCTGGATATCAGCTTCCTATACGGCCCCTCCGCCCACTACCTTGCCACCTACGCGTCATTGTATCCCGCAACACTCGCCCGAACGAACGACCTCGATCGCGTACTGTCCCGGCTGCGCACAGTACTCCACCTTTCTCGTAGCCGAGGGACGCGTGCAGAGTCGCCCAAGCACGATCTCCACGTTCTCTCAATGCTTCCCCGATCACATCTCGTACCCGATCAACAGGGCGTCCCAGACTGGAGCGCTAGCCCGCTGTCCCTCATTCCTTCTAGCCCGACTTTCGCTGACGCGCTCAACACGCTAGCGACAGTCTTCCACGGTCCACCTGCGAGGGTGGTGGAGTTTCCTGCGCCCGCAGATCCGACATCCACGCCCGACAATGGGCGCGCAGAAGCGGAGAAGTCGGCGGCGCGGGCGCTGTACCTCCACTACGTGGCGCACAACTCTGCACTATGGAGCGACGTCGTCCGGCACGCCGAGACAGTAGCGTTGAAGGAGCTGGCGCTGCCGGCTATCGGGCTGATCACTGCGGTCGCCACGGCGAACTGGTCTGACGCTGGGGACGAGGAGCTCCGTGCTTCGTTACGGGTGTAAGTACATCCGACCTCATCGCTCTCTCCTTTCCGCACAGGCCGCCCGGCACGCTTACGGCTCCCGCCTTCCCCTCCTAAATTTCTTCACAACACAAACACCCCAGCTAACCCCACCTCTCCAGCTCATCCCCTCTGCCCAAAACCGGCCTCCAGGCCCTCCTCGCACCCCCGGCCCTCCCACACGTCCTACCTTACCTCCTGCGCCCTGCGCAGACGTTCTCGAACCTTGTCGGCGGCCGTGGGGATGCCGAGTCAGCCGCGTACAAGATCGCCGTCGCGAAGTTCGACGCGCTGCTTGCGCTGGGCCGGCGTGTGGAAGAGGCGGGCGATGAGGTTCCGCCGCAGATCGCTGCGGCTGTGAGGGAGAGGATTCGGGAGGGCGCGTGGGGGAGTAGGGAGGAAGTTGGGGGGAGGATTGCTACATTGGAGATGTAGGGGGTTGGACAGAGGACGAAGGGAGGAGTACGGCTTGCGAGGAAGGCGAAGGGATGGTGCGATGGGTAGATAGCAAGAACGGGGCCAGACGGTTGAGGATACGCGAGCGGTGATTGTGCACGAGGGCTCGCGAAAAATGCACGGTGATGAGACCTATTGTCTATCTAAACAACGAGCTACACCGTGACACTACTTAAGACCACTTCCCGTTCTTGCTTTGCGGACTCCACTGCGCCGGCCAACTCCGGCTCAGACCTTCCTTCGCCTTGCAAAAACACGCACGCTGCGGCTCAGGCGTCTGCTCGGTCGCTGGCTGATGCTCTGCAACAGACTCCACTCGACAATGGTATTTACAATGCTGCAACGCGTTTTCAAGGTTGTGCTCTACCCACCGCTGCGTGAAACCCATATGCTCGACTGCATCGCCGAAATCGAAGAACAATTCCTGGCCTCGTTGGTCCGTGAGCACGACCCCAGAGTCTGTTCGAGGCCCTGGAGGAATCCCGGGGAGGAGCACTGCCGGGATGCCGGCGATGGCGTTCCTGCGAGAGCGGTGTTGCGCAATTCTTAGGCCGTGGAGGAAGAAACGGTTTTCATCTATATCTGTATGGCTGCTCGAGGCCTCGCCTGACTCACCGATGTCGTAGGGATCCAGAGCTGGCTGAATGCTAGCCTGGGCATGACTGTCGAAGGTCTGAACGACAGGACTGCATGGTGGCGAACCGGCTGCGTAAGATACTGGGAGACGGTCTGGTGGAAAGAAAGGCCATCTGCTGGAGAGTTGCTCGTCTGGGTCAGGCCCGGGCGGGGAGACTGGAGAGGTGCTATCACGGGTTGTTGGATCGAAGACCAGAGGCGATACAAGCGGCTCATCAGACTCATCAGCCTTCGCTTCTTGCGACAGTGGAGATGGGTGGCGGAAGTCTTCGCTAGGTGGAGGATGCACCTGGACTTTGTTTGCCCAACGCAGGTGACCTTGTCGATCATTGAATGAGGTGCTGATGAAGGCGGTTCTGAGTCGTGGCAACAATGACGGATCTTTTCGGCCTGGACGATTGAATACCATCTGCGCTGGCGCAGACTTACTCAGAACTGCTCCCGAATACGAACCCATGGCCGGTTTGGAGGTGAATGGATGGTAAACTCCACCTTCAGAGCCAGCTGGTCGTTGTGGCCGACCTGTTTCTGCTGAATCTGCTGTAGCTATATGAAAACAAGGCGAGCTTTGCGCTGGTACATAGTGCCTGCCTTCATGCTGTGTGAAGTTCGGACACTCCTGCTGATGCGCTGTAGCCTTTACCATTACGGCTAAGTGAAATAGCAGTCTGAGTTCACTAACGACGTGGAAGCAAACGGCAGCGAAGCGCGACGACTTATGTACCATAAGCCACCCGGCGGACAGCAAACCCCACAAAGGTGCATTGTGAATGTGAGACTGAACGGGATGAGAGACTTCGCGACACTTCAGAGCGTACAATAGATGTCTCAGATGGAAACTGCGAGAGAGCACAGAACAACATCATCGCTAGAGATTTCAAGCACCATCAGTTTGGGTTTGATATGAGGGGATAAAGGATGCCTGGCTACCATCGGAGAATTTTGATTTTGTAATTGAACAGCGTAGTGTTCTCGCAACACGCCATGCTCTCAGCTGCGCTGCTAGCTCTGAGTTGCAATACCATTCGAACCCATGCGGGATGTAAGCTCGATCATGAGGGTTGATACCGGCAGACCGTCGGATGCAAGATCCTACGAATGACACGGAGCAAGGACTCCGCTGTTGAATGTTCGGACGCCTACATCCAGCGCGCAGTGTTCCTGAAGCACGCGCATTGAGAGCGAGTAGGATTGATTGAGCTCTGCAAGCTTGTCGTGTGATCGAGGCGTACCTCCAGACTGGGATTCCTCGGTCGTCGACTGGTAGGGCTCGTCGTGGGGAACAGGGACGGAAGCTTGTCACTCCGTGCTTTTCCTTCAGAGGTTAAAGAGCCGTCACAAATTCATCCTCGACCATTCAGCAAGCTCCTCCTCTCCAGCTCGCCCTCAATCTCCTCAACAGTCAGCGGCACCTTCCTCTTGCCCCACTTCCGCTTCTCCTCCGCAGCAAACCCCTCCATACTCCTCATCGCAACAACCAAAAATCCCAACTCTTCTCTATCCGTGTCAAAGACTTCCCACCACTCCTCATCCGGCAATTTGACGCCTAGTTCCCTCGCGGCTAGATAGATAGATGCAGTAGCCAAGGCATACGGCTGATGTGTAAGATAGACCAGCTGCGGGCTAAGCAGTAACGTATTCAGTTGCGCAAAGGCCCGCTTAGCAAGATCCTGGCTCTCAGGGTGACTGAACACATCGAGCGTCTGCAGATAGTTGATACACAGCGTGTAGGGGAGAGCAACGTGCGTCTGAAAGCCGAGCACTCGAAGAATGAGCGCTTCTGTTCTCAGCAGCAAGGTCCTTTGAGCGTGGTAGGTGCCTTCAGTGAGATAGTACGACTCAGGGTCTTTTTCCTCGTCGAATTCTGACGCGTCGACGAAGGTTGAGGGGAAGGAGTCTAGATAGGCGTAGACGTTGAGCACACTGCGAGGTGATCTTGGGGTTGAAGATAGTTTCGCCATCAGATATAATGATCCAGCGGATATATCCTGTGTCGTATGAGCCTCGATTATGCTGACCAGGGCCACGGGGTTTCTTACTTTAGCCCCGTACTCCTTCAGACTGCCACCTTCAGGCCCTACGAAGAATCGCGTGAATATCACGATGGCTTGGGCTATGATGTCTTGAGGAAGCCGCAACAGTATGCCTGCAGCTTGAGTCAAACGCGCGCCCGCAAATCGGATGGAGTTCTCTAGGTCAGCGGGTACACCATCAAGTTGGGATCCAGATTGTGAGAGCTGGTCCACGGTAGCTAAAGGGTTGACCAGGATTGACATGTTTGCTGCTGCGATTGGTGCCATTCACGACATGCACGATTCAATCTGACATTGTGATGGAAGTGTTATTGAGTTTTGATTTGAACGGCGTGACCCAGAAGTTGAGGTCGAACGGCTTCAGCTCGGCAACATCCGAAGATAGTTTCAGAGGTTCAACCGTGAGCAGTATAGAACACACTCATGTATATCTTTTACGTCTAGAGGTGTCTTGGTTCAAATTCGCAACTGCACAAAGAGATTTCTGCTCAAAAGCATTGGGCAAGCCTGGCACCTTCGATACTCTCCCGAATCGCTAGTCTTAAAGACCAAACCGGCCATTTAGGAAACACGTTCAGGTTCATTAAGTCGATGATCTACAAGATGATCCGCCAGCTGGCGGACTTTGATCCAAACTATCGCGGACTTGTCGAAATCACTCTTGACGACTATGCCATGGAGGCTACAGGGCGAATCTTATTCGAGGACATCCAGCGGGATGGCAGGTTCAACACCAATCCAGCGTTTATCAACGCGCTCTCGCAGCTTGGTGGGTCGCTAGAAACTTGTATAGTTTTTTTAACGTTGGTAGACACGATAAGTCTTAGCATAACTTCACTTTACAACACCCTTATATATTTCGTACACACTATATATATATATATCACTCATACCCTACTACACTACCACCACCACCACCACCACCACCACTATCGCCGCTTTGCCTCCGCACCGCTGCCAACCTCCGCCGACCATTTCGTCCGCTGAGAACCAAGACATTTATCCGGGGACGAATGTCTCGACCATACAGTATCTGTAGTACGATCTCACGTTGCCGCGATGCCCTGAAACTGTCCAAATAATCGTCAGATCTCTCTTAAAGGGTGCTATTGACAATTCGACAAGTTATTTATTGTCTGTAGCAAGAGCAAATGTGTACTTGGGCAAGTCGAATGTGTTCTGCTTGATATTGAACCATTTCCACACTCCGCTCTGGGCTGCCAGCCAGAATAAAAACCTCAAGATACGTATGCCAGTATAAGTTTCGGGAATAGCCAGCTTTGCCACAAGTCCTCC